GTAAAAACAACTATGAATGTCCTAGAAAAAGTAATAGAAGGAAATGTGAATGAATGGGATAAATATCTTCCGTCAGTACAATTATCTATAAACAACAAAATAAGTCAAAGAACAAATACACCTCCCTTTACTATAATGTTCGGTCGTAAGCTTAATGACTTCGTCGACTTTAGGGATGAAAGTATTAAAGAAGAAATGACAGAAGAAGAAATACAACAACGTATAAAACAAATGAATGAAGTGATATTTCCAGCTATACAAAAAAGAACGCAAGAAGTAACAAAGAAACAAAAAATGAACTTTGATAACAAACATAAAACTTTTACTTTTCCACAAGGAAGCCATGTGATGATAAAAAATTCACAACGTACAAAATTGGAGCCCAGATACACTGGCCCTTTTGAAGTGATCAAACAAAATCAAGGAGGTGCATATATCCTTAAAGATCTAACAGGTGATATCCTACCAAGAAATTATACACCTTCAGAACTAAAACTCATTTCAATGGATGAAATCATACCAGAAGATGAAGTGTATGAAGTACAAGCAATCGTACAACATCGCTTAAATGAAAAAACTAATAAATACGAATATAAAGTACGTTGGAAAGGTTATACACCAGAAGACGACACCTGGGAACCACATCACAATTTCCAGGATCCAAGAATCATCACTGATTATTATAAAAGAATCGGTTTAAAGGAACCTGTTCGACCTCAAAGAAAAAATAATAAACGGAAAAGAAATTGAACAGTTCTACAACCATCACTCCTATGAATAAAAAAACCATATCCGGAATAATCATGCAGCATGATGTATAATTCATGTTTTGTTATAACATTAAAAGATACAGACAAATATATAAGAGACGTCTAACAGACTGGAAGGGGGTGATGTCGTATCTAGACTGATATTATTGTGTAACTTTAAGATCTCAGCTTCTTGTCATTTAAGATTGGATTAGAATAGTTTTTTCTTTTTTTTTTCTCTCTCATTCAATTCTTATTGAAATAAACTATATCAACAGTCTCATCGTATTTTCGATTTGTCTTTTATTATTATTTTTATATTTGTTAATCCAATCAACTATCTTAATCCCATCGACTTAGTCAAATTTCGTCCAAGTTCCACACTCAGACTTACTCCAGGAATTTCTTCCCAGACTCCCCCCAGATCCATTCAAATTTCGCCCAGACTCCACGTCCAGACTTACCCCAGGAATTTCTTCCCAGACTCCTTCAAACTTCACCCCCAACTTTCAGCCAGGTACTGCCCCCAGCTACGCCTAGGAATTTCTTCCCAGACTGCCCAAGGAATTTCCCCCAGGTCTTACCATTTCGGCCACCTTCCAATGCGGCCTTACCCTATACATATTCTAGGGCTTGACATTAGCTCGGGGCATTTGCCACACTGAACATCGTGGCTGTGTAAAAGTCAATTTTTGACTTTTCACTAAAAGACTTATTCTAATTCAACCAAACCATCTGTATATGATACAGAATTCTTTTCTGATTCAGATTCTATTTTTCTTTTTATAGGTTCACTTGTTCCTTTTTGAGAAAAATTAAAAAAATATGCTTTTTACTGCTTTCAGAGCGAATATCTCAACAACCAATCGCAGTAGAGATCTCATTTAAGTGCCAGTATATTGCTTTTAAGTAGGATTACCCTTGGTATAAATTTGGTGGCATTTGGTCGACTTTAGTTTTTTTAAGTAAAAAATCACTATAAATATGATATGCTCACAAATGCCTTTTTTTAAATAATCACACTAATAACGCGTCTATTGAAGTAAAACTCACACAGTGGATGCAGATTTGTGTGATGATTATAAATCTATTCTTATTTTTTTAATATCGCGTCTTTTGGGCAAGTTATAAGCATTTTTACTTTTATCATAATTCATCATACTTACCAAAAAAGGTAATTAAGCACAGTCATTCTTTTTTTTTATAAAGTGCATTCATTCCTTCTTTTTCTTTCTTTTTTTTTTTTTTTTTTTTTTTTACAAGGTACATTCATTCATTCTTTTTCTTTTTTTCTTTTTTTTTTTTTTTTTTTACAAAGTACATTCATTCATTCTTTTTCTTTTTTTCTTTCTTTTTTTTTTTTTTTTTACAAAGTACATTCATTCATTCATTCTTTTTCTTTTCTTTTCTTTTTTTTATTTTTACAAAGTACATTCATTCATTCTTTTTCTTTTTCTTTTTTTCTTCTTTTTTTTCTTTTCTCACAAACTACATTCATTCATTCCTTCTCTCTTTTTTATTCTTTTTTTCTTTTTCTTCTCTCACAAACTACATTCATTCATTCCTTCTCTCTTTTTTATTCTTTTTTTTCTTTTTCTTCTCTCACAAACTACATTCATTCATTCCTTCTCTCTTTTTTTTTTTCTTTTTTTTTTTTTTGTATGCCGCGTTCCATTTTTTTTTTTGTTTACCGCGTTTCATCTTTTTTTTTCGTTCTCCTTTTTTTCTTTCCTTCTCATTTTTTTTTTTTTTTTTTGCTTCTCTTTCTTTCTTACAACTATTCAACCAATCCATTCTCAACCCTTTTTACTTTCTCTTCATCATTCAACTATCAAGGATTATATTAATCACCTCACATCATCACTTTCTTGGTAATCAAAAGTGTATTTTCTATAAAGTAAATCTGAAAACAAAAAACTATAACTGACGTTCCTTTTTTATTTCTTTTCTTCCTTTTTTTTTTCTATCGCTATTTCATCCATGCAACATCAACTATCGATTGTATTACCGTAAGATGGGTGAACTAGGTACAATATCACTATTAAAAGTAAGTTCCAAAAAAAAAAAAGAATTACTATTACTGTGGTTGACGTTTTCTAACATTACTTTATTTCTTTTCTACACGAATCGTTTCAAACTTTGTTATTTCATCCATCATTTATCATTTACCTCAAATAATATTTTTTTTCCAAAATCCTTCCTCGTTGGCGCTATAGACGGCTACTAGTATACAACGTAAGTCTAAAAAGAAAAAGAAAGGAAAAAAAAAAAAAGAAAAAAAGACAAAGAAATATTGATCCATGCAAAGTTACTCACCATGATTTTATGCCAATAGAATATGACTAGATGATTATACAACAAGGTCAACGAAACGAATGGACGTACAACTCGATGCATATACACGACAGGATCAATATACAGATGGATCAACTATTGGACAAAATCTCTCTTCTTGATTATCTCATGATTTTGGTTGGCTTCTCTGTCTTCTTCTTTTTTTATCATGGATGATTCTTTTACGGATAGTTACAATAATAGTAGTAGTAGCAGTCATAGATAGTGTTGTGCATAGCGTATCATCTTATCAATAAAGTCTTACCCATAATCATCAATAATCTCAAGTACTGTCAACAATTATCAGATAAAATAGAGATGGACAATCAATATATCTTTTTTTTTTATTTGGACATACCTTTTTGAATAAAATCAATTGAATAAAATAAAACAAGAATTCATCATTCTTTTTATACTATTATTTCCTATAGTAAAAGGAGTAGGATGAAGCATAGTAATAGTTCAGTTAGCATTGTGTACGCGTACATATATGGATAACAGTCCAATCAGGGTGGAAAGGCGAAATGCATTAGTGATGGTCGGAAATAGATAATGACTGATGATGGATGATACCTGTTTGAATGATAATAATTGATAATAGTGGAGATGATGATTAAACAATAATAGTAAATAGTGATAATGATTATAATATTTATTAAAAAAAAAGGAATGTAAATATATAATTGATTTACTAATTATATACTAAATTACTAGTAAAAAGAGTCAGCCAGAATAAGAGATAAAAGATCAAGAAGGTACTCCAAATTGATTGTAAAGTCGAATCCAGTTGAATCACATCATATACCCTGTTTATCCATGTTTTCTACCTTATAACAGTAACAGGTATACTCATTTTTGTTTAATTCTGTCATCTGTTGATCCTTTTGAACATATTGTATGTTCATCCATTTTGCAGATCCTGTCGTATGTCCATGTATTTTGTTGATCCTATCGTATGTCATCCATTATACTGGTCCTTTTGTATAGCCACTTCGCACAGTATCCTATTGATCCTTAAATTTAAATGATAAGTCTTCGAGTATCTAGGTTTCTTTTTTTTTCAGACGTACATTTAGTAGTAGCAGTAACAGTCATTGTCCAGGATACCAAGTATTGAGAAGAAAAAAGGTGGTAGTGTAGATTCATAGATGCCGTAGTAAAATGATCAAGGTCAGAAGAACGTATATATAAAAAAAAAAAAAAATAAAAGAAGAAGAAGAAAAAAGCACTTCTTTATTGTTTTTTTTTTTAAAAAAAAAAACTTACTTCTAATAAAGGTAAATATCATTGCCAATACGTCAAATCCTTTAATAACTAGTGAAGAAATAAAAGAACGGGTGAATTAACTCCTTGGGCAATTCAACATGTAAAAATTATTTACCTCAGAGTCAAAACATATAGTTTGTATACAGCTTGTTTCCTATCTTGATTCCAACTATCCTTTAGAAAATGGAAAAAAAATAGTGTGGTTAGTACTATGTTTCCGCGAGGAGGAAAGAAAAGCATATTTTTTGTTGCCTGCAGGAAAAAACGTTTCATATTCTGACTTTTGTTTCATACGTTACCAAGGAGATTCATCTTGTAAAACGAAACTCATCAGTTGCAGATTAATATCGAACGAAGGAGGATCGATAGGAGTATTTCATGTAAAATAGGAAAAGAAAATGAAAAGGCACAATTGAAAGCAGTCGTGAGTGAGAATTTTTTTTTTTTTTTTTTTTTTTTTTTTTTTACGGGGAAGAAAGTGGGAAATTTGTAACTTTGCTATTAAATCAGGTTTTTACGCGGCACATTGGAAATTTCAACTCGCTGTTTGAAAAATAAAATAGAGGTCTGCATTAGAGAGAAATACTTTTTTTCTTTTCTTCTTTTTCTCTTTATATTTCCTTTTGCCTTCCATTCAATAATCTAAAAAATATGGCTCTTCCCAGGGTAAAAGCAAAACATGATACTTTTATCTGTCAAAATACTAACCATATCTATATATTCTATTTGAAAAAGGTTTTCTTTGACATGACTGCGAACGGTGCACCTCTTGGCGTAAGTACAAAGATATGACATCTTTTATGTTTTGGAACGCATCACCAGTTACTAAACTTTTTTTTTTTCATCTTTTAGCGCATTGTTATGGAACTTCGTTCTGATGAAGTTCCCAAGACTGCTGAAAATTTCCGTGCACTTTGTACTGGCGAAAAAGGCTTTGGTTACAAGGGCTCCACATTCCATCGTGTTATCCCTCAATTCATGTGTCAAGGTGGCGACTTCACCAACCATAATGGCACCGGTGTAAGTAAATGGATCATGAAGCAAAATGTGATTCGTCTATTCACTCTTAAGCGTTTTACAGGGCAAATCCATCTATGGTCACAAGTTCGAAGATGAAAATTTCAAATTGAAGCACACTGGCCCTGGTATTTTGTCCATGGCCAACGCTGGTCCCAATACCAATGGTTCCCAGTTCTTCCTCACCACCTCGAAAACTTCTTGGTTGGATGGCAAGCACGTTGTCTTTGGCTCTGTCGTTGAAGGGTAAGTGACGGGAATGAGAAGGAAAAGAGGGATTCCTTTTTCTCACTTTTTTGTTTGATGTCTTATGTTATAGTATGGATATTGTCAAGAAAATCGAAAGTTACGGCTCTCAATCTGGCGCAACTACAGCCAAAATCGTGATACAGGATTGTGGTCAATTGTAATTAATCGTTAATTTAAGTACAAAGTTTGAACTAGTTTAGTCAGTATAATCAAATAAAAAAAAATCATCATGTTATTTTATTTTGTTTGTCTCCAATGATGAAAATGATAGACGGTGGACTGTGTGCAATGAGTAGCTGTCATTCCCATGTAGACAGCGTGTGTAGATGAGGATGATGATTAAAATTGGCAAGATTTGTTTTGTTTTGATTTGTTTTTTCTTTTCTTTTTTTCGTACTGGACAGCATAGCTGGTGAAACTATGGAAGGAACGCAGCGAAGGGCGACAAATGATACAGTATGAATGACTCAACGCAAACCTCGAAATAGTAACGGATCATCTTAGTATAAAACATATACACAACTACAAAAAGGAATGGCGACTACACTCAAAAAATGTCGAGTATAACCATTGATCGTTGTCGTTAATATGTTGTTTCCTAGATGAAGACCCAAGCGGACAGACAAATAAATCAAGGAGCACGATGAGAACAACATAATTTCCCATTACTGTCAAGTCCTTTAGTATCTTTTTTTTTTTTTTTTCTGGACGACAATGTTCCAGTGTGTGATAATACGTAAATGATGGATGATTTATCTCACCAACATTGAAGCGACAGTCATTGGAGTTCATCATTAAATAAGATAAAACATGAAGTCTTGTTTTCATTTATTTTTTATTTGTCGTTAAAAAAAACAAGTACATTATGTACTAGGGGGTAAACAAGGTGGAATAAAAGTTATAAAGGGTAATAATAATAAACAAATACGGAATGAATATAAAAAAAAACATGAGGGAGATGGATTGACTAAAAAAAAAAAAAAAAAAAAAAGGAACGTCTACGAGGAATCAAGAGGTATCTATAAAAGAAAAGATAAATTAGGATGATTTCCATACATGTACAATAATTTACAAAAGATTCTACTACGCGAGTAATACTTTACCTTCACATCGATTTTCTTGAGAGCTGATGACCGTGTTTTATATTCACTGGTTTGATGATCTTCGGTTTTATAGCCACATCTATTTTGCCTTTTCCAAATGTTCCGCTCGTCATGGTATTCAATAGTTCTTTTTTTTCCAAAGACATTCAAAATGCCAGGGCAGTTTTCCTTCGATTTCAATAACAATGTGTGAGATAAGGTACTATCTATAGAATTATGGCGAGTTAGTATGACCATCAATACAAAGATACATGATAGTAGAGGTTACCTTTGATACATGCTAATAATCCATATTTCGTAATTTCTTCTTTCGGTACGTTCTTTTTTTTTCCAAGGCATACATATATTTAACCAACATCAATCGGTACTACAGGGAGTTATGTCATAGATCAAGTTGTTGTGTGCGGGTTTTCTCGATCTACTCCACTATGGACTCCATCAAAAGTCTTTTTCTAATGGCCAAGTGAGCTGATAGAAGTTTGAATGTGCATCATTTCATCGAAACATCTCCAATTCCATCTTGAGTTATCGCGCGGTTTTCTACTGTATACAGAAACATCTAAATCAGCCAGGTATATAGGTACGACTATGTCAAGAACGTGACAGGAGAAATAGCATAGTATCAATATAAATGGACAAACAGAGAAGACAGAAGTAATACACATGCTTGTAGATAAATAAATAGTAACTGATGTATAATTCAGGAAGACAATGTAATAAACGGATTTCGACCAAAAGTAGCAGATAGCTGATCCAGAGCTGAGCCAAAATTGCACGAGTCCATAGCCTTGACAAGCACGTATTGAAAGTCGGCTGTGATTCTTTTGCTGTTGAATTGCCCTGTATATCTGCATTATCATCGCTGTTCTTGTCGTTTTCAGGACTCAGACTAAAAAAAAAAAAAAAAAAAAAAAAAATTCAAATTAGGAAAAGTTGGAGTATACATAATTGATCATTTACTTTCTATTATATTTCGTTTATGAGGTCGTATTGACATTCCAGATATATGGATTGTTGCATTGAAAGAAGGCGTCCGATAAGTCGATGGAGGTTAACCAACTGTTTTTCTTGGCCTTTGAAGATTGATTGAGCTTTCCACGAGTCTATCGTAATGAAGAGGAGAAAAAGAAAACAAGTTGAGAAAACAATATGGAGAAGCATCATTTTCAATATTAGGATTACCAAAGTAGTAAGAGACCTTCAAAAGTAGTTGCAGACAACTGAAATTGCACTGGCTCTCTAGTCAAGTCCTAAAAAGAGAGAGAGGGTTCAACCAAGTAGAAAGGAGGTTTTGAAACCTAAAAAATCAGGAAAGTAAAAGAAAAAGTAAGTAATCGTCCTTATACTTTTTTTTTTTATTTTATTGTTTTTTTTTTAAATTGACAATAATAGAATAAAAATCCATTAAGGTCATTGAGTTCTATATATTACCTATCATTTAGTCAGTATGGATATATGAACAAAGCGCGGGAAACGAGTAAAAAAAAAAAAAAAAAAAAAAAAGCGGAAAGAGAAGGAAGCAAAAAAAAAAGGGTCAGTGTGAATATGCGAGGCAAAAAAAAAAAAAAAAAAAAAAAAAAAAAAAAAAAAAAAAAAAAAAAAAAAGGTGTGTGAAATTTTATTGGCTCTTTTTCTTTTGATCTTTTTCTGGTTTACCTCTTTTTAAAAAAAATATCTCCTTGTTTTCTAATTGATGGAGGAATGGGTAACGTCTATTTCTTATATAGTTATACTAGAGCTAATAAATATGCCTGTTTCTTCTTCTTCTTCTTCTTCTTTATTTTACTAGATTCGAAACACTAATATCAATAGTGATCGGTTTTGCTCCTTTCAGAAAAGAAAACAATGTCTCAACATTATCTGGACCACGGTAACATTTATTTCTTAATATATTTAAAGGAATATGAATATGTAATCTTGACTATTTTTTTTTTTTATTTATTTTTTTTTTTTTGTAGACTTCAAAAAAGGATCTGAAAAATGGCTGCAATGCTCTCGTTGATCAATTATTGACTAGTTCGGACACCACGGTAATTTCGTTTTATTTAGATATGTGCCATTGGATCTTTAAAAAAGGACGACAAGACTTGATTGATCATACCCATCCTCTCTATACGCTCTTACATTGTCTCTCTAAGAAAATTGCTATTCTTCAACCATGGATCTCCCAACAGTTACAAGCTACTGATTGGGTAAAGAAAAAACAAAAAAAAAACCTGACAATTTGATCTTTACTAAACTCTGTTTTCGATGAGTAGAAGTTACTTTATCCATTTTTGGTTTGGCTGATCGATATTATCAAGATATCAATACTATTGGAACAAAATGAACAAGTGGTGGAAAAATGGATGGACAATATTCTAAACGAACAACAAGTGTCTGATATGGTTCCCAGGTTATGGTATCATTCTCATATCTCAGTGGTGCGAAAATCAATGGAATTGATATACTTCTGGATGAAGCGACACAAGGTAAACTAGCTGAACATACAGTATCTTTTTTTCTTATATATTGTTTATTATTCTTTATCATAGACTGTGGATATGACTTTATCACTTATTCAATATATCAACAGATGCAAAGCAAATCTATCACCGATTGAATGGTCTTCTTTTCAAGAAAGCAATCAAACTGATTTTTTCTACTCACCATCCTGCAGACAGAAAGCTGACACCAATCCTTCTCCTATGATTGTTGATCGTGAATGTATTAGTTTGTTGATTCAGAACATTGTGGTTTCTCTTTCGAATTTGATACAACGACAATCTGATCAAGTATTGGACAACGTATTAATCGAATCGATTCAACAGTGCATGACGAATTTTGAAGGCAAGTCGTATTGATATGAAATAAAAAAAAAAAGAAAAAGATTGTAGAAATAATACTTTTGATCTGATTCTTTTCTCTATTGTATTTACGACTTCAGATCCATTATCATCGCAACACACTTTATTAGAACTTGTCTTCAGCATGTGCGGCGGCAATGATCGTGTACTTATTCAACTACAACTTGATATCCTGGAAATTCATACTTATCTGGAAAGACAACAAACATTATCTTGTTTGTGGACTGATATACTGGTACCTTTTTTGATTCATCTCAATCCTCATGTCATGTTTATCTATTTTATGTACAAATCTGGATTGGACTATGAAGTATTGATTGACTTATTGATGAGCGGGGAAACGGATATGTTATTATATATGATGCGTTATCTCAAGTACGTGGAACGACATCCTGAAGAATTCATTCAAGCAGCAGATCAAGTTTTAGGATTTCGCAATGATCAATATCAAGGACAATATGGTGATAGTGATGGGACCGACACTTGTACTCGCTTACTGATGGAACTCTTTGATGATACCCGGATTCTCCTTCAATCTGATTCTTTTCCTTTCAATGCTTCTCCTTTAGCCAATCGTATCTCTTCGGTATTGGAATGTTTGAATCAGACTCTTCTTGGTTCAAGTTAGTTAGCTAGTTGGTTTTATTTTTTTTTATTATTATTTTTTACTCTAGTATCTTTAGTATGATGTATAATGAATTTCACCCTTATTATTTATATCCATATTCTTTTGAAATAATAAAAAAAAAAAGTACTTTGTCCGTTACCTATTATTTTTTTTTTTTTTTGCTGCATGATCCTATCTCATATTCTACTTTAAAGATGAGCCCCATTTATGGAAACCTCTCGATGGTCGTGACATTTTTTTTTTTCTAACGTTGCAAATCCAACCAGATCGATCAAATACATGAATATTCAATCATATCCATTGTCACTTTTTCAAAAAAAAAAAAAAAAAAAAAAAAAAAGTATGATGTTTCTTTATACATCATAGTGAAATTTTTAAAAAAAAAAGACATTTTTGTAAAATTTTAGCTTTCTACAGTAAAGGAGAAAATTCATCAGCCTCCATCTAACATCATCTAGATCAATCATCATCGTTACAATCCATCTGACAACGTTTTATTTATAAAAGTTTTGTATCATTTATTTTTATTATTATTATTATTCACACTTAGAGTGCCCCTCAAAAAAAAAAAAGTTCTAGTGGGTGTGAAATTTTAAAGTATAAATATATAGATGGCCTACGGTTCAAAAAAGATGTGTGCTGGTTGCTCGTGCCAAATATTGCTTCAAACGACGATCCATCATCTCCTTTTTCCTTATGCCTGCCCTAGGATTGCGTACCAAATGCCCTCGTCCTCTAGAGGCAGACACATAAAAAAAAAAGACAATGATGTATCAGTGATCGCTATGCTTTTTTTTTTTTTTTTGAAATCTACTAACTTACGCAGGTGGAGTAAAAGTGACAACAGAAACTCCCAAAGCATCTGTCATTGTAGTCTTCACTGGCACCATCTTTTGATGTTTTTCTGGATTACAAAAAAAAAAAAAAAAAAAAAAAAGGAAAAAGAAAGAATCAATCCTATATTCCATTGGCCATCATCCTGTTTTGTTTCTATATTACCAGTAGTCAATGGTGGCATGACAATGGTGATAGTTGTTGTTGCACGATATCTAGGTTGTTGCAAAACTCCATACTGTCTGGTTATATAATGACGTTGAGGATAATCATCATTGTCTTCCTCTTCCATCTTGCGATAGAATTGTTGCAGTTTCAAAGGAGGTTCACTTAATCGAATGGCACCCATAGCAATATCGTTTCCTTCATCATCGATTGTTTTCAAGTCAGTCAATACCTTGATGGTGATGGAGTGATTTCCTGTTGGTAGTAATACTTGACCCTTACTGAATAGCCGTTGTTGATCGGCCAAGGCTTCGGCTGGTGTATTGGCATAAAATGTAATACTATCGTTGCCTTGATGGGTTGTATGCTGTGGTGTAGTTGTTTTACCCAAAGATATGCCATTATCATATACCTGGAACACATCACCGGGTTGTTTAAAGTCAATCAGCTGTAATAATGTAGGATTAGTAAGATAAAAGTCAAAAGTTTGATCAACCATCGTGGCATTATGCGTTGATGATGATGATGATGATGATGACCATGTAAATAAAGTGAAATCCCCGTTCGTTGCTGCAAGAGATGTAATATGTGATTCTCTTTTATTCAGCCGAGATGATGGTGAGGATGATGCTATAGATGATGATACTAATTTAGAAGAAGGACGAAGTGATAATGATTGTGAAATACTGGCTGATGTTGCAAAAAAAGAAAATAGCGATAAGAAGATAAGAAGAATGGAGATTAAAGGATAAGTCAACAGCATAGTTCTTTTTTTTTTTTTTGGAACGAGAAGTAAAGAGGAATCTAATAAAAAAAAAAAAAAGACGAGTTAAAAACTTCATTCATTTTCAATGTTTAATTATTTCAACAATTGACTTGACAGAGAATGACAGGTATATATCCTTCAGTCCAATCCGAAATAACTCAAAAAATACATGATGGAATGCAAATTTTATTTTTATTGATGAATATAAAGTATAAAATAAAAAGAAGACTATTACTATTGTATTTCAGGGATAATGTGATATCTATAAATTGATTGATCATGTGGGTGTGTCTACCTAAAAGTATATACATAATATGAGGAGTTAAATCCATAAAAAATCACTTTAATGACCTTTTGGTACATGATCCACTACAGTCACTGGCGAAATCATTTCCAATTGTTCCTTTTCTGCTTCGGTTGCTGGTCGCTTTTCTTCAATGTAATCTGACAGAACCATACCTGCGGTAGCAAACACCATACCACCTAATTAAGGAAAAAGAAAAGAAGAAGAAAGAAGAAGAAAAAGAAGAAGAAGAAAAAAGAAGATAACGTGTTAAGATGATCTATGTACTATATATATATCTATATCTATATATGTCTACTTACCAACACCTAGCCATATTCTAGTCTTTGGTGGAAGTGCTTTATAAGAACCCCATAAACTTTTACGTTGCATTGGTAAAAGATTTGTTTATTCGTTGAAAAGAAAAAGAGAGAGACAAAAAAAAAAAAAAAATGGAAAGATGAATCAACTTTTTTTTTTTTTTTAACTGAAAGGTTTCAAAGACAGCTTGGATTATTCCAATTCGCTCAACTTTTTCTACATTATCTTTATTTTTTTTTTTTTTTTTTTTTTTGGTTTCCTTTCTTTTTATTTATTTCTAATACAAATGAAAAACTTACTTCTATTCTTCTTCTTATTACTCTTTTATTCAAGGTATTAAAAAAAAGGACCATTATATATACAAATTTTCTTACCTTTTATTTCTATATTTTTCTTTCTCTCTCTCATTCTTTTATATTTATTAGTATTACACCATTGAACGTTGTTATCGCAACCTTAAACGAGAAACGAGCACCACCATTCAGTCAATCCTCAGATATACCTTCCCGACTAGGTGATTATACCCACTCTCATGAGAACGTTGAAAAACCGACCTTTACCTGTGTATCTATAGGGGAATGTGATGTCTGTACTTCACTTGAAAAGGTAAATACAATTATATACTTTACATAAAAAGGTGAGAATGTATTTCTATATTTACTCTACTCACCCTATTTATTTTTGATGCACAACATCTTCATATACAAACCATCATTACCATCACTACCATCACCACCATCACTACTACTACGACTATCATTGTTATTATGACTTTCATTGTTACTACCACTCTTCACCATTTAACATCTTGCCTATTATTCATTCATATACAGAAAACGGCTCCTTATTGTTTGGAATACGGAAACAAGGAACCTGTACGATGCGAATGGGATGATCCGAATTGGATGGGTAATAGGACGGATATTATGACTGATGATGACGATGTGATTAGTCTACCCACCTTTCGTGCTTGTCCATGGGTGAAAAGGATTGAAAATATGCGCATCATCAAGTTTGAGGTAAGTTAAAAAAAAAAAAAGGAAGATAGAAAATACATTAGTCAAGGATGATATATCTCATAGAATACTATATTCTTTTTTTTTTTTTTTGTAGTCGATCAATTTGGTAGTTGCAGTATTCTCGGTCATGATCTTCCTTTGGCGACAACGAAAATTGGCTCATGAAAAATATCAGCAAATGGCACAACGCATTGGTGTATCAGTATAGCACAATAATCAACCCTTTTTCCACAACCACACACCTACGCACGTCTACACATACACACACACACATGACCCATTTATATCTGTATACTCATTATCATCATTTTTTTTATCCAGTCCTAGTCAATAAATAGATCCATCATATATTTTTGTGAATAAAAAAGAAAAAGTGTATTAGTTTTATTATTTTATATACAAATAGAATAATGGATTAGATAACGGTAAAGAGATAAAAAAAAGGATATATACAAAAGTAGTGGTCATAGAATCAAAAGGAGTAACATAAAAAAAAAAAGAGGAAAGGGGGGATTATTTTGCATCATCAATATAACTAGATACAGTATCCATGATCCTTTGTTGCCAAATAGGAGAAACCAAAAAGGAAGCATGATCTAAACCAAGCATCATTTCTGAATTCAAACCATGTTTTTTCAAATAAGATTCGACACGCGACGAGTTAACAATATTATCATGCTCTGATAAATAAATTTTGGTGTGATGAGGCATAGGTGTTGTCATTAAAGGTTGATTTTGATGTAGTTGATTGATAGGTGTGACATAAAGAGCGCATTGGAACCAATGAAAATGACGAGAGATATAATAGGATATATAAAGTTCACTTGATGCAAAATACTTGACGATGGATTCACTAGCAGTAGTGGGTGTGCGGTAAACAAAATTCGTACAACTAACGAAAGAAAAAAAAAAAAAAAAGTAGAATAGAAGAAAGAGAATCATTAGTCATGCACAATCAAACAACACCGACCTTTTTTTTTTTTGACAACTTACATATCATCATAGTGTAACATGAAACAGATAGGATCCAATAAAATGACACCAGCCACAGATTTGGGTATATGTTTTAAAGACCAAGAAGCTACAGCGGTACCAAGAGAATGAGCAACAAACACTGCATTACGACAATCATGACGATGAAGCATTCTTTGAATATCATTACTGATTTCTTGCATAGTAGGTACATCTTCAACACAACGCATCGATACAAAAGGTAGTTCTATACAAAAGATGGGAGCATCCAGTTGTACCAGTTGATGAACAAATGTCATATAACACATCAATCCAGCACCAATACCATGAATAAATACAATGGGTTTCTTGTTACGATCACCATCACGGAACCAATAAGAAATACGTTCATCACAATCCTTTTCTTGATCACAGGGGGAAAAGGAGGATTCCACAGGGTTCCACAACAGATTCGAATGCACGGCTTCTGGTCCATATTTCTTCATCCCGTAACGTACCTGGAGTACCATAGTATCATAAAGCAAGGTCATCAATTGGATACATACATAAAATAGTAAAGGACGGTGATATGCATTGATAGGATCGAGATTGAGTCGTCTTGATTGAAGTTGATCGTTATAACCTTTTGGAAATTGGATTTGGAATGCCGACTCGAATTCATTTACCATCCATTCGATTTCCTTGACGTGATTGGAATGTTGTAGAACTTCATCCAAAGAAGCTGTAAAAAATGCCCATGATAACCTTTTTTTTTAAAAAAAAAAAAGATGAATATATATATATATATATATTATTTTCATTTTATTTTACCATTCAATCATATTGTCATGATAGATTTCTTCAAAATTAGGTGTAATAGATTGACCATTCAACATCTTTTTGATAAACCAACCAGGTAACCATTCTTTTACATTTTCCACATTGGCAATACATTGAGAAACCAAGATTCGACGTTCTTTACAAGTCAAGGAGTTCACAAAATGTGTGGATTGTTGCATACGATTTCTTGTAATTTGGAAAAAAATATAAAACACCAATTCAGTTGCCAACCAATAATGGATTGTCGTTGGTAATAAAAAATAGCCAGTGTTGTTATGAAAATCTGTCAATAATGTTGTTGTTTGTGATACATAGATGTAGTAAAGAAAGTAAACAAAAGCACAAGGTGCTAATGCAGTTTGACATAATGCTACTGTATAAACAGTTAATCTTAAAAGAGGATGGTCAGGAATCATAAAGTAATGGTATGATAAAAAAAGATGAAAAGAAAAGAAAAGAAAAGAAACGTGAAAAATAAAAAGAAATCGAAAAAAAGTCTTCCATTTTTAAACATCAGCTACCCCAAAATGCCATTTTCGCCAATAAGAAAAAAACTCTTCTTCTTAACCCCCTTCCCTTTATTCCCTTTTTATTACGGAACTTGAAATCGTTTAACCCCCCAATTCCTTTACATCGTCTCAATTCCCCAATTATACAAATAAAATAATTCAAAAAAAAAGGAGTGATCATCCTCTTTATTAACTAAAACATAAACTATAATACATAAAACTACAAAATAATACTATATATAAATCATCAAAGTCATCTAACTAATTAATGATTGTAAATTTCTCCATTCACGGTCCAGCTTGCACTAAGGTATTTCGGTTCCAGATGATCCAAAAAATGTTGTCGCCATAACTTGATGAAGTTTTCCAATTCGGGCCAACGTTCCTGTTTTCCGTCTTCCGAGGTTATCTTTCCTTTTTCCATCAGTTGTCGAATCACGCAAGTCCCATGGTCTATAAAGTCTGGTCCACGGTATACATCTTCAAGTCGACTATATTGTTCCAAAATTGTCTTCCAAGCCATTATCCTTCCGTCGTCGTCATATGATATCGGTTCGTTTTGATTTTCATGACGATCATAATACTCCTTTACAACCAATATGAGCTCATCTCGTCGTTGTTGGGGTATTTTATCTTCAAACCGTAATAATGCCGTGGCTGCCTTGCGTACCTGTCGTTTTTCTGCCGAATTGATCCATCCTTTTCCTTCCAACGGACAATCATATTGTTTCATTAATTCTTTCTTTAATTGGGTTGCTTTATCTTCGTATAGATGATGGCATTGTTTGCAAAGTAAGAGAATGTCCCGGCTCTATATATATATAAAATGCAATGCATCATTTTAGTGTCATCAGCCTCCCTTTCAATAATCCATTAAATCAAAATAAAATCATATAATATCATTTTCTTTTTTGTTTTATCCCTTACCGATTTTGATTTGATGGAAAGAGGCATAGCTCGACGATACATTTCAGGAACTAAAAAAAAATCAAAAAAAAAAGTTAGTTGACTTCCCATTTGTATCCAATTTTTTTTTTTTTAGAGGAAAAAAGAAATAAATAAGCATTACCTACATGGTGCATAGTTAATAGTTCAGTTGCATTACATGCTACACAAGTGTTGATTCGTTCTTCAACCATATAATCACCTTCTTTGTGTCCATTTCCTTTGGCTTCAAAGGTCAATTGAATTGTTCGTTCACCAGGTATCAATTTGGCCAAGTTTCGTTTCAAATACCAGTTTGCTTTTTTTCTATAAAAAAAAAAAAATTAAATAAATAAAAAAAAAAAAAGAGATTAATAAGAGTATTAGTGATATATATAAAAAAAAAAACTTGTGACTGACTCGTTACAACGGAACATGAGTTTGTTGTGAAGAGAATAGACTTTCCAGTTTTCATAAATAATGTTGGTTTTTTTTGTTTGCATGACAATAGGTTTTCTTTCTGCTGGCATGATATATAAATAGAGTTACACAGGGGAATAACGAAAGAGAGTGAGAATGATAAATTTGTTCAGTTTTGACGTATTAGATAGTGGATAAAATAATGAAAAAGAGAAACAATGAAAATTATTTTTTTTTTTTTTTGTTTTTGGACGGTTGTTTTTATTGCGATTTTCTTATTTTGGTCAACTAATTCACACTCCGTGACATGCAAGTATTTATGATCTTTTCTTTTTTATTATTATTATTATTTCTTTTTCTTTTCTTTTTTTTTTATTTCATTTTATAGTATATAGTCAATGTCTTTTGATCAAAATAAAAATGATTCATCATCTAATGATTTGATGACATCTTGGATATCTGCTTTGATATTTGGTAGTGATCAAAAACCATCTTCTCCTTCAAGACCTCAATCATCTATACCTCAACTACAACAGCAACAACAAGAAGAAGAAGAAGTACATGATTTCCAAAGACCATTATCATATCCTCAACCATCATCATATCATTCTACTGAATATCATCCTACTGAATATTCAATATCGCGACAACCAAGACCTCTTCCATTATCTCCACCTCCTATTTTACCATCCAATTATCAACATCCATATCATCAACAACAACAAACCTATCTACCAAGTCTTGATATACCATCCTTGACCTCTTCTCTTCCCAATCAACCGTTATCTCAAGTACTATCATCAGTGCCACCACATTTATCATCATCTACTTTGTCAAATCATCCATTACCACCTGCACCTCATGAAAGATTTAACTCTCCTTCTTATGATTCTGCCACCACATTGAATCAATATAATAATAATAATGATGATGATGATGATGAAATCCCCACTGATAAAAGATCAAAAATGCATTATGGTCCAGCTCCCTTACGTACAACAAGAAGATATGCGACAAAACGTTTATTATTAACTCGAGGTAATCTGGTGGTGGAAAATGCAGTGCCTATGACCTTACTTAGTCAAGTACCTCGTAAAGATGATGATGAATTCAAAAAGATGCGATATACAGCAGCAACTTGTGATCCGGATGATTTTGTGTCTAATGGATTCAAATTACGACAACAATTGAATATACCAAGGGAAACTGAAATACATATCGTCATCACAATGTACAACGTAAGTCAAGAGAAGTAAAAAAAAAAAAAAAAAAAAAAAAAAAAAAAAAAAAAGTATATCTCATTATTATTAATATTATTATTATTATTATTTTAGGAGGATGAATACTTATTTGCAAGAACAATGCATGGTGTAATGCAAAATATTAGAGAACTTTGTGCAATGAAACATTCAAAAACATGGGGACCAGAAGGTTGGAAAAAGGTTGTAGTCTCAATTGTGGCCGATGGAAGAAAGATCATTCAACCTCGTGTTCTATCTATTTTGGCAGCTATGGGTGTTTATCAAGAAGGATTGGCCAAGAATATTGTGGATAATAAACCAGTGACAGCTCATATATACGAAGTAAGTAGAATGGATACCTCTTTTATATATATATACGTATGTATTTTTTATTCATTTCTTTGATATGTCCTTTTTTAGTATACAACTCAAATTTCTTTTGATGAGAAATTAAAACGCCGTGGTGCTAGTAAGGTATGAAATATTTTCCCTTCTTCTTTTTCTATTTCTCACTCCCCCTTTTTCTTTCGATAGGGTATTGTACCAGCTCAAATTCTCTTTTGTCTCAAGGAAAAAAACGCCAAAAAGATCAACTCACATCGATGGTTCTTCAATGCATTCAGTCAATCTCTTCAACCTAAAGTATGTATTCTTTTAGATGTTGGAACTCAACCTGGACCATATAGTATTTACCAACTATGGAAAGCCTTTGATCGAGATCCTCAAATTGGTGGTGCTTGTGGTGAAATTCGTGCCATGTTGGGACCTGGATTCAAATACCTTCTTAATCCACTTGTTGCTGCTCAAAACTTTGAATACAAGGCAAGTTTATTATTATATACGTATTTTATATCTCACTCCTTATAACTCTTTTCCTTTTTTTTTTTTTTTTTTTTTTTTTAGATGTCCAATATTTTAGACAAACCCATGGAGTCAGTACTGGGATACATTGCGGTTCTTCCTGGTGCGTTTTCAGCTTATCGATATTGTGCCATTCAAAACGATGTCAATGGGCAAGGTCCTCTGGAAAAATACTTTAAAGGTGAAACGTTACACAGTAATCATGGCAAACAGGAAGGTGGTAGTGGTTTATTTGAAGCAAACATGTACTTGGCTGAAGATCGGATTCTATGTTTTGAACTGGTGGCCAAAAAGGATGAAAAATGGTTACTGCATTACTGCAAATCTGCCTCTGCGACTACGGACGTACCGGATCATCTCGCTGAATTTATCTCTCAACGCCGAAGATGGCTGAATGGAAGTTTCTTTGCTGGTGTCTATGGCTTGTGGCACTTTGCCGCTCTTTGGCAAAGCCGACATTCTTTGACTCGAATGATACTTTTGACAATTGAAGCTATTTACAATGTCATCAGTCTCCTCTTTAGTTGGCTCGCCTTGGTAAGTCCTCAAAAAAAATATACATATAAAAAGAAAGAAGATACTAATCAATGAATATATTCTAGGCAAATCTTTATATTACTTTCTTCTTTATTACCAAAAGTTTGGCGGATCCTGATACAGGTCCTTTTTTCAATGACTGGGGTGCTCGATTATTTGATATCTGTCGTTTCTTTTATTTATTCCTTTTGTTGGTGATTTGTATTTGTTCTATGGGCAATCGACCTCAAGGGTAAGATAAAAAGGAATTGAACCTATCATAATTGTCTAAACTGATCACATTTTTTTTTCTGATGTTTTGTTTTTGTATAGAGCAAGATGGTTGTTTATGGGATGTTTGATTGGCTTTTCTTTGATTATGGCTTATATGATATTTGGATCATCTTGGCTTGTCTATAGAGGAATCAAGTTGGCTGCGGAGAATACTAACTGGACAAATGATACGGGAATAAATGCACTTTTGGTGTTACGCAATGAAAATCTTCGCAACATGGTGATCTCTCTTATGGCTACCTATGGACTTTACTTTATTTCTAGTGTCATCTATCTTCAACCGTGGCATATTTTTACAAGTTTACCTCAATATCTCTTATTGTTACCTGGTTACGTTAATATATTGAATATTTACGCCTTTTGCAATACACATGATGTTAGGTATGTACGAAAAAAAAATTTAATTTAACATATGATACTTTGACTGAACTGAATGTTTTATTTATTATTATTATTATTAGTTGGGGTACCAAAGGTGATAATACAATAGCCAAAGATCTAGGTGTGGTTACCAAAGTATCCAAGGAAGAAGGCGAAGTAGAATTAGAATTACCTACTGATCCTCAAGATATTGAAAATGAATATGGTGCTGCTTTGATGGAATTGGAAAGAAAGGTGCCACCTCCAGAGGTAATAATCAATAATGATTTTTGTGATCTTGTTATTTATTTCCTTTTTTTTTCGATAGAACAAACCAAGTGCGAATCAAGAAGATGGATTCCGATCATTTAGAACTCATCTTGTACTGGTATGGTTAGCTTGTAATGCATCCTTAGTAGCCATTGTTACTTCAACAAAATACGAGACACTCTATATTCCTTCAGCTGGTAATACTTATATGTTGGTGATTTTATGGACAAATGCAGGTTTGGCCGCATTCAAGTTTATCAATGCTCTCATCTTCCTTATCTTACGGTTATTTAGTAGTACTTAGTTATAGATCTTTCCTTTTTTTTTTTATTAGACCATCATTAGTTTGGATTTTTACCTTCCACTTTATTTTTTTTTTATCTTTATTCTTTTTTTTTATTTGCTTTTAATAAATGATCCTTGGTCCTCCATGGAAACATTATACGTTGATGATGATTGGTGATTGTATAGGGAATGTTTGAAAGTGGATACAATTAAAGATGGACAGACGATTGATGATGATGGATGAATGATGGATAAACGGATGCTGATTCTGTGACAATGATTATTTTAACTATGATTTTGTTTTTTTTTTTTTCTTCATATCATGATGATGATGATTTTTCTAACAAAGGTCTCGATGACAAGTGGAATTTTTTCATTGGGCTCTTATGGTTCCAGAATTTCATAATAAATGCGTATGAGGTATCTCTTCTATAATTCCGATGGTGCCACGCCGTAGTCATTACTATTCACTGGAATCAATTGACAGTCAGAGGTAATACAAAAGGGAGATGATATTGGCTTAAGCTTATATAGTATAAAATAAAAAAAGAAAGAAAAAAGGTACACTTTATTGATGATATAGATGAAAACAGAAAAAAAAAGTCTAGTAATTTCAGGAACAAAAAAAAAAAGGGGGGATTCATAAAATAGGTTAATGGGGTAAAATAGAAAGTGAATATGCAAAAGAAAAAAAAGAAAAAAAAAGGACATATAACGTCATGAACGTAGTGACATGAACTAAACATGATGAAGTATATATAGACATGACGAATAAATAAAAGGATGGAAAATGACTTGATTACCAACAGTAACAAAGGATATCATCACCATAACATAAACATGAATCAAAAACAGAAAATGAATGAATGATCAAAAAAGAAGAGTTCAATTATTAACAACGACGAATATCATAGTAGTATCCACCACAGTACAAAGAGTTTTGTAGAGCTCGATAGTAAGCTTGACCAATGGATGCATTGACCCAACCTTCACCCGAAGAAAACCAAATCTTTTCTAATTGTAATTGAGAAGAAGGATCGAAAGCGTGCCATCTTGATCCAGCGTAATACATCCAAGAAGCCATGATTAAATGATATTTAGTATATAAAATGCAAAAAAAAAAAAAAAAGATGGTGATTTATGCGAAATTGATTGATGTATGTTGATCGATGATCAAATGTTTACTATATATAAAATGTAGATGATAAAAACTGAAAATGAATAATAATAATAATAATGAAAAGAAATATCAACATCATTCACAGATGCATGTTGCTTTATATACAGTTGTCTATTGATGGGTTATTTTTAACCTATCGGATTGTAGGATTGTCAAGAAGGATATAATTGGTAATTAAAGACCCTGTTCGTGTGACAAAAACAGTTTGATCATTCCCCCGCAGTGGCAAGCCCAAATATGAAAGTGGCGTCTTTTGAGCGGAACTATTAACGATACCCTTTTTTTTTCAAGTGTTAATGTTCTGGAAGGATCTAATAATGGTATACTTTTTTTTTCAAGCCTTTATTTCTTAGTCTTCATGCAAAAAAAAAAAAAAAAAAAAAGAAATCATTTCTAATAATAAAAAAATACTCTGTATAAGGATATACGTATATATCTATATATATGTATGTGTACATTTATCTATGGATGTATTCTACATAGATGGTATATTCTTAGAAAAAGACAATCATCACTCGCCACAACTGCGTAATCATGATGCAACAATGATTTGGATTTGGTCACGTAGCCAAGCAAAAAAAAAAAAAAAAAAAAGGAGAGCAAGGAAAAAAAGGAATTTAGGCTTTGATCTACTGGAAAAAAAGGAACCATTCAGAATTGCGCGGGTAGAGATCTATTTGATCATGAGCCTAAAATAAAGTTTTTTTTTTTTTTTGGTGGCCCTTCCTTCAATCTATGAGCCCTTTCGTTTCTATTCGGTGGCACTTCCCCGATGACTTTTCTCTTTTTTTTTTTTTTTTTTTTTTTTTTTTACGCAGCAGCAGATCGATTTAGTTGATAAAAATGGTTGTTGATTAATGAAGGATGTTGTTATGATATTGACTAATTAAGGACAATGGTGATGATTATAAATTCAAACCAATAATACATATATAAACATAACGCTTTATTTATAGAAAAAAAAATACAAAGATAACTATGGAGGAGTAATCAATAATAATGGAAGTAACAGATGATGATAAAGAGAGTTTCATAAAAATGAGATAGAGAGAATATGAGATGAATGGATATATCAAATGAATTCTAAAAAAAAAAAAAAAAGGAATGGAATGGACTTGGGATGACATGAGGGAATAAAAAAAAATGCCTATACTAAAAAAAAAAAAAAAAAAAAAATAACTAGTATCCTAAATAGTATCAAGATGAAATGGAATGCAAGCATTCGACAAGCACTTGGTCCAACCATATAAACCGATCCTTTGCTGATAAGATATTCAAAGTGGATTCCATTTCGTTCATCGATTGATATTTTGTCGAGAGAGTGGCGGCAGGTGATGTTGATGATTTGTTATTCGTAGTGTCCAAAGTGGTAGGTTGCCTGCTACGCTTGACTCTTGGTGGCGGAGGTAATGATGTCATGATATCTGGAAGATACGCCAATGATCCTGGTTGGTTACCTTCCTCTTGATCACTATTTATATCATTGTCTCTATTGTTGTTGATGGTGATCTTGATATGGGTATATTGAGGACTATTTTCGGCAACACCGTTATCATTGCTGTTATGTCGACTGTGACTCATGTAATAGCGTTTGTAGAGATTGTTGTCATTGTTGGATGTTTCATTGTTCAAACCAAGATCGTTTACCATACCGTTTCTACCGATATTGTTGTTGATCAGTTGTTGCTGTTGTTGTTGTTGTTGTTGTTGTTGTTGCTGTTGTTGATAGTGATACGAGGTACTGTTGTGTGGACGAGCGAAATTTCCATAAAGCATTTGTTGTTGGAGCTCTGTACCCCAGCTGAATTTTGATGTTGATTTTTGGTATTGATCCGCAGCTCGTTGGGTGATGGCATAGGCAAGAGGTACTCCAAGTAAAGATGGTATACATCGAATAGGTTCAATTGATGCATGTTGTTGAATCGCCGCTATCGTTCCAGGTGTACGCAAACATATTCGGAAAAGTATCAAACTACAAGGACCAGTTGTGAGAGCAAAGGCTGGAATATCCAATACTTCAGCTTGTAAAACAGCACCATAGAGACCTAAATGCATTCCATTGGTTCCAGTGACTTGAATTAATCGTTGACTCGCCAATTCAAGTGCTCTTGCAAATCGATGACTCTTCATTGTAGTATCTACTGTTGGATTGACGAGAGTTGAAGACTGAGACATTGGTGATGTGATCGAAGATATGCTTTTCTGTTGGTGATGATATTGACGTTGATGATGCATATTGTTCAATTCTTGATCCAAAGCTGATCCTACGGTTGATCCATTTGTTTTCACGGTTGTCGCTGTACTGATGCCTGCTGATGATGCAATCGAATGAGGACCTCCCAAAGTTTGTGCGCTGTTAGTTGAAGAGCGACCCATGATCAAGTTAGTGCAAGGTTGCAAGTCGATGTACTTGTCGATATCGGCTACATGTTGTAAAGGTTGACCTTGAAATGTATGTGATAAACATTGTTTGTCATCCGCTGATAATTGTCGTACAATTTCACCAGTATCCTTATAAGTCAAATCCACAATAGGAATACCATACCGACTTTTCTTGTCTACCACCATTTGTACATTGTCATAAGTTTGACCTTCATCTATAAGACCCATAAGACCAACCAGAACACGAGGAGAAGTATCACCAGTGAGTCGAAGAGAACTTTGAGCCAATAGCATCATATCACGGAAGTGGTTCAGTAAATATTCATTGGGAACGTGCAATTTGTCAGCCATAATTTTGGAGATAAAAGTAGGACCTGCAAACCGGTAACCTTGAGCCATAAATCGATGGATATCTTTATCAGAAGTAAGTTGACGTACAAGCACAATATGTCGTTCTTCATCACCTTCAACCCTGGATGGTTCTGTCGAGTGGAACTGTTGAGTAGAAGAGTGTCGTTTGTATTCAAGGCGAACAGTGGATGATGATACCTTCTTTTTACCCAATACTTTTGATTCCATAACGTTTGCTTGATCGAACGAAGTTTTCTTTGATTCAGGTTTCCATGAGTTACTACAAGAAGTTGTAGGAGCTGTTTCCGAGAGTGAATATTCGTCGTCATAATCAGTAGCATTATCATCGACTTGACTAGAGATAAAACTACTTTTAAAATTTTTGAGACCCTGTTTCATGGCAAGTCGTTTCTGTTGGAATAAACTAAGTCGATGAATGGTGTGTGTTTCGATAACTGATTCGTATAGGAGACCAAGTTCAGAAGCATCATTAAGATGTAAGGATTCCATTAGACTTGAAGTAGCTTCGTGGAAACGACGTTCAGCAGTGTTGAATTCACCAGAGTGTGAGGTACGTTCGTAGTCTTCCAGAGTGGGTATTGTAGACCATTGTGTGACGACTTGAAATAAACGAACAAAAAGAGGATGTGTAGAAGAGAATTCTTGACGAGTAGTCTTAGGAAAAAAAAAAAAAAAAAAAAAAGAGAAAGAAAAGAAAAAGATTTTTTTTTTTATTAGTCGCGCTTTTTCCTTGTAGGTGAAGAGGGAAAAGAGTTTTTCCATGCTTACTTTGAATTGAATGTCAGATAACACTTCTCTACTTGGTAATAGACCACCAATATCCACCATGATTCGTCCACTTCCATCGAACAAGACCAAATCCACAACCAAACGTCTTTTGGCTTTTTCTGAATTTTCTGCCAGTCGTCTCATACTACATTTGACACCAATATAGAATAAGGATATACAAGCAATAACCACAATAGCACAAATCACACCAATCAATGCAGGTGTGGGCAGCAATGGTGTAGGAGGAGGACTACCATTATCATCAGCATAATATTCAGTCCCTGCCATAGCAGTGTAATGCATACCTAGAAAAAAAAAAGGTCAGTGAGAAGTATATTTCTAAAAAAAAAAAAAAAAAGACGTATAGTGAATTGATTTGTTTACCACAGACAGCAACTCCCATGATGATTGCACAACCAAGACGTTTGTACCATTGATTCATCCATTGTTCTCTTAATTTGAAGAAGATCCATAGAGCAGCCGTGACAGCGGTACATGCAATAATAACAGCACCAACAACATAAGGGGGGTTGTAAACTACTTGAAAATATTCAATCGCGAATTGCCCTACAACAGTGTAATATAAATTATAACAAATGGATGAGAATGATAGATGATCGAATAATAAACGATGATTCAAGAAGGGTGATGGAATGCATGGATGATTGAATACACGGATGATGGGATGACAGGATGATGAGGTGATGAGATGATGAGATGATGGGATGATTGAATGTACAGATGATTGAATATACAGATGATTGAATGTACAGATGATTGAATGTACAGATGATTGAATGTACAGATGATTGAATGTATGGATGATTGAATGTATGGATGATTGAATGTATGAACGATTGAATGTATGAACGATTGAATGTATGGATGATTGAATGTATAGATGATTGAACGTATGGACAAATGCTAACGTTAATAAAAAAAAAAGCATAAATCTTACCTAAATAGTGCATTGTAGCAATTCCAGACTATTGAAAAAAAAATAAAGGTGATGAGTTAGTTTATTTAATTTAATAATGATCATCGAGATAAAAAGATGATATTTTACCCCAGCCAGGATGCCACTAAGAATGATACGATATGTTTGAACATGTTCCGTTACACCAACAAAGGAAAAAGATACAAACATGCAGGCAATAGCGACAACCAAACTAGCAAAAGTATATCCTCCAGAATAGGCCAATTGATAAGGTTGAGTATGATTTGGAAACACCAAGGTCAAACTGTTATTTCCAATAAAATGCATCGACCATATACCAACACTACCCATTGCAAGTGCGGCTGATAATAACAGATACCTTTGATATATATAAAAATAATAAAAATAATTAAAATCACAATATGTAATAAAATATGATACCTACCAATTATATCTGCCTTGTATATGAGTTCGTCTTGTCAATAATTCCAAAGTAGTCATAGCACCAATGACAGAAATAATGAAACTAACGAAGATGATGCCACCATTGAATCTTTGTATGGCAATAGCTCCCATAACGAACTGAAGCTATCGATTTGTCGAATATAAATAGTTTTTTTTTTTTTTTATCGGTAAGAGTAGACGTGATGATCCGGTATGAATGAAAAATAGTGATCTAATTAAAATCAAGGAGCAAAAAAAAAAAAAAAAAAAAAAAGGGAAAAGAAAGAGGGAAAAAAAGAAATGTGAATGATATAAAAGAAATAATATAATAATAATAAAAAAAAAAAAACTTTTTCGGTGCAAAGCGTTAAAAAAGAGAGACAAGTGAATATATAATAACGGAGATCTAATGTTACATGTCGTCTATTACCGTTGACCTATATTTTTAAGGTAACACAACCTATTGTCCTGATATCACCGGAACGATCAACTTTCATAATCTCAGTTTTATCTATTTTTGTTTCTTTTTTTTTTAATATTTTGAATGATTTTAGAATTTAGATTAAGATTATTTGATCTTATGAAAAAAAGAAAAGAAGAATAAGATGATTTAATAGAAAAAGAGAGACAACAGAAAAAAAAAAATCATACGTTCAATAAAAGTCTTGTCCATGGTAATTTGTGTAACATTCCTTCTTGCATGTGCCAAATCGATAACTGCCATTTTAGTGTTCGCATTGTTCTGTCATGAGGAATCATCCATTATCATTTGCTAGTCGGTTATCTAAAAGACTTTTATTTTATTTTTTTTACTCAACAGTAAAAGCAGCACCAATAACAACAATACGATCTCTCTTTTTTTTTTTTTATGGAAAAAGTTTGATTAGTCGCATTTGTCATTTCCATGTAAGAAAAAAGGTTTGCTTATGTAGTAAAGTAGGTAATCATGTTAACAAGTTTTACGAAAAGAGAAATTGAGAACCCATATTTGGTGAAGTAAGGTGTTACCTATCACAGGATATTATGTATTGCTAATAAGTACAGTACAAAAAGGAAATGGAAAAAATGGTCTTTTTTTTTTTTTGTTGGGTTTGTGTTGGTTACTAATATTCTATTGTTGTGTACAGAGAAATCTTATTTTTCTAAAAAAACTTTTAGTTTCACAGAGAACCGACAACTCGTCTACCAATTTTGGATTTCTCCTTCAAACATTTTAGTTCGACTTCCGCTTAGTGTTCGCTCTTACTTCGGTCCTGCCTTTTTATTCTCTTTTCCGGTTTCTTTTTTTTCTTTTTTTTTTTTTTTTTTTATTCTTTTCTTTCTTTTTTTTCACTTTTTTTTTTTTTTTCTGAGCTCATTCTCAATATTATCAATTAGAATATTATCTACATATTAAGATGAGAGAAAAGAGGAAGTTGTGAAATGTAAGGAAGGAGTGTATGCAATGTTAGCTTGGTAGTGGAAAACTTTTATACTAATTATTTAGAATATCTTCAAGTTCGCGCTTCTTACAATAGAATGTATTCTGACAAACTGGATTATACAAGTATATTCGAGCGGGAAAAGTATTTTGAAAAGGTAAGAAAAGATGAATCGATATTATTTAATGATAAATGATTGCTGTCTCATTGATTTTATTGCACCTATGATTAGTATACGACAAGGTGGTCTCTATTTAGGATGTATTCGACTTTGAATGGACTGGGGCTATGATGGGTTCTGTTGTAGAATGGATTACTTTCAGGGTGGATTACATTCAGGATGGATTACGCTTTAGGATGGATTACGCTTTAGGATGGATTATGTTTAGGATAGATTATGTTTAGGATGGATTATGTTTAGGATGGATTATGTTTAGGATGGATTATGTTTAGGATGGATTATGTTTAGGATGGATTATGTTTAGGATGGATTATGTTTAGGATGGATTATGTTTAGGATGGATTATGTTTAGGATGGATTATGTTTTATATTTATTATCAGAATAGCAGAATAGAATATAGTAGAATAGAATATAATGTAGAATAGAATATAATGTAGAATAGAATATAATAGAATAGAATATAGTTGAATAAAATATAGCAGAATAAAATATAATAATAGAATAAGATAGGATAGGAATAGCTATTATAATAAACATTACATATAGATCAAAAGTTGGAAACCATTATGGATTATTCATTTGATGGATTAGTTGTTGGAAATATTAGTATGATGATGGTAATTTATAATTACTAGTAACGATGATTTGTAGAAAGTTAACTTATTCAGTCAAAAAATCCATGGAAACCATGAGTAAAGGAAAGAATACCGATAGCCAAGACAATACCATAAAAGATCATCCCAAAAAGGAAACGTGCTACATGACTTTCTTTGGCAGCTTCGAAAATGGACCAAAATACAGCAAATCCAAAGAATCTAAGTTAAACCCAAAATAATAATAATAAAAAATACAAGGTTTACTATCGTCATCATCATTGCTGAATTGAAAAAAAAAAAAAATAGAAACTTACACCCAAGTTAAAATCATCACAATTCTTGTACGGCTTTGACCAATGGTATTTAATACCAATACAGATAACAACATCAAAATAAGATCACCTAGTACTTGAGATGCGCGTGTCAATCTATTCTGTTACCATCAACAATTAACAGTAAGAATAATAATAATAATAATAAAAAAAAAGACAAAAGATTAAAAAAAGTACATTTTTTCTATTTTTTTTTTTTAAGCATACATGGGCATTAGAAGTACCAGGTCGTTGAATCCAACCACGATATCCTCCAGTAGCATCGGTATTTTGAGGAACAGCAACACCATCTTCAGTTGTTCTTGTATTGACTCCTGATGAATAGTGTCCATCACCAAAGACATGACGAAGGAACCATACTAAACCCCAATAAGCAAGTAAGGAGAAGAAGGCAACCCAGTACATTTTAACATTAGGATCCATCATAAACAATGAAAAATCGCTTGCTCTGTCACCACGACCATAATATCCTCCACCTCCATAGTAAGGATCATAATCACCAAAAGGTGAACCACGTTGTGATGATGGATGATGAGACATAATGATTTGTTTTAAATTTATATTTATTTAGTAAAAAATAAAAAAAAAAAATAAAAAAAAAGATATTGAGAAATAATAAAAAAAACATGGTTTATATAGATATATCAATAGTACGGACACGTTAGAGAAGTCAAGTTAATAGAATAAGAGTTGAAAAAAAAAATAGAACAAGCAAACAAACAAATAAAAAAAAAAGAAAAGTAATCAGAGTAAATTGATTTTCTTATAAAAAACTAAACTGTTAGGAGTACAATAGAGTGATCCACGTTAAAAATAAGATTTATGCAAGTTTAGATTGTCGATTGAGCCATACGATCCCTTTTTTTTTATTTTTATTTTTATGGATTCATCTTTATTTCAACCAGGGAGTTTTAATTTTTTTTTTTAATTCTTATTCGGCATAAGTACTTTTAATAAAATCATCAAAATACTGTTTTTTTCTGACCTCCTTTAGATTTGATCATCAATAAATAGAATAGTTAAACTAAAATGATTTTTGAAGAAACCAATATAGTAATAAAAAAAAATTCTGATTATGGCCCAGTTTCGGGTTTTTAGGTAAAAAGATAGATGAATTCACAAATTATATATATATATATATAAAGTCTATTTCGTTCAATCAAAATAATTATTAAATATAAAGGAGAAGAAAAAGCTTGAATTGATATTCCATAAAACAATCACCTTTATGTCAGCAGTAAATGAAATTTATTTTCCCGAATACCATCATTGGTTCCTGTAAAATGTTTTAACCGTCATCCAATCATTTTAAAGTGTGCCTGCATCATCATTTTTTTTTTTTTTCATATTACCAATAGATAGTATACATATCATTTTATTTACTAAAGAATTATTGTATACTCATATAATATAATAAAAAGATTTTAATTATCATCTATTTATGATTATTATCATCCATTTTCTGTTACTATTTCTTTTTTTTCAATTTGTTTTATATTATATATAAAGGTAAGATTGGCAGCGGTGGTTGTAATCTCCCCGCATTTTTTTTTTTTTTTTTGTTGTTGTTGATGACTGATGCCAAATTCATGTAGCCTATTATTTTTTTTATTAGGTCTCCGAAATTTTATTTCACCTTTTTCTTTTCGACCTGTTTTTATTTGTTTCTTTTTCTTTTTCTTTTCACTTTTTTTTTTTTATCTTTTCCAAATTTTTTTATATATATTCTGAAACAATGGTGAACAAGATTAACTTGGATAAGCAAACTTACGAAGTACCTAACTCTAGAAAACCTGGACAAACTGGTAAGAAACTAACTGATGGGAAAGAAAAGTAATAGTCTAATATTTATATACCTTTTTTTTTTTGTACCTTTAGGTATTTATCGTAATGCTGTGCGTACTGAACTAGTAGAAAGATTTTCTCCCAAGGTACATACTATGTATGATATCTTCCAACATGGTATGTTATATATTTATCATAAAAGAAAAGAAAAGAAAAAAAAATATTCATAGACAGATAGATATAGACAATTCAACTTAACGAAAACTAACTCTCTCTCTCTCTCTTTTTTTTTTTTTTTTTTGCTTAAGGTTACAAGATTTCTAAAGATCGTCCTTGTTTGGGTCATCGTTCTGTGAATGCTTCAGGTAAACATGGTCCTTACGTTTGGGAAACTTACCGTCAAGTTAATCACCGCATTATCAACTTTGGATCTGGTTTAATGAATTTGATCAATCATACTTTGAATGACCCTCGTACCAAAAGTATTCCTCTCGGTATTTGGTCTGTAAACCGTCCTGAATGGTTCATTACTGATATGGCTTGTGCTGCTTATAGTATGTTCACTGTTGCTCTTTATGATACCCTTGGTCCTGATGCTGTGGAATACGTTGTTAACCACTCAGAATTGGAAATCGTTGTTTGCTCTGGTGATCATATTGCTGACCTTCTCAAGATCAAAGAAAAGTTACCTAAACTCAAGGCAATTATCTCTTTGGATAGTATTGATGATGGTGTTAAGGTTGTTCCTGGATCCGTGTCAAAAAGTGCTATCATCAAGGCTTGGGCAGATGAAAAGAATGTCCTTTTGACTGATATGGCTACTTTGGAAGCTGCTGGTAAGAAGAACCGTCGCTCTATCAACTTACCTCAACCAGATGATTTGGCTTGTTTGATGTATACAAGTGGTACTACTGGTAATCCAAAGGTAAATTATATTTTTTTTTTTAAAAAAAAAAGAGAACGATGGAAACTTCACGTGCAGATATATTTTGTATCTATCGGAACCGGGATTAAGATGAATCACAAACTAAACTTTATTTTCTCCAATTTAGGGTGCTATGTTGTCCCACCGCAATTTCGTTTCTGCTGTCTCAGGTAGTTACTATAATGTTGATGGCAGTCCAGATGATGTCAGCATTTCTTTCCTTCCTCTTGCTCACATTTTCGGTAAAGTGACCGATACTTTGGCTATCGCATTTGGTAGTCGTATTGGTTACTTTGCTGGTGATATGACCACTTTGGTGGATGATATTCAAGAACTCAAACCTACTTTTATGGCTGCTGTCCCTCGTCTTTTGAATCGTATTTATGCCAAGATTGCTGCTTCCACTATCAATGCTCCTGGTATGGTGGGTGCTCTTGCTCGTCGTGGTGTTGCTGTCAAATTGGAAAATCTTGCTAATCAAAAGGGTTTCACTCATCCTGTTTGGGATCGTTTATTATTCAACAAAGTAAAACAAGCTTTGGGTGGAAATATGCGTGTTATGGTCACTGGTTCTGCTCCTATTGGTAAAGATATTATGCAATTCCTTCGTATTGCTTTGTGTTGTGACATTCGTGAAGGTAAGAATCAAAAAAAAAAAAAAAACAGGATCTTGTTGTATCTCATTTGTTTACTTTTTTTTTTTATCGCTGTTCTGTACTTTAGGTTATGGTGCCACTGAAACTACTGCTGCTACTGCTTCTCATTATGAAGGTGAATATCAAGCTGGCCATTTGGGTGCTCCCTTCCCTTCTAATGAAATTAAATTGGTGGATGTTCCTGAAATGAACTACTTATCTACTGATCCTTATCCTCGTGGTGAAATCTGTGTACGTGGTCCTAACGTCTTCTTGGGTTACTTTAAGGAAGAAGAAAAGACTCGTGAAGCTATTGATGAAGAAGGATGGTTCCATACTGGTGAGTATAAATACAATTCAAATCTCATTCTACCTATCCACTTGCTCATCTTCTATTTTTTTTTTTTACTTGTTTTAGGTGATATTGGTGTGATCAATGAACGTGGTTGTTTGGTAATCATTGATCGTAAGAAGAATATCTTCAAATTGGCTCAAGGTGAATGTAAGTAGACAATTTTTATTAAAAGTGTTGTTGAAGGAAAAAAAGGAAGCATAGAGAAATCAGTGATTAAAAAAATCATCTCACATCTTTTTTTCTTTTTTTTTTTTGTCATATTATAGATATTGCTCCTGAAAAGATTGAAAACGTTTATGCAAAGGATGCATTAGTAGCACAAGTATTTGTTCATGGTGATTCCTTACAAAGCTCTTTGGTGGCTATCCTTGTCCCTGATCCAGAAGCTTTACCTGCCTTTGTTGCTGCCAAATCCCCCAAGCTCGGTAAACAAAACTTGTCTTATGCAGAATTATGCAAGCATCCTGAAGTTAACAAGTTAGTATTGAACCAATTGACCAATGTGGGTAAGAAAGCTGGCTTACATGGTTTTGAACTTGCCAAGGCCTTCTATTTGGAAACCGAGCCTTTCAGTATGGAAAATGATCTTTTGACTCCTACCTTCAAGGTCAAGCGTCCTCAAGCCAAGAAACGTTATGAAGCCGAAATTGCTGCCATGTATGAATCTCTCAGCAATCAACCTGAAAAGGCCAAGTTATAAAAAAAAATGGATCTCTCTGAAACAAATATTACATCATTTCCCTTTTTTATCAATCATATCCCCTTTCCCTTTTATATAGTATATGTTGTAGTTTATTTTTCTTTATTAGCTTTAGTTTGATTTTATCTATACATATTAGAAAAAATAGAATAAAAAATTACTACAAAGTAAAAATGATATTATAAAATTTTAAACTAACGATGGAACGAAGATGATGTATGATGGAAGATGAATTATCATTGATCTCGTTCAGTTAGTCTCAACAGTTTTTATTGAAAAATGCTGATTAAGTTGGAAAGTTGATCCACAAACCAGGATTTTAAATACCGCATGAGCCTTGTGGCTTATTGGTTCAAAGAGAATAGTGAATGTGAGAGAGAGAGAGAGAGAGGTCAACCCAGCTTTTATTTTTCCTTTCATTCTTTTTTTTTTTTTATTGTCTAACAATATCAAAAACGACAATATGAAGTACAAACGTATGAAGATGAAGAATACTGATCTTCTTTCAGCAGGATCTAAAGTGTATGAAAAGAAACGAAGAATGAAAAAGGAAACGGTGGAATCTATAGAATTTGACTTTGATAAACGACAGTAAGTTGATGATCACCATCCATATGACCGATTATACTAATGATTAATTCCTTTTTTTATTGTTTTAGGGAATTTTTGACAGGATTTCATAAACGAAAACTTGAACGAAAACAAAAAGCTCGAGAAAAATTCAAAGAAAGGGAACGTCAAGAAAAAATCAAGTTTCGTGCAGAAACCAAGGCTGATAGACAACGTCAAGTGGATACACGGATGGCTGAAATGGAGGCTGTATTAAAAGGTAATAATATAAAAGAAGTAGATGTAAAAAAATGATGATACTCACATAATATATATTAGGTGGACAATCGGATGATGACGATGATGATGAAAATGAAACAGTATTTACAGATGGTGAAGAAGAGAATGGAAATACTAACAAAGGACCCAAGGTGAAGGAATTCAAGTCTGCAAAAGCAATGACGACTGTCACAGTAATTGAAGATTTGGATTTGGATGAAGATTAGTTACTTTGATTTTATACTCATTACTTTTGCATATTCTTTTATAAATGGATGATTCCCTTATTTATATATTGTACTTCAAATTCATATTCATGTATCCATTTTCCTTTTCATTTTACTTTTTTAATTGTATTCTGTATTTATTTATTTATTTTTTTTAACAACAAAATAAAAGGATCATTCTTCTTATTACCCCAATTTTTTTTTATTATAATCATGACAGTTTGTACCTGTGCATAGTTGAAATAACATGTGATTCGTATTGGTAAAAGATTGCTATCTGGGATCTGATTGGCTGTCAATTGTCCCCCGTGAAAAAAAAAAAAATGGAAAAAGATGCTTTCCCCCTTCATTTTTCACTTCCTTTTTTTCCTTTATACCTTTTTCTTTCTTTCTTTTTTTCCAATCAACCATTATGAAATTGTAAAGGAAGAATGATATTTTTTTTTTCATCTTTAACCCTTTCTTCTTGTTAGGTATACAACTAAAACTTCCTTTGTTATAGAACAAGATGACTCGACATTACAAAAGTTATTCATCGATAGAACTACTGGAGCCATTCAACTTACTGGTACAAAAAAAAAAAAAAAAGAAAAGAAAAAAAGAAACTATGAAACACTATCTTTTCTCTATTAACTCTTTCTTTTTATTTTTTTTTTTTGTTTAATAGACTCTATACCAAATGTAAAGGATCAGTTAGCCACATCTCTTATCTATGGTATTGTTGGTTTTATTCAACTTCATGCAGGTAAGTACAATATCAGAAAGCAAACAACAAAGTTATTCATCTTTTTCTTTTCTTAATCATCTCATAGGTGAATATCTGATTGTCGTTACTGGACGTGAAAGTGTGGGTGCTCTCAATGGCAAACAGGTTTATCGAGCAACTTCCTTTGAAATCATTCCTCTAGCTCATGGTCTCGCCAACTTGACTACTCAACAGGTAAAATTAAAAAAAATAGAAAAAAAGGTATTCTAATAATGATACATTTTGAATGACTTTGGTTTTTTTTTTTTTTTTTTTTTTTTTTTTTTTTTTTTTTTTACTTAATATAGAAAAGTGATGAAAGTGCCTATGTGGACTTGTTGCAGCAACATTTACAATCAGGCAGCCTTTATTATTCACCAACTTTTGATGTCACCAACTGTTTACAACGACAGGCTCAATCGAATGGAATGGAACCTATTTGGAAACGAGTAAGAAACTAGTGTTGATAAAAGAATCAGGGATATATTAATCTACTATTATTATTATTATTGTTTTCTTTAGGCTGATGAACGATTCTTTTGGAATAAATTTATCTCTACAAAATTGATCCAAGCTTCAAATCAACAGTCCAAGGTAAAATAATTAGCCAAGAAAAAGAGGAAATTATTATACTCATTATTATCATTATTTTTTTCAATTCATAGTTTGGTGATTTTATACTCCCTCTTTTACAAGGATGTAAGTTCAACATGTTATTATAAATAAAGTAAAAAGCGAGAAAACTCATTACCTTTTTTTTTATTATTATTATGATAACTAGTTATCGAACTCAGTGTCTCTCGTGTCAACAATGAAACATTTATATTAGCCCTTATCACTCGCCGTAGCCGTCATCGTCCAGGCACTCGTTTCTTTTCCCGTGGTATTGATGCTCATGGTCATGTCTCTAATTATGTTGAAACTGAACAACTAGTTATCTATGATGGTCCTAATGCAAAACTTCCCTTGACTGGGAAACAACAACTTTCCTATGTTCAAACTCGCGGTTCTGTTCCTATTTACTGGGCTCAAATCATTAATCTCAAGTATACTCCTCGTCTTTGGGTGGGTGATGCCAAGAAGAGTGTAAGTAAAATCACAAAAAAAAGGGGGGGTATAATAGGCATACAGAAAAATCAATAATAATGCTTCTTTTTTTTCGTATGTATGTAGGCTTCTGCTGCACGAGCTCATTTTGATGAACAAATCTCGATCTATGGATCTCAAATCTTGGTCAATCTTGTCAATACTAAAGGATATGAAGTACCTGTGGGTCAAGCATATGCCAACATTGTCAAACAATTGAATGATCCTCGTCTGCATTATACCCATTTTGATTTCCACAAGGAATGTAGTAAGATGCGCTGGCATCGAATTCAATTATTGGTTGAAGAATTGAGAGATCGATTGATTGATCAAGGGTAATCAAAAGATGATATCATTGACGTCCTATCACTAACATGGTTGTTTTTTTATTTTGTCTATAGGTATTATCATTATAATTCAATGGATGGAACCACCAAGAAACAAACATCTGTCGTCAGAACAAATTGTATGGATTGTTTAGATCGTACCAATGTTGTTCAAAGTACTTTGGCAAAATGGATGTTAACTCGACAATTGCGTGAATTGAATATTTTGGCTGAAAACGAAGAATTGAACAATTCATCTCCTTTCATGGCAAAATACAGAGGAGGTAAATGGGACATGGATGAATAGTGATATATTTATTTATTAATATTCAATCTATTTTATTTAGTATGGGCTGACAATGCTGACCGTGTCAGTTGTATGTATTCAGGTACTGGAGCTCTCAAGACTGATTTCACCAGGTATGATCATATAAAAGAAATAATAACAACCGATATTTATTTATTTATTTATTGTTATACATAGAACTGGTCAACGTACTAAAGCTGGTGCTCTTCAAGATTTATCAAACTCGATTACCCGTTATGTCAAGAACAACTTTTTGGATGGTAGCCGTCAAGATGGATATGATTTATTTTTGGGAAATTACAGTGTAGACAAAACGTCAGCACCTTTTTCTGAAGAAAAACCTTTACGTGTGCGTGCCGTACCTCCTATTGTGATATTTGCATTGATCATGTTGTTCTTACACCTGTTGCGACCTGCCATGTTTGGAAGTCATTCCACCATGACTTATTTGACAATTCTTATGTTCTGGTTATCTGTATTGGTGTCTGCAATTAAGTTTGCTTTACGTCATAGTGATCAATTCGTAGCCTTACCTCATTTATCTATTGCGCCGCAGCCAAATGATGAAGCTGGATCCACCACTCCTCCTATGACATCCTTTACTACTGAAAAGCTCTCCAATCCTTCCGTACTCTAGTTTATTCATTTATATATATATTGATTATATAATTATTCACTATTTGTATCCTATTCTTCTCTTTCTCTCTCTTTCTCTCTCTCTCTCTCTCACGCACACACACACTTTTTTTGAGTAAAAAATAGATAATATTCTTTTAATAAAATATCCTTTTTTTTTTTTTTTGTTGTCCCTTTCCTTCGTTGTGGTTGCCTCATATGATATTTTCGTAGCCCGCTTGCGCTTAACATATAAATTTTTTCTGTTTGATGAATTCCCTTTTTTTTTTTTTTTTTTTTTTTTTCAACCTTTTTATCTCTTTTTTCTATATATCTTTCTTTGGGGACCATGGCTCTTGTTCTTATCCGTCAAGCTGTACCTGATGCGGACGAAGCCATTATTGATTACATTGATGGCTATTTGAAGGATGGAGGATTTGAAGACGATGAAGATGCCATTGCTGATTTTGTCAAACCAATCTTGATCGATGCTGGAGGCAAGGAAGACCGTATTGATACATTGTGCAAGGAATTGACAGCCATGTATTTCGACAAACAACATTCGAATGCTCAAAATATATCTAGTCAGAAACTTTCCAAGCTTGATCAGGCTATTACCATGGGTCATCAGTCTGGCATCTCTGCCACGTCGTCACTCAACAAGTCTCATGTGGATCTGGATCATGTGTCTGGTCGTCGAGTACAATCTCAAGTGAATCAAGAAAAGTTGCGCAAAGCTGAAGCCAAGATTGCTTCCAAGATGGCCAAGCGTGCAGAAAGAACGAATCAACGTGTGGAATATGAAGCTTCTCGTCTATTGGAATCCGAACGACAATTACAAGAAGAATACAAACTCTATAATCCTATTTTGGATTACACCACTACCAAGGGCAAGAACAAGGATATTAAGATTGACAACTTTGACATTTCTTTTGCTGGTCGTCGTATCTTGACGGATGCCAATTTGACCATCGCTTTTGGTCGTCGTTATGGTGTCGTTGGTAAAAACGGTATTGGGAAATCTACTTTATTACGTGCCATGGCTCGTCGTGAAATCAATGTACCTACTCATATTTCTTTACTTTATGTGGAACAAGAAGTAAGTTTTTTTTTTTTTTTATTTGCGTATATGAAACCTGATTAACTTTATTTTTTTTTTTTTTTTTTAAATTAGGTGGTTGCTGATGACACTCGGGCTATTGATATGGTACTTCGTGCTGATGTCTGGCGTGAACATTTATTGGAAAAAGAAAGGGAATTGACGGCAAGAATCAGTAATATTGAAGCAGAACAAAATGAAGAAGGTTTGGATGAACAAGTCAAGAAATCATTGGAAGAACAACATGATACATGTCATAGTGAATTGAAGGAAATCTTTTCCAAATTACAAGATATTGAAAGTGATAAGGCTGAATCCAAGTAAGTTATATATATGAAAGATTTTATTATTATTATTATTATTATTCTAACTTATTATTCTAGAGCATCTGCTATTCTTGCTGGTCTCGGATTTGCCGCAGCAGATCAAAAACGGGCAACCAAAGAATTCTCTGGTGGTTGGCGTATGCGTATCTCATTGGCTCGTGCTTTATTCTGTAAACCTGATGTACTTATGTTAGATGAACCTGATAACATGTTGGATATCCCTGCTATTGTATGGTTGGAAAAATACCTTCAAACTTGGCCAAATACCTTATTGGTAGTTTCTCACGACAGAGGTATTAGGAAAAAAAAAAGAAAAGATGAACAGATGGACTAATGATTTATATATATATATATATATATTTATAGAATTCTTGGATGAAGTGGCAACTGACATTTTACATATGCATTCTGAAAAATTGGATTATTACAAAGGCAATTTCTCCAATTTCAATGGTACCAAGGAAGAACGTCGCAAGGCTCAATTGAGGGAATATGAATCACAAATGCAATACCGTCAACATTTACAAGACTTTATTGATCGCTGGCGATACAATGCAAAACGTGCCCCTCAAGCTCAATCTAAAATCAAAATTCTGGAAAAGTTACCTGTCCTGGAACCTCCTGAAGATGAAAAATTAGTCAATTTCCAATTCTCCAATCCTGAACAACTTTCACCTCCTATTTTACAAATGAATGATGTCACTTTTGGTTATACTAAAGATCGTATTATCATTAAACATATCAATTTGGACTTGCGGATGGATTCTCGAGTGGCTATTGTTGGTCCTAATGGAGCTGGTAAAAAAAAAAAAAAAAAAAAAAAAAAAAGGATGATCTATTTTTAATCCTTTTTATTAATTAGGTAAATCCACTATGTTAAAGTTATTGACTGAAGAAAATAAACCCATGAGTGGTTTGGTACATCGTAATGGTCGTCTCCGTATCGCTTACTTTACTCAACATCACATTGATCAATTGGACTTGTCAAAATCTGCAGTGGCATTCATGGCTGAAAAATTCCCTGGGAAGACTGAAGAAGAATATCGTCGTTATTTGGGTTCTTTTGGTATCACTGGTATGGTGGGTTTACAAGTGATGAAGACATTATCTGGTGGTCAAAAATCTCGTGTAGCATTTGCTTGTTTAAGTGCTCAAGGTCCACATGTTCTTGTACTTGACGAAGTAAGTATCCTATTTATTTATATATAATTTTGTTAATTATTATGTTATTAGCCTACCAATCACTTGGATATGGAATCTATGGATGCTTTACAAGATGCTTTGAGTCAATTTAAGGGTGGTGTGATCATTGTTTCTCACGACGAACGATTCATCAATACTGTATGCAATGAAATCTGGATTTGTGATAAGGGGGTTCTTACCAAGTTTAGTGGTACAATCAAGGAATACAAGGAAATGATCTGTCCAACCGAAGCCGTCGTTGCTCTTTAGATCATCAATGGATGTATAGACTAGATATATATATATATATTGCTTGTTGTTCAACCAAATAAAAGAAATTTTTATATATATGGACTTGTTTGATGTTGATTGGAGAATGGGATAATATGGATGGTATTGATCATATTGAACGGTGATGGCTTTCTTGAGATGATCCTTTGGTTGATAGCTATAATGCTGATTTCATGATTTCACCATACTGATTCAATGACGACGATTCTTTTAATGGTATAAGACGGATGATCACTGTCAAAGGTAGGAATAATATACTGCGTTTCGAAAAACTTCAACAGTAGGAGGGACCAAAAAAAAAAAAAAAAAAAAAAAAAAAAAAGGAAAGGGACATCTTTACATTAATATATGCATAAATTGAGATATGTGGCTTCCAAAGCATGACACAAACTTTTATGTTTTAATAGAATATAAAATATATATAAATAAATAAAAAAAAAGAGTGAATGGAAATAATATACTAAAATGACATAATCTAAGGACTTTCTATTAAAAAAAATTATCTAATAATGTTGAGCCATTTCACGACAAGATTTCAATTGATCCAGGTACCATTGACAGGCAGAGATATCATTAGAACTATCTTCCAAACATCTAGCAAAAGCCTTTGCATCAGCATCACAAGCAGAAGCTTGAGGAGGAGGAGCTTGATATTGTTGTTGTTGTTGATATTGTTGTTGTGGAGGAACTTGTTCTTGTGGTTGAGATTCAGAGGATCCACCAAAGAGAGATCCAACACCAGCAGTGATGGCACTACCAGCAGCATGACCAACAGCAACACCCGCAGCAGTAGTGGCCACTATCGTTTTTTTTATATATGAAATCAATAAGAGTTCATGTTCCTTTTTTTTTTTTTTTTTTTTTTTTTTTTTACTTACTTTGAGCGAAAAGACCGGGTTGTTGAGGAGCAGCAGGTTGAGGAACAGCAGGAGGGGCGGCATGACTAGGAGCCATTTGGTGTTGAGGTTGAGCAGGTGGTGCTTGTTGTTGAGTAGGAGCTTGACGAGGAGGAGCAGCAGGACGAGGAGCAGCCATGGTACTAGCTGAACGAGTTTGTTGAGCAGGAGCAGAACGTCTAGTCTAGATACAAACAATTAGTATCCTCTTTGAAATAAAAAATATTTTATATTTATTTTACTTGGCGAGGCATTGCTTCTTAAATTCTTTTGTCAAAAAAAAAAAAAAGGTACGAAAAGGGAAAAAGAAAAAAAAAAATTCGATGAGGGGAATGACCAAGTTTCTTATTTTTTTCCAACCAGGCCTATGACTTGCAATTTTTTTCTTTAAGGAAAAAAAAAAACATAAATGATTGGTCAAAAAGATCAGCGGTATTCAAATGACACAAAAAAAGGAAAAAACGTGTGTGGATGAACCTTCGAGATGCCTCCCGGTTCAATATTCCTCCTTCTGCGTTCCGATTAGAATGCCTGTTTGCATCAATGTTACGATGATTCTTTTTTATATTAAATGGTTCGAAATGAACAATAATTGATGATGGATGATACATTAGAATGAATTCTTCCAAGTGATTATCTTTATTTTCTATTCCTTGTATTCATTGAAATAATTATGATTAAAAATACAAACATGAAGCATAATAATACTGTACAAAAGATATAGTTTAATAGACATTTTTGCTATGAAACCCGCTTGAATGCAGGATGAACTCATAGGATAGATTTCTCCATTTTTTGGTTTTACAGTCAAAAAAAAAAAAACTGCAAGTATTTCAGGTAAAGTTCTTTTTTTTTATGTACTCCGACTGATATCGTCCAGTCAAACATATGAAAATCTTATCATCAAAAAGTTTATCTTTTCCTTTTTTTTTTCTGATTTCCCTTTTCTTTCTTTCTATTTTTTTTTTTCCTGTTACTTATTCCTGCCCTTTCTTCCTTTTTTTTTTTTCCTTTTTCTTTTTTTTCTTTTTCTTCTTCTTTTATTTATCCCAAGCTTTTTTTTTTTTATGACAATGATACAAAGATTCAATAGACAAAGACATAGAATCAAATTACCCTCCTTTTGTAGACACTTTACAGTAAAACCGTCTGTATTACCACCTCACCTAGAACCAAGATCAGCTCGACCACCAGCATCTGCCAAAGCGGATGCTCCTTATCATTTTTATCAAAATAAAGTATTGGAACCTTATCTCAAACAAAGCCTTCATGCTAGCACGATTCGTCAGTATATCATGTATGGACGACATATGACATCGGATAGACTGATCAACAGTGGTAACTGGGTACGCAATGAACTCCTGATTCGCTTGGCTCATCGTATTCGCGACTTTCAACAATTACCTTTCATCATCGGTACCAATCCAAATATAGAGTGGCCTTATCGTCTTTATTGGGGCGCCTTTGAAACCTTACGGAAAACACCAGTGATCAAAACCGCCGAGGACAATGACCAATTCTGTGCGTTATTAGAAGATCTTTTGGAAGATGGACAACAAGTGTTGCCGCGTATGGCTTTAGGTGTGACTGAATGTGCGTCTTATTATGAACAGCATGATCATATCTTGGACCGTTTCCTGAATCGGATGATCAAGTCTCGCATCTCTAGGCGTCTGTTGGCAGAACAACATGTGACATTGACCAAAGCATGTTGTGGTACTTTGGACGACAAATGGACACTGGAATCTTTGGCTCATCGATATGGTAGTCGTGGTGATCAAGTAGGGGTTTTCAATACAGAATGTAGCGCCAAAGCCATCTTTCAACAAGCACAACTACTGGTTCAACAACAGTATCCTTCTCTACCGGATATTCACATGCAAGGAGACAAGGATATTACGTTTGCTTATATACCCGATCAATTGGAACATATCCTTTACGAATTATTACACAATGCCGTAAAATATACAATACAGCAACACTCTCATCCGCCTATCCGTGTTACCATGAGTTCTAACGATACAGATGTTTTCTTCAGATTCTCAGATCAAGCTGGTGGCATTCCTCGATCAAAATATGAACGATTGTGGTCCTATCAAGAACGTGCAAACAATGGTGATTTTACTGATTTTCAACATATACCCAAGATGCCGGTGACATTAGCGGAAAGATTCAAGCAACAATGCGACAAGTTGGAAGAGACAGAACAACCGTTTGGATCTCTTGGTATTGGATTGATTATGAGCAGGGTGTATGCGGAATACTGGGGTGGTGAACTACAAGTGATGACAATGGATGGTTATGGTACGGATGCATATGTTAGGATCCCACGATCTGGTTCCTTGATGGAAAACATTGGTATAGACTCAACAGCACAACATCGACGACATCAACATCATCATCATCATCATCATCATCATGATGCAGCACGACAACAAATCAACAAGAAATATAGCATGGCAACAACAGCGCAATTTGTTCTTAAAGGTTTACCCAATACAAATGGTTGGTCATCATCCTCAATTATCTCGTCATGAAATTATTTAGAGTATGGATTTATTTTTGTTCCCAATTTGTAGATTTACTGTTTTTAATAAACTTTTTATTTGTATCATTATATTTTTCTCTCTTATATTCCACATGTTCCTAACACATAGTTGATGATAATGTAGTTGGACTGATATCTGATGGACGATATAAAAAAAAAAAAAAAAAAAAAAAAAAAAGAACTTTATCCTCGTATTATGCCAAAATAATACCGATCAAACAATTTGCTAAAAAAAAAAAGTCTCATGATCGATCCTATTAAAACCAACTCTGTATAGTCACTACTAATAACTAATACCATTATAAAATAATCATAAAAGAAATGCTCAAATAGAGCGTTTATTAGAATAATAGTAATAAAAGGAGAGAGGAAAAGGTATGTGATGGATAAAAATAATCATCGATAAAAAAAAAAAAAGACATAGTAAGAGAATAAATCAAAAAAGTGAGAATCAATTGATATATATATATAATAATAATAATAATAATAATAATAAAGAAATAAATAAAAATAAATGGAAATCCATTCAGTTGAAGCTACGACCATTGGATAAAGATTGATACATGTCCTCGATTTCTTTCTTGTACACCTTTTGAGCAATTTCACGTTTGAGCTTGAAAGTAGGCGTCAATAGATCATTTTCAACGGAGAATTCTTCAGAAGTCAAATATAATGCACGCATTTGTTCAAAGCCCTTGAGATCATTTTGTTTACCAAAGGCAGTCAAGGTTTTGATCAATTCAGTCTTGACGGCATCAGATCGGTAGATATCTTCACCATTGGCCAAATCCTTTGCCCAAGGACCAAATGTTTCCTTGTCAGGTACAATCACAGCAACCAAGGAGGCTTGTAAAGAATCACCATAAATAAAGGCTTGAGCCACAAGTTCATGTTTTTGATAAACACCTTCAATCTTTTCAGGAGCAATATCTAATCAAAAAAAAAAAAAAATGAGAATCAATGGATGATTTTCTTTTTTTTTTTTATTACTTACATTCACCTTGAGATAATTTGAAAATATTCTTAAGACGATCAATGATGACCACACGACCAGCTTCATCAATCATAGCAATATCACCAGTATGTAAGAAACCATCTGTATCTAAAGTTTCTGCAGTTTTATCAGGAGTTTTGTAATATTCACGCATCACAGAATGACCACGAATACAAAGTTCACCACGGGGATAAGGTTTATCGGTAGAAAGGTAATCCATATCAGGAACATCCACCAACTTGAATTCAGAACAAGGGAAAGGAGCACCTACAACACCTGATGTAGTATCATCCGTCAAAGTTAAACATCCACCACAAAAGTTTTCAGTTTGTCCATATCCTTCATATACAGCCGCCGAGAAACAGATACGCATGAAATCCATCACGTCTGGTGAAACAGGTGCTGATCCACTAAGAATAAATTTAAGTCGTCCTCCTAATTTGGATCGAATCTAGATAAAAAGAAAGAAAATTTTTAATCAAAAAAAAAAAAAAAAAAAAAAAAAAACTTACTTGTCCAAAGACAACACGATCCCATAACCAATGATGTACAGTCTTGTTAAGATAAGATTTTTTGGAATTGAAAGCCTTGAAGAATAAATAACTACTGATACCACCCTTGGCTCTGACACCTGCTAATACCTTATCATAGATACGATTGAATAAACGAGGAACGGAACAAAACACAGTAGGTTTTAATTCAGCAATATCATCCAATAATTTGGTAGTGTCACCCTACATGCAGCAAAAAAAAAAAAAAAAAAAAAAAAAAAAAAAAAAAATTAAATACATATTATTTTTTTTTTTTTTTGGTTACTTACTTGATAATAACCTAAAGCAGCACCACGATAAATATGAAGACCTTGAGCAGTACGTTCAAATACATGAGCAAGAGGAAGATAAGAAATATAAACATCAGAAGAAGTGACATTAGCAAAGGCACCGGATTCACCATTAGCAGCAGCAGCATAAATAGATGCCACACAATTTCCTTGAGTTAAAACAGCACCTTTGGGAACACCAGTTGTACCACTAATCCAAAAAAAAAAGTAAAAATAAGATTAATTATTTCTTTTCAAGAAAAGCTTGGTTTTTTTTTTTAATACCTTGTATAGCAAATAGTGGCAATATCATCAGATGAAGGTAAAGCAGATTCTTCTTTAATATCAGCACCAATAAGTTCAACTTGATTAAAAGTATGAATGATCAAACCTGCTTTTTCAGCTTTTTCTTTTTGAGCAGGATCTACGGAATTTTCCATAATGACAACATGTTTGATAGTAGGTAATCGATCCTTTAATTGAGTGATATTATTGAGTTTATCAGCAGTGGCGACAATATATTCCATTTCAGTTTGATTGACAATATGTTCAATAGCTTCAGCACCAAGAGTATCATATAAAGCAACAATCATAAAACCTTGACGATAACTAGCTAGTTCAGTCATAGTCTATATCAAAAAATAAAAAAAAAAAGTTAAGAGACAAAACCCTCATTTAATTCCTCTAAACTTTACCCATTCAGGTCGATTGATAGCATAAACACCAATGGCTTTTTGTCGACTTAATCCAAGTTGAAGTAACCCTTTTCCAAAATTTTCCACACGGGTACGTACTTCCTTATGGCTTTGCCATACATATTCTTTTGCTTCCCCATTTTCCATACGTCGAGCACCCAAGAAAGGTTTATCTATATATATAAAAAAAAAAAGATGAATCATCAAAATATCATCCCTTCCCTTTTTCCCCCCTTTTGTATTCCTCCTTTTTTTTTTGAATGATGATTCTCTCTTTTACGTTCCCCTCTTTTTCTTTTGTACATGATTTCAATATTATCCTTTTGTTATATCCCAAAAAAAAAAAATTCAAAGTAATCATCATCACCCTCATTTGTTATGCAATACGTCAACAAATAATAAAAATAGAGACCCATTCCAACCACTTTTTTTTTTCTTTAAAAAAAAAACAAAAAAAAAAAAAAAAGAAAAAAAAGAAAACTTACCACCACCCACTTTATTTCCACAAAGATAAAGATCCCATAGAGTATAGATTTGATCAGGATGATCAAGTAACTTGTCTGCGAATTTGAAATGGCGCATGACGGCTGTTTCACCAGGCTTTTTCTCCAATCCAGCAACAGGTACGGTATAGGGTGGATTGAAAAGTGTCATTATACTATGTATATAAATGTATAATAAAAAAAAAGAAGTAAAGGAAAAAAAAAAAAAAAAGAAGTAAAAGACAAAGAAGAGGAAAAAAAAAAAAAAAAAAAAAAAAAGGAGGTAAAAGCTTTTTTTTTCTTTTCTATTTTTTATTTTTTTTTTGGGGGAAAGAAAAGACTATATATCAATGGGGTTTCTATGAAAATCAAAATAAGGTAGTCGGGGAATGAATCTAAGCTATAGAGAGAGAGAGAAAGTACGTGTAACATCTTTCATTTTTTTGTAGTGGGTTCTAACTGTAATTTACCATCTATAATAGAAGCATGGATACCCATTTCATCTAATATTTCATTTTGTACTGCTTGAATTGGAGTCAATTCGGCTATCATTTGTTGGTTTTCAAAGTTGTCTTCTAATAAATGTCTTAATGTTACTGTAGCATATTCACGAATATCTATAATATATATCGTTAGTATATCATTATCATCTTTACTATTATTATTATTATTACAAGGATTATTATCATCAATCTTCATTTGATTTAAAATCAAAGGTAATCCACCACTAGTACGAACCTAATAAAAATATATATATAGTTTTAGTTTCATCAGTTTAAAAATAAATACCGTTGTTTACCTTGTCTTGAACTATTTTATCTTTATAACAAAGTAAGCCAATACATCTAACTATTTCCCTTTTCACAAAATTGAATCCAATTCTTGATTTTTCTTTGTCATTCCAATCCACCATTGTTTCACACTGTCGTAAAAGATCTTAAAAGGTAAAATTTAGAATTAGTAAATAAACCACAGACCATCCTTCCTTCGTGTCACAATATTTTTTTTTTTGACATTTTTTTTTAATGTGTTACCAATGATTATTATCAGTCCATTTCGATCCATCAAGCTAGATTTCATATCATTAATTGTTGTTTCAAGTAAAAGATTGACAATTTGTAAAAGTAATACTAAACATGTATACATCAAACTAACAGTATGAAGGTCCAAATTCGATAGGATATCCCGATGACTGACCACTGCATGTTCGATCACTGTACAAGCTTGTTTTGATAATAAGCATAATACATCACCTAGTTTTCCATAATCTATCATCGTTAGTGGTACCGAAATATCCGGATGTTTATATAATGTAGAATCCAGTAACTTGATAATCACCATTTGGTTTTGATTGATTTCATCTCTACTAATCATAAATAAATAATAATAATAATAATAAAAAATAGAATGAGTCATCATAAATAAAAATCAATTCATCATTTGTTCTTACTTATTTGAATCTTCTTTTAATGCATCCATTATATCTACAAAATAACCATACTTGAATAATTCACTGACAATAATATATCTTTTTTAAAAAAAAAAAAAAAAAGTGTTGAGTTCAAAAAAAAAAGATAGTTGTGTTTCTCTTCGGTTGTTTAGTTTACCCGAGTTCGAAATGTTGATTAGATTCTTCAGTATGAGATCGATCGATTTCCATCAAGACAGCTTGAAGGTAAGCCAATCCACCATCTGATTTCACTAGCATTTCACTAAATATATCATTAGAAAATAATTTATATATATATATATCTTACCATCTATGTTTATTATTCCGTATACATTGAGATATCAATACCAAACCGCTTGTTACTGTATCCTTGTCATTTGCTTCAATCACCTTACTATCAAAAAAAAAAAAATCAACATAATTTTAAAGTATATATTCCATTGATTATACTTACTTCCATAGAAAAGGATGTTGTTCTTTACACCAATGAGTCCATACAATATTGAGAACCATTTCATTTCCAGTCACCATGTTACAAGCTGCTTGAGTACATACACGAACTACCATCATGCCTAATTCATTAAAAATCAAGATTGAGTTTTTTTTTTTTTATTCTTTATTAACATTTTCATTATATTTTAACTTTACTTGATTCATCCATATGAGGTAAATAATGTAAAATCAAAGGAGTTAAAGCATAGATTACTTTAGTATTCCTGTTTATTATATATTAAAGAAAAGAAAAAAAAAAGGTGAATACATTATTTTTTAATTTTGATAAAATATATATCTTCTTACAAAGCCAATAATTGTCCTTCTCTATTTTCTGCAGTGACATTACGTGCTAGTTTGATCAATTCTATTAAACAGGTGATAGATAATAATAATGTATTTTTGTTTTCTAGATCAATAAGAATGGTATATATATTTTGCCAAAAAGTTAAATCCCTTCCAAGATTTAGTCTAGTTATAATAATTAAGTTTAATAAAAAATAATATATTTCTTTATTATTATTATTATTACCGAAAGGATGTATCTGCTAAGGTACGTTGTAAAGTTGTTTTAAGATTCTTTTCTAATTCATCAGTCAATATATTATGCTGTATAAATTGATCCAAAAGTTTTATAATCTGATCCATATTATTATAAGAACCAAAAAATAAAAAAATAAAAAAATAAAATTATATCGATCGGGACGGAATTTTAAAAATAAATACAGTATTATTATGAATGGGATGGATGATAATCATTATGAATAACCCTTTTTTCTATTACCAGGAGAAATAAATAATAAAACCAAAAAAAAGAAAAAAGAGAGTGAATGATCAAATGAAATGGTTGTGCGTTTTTTTTTTTTTTTTTATTATTCGTTCATAAAAGGAAAGACCCGTATTTGGTCACAATCCTTACAAAAGGGTAAAAAAAAAAAAAAAAGTACCTATTTATATACCAACTTATTGTTAACAAAAAAAAAAAAAAAAAAAAAAAAGTTCGAAAATAACCAAGTTTCCTGTTTTAATAAAATTCAAAATATTTTTTTTTTCACGCGAGAAGTAAAAGAAAAAGGGGAAGAATTTACTGATTTTTCATAATATAAAAAGGTACTCCTCGCTGACCTTTAATTCAGTTCATCTTTTTTCTTTTTTTCCCTCTCCTTGAAAAAAAAAAGAATAGCTTGGCTCCCTTTTTTTTTTTTTCTTCTTCTTAATATTTTTTTTTTTTTTACTTTAAATACAACTTTCTCCATTCCACTCTTTTTTTTTCACTCGTTTTTATATATCTATATGACTGATATATTACCACAAGACACTACCTCATCTTGTGGAGTATGTGAACGTTGGGAAAGGCAGTTTCAATTGCAGGCAAGTGAACTCGCTAATCTACAAACTCAACTTGCTGAACGAGATCAACAATTAGTAAGACTACATGCAGATATGGAACAACTCAATGCCAAGTATGTCTCAGCTATTGATCGTGTAGCTGATATTCAACATGAAAAAGATCTAGTGGAACATGATCTGGAAGAATTATCTTGTAAACTCTTTGAAGAAGCGAATGGTATGGTGGCTATTGAAAAAAGAGAAAAATGGCTATTGGAATCTCAATTACAAACTGTTCAACAACAGCTCTTGGACGAAAAAGCTCAACTTTCTGAATTACGACAACGTTTATGGGATAATGATCAACGAAAACGTCATGGAAGGAAACAAAAGGTGAAACAGTCTTCTATCAAACAATCATTGATCACTACTACTCTTAATGAAGAAGACGAAACTGATTATGACGACAATGAAGACGGTGATCTAGATGACAATAATAACAATAATGATAATGATGATACTTGGCAAGATGCTACTAATGATTTGGATGATCCTCAGGTACGAGCACATCATGATCTTGCTCTTTTACATGGTGTAGGAAAAGAATTACATGATAACAACATATCAACAAAACCTACAGAAAAAAAGAAACAACAATTACGATCAGCATCCATGCCTCCTCCTTCATCATCATCATCATCAAAGCCCATTCTACCTACCATTGATCAAGTCCAATTGGAAGCCTTTCAACAATTTGTACATACTGCTAGTTCGGTCCCATTGAAGAAATTGTATCAATTTGCCTATATGAAATACTGTCAATTGGAAGATGTGGAACCTTGCCTACGATTTGGACCTCATTCTCGATTATCAGTAAAAAAGATGATGGATTACTTGTTACAACAATCATGTTTTATTGAACAAATGTCTTTAGAATGCAATGAACAACAACATCAATCAAATGATCCTATGAAAACAGCCATTCCGTCATCTGTGGCTCAGCGTTCTTTAATATGGGAAAGATGGCATAACAAAGCTAATAACACTACCATTGGATGTGCAGCATGTGGACGACAAAAGACCAATCAAGATGAAATGCCTTATTATCAATTCAAAATGGACGAAAAGGATGATTGGCTTCCTATGGATCAATACTGTAGAGATCGTCTGGTTGCTGTTTGTGAATTCTTTGTCTTTATTCGTAATATCCATTTACGACTTTATTCTCATCGTACCATTGATGATCTTTATTCTGAAAATATTCGTCTTCGTTTACAAATGTTCTATTCTCGGTAAGAATATTCAAAAAAAAAAAAAAAAAATCATCCTCTTACTCTCTTTTTTTTTTTTTTTTTTTTTTTTTGGTAGTATGGGCGCTTTACCAGTGGTATTGGATGGTATGGGATTGAATGTTAATGCTATTGGGAAAGCATGTCCTCCTCTTGATCAAGATGATATCTCTGATGGATCCGTTTCAAGTCAATATCCTACTACACCGAAATAATCCTTTCCCTGCCGTATCTTTTTTTTTTTATTATTCTTTCTGTTTGTTTCACATTCTTCATTTTATTTTATCTTTTTATTCATTCCCTTACATTTCATTCATTCATATATACATACTTACATACACACTTACATATATATCTCTCTACACTTATTTTATATTCATTATTTTCATATTTCATCCCCTTTATTATCATTATTTTTATTATTATATTATCATCACTTTTTAGTTTGTACTCTAGTTATACTTCAAACACAATAAAATAAAATAAAATACCTTTTTCGTATTTAATTTATGTGATTCAATAAAGACAACAAAGAATAGGATTATTATATCATATAGAATAAGATGTTTCTTTTTATTATATTACGTCATATATAAAGAAAAAAAAAGTATGAATGAATTAAAAAAAAAAGGTTGTGCATAATCATAAAACAAACAAAAAAACAAAAAAATAGGCATACTACCGTAAAAAAAAGGGGGACACATAATCATCTAATAATAGTAATAACAATAAAGAAAAAAAAAACCTAAAGAAGATAGTTGAGCATAAAAAAAAAAGAAGTTGGATAAAAAAATAAAGGTAACTACATAAAAGGAGAGAGGCACTTGGATCATCATATAGAAGAAGAGGTATCATTTGTATTGCCACCCATAATATTCATCATAAAATAAAGTAATAAGCTGCAGGAAGGTTCATGTAATCCATTTTGAGATTGACAGTATTGACAATAAGTGACTGGCTGATGTTGATCATCCAATGGATATGATGTTGCAAAGTTGGATTGTAAACGATCAGGCATCATGTTGAATCTTTCCATCATATGTAATTGTTGATCTTGTTGCGGTTGATCCTGTTGCCATTCACTATGTTGATTCTGAAGAATGGTTGTCGTTCCAATAGATGTCAAATGGTCAAATACAGGATACTGAAAGGATTGTTGTTGAGGTATACTATTACTATTACTACTACTACTACTACTAGGTCCATAATGTTCCAAAGGCCACCATGATTCATCCATCATTGATTCCACCGGTGTCGTCAACATAGTTTCTTGATGAGTCGTACTATTTTCATTGTTCAAGTTACTGATATAATCAATGTTCAAATTATTATTACTTTGAGTAGATGTGGATTCAGTACTTGATGGGGAGATGAGAGAGCCATCCAAAGGTAAACTAGTAAGCATCGAAGTAAATATGAATGGAGATCTGTCGGAACCAACCAAAGGTAAAGTGGACACTGGTAATTGTGGAGACATGGTTTGTGGAATAATCAATGCTGTAGTAGAATCGGCCGTTGATATTGTGGTCAATAAAGGAAATGTCGATGCAGTAGAGAGTGGATTCATAGTAGGCAATGAATGATAAGATCGGACTGTTCGAGAATAGGATGTAGGAGACGTTGATGATGGTGATGATGATGATGTAGCCTGATTACTATTGGATCTTCGCTGAGGTTTACGTCTACGCCAATGATTCCATGTATGTCTGTGTCGAGGGGTGGATTGTTGATAATGCTGAGGAGAAGACACTGGTAATTGAGAAGGCACAGTTGGAGTAAATGTATGATAGGTTGATGTCGAAGATCTTCGTCGACGGTTGTTTTCATATTTTGAAGTAAAAGCTGAAGAAGACGAAGAAGAAAAAGGAGAAGAGACAGATGTCAGAGGAGTACTTGCACTGGATCGACGGCCTAAAAAAAAAAAAAAAAAAAAAAAAATGAATAAATAATGAGATACATGGATAAGTGACATATATAGATCTATACCATCTAACATCAGACTAGGCGAAGGAGGTTGAGCAGGCAAAAGTCGTCTTCTAATAGCCAACGCAAATCTTGCAGCACGGGAAGAAGGATGATCACGCTGAGATTCATTTTGTTGTTGTTGTTGTCGTTCAATGCACCTATTGTGATGTGAAGTATAACCTGCATTTCTGAATCCACGTTGGTCCAAAGCTGGGAATTCTTGATTACAAATAGGACACTGTAATTTGGCTGGAATTGACATGAATCCAAGACACAATAAGATGGTTGTTGTTTACTGGTTTGATTTGTTATTGTAAAAAATAGGGAATGTTGTAATAGAATGAATGGATGGAAGAATAAAAATAAAAAAAATAAAAAATAAAAAGAAAAAGAAAGAGGGAAGAAGAATATAATAAAAAAAAACATAATGTAAATCAAGTAAAATGAGGGGGTTTTTATATCAATATATCTAGAGGATAGAGAATATGAATATTAATGGATATTTGATAAAGAATACAAAAGAGTAAATATAGAAATAAAAAAAAATAACAAACCAAAAGGTAATGAGGAATAACAATGGAATCAGGGTCCAAATTTATATACATTCAAAGGTATCAATCTTCTTCTTCTTCTTCTTCAGCTCCGAGTTGAAGCATCACTCGAGACCATTTTCGATCACTTGCCCAGTCAATGCTACTTTCCAAGATCAAACCCTAAAGATACAATTTTATTAAATCATCATCTATATAATCATCTTACTATTTTACCATAAGAACATTTTTTGCAATTTCCAAACGATTTTTAATATCATGTAATCTATATAAAGAAAAAAAAAAGAAAGAAAGAAAAGTTAACAATGAAAAAATATTCATTATATAATTATACTATTTCCGAATCCTCTTTTTTTTTTTTTTTTTACTTTTCAATAGCTCTTTCTTGTGTAGGTTGAGATGATGTAACACTTCCTTGAGCAGGTGTTCCATTTTCGATTTGTTGTTGTTCTAATACTGCTTGTTGTTTGACACGATCTAAATTCATCACCAATTGTCCATTTTCTTGATATTTCACTATAAATAAAATCAAATCACATCGAACAAAGAAGTTTTTTTTAATCATAATGAAATCTCTTTATGTATATATTTTTGTATTTACCGATTGCTTGTGCACTTAAATAGGTTAATCTATTTTGAATTTCATTTAATTGTTCTAGGAGTTGCATTTTTTCTACCACTAATTTATCACGATATACCACCAAATCTTGTACTTGTAATCTATTATTATAACACAAAATAAAAAAAAACAGGGTTAGTGTATTAATTCAAATATACATACAATGCCATAAGAGTTGAGATCATCCACTTATTATTGTTATTAATTTTTTTTTACTTGAGAAGGTCTGAAGGTTCATCGGTCAAAGTGTCACGAGGGTAAAGAGAGTCAAGTATATAATGACTATCATCCAAGTTTTCTGAAATACGATCTTTACTAAGATTGTATTGAGCCATAATATCCATTCGTACGCGAATAGCTGCAACATGTTCAGGGTAAGCACGTAATTTTTCTTGTACTTGTTCGTCCGTCATGTTTTGTATCTTTTCCTTGATAGCACTGTATGTTCCCAAGTCACGTTGTTTTCGTTGTTCAATTTGTCGTTTCAACCAATCTATTTCTAATTGATTGTCAAGTATATGCTGTTCCTTTTTTGATAGAATCGATGTTGTTTGCATTATACTGTGTCAAGTTTCGGAACTGAAGACGAAAGAAAAAAAAAAAAAAAAAAAAAAAAAGTTGGGAACAAAAAAGAAAAGCCGGACGGGGTTTTGAAAATACACTTCATAACTGAATATCGACCCTATTCATCTTCCTCTTTCATGGCTTTGATCATTGTTTATGTTGAGTTATTTTGATACATAGATTCATCAATGATAATAAATAGTAATGAAATACATAGCATAGTGAAATGTATAAAGTGAAAAGATAGAAAAACTGAGATATTGTGCCTTTTTGTTTCCAAAAAAGGAATTCATCCATGTCAACGTCTTAAGAGAAAGTATTATCTAGAAAACTTTGTTTTTGTCATTCATCATTTGTAACTGGTAATCACTCTTAATATATTAAAAAAAAAAAAAAATCAGGTCATAGAGAGAACATTTTTGAAACCGTACTTCATCTTTCTGCCGATTATCGCCGGTTTCTAATGTAAGACTGAAAAAAAAAAAAAAAAAAAAAATATAAAAAGACAAAATCTTTTTTACTTGATCATCGTCACAAAATCATCTATATTTAAAAGTATTGGATAGCATGGAAAGACTCTCAACACTTATCAACTGTGATGAATTACCTCCTGATTTTCTTCCTGTGAGTAATATAGATACTCAAGCACCAGAACGTCAACGTATGATAAAAAAAGATATTTCATCACCTATTTGATCATGATGTTTTCTTATTATAATAACTCTTTTTTTTTTTAAAATATATATATATATATATATATAGGAAGGATTGTGATAGCATATGATCATTCTGATAATAGTGATGCCACATTTGCTAAGGTCATTCGACTTGGATTGATCAGTCCTAAAGATGAAATTTATATTGTACATATCATTGAACAAAGAGAATTACAAAACATTTTTGCACCCATCTTCCAACATACTGGTATGAATAAACCTTTGGGAAATAGTGAAGTTGCTACCACTGCTCATACTATTACTGAAGGTTTATTACATGAAATAAGAAAAGTTTTAATGACAAATGGTGTAAGTACCCAAAAAAACAAAATGATGTAGCTTTTGATATATATATATTTCTATGATTGATAGTTCGAAAATGTCACGACGGAAGCTGTTTTGGGTGATCCAAAACAATCTATGATTGATTATTGTCAAGCTTGTAAACCCGATTTCCTTATTTGTAGCCCGCGCGGGTTAAATCCTGTTCAAAAGTACAAAAAAAAAAAAAAAAAAAAAGAAAAAAAAATCAAACTTGCCATTCATATACTACTTAATCACTTTAAATTTTTTTTTTTTTTTTTTTTTTTAGAATGGTATTGGGATCCACTTCATCTTTTCTCATTAAAAATATTCCTTGTCCAGTCCTTATATGTAAATTAACAGCACAAGAACTAGAAGAAAGAAAGAAATATAATCATGTCAAGACACAACGATTTGAACATTTGATTGGTAAGTTCCTTACTATATATATATATATATTTTTCATATTTTATTATTTTAATATTTAGGAGCAATCAAGGAAAAGTATAAATGAAGACAATCAGTCGAATATAAACAATTGATATCTTTTTATTTGTAATTTGAATGTTGTACATGGATGACAAGTAATAAATAATAAATTTGAAATAGTATATATGTATATAAAAAGATGAATCAAAAAGTGTGTAAAATTTTCGAGTACTAAAAGATTAAATAAACTAATCGATAAGAGAATGATGATAATAATGATGATGATGATAACAATAATAATAATGATGAGGATGATATGATGATAAAATGTATTTAATGTATATAGTTTTTTTTTTTTTTAAAAAAAAAAGGAGAGGGAGAAAGAGAGAGAGGGGAGACTACGAATGGTTTTTCCGAGCATCTCGACTTGATTTAATCAAAGGTATCAATGACTTGACATTATCACCTTTCTTCAAAAAGGGATGGGACAAAAGTTCAGTGGCATCAGGACGATCTTGACTTTCCACACAGAGAGACACACGTAAAAAGTCAACTAAATGAGATGATAAAGCATCAGGATGTTGTATAGCAGGAGTACCATTGGTAGCAATCAGATATAATGCACGAAGAGGGTTTTCGTGAAGATAAGGAGGTTCCCCTTCAATCATTTCAATTGTCATAATTCCTAATGACCAAATATCAATCTTGGGTCCATATTCTTTTCTTGTCACTACTTCTGGTGCCATCCAATAAGGTGTTCCAACCATGGTTGTTCTTGTTTCTGCATCACTAAGTCTAGCACAGAATCCAAAATCAGCTAAAGAAATATATATATATATAAGGTTAAATAATCATCATCTTCAGTATCACCTTCCTTGCATTTTTCTATCTTTTTTTTTTTTTTTTCACTTACTCAGTTTGACATGACCATTGACGCCAAGTAAAACATTATCTGATTTGATATCCCGATGAATAATGCCAAGATGATGTAAATGTGCAATACCTTGAAGTGTTTCTCGACACACAGTAGCGATTTGTGTTTCCGTCATCATATTTGTTGTCACCACATCAGTTAAAGATCCACCTTCCATATATTCCATGACTACCCATAATTCGCCGTTCACCAAAAAGGAATCGATAAAATTGACAATATTCTTGTCTCGAGCTTCTCGCATCACCAGAATTTCGTTAATGATCAGTTCTTTCTTTGGCTGTTGAGCCAAGTTCATTTGTTTGATAGCTACTGACATGTTGGTATCCACTGATTGTGCTATACAAACCCCACCAGATGCACTAATCATAATCATCATGTTAATCATCAATAAAAAAACGATTCACTTTTTTTTTTTTTTTTTTTTTTTTTTTTTTACCCTTGGCCAATTTTCAACATGTTGCGATAAAGTTTTGTTGGATCAGCATCTGTACATATTGCTTGCAATCCTGCAATTATTTCAGCATCCTTGGCGGCTTCACGTTGTCTTTTCTGTTCACGGCGTTTTGCCCTAGTTTCTGCACCTGTATCAAGAGCTGGATCAAGAGGAGCTGCCACAGATGAAATAAATACTTCATTTGACTCTCGGTTATATTTATATTTGTTGTTGTTGTTATTATTATTATTTGCTTGCAGTTTTGTACGAGGAGGTGCAATCGGTCCTTGGCTTGAGAAGGTTGATGATGTTGTGTAACGTGATGAGGGGTCATTGTTGGCAGATGATTGATTATTGATGTTTGTTGGTTGTTGGCTTGTAGGTTTGTTAAAAGTAGTAGTTTTCAAATGTGTAGGTTTACTTGATAAAGGTGGTTTCGGTGGTGGTCTTCCTTTGTTTACTGGAGGTGATAGAGGAGTTGATGGTAATGTAGGTAAAGAAGTCGAGGATGGTAAACCACTTGGTCCTTGGAATATAGACATACGTTCAGCAATCGTTAATGACGGTGGTTCAGTATCATGGATATCATTTCTATCGTTGGATGATGATGGACCTAAACAATAATAATAATAATAATAACGTAAGTATATAATATGAAAAAAAAAATGGAATATAAAATAATTATTTACTTGAAATAGGGGGAGGTCTAGAAGGTATGGTCGGTGGCGGTGGTGAAGTTGCAGGAGATGAACCAAAACCAGGAGGTCGAGCGGGTATGGATGGAGGTTGTTGACGATCATTAGACTGGATGACTACAAGTTTAGGTCGTGTACGTTGTGGTAATGGTGGAGGAGTAGGGTTAATTTGTGCTTGTTGACCATCATTCACAGCTATTCGATGTGGAAAGGCATTTCCGAATTTTTCCCAAACTTCATCTTGTGATTGTTCCCTTGTTTCTTTATAAAATTCAAGAACATCCAATACGGCCTAGTAGGAGAAAAAAAAAAAAAGGAAGAATTAATGGACTATTATTGAGTTATTTTCTTTTTTCACTTGTATAATGTTTACCTGAGGATTTTCCTTTTGTTCCCTTTTTGTAATTCCACTCTCTTGTAATAAGATTTGCCATTCCCTTGGCAGCCCAGTAAATTCTCCAGTTTGCTGATTAAAGCCAACATGTGTGACATGGACAAGGTTGTACGGAGAAGAGATTTTGCTTTTCGAGTTGGATGTAGAACCAGAAGGTTGTGACGACGAGGAAGATAATGGTTGAGTCAACAAATCTATCCAATAACCCATATTAATTAGCCTTTTGTATTCATTCATTTTACCATTCAGGACTTACCACTAACACTGCCAACTACTTTTCCAAATACACCTTTGAATACACCAGCGTTGACATGAGAAGTAAGAAGATTGGTTTTGGTATCGTCTTCTTTCCTTGTTAAGGTTGTTAAACTGTCGGTTGATGGAGTTGTACCAGTAGAAGAACCATTTCGTGAGTCGAAATAAGATAAAGTAGTAGCAGAAGGTCGAGGAGGATGTGGAGGAGGTACCATTAATGTTTGGTGTTGTTGCCGAGAGGCATTGTTTGTAAAAAAAGATTCGTTGGAGGAGTTGTGAGAACGTTGAAGTTGACCATTACCAGTAGCATGAGGAAAGACCTTTTGATGTTGTATTTGATGTAAATAATAATCTTTGGAATTGTCCCCCGTAGCATGACGACGGATATTTTCAACAGTACGAGGAGAAGTTGTATGTGATGATATACTTTGTTTGATAGGAGACGGAGGAATATCAGGTCTTGTTGGTCGAGGTGGTGGAATATTCAATGAAGAAGTTGCCAATGGAGAAAAAGGAGGATGTGGACTAGATTGAGTATCAGAATTATCGTTGGTGACTTTGTTGTTAAACAGTTTGATATTGGCGGACACGATACCAGAAGGTGGAGATGCAGGTGTCGACATGGTATATATATATATTTATATTAATATTATATTATATATATACAATTATATATATAGAATAATAAAGAATAATAACAAGAAAAAAGACAAAAAAAAAAAGGTTACGTAAAAAATACAGGGTCAAGCATAAAAGAAAGGGAAAGACAGAAAAGAAAAAAAAAAAAAGAAAAAGAGAGAAGAGAAGGGAAAAAGAGAGAAAAAAAAAAAGATGGATGTTAAAAGGTGAGCTGAGTATAAATTTATAGACAAGTTAAGGATAGGAGAGAAAGATGATCATCGTTTATTCAAATAGTACAAAGGAAATGACAGAGTCAAAAAAAGACCCTTGGATCTACGTATTTCGCCCCCTTCCTTTCGGTATTTGAGAAGAAGAAATGGAAAAATGATTAGTGTGATGATCAACCAAATATTATTTGTTTATGTGTACTTACCAAAAAAAAGAAAAGTCCTCCGGTTCTAAGGCATGGTCGCCACGCATCGAACCATCCATGTGCGCGACGCAAAAGGGATAGTATAAGTATCGTATAGTAAAAAAAAAAAAAAGATCCAAAGAGAAAGAAAGACAGAGAGACGCAAGGACAAACAACCAGAGGCACAACAAGACCAAAGAATAACGAGGAAAACGGGGAAACAGGTACCGCCAGAGGAGGATAGAGTGTTCTGTCGCGTCTGGCCAGGTGAACGGTAAAAAGAAGACACCAACAAGGCAGCAGCCAGAAAAAGCAAATGATTTTTTTTTGTGTGTTTTGTAGAAGAAAGAAGAGCAAAAGAAAGAGAAAATAATAAAAAGTGTCTTTTATATTGTTTTTTTTCCTCCAATCAGGTTGAGACTATCCAATATCATGATTATTCTATTAAATCAAATATTTCGGGCTTATTGATCAAACCAATCATCCATCATCCGATCATTATATATCATAAAATACAATACAGAATTCATTTCTCATAAAATAAAATAGAAAGTTACTTTGAAGAGATCACATATTTTGAGCATAAATCATGACTGCGACTCAATTGCAAAAATCCTTTCCCATCGGACTTCGTAATGGCCTTTCCACAGGCTTTCCCATTTTGACTTTTGGAATATCGTTCCCCTTTTTCTCTCAAATCTCTTGTCTTTTGTTTTCTGTTTGGTACTACATGAACATAGACAATGCTTTCTAGCCAAGATTCCCAAATAGATTACTCTGTTATTATATCCATTGACTTTGGTACTGTTTGAAAAATAATTAAATTATAATGTATACTTTATTTAACCAACCTCTCTCTTATAGGTACCACTTTTTCGGTATGCATCCCTATATTCCTCTATTTTTTTTTTTTTATTTGTATTCATTTCTCAAACACCGTAGGGATGTAGTTATGCATTGAAAGGAAGTCAAGAAGTTTATGACATTACGAAATGGCCAAAATATACCGGTTTCTATGGCAAAGTACCGACTTTACTGTATTACAAGACAACAACAAATCGACTGTTGGATTGGGGAAATGGTGCTAGACTTTTATCATTCAAGGTAACAATAGAATAATAATAATAATAATAAAAAAGATTTATTGACTTGAAATTTATATTTCTTATAGCCTAAACAAGAAGGAAATTTGATTCATAGCTTTAAAATGTGGTTGGCTGATGATCAAACTACTCAACATGAGGAAAATCATTCCTCCATTGATATTATTGCTGATTATCTAAGCAAGTTTCATCAACATATATTGGAAGAATTGGAAAAGAAATTGGATCCTCAATATACACCTGATCAATATTGTTATGTAAGTACTTTATCATGAAATCAATTCCCAGTCAATCTATTGTATTCATTTTTTTTTTTTTTTTTTTTTTTTTTTTTTGGTTAGTGTCTCACTGTACCTGCAATTTGGTCTGACCATGCTAAAGCAATGATGCGTGAAGCTGTTATAAAAGCAGGAATGATTCAAATGGATGATCCATTAGATAGACTTACTTTGATTAGTGAACCTGAAGCTGCTGCCCTTTATTGTGAACAAAAATGCGACATGTCAAATCTCAAACATCAGGATAAATTTATGATCATTGATGCTGGTGGTGGTACTGTAGATTTGATTATTTAGTAAGTTTTCAAATAATAATAATAATAATAATAATAATCAATTCCTTTTTATATATTAACTATTATATGTATATTGCTTGGTAGTGAAGTTCAACAGTCTTCTCATGATAAAACTCGCAAATTGAAGGAATTGACAAGTGGTTATGGTGGGATTTGTGGTAGCTCAGATATTGACAAAAATATGCGCAAATTACTCTTGAAAAAGTTTGGTGAAGAAGGATCATCTATGCCAATATGTACTTTGGAAATGATTATGGAAACATTTATTGAATATATCAAAGTAAGAGTGTATATTTAAGAAAAAAAATAAGTAAAATCGATCTTTTACACTTTTATATGTATATATAGCCCGTGTTTCATGGTGATGAAGATCAATACTTGGATATTCCTGCTACGGCCTTATCTTATTTACCTGAAGGATTATTGAATGAAGTATATACATTACTACTTTTTTTTTTTTTTTTTTTATTATTATTATTTTTAATGAAATTCTTTAATATTTAAACCATAGGATTATCAACTTGTTTTATCAGCAGAAGAACTAGCACAAGAGGTGTTCAAACCTGTATTTGACTCAGTCATCATGCTCATCAAAAATCAATTATCAACCATCAAAGTGAATACAGCATTTCTTGTAGGTGGATTTGGAAGCTCGATCTATTTGTATCAAACTATCAAAAAGGCATTTCAAGATCAAATTGATGATTGTGTTGTCCCTCCTCATGCAGAATTAGCTATTGTTCGAGGCGCAGTATATCATTGTATATCTCCGGGATTAGTGACAAGTAAAGTAGCTCGGTATACTTATGGTGTACGTACACGATTACCATTTGAAGAAGGCTTGGATCCAGAAGAAAGTGCAGTATTTACCTCGGATGGTATCAAAAGATGTTCCACTCGGTTTGATATTATTCTACGAAAAGGTGAACGTATCAAGGTAAATAGTAAAATTAGAAGATCTTTTTGGGTGAGTTATCCAAAGCATACAGAAGGTAAAAAAAAAAAAAAAAAAAAAAAAAAGAATAGATTAAAAAAATAATGATCATTTTTATTTTATTTTGTAATGATGAACTGATTATTTTTTTGTTTATAAAAAATGTTATAGCGGACCTTTATATATACAATGGTGATGATCCAATTCCTCGACAAATCAATGATGTTGGTATCAAGAAAATAGCAGATTTTCCTATTAAAATGCCTTATTTACCTGGAATGATGACTGGTGAAAGAATAGATGTTAATATAGATTTTATATTTGGATTGACAGAACTAAAAGTAGATGTTTTAGTATCAGGTTATAGGTCTCAGTTTACAACTAGAATTCTTGACAAATAAACAATTTTTTTTTTTTGATTCATGCCTATTGTTGTTCTAGTAAAGTCCGCAAGTCTGGGTGTTTTTTTGGCGGGGTCTCTTTTGGTGAGAAAAGTTCAGTGGCGAACATTTTTTCTGATTGCATCATCTTTCTTTTTAACTTATTTTTCTCAATAAACCCTTTATATCTTGTTTTTACCAATACAGTTGTACAGCTATTACTACTATTAAATATAACAATGTCAACACCACGTAGGAGGATAGAAACTGATGTTATGAAACTGTAAGTTTTATATTATATATACTAAGAAAATATTAAATATATATTACTATACATGTATGATTAACTCTTCTTTATAATATATATATATATATATATATATATTACTTACACTTCTCTTCTTCTTTTTTTTTTCTCAACATTCTCTTAAGCTTGATGAGTGACTATGAAGTAACTTTAGTGAATGATAACATGCAAGAATTTTATGTAAGATTTCATGGACCCTCGGATAGTAAGTCATTAATTATTATATGTTATTAGAAAAAGACTGATCCATTTTATATTATCCATCTTAGCTTCTTTTACAGGTGGCGTATGGAAGGTACATGTAGAACTTCCTGACCAATATCCTTATAAATCCCCAAGTATTGGATTTATGAATAGGATTTTCCATCCAAACATTGATGAAGTGTAAGTTTCATCATCATGGGAGAATAACTAGCTCCATTTTGCTAAACTGTCTTTATTATTATTAGGAGTGGTTCTGTTTGCTTGGATGTGATTAATCAAACCTGGAGTCCTATGTTTGGTAAGAACTTATGAATGAATGACTGAAATGGGAAATGATCTGATTATTTACACTATATCTTATTTATATTTTTAGACATGATCAATATTTTCGAAGTCTTTTTACCACAACTTTTACGTTATCCTAATCCAACCGATCCTCTAAATGGTGAAGCAGCAGCATTATTGATGAGGGAACCAGCAAAATATGAAGCCAAAGTGAAAGGTAGGAAATATATATATATAGAGAGAGAGAGTACAATGATCTTTGACGATTCCTTTTTTTTTTTTTTTTAATGAATAGATTATGTCTCTCGATATGCAACAAAGGAAGCGGCAGATGCAGCAGCTGATGAAACCTCTGATGAAGAAGATATGAGCTCAGTTAGTTATGCAACCAGTGAAGATGAAGCGACCGGAATGGAATTGTAGAACATCCCCTCTATTTGGTCCCTCCTATCTTTTACTACATACCTTTTTCTTTCTTTTTTTCTTCTTCTCCTTATCACACATTTCACTTATATTTAGTTAGTTTTATTTCAGTCATCTTATTCTTCAACACAATATACGAACCCCCCCAAATCAATATGATCAACCCACTTTAGTAATCATCTTTTATTTTATTTTTTTTCATCATATTGTGTTTCATGTCTCTATATATCTTTTTGGTTCCCCTCTCCAATCGTCTATAGTCTTTAAGAAGATAGCAGCATCTGTTGATATTCTTTGTTTAAATAAATTACAAAATCAATTTGGCAATATTTTCATTTTTTTTTGTTGTAGTTTATTGAATTTGATAAATAATTTGCAAATAAAAGAAAATACATGATGATGATGATGATGATAAACAAATGTGTATGGTGTACAATGAATCAATAATATATGAAAACAAGGATATCTAAACTATACAATGACTAAATGTGAAGAATCAATAAACGATACATACACAAAGGTAAGATAACAATAATAATAATAATAAAAAAATACACTAAAGGAAAAATAAATAAATAAATAAATAAATAAATAAAAAAACTAAAATACAAAACATATATATAATAATAAAAAGCTGTGGCATCTTCTAAGTTGATCAATCATCCCGTTTTGGTCGTCGTTTGAAAGCTGGTTCATTCCAATTGCTGTCAATATTCATATTATTCAAAGATCGTCCCATAAATGAGAGTTCATTTGATGTCATGCGTCGTTTCAATCCATCCATAGGAGTACCATCCGTATTAAATCCTGTGACTCCACTGTTGCTGTCATTGTTATTGATATTTGCAGTATCATTTCTAAAATGATCGCTGTTATTGTTGAATCCTGAATTATTATTGTTAGAATAATGATGATTTGTATTGTTAATAAAATTATTATTGTTGTACCAGGGTTGTCCGTATGGATGATAATTGGTAGGTAAGGAGAAGGTAAATTGAGTGTTCGGATCGATTTGGAAAGGATGGAAAGCATTCTTGACGGCTGCTCCAAGAACATTAGGTACTGTTGTTGTAGTAGTTCTATGTTGTAACGTAGGCGTTGTTGCTGCAGATGTTGCTATGTTCGTTGTCGTTGCCACATCATTGGTAACTGTTGGAGTTGTTGCTGAAGTAGTAGTATTGAATCCACCGGAATGATTGGAATGATTAGTAAGTGAATCAGTAGAAGGATTTGATTGTTGTTGTTGTTGTGATGGTGGTGATGGCGATGAAGTGGTTGGCACTGATGATGAATCCATAGAAGACGATAACCCCATATCGGAAGCAAGTTGATTATTACGTTGTCTAGCATATGCTAGAAGATCTTGTACAGGTAAAAAGCCATGTTCAGTTGGTGTTACAAATGAATCTTGTTGTGATACTGTAGTACTGGGATGTGAGCTGATAAACTCATAAAGATCTTGTAAAGCTTGTTGATATCCAGAAGCATAAGCTTTACGGTTTTGAACAAGAGAATCTTTGTAGAGTGTGGTAACTTTAAGAGCTGCAGCCTTGAAAGAATCCATCAAAGCGTTTTCAGATGATTCATAAGAGTCCAAAAGAGATGGATGTTGATTCATTGTATTATTATCAATGGTCGATTGGTATTGAAAACAAAAGAAAAAAATAAGAGATATATATAAAAAAAAAGTTAATAGGGAAAAGAAAAAAAGGAATGGAAAAGAAAAAAAAATTTGCTACCATTAAAAATCCGGCGTTGTTAGAGGGAAAAAAAAAAAAAAAAAAAAAAAAAAAAAGGACCTTGAAAGTATATTTGAGAACAAAAAAAAAAAAAAAATAAGATAATTCATTATTGGATATGAGTAAAGTGTTAGTGGTTTGATATGTAATCTACTAATAGAATGGATAACTAAATGTACTATTGTTGAATCGAGATCGATACGCAGCACAACTTGAATGCCACAATAGAAACAAATACTTGAAAAGAGACATCAATTCTTCATTATGATTGGATGAAAAACAGGCGGATATTGAACTGATGGCTCGCAGGTGTTTTGTCAGGTTTGTTGGTGTGCTCTCTGGTAAAAGAAATGAGTCAACCCATCAAATCGGCAAAGCGGATTTTAGCTAAAAAAAAAAAAAAAAAAAAAGTTTCCAAAATAATTTTTCTTTTTTATCATTTTCTTTTCTTTTTTTTTTTCCTTTTTTTTTTTCCTTTTTCTTTTTTCTTTTTTTTTTTTTTTATTACTCCTTTTTCTTTCCTTCATCCATTATTTAACCATGACCACGCTATTGATTGACAATTATGACTCGTTTACTTATAATGTATATCAATATCTATGTTCTCAAGGTGCCAAAGTTGTAGTTCATCGTAATGACAAGATCACTATTGAAGATATCATGGCTTTACAACCTCGTAATATTGTCATTTCTCCTGGACCAGGACATCCTTCTCAAGATGCTGGTATTTCTCGTCAAGTTATCTCTCATTTTGCTGGTAAACTTCCTATCTTGGGTATTTGTATGGGTGAACAATGTATTTTTGAAGTATTTGGTGGTACTGTGTCTTATGCAGGTGATATTCTTCATGGTAAAACTTCTACTATCAAACATGATAATCGTGGTCTCTTTCGTGGTGTTCCTCAAGATAATCAAGTCACTCGTTATCATTCTTTAGCTGGTGTTTCCTCCACTCTTCCTGATGCTCTTGAAGTCACTGCAACCACGGATGATGGTGTGATCATGGCTATCCGTCATAAAGAATATACTATTGAAGGTGTTCAATTCCATCCTGAAAGTATTTTATGTGATCATGGTCATACAATGATTGCTAATTTTTTGGGTCTTTCTGGTGGTACTTGGAATGAAAACCCTAGTGCTGGTATTTTGGCAAAGAAACCAAAGGTGGTGGTTACTGATGGTCAAGTAGATAATGAAATCAAATCTAATGGTGATGATACTACTCCTGCTCCTACTACTACTACTACTACTACTAATGCTACTTCTACTGGTACTACTACTACTGGTACTACTTCTGCATCTTCTACAAATGGTGTTCCTTCTGTTCTTCAACGTATTCATACTCAACGTTTACAAGATATTGAAGCTGCCAAACAAGTACCTGGACAAAGTCAAGAAGATCTTGAAAAGTTATTAGCATTACATGTAGCTCCCCCATTGAAAGAATTGGTTAGTCATATGCGCAAATCTACTCCTGCTCTCATGGCTGAAGTCAAACGTGCCTCTCCTTCTAAAGGTCCTATCGACATCAAGGCAAATGCTGCTGATCAAGCTTTACAATATGCTTTGGCTGGTGCTAGTGTGATCTCTGTTTTGACTGAACCTAAATGGTTTCGTGGTTCTTTGAATGATATGCGACAAGTACGTGAAGCAGTCAGTCAATTAGAAAATCGACCTTGTATTTTACGAAAGGACTTTATTGTGGATCGATATCAAATTTTGGAAGCTCGACTTTATGGTGCGGATACGGTACTTTTGATTGTGGCGATGTTGGCGGATGATGTTTTGACAGATCTATACAGTTATGCAAAATCATTTGGTATGGAACCTTTGGTGGAAGTCAATAATGCGGAAGAAATGGCCAAAGCTAATGCTCTGGGTGCTAAAGTGATTGGTGTCAATAATCGAAACTTGCATAGTTTTGATGTGGATATGGAAACTACTTCTCGATTGGCTGAAATGGTACCTGATGGAACGATCTTGTGTGCACTCTCTGGTATTTCATGCCGTGCTGATGTTGAAACCTACATGTCACAAGGTGTCAAAGGAATCTTGGTGGGTGAAGCTTTGATGCGGGCATGGAATCTCAAAGCTTTTGTCAACGAACTTCTAGGCAAGACAGAAATCGAACAAATATCTTCAAATCAAGTCAAGAAACATTCATTGGTCAAGATTTGTGGTATTCAATCAGTGGAAGCTGCAATGGAAGCTGCTCAAACAGGTGCTGACTTTATTGGATTGATCTTTGCAAAGAAATCACGTCGATGTGTGTCATTAGATGTCGCCAAGGAAATCATTCAAGCAGTTCATTCATCATCATCATCATCATCATCAAAAATAGATGATGATAAAACGAACAAGATACCCTCTCAAGATTGGTTTGATATGCAACGGTATTTTTTGGAGCAACGGCAACGAAAACCATTGGTGGTAGGTGTATTTGTCAATGAAACGGTGGAATATATGACCAAGGTGGCTACAACGGTAGGATTGGATTTGATTCAATTACATGGTACTGAATCGGTGGAACTGGCTCGTTTCCTTCCTGTGCCAGTCATCAAGGCTTTCCATATGGATAATGATACTTATCTTCCTGGTGCTTTGCCTATCATCACTCAACCTGGATATCATCATGCTGTTTTATTGGATGCAAAAGTGGCCTCTTTACCTTCGGATCAACAAGGCGGACAAGGTGTTACTTTTGATTGGACTTTGGCTCGCAAAGTGGTGGAACACAAACGTCCTACTACTACTACTAGTGAATTCCCTGTGATTCTTGCTGGTGGTCTAGATCCTTCAAATGTAGCACGAGCTATTCAACAAGTCAAACCCTGGGTAGTGGATGTCTCTTCTGGTGTAGAAACCGATGGTGAAAAAGATTTGGAAAAGATTCGTAGTTTTGTAGAATTAGTCAAGAGTACTGAATTTTATTAGTTTAGACACAAAATCTAATAAATTATGATACTTTTTTTTTTTTTTTTTTTTTTTTTTTTATTCTACAGTATTTTTCACTTTATGATTTGATGTCTTTTATCATTTGTTTGTGCCTTATGAAACCCGTTTATACTTTTTTTCTTTTCCTTTTCCGTCCTGATAACCTTAGAATAAGCATTGCGCAGTTATCTTCCCCCTTTTTTTTTTTTTTTTTTTGTATTCAGAAATAGATGGTATGAAGTATTCATGTAATGTTGACGATTGATTGCTTGTTGATGATGGATTGTTGATGATGGATAGTTGATGATGGATTGTTGATGATGGATTGTTGATGATGGATTGTTGATGATGGATTGTTGATGATGGATTGTTGATGATGGATTGTTGGTGATTGATTGTTGATGATTGATTGTTGGTGATTGATCGTTGATGATTGATTGTTTGTTGATGATGGACTGTTGGTAGTTGAAACAATAAAAACAATAAAAAAAAAAGGGCTATAGGACGTGTGATCATCCTTGTATGGAATCTTGCGCCTCGCTTTTTGAACGCCTGACCTGAAAAAGCTTTAATGAATGATGGGGTACAATGTAGAGAGATTACTGCTATAATCCGGTGCCTGACATTTTATTGGTCAACCTGGGGAAGAAGCTGAGGATCGGCAACTCTGATTGGCTCTCTGGATTTTTATGCTACATTGAAAATTTCCACGGTCTGCGAAAAAAAATATATATACCTACTCTTTTTCTTTTCTTTTTTTTTTTTTTTATCATTTTTCCATTCTTTTTTCCAACAGTTCTTACATTATTTCAAACATATCTTTTTTTTTTGTTTTCTTACTTACATTACTGAACAATGTCATTTCTTCCCAAAACACCTATGAATCCTGAATATTATAATTTGGTTTTGCCTGGCATCACGTCCAAGACACGAGATACAGTGAACAAACTTCTCAAGGATAATCACGATACCCATCATATTTTCTTCAATGACAAGAAATTTCATAACCATCTCACTCATCATCTTCTAGCAGCTTATTCTTTTGGTGCCAACGAAGAACGACTTGAACAAATCTACAAGGAACATGCCAGCTATCAACGACCATTACCAGCTCTCTTGGACCAACCTTTGACGCGTGATAACTATCACGAACACCTGGGCGAAGCAAATGCTTATACTAGCTTTTTAAAGTTCTTTGAAACGGAGATTGAACAACATGGTATGATGGACACTATTCGACGATGGATCTGGTCTGGTGACATGGTAGCAAGACTTTTTGGTGGGTTATATCATCCTTTGATTCATCTTGGCTATGGTGTTGAATTTGATGTTCCTGGTCTAGTAGCAGAAGGTAAACTAATATCATCCCCTTTCTTGTACTCATCTTTTTTTTTTTTTTTTTTTTTTTAGGTTTAGCATTGGCAGCATGCACAGAAGCAAAACATAGTTCAGTGATCAGCGATAGTCCTCCTCTTGCTGATGCCATCACCAAGGTCTCTCCCATCTCAACGATTCCTGTACAACAACAAAACTCAAAAGATAGCGATAAGAATGTTTTACTTGATATTTTACAAGCGATTCGTCAAGATGCATCTTTCGATGATACTTTATGCAAAGAAGATGAGGATCCTTTTAAAACACTTTTTTCTCAAGCCTTTGTCGTGGATAAAATCAAGGGCTATGCGAATCAATGGAAACAAGGCAAATCGTGGACAACAAGACAAGATATCAGGTCTCGCTTGAAAGAATTATATACAACAGCGGTGGTTATGCATGGTGCGACTGGGTTCCTTCCTCATCAAGTACATCTTGACTTTGTTTTGATGCATGGTTTGACGTCTTCTTACTTTATACATATCTTGGTGCCTTACTTATCTGTGGAAGAAGCTGCGTCTTTATTACAAGCACATTGGTTTGTGACAGTGACCTTCTTTATCGTGGTTGGACGACCTGAGGTCAAGATGGATCATTTATTGGAGTATGTTTCGCCCAATTTCAAGAATGTGGACGCTCAACTTCCTCATCGACAATGGTCTCGCGTCTTGGAAGCAACTGTGGATGAATCGGATCATGTTATCAAGGCAATCCGTGCGTGTGCTCATGCCCAGATTATGTACAATGATGATCCTGATTGGTTTGATGATGCTCTTTATCTCAAGGCTGCGCAATTGACCTATGATTTACATGGAAAATGGACTTTTGGTGTTGGTTATGAGACTTGATTCATCCTCCCCACCTCTTTTTTTTTTTTTTATGTACCTTAGTTAGTTATGTTTTATTACTATTATTAGTTAGTTAGTTAGTTATATTGTGTAAAAAACCAATGCAAATAAATAGGAATTGTCTATCACAGATGACAAAAAAAAAAAAAAAAGAAAGTGGACTCTCGAAGATGAAAGATGGATGAACACTTTTTTTCTATGTTGATTTTACGCCATCATTATCATCTCTCAATGCATCAACTGAAAGATAACTGATTCATCTGCACTATGGGATAAATTCATCGTACTTCAATATTATCTATCATCACCTATTATTATCCATTGTCCATCAATAGATATCATACAGGCGTACAAAATTAGGAAGAAACGACTTTTTATCATACTCTAATTTTTCGCATTTGTAAAATACATTGGACAATAAAAATATCATTTTTTTTTTTTATTAAAAAATCAAAGGGATCCTTTTTTCGGAAAGAAGAGAGAATCAATCTATTTGTATACATATATATATATAAACGAGTCAGGGCATATTGTGCAGAGGATGAGTAAAAATAAAAAAAAAATAAAGATGATTCAAAATATATATGATTGTTTGTGAAGGAAGAGATATACATTAAAGAACAAAAAAAAAAAGAATATATATATATGAATCTATCTATTGCTTGGGTTCATCAAGTTCTTCGGGAATGAGACCTTCTTTGACCAATAAATCTTCCAAATCACCAGATTGATGCATATTCAACAAGATATCACAACCACCAACGAATTCACCATTGATATATACTTGAGGAATGGTAGGCCATTCAGAGTATTCCTTGATACCTTGTCTCAAATCATCATCCGCCAATACATTGAAGGTTTGTACATCTTTAAAGTCAACACCTTGAACTTGCATGATTTGAACAGCAGCTCTACTAAATCCACACTATCCCCATCATCGATGTTTATTATTCAAAAATAATAGAAAGAGACAATGAATATATTATACCAAGTTTTATGTTCTCAATAGAACTTACCATGGGTTCATCGGCAGTACCTTTCATGAACAAAACAATGGGTTTAGATTTGATATCCTATAACAAAAAATAAAAAAAAATAAGTACTATGAATTGTGTATGTCGATAATATTCTTTTTCTTACTTGATCCAACTTTGTACGAAGAGAATCAGATAACCAACGAGCCCACATGGGACTCGAACGAGTATTTGTCAAGGGACGAATCAAAGTAGACTATATTCATCAATAATAGAAAAAAAAAAAAGAGTTGTTTTTATCAATAAATGTATTATCAATGATGAAGTTTTTATTTTCATTTTATTGACTTACAGTACGAGTAGCAGCTCTGAAAAAGTTCATTGTTGTTAACAAAGTAAAAAGAAGAAGACAAAAAAAAAAAATTATGACAAATGGAAAAAAAGTGACCGACTCTTCAAACTTGATAAAATAAACACTATCCGAACTGTCCGATACGGAGAATGAATGATCCAATTTTTTTTTTTTTTTTTTTTTTTGACTATCATCACGCTTTTTGCTTTTTATATTTCTTTTGTTCCTTTTTCTTATTTTGGATACATATATGGAACTCACCTATAGTCAGTTATACAAACATAATGGTTATCAATGTCAAATATCACCTGATAATAAATATGTGGCCAATACCGTCGATACAACTGTAGTCATTCGCGATCATTCTCAAGATATGGTTGTTATGCACGTTTACGAAACCAACCATGTCATTGATTGGATGTCTTGGTCTCCTAATGCTCAATATATTGTCACCATGAATAAAGAACATTGTATTGCCAATATCTGGTCTATCAGTGATACTAATTGGAAAACAACCTTATCCGATCGACGATTTGGTATGCAACGTGGATGGTGGTCTCCTGATGGTTCAAGTATATTGATATCTTCAGATCTGGACGTGAGTTTTTTTTATTATTTTTTTATTATTTACAAAAAAAAAAAAAAAAAAAACGTTTATGTTTATTCTATTTCTTTTTTTTTTTAATAGTTGAAAATAACGATTTGGATGTTCTTGAAGAATAAAATCAAATATATCGAACATCCCAAATCTATTGATCAAGTTTGTGTACCAAGTCATGACGGGAAATATATGGCGATCGTGGAAAAGAAGGATGGCAAGGATTATATTGATATATTGGATGCAACATCATATGAATTATTACAGGTATATATACATGGATAAAAAAAAGAAACAAAATATTTAACTGGTTTTATGTCCTTTGTAGCAATTCCTTACCGAGACAACGGATGTGGCAAGTATTCAATGGTCCCCAGACAGTCAATTCATTATAGCATATGATAATTGTTTATACGTAAGCAGTGGGAAGGATAGAAAGATATAAGTTTTATTGACCTTGTTTTTTTTTTATTATTATTATTATTATTTAGTACAAGCTGTTGGTATATCGGTTTGATGGTTATTTAACCTATTCTTATTCTGCTTATGAACATGGTTTGGGTATTAAATGTATCTCTTGGCATGATGAATTGCTTGCTATTGGAAGTTATGATGAAAAGGTAAGAAAAAAGAGATCACTATATATGAAGATATACTTTATCTCAACCTCTCTTTTTTTTTTATCATTATTTCAGGTTCGATTGATCAACACTTGCAGTTGGCAATTGGTGACTGTATTATCTCATTCCAATGTGATCAAACCTAACAGCCAAAGTTCATTGGTAGGGAAAAAAAAAAGATAGTTTTGGATGGGATGGAATGAATTCTAAATATATTTATTATGATTTAGATGATATACGAAGAATATGACTTACCCAGTACAAAGGCACCTACTCTAGATACAAAAGTAGCATGTAAGTATCAAAACCATTAAAAAGGATCTGTTTATTCATCTTTTTTATTATTCTTGTTGTAGATCGAGTTCTTGCTAGACGACCTATTCAACTTCCAGTCCTTCGACCAGAATTCAATCGACATGATCCGAATATTGGTATTAGTTTTTGTCAATTTTGCGTAGATGGATCATTACTAGCAACAAAAGATGGTCAGTAAGACTCCGCCATCATGCAGTTTCATTCATCTTTTTTTTTTCTTTAGATACGATGCCGAATACATTATGGATATGGGATATTCGTCAATTACAAGTATGTCTTATTATATCACAAAAAAATCCTCTTCGACAAGTGGTTTGGAATCCAAAATATCCTCATGTCTTGGCCATGGCTTGTGGTGATGAAAATGTTTATATCTTATACCAAGAATCATCAACTCATTCAACACTATCTACTTCATTAAAGATTATACCCATTTCTGTCCCAACTAGTAAGTTGAAACAAAAAAAAAAAAAAAAAAGAAATGGATGAATCTTTAACTTTTTTTTTTCTGTTAGGCAAATTCTCAGTACGACATATCGAATGGAGTTCGGATGGTAGAACTTTACTATTATTAGATCATCATTTATATTGTTTAGCCTCGTTCTATTATCTGCATTGTCAATAAAGTTTATACTATATGTTTGATGTTTTATTATGAGTCATAACAGGATGATTGATGATTTTTTTTCTTTCTTTATTATCATACAAAAGTAAAAGAAGGGAGAAAATATATATATATATAGATATGTAAGACATGAATAAATAGAGTCTTACAAAGTCAAAATGAATATGATAAAAAAAAAAAAAAAAGAGGAGAAGGAAAAAATAAATATATATATAGATAGATAGATTGATAGACAGATAGATATGTATATACGACACGGACTAAGTATAAAATAAAAAAAAAAAAAAAGGATATCATTGATGAATAGGAGAAAGGGAAGTAACTACTAAGGAGTGAGAGAGAGGGAGAATATTGGGTCTACACTAAGATGAATAAAGTAGGTACAAAAAAAAAAAAAAAAAAAAAAAGGGATTGATACAATAATAAAAAGGACCATTATCAAGCAACAGGAGGAGAAGCTGGAGTAGTAACAGGAACACCACGACATACAGGACAAGAATTATGTGCTTCCACAAGCCAACGATCAACACATTCTACATGAAAGACATGACGACACTTGAGTACACGCACAGATTGTTTCGGGGTAAAATCATCCAAACACACTAGACATCGTTCTGTATCTTGTAACATGGTTCGCTTTGTTGTTTCGTCCGACCATAAATGAATAGGTAAAGTCGCATCAATAGCATGTTGTGTAGTCGTCACCGGACGAGCAGATCCCAAGACACTTGATAACCAAAGCAAATCTTCATATGTTGGATTGTCAGAGAGACGGGCCAAAGCAGGATGTTGTAAAAGTGGATGAGTGGATGTACTGTTGTTCGATGAAGTAGGAGATGGATAGTGATGATGCTGACCACTTAAGACATAAATTAACCAACGTCCACTTCCTGTTGATGATGATGATGAAGAACGAGTGGATGAAGCCGATGATGATGCTAACGATTCCCTTTGTTGCTGAGGCTGTGATTGTTGTTGTTGTTGTTGTTGTTGTTGTTGTTGAGGAAGTGATGTTGTGGATGGATGATGTTGGTTCTGTTGGGCATGAAGAGCTGTTTGTGAAGTATGATTGGTACGGTTGGATTGAATAGATATTGGCATAGATTGCAAAGTTGCTAAAGAAGAAGAGGTTGAAATGGCAGAATGAGGTCGACGTAAACGAGGGCCAGTTGGTAGATATGTGGGAATAGTTGGCATAGGTGGAGGAGCTGTCGAAGTAGTTGTACCATTGGAAGTAGGAGTAGTAGGAGTATTACTATTAGTAGTAGTAGTAGTCGTTGTTGCTGTTGTAGGAGGAGAAGAAGAATCCACTGCATTGGTACGATAACCAACAATAAATATAGGTAAAACAGTTTGTGGTGAAGCTCCATTCGTTGACCATTGTTCATCAGTTGAAGAGGAACGATCTTGTTGATGGTGGTGGTTGTGATGATGTTGCTGAGATCGAATTGGCATTTGCATATAACGGAAGAATGAAGTACTATCATGAACAAATATACCATTAGAGGAATTGTTGTTGTTGTTGTTGTTGTTAATGTCACCATGAGCAGAAGGTATTGATGACAAGACAGCGGTAGATATAATTTCAGAAATAATTTGTGAAATATCAGAAGCATTAGAGATGGCAGAAGTTGTGGAAGCGGCCGAACTATTGGACGGATGAGGATCAATATGAAGAAACGGTAATGGAGGAAGAGGACCAGTAGCAGCAGCTGCAGCATGAGTAGCAGCGACAGTAGCTCGACGTACAGATGAAGTCATAGAAGGAGCTACAGAAGTAACATTGTTAGGACTTGAGGTTCTTTGTCGACCAAAACGACGGTTGGGATGAGTATGAAGCCGACGAGAGATTCTACGAAAAAAAGACATTGGCCGACTGGAATTGATGGATGACGAGTGTAAAGTTCGAGTCGAAGCATTATCATGTCTGGCTGTAGTTGATGGTGTTTGACCCATAATGAAATGTACAAAAAAAAAAAAAAAGGATAGAGTGAGAGTGAGAAAGGGAATGAAAAAAAGAGAGAGATATATATATCTAATCTTTTGATATATATATTTATATAATAGATGGCTGTGTGTTGTGACTGTATGTAAAGTAGAAAGAGAAAAAGAAAAAAAAAAGAGATAAGTGAAAAGAGAAGAAAAAAGGAAAAAAAAAAAGGTCAGCCCGCTTTCAAAACTGAAAAAAAAAAAAAAAAACCTCCATCCCGTGTGACGGGGCAGCTCTTCTTTTTTTTTTTTTTCTCTCTCTATTCATCCTTTCATCTTCTTCCCCCATCAAACATTTTTGTTCAATTGTATTTCCCTATTTCTTGACTGTCCCCAAAAAGGCAATCTTTTTGAACCATTGACATCAAAAATAATTAACGTGTCCATGTTGGTCTCCAAACTAGCTAGCTTGTCGGAAATTCAAACCAGGTACGATGATGGATGATAATATGCAGTTAGACTTATGATAAAACTATTCACGTGTGTGATTTTAGTATAAATTGAGTCAAGCTTATTGATATTCTTGAGACATCATCAGTATGGTATAATCAACACAAATAAAGAAAACAAACATATATTCTAAATTAATAATTATATAAAGGGACTTTTGAAAATTAGACACTATCAATAACTATATATATATATATATATATATATATGAAGATAATCTTTATTGGTAAAAAAAAAAAATATGTGATTGATCAGGAATAAATAAATAAATAAATAAAAAACACTATGATACTACAGATAAAGAGAGATGATTTTCCGTGTCCACCATTGATACCAGATCATCACTATTGGCTTGTTGATGATGTTGTTGCTCTGGTTGCTGCTGTTGTTGTTGTTGTTGTACCAATAAGAGTTGTTGATTGAGTTCCATACAAGCATTTTCCCATCTTAATTTTTCTTCCCATATTTCCCGTAATTTTTTATAAGCTAATCCTGAAAGTACTTCAAAATGATCTCTTGTATCATTTAATGATGCTTGTAATCGTTGCCTATGTTTCTTTTCTTCAGCTAATTGTTTTTCCAATTGTTCCACCGTTGTATGTTGTTGTTGTTGTGTTGTTTCTTTTTCCAATGTCGTTGATGATTGTACATTTTGTTCCAAAATTGGAGAGGAATCATCATCAATAATAACAGGAATTGTCTGTACCTGAGCATGTCGTGCTTTTTTCGTTGATTTTTCATTTGTTGGAGAATATTCCTGCTGCTGAAATGAAACATCCAATGCCCGCACATGTTCTTCTACCAATGATTGTGCTACTATGTCGCTAGGTTTTTCAGTATCCGATAATCTGCATCTTTCCAAACGTTGTACAAGTCCAGCTTCAATCACATCCATCTTGCTCATGGTTGAAAGTAATGATTGTGTAAGTGTCCGTTGCTGATTATGATTATTATTATTGTTGGTGTTGTTCTTTGTTGTCATAACAAAAGGATATTGTTTCCAATTACTATGAGTAGTATGTCCACTTGCCATAGTGGATAATGTGGTTGTAGTATCTTGTCGTATCAATGATCGTCCTACCATGCGTCCTGTTGTACCCCCCATTCCACTGAGTTGACTCCTGATACTAGCTGAATGTCGAAGTGATCCACTATATAAACTCGAATCTCGTTTCTTGTGTTGACCCATTTGAGGTAACATTGGTGAAGAAGGATGATCACCTCGAGGTATAAAATCACTACCAGACGAATATTGCTGTTGTTGTTGTTGCTGTGATGGTGTTGGTGGCACTTTGGGAACAATTTCAATATAATTCTTTCGATGTACTGTACTAGGAGCACTTTGTATACTTGAAAAGGTGGACATTGATGCTGGATTTGTAAGAGTAGTGGTACTGGAGACTATGGACGAGTCGACAAAATCGTTGCTTTCATTACGACTGATCAAAGACCTTTTACTTTTTCGAAGTTTGAAAAAGTTGGTGGAAGAAGGTTCTGTAGGTGGTGAATTTGAGGAAGAAGCCGTTAATGCTTGTTGTTGGTGTTGGTGTGAGTTTCGTTGAAATTCTTCAGGACTAGTGGTAGATAAGAATTCAGCCAAAGCTTGAGTACCAGTTGTCTTCTTTTTACGGGAGTTAGATGCACTAAGTTCGGCAATCTCGTCGTCAACTTCGTCATCTTCATAATAGCTCATAATCCTTGCATCTTTGGGTTCATAGGCATTTTTATGTGGCATGATATATAATATATATATAGAGAAGAAGAAAAATACAACAAAAAAAAACAGAAAGAAGAAAAAAAAAAAAGAAAGAAAGAAGGGAGACTAATAGGAATACCTGAACATTAGAAAAATAAGGGGTTTAAAAAAAAAAAAAAAAAAAAAAAAAAAAAGAGTCAAAATCATTTCGAACACAGTTTCAACCAAGCTGCATTGCCGTTTTGTATCACAAGTTTTGTTTTTTTTTTCTTTCTTTTACCAAATCAGGGGTAATTTTTTTTTTTATTTAAAAAGGAGAGTTATTCCAAGACAATAATTACACACACATATATATACAAACTACTATTCCTAAATGACAAATATAAAAGGAGATAATGTCGATCCAAAATTCTGTTTTTCTTTTTTTCCTTTTATTTCAAATTGACAGTCAAAAAAAAAAAAAGATCAATCATCTCCACCTTCTTCTAACCATTTTGCATAACGTTCCAATCTTGCTTTTTCTGCTTCATCATCTTCTTCTGTAGTTGTACCACCACTCTTGAGATATTTAGTTTTTCCATCATAGAGTTCAGCACTGATTTGTCTTCCAGCAAAATATCTATTGTTCATCAACTAGTATATAAAAAGGAGTTTCTTTAGACAAGATATTCTTCACCATAAGAAAAAAAAAAGAGATTATTCTTGATTATTTTACCAGAATACATGCATTGGCAGATTTTTGTTCCATAAACCTTACTGAGATGACACCACCAGGAGATTTCTAGGATAAAAAAAAATAATGATAGATAAATATATTTATTATTTTTTTGTCTTTTTTGTTAAATACTTACATCATATAATATAACATTGGTCACTTCACCTAATTTTTCACATTCTTCACGTACATCTTGTTTCAATTCCAATAATAAAGTTGGATCATCCTATCAAAAAAAAAAATCAGAATCAATCAAAAACAACAAAAAGAATACTTACATCTAATTCTTGTTGTGTATACATATTTTTCAAAATAACAATTTTGGAGAATTTTTCACTTTTCTTTCCTGCTTCTTCTTCTACCCAATCTAATTTTCTAAAAAAAAATAATCAATTTCCTAATAAATCATCAGTATGAATGTATATTACCTATTCAGTTGATGAAGTTTCTTTTTAATCTTATTCTTTGGAGGTTGTTGTGGTTTCTTCTTTTCAGATGGATCCTTTTCTTTAAATACAGCCTAATATTGATAGAATGAGTAAATAATAAAATATATAATAATAATAATAACTTACAGGTTGTACATTAATCTTTGTAGATTTTTCACCAGGACGAAGTTCTGAATCATCTAACAAGTTTATGGCCAAAGATATGGATTCTTCCTTGAAATAAGTTACTAAAGCATCACCTTTGGATATTCCATGATCATCACGATAAATCTTGATTTTTGGTTCACCTACGACAAAGAAAGATATATATATATATATATATATATATATTCAGATATCATTATAATATATAATATAAAACTATTTACCAGTTTCTAAATCTTCCATAATAACACCACATTTACTAAATACTTGCTTCAGTTCATCAATAGTAACATCAGGTGGAACACCAGTAACATAAACTGAAGTATTTATCTTTTTAGTAGGTTCACGTTTTGGTTTTTTATTATTATTATTCTCTTCGCCCTATTAAAAAAAGAAACACATTTAGATCCAACTTTTATTTTTTAATGTCTATTTTTTACCTCTGTATACGTATAAACCCTTTTCTTTTTTTCTTGTGTTTTGACTACAGGTTCCTATTCATAATTTAATTATAAGCCCCAACTTTTATAAATTTAAATATAACTTACCTGTTCATCGACACCTTCAACAGCATAAGCAGATTGTTGTTTAGCTACTAATTTTTCATCGTACTACAAAATAATAGATTAGTTCAAAAAAGATCTCTATTTTATTCCTTATTATTGAGGTTACCATAGGAAACCACGCGTTCATATTTTCATCGTATTCATAAGAAACTTCATCTTCACCAACGAAGGACCATTTACCAGTTTGTTCATTAAATGTCATTCGTGGATCTGAAGCAAAGTCAGGTTTTTCTGGTTTTGATTCCATGATTAAAAAAAAAAAAAAAGTATTTTGAAAGAAAAGAAAAGTGTGAAATTTTTTTTTTCAAGCTGTTTACACACTTTACACTTTATTTTTTGATAGTCCGATCAATTTGTTATTTGTGATCATTATTATGCTCGATTTCTTGCAGGTAACCTTTTTATTTTATTATATGAGATATGAATTCTATATACTATTTTATGACATATAATGATTGGATGATTGATTTAATTTAATAGAATAATCATCATTATTTGATAGTTTCAATGTGATTGGAGATAAAAAACAATATAACAGAGACTTTTTTTTTATTTTCTCCTTTCGTTTTCCTTTCTTTTTTCTACAAAACACAAAAAAAAAAAATCATTTGCTTCTTTTTGGCTGCTTCCTTGTTGGTGTCTTCTTCTTTCCGTTCGCCTGGTCACACGTGACAGAATATTGATTCTTGTTTCCCCCGTTTTCCTCGTTGTTCTTGGTCTTCTTGTGCCTCTGGTTGTTTTTCCTTGTGTCTCTCTCTCTTTGTTGCTTCTTGGGTATCCTTTTTTTTAGTGCACATATACAAATAATATTTAGTTGATCATGATACTAACCATTTTTCCATTTCTTCTTTTCAAACCACCGAAATGGATATATTTTATATGAAAAAGGAAGATAATCATATATATTTCTCTCTTTCTTTCTTTCTTTCTTTTTGTTTTAGTAATATTCAATAAATATTATACTTAATTTTTTTGAATAACAAACACACCAATCGTTTGCATGTCCCATCACGTTGTTCTTTATTCAAACACCGATTAACTTTTTTTTTTACTTCATGCTCTCCTTTTTTCTTTTCTATCTCTTTTCTTTTTGATTACTTTTTTTTTTTTTACATATATACAAGCCCAGTTTTATTTTTATCTTATCACTTTCTTATTATTTTGTTATTTGGTGTATCTATTTTTTTTTAAAAAAAAGGTAAAAGAAAAAGAAAACACACCAAAACTACAATTAGAATATCAATGAATATTGTTTTCTTTTTTTATCTCATATCTTCGTGAGAATAACTAAGAAAATAGTTTCTTTTTAAAACTTACTTGATATTTATTTTATTCTTTTGTTAGAACAAAACAAAAAAAAAAACTTTTTTTTTATCACTCTTCTTTTTTTTTTCTTTTGTTGAATATTACTTTATTTGGTCAAGATATGATAGGACAAGAACAAGAAGAAGAAATGACAACAGCAATATCTAGTAATAATCAACATCATACATATCCTTTGGATGAAGATTCTGATATGGGTAGTTCTTTTGATGATGCAGAAGATCAACAAATGGAATATTGGTTACAACGATGTTCTATTTGTTTTGATGCACCTTTAGACTTTTGCCTTGAATACTGCCGGGATCAATATTGCATGGATTGTTTTGAAAGGTAATAATATAAAAGAAAAGGATAATTTGAATTGATGATTATTTATAATTATATGTAGATATGTTACTGAAGTAGTAATGTCATCATGGGGTCTTAGTGTGACGAAATTAAAATGTCCTGTTTGTCAAGAACATATTCCTCAGGATGAATGGAGTCAATTTGTACCAAAAAGTGTAGTAGACCATTATAATCGATTCAATCAACCTTACCGAAGTTTTACAAGGTGTTGTCCTCATTGTGAAAAAGAAGCAAAACCATGTGATCATACATTGAACAAGTTGGATGATATCACGTAAGAAACAAATTTTTAGAAGGAAAAAAAAGAATAGTATATATATATATATATATTTATTTTTATTTTGTTTATTAATAGTTATATGCGACGTATTCATGATATGGTGGCATCTTTGGCACTACAAGATTGTAATGGATATGATAAAGAAAATGATTATCATCATCATCAAGAGTTACATGAATCACTCAAGTCCTTACTACCACTTTTAGAAGGTGATTGTCCTTCATCTACATTATTGGACGTGTATCGATATACTATGAATTTATTAGTAAATTATGGAAAATATCATGGAACATTTGTCAACAAATCAACATTATCATCACCCTATTACGCTATATCCTATATGTTTACATTGTTAGACCTGGGTCCCGAAATTTGGAAACAATTACAATTCTTACATATCTCTTATTTTCCAAACACAACTTGGTAAGTGTTGATTCTATTTTAATGATTATCATTAACTTGATCCTTCCTTTTTTTTTTTTTTTTGTTATAATAGCGAAAGTTGTTTAACAGAATTCTGTTTACAATGTGGTTATACTATTCATGAAAAATTGACTTGTGAAGAAAATATGAAACATTTGGTTGAATCAGCTCCTTCCAAAGATCATGATACAGTGGTTACAGTCCAGTGGCATTTGAAAAATAGGTAAAAATGAAATATTATTATTATTATTATTATTTGATGAATTTTATCTTTATTCTTTATATTTATATAGTCGAAGGTGTCCAAATTGTTCAATCATGATCAATAGGGATGAAGGATGTAATAAAGTAGATTGCTCATTATGTGGGTTTTGTTTCTGTTGGGCATGTCGATCCCCTTGGTCGGAGGTATTTATAACAAAATAAACATTATGTTACTGAACTCTCTTTTTTTTTGTGTTACTCTTTCTTTTTTTTTCGGATTAGAAATGTGGATTTTATCATTGTGTGATGACAGAAGGAACTGAGGATAATGACATTTCAAATAACAAACTCATGATAGAAGAAGTAAAGGTAAAATAGAAAAAAAAAAGCTTATAAAAAGGGAAAAAAAATGTTTTTTATATATATTCACTCATTTTTTTTTTCTTTGATGGTCATAGACAGAATTAGGTGTACCTAATATATCCTCCATTCAAGCACGGTTATTCTCTAACCCAGAAACTTTAGATTGAACAAATCTTGTACCATATTCATCTCAATCTCAAGATCCTCCCACAAATTTTAATTGATTTTAATATAGTTAGCATTATATTTTCCCTCTCTTTTTTTTTATGATTTATTTACTTCTTTTTTATATACATTGTTATCCAATAAAACCTTGTATCAATGAATAACATTTCTCGAGTTTTCTTTATTTTTTCAACCACCGAAATAAATGTTGTGCAACAGTGCATCCTTATGCAATGTAAAATAGTCTGTAGATGCTCGTGTTCGAAATGATCAGTGCGGATGACTTCAAAAAATGCTACTTTTTTCTTTGACAAAGAGAAATTCCAAAGTCAGACTGTAGTTTTGCCCATGGTTTTTTTTTGAAGCTCAATTTTTTTTTCGGATTCTTTTTTTTTTTTTTTCATTTTCTCTTTCTTAGTTTAGTCTCTCTTCTTGCCATTCCTTATACCTTTTTTTTTTCTGTGTGTATTTGTCTTTTACATAATTTATAGTCATGTACTCCAGTACTAAAGCAATTCAACTGGCCAAAGACTTGGATAATGCAAGAAGTAAAGGACACTGGCAAACTATATCCGAGCTGGCTCGACGATATAAAAAATATTCAAACGACTCGGGTAAACCTTGAAAATAATGATAAAAAAAAAAAACAAGAAATAATGCTTTTTTACTTTTATTTAGTATTAGAAAATATAGCCATAGCAGAAGCGAATTTACAGTTGCTGGTCAATAATAATTGTACTCCTACTACCTACAAGATGTATAGCAACGATGCCCCAGGTCATATCACTTGTCGACCCTCTCTACAACCCGACCAAATTAAACCTTTTCTTTCACAACTCAACGCGGCTATTCATTCAAAATCTACAACAAACTTGGATAATACTCAAAATCAAGTAAGTTTTACTATTCTTTTCTTTTCTTTTTTTTTTTGGACTGACCATTGTTTCTTTCATTCATCACAATAGTTTGCAAAGATTATCAAGGCCCGGTGTTATTTTGAATGTGGCAACTATGAAACTACATTATCTGTATTGAATGACTTGTCATTAAATACTAGAACTCAACTATCTATAGGATATGGGTCAACTTTATGCTTACAAGCGGCAATCATGGAAGGTAAGAAAATTTCCTTCTATATATATGTATCTTTCTTCTTCTTCTTACTGACATCATTATTTTATTTTATTTTATTTTTCTATTTTGATGATTATACTCGATATTTTCTTCTATAGCCATCTCACTGGAACTAACTGGAAGTACTGATAAAGCTGTGACGGCATATCAAACAATAGTGGATATGATCAATACTACTGTAGAAATTACGGATCGAACACTTGTGGATTGGTCTGAAGAAGGTCTTTATCGTGGCTCTCTCTTTTTGCTGGGTCATAGGTAAGTTGATAAAAAGAATGCGAATAGAAAAAATGATTTATATCGTCAATTTAACATTCCCATTTTATTTTCGGTTCAGGAACATGGACAATGTAACAATAACAGGCATACACGAAATCTTACGTACTTATCAAAAAATCACCTCATCACAACCTATACATTGGAGAACACATAAACGTGCCGTGATTACTAGATACTCATTGGATTATATATCATCTTCTTATCGAGAAAATCAGTATTGTCCCCCACCACCTACCGATCCCTCTGTTGAAATGGATGAGTAAGTGATTCTATATCAAACGAAAAAAAAGGAAAAAACTTGAAAATAATAAACATTATTGTACATGTTTTTATTTTATAGTCGTTCTTACAAGGCTTATGAAAAGGAAATGTTTATTGTCGAACTGAGTCATCTACATACAATTTACGAACGAATCGTTTATTCTTTGGTGTCTTTTCCACATTCTGGTGATAGTAATCCTATGATTTATGAAATGGTGGACCGACTAGCTGATGATATGGAATTGATTGATGATTCTCCTGTGGAATTACGAAATTATATTGAAGTAAGGATGATATATAAAAAAAAAAAAATGTGGAGAATATGACTAATTATATATATATTATTATTATAGATGTTGAATCGTGCCACTCAACGAACATTCAATTCATCAAGGATTACACGACATTTATTTCATGCTCTTGTACGATTGGGTGATTTCAAAGAAGCAGAACATGCACTTACGTCTTATTTGTACTTGGTTGGACTTCAATCGCAAGTGACAAGGGAAACCAAGGATTGGGGAGATGCCATTACTATTGATAAACATGGACGTGCATCAACAATACCATTTATGAATGAATCTCTTTTAAAACAACTAGCTGAAGATGCTTTATCGGAATCTATGCTATACACGGACAAGAGGTACGACCATGTCAAATCACAATTAGAACAACCTGATGCTCCTATCAATGCAAGAAGACCTAGCACTATAGCATCTAGACGAACAGATGACAAGGAATCTGTGGAATCTATAGTGAACGTATTGATTGCCGGTGTTCGGATGTATTGCAAATATCTAAGAAAAGGAACTGAAGCCGTGGAATTGGCGGAATTGGCGAAAATTGTACTTGAAGTCACTGGTGCCAACAATATCATTGGATCTAGACTTGGTGGAATTGTCTATCGATATCTCGGTGTTGCTTATGGACTCATGGCTAGTGACAGTAAGTATAAATAAGAAAAAAAAAAAAAAAGAAAATCGTCCATACACAAACAGTTACTTATTTTGTTTTCTTTAAAAAATGAAACAACAGCCACAGATCCAGAAATACGACCTACATATCATGAACTGGCAAAAAAGTATCTTCAACAATCAATTACTTTGGATGATAAAGCTTGGGAAACACACTATCAGCTTGCAAAACAATTGGCGGAAATGCGTGATATCACAGATGCTTTTCAATCAGTGGCCAAATCATTAGAAATCAATCCTAATCACCTTCCTTCATGGCATTTACTGGTTCTCCTTTATTCATGTCCAAAACAAGATGATGTATTCAAGGCTCTCAAAGTGTGTGAATTAGGATTGGATGAAGCAAAGTCTCTACAATTGGAATGGGCTGACGATAGTGAAGGTTACGAACAACAATTACTTCTCAAATTGACACATATGCTTTTAGTAGAAATAGCTCAAGGTACAGAAGCAGCTTTGGTTTGTCAAGAGGAAGTCTTCTCAATGTATGGCAAACTAACAATGATGGATCCTGAAATGACAAGCAGTGGTAGTGATACTGATGGTGGTGTAGGAGGATCTGATAGTTTTACATCTCGACGGGAATTGGTAGTATCCGGCTCTTTGGGTAATATCTGTGATACTGGAAATACAACAAATAATCTTTCACAACCAACAGGAGGAGAGGCATCACTTACAGTACCAACAGAACAACCAGTCTCCTCTTCTTCCAATGGTATAACTACAATCAATTCATCATTATCATCAACATCAATGCAACAACCATTGAAATCAACAGTCAATGCAACACGAACAAGTGATCCTAGTGGACAGTCTAGTATGCCTTCGGAAAAAACAAATTCTCATCAAAATATTAGCAATGGTAGAAAAGCATTGGTTGGATATCCTGTATCATTATCAGTAGATCAAGATCAAGAAAAGCAAAAACGACATAGTCTACGGAACATATTACGAAAAAAGAAAAAAAATCAATTCAATTATCATGTATCTTATTCCGCTAATGATGGTAATACCAAAAAAAAAAAAAAAAAAAAAAAGAAATGTGATTTTTTTTTTTATATATATTAGACTAACTGGTATCTTTTATATAAAATAGTATCAAAGAAAAAAGAATCATTAACATCATTTCATAGCGTTTCAACCTCTTTGCCAAGTAATCAATCCATATTTCAATCAACAATTCCAAGAAAACCACAATGGACAAAATTACGTCGGCATCAAATTCAACATATCTTATGTCTTCTTTGGATGACATCAGCTGGAACATTTTTAAGACAAGGGCGATTGGATGAAGCATTAAAGGCGGTGGAAGAAGCAGAAAAGGTGAATTGGACAAGTGAACCTCATGTTTGGTGTCTCCTTGGTCAAGTCCGATTGGGCCAATCACGTCAAGAAGAAGCAATTGAGGCGTTCCAAAAAGGTTTGGTGGCGGATCCAAATGATACTTTATGTAGATTGTGGCTAGCCAAGACATTTATGGAAATGGGTGACTTGGTAGTATCTGAAGGAATATTGAATAATCTTACAAGAGGAAAAGGTTGGAATCATCCTGAAGCTTGGTAAGAATATATATATATATAATTATTATTATTTCATTGACTTCTTTTTTTTTTTTTTTTTGTTAGGTATCATCTTGGAGATTTATATAATAAGACGAATCGAATGGAAAGAGCTAAAAATTGTTTATTTTACGCATTAGAATTAGAAGATACAGAACCTATTCAACCTTTCTCCATTTTACCCCGATGTATTTAGTTATTCTATTCATCTCCTCCTATCTCTGAACATTAATAAAAAAAAAAAAAAACTATCCAAATTAGGAACAAAGATGTATTATGTATTGTGTTACTTTGAATTTATTGTTGTACGAAAAACCTATTTTTATCTTGTTGTAATTTTAATTAACTGTATAGTTTACACATGGATATCAATGATTTTCCCTTTTCTATCATCCGAAAATAATATTAAGTTACTTACAAGAATCAATAGTAAATTGATCGTCATTGAATAAAAAAAAAAAAAAAAAAAAAGAAATCTTCAACAGAAAAAAAAAAAAAAAAAGGAAAAGGAAAAGATCTGTAATTTTAAGTTTTTTTTTTTTTCAGTCTAAAGCAGTAAATGGTAAAGACTAGATAGAAAAAAAAATTTCAAAACTCAAAAAGTGAGTAATGATACTCTCTCAGGTTCATACAACTAACAACAACAACAACAACGATGATATTACCATACCTTATATGGCCTTAAAACTCCTTTTTTTGATGGAATGATCGGGATACTGAATTTAGTGACCGAGTGTGTTCCCTTTGAAGGATATTCAAAAAAAAAAAAATATGTTCTTTCGATATCCGCAAAGGTCTACTTATAATAACTTTTCTCTTTCTTTTTTTTTTTTTTTTTTTTTTTTATTTTTCTTTGTTTTTTTTTTTTCTTTCTCTTCATATTTCATCTCCTTTCCTTTCTTTTTTTTTTTTTTTTTTTTCTTTTTCTCTTTTTGTATTTTTAACCATGCCACCACCACCTCATACACTTTCCTTATCTACTCATCATTCTTCTCCTTCCACTCACTTTAGAAGAGGTTCACTCACAACTGTCATTACTACAACACAAAAATCACAACGATTACCTTTGAATACTTCTCCTTTTTCCAAATATGATAAAAAATGGCGTTGGTGGCATTATTTATCTATTGTCATCTTGTCTATTGGTTTATTAGAATCTTTTGCCCTGACTCTTGGTTATCACTTTTTACAAGGTCAACCTTCCCCTATACGTATTGGTAAAAATAGAAACCCCTACTTTTTATTTTCTTTTATATTCATCATTCTCTTTTTTTTTTTTTTTTTTTTTTTTAAATAGCTGTTCGACAATATCCTTCTTTACCTTATCAACATTTTAACACATCTGCTTTGTCAACAAAATCATTATTACAAAAAGGAACAACAGTTTATCATGTTACAAAAGAATTTGGACCAGCAACTATGGGTGGTATGGGTTCAGTGGTTACATCTTTGGTGGCTGCTCAACAACGGTCTGGGAATACTGAAGTCGCTGTGGTCATGCCTTATTATTCTTTTCTCAAAAACAAGTTTGATATTGATCGTGTGGTAGATCTTGTTATTGATCTTCGAGACAAACAAGGTAAACTGGTACCTATTGAATTTCGTGTATGGAAAATGATGCATGTCTTCAACCCACCACCTCCACAAGCCAACATCACTACATATGCTATGATCGACGGTGTCAATACGACTATCATCACTCCTCCTCCTCCTGTGATTATTCCACATACTGAACGCGTCCCTGTCTATTTAATTGGTCCTGGTAATCGGTCTCCCTTTAGTCAAGCCTTCCGATGTCGTAATCCATTACATATCTACTCATCACCGGCTGGTTTACCTCAAGAATGGAGAGATCAATACTTTGCCAAGGCAGCATCTCAATTCCTTACTCATCAAGCCACGGCTATTGATGAAGAATCCTTGTTTGCTCCTCTTTTACGCTCTGCTCCCCATGTCGATGTCATTCACCTTCACGGCGCCACCAATGCTTATATTGCTAAATTCCTTGACGATAGACGAATCAACAATGAACTTGGTCCTACTCCTCCATCGATTGTCTATACCATGCATGATTATCTTGATGAACTTCAATACACAAACACAGTGGGAAATGTGAAAAAGTTTTTAGATGTTTCGGATATTGCTTTGAAGGATACTAGTTATGTTTATGGTGATCGTATGTTTATGTCAAGTTTGGGAATTGATCGTGCAGATATCGTCACTTTTGTTAGTCGAACGATGGCCTCTGCTATTGTGGAAGGGACCCTGGATTTTTATCTTAAGGAATTGGTCATGGATCATTTACTACTCAAGGCTCAACAACGTCGATTCTTTGGTATCAGCAATGGTTTAGATTTTTCTACTATTCATCCTTTCACCAATGATAAATTGATGACTCGAAAACTCAACTATCCTGAATTTGCTTGGAAACTCTTAGATGAACAACAAACAACAACAACAACAACAACAAAAAGAGTATGGCAAATGAGTGCAGTATCTAGTGATTTTGTAGCTACAGCAAAAGATAAATCCAAACGATTCTTAGTACGACGCAAGTTATTATCAGAAGAAGAAGCAAAACGACCTTTGGTACTTTACATTGGTAGATTTCAATACAACAAGGGTTTGGAATGGTTTGAACAAGCAACGGAACATTTTGTGGCCAATAATATGACATTCATCATCCTTGGTCAAGAAAACAACTATCCTTTTAGTAAACTGGAATCCCTGGCAGCCAAATATCCAGAACATGTACATATCCTCTCGACACCAAAACAACATCGTCAATGGTCCATCTTTTGTCGAGCCGCTGCTGATTTTGTATTTGTGCCCAGTCAAACAGAAAGTTTTGGTCTTGTTGCTGCTGAAGGATTGATGTTTGGTGCATCTGTGATTTCCACCGGTGTAGGTGGTTTACAAGAATTTCTTCATGATCGTCCTGAAACCAAAATGATGGAAGAAGAAAATGTGCCCATGTATCCTCAACCTCGTGATATCCGATTGGTGCGTGATAAAAAGACAAAGGTGCCTACAGTGACCAGTGGTGAACGATACAATGCTTATTTATTCCATGACAGTGAAGGACTTGGCAAGGCTATTAGAGATTGTAATTTGGATTATCGACGTTTGATGGCCAGTAAAGCATTACGTGAAGAATACAATCTACGCATGATCTCTAGTGCTATGGCGTTGGGTTGGGATCGACAAGGAAAGGGTCCTATGCATGAATATCAACATGTTTATGCCTTGGCCTTACATCATCGCTCTTTACCGGAACTCTCAAGACATGAAATGGAGGAAGAACAATCTCTTTTACGGCGTCTTTATCAAGCTGAAACTTCCCTGTAGATCTTTTTTTTTTTTTTTTTTTTTTTTTTTAGTATTATTATTTTTTGGACATGCATTTATCTATCATTCATTCATTTTGTATTATTTCCTCTATACTCCCTCTCTATTTTTTTTTTTTATATTCTTATTCTTTTTTTTTATTATTATTATTATTTTATGAATACAATACCTCCATAGTCTACTTCTGCAGGTCAGACTTGATCCATCATTAAATAAAAAAATCAAATACATCATGTTGTCGGTCTTTTTTTGGATTGCACGTGCTACTTCAAACCAATACATTTCTTAAAAAAAAAAAAATAACGACTATTTATTTATTGATCCTATTTATAAATATGTACATGATAAGACACTAACTAACATCTAAACTAAAAAAAAAAAAAAAAAAAAAAAAAAAAAAAAAAAAACATCCAAAAAGTGGTTCAAGAGAACATCTATCAAAAAAAAAAAAAAAATTAAGGAAGAAAAAAATTAAAAAAGAAAAAGATATCATCAAGGTCTCAAGTTCAAAAAAAAAAAAATACTTACATAGGGATTAGACCAAGAAGACTGATATGGATCATGTTGTTGCAGTTGTTGATGAAAATCATTCAATGATAAAACGTCATTATTATTATTGTTGTTGTTGTTGTTGTTGTTGTTGTTGTTGTTGTTGGCGATGGTTGTTGATGATGGTTGCGCTGATGAGAAAGAAGGTTGACTGTGTGGCATGCCGTACCTTTCGAAATTGTCGTCCAAAAGTCCATTGTGGAAACCTATCAATGTGGAATCTGGATTATACTGTTGTTGCTGTTGTTGTTGTTGTTGTTGTTGTTGTTGTTGTTGTTGTTGCTGTTGAGATGATGCCGAGATCATATCCAAAGGAGCAGTTTGAATACACTCAGCTGATTGCATTTGATATTGGTAAGGATGCTGTTGAGGAGTCATCATTGTTGAAGCATTGTTGTTGTTGTTGTTGTTGTAATAATTGGTAGGAAGCTGAGTAGATGTTTCAGTTTGATGTAACAGTGATGGATCATATACATCCAAAGGCCGTGCATGTGCGGAAGATGAAATCGATGACGATACAGATGCTGCTGATGGCGATGATGATGATAAAGGGGATGATACAGCACGATGCATTGGTTGATCAAGAGATGTCATACCTTCTGTCGATTCTATTGTCGTGTTTTCTTTGTTGTCAATCATCATGGATTTGAGCTTTCTCCAACGTAGACTTGTTCTTTCCAAAGTATAATCAATTGTTAAAAACCAATATTTTTCAAAGAAAATAGCCGGCAGTCTATAAAATAAAAATAAAAAAATAATTAACGAAATAGAAAAAAAAAAAATCTCAACACTTACTCCCAATTGGCTGATACAGAAGGATCTCCACCATGAAAAACAGCTTCATTCACCAAAAGTCGTAAACAATCATCCAAATCAAATTGATCTCGGAAGAGAATCATTCGATCACGCATATGAACTGTTGGAAGTAAATCGATTCTTGAGTCATGTGGTACAGTCAGCTATAAATAATAATATTAAAAAAAAAGTATTTGACATTTTATTCATTGTTTATTTCGTACCTGAAGTAGAGTTGGTTTGACAGCATAGGAAGGAGTCTTTTCACGAAGAAATGCAGATTGAAGTCGTAAACGAAGTCGTAAAGTTTGAATGGCGGCCATGTTATTAGCAACCACATCCTTTCTGAGCATGATTGGTTCAGGAATATCCGTTTCCATAGTGTCAGTATTATTGTTGTTATTGTCCATGTCATCTAATGTAGAAGAACTAACAGGAGAGGTAGTTTCTTTTTCATTCGTTTGTTGAGCTGCAGGATGACCAGGAGGAAGGTAAATGTCAGAAGTAGAAGGTGCTGTAGTGTTGTTGTTATCTTGAATCGTATCGTCATTGGTTGCAGCAGGTGAAGAACTACGACGAATGATATCCAAATAAGTGGCTATAGATGCTGGAGCTGATTCAGACATGATTTCAAGAGACTTTTCATCAACGTAAGGTGTATGTCTTGGAATTCGAAGTTTGTTCTTGAAGCAGACCAGTTGAAGTGATAAAACAATACCTTTCAAATACCAGTTTTCACATTTCAATATATCGTTTTCCTTGGCAAGAGTTTGACTTTTGTTGTAATATAGATTTCTTTCTTGTAATAATCGTTTTGTATCCCCTTCTAATTCTTTCATATGTCGTTCCTTTCTTTCTCTGAATGCTTTTTGAGCTGCTCTATTTTGTGCTTTTCGAAGAGCTGGTGAAGCTGGATTGGGTTTCCTTCCAGGTTTCTTTTTGATTTTTCCAGTTGCAGATATATAAGTTGTTGTTGTTGTTAATGGTGGATCCATTTCACTCACGTTATCCATTTTATATTAGAAAAAAAAAAAAAAAAAAAAAAAAAAAGAAGAGAAAAAAAGAAATGTTAAGATTCAAATTCAGGTCTTGGCCTCTGTATGAAATTTTTGATTTCTTTTTAATTTGTATAATTGCTGCAGCCAATCACTTAACGCACTTTTCAATTTGAATAACAATATATATGTAAATAATAATAATAATAATATAGAGTAATCTGGCAACCTTTTTTCTTTTGTATCATATATAATAAATAATATATATCATATATACTTAATCAGTCGACATGAAGGGAGTTTGAAGGTCTTGGCTCAATCACTTATTATTCCTTTTTAAGGCAGTTTTAATTTATTATTATTCTGATTACTTCTTTATAGATTTTGGTTATAAGAATTTCTTTTGCAATAGATCAAATGTTAAAATAAAAAATATTTATATCAAATAATAGTGTAAATTATTATCATCATCAAGGCAAGTTTGTCTGAGATTTAATTAATATCACACAAAAAAGGGAACTTCCAAGTATATATATTTTTTTTCTTTTCTTTTCTTTCTTTCTTTATTTCTTTCTTTTTGTGTGTTTTGACAACAAAAAGTCTATTTTTATTTACAAGCATACTATCCAATTTTATATAAAATGACACACTCTTTTATCACTTCCCATTTTTCTTTCTATCCTTTTGCCAATGCAAACAACTTGGATTCAAATCTGTATTTTACTATGTCATCTCACTTTTGCCTTATCAGCCAAAGGACGTCATATACAATATTATGAATTCAACATTACATCTCAATCCCTCAATGCTGATTGTTCCAACTATACTGAAACTAGGACATTACTAGTTAACAACAAGATGCCTGGGCCTACTATCACAGCAACGGTGGGACAACGCATAAAGGTTTTAGTACGCAACATGCTTCCACCTTCAACAAAAGCAGATCCAAAAGTAATTGAATATGGTGGTGGTAATACTAATCTTGTAACTATTCATTATCATGGTATTCGACAATATGGTTCCAATCAAGCTGATGGTGTCCCCTTTCTCACTCAAGATCCTATTCCTCCTTGTGGTCAGTTTTTGCATGATTTTGTATTGGATTCATCAGGTACTTATTTTTATCATGCTCATGTTGGTTTACAAGAAAGTTCTGTATTCGGTGCTATTGTTGTCTATGAATCTGATGCATCCAATCCCTCTTATCACTCATCATCTCGGTACAATCAATCAACATCTTCTTCTTCTTCATTGACAATCAAAGGTATCAACGGGTCACCCGATCTCACTTATCATGATGATCGTGTCGTTGTCCTCAGTGAATGGTTTCATCAAGATCGACAAGCCTTGGAATCCTACCTTTTGGGTCCAAACTTTACTCTGATACCTGAAGCAGATAGTGTACTGGTGAATGGACAGACCATCAACAATGAAAGATCCATCGTGTCAACAAATACTTTTCCTTGCCGTGGTTATTCTGTCATCAATGTGCAAAAAAACAAGACCTATCGATTTCGCGTGATTGGGGCATCTACTTTTCGTACCTTTGGTTTTGCAATTGCAGATCATCGACTACAGATCATTGAAGCCGATGGTGGTTTGATTGAACCTTATGAAACGGATTATTTGGAAGTCTCACCTGGTCAACGTTATTCTGTACTTGTACATATGAATCAACCCATCAAGGATTATTCTATTGGAACCATTCGACTTTGGGCTGCTGATGTGGATCCGACTTCCAATGGATGGGCTATTCTTCGTTATAGTCAAAATGATGATGATGATATCAACAACATGGCGGTATCTTCTCTTCCTCCTGGCAATCGTCCTCCTTTACCTACTGCAAATGTTCCTCTTTGGCTTTGGCCCAAATTGAAACCATTGGGTGGACAGCCTGATCCCATTGCTCTGCTACCAAAACCAAATCGAACAATTTATCTGAACACAACCAATGGACCTCTATCTACACTTCCTGGCTCTGATCGCTTCTTTATCAATGATGTCACTTTTAAAGATCCATCCAGCACGTTGTTATCTCAAGTATTACGAGGCAATCGGACAGTATCACCACTTTCATTTCAAGATCTTCAACAAGACGATCGACGTGGCTATGACCCTTATCTTGGTACTTATCCATTGGCATCTATGGAAGTAGTGGACTTTGTTATTCAAAATACACACGTTTCTGGTGTTCCTTGTAGATCTCATCCTTGGCATACTCATGGTCACAGTCATTGGTTGATTGCTCATGGTCCTGGTACGTATGATGAAGCTCTTCATGGTTCCTTACGCAATATTCCTTTCCCTGTATCTAAGGATACTACATTGGTTTACCCTGATGATAGTCCACTTGGTGATCCTTTACCTGATAATCCCATTTTAGGCTGTGGATGGTCCAAGATTCGATTGATAGCTGTAAGTGAATGGGAGAAGGAAAAAAAAAAAAAAAGAAGGGGGAAAATGAGTTTCTATGGATTCTAATACTCTTTTTTTTTTTTTTTTTTGATTAGGATAATCCTGGCATTTGGGCGATGCATTGTCATAATACTCCACATATGTTTATGGGCATGATGATTGTCTTGGAAGAAAGTACAGAATTGATTCCATCATTTCTCCGTCAACATTCAAAACTATGATTACTTCTTTGAGGATTGGTATCTCCTTCTCTCTTCATTAGTTTAGTAATCTTTGTATAGTCTTTGTACCCTTTTTTTTTTCCCAATAAAAAAAATACTTTTTTTAGACTCTATGATACTTTTCTTTCTAACAACGATATTTCAGAAAATCAAACGTTTTGTTTCAGATATTATTCTTGATGGTGAGATCTCGGATGATTCCGTGGATGGATGGATGTGTAATTGGCAAAAAAAAAAAAAAAAAAAAAAAAAAAAAAAAAAAAAAAAAAAAAAAAGATGGTGATCGAATGATGCCTGGAAGGTGATAATGATTGGAAGATGAATGGACGATCGATGTGAAGATGAATGATATGGCTGATCCATCCTTACAAGATAACGATCAAATAATAAGTAATAATAATAATAAAAGATTCAAGCTATAGATGACGATGATGATAGAATTTGATCAATACTCCCCCCCCAAAAAAAAAGAAAACCGAAATGGCATATAAGGAAAAAAAAAAAAAGGTTCTCCCTTTATCCATGTTCACCTCATCACTTGATCAAAAAGATCCATCTATTCCTATTATCAAACAATTCAATTCATCAAATCCTAATTTATCTATCATGACCACATCCCCCTTTTTTTTCAATCAGATAAAAGAAAAAAAGTCAATAACATTGTACAAAGGAGATATCAAAAAAAAAAAAAAAGTTGTATAAGCAGGTTTATTGTCAATAATGTGTATATAATAATAAAATGAAATGGATGAATCAAAAAAAATCAAGGATGAAGATTCACTAAACTAAAAAAAAAAGGTCAAGAATGATATAATGGAGATAAAATGAAAATGAGTAAAAAAAAAAAAAAAAAGGAGGTAGGATACATATGAATAAAATGAAGGGGAACGAGGGGGGAATAGAATACAAGATGTAAAACAAAAAAAAACAACTAAATATATCAATATATATAATCTAAAGCTTGATACTACGAGAGACGTGAGATTTGATACCAGTTGTTTCACCACCATAAGTACCAGTCAATGGTTTAGCCACTTGTCGTACATTGGCAAACTTCTTCATCTTTTGTTCATATTGATGTCTCTTCTTGACACGACCATTTCGGTTTTCCTTCTTGCGATGTGGAGTCAAGCCCTTGTTCTTGAGAATTTGGTAAGATGCCAGTCGTTTGTCCCCATCTTCCACCTTATAATCACTATCTATCAATGGAGCTCGTGTGGCATCATATGCTGCTTGTTTCATCGCCTTCCTTGAAGCCTTTTCCTTCACCACATTGACATAATCATCATCCCCTGTAGCATCTTGCATATCCTGCTCATCCCAATCTTGATCATCCAAATCCGCTGATGGTCCTTGAGGTTGAGCCACACCTTTCTTTTGTCGTTGTGTTCTCTCCTTGTATGGTAGATCTGAATCACCTTGGTATTTCGATTGTAATCTTGCTTGTTTCTATTTTTTTTTTAAAAAAAAATATAGAAATAAAGTGAAGAGTAAGTATCTTCTTTCTTTTTTTTAAAAAAAACATCCTCATTTACACTTACCGTTTCAATCTTGGCAACATAATCTCGAATGGATCGTTTTTTGGCCAATTTGTCTTCCATATCGACTAGTTCCATAACATCCAGATCAGCAAAGTCATTTTCAGCTGTAGTACGTTTTCGTTTTTTGACTTGATTCTTAAGACTCTTGAATTCTTGTTCAATATCATGAGGAGTAAGGTCTTGATCCTCTTCTTCATCGGCATCATCCAAGAGAGTTTCATTGTAAAGATCCAAACCATCATCATCTTCTTCTTCTTCCTCACTGGATTGATTCGCCATCGTTTTCTTATTGTTGTTGTGTTTATCCTTGAGACCATTTGCTGTAGGTTTTTTGATGCTGATTGGTTTGTCTACTGATTGAATGAATTCTTCAAGTTGAGATCCGAGCTTGGTTTCTAATTTGTGCATTTTTTCAATAGCCCCACGCAATTCCACCAATACTGCAATGACTGGATGATTTCGAATATCGTTTGTACCAGAGGCTTTAAGAGTGAAATAGAAGGAGATATTGGTCAAGTAATTCATCAGGAGTTCTAAATGAAAAATGAAAGAGTGAGTATATCAGATCATCATTCACTTCTATCACTTACGGTGTTGGAAGATAATAAATTTGGCAGCTTCTTGATCTTGTTTTCCATTTTCTTTGATGCGGTTGATCAAATCAGTCAAATCATTCAAAGTTTCATTCTTATCCTTGAATTCGTTCAATAAATCAAGTAATTCTGGTGATTCATTTTGAAGAATTTTAATTTTTTCAGCCACAGGAAGATTTTTGCGACGAGTAGCTACAGACGATGACACACTATCATAACAATAAAAAAAGTTTAGATAGATAGCATTATAATATATATGCTCTTTACTACTTACTCAAATGAGATATCATCCAATTCTTTTGTAACAGTGTCAACTAATTGTCTATCAGCTTCCTTATTTGCTTCAGCACCAATTCCCCATCCAGGTAAAGTATCGTCCACAAAATCAGCTTCATCCAATTCAGCCAGTCGTTGTTTCTGGATCTTTAATGCTTCTTCTTCTTCTTCACGCATTTCATCTAAATCCGATCCTTCGTCTGCATTGTAATAAGCCTTTTTGGAGGTACCCCATGTTGTTTCTATTCAATCGTTTGAGATCAAAAAAGTAGATATAGTAAGAACCTATTAGGAATCCTTAGTTTTTTTTTCAGTTACCTTCGATTTCTTCTTCTTCTTCATCATCCTCGTCGTCTTCTTCAGATGATGAATCAGCTTGATCGAGTCCGTCTAAACCATAGATTTCATTTTCGCTTTCTTCTTCTACAAATATATATATATATACATATAAGGTGAGTATGGTTGAATATATATATATATATATTTTAGTTGAAATAAATATAAAAAGGGTTACCTTGTTCAGGTTCAGCATCTAATAATATTTCACCTCGAGAATCATGAACTATCGAACATAAAGAAAGAAAAAAAAATTAGTGTCGATATATGGAGAGATATATTATGTATTGCTTTACATTCGTCTTCTGAATCATGTTCAATATCGTCCCAGGTATTGATGGCATTGATTTTACTATTGTTAACATCCTGCTGTTTTGCTGGCGCTTTACGAAAAACGGCTGTCTTTTTCTTTCCCATGATTATTGTTACTGTGAAAGAAAAGAGAATAAAGGGAAAAAAGGTAAAAAGCAAAAGAAAAGATCAGTTTAAACTTTTTTTTTTTTGGTAGCAGTCTGTGGCTTATTTTCAATGCAAACGAACTGCGACTCGCGGGGATACAAATATCAACCAAAGTGAAAGGTAAACCTATTCATTTTCTGTTTCTCTCTGCAACTTTATTTTTTTTTTTTACATATACATATAAAAACCATTATGGATGATGAGCTTATTGATCAAAAAGAAAGGGAAGCATTGATTCGACAAAAATACTTGGCACGAGCACCAGGGGATGCCGCCACCAAGGCTTACATTGCTAGTAAATATCTCTCAGGACAAGACGATGACAAGAAACGGAAAAAGAAAAAGAAATCAAGTGAATACAAGATACAACAACATGGCAACATTGGTATAGTAGATGAAGACGAATTTGGTTGGTCATCTAGCAATACAATGGATGGAGGAAAGAAACGGAAAAAACGGTCAACAACCACAGTATCAACAACACGACCAAATAATTGGCAACCATTAAACAATGGAATGGAAGTAGAAGACGATGATGAAGAAGAAGAAGATCGACCAGTGATAGTACAAGACAAACGAACAGCATTAATGACAACAACAAGAACGGATAATCAAGGTGATAAACCAAGAATGTCAAGTGGACAAAAAGCAGGATTGTTGACAAGTAAGGAAATTCAAGAGGAAGCAGCAAGGGCTCGACAATTGGAACAAAGGGCAATGGAACGATTGGCGGAAGAAAGAAGGAAAAATAATGATGATGATGATGGTGAAGAAACAATTTATCGTGATAGTTCTGGTAGAAAAGTGGATCCTAAATTGGCCAAGGCAGAACAAGCAAGACAACGAAAATTGGAAATAGAACGACAAGAAAGGAAAATGGAATGGGGTAAAGGTCTAGTACAAAGAAATGAACAAGATCGACGACGAAGACAACTAGAAGAGGAGGCTCACAAACCAATGGCTAGGTAAGTAAGGAAATAGAATGAAAATGGTTATATTAGAGAAAGAATCAGAGGAGGAACATATGGAAGGGAGAGAAAATGTGTTACTAGGAAGAAAAGGAGGATAAGGTGGAGGGAGGAAGAAAATAAAAAAAAAAAAAAAAAAAAAAGGGGAAGAACAGGAGATGTCAAATTTCATTCTTTTATATGTAATATCCCAATTACTTTGTTTAGGTATGCAGACGATGTTGAATACAATCAGGGACTTCGAGATGAAGATAGATGGAATGATCCTGCGGCGGGGTTCCTTACCGTAAGTACAAAAAAAAAAAAAAAAAATGTCAAAATGAGAAAGGGAAAAAAAAAAAAGGAATAGGGGGGAGATGAAACTGGATAGAATATCTAACGACTCTTTTTATTATTATTTTTTTCGTTTATTGTTTAATGGGATTTTATATAGAAAAAATCAAGTACATCTACTGGGAAAGGAAAACAAATGGTCAGACCAAAGTACAAGGGTGGATGGAAACCAAATCGATTTATGATACCACCTGGATACCGATGGGATGGCGTAGACCGATCTAATGGTTATGAAGATCAATTTTTATTACAGCAAAATAGTCGAAAATCCTTAGCAGCTGAAGCTCATGCATGGTCTACCGAAGATATGTGATCTTTTTTTTTTTTTTTTTTTTGAAATGTCTGTGTGTATTCGGCTTAAACTCCCCAGTCTATTCTCTCTCTCTATATATATATATATGATTTACTCCTATGATAGTTTTCCCCTCACTTTTTTTTTTTTTCTTCTTTCTTCTTCCTCTCGTCCCCCCTTTTTATTTATTTATTTATTCTCTTATACAAGATCTCCTCATTGATTCCTTTTATGTAAATATAGTATAGTATAGTATATTTATGATGATGATGATGATGAAAATAAACTTTGAGATGATCTTTTTTACTCTTGAAAAGATGAATATTTTTGACGATTTGACGGATATAATCTCCTTTTGGATTTGCTTAAATGAAAAGAACTCAGGGGTATGGGAGTGAAATTTACAAAAATCTAAAAAAGGAGGTATTTCATTGGTTTTCTTTCTTTACCTGTGGACTTGACAGTTCATCCTTATTGGATGATCCTTTACTTTATACCTTTTTTTTTCATATTAAAAGACAACAACAAAAAAAACAACAACAAGGCAAAGACTTACTAGTATCGGAAAGCTTGAAAAAAAAAAGGAGAAAATTACTAAATCTGGTTACTTTGATTTTCTTGTTTTTTTTATTTATTTTATTGATTTATTTTTTTCATATAAATAGTAGTTATGATTTTTTGTCAAATTGACAAGATTATTAAAAAAAAAATAATCATTTTTTTTTGACTTTTTATCAATTTACCTGATTTACTTCATATTACAACTTGAAAGTTTAATTTTAACCACTTTACCCACAAAACCAAAAAAAAAAAAGAAAAATTAATAATATCGAACATCATGATGCTTTCATCTTCTACTTGTACTCTTCCACCTATTTCTGATTTGTTTGCTCTACCTCGACGGGCTTCTAGCGATTATCCTTCAATGAATGGTGATTATTGTGAAGATAATGATGATCATTCTTATCATCATCATCGTACAACTAGTGCTACTTCCTCTTCAACTACTGGATCAATGAATTCAACTAGCCGTACTCATCATCCAACAAGTCCTCCCAACAAAATGTCATCTTATTATCCACCATTGAAGGCTAAACGCAAGAGGGCTTCACCATCACAACTCTCAGTATTAAACAGAGTATTCAGTCAGACTTATTTCCCATCCACTGAGCTTCGTATTGAATTGGGTAAACATTTGGGTATGAGTCCTCGTACAGTTCAAATCTGGTTTCAAAATAAACGACAATCTTTAAGATCAAGAACACGACGACTTTCCTTGTCATCTATGGAAAATGGTGATGATGAAGATGATTATATGGCTTATCCTCATCGATTCCAGTATGATGCCAATTCTCCTCCTCATACTCCTACTGAACCCAAACAACAAATGTATCATCATCATCAAGAACATTGTTATCATGACAACAGAAATAATGAATATCATCATCCTTTGATTTTACCTCCAGTTCCTAATGATTCACCTACATCATCATCACCTACTTCACCTATTACACCATCTTCTCCTATGGCAATGATGGATCATGATCCTTATTTTCAACATAAACATAAAATCAATTTACCTCCATTAAGATTACATCATCAACAACAATATCCTCCAAGTCCACCTTCATCAGCATATCCAAGTCCTATCTCCATTGATTCTATCCTCCAATAGGAAAACTTGTAATGAATTATCATTGATATTCATCTAGTTATTTGTATAAAGTCTCATTCTTTCTTATCCCCTTCTCTTTCTCTCTCTCTCTCCCCCATTAATTATGTTATTTATCCCTTCTTTTTTTTTTTTTAATTCCCACTCCACCTTGTATGCATCCTTTTCTATATATCCATCTATTTACGTTTATATACGTTTATCTTTCTTCACTTTCCGATTTATTAAGCGCCAGATTGATTTATGCTTTGTTCAAATATCATCCTCTTCCTTCTTCTTCTCCTCCTCTTCCCCTATCTATTATGTTGTCTTCTCTTTTTTTTTTTTTTTTATTATCATTATTATTATATATAATTCTCATGTTATTCATCATTATCCATTATTGTATATGTCTACTTTTTTTTGATTTTTTTACTGCTTTCTTCTTCTTTTCTTCTTCTCTCAGGGAGAGAGAGTTTATTTATTTATTTATTTTCATCATTTCATAATAATCTTAATAAAACATATCATCTCATTCAATCTAATTTTTTTTTTTTTGCATGAATCTGATTCATTCTCCGCGTCGATCCTCCCCTCTTCCACTAAAGGAGCGATTCTAGATGATGACAAAGATTGCTCGCGTTAAAAATAAAAAGAGCGAGCTAAAGGAATTATATGAGGGGGGGAATAGATTTGGGGCAATGATGCCTGTATGTAACAAAATAAACTACACATAAAACAGGTTTTTTTTTTAAAAAAAAAAAAGAAAAGAAAAGATGTTTTATTGACATATGTCTTCTATTACAAAAAACATGATAATATCCAAAAAAAAAAAAAAAAGAGTGATGATTATAAAAAAAAATAATAACAATATTATGAATGAGATCAAATTATATACATTTTATAATGACTCCATCAATCAATGGATTCATATAGAAATTCATTCGATCATCTATTTTTTTTTTTTTTTTTTTAGAACCGTTTCAAGTCTTCATTTACAAACTCCTTGAATTGACATCCTTCTCTCCTTGCTTTTATTTTTCTCCTTTCTTTCATTATACAAATGAAGAATAATTGTTCTATCATCTCCTTCCCCCTTTTTTTTTTTAACATTCAGAAGAAAAAAAAAAAACTTTATCTCCATTTTGCATAAATTATTCTTATTCTCCACAATAAGCTCGCGTTGCATCGTCCAAAAACAATCCTCTATAAATAAACTCTATGTATGCACCCCATATTCCAGTTCAAAAAAAAAAAAAATGACAAGTAGTCATTAGAAAACTGGCACGATGTTCTTTTTATATATATATATATATATATATTTATATATTGTATGATCGAGATCAAGGAGGAACGTAAAACACATTCATTTTTATTTTTATTTTTTGATTTTTCTATTGTATTATTTTAACTGAATGATAACAACAAATCTCTTGAATGGGTGATTGAATGATGACAGTGATGGATGAGTGTTAATGATGATGATAAAGATATCACTAGTTTCCATGGTTCCGTAGAAGAATGTAAAGCCGAGATATAAATAGCTTCCTCAGAACAAGTTCGGTACAATCCCTTTTCAAGTATGTATGCTTTACTCTTTAAGTTTCTTGTTTCAATTTCTAATCTCCTAAAGATTCTAAATTATTATTTTTTTTCCTAGTATACACATTATTTTATTTCAAAATAATAATAATAATAATAATTTGCGACTCTAATAACAATATTTATTCTTCAAATCAAGCGTAATAATACCAACGTTCATCGGGTTGTGATATTTCATCCTTGCTTTGCTGCAGTCCCTAGAATCATCCATCAAAAAAAAAAAAAAAGGATTCTGGAGTGTTAGTGCAAAAGATCCATATTTGTATATATATTCTACATCTACCTCTGTCACTTGCGATTTCTCCATCCCTTGTAATGTCCTGAAAGGTGAGCCTTCAACTGTGACATTAACCCTAAAAAAAATCAAGATATTGAAAATAGATTAGAATCTTCGAATTTTCCCTTTTTTGTCATCCCTATTATGTTTGTGCATCAATGTAATGAACTTACAAAGAGAGATCTTTCATTTCACTTTGATTACGAATCAATCGACGCCATGCTTCATGAGTTTCTTGTACAACGGATACAGCATAATCCTAAATCATAAAAAAAAATAAAAGATATTTACTATGAACTATAATAATATCGTTGTTTATTTTTACCTTGTTCCTGCATTCCCCATCAAAAGCAAATTCATTTTCAGGTTTTCCATCCGGTAACTTGTAAATCCTAAACCAACGTCTTGTAGCATCAATCAATCCTGGAAAATGTTGTTCAACATCCTTGATATCTAGATATTTACATATAAAAGATATATATACATCATTTCTGTTCTATCTAATTCCATGGCATATTTTTTTTTATGGTTTACCATTCAGTTTATTTGCCAAAGGATCCTTGATATCAATTGCCAATAGTTTCCAATCTGTTTCTCCTTCATCTAGTAAAGCCATTACACCTAAAATTTTAACTTGCTTGATATCACCACATTCCCCTACTTGTTGTCCAATTTCACACACATCTAATGGATCGTTGTCACCTTTTGCCTTGGTATCTTCATTGATCATGTTAGGATCTTCCCATGTCTTTAAGAAGAAGGAAAAAAAAACTCAATATCATCTTCAGAATCCAAACCCCTTAACTATATTATTTTAGTCTTACCTGTGGAAGAGCACCATAATTCCATATATAACCTTTGTAAGGGAAACAATTGCCTACAAATCGAAGCTTGCCCTTTTTCATATCTTGCTTGATAGGATTATAGGGTTCCTTGGTGCCTATCTTTTAAGTTATAAAAAAGGACATGAATGCATACCCCGCGTTTGTATCTAAATCAGAAGGAATATAGAAAGTTTTTTTTTTTTACCTCCACTTTGGCATTAGTCCATCTTGGTACTTCTACTACCATGTTAACAATAGATTTGTCATTGTTAGGATAAAGAGGAATATCATGAAATGGAGAGATCACTTGGCCATTGTTTTCTACATATAAAATCTGTCAATCACCCTTTCTTTTATATATATTTAAAGTTACCAAAATAAACGCGATGGTTAGGGGTAAAAGGTTGTCCCTTTGTAAATGTCTTGATAGCCATTGTTCTGAAGGTTGTATGTTGCCATGCTTTGGTAGTTGGTAGGAAACCTTTAGATAAACATAAAGAAAACATCATCATTTTTTCTAACAAAAAAAAAAAAATCTATAAGGAAAAATATTTCCATCAGTATGGAAAAATTTTAGAATGTAGTCCGGGATTTAAAAAAAAAAAAAAAAAAGCAAGAATCTAACTTTTTTTTTCTTTCCTTTTGACAGTATTAATCTATATTGTATACAATGCGACCTGATGAACACAAAGCAAAAGAATCACGAAGATATCAACAACGCAAGAAAAAACAAGGTGATTCTACAGCAGCCGAGATAGCAGAAGAAAGAAAACGTCGAGCTAGAGCTAATGACAAGGGAACAAGTATAGCAGCTATTCGACGACGCAATGGTGAACTACCTTCCACAACTACCCAGACAACTTTTACCAGTATCAAAACTGGTCAATTCTCTAAGCGTAAAATCATTAACAATCAAGATAGATATAAAGAACGATCACTACAAGGTAAGATAATTGAATAATAAAGAATGTGATGGACTTATTCTTTATTCTTTCTAGATGATATTGATCAAGATGCTGAACTAGGTATCGATCGTGAAACAACAGATTTAGTGACCATGTTGGAAGATGCTGAAGGACATTTATCTGGTGGATCAACTTATTTCAAATTCAAAGAAGAACAGGAATTATCTTCAACCTACAAAGATGAGGTAAGATGGCTACAATTGATTTATTTAATATATTTATTTATTTTATTTTATTTTATTTTATTTTATTTTTTGGATGTTTAGTCATTATTACAAGTGAATTTTGATGCACTCGAAAAGAAATTTCAACAAACAGAAACTAGGATATTACTTGGATTATCAAAGGATGATATGGATGTGGTAAGAAAATTATATCTGATATCGTACAAAAAGTTTAAATAATAACCTCTTCTTAAGATCGAATGTGCTTTTGAACAAGATTTTATCGGTTTACAAAAACCATTGATACCCGCAATGAACAAAACATCTCAAGGTGTTATACTATTGAAATCATCGTCATTGGAACAACAACAACAGTCAAAGAACGATGGTATTTATATTCGAAACGATCGGTCCAATCAACGAATAACACCAAAGCAGGATGAAAGAAGTGAATCAAATGTGAAACTAAAAGGTAATAATAAAGGAGGATAATACGCCACATATTATGATTTATTTATTACAAACAAGTATTTACTTGTCCTACTTGGATTTATTTATCATAGAGGATGAAAAAGAATTGGACGTATTACTTGGATTCGAGTCAACAAATAATGTAATCCAAGGTAAGACTTTATAAACATAGTAAGAAATTTTGTCTTTTTTTTTTTTTGTCTCATTTCTTTATTTGTAGATACCACCAAATCAACAACTGCAACCAGTACAAAATTAGTAAAACCGTCTATGCCAAAATTAAAAGGTAAAGCAAAAGCAGGAATAAAGGTGTATATATGTCAGTTATTCATGCTTACTTTTTTTGGTATGGTTAGTCCCAGGATCTGCATTACCCAAGTCTGTGATCAAGAATGACAAAAGCACGGATGATCAAGCTTGGTTGGATGATCTATTAGGATAGTTTTTAATTGATTGTGATGATGATGGATGACGATAGAAAAAAAAAACCTTGTATCAATTAGAATAAAATGATGGCGAAGATACCAATGAGTTGGACATTTGTTTGTTTATAAGTAAATAAAAAAAAATTGGATGATTGTATTATTTTGTCCCCATGATTGGTCTTCATTATGCAGTGTGTACACTATTTAGGGAAAAAAATGACATCTACAGTATCGTGGACTTTTTTTTTTTCTCATGACGATGATGCAGATGTCAGATTTTTAAGAGTCATCCGTTATGTATGATATGTGTTTGTTCGTTTTTTCTATATTTGTGAACTTATTTGATATATATATATATATATATATATGAAAATTTGATGTAAAAGTTTTGTACTGATTTACTAGGCATGATTGACCGATTGAATGAGATGCGGATGAAGTGATAGGAAAACGGAAACGAACCCAAATATGGCAATTTGCCCAAGCACCTGAGGCAATCTTATTAGAATAACAATGTATTTGTATACAAATAATCCAAATTTTTTTTTTTTACATTTTTTATTTCTCATATATCATGTGAATAGTACCATATTAAAAAAAAAAAAAAAAAGAATGATTCTAGTCTCAATGATATCCGGGGACCCCGTGCATTCTAGGACTTTTTCATTGTCGTACATATGATAATTTGAACAAGCGCTTTGCCTTGTTAGTGTATCCCGGTGGTTAAGCAATGGGTCACAGACCATCATCACATCATACTCGTGATGCCACTGTTTATATTTATCTATAACACAATAATCGATGAAAAAAAAAAGATCTCTTTCTTTTTTTTTTTTTTCAAAATCATGATATTCAATTTAACTGATTATCTTTCTATTATATACTAACATAATAATAAGTAAGTGATCATCAAAAGAATAAATGAGAAAACGATAATTTATTTATTCTATTTTTTTTTTTTTTGTTTATTCGTCGAATTCTATTAAACAATAAGAGACATGATATATACCGATCAATCCACACCTAGTAGTTTTGATTGGATTCGAAGATGGTGGTATTGGAAAACGCATCGACCACCTATGTGGTGTTTTCGTCCTGTGAAGAGAGATACAAATCAATCAAGTCCATGGCAAACATTTTCAAAATCAAATCAAAAATTATTATGGCAAGCATTTTATGATCATCATGAAATTCAAATATTAGATCCATCTATTCAACAAGGAAAAGAACTTGTACGTGTGGTAGTTCAAGAAGAATTGGCTTTTGTCATTGATCCTGATTGGTCTCAACCTTTACTTTATGATATCGCTTTGATACCTTATCATCATACGAAGAAAATGTTCAACATGCATCCATCCTTCCCTTCATCTGCATAATCTTACGTCATTTGTATTGTTACATTATTAACTATTGTTTTCCTCCTATTGATACATACATATATTTCCCAGTAAAAAAAAAAAAAAAAAAAAAAAAAGAGAATAAACATACTATGTAAATCCATCCCCCACCACCAAACACACGCACAATCCCATCATCACTTTCTAAACCATAATAAAGCATCAACTCCAAGTAAATGTGATGAATCAATCTAAAACCAAAATCCATATGAGTAATAAAAGACAGTGAAAGACAAAAGACATGACAACAAGTGACGCATTTATTGAGAGATAATTAAAAAAAAAGCAAATGGATGTGTCGAAAGTGGATATGTACAATGTGCTATAAAGAAGTAAGGAATATGATGATGGCAAGTACCAAACTGTCTTTCATTGTCGAGATTCTTCCATACATACAGAGCATCAAGCTTAGGTGGATAACCGCAACGTATAGAGGATATTGTAAATTGGCAAAATTGTCTGACTACATATACATCTTTGTATGGTGATACCGTGGACAAATATAGCCTACGTGAAAAGAAAAACAAACAAACAAACTTTGTGAGCACCTTCTTCTTTCTTAAAAAAGAAAGCAATAATTTACTCATCCAATCCATCGATAACGCTGATAATCTTGATAGCACCTTGTCAGTAAGTATATATATCATACTTCTACAACCACAATGAGCTTGGTGACCAAATCTAGAAGAAGTCGAGCATTCATCATAGCAGTAATACCCATCTTTTCTTGAATGTCCTCCACGGATAAATCCAGATATTCTTCACCAAAAATGTTGCCCATATCTTCAGGCATCCTTCCAGGTTTGATAAGCAAGATCTAGGATGCAGCCCTAAAAAAAATGCAAGAACAATAAAAACAATAAGGGTACCATCTCTTTTTTTTTAAAAAAAAAAACTCAGTCATCGTCACTTACAAGATGTGATATAGGTGAGTTTCCATATGGAGTTTTTGTTGACGATTCGCAAGAGAGAGCTGGAAGTCATAAATGGCTTGTGAAACGTCGAAATCATCAATTAAGTATCGGTCATTGTTCTGTTGAGACTTTAAAATAATATTGATAAACCGCCTATGGACAAAAGACTTTACTGGTTAATAAAAAGAAGAACATGAAAAAAAAAAAAAAAATAGAATAAATCATTACCAATATATCTACTTTTTTTTTTTTTTTTTTTTACCTGGTCCAAATCACAAAGAATCTTTTCAACGTTGTCTGGCAATTCGGGGTCTTTCTTGGAGCACTTGGATAAAACTTCCTCCCAATCATGATCATCAGATAGTTTATGGACACCATCATCAGTGGCAAGTATAAAGGGATGTACACAGTTATGTAATATAAAAAAGAAGAAAAGGAAGGATGTGATCGAGGTGGCGGTCCTTTCATACATACAAAGCATCAAGGTTAGCGATGAAATCGTGGATAACCGCAACGTACATAGGATATTGTAAATTGCGGAAATCGTCTGGTTACATAACCTAATTGAAAATAAAAAACTTTGTGAATACCTTCTTTTTTATTAAAAAAAATGATAATAATAATCGCTGTTTACTCATCCAATCCATCGATGGCGTTTCCAATCTTGATATCATGTCGTCAGTAATCGGATACGTCAACCATTTTGAGAGCAAGATCTTGTTCGTTCGAATATTTTTTGATTGTTGTTTTAATGACATTCCAAGAGGTACCTCCTTTTTCCATTCGTTGGTACTGTGTTCCACATCGTTTGATTCCATAAGTAAATACGCCGTCCAGACATACAATATTTGGTCCCAAACGCCTTCGCATTCGTCCTACATATATCCTTGGAAGTGCTGCTCATCGTTTTGCCGCTAAGAATAATAATAATAAAGGTAAGTTTCCTTGTCCAACTGCATCACTAAAACTTGATTCTTTTGTCACTTACTCTTTTTGTACAAGATTGGTATCATCCAAAATGATATCAAAGATATGTGCGATTTTACGATAGAATGTCAATTCACTTGATGCTTTTGAAGGTTGCTAACATCGTCAATGCAAGTTCGTACCACACGCCATCACCACGTCAAGCAACTTGAAATAATTCTTGATCTTGAGATTTGGCTTTATATAAGTCAAGCTTCATTTGGCATATGGCTTCATTCAAAAGGTTCTTTGTAAGGAATACCTTGTCATTCTTCCCTAATTGTTGATAAAAAAAGGAAAAAAAAAAGAAGAGGGAGCATCATAGTTAGCATTGCCACGAGTTTTTTTTTTTTTTTTTTTTTTTTTTTTTTTTTTTTTTTTTTTTTTTTTTTTTTACCTTCAGTTGCCGAAAGAATTTGAGTAACGCAATAGTATCCCCTTTCTCGTTTTTGTTGGTGGCAACAGTAACTTTGTCCATTCTTTCAAATGTCATCGCTGTTCCATTGTGGTAGGGCGTCATCACTGTCGTATCAGCGTATTCCGTAACCATATCCATAAAATAAAGAATGCATGCACAAACAAAGAATAAAAATACATCGTAAGATGGAACCAATTACATTGACGCGTAATAAAGTAGTAGGAATAAAAAATAAAAGTATGACTACTATAGATCACTAGTATTAACGATAATAACAAAAAGGTAAGAGATCATAGAATATAGATTTTCAAACTTTATTACCACTATGTGCGTAACCGACAATTTCAATTTCCTTCAGTTTCTCAGAATCCCATTTGATATCTTCGGCAATCATCAACAGCATATCCCGCATTGTTTTTGGTAGCTTCAGTTCTTCATCATGCATTCGCTTCTTGCCCAAGTCGCTATCGTAGATCGCAGATGTTTCAGTTCCACCATATTCCAGTGCTATACCGTTCGACGCCTTTCGGATGATCATGTCGGTCTTTGACCCAAATACCCTCGGTTGTGCTCTGTTTGCTATTCTTTTTCGTTCCCTGCTACCGTTGCTGCATGATTCACCCCTATCATGTACAGTAATATAAAGAATATATGTTTACCATGTTTTTCACTTTTTTTTTTTTTTTACCTTCAGTTGCCGAAAGAATTTGAGTAACGCAATAGCATCCCCTTTCTCGTTTTTGTTGGTGGTAATAGTAACTATTTCCATTCTTTCAAATGTCATTGTTGCTCCATTGTGGCAGGGCTTCATCACTGTCGTATCAGCGTATTCCGTCAGTATATCCATAAAATAAAAATAAAGAATGCATTCACTAACGAACGACAAAAATACATTGTAAAATGGAATCAATTACATTGACGTGTAATAAAGTAGTAGGAATAAAAATAAAAGTATGACTACTAATAGTCACTAATTGATATAACTAAAGTCATTATAAAGAAAAGGAAGAAATAAAATAAAATAAGAATCTCTTTATAACAAAAAATAAAAAATACGGACTTCGAAAATTATCATGCGGATGGTCCATAATTACTAACTAAGGAAGATACATATCAATGTGTAAAACACTCCAGGGCAGCTATCATGATAAATCATTACAGTACACGTATGATGTTTCATCACTTTCCCTATACAGTAAATAAAAAACAAATACCATATAATCATCATCCGATGACTGATAAAATAAATATCGTACTTTCCCAAAATGAATGTCGCATTACCACTTTTTCAGATATCGCTTCAGAGATGTCGGTAGAGTACATTAAAGACACAGAACATATTGATGATAACTTGTTTATTAATAACAAAAGATACAAAAGAAAAGTAACATGGGCTTTTTATATTTTTAGCAGCTTTGGGTGTTGTCCATAATTTTTTAGGTATCGATTGATTGACGATTGATGATTGATGACTGTATCATTGTATGAAGGATGATGGTATGATTGTATGATATGTGATAGCGGATGATTGTATGTTGGATGGTTGTATGATTGTACGATGGATGATGGAACATTGTCGTTAGTCACTGTACAAATTTCTGATAAAATACAGAATACTTCATTCTAGTTACCTTCTGACAGAACAACATTTTCTTTTTCTTTTCTTTTTTTCTTTGAAAAATGTCAAAACACTCTTTTATCAGCCAACATGATAAATCAATATAATAATGATGATTCATCACATCAATGGAAATTAAAAAATGGCAATAATAAGTATGCTGTGCACAATCATACTATCATTTAAAATAGAACAACTAAAAAAAAAAAAAAAGAAAAAAAAGAAAAAGAAAAAGAAATCTAGTCATTAAACTAAAACATGGCAAAAACAAGTCAGTATCATGTATCACTTAGTACATGGATATTGTAATAATAGAATTTAATGTAGAACATCTATGTAATTAACTTTATTATAGAGAGAGAAATGTTACTAATACTAAAAAAAAATGATGAAGTAGATACTAAAAATAATAAAGTAGATACTAAAAAGGACAAATGATAAATTAGATACAATAGAAAGAGAGAAATGCTGTTAATACTAAAAAAAAAAAAAAAAAAAACGATGATGAATTAGATACAATATAAAGATAGAAATGTTGCTAATATTTAAAAAAAATGATAAAACTCGCTTACATCTTGTCTCATCATTTTATCTACTAAAATTAGCTCATAATTGCAAGGGTGATTCATTTTCTTATAAAGGGATCCTTTTTATTTAACTTTTTTTTTTTATTTCTTTACATTACATTCGTCTTACCTGCCTGCTTTTTTGTCTGTCTTCCTTTTTCTTTGATCTGCCTTTTTCTATACAAGTACTCTTTAATAGTTCAAGCATCTTTGTCTGTTTCTCCATTGATCTACTTCTTTTTTGTTTTTGGGCTTGACCGTGGTCGCTAATGCGCATCTGCGTGGTTACGGTCAGCCTCTTTTTTTTTTTATTCAACAATTTCCGGGATGGTTATCGCCATCCTACTTTCGCTACGGCGATCTCGTTACACTTAAATGGTAAGCTAGTGAAATATTTTTATCTGGATAAGTATTACTCATTTTTTTTTTTTTTTTTTTTATATGTTAACTTGGTGAACTCAATTGGTGGATTTCCTTTTGTCTTTTTTGATTACTCTTTTTTTCATGATATCTATTTTCTTATATTCTCTATTTGATTATGCGACAATTATATCTTTTTTCTTCTGTCATTTATTTTCTATCCTTACGATATTTTATTCCCTATTTTTGCGTCATCTTATTCTTTGAATTCCGTCAATTATTATTGAATAAAGTGTACTATTTCATATCTTCATTCATTTCGATGTAGTATCATCCAACTTGATGAGTGCTCATGACTCGGAGTTGAAAAATCATAAAGTCCCAAAGTTCTGTATTATTTTTCCTTCCCCCTTTTTTTTTCTATCTCTCTCTCTCTCTCTCTCTTTCTCTCTTTCTCTCTTTCTCTCTTTTCTTTCTTTTCTTTCTTTTTTTTATGCATTCATTATATGGAAGTTCCTTCTATAAGTTATGATGATAATGATTTTCAAGATCCAATAGCATTCGATTCAACAAAACACCATAGATCAACTCGCTCTCACTTTGTTGAACTTGCAACCAAATGCTCTTTGTGTTCTACTTCCTGGACAAATAATGGATCTCATCGTATTATCAGTTTAAAATGCGGTCATGTCTTTGGTGAAAAGTAAGTAAAAATAAAACATGATCTTATTATAAGAAATACTCATTTTATTATATTCACTAGATGTATTTTAGACTTGATCAAACTCAACAGTTCTAATGGTAAAACCGTGTCTTGTCCTCAATGCAGGTAAGTTTGTGAGAACTATTCTTAATAATATACTGAATATCTTTTCATATAGTGCACTTTTACGGAAGAAGGATATACGACCTATTTGGCCAAATAAGGTATTTCAGGATAATGACTCTGTACTGAACGATCTGAAGCAACAACTGGAAGTCATACAAACAGCTCTCAAGGAAAAAACAAGACAACTAGACGATATCAATCAACAGTATCAGCAATGTCGACAAACTATTCATGAATTAACCCAAAGATCAGAATATCACGAAACTACAACCTACTCCAATCAATCATATAGTTTACCAAGTACTATTGACTCCATCGATGCACCCTTTCAACTTGTTGATACTAAATTACTATCATTAGAGGTAAAAGGAAACGAAATAAAAAAAAAAAGAAAAGAAAAGAAAAGTGAAGCAAGGTACTAATATTTATCATTAATAGCGTAATGTCACCCGTGTGATGACCTTGGTACCTGATCAAGAAATGGTGGTGTCAACGTTGAAGCAAGGAGCAACAGACCACGGTTTATACAAGATGAGTCTTCGGGATCTCCATAGCTGTGAATATATTGGTAATCATACAGGACTTGTGCGTGATATCAAACATTCTATGAAACTGGTCGATAATGGGAATGTGACATTACTCTCTACTGGACTGGATAAGACACTTCAACTTACATCAGCTTCTAATAATTGTATTCTATTATCGTAAGTTGATCCATCTTTTATTATCTGTTTGATTAATCCTTTTTTTTTTTTTTTGCATATAGACACACTCTCCCTATGGCTGGTTGGTCATGCGAATTCGATATCAAAAATAGCAATCAGTTTTATTGTGGTCTGGCCAACAACACTGTACTTGTTTTTGATATTAGGAATACTAAAGGATGTTTGATGCAACTCAACGACGACAATACTAATAATACACCTTTACATACCATGATATCCTGTCAACTTGAAGGTGATCACCAAACATCCAGTTTTCCCTCACTTGTATGTTCGAATCTCACACAAACGTATCAATGGCAATGGCAAGATAATCTACAGGAACCTATTTGCAACTTATTTCAAGCTCAAGAAAAAGGTAAATACTTTTTTTTTTTTTTTAAAAAAAAAAAAAAAAGAACATCAATGAACAAGTATAATAATGTTTTTATATATTTAAAATTTAGGCTATCAACCTTATGCCCTCGCGGTCGATCAACAAGAAATGACAGTAATGGTATCTTCTCGTTCTCTTGGATCTTCAACAAAACATACAGTTATTCAACAATCAAGTAATGAGTGGAATGTAATATGGGAATATACTAGTTCTCAATATCAAAAGGCCATGGCTAGGACGGATCTTTACGAAGGACTCGCTTGTTTTAGTGAAGATGATGGAACAGTGAGTATATATATCTATATATATTGTGTATTTTTAATTGAAGACAACTCACTACTTTTGTCGATAGATCAATATACGAAACAAAGATGATGCAAAGCAAACAATCGAAGGGAATCAAGATCAATTGATGATGGATATCAAGTTGGAGCGTATACAACATCGACACTATTTGATTGCATTGACCGACAATATGCTGAAAATCTACAACAAATATGCATGATTTTTCGACGTCTTGGTTTTTGATGTGTATGTGGATGACCGTGTTTTAGCAAGGATGAATTTAGCCGGATCAATGGAAAACAATTTCATGGTGGGGAACATCGGATTATTAAAACCAATTAAAAAACTATTTGGTGTTAGTCATGGGTGAGGCACAGCAACCGAAACTTTTACTTCATGACACGACATCTTCTATTGGTCAACATGATTTGTAAGTGGACAAGAATATTTAAATCGACCACTCTGATTGGCTCTTTGGATCTTTATGCAGTCAACAAGAATTTCCACGGTACGCTAATATATAGACCAGCTTCCCCTTCTGTATTTTTTTTTCTTTTTTGTTTCTCATTCTTTATACTCTCATACCTTCTTACATTACTCTTTTTATTTTTTTTTTATTTTACATTATTGAACAATGTCGTTTATCCCAAAGGCTCCTATGAATCCTGAATATTACAATCTGGTTATGCCAGGCATCACCTCCAAGTCTCGTGCCGCCGTGAACAAGCTTCTCAAGAGCAATCATGAATCTTTTCATGTTTTCTTCAATGACAAAAAGTTTCACAATCACCTTACTCATCATCTTCTTGCAGCTTATTCTTTTGGTGCCAATGAAGAACGACTTGAACAAATCTACAAGGACCATGCCAGCTATCAACGACCATTACCACCTCTTTTGGAACGACCTTTAACGCGTGAAAACTACCAAGTACAACTGGGGAAAGCGAGTGCCTATACTAGCTTTTTGAAACTCTTTGAAACAGAAATTGAACAACATGGTATCTTTGACACTATTCGGCGATGGGTTTGGTCTGGTGATATGTTATCAAGACTTGTTGGTGGAGTATATCATCCTTTAATTCATGTTGGTTATGGTGTTGAATTTGGTATTGCTGGTCAAGTGGCAGAAGGTAAGTTAACTTTTATATAATATCTTGATGTATTAATTAACTAACGTATTTTATTTATCTTTTCTTTTTCCTATAGGACTGGCGATGGTAGCTTGCACAGACTTACGATATAGTCCATGGATCAACGATAATCCTCCTCTTTCCGATTCTATCCCCAACGTCCCTTCTATCTCCACAATTCCTGTACAACGACCAGAATCAAAGGAAAACGACAAGAATGTATTACTCGATATTCTACAAGATATTCGGCAGGATGCATTTTTCGAAAATACTATATGCAAGGAAGATGAAAATCCAATTTCCAAACTCTTTTCTCAACCGCGTGTGGTGGACAAGATCAATGATTATGCAAAACAATGGAAACATGACAAACAATGGACAACAAAGCAAGACATCGACTCGCGTGTAAAGGAACTATATACATCAGTAGTGGTAGCCTATGGTGCAACAGGACTCTCTTCAAACAATCAAGTTCGTCTTGACTTCTTTTTAATGCATGCGTTGACTTCTTCTTATTTTATCCACATCTTGGTACCTTACTTGACTATTCAGGAAGCCGCATCTTTGGTACAAGCACATTGGTTTGCCACTCTGACCCACTATGTTGCGGTGGGACGACCTGAGGTCAGGATGGATCGTCTTTTGGATTATGTTTCACCCAATTTCAAGGATCTGGATCCTCAACTTCCTCATCGACAATGGTCTTGTGTCTTGGATGCAACTGTGAACGAAGAAGAACATGTCACCAAAGCTATTCGCGCCTGTGCCCATGCTCAAGATTTGTACAACGATGATCCTCTCTGGTTTGATGACAATGTTTATCTCAAGGTGGCCCAAATGACTTTTGATCTTCATGGAAATTGGACTTTTGGTGTTGGATTTGACCATTGATCACTATTGACTCCCTCTCCTTTATAGTTTATATCAAAAAAGAAAAAAAAATTATTTAATAAAATCATTTATCTTATTCTCTCTCTCTCTCTCTCTCTCTCTCTCTCTCTCTCTGTATATACACATGTGAGTTCTATTTTCTTTTTATAAATAGTATCCATTATTTTATTATTTTTATTATTTAAGAGTCACCTTTGTCATCACTATTGTCACTCGTAATCATGGTTACTGTCTTAACGCTACCATCATCGCCATAGGGAGAAAATAGAAACATTATTATCATCACAGACTCATTTATAAAAGCTACCATGATAGAAATGCTTTATCGATAGACACTAGAAGCGCAGATACTTTTTTTTAATATAACCATTCATTGTTCTTCCCACTTTGAAAAAAAAAAAAAAAAAAAAAAACCTATGGAGATATCAGAATTGTTTATTGATACAAGATAACTATAATGTCAAAAAATAATCACTATAAAAAGAACGACCAGTAACTGTCTATCTAACTATTTTTTTTGTTTTCCTGTTTTGTGGAGGTATATAGTGAATAGAGTAAAGCCGGTATTTTCCCTTTGTTGTTAAAAATCGCCACTAGTTGATCTCGTCTATCCAAAGTGAGTCGATCAGAGGGTTGCCAATGAAGCATCAATGCCGGTAAAAATGTCTGTTTGAACCATTTCGGTCGAAAAATCGAATCTTCCCATAAAGACTGAGGGATAACATTGGTGTCGCCAAACTGAGTAACAAGTCGCTGAAGATCCTCTGGTTGATGTCCCAAAACTGTTTTATTGTTACTGCTAGATTCCACGAGTTTGCCTTTACCTTTATCCTTAATGTTGTTATTATTGCTGCTGTCGTTGCAGGAACCGAGAAGTGTAGGATAATGCTTGAATGTCACATCTATACCTAATGCCAATAATCTCGATTTTGCTTGTGAAACGTAAGATGGTGTTGGTGATTTTCGTTGATCCGCATATGCTTTGGTATGAATCTATCGAAAAAAAAATAAAATAAATAAAGTTAAAGCAAAAGAAAATAAATACTAAAGATAAAAAAGAGTTTACTTGAAGAATAGCAGGCGTTTCATAAGGTATCATTGTTTCCAAATGTTTCATCCATAGCTGGTTTTGGCGTTTGGTTTTCAAACAAGATGTATCTGGATCAATAAACGTTGACTAAGGATGAATAAATAAAAAAGGAGACTGGATGAGATATTTTCTTTCCTTCTTTCTCCTTTTTTTTTTTTTTGATATCATTACCACAAACCATTGAGGGTATGTCAAAAGTGTTTGAAAATGATGTAGAGATATTTGTACCATGGATAATAAAAGAGCAATTGGTTCAGTAGGGCCTTGTATATGCTGTAATAAAGCTTGACGTGCTTGTTCCAATATTTTGACGATTTGAGTCGAATCTTGCCCCGTTTTCACTAATTTCCAACAACTATGACCAAAAATACCAAACATCACATTCAAATTTGGGATCTTAGTCATAAAAAGGAGAAAATAGTATGTCAGTATTGTCATTTTTACACATATGTCCTTTCATTCTTTTTTCTTTTTTTATTCCAATAGTACCTTGTCCTTTGAATACTGTGTCATAAGGAAATCAAACATAGAGGAAAAGAAAGGTATCACGGTGTCATCATCATTGGTGTTGTGAGATCCATCTAGCCATGCAGAGTTCTTTTCTTGTAACAAACTTATAGTAGCGCATTCACCTATCGATCAAAAAGAAAAAAGAAAAAAAAAAGAAGCGTATATATATATAACAAAATCAGCTATATGACATAACAACCGAAGTAAGAAACAATCCTTCATATTTTTAGAGCATACTTTGATCCGAGAAAAGTTGTGATTTGGTTGGTATCCATTTGGAAATCCTGGAGCTACTTTGATGATCATGACATGTAGGTATCCAATGAATCCATTCCTTTTCAATCCATTGTTTTCTTTCTTGCCACGATAAATGCTTCAGTCGTTTCATATCAGCCAGTAAATCAAAATAAGCCAGATAGACACTTGAGCATTTCACGTCTCCAATACTAATAGGATGATAGCAACAGGAAAAAGAAGAAAGAAAAAAAAAGAATATCAGTACAAAGATGTTGAATCAGATCTTCTTTGATATCCACTTTTTAGCACTCTTACCCAGGACTATAGTTTGAAATAACGAGACGATCTTGATCAAATAAAAGTTGCATCCATTGTTGTACCTTGGCTTTGTCAATAGGAACAGAAGAACTTGATGTTGTCATCAGTGTGATGATTGCTTCCAAATAATCTTGTACCACCAATATATTGTCCAGTTCTTGGAGACAGGCCACAAGAACCATGGATGACGATGACTGATGAAGTAATGGAAGTAAAAAAGAAATCAAAGGCATCATTCCATATGCTTTTCGAGACCAAGACCAATAGGATACCAGAAGTAAAGTCAATTGTGCCTGTGACATGGTGAACAGATTCAGAGCAAGCACAAATTCATCAATGGAAAAGAGTAATTGTCGTTGCAAACGAGCCATAGTAGCTAGTAGATCAGAGGAACACGAGTCATCTTCATGAGTTGCCAACCAAGTATGTGCTAGCTGTTGTGCTGTGAGTGTTGTTGATTCACATGTCGAGTTGACTGGAAGTTGTTTCAATGTATGCAGTCGACGTCGTTTCGATGCAGCTTCAGTATCGACTCGAATATAATAGTGAAAATCTTCAGGAATGGACTTTGTTGCCATGATCACATTGTTGTTGAATAAAAAAAAAAAAAAGTAAAAAAAAAAAAAAGAAAAGGCAAAAAAGGGAAGAAAAAAACTAAAGAATACAAATTCCAAAGTACAGACAGGAAGTTTATTTCAATTTTAAAGGTCCGTTTTTTTTTTTTTAGGCTATCATGAGAGGAACATATCAAGCAGAACCGGTGACTGTGGGTGGCATGGCAGTGGTAGTAGAAGTAGAAGTAACAAGAGTATCATCTGTTTGTTGATGTTCATGAGGAGTAGAAGAGGAAGGAGTAGGGATGGTACCCATTTTTTCACTTTGGATGCGTTTTGCTTCGTAATGGATAGTTGCAATATGAGCCATCGTTTGATTGGCCAAACCATGTACCTTTTGACCAGTAGGTGTATTCAATGCTTCTTGTGCTTTCTTCATGGCCAATTCCATCTTTTCTTGAATCTTGAATCTTTGATCCATTTCAACTGCCTTATCCCAAATACGATACTTTTCATCGAATTGTTTCACTATCCAAAAAAAAAAAAAAAAAAAAAAAAAAAATTGAAGAGATCACAAGAATATATCATTTTTGATAATGATGATGATTACCATTGGCTTGTAAAGTAGTTAAATAACCAAATAATTTTGTTGAGAATCGATATTGATTATCATACTCCAAACCTTTTGTTACAATATGATCTTGTAAGATATAACCACTGGCAAGGATTTCAGCTACAATACGTGATTTTGGTTTAGATTCTTGACTTGTACTTGCTTCACTGCCATCATCACTACCCTTATCATCAAATGAAAAACTAGATGCAAAATAAGGTGAGGCAGAGATATGTGATTCATCAATCAAGGCTATAAATAGGAACATATATCAGTCACCTCATAAAAATGAGAACGATGATGTCTTACCATGACTAAGAAGGGCGGCAGTTCTGGCTGCAGATTCTCGTTCAAAATGGATTAAAGCTCTTTGACCAGTTCCTTCTTCATCCCTAAAATTTACAATAGATATATACATATAAAAAAAAATAAGACATCCAAAGAAGAATTTTAACAAAACAAGAAAACCTTACAGTTGCATTTCAAATTCTTTGATTTTTCCACAAAATAAAAAGAACTCTTTCACTGTGTTAAACGCGTATGTGATAGAAAAAGGAGAGATTCAGTTAGTTATATCATTTTAAAGTGTTGATTCCATGCTAAGAACTATATTATCACGATGATGATGATGATGATGATTGTATGACACCGTACCTTTGTTCCCTGAGGATTTCAATGAAATATTATTCACAAGAATATAATTAGGAGAAGGAATCTCTGGCAACTATGGAGTTCAATCAAGTAAAAAAAAAAAAAAAAAATATGTACATTAAGCGAAGCAGTTAAAATTGATAGAATAGATGGTAATAGACAGATTTGATTATACCTCAATAGTAGTCCATCCAGCCATGTTAGTAATATAAATGGAAGAAAAGAAAGGGAATGGAGTGAAAGGGAATAGAGTAGAATAAAGTATATGAATAGTTTGTTACATTTTATAAGGTAGACCCATAAAAAAAAAAGAAAGAATATCAACCATCAAAGAAGTAAACTACACGTGGATAAGGGATTATCATATGAAAACAAAAGAATATAAACAATTTAAAACAACAATTCGAAACATGTTTGAAAATTTACTTTATTTATGGGACTAGGAATAATAATAGTAATAATAATAATAATAAAAACGATATAAATAATAACATTAGAAATGATAAAATAATAAAAAAAAAGGTCTATTGTAAATAACATGGAGGAGGATTGTCATCATTTTGCATCAAATGATTAATGAGATTGGATAGGTTGCCATGCTTGAGTTGTTCATTCCGTTCAATAAGACTATCAACTTCAAACATCTGTGATGAGGTAGCGTATGATGTTTCAGCAAAAGGGTGAGTTGCAGGAGATGTCACTAATGGCTCGGATCTTGGTGTATAAAGTTTGACGGTATGATCAGAAACTGCAGTTGCCATAATGGGTAAATGCGGATGACCCTATCATATGATATGCACATAAACCAGAAAGGGAAGGAAGAAGAAGAAAAAAAAATATGTTTTTTTTTTTTGTTTGTGAGAGATATGACAACAATTATTTTGAATATTTACCTGAAGTGCACTGACAGGAGAATGTCCAATATTAAACATTTGAATCACCTTTTCATTTGTCCTTTCCCATACGAAAATCATTCCATCGTCTGTACCAGAGAAAATATATTCATCATCTAATCCATAAAAGCCAATACTTTCACTATTCTATAAAAAAAGAAAAAAAAAAAAAAGAATTAATCCCCTTTCCATATTTATTTTCCGTAACTTACCACCCATGGATTCAAATGTCCTGTGTAACGATATCGATGTTTGATGGTAGGAATGCTGGATCCATTATCCATATGAGTTGATTCCGTTTCTGCGCTATCATGAATATTAAAAACATAAATACCATCATCAGACCAATTTACCATAATCTATTATATAATAAAAGAATTGTGAATAAAAAAAAAAAAGAATGATTATACCCCCTTTTTTTTTTTTTTTTTTTTTTTTTTTACCATGTCACTGTGAATTTTGCTAAACCGACAAACGTTTGCATAACAAATTTCATTTCGAGGTGGTGTATATTCATTCCTATTAACCAAGAGTTTGACCAATGATCGTTGTTGGTGATGATAAGGATCATCTTTGGATTGCCTTGAGATCATTCGTCGATCATGCAAATAAACGTAGTTTTGGGATCCCGCCACAGCCAAATAATGATGAGAATCGCTGATAGATACATCTTGTACACGTACTGGATCATTCCTCACAACAGGTTGTTGACTAGAATTGCTGTAATCAAGTAAAACGGAAGCACACGTGGGGGCATTATCTGTACGGCAAGAATGCCTTTGTCGAAAATCATACTGTCGGATAATACCTATATCATATATATAATACAATTAGGTTAGGTAGGACAATCATGACAAAATACATTCACATGTCAATATAGGTAACTATACCATCTTCAGAGCAAGTTATGATATCGTTTGTATTGTTGGCATTAATTGCTAGCATGGTGTTGGATGTTGAACAAGTAATTCTATCAAAGATTTGTCCATTGGTAAGATCAAATAGATATACAGTTCCATCTTCTGATCCTGAAATAGCATAACGATTAGATATATAGTTGACAGAAAAGATGGAAGCGCGACCACCTATACTGAGTCATAAATAAAATGTGATTAGATATTTTTTTTTCTTTTCAATGTTAAATTCAATACATACCAGTAGCAATACTAGTTGATAATGGTCTTGAAGAATCAAATGGTTGCCAAATATAAAGTTTTCCATCTCTTGATCCTGAAAGTAAATTATCACCTTGTTCTGACCAACTATAACATGATAAAAAAATGAATAACAAATAGTTTATCATATTTACTTACCATAGTGATGTTACTGGTGCTTCAGAAATAGGTCGAAGACTTGTATCTAATACCATACGATTTAGAAAGAAGGGATCACCATATACTTGACGACCTTGAATGTCATAAAAAAAATATAATAATAAAATGAGTCATGATGCATTTGAAATGTCCAAGTAATGAATCTTACTGAATTTATTAAAATGGGTTGAACGCGAAGTATTAAACTTGTTACATTGCCTTTTCCATAAGTAATCGGAAAGAGTAGAAGACATGATTTAAAAATATGTGAATAAAAAAAAAAAAAAAAGCGAAAGAGGAAGGGAAAAAAAAATGCATTATCAGCATGGTCAATTCGACAGAAATTCATTTGCCGCTCTAAACTATTTCAAGAGTTTCAATTTTTCTTTCCCGTCTTATTTTTCTCCTTTCTCTTTTCTTTTTCTTTCTCTTTTTTTTTTTTTTTTTTTTTCTTTTTTTTAAAATAAACTACTATCCACAATATGGGAAATTCTTATAGCTATATGGGTGATTATTACTATCCCTATGATGTAAGTATATAAACATACTATTGTCTACTCTATATGATGATGGAAGTATCTTACATCCTTCTTTGTATATTCTATAGTATGGGCGACGAGGATTATGTGGTAGTAGACGTAGATATGGTTACAGGTCAAGGCATCATCGTTTCTATGGTCCATTCTCTTCACCTTATAGTCATCTCTATCATCCGGCTTACTCACCGTATTACTACCCACCAACACCTACTTATTATTATCCAAGATATACACCCATATATTATAAAGCATGATCTGGAGTGACAAACAAACGTATCATCTGGTCCTTCTTATAGTCATTGTCTCTATTCTAGTTATTAGTTTTTTTTTTTTTTCTTTTTTGGTTTTTCTTCGTTTGTATACCCTATTCATTTAGTCTTCGATCTATTTGATGTATATAACCTTTTTTTTTTCTCTCTTTTTTATTATTATTATTTTCCTTCTTCTTTGGCTATTGAATAGCTATTTATTCCAATAAAGAATCACCTACTTTTATGATCTTCGTATCTTTCTCACGTGGATAAGCCCAATTATGAACGATGACAATGTGACCCCACAAAAAAAAAGAAAGACCTCCTTCAATTACATCGTGCAATGGTTTTAGTTGCTGTTTATGAACTTTTTTTTTAAAGTTTTGTTTTGCTCAGCCGTCTGTTTTATATCGTTAACCTGTATATACAATACTTTATCCTAACGTGTCTCTGTCTCATTTTAAACATCTATCATATATCCAAAGTAATGATGATTGTCTTTTAATTAAAAAAAAAAAGGAACGGATGTACTCATAAATCTTTACTATCGTGTCTATTCAAAATAATCCTTTGTTTGTTAGCAATGATTACCTTTGTTTGGGTGCCTTGTTACAATATTTGTTTTTACTCCCACACGTGATGAAACATGATATCATCCAATGATTCTTTTTGCCTTGTTGTCAAAATTATCCAATTTTAAAAGCAGAAGAAAGGATGAAAAATAGCAAAGATTATAATCTATATTCTGTAGTAATAATAATAAAAGAGGAATATTCATGTTTGTATTGAATTTGATGAATTCTGGAAAAGATTTGTTCAAAGATCAGCAATGGAAGTTTTAGAAGGAAAGGCGGGCTTGCTTTTTTTTTCCCTCTCCCGTTCTGCAGGACAATCCCTCCTTGTTTCTCTTTCCAAACTGGGAAACGTTTATTTCTACATCGGATCAAAAAAAAAAATACTTCTCCTTTTTTTTTTTTCTATTATCTGTATTCTTCTTTGATTTCATTGACAAACGGTGATGATGATGATTGAATGATGTCGACATCACTAAAAGGAGAACCATCATCATCTATACTAGTAACATTTTGACATCATCATTACCTTTTGTAATCTATCACCTAATTCATCGATGGTTACATTACACAGCATTGAAATAAATAATCGTAATATAAAAAATTAGCATCTTCACCATATCAGGAACAAACACGAAAAAACAATTGAGATGGTCAAGGTACCATGACACGCTTCGACCGGATTTGGCCGGTTATTCTTAAACTTACTGTTATTTCTTTTTCTGATCAGAGCGGTTTAATACAAATCGCATTGATATGCAAGGAGAAAACGATGGAAGTGGGGAAAAAGGAGGGGGGGGGGGACGGAGAAAATGAACATGTGTTTGGAAGAAGATGTTCTCTTTTATCAATAAAAATGTTCTATATGAAACAAAAAGAATACATATCCAAGAATGCATCTACAAAATACATTATCCATCATCAGTTCATCATCATCCGTCGTACCATCATATCATTATCATCGTCATCTTATGATCCTACATCCAACAACCTGTCAACAAAAGGAAACAAAAAAAAAAAAATAGTAACGAATCATCGCAAGAAAAAAAAAAAAAAAAAAAAAGAAATACAGATAATTTTTATTCATAAATATATTATAATCTACAGATCTGTCCTATAATGCATACTTTTCAAAGAGAGCGATAGCTCGACTATAATCTACATTCCCACCACTTAAGACAATACCAATCCGTTTCAATTGTTTTTCCTTGACCAATTTGTGGAAATCTTTATTGTAAAGAGCCACAGCAAGACCAACTGCGGCACTAGGTTCAATACATAGTTTCGCACGACTCCAAAAAAGCTGCATGGCTTGAATGATTTGTTGTTCTGTCACTGTAAAGATATCATCTACATGATCCACTAGTATAGGATAGGTCAATTCACCCACATTGGTCAATAATCCATCAGCTACAGAAGTTGCTCCAACTTGATTACATTGTCGTTGATGTCGTCGTCGTTTTTTTATATCATCATTGGTGGTAAGGACTAACTCATCTTCATCATTGTTGTTGGCATAAAAAGAACGATATGTATCATTGACCATTTCAGGTTCAGCACCAAAGACAGCGAGATTGGAACCAATCGTTTTGGCCGTCACTGCACATCCTGATAACATACCACCTCCACCTACGGGTGCAATCAGACAGTCTAATTTCGTTCCTTCTTCATTTGTTTGAGCTATGAATTCCAAAGCAAGTGTACCTTGTCCTGCCATGACATTGACATTATTGAATGGATGAATAAATGTGGCGCCTGTATCTTGTATCACCTTTTTTGCCTAAAAAAAAAAAAAAAAAAAAAAAAAAGGAAAATGAGGTAAGAAAGAGGAAGTATCTATACTTTTCATTATCTTATCTGTTCTCTACTTACCATTGTTTCACGCGCTTCCAAAGTAGGTTCACATTCTATCACTTTTCCACCATAACCCCGTACAGCATCTTTTTTGACTTGAGGTGCATTATTTGGCATAACTACATAAGCTGGTATTCCACGATCCAAAGCCGCTTTTGCTAAAGCTTGAGCATGATTCCCAGAAGAATGAGTGACAACACCTTTCGCTGCTTCATTATTTGATAATAGATTGACTGCATTGGTAGCTCCTCGTATTTTGAATGCTAAATAAAAAAGAAAAAAAGAAGTAATGATGAGTTATTATTGTTGAGAATAGAGATGTCATACTTACATCCAGTCTTTTGAAGTGGTTCACATTTGAAATATAACTCTATTGGCCATTGACAGTTATCGGATGCAAATAAGTCCAAAAGCGAAGAGGTCATAACAGGAGTCCGATGAACATGAATACGTGCAGCAGCAGCTTGGATATCTTCAATAGTGATAGGTTGAGGCGTCATTAATAATAATATTCGATATGTTAAAAAAAAAAAAAAAAAAAAGAAAAGAAAAGAAAAGAAAAGAAAAAAAAGACTGAATTTCAAATTTTATTCACAAGAAGGGAAAAAAAAAAGGCATAATAATAATAATGAGGTAATTCTAAAGCTGTCACTAAAGACTAAATACTAATCAGATCTCATTCCTGCTGAAGATGGGGAAGATATGGGAGGTGTTGAAGAATAAGGTTGTGGAGGAGGACGATTGAAACCACCAGGAGGAGGAGGAGGTCGATTAAATCCACCAGGAGGGGGAGGTCGATTGAAACCACCAGGAGGAGGAGGTCGAGGTGGGCCACTATAATAAGGACGAGGTGGACCTATTCACAAAAAAAAAAAAAAAGTATTTAAATATTTTTTTTCCCAATATATAAAACAACTTACGATTTAAATGACCAGTAGACATATTCCCAAAAGGTGGATATCCTGCAGGTCTGTTTGAATATGGTGCTTGTGGAAATGGTCGTGGTGGTCCATCTATTTCATAATAATTAAATATTAATCCCTTTAGCTATCACCATTTTATTTTAACTAAAAACTTACACCCAGGAACAAATTGACCATTATATTGAGGTGGTATCACTATAAAATGAAAAATAAAAAACATATTGTTAGAAACCAACTTTGTCCTCTTATGATCCTTTTTTTTTTTTCTTATACCTGCACTTGAATTTTCATACGCTCGTGTGATTTCATTGATAATAGCTTGTGCTTTGTCATGACCAATTTCTAGAAAAGAAAGGTAACTAGATCAGTATATCCACCAACATGTTTAATTCCATCCATTTTACCTTCGTAATATTGTCTAACGTTCAGTATATGATTCTTTCCTGCATTGTGACCTTTTCTTACAGAAGCTAAAATCAATAATGATAACAAGAAAAGTGTGATTGAGTAACTTTTTATTTAATCCAATCTTTTTACTTACGACTATCGTGTGTTAAAAAGACATCGCAATATTCTAAAAATGAAACAAAATAGTAAAGTGTGATTTAAAGTTAGTTTTATTCAGATCGCTTTGTTTTCGTTGATGATGTTTCTTTTGATCTTGTTTTACCACAGTAGTATTTAGGCATCTTTTCTCACAAAAGAAAAGAAAAAAGAAAAAAGTAGAGTAAAAAAGGAAAAAGAAAAAAAAATGTATAAAAAACAATTCAAAAGCTTTGGTCCATTTTGAACGGCGCCAGCTTTTTCTTTTTTTTTTTTTTTTTTTTTCTTTCTTTCGCTTTTGACTTCTCTTCTCCTATGACACCACTTGGTCGAATATACGCGTTTGCCACTGTTACTCGGTTCATTACTGTCTTATTGGGAATATTATCCTACATATATACAGGAAGTTATGATACATCAACAGAGATCGTGTTATCATCCAACCCAGCTTTACACTATTTCAACTTTTTGAATATCTTTGCTAGGTGGGATGCCATCTATTTTGTCCACATTGCAAAACACGGTTATGTCTACGAACAAGAAACTGCATTTTTTCCCTTGTTATCTTATTTGACTCGATATCTATCCCAAACAGGTATGAATGATAATAACAAGAATAATAAACAGTTATTCTATATTTCAAAACTAACAAAAAAAGGTTGTTATTCTTAGTGTTTCTACCGTTACAATCCATACTGGGGGAACAGTATACCATTGTCTTTATTGGTGCTCTCATATCAAATGTATCCTTTGTACTAGCAGCTGGATATCTTTACAAGTATAGAAACCAAACTTAGATCAATATAAAATAGAGGTTAATATCATTCTTTTTTTTTAAGGTTAACACGATCCATTTATCCAACAAATACAAAATTAGCAACATATTCATCTATTGCCTTTTGTCTATCACCACCATCAATGTTTATGTCTGCCTTTTATACGGAATCCATTTTTGCCTTTCTTAGCTTTTTAGGAATGTATCATGTCAGCAAACAACGTTTTTTACTTGGATCTATTATCTGGGGGATTGCTTCTCTGGCCCGATCAAATGCGATCATATACATTGGGTTTTTTATATATGACATTATTATCAAGCGTATTCGATACCATTCCATCAAGGTATACAAAAAAAAAAAAAAAAAAAAGATAAATTCATGTTTATTCTATATCCATACTCGATTTTCTTTTATATATATATATGTAATATAATTAGACTCTTATTATTGGTTTCCTTCAAGTCATGATATATTCATCAATCACATTATCTGGATTTGCAGTCTTCCAATTCTTGATTTATCGACAATATTGTACAGATGATATACTTGAACAACGACCATGGTGTCTCCAACTAGTACCTTTGGCCTATAGCTTTGTTCAGAAAGAATATTGGGGAAATGGATTCCTGGCATACTTTCAAGTCAAACAAATACCAAACTTTTTATTAGCAGCACCTATCATAGGATTGAGCATAGCAGGATTATGGCAATTTATCGCTAAAGATTGGACAAGATGGATAACTCTAGGTGTCATCAATGATGCTTCTGTTGGTAAAGAAGAAGAAGAAAGAAAGAAAAAAAAAAAGGATAAAGATTGACTCTTTTTTTTTGGAATATTATAGATGATACCTCATACACAAGTAATCAAGCCAGTGTCTATATGTATTTATGGACTTTCTTATTATTTTATGCTACTACATGCATGCATGTACAAGTTATTCTTCGGTTCTTCACTTCGTTACCTCCTTTATATTGGTATATTGGTCAATTATGGTATCAAGGTTTCCAAGCCAACCGCTCTTCTCGTGATCACTGGATTGCCCATAGCATCTTATCATATTTTGTATTATATGGTCTTGTAGGAATCATTCTGTTTTCTGCCTTTTTACCCCCAGCCTAGTTTTATTACCTTTTTAGATAGTCAGCTTTGACAAAAAAATGTGATACTCATAGAAATTACTTCATTGTTTTTAATAATATAATACTAGTTCTTTCTTTTTATTGACAAAAAATATATATATAGATGAATAAAAGAGACCAAAACTAGTATTTAAAAAATATGATTATCTAGTTTATTCGTAGAGTAAACCTTGGATGGGAGAAGAGTATTCCTTGACACCGTTGGGGAACCACAAGGCAATTTCACGTTCAGCAGAGTCAACAGCATCGGAAGCGTGGACAATGTTCTTACCACTATAGACAAAGAAAAAGAGGAAGAGTGAGAAACAACAATAGATACATCAAATGTTCTCTTTGTAAACTTACACGCAGATACAGAAGTCACCACGGATGGAACCAGGAAGGGAGTTAAGAGGGTTGGTTTCACCAACCATCTATAGAAACACGACCAAAAAAAAAAAAAATGAAGGGTAAGAAAACAGAAAAAAAAAAAAAAAAAAAGACTATATGATATGATAATATTCATTACCTTGCGACCAGTCTTGACGACTTCCAAACCAGAGAAGACCATACCAACAACGGGACCGGACAACATGTATTCAACCAAAGAAGGGAAGAAAGGCTTGGACTTCAAATCTTGGTACTATAAAAAAAGAAAAGAGAAAATATAAGAGTGATTAGATAATTTTGTTTTAAATAAAAGGAAAGAGTTTCCATATCAATAGAACTTACGTGTTCTTCAAGACGTTCCTTGGTGGGGTGGATCAATTCAAGGGCAAGGAGTTGATAACCACGTTGTTCGAAACGCTTGAGGATTTCACCAACCAAACCACGTTGGACACCATCGGGCTTAACCATAACATAAGTGCGTTCCATTTTAAATAATATTTTTTTCTTTGAAGATAGAGAAGAAAAAGAAGAAAAAAAAGAAAAAAAGTAAACAAAAAAATTTTATACGTATTTTCACTCGGTGCCTTAGGGATTGGATCACCGCATAGGACGGGTGCACTTTTTTTCTTTGATACAGTCCCCAATAATTACTATCTATTAAAGTCAATGGAAACAAAATAACTAGATAATCTACGGTCAACTATATATAATTTTACTCATATAAGTGTTGTAAAATGGAAATCATGAAAATAATATGATTATCTCTATATACAAAAAATTATCGGTGACCAAATCTTTTTCAACTAAATCTAGCTGAGAAATTTGAAAAAGAGTATTTGTTGTGTCTGTGTGTGCGTGCATGTATGTAATCCAATAATATCTTATGAGTTCACCATGTGGAAAGGGAAAAAAAAAGATATACTGATGATGAGAAAAATTTCATTCATGCAAAAAAAAAAAAAAAAAAAAAAAAAAATCTATCACAAAAAAAAAACCAAATTGGTGCCAAAGAAGCCAAAAAAAAAAAAAAAGTGGCTTGTACTGTTTCTTTGACCTTTTGGAATCGGTGACAGAAAAAAAAAACTCACATTTTTCAATCCATTTCCTTTTTCTTTTTTTTTTTTTTCTCTTTCTTTATTACCTTCTCTTTTTATAAATCATATATTATTACACACATATCATGAGACTTATCACTCACAACATGTTACAGTGCCACGTTAAGGACTGCAATACAAATAACTTTCCTCTCCGATTTGAAGATGCTGAAGTGGAATTGATTGAAGCAGATTACAACCCTACCTTTTTGGTCAATATGCTTCCAAAGATAGAATGGGAAGCTCTTGCTAATACTGCTGTTCAGGTAAATAAAATAAAAATAGGAAAGGTTGATAAACTAATTGACCTTGTTTTTATTATTACTCTAGCTTGGTATCAATAATGTTCCTTCTCAAGTACCAGAGAACGCTGCTGAAAATGAAGAATTTTTGAAAGCTTTACACAACTTGTTACTTGAAGTAAGTTAAATATACTGCGATTTTTTTTTTTTATTATTTTATGAACTTACCCTTCTCTTTATTCTTAAAGACTCATGTACAACAAGGTAAAATGGTATGCAATAATTGTCAGCATGTTTACAATATCAAGGATGGTATTCCCAATATGCTGTTAGCTGAACACGAAATCTAGATATAGACCCACCTTCTGTCTCTCACTCTCTTTTTTTTTTCATTATACATACTATCATCATTCCCTCTTCTCTCTTGTTTTTTTTTTTTATTCTCTACAGTCTTGTTTCTTTTTTATTATTATTATTCTGCATGCTTGTCAACTAATAAAGAATATGTACATCAACAATATAAATTTCTCTTTTTTCTTTATTCAATATGATATTCAACTTTTTTTTAACTAACTAATAACTAATTCTACTAGGTTATCAATCATCTAGCAGCAAAGGGTTCAGCAGAGGATTGAGCTTTACGTTGTTGTAAGCGTTGTCGACGACGTTCTTTTTTTTCAGCATCGATGGGTAGTGCACTAGGTGTTTGATCAACGGCGGATAATGGAGGCCATTCAATATTTTCTTTTTCCTTTTCCTTTTGAAGCGAGTCTTCACGTTGTTTTCGTCGTTGTTGAATGTCATTGTATACAGACCATGATGCAGATGATGAGAGTTCATCCGTATGTTCTTGTTGTTCTTCCAAAGCATCAGCATAACAAAGGAAGGATTGATCATCAGGATAAGTGGCTTGAGCATCATCATAGGCTTGATCAGAGGCTTCAGTCGTCATTCCCGCTTGAGGATGATGATTCAATGCTTTTTGATCAATACCCTCCGTTGCGTCTGTTGTCTCTTGAGCCCATGATTTCACATCTTCTTCGTTTTCCCCTTGTTGTACACGGTCATATGTATCATCGGAAGGTGCCATTTCAGGTGGTGATTGCCCTCCTGCTATCAATGATGATGATAATGCTGATGATGATAATTGTTGCATTTTTTTATCTTTCTCTTCAGTGGATGATGGGGTTAGTTCCATGGAAGGAAAGAGAATATCCATTACCTTGTCTGTCCAGGAATCATTTTCATGCTGATCACCATACTCATTGATTGTATCTGCTACCTTGTCGATCAAATTTCTATCATCTCCGCCAGCCATCAATGATGTTCTTCGAATAGCTAATAAAAATAAATAAATAAATAAATAATATATATTAGTATTTTAATATTCGAAAGTTAATCAATTATATTTTTTTTTTTTTGCTTTACCTTTCTTTGCCGAATCGTTGATACGATCAATCCAAGAATCTCGACGTTCATCCTTTACATTAGATCGAGCACCTCCACCATATTCTACATCCACATTGGCACTAAGACGTAAATTACGTCGATGTCTTTGTTGTTGTGCTCTCGTAGGTACCGCAGAATGAAAAGGATGAATTTCATGACTAGATTGTTGACCCTGTTGATCATCCACAGATGGTTGTGGTGATACCTTGACTTTTTCTTCAGATTGTTGTTCTTTCTGATCAATCATCACCCTAATATGATTATTGTAAAAAGAAGGAAAAGAGAAAAGAAGAAGAAAAAAAAAAAAAGAAAGAGAGAGAACATTTGCCTTAACATGGGTCGCTTTACTGCATGAAAGTAGCGGAGTCCAATCAAATAGATGCTTTCATTTGTCATGTTGTTGAAAAAAAAAAGAAAGACCTTTTTTTTCGCCAAGTAGGACTAGTTTTCCTTTTTCAATCGAAAAGATATAAATTCATCCACTTCGCTGCTTGGCAAGCATCAACCTAATAAAGGAAAGGATTCATCATCTTTACTTTCAAAGTGATTTAGATACTAACTCTGGAGCGGTAATTGAAAGACTTGGTTGTTGTACATCCATCCCTCACGATGTGTCAGTGGATAAAAAGAGTACAAATATATGATAATAATAATTGTAGTTATATTTCTGTTGATCATCTATGTTATATATTTCCCTTTTTTTTTTTTTTTTACTTTTCAAATAATAGGGAGTCTATTTTCTTTTTGAGCTTATTACGATATACACACACAAAAAAAAAAAGTCAAATGGTTGCCAAGACAGTGTGGAATTTATTTTTAGCCAATCGCTTTTTACCGATCTTTTTTTTTTAAATATCAGCACAGTTCCTTTTAGTTTTACTACTTTGCTTTTTTTTTCCCCTTTTTCTTTTTTTTTTTACTTTTCCTTTTTTTTTTTTTTTTTTTGTCCTTTTGATTACCTTTTTATTATAGTTATTTGATAACCTTGGGATGCGACATTTATTTGGAAAAGAACACAAAGAACAAAAATCAATTAAACTTTTGAAAAAACTACAACTTGAAGAAGATCAAAAATGGCAAGAAGAATTGCAACGACGTTTGGAACAAGAAGAAAAAGATGCTGCTTTTGCTCGTGAATTACAAGAACAAATGTCTGCTGAAGAATCTACAACTACACCAACAACAATAACAACTACTAATAGTACTACAACTAACATATCACCAGTCAGTAGTCCAATAGCAATGACTTCCTCTTCATTGTCTTCTCCACCTCCTTTGCCTGTTAAGCCTATCGCATATCATTCAGGTAATATATTTAAAAGTGTTATAAAAAAAAAAATAAAAGGTATCAATCTTTTTTTTTTTATTTGTTTATGTAGAACCCTCTTCGTCTACTTCATCCAATAGCAGTAATATCGATCATCGCTCTCGACCTCAAGTAGGATCTTCATCATCGACTGCCCAACGTGACGTCCCTCCTCCTCCATACCAAAACGGTCAACCAAAATTACCTCCACGAGAAAGAACAGTATCCCAAGTGTCACAGTATATACCATCAACTCCCAACTTTTCATCGAATACATCTACAGCAGCATCAGCTCCACCACAACCAACAACTTCACGCGTTACTCAACAAGAATGTTATCGACCTGCTCTCAATACTGCAGTGACTCCAGGTATTGGTCACCAAGTATTGAATCCCCAACCTTATTATCCTGGAACCCCACAGCCTCAAAGTCAAGTCTATCCAGTTTCCACTCCTCAAATACCACCAACTACACCAATGCCACCTACTACTTATGTCGATCAACATCATCCTCGTCGTGATCCTGCCATGTTGATCATACCACCTCGTAAGGAAAAACAACCTTCTCACAACTACTCTCCTGTCACCACAACTGTATCCAGTACGATACCTATGCCTGAACCAACGCGTACCAATTCACCGTTCTATTATTCCACAACTTACTCTTCTTCGTCTTCCTCTTCCAACTTGACTTCAACTCCAATGAATACAACATCTCGACCATCGTCATCGTCAACATCAGTAGCAGCAGCAGCAGCAGCAACAACAACAACAACAACAACGGCAATAATAGAACCTCAGCGTATACATACACCAGCACCTATTAACAATTTTCATTCTTTACCCACAACCAACGCTATTTCTTCACATACGATGACCAACTCAGCAATACATGTTTCGCCAAAAATAACAAATAGTCTACCAGTCACGAACTCGTATTTGATACAATCTGGACTCAAGCCTGATCAAAAAATGGAAAATCACAAAGAAGAAAGTGACAATAGAAAGATGCCATCAAATATGATCTTACCCACAAAGACATTAGAGGGAACGAACAATGATAATGTTGACGATGACGATGAGGAAGAAGAAAATGGATCTTTGGTCTGGGAACGAAATGATGGACGTATGATGTCTAGTACTCCATCTACCAAATCTGCTACCGTTACTACCACCACCACAGCCATGTTGCATACCAACGAAAAAACTGCCTCGACTTTTGATGGGATTGATCATCATGAAAAACATATTGTTACTAATGAAACGAATGAAGATTATGACTCTGGATCTGGATCTGATGGCGAGGAGGAGGATGATGATGGACATGATGACGCGATCGATCCGTTTGATATCAATGCCGACGATAATGTGATTATTCATCAATATACCAAATCAACACCAACACCACAATTCTATGCCCAAAATAACAATGATGATAATGTCGATCCGTTTGCTGATACTTTTGCTGTGGACTCCAACAAGTCAGAATATTTACTTCATGAACGATCAAAATCAGCTGGTGTCATCGATGTTAAGCCCATGTTTCAAATGAACAACAAAACATCCACCATTGCCAAGGTTCATGATCCACTATTGATGAGGGCGACTGGTGCTACATCTTCTTCTCAACCCACAAGACCAGCATCCACACTTCCATGGACCTCCACCTCTTTCGCTTCATCTTCAATAACTCTATCGACTACAACACCATCTATTGGTTCCACCATCCCAAGACCTGCATCTGTATACCAACATCCTTTACATCAACAAAAGAACGATGATGAAGATGATTTGATTACTCTGGACAGCGATGATATTCAACCTGTGATACCTACCAATGTTTTACGTGCTGGTGCTCCTCCTAATCTACAATCTATGATCAATCAAGTAACGGCTGAAGGTAAAGGAGGAAAAAGAAAAAAAAAGAAAGAAAAAGTGATAATATATTATTCGTTGTTAACTCCTTTTTTTTTTTTTCTGTATTCAGTTCCATCGAATGAATTTGGATATTATCATTATCAAACAGATAAACCTGGAGGAGAAAAAGAAGAAATAGAAGAAATCATTGTCAAAGCATTACCAAAGCTACCAAAATGTAAGTATAAAAGAAACTGGAACAGTTTCATCATACACTTTTTTTTTTTTTTACTTACTCTTTTATTGATAGCTAATCCTGATCATCGACATATCACTGTACCAAGTGTGATTGAAAATCAACGAGTTTGGATTCGTGTACATCCTACAGATACAGGCAAAGCATTGGCATCTCGCATTCATATTGTAGCCACCTATAAGACTCGTAAAATTCTCAGTATCACTACTGATAAAGGACGAAATATCCCTCTGGACGAAACACCTGTTTTCACTGATTGGGCTGGTGTGATGGAAATGGAAGATGGAGCTCCTTGGAAAGTGGAATGGACTGTCATGGATCATAATCTTTGGGAAGGACCAAAAGAATTCTTACGTTACTTGAAGACATCTTTACGCTCTTGAAATGATTTTTCCTTAATATATATTAGTTTATTTAATACACACTCTTTTATCATTTTCTTTTATATTATTATTATTATTCACATTTCATTTCATCATATCACTTTATATATAGTTTTGTAGTCATATCATTGTTTTTCAATAAAAAGAAACATTTTTTTTCTAACATCATCCACCTTAATTTTGCTAGGATCTTTTGTATGATGTTTATCGCTTATTACACCAAGTCTATGATGAAAATTTCGAGGCCACTAAAAAAAAAAAATGAAATGAATTTTTGCATTTTACAGCCAAAAATTTCAAACTCCTCAGCCAAATTTTGGCTGTAAAATCCAATCGCCAGGGAGTCCTCAGGCAATTTTTCAAAAAATCGATGAATTCTTTTGGCATGTATTGCACGTTAGTTGGTAAGGTAAGCAATAAAACGGGATTAGATGAGTTCAATCACTTTTTTAAGAGGAATCCAACGGTGGTAACTTTATTAGATGATGACCATTATTGGATGAAGGATGAGTATTCCTATTTTCTTTTTCTTTTTCTCTTTTTTTTTTCTCTTTTTTTTTGTTGTGCTGTACAAATTGGAAGAAAAGATATACTTGTTACTGAGACAAACGAAAGAGAATGATTTTATTTATGTTCAGTCCGAATTTGGTGCTGTGATGATCATTTTTGATCGAGTTACAAAGGCATACAGTCATTACCTTTTCACTATTTTTTTTTTCTAAGAAAGACCAAATAAATAGATCAAGACTGAGCCGATCTTGAACCGATTTCAATGGAATCCAATGATATCCGTTATTTACTTAAAAAATTTCTAATTCAAGATCTTATTACATCCTATTTTATTCGAAAGGAATGATCATAAAATGAATATATAACTATCACCATTTTTCTTCGAAATCATCGTCCTATATCAACCATAGAAAAAACTACAGAAAATCATCATCGTTTAAACTTAAAAGTATCAGAGACAGAAAATGTTGATCAAAGGAAAACTTCTGTTTTGGTCATCAGGTGCAAGTGCGACCATTAAAAGTCGCTAAAATAAAAAAAAAATCAGGAACTCTTCTCATGAGATCACCTTGCATTTCTTTATTTTTATTTTTTTATTGAAGAAAAAAAAAATATCATCAAACTTTGAGTGATAAGAAATCAAAAGTAAAAAAGAAAGATTTACTTCATATGATATGGAAGGGTATCTTGATTGTATGTAAGTATATAAACGTACCAGCGATGATAAGAGAGATACGGTTTTAGCTGAGTGTGAACTCGATTTGTACAAGGCATATAGTGTGAGAGAATTTGTGGCTTTCGTTTTCTTTTTTTTTTTTGCAGATAAAAAAAAGTTCATTCTTTTTTTCTTCTTCTTATTCTTTTTCCTTTTTCTTTCTGGTTTAAAACTCCCACATATCATATAACCATGGATCCCTCAAAATGGATTGATGTCAATATTGACAAGAATCATTATTCTCTTGATCATTTTGTTATTCCTAAACACTACGAACAAGACCTTTCTAGTATTTTGATTCCTCATGGTGTTATCATGGTAATATATGAGATAAAAAAAAAAAAAAAGAGAATATCTCACTCATTTGATAATATAGGACCGTGTTCAAAAATTGGCGCGTCTTATTGTAGATGAAAACGATGGACCTTTAGGTAAAAAGAAAGAGAGAGAAAAAGAAAACCATTATCTCTAAGTCTCATATATAATTATTAGTTGTATGCTGTATTTTGAAGGGTGGACATCAATATTTTGCTGATTTGGTCAATTGTATCAAGAAACTTACAACTACCGATGGTCAAACTGTACCTTTAAGTTTGGAATTTATTCGTGTCAAGTCTTATGAAAATGACAAATCTGTTGGTGTAAACATCTCTTTAACTGAAAATGAACTCAAAGACTTTGAAGGAAAGGTAACTCTTTAGAGAACAAATAAAAAAAGAAAGGATGGAAAATGAAACATTTTTTTCTTCTTCTTTTGTTTGGTGATATCTCATTCTTTTTTTTTTTTTTTTTGTAGAATATTCTTATTGTTGAAGATATTATCGATACTGGCAAAACAATGGTTGCCTTATTAGAACGTCTTCAAACTTACAAACCCAAGACTGTTAAGGTTACTAGCTTGTTGATCAAAAAGACAGAACGAAGTAATGGTTATATTCCTCACTATGTTGGCTTTGCTATCCCTGATGCCTTTGTGGTTGGTTATGCTTTGGATTACAATGAATACTTCCGTGATTTGGATCATATCTGTGTCATTAGCGTAAGTGGAAAACAAAAAAGAATGGATTGGATATACTAATAGATTTGTTGATATAGGAACATGGCAAGAAGGCATATGCTGTATGATAGTTTAGTTGAAATTCAGTTTATAGCTGGAATGATGGTAGATTGGAATAATAATAAAAAGAAATATTTATAGTCAATGATTATTTGTATAAATCAAGCTTTTGTTACCTTGGATTTTTTTTTTTTTAGTCAACAGGATATGATGATGATGATGGACAATGAAATGGAGGTAGAAGGGATGGGATAACAGGGAGGTGATAACGTGGGAAAGAGAGGGAGAATAAAGAATTGCATGGCGGGTTTTGTAGTCATCAGGTACAAGGATCAATGCGTGCATATATATATTTTTTATAGATATTGACCAGCAAATTGAAGTTTTAGTTTATTAATATAAATAGTTAAATAGATAATAATGATTAGGATGAGGTATAAAAAAAAAAAAAGGAAGGAGATGAATAAATAAGAAAACATAGAAAACAAAAATAAAATCTAGTATATAAAAGCATAAGTGGGATATATGGGATATAAAAATGAAATAGAAAATTTGGCATGCAGAATAATGAAAATATAAAAATTGGACCATAAAACTAAAAACTAAATCAATCAAGGTATCCATCTATCTATAAATAAGATAGCAAATAAAGTAAAATAAATAAATAAAAAAAAAAAGATGATGATGATTCTAAAAGAGAGTAGGTAAGGATAAATCACGAGGATCAACAAATTCAGAGACACTGGTATTAGAAGAAGGAAAGAAAAAATCAGAGAGTAAAGGGACTTGTTCAAACAAAGGTAGATAAGCATCCGTATTAGCATCCACAGAATTATCAACATAGGAACAGTCAGAATCAGGTTGTTTGATAAAATCAAAGTCATTTAGTTGTTGATTGATCCAAGACATATCTGTTGACAAAGGAGGATAAGATAACAGATCATTATTATTGATGATGTTGTCCAAGGAAAAGTATAAAGAATCGTATTGTGGTGATTGATGGCTGGAAGATACCGAGGATGAAGAGAAAGATGACATACTAGCTGTAGAAGGAGATGATGATGAAGAAGAACCTGGTGATGATGAGGATGGTGACATTGTCATATCATCATTAGTATCAACTGCAGTGTTGTTAAGATTTTCTGTGTCACCTAACCACGGTTTCAGAAGATGTGCCTTTGCTTTTGCTTTTCGTTGACGTGTCATGAGATCTTCTTTATGATGATAGGGTCGAGTTTGACGTTCGGATTTTTTGGTAGGAGAGTATTTGTAATTAGGGTATCTAGATGATGATGATGATGATGATTTAGTTATTGTGATTTATATTGAATTATTAACATTTTTTTTTCTTTTTACCGTTTAGCATGTTCAACTTTTGCTGCAGCAGCGATGGCACGATAAGGAGCTTTATCTTCCTCAGAAGCTTCTTTCCACCATTTAGCAATGATCTTGGAAATATCACGATGATTCAATTGAGATGATTTGGAAGAAATTTCTCGGTACTTGTCCAATCGAAAAGCCATAAAACAATTGATGGGTCGAGGGATTTTGGTATCATTCTTGATATATTTTTTAGTCTTGGCATACTTGGCTGCAGTCATGATGATATTAAATAAAGTAAAAGAAATAAATTAAAGATGAGTTAAAAAAAAAAAAAAGAAACGAAAAGAATTTGCATAATATATATATGTTTTCTGGTTAATCATCCCCCTCTCCAAAAATGAACAAGGGGAAAAAAGACACACATATAAAGTACAATAGTAAAAAAAAAAAAAATTCTGTGCGTAAGTGCACCAAACCTTATGATCTGGTGAAGTAACCTACTAGGGGGGGTGAAGGAGAGGTTCTTTTTTTTCTTGATACATCATCAATAAGAGTAGAAGGAAACTTACTGCTTTGTGCAAGAAAAAAAAAGTGGGCAAACTGATCGTCCAGCCAATCAAAAAGCTTAATGACATGGCACTTCGTCATGCAACTTTAAGCGGGTCGTTTAAACAAATTTTTTTTAGAGCCTGGTTGTCTACCCTTTTTGGTCAATCTCCGGAAAATAATATTTTTACTCGATTAGGAAGCCTTTCTAACTCTTATATCAAATTGAATATCGATCAGATCTTTTTTTTTTTTCATTGTTTGCTCTAATAAATGGTTAATTGTAAGAATCATTGCATTAAGGCAAAAATGTAAAACAAAGAAAACAAAATGATCATCATTCTTATTTTCTTACAATAGACGATGAAATGATCAAAACTTTCAATCACTACAATATGATAATAATAATTTTTTTTTTAAAAAAAAAAGACTTTGTATATGTCATCATTCTTTTTTTTTTTTTTTTTTTTTTGCAGGAAAAAGTTAAATGCTAATATTGAGAGGGAACTTTATTAAAGTTGTGCTCTGATCATTACAACGAATTACACAGAAAAGATCGCTGATTCAGGGTAAAAAAAAAAAAAAAAAAAAAAGGTCATCAATGTGATATGATTAAGGGTGTTGGTCAAAAATTCATCAGGTCAAATAATAACCAGTTTCTTGTTGTGATAATTGATATTTTTTTCGGTTAATTTCCTTTTTTAGTGCATGATATTTTCCCAAAATGCCCCTGCGTTCAGTGTAACTTTGTTTCGATCGTTCTTTGTATGTTTCTTAATGAATTGGAGGGAGTGAGAAAAAAAAACGTATCATCATCGTATCATTTGTTATGTCCATGTGCCTCACAATATGTTTAACAACTATTCTTTTTTTAGTCAAATCATCATAATAATTAAAAAAAAAAAAAAAAAAAAAGAAAAAACTCGGTGATATTCCTTTTTTGAATCTCCTCCATCGATCATCCATAATTAATGATGAATAAAAATTATCGATGGAGTATAATTCTATTTTTTTCATTTTCTTTTTTTTATGAACGGTGATTCAATGTTGAGTAGTACAAACTGTTTCCTTTTTTTATGAAATAATCCATTCTGTAACAGTAAAAATCGGAAGTTGGATGATCGTGTACAGGGTCACTTTTTTTGGGTGATGGTTTTCTATTTTTCTTTTTTGTATATGTGTGTAACTTATGATGATATGAACGTTTGTTTTTTTTTTGTTTTTGTTACTAGATCAGTACCTTTTTTTACTTTGGTTTACTCTTGAAAATGAGTGACTGTTAGTTCTTATCTCCTTTTTATTCTCCTTATATATACTAAAGATATATCATCCACCTATTCATTCATTCAGGTACTAAAGGAATATAAACTAAAGTTGATTTCAGACCACGCCACAACAGTAAACTTTTTTGGTGGTAGTACATAATGGATATTCTAGACACATAATAAAGGACAAAAGCTCAGCAAAAACTGAGATGAATGGTACTCTGATCCAGAGACTATATGGAAAAATGGAAAGTAGCTTCCGAGATTCTCTCTTTTCATAACTAAATACGGTAACTAAGCAAAAAAAAAAAAAAAAAAAAAATAAACAACACAAGAGAGAGGGCATTTTCAATGTACGACTTTTGAACATTTTTTTTTCTTTCTCTTTTCCCCCAACCACATTCTTTTTTTCCTTCTCTTTTTTTTTTTTTCTTTTCTACTTTTTAATTATAGACTTTTTTAATATATACCTTTCTTTTTTTTTATTTTTCTCCATTCATTCCTTGTCTCTCTCTCCCCACTCTAATCATAGTTTTATATCTACTCATATCTACTCCATTCCTTTTATACTTCTCTACCCACCTACTCTCTTAACAATGACTAATATCGAAACACATGCTTCAACGAAGAAACAACAACTTTTGACAGCTGAAAAACAATATATAGACCTTTTGAACTTTATAGACTCGGTATATAAATATATGTCAAATTTAATAGAACATGCTCATTAAATTCTTTTTTTTATTAGTGTTTTAAAACAGAAAAAGAAGCTTCCTTTCAACAATGGATATCAAGCATTCAAGACCTTCATCAAAAACATCAGCTCTTTTATAAAGTAAGTCTATATGAAACTCCCTCATAATAATACTTACTCTTTTTATATATTTATAGAAACTGGGCCAAGAGAATGACCTTGTGGATATTATGATAGATTTGGTAAGGAGAAGGAGTTCAAAGGGAGCACCAGTGGAGTCAAGAGCATAAAAGGAATATAAGAAAAAAAAAAAAGGGGAACTCAAAGAGGAGCTGGTCCATCATTCTTACCTTTTTTTTTTTTATTTGTATTGAATTCTATAGGGAAACACTTTGGAAACCTCTTATCTCGATTACACTAAAATGTATAGTTCCGTTCGGCAGCATCATGAAAATCTTCTCTGCACAACAATCAACAAGGTACAAAAAAAAAAAAAAAAAAATTGGAAAAAAAAAGGTCTAGGTTCTTTTTCTTTACGCCCCCTAATCACGGTCCCCCCTCCTTTTTTATGTCTATATCATTCCTTCAATAGAATTTGTCGTCAATACCACCTTCTTATACTACTAGTACTTTATTGGATGCACCTTTTGAACATATAAAATTGTACAAGTCTCTTTATATCGTAAGTGCGGCAACAATTCAAAAAAAAAAGAAAACAAATCATATAAAGTCACCTCACCTTTTTTTTATATATGTATTTCTCCCTTTTATATTCAAGTCATTACTGGACTCTTCTGATTCTATTCAACATTCCAGTATTCAGCAAATCATCCTTCATATAGATACTGTACTAAAACAAAAACCTCCTTCAACAATTGATTCCACTATGACTACCAATCTACTTGATTTTCAAAAATTTGTGGATTGCTCTAATGTTATTGATCTATTTACTGGTTCCTCATTGGTAAGTCTCGATCCATCAAGGGGATGAACGAATATTATTATAGAAAATAGAAAAAGGAGTACAGAATCTTAACTTTTTTTTTTTTACTATAGGATTATCAACTACGATCAAGGCCAGGTGTCATCATTTTACAAGATAACTTTTTGTTATTAGCTGACAACAATGATCAACCTGCTATTCGTGTTTATTTGGTATTAACATCCGATATTTTGATGATATGTAATCAAAAATCAGAATCAACTGGACGTTATGAACTTTTGTATCCTCCTTTGGCCGTCAACGATATCACTGTGCAACCTCTCTTTTTGGATCGTGAACTTATTGGTGAATATACTTTGGAATTCTCAGTTCTCAACAAGAAATTGGTTGTTCGTGCCGAATCTAGGGAAATACGAAATGCTTGGATCGGTATGCCTTTGACCACAACTGCTAAAAATGCCATCAGATCTGCTATTCCTCTCACCAATGTCGCACGTGCCTCGACAAGTAGTCAACCTTCTTCAATAGAAAACAAAGGAAATGATATCAAATCCAATTATCAGCCAATCATTTACAGTAATAGTAACAGCAACAATAATAATATTTCGCCCGTGGAAGCTCCTGATGATAACGACGATGACGACAATGACGACGATGAAGATTCTGATGGAACAACTGCATCGACTCCTAATTCGGATTATCCACATTCTTTGACTGAAAAGTCTTTACCTTCTGTTCCTTCTCATCCTGAACCACCAAAAAAAGACTTTGCGACACCTGTGATCAATATCTCATTACATGACGATGCTATCAACACTGTGCAACCACCTCCCAAACAAAATCAGCCACTGAAGCCACGTGGATCATCCATTCGAGCACCTCTACCAAATCCTGCTTATAAACCAAGCTCTCCGAAATCAACAACTTTGGAATCGAAACCTTTACCTAGAACTTCATCCATTCGAAATGGTACTCCTGTCTCGGAATCTTCAAACCAGCGATCTCAACCATCTCCCAACTCTCCAGTAGTCAACAAATCACAACGGCCTATTCAACAAATGAATCATCCTCAAGTTGCACCCTCTTCATCTCGTCGTGGTACTTCTCCAAGTACAAATGGTATTCCTACACATCCTCATTTACATCCGTCTGCTCAACATGCACAAAATAGACCAATGATGATGCCTTCACCTCAAGGACAACAACATCAACAACGTCCACCACCACAACTTCATCAACAATCTCATCAGCGTCCTCAACATCGTCCTCCTCCTCAGCATCATCATCATCATTCTCAACAACGCCCCCCTCCTCAGCATCATCATCATCATCCTCCTCAACAGCGTCCTGCTTCTCAACATCATCATCCTCAGCAGCGTCCTTCTCATCAACCACATCATCCTCAACAGCGTCCTCCTCCTCAACATCATCATCCTCAACAACGTCCTCCTCCTCAGCATCATCATCATCATCCTCAAGTTCGTCCTTCACCTCAGCATCATCAGCCTCAACAACGCCCACCCACACCTCAACTATCGCAACAACAAGTTCAACAATCAGCGGTGACGACAAACGTATCCAAACCTTTACCTCAAACAGGAGCTTCAGCGCAACGACATATGCCACCAACACCCCCACCTCAGAAAAGTCAATTCTCACCATCGAATAAAGAAACTCAACCTCAGTTATCAACAACACCTGGCTCGCGTGATTCTATTGGTTCTGCTCTTCGTTTATCACCAGAAGAATTGGCAACTCCTCCTCGAAGTGTAAGTTAAGATTCTTTCAATATAAATATCTAAACTAAACTTTTTTTTTTTTTTTTTTTTAATACAGCCCAATCCATATAACAATCAAACGAATGGGATTCGTCAAGTGTTATTCCGTAGTTTGAAATGTGAAGTTTTTCGATGGAAGGATGAATCTTGGTATGCAGTGGATGGACAATGTTTACTTGAAGTACGACAAACGTTTACGAACCGATCATGTATTGCTATTCGAGTACAAACAACAGGAGAGCTCTATCTTAATGCATGGGTGTTGCCTCAGACACAAATACGAGTTGCTTCGCCAACGGATGTTAGTTTAGGCCTGATTATGGGATCACAACAGGAAACATACCTTGTTCATTTTGAACAACCTACAGAAGCAACGGAATTCAATCAAGTATTACAGAAAATGCATCAAGCGGCAGTATTGGCGGCACAACAACCTAATGATGGACAACGTACTTTACGTGGTGAACCTCCTACAGAAATGATGTTGGCCATGCAAATGAATGATGATGATGACAATGACAATGATGATGATGATGATCTTGGAACAGCCGTTACCACGCTTGGATCAAACAATGTAACACCTTCACGAACATTGACACGTACAAGTTCATTGATGCAATCTGGACAAGAACCTACACCTATTCCACAAACGTTACAGGCCGTCATGCAATGCAAATGTAAATTATTTGTACAAAATGAACATTCGAATTGGAGTAGTTTTGGTAGTGTCCAATTGGTTGTGTCTCTTCAAATTCCCAGTCGACGCATGCATATTCAGATTGATCATGACAAGAAACGTGGGTTCAGTAAAATCATCAACACCAACTCTACATCCTCTTCTTCTTCTTCTCGTCCTTCATCCCCCTCTTCCAACAGTGACAAAAGCAATAGTCTTGCTCCCACATCGGCAAATACTTTGGTCAGTGCCACCGTCTACAGCAACAATGTCGAACGACTTGGATCTAAACGTATCTCCTTTTTGTTGGTCAATGAACAGGATCGGACTTCCAGTATGGTTTACATGGTGCAACTTCGAGATGAAGAATCTGGTAATACTTTACATGATTATCTCAAGATCAAAAATGCTCAAAATGGTTGGTAGAGTTACTTTTTTTTTCTTTTTTTTAATCCTTTCCATTCCTTTTTTTTTTTATATATACACCCTTCCCATCATTTTACTTACATTTGTATCTATTTCATATATCATTACCTTTTTTTTTTTTTGTCATTAGATGGATGGATTCTCTTCATCTTTTTCTTCATTCTATATCATCATGTTTTTTTTTTCACTCTCATTTTTTTTCACTCCTTCCAATCTCTCTCTCTTTTTTTTTATAGTGTTGACAACATTTATGAATAATAAAGTATATTGTTTTTTTTAAAAAAAAAGAGATGTCATTACAATAAATAGAATTTTTTTTTTATTTCAAAAATAGGAATGTACAAAAAGTATAAACAATCTATGATGAATGATCAACAAGATCACCAAAGATATGACAATGTTCTAAACTAAGGAGGGAAAGATCACCACCCAGAGAGGTATAAATGGATTCAAAATACAGTATCAAAGTTTTCAGACCAAGAAGATAACCATAATCAGGACCTTGATGTCGTGGAGGATAAGTAAATGGAAGAGGAAGACCATGACTAGTTGTATTATTATTATTATTATTTTGATCTTGTACATATTTTTGATGTTGATATACTTCCTTTTGAGTCACACAATGAGCAAAGTCAATGATACGCAAGTCAATATTTCGATGACTAGAGGGATTTCCATCGTAAATGATTAATAAAGAAGAGGTATAAAAACGATAGTCGTCCATGGTTTGAATAATGTTGGCTAATCGATGTAATCGTCGAAGAATGGTGGGAATATAATGGATTTGACAACCATGTCCATTGTCCAGATAATTTGTTAATGTTTGTCGGAATGTATCAGAGTTCAATTTTCTTCCATAATATTTATCTTGAAATAAAAATTTTTGTTCTTGTAGATTATAAACCTAATTAAATTGAAAAAATTGAGTTTCTTTTTTTTTTTTTTTTTTTTTTTTTTTTGCCTTTTTTGAATAAATTACCTGCATGCCACAAATTCGTACACCTAATGTTTTACTGGTAGATTGTTCACATTTAACAGTTTGACTTCGCATCTTTGCTGGAGTAGCATCTACACCATATTGTCGAGTTCCCATTTTCAAATCCAAAACACAAGGATATTTAACACCATCGGTTAAGTCTTCTAATAAGATGAATTTTTTACTATAATCCTCGGCTAATGTTGTTGATCCACCCAGTTGATTCGACATTGAAGATACATTGGGTTGATGAGAATCATGTTCTTGTTGTTGTCGCATTTTCTGTAGATCCTTTTGATAGACTTGCAAAGACCAAGGATTATCTGGTGTTTGTCTTGTTGACCAAGATTTCGTCGGAGCATGTCGGAGAGCAGTGGTGTCCACTAATGAAGGTTCTAATTCTATCACGTGGGTCGGCGGCAGCGGTGATGAAGATGGTGCATGTTGTGGAGTGGTTGGCAAAGAATCAATCATGTTGACAGATGGTGGTGCAGAGTAAGTAACGGATCGATCAAGATAAGAATCTTCTTTACTTTTCTTTTCCAATTTCTTTTGATCATCCATATCCATATCATCCATTGTAAATAAAATATCTTCATTGTCATCATCATTAGTTTGTTGATTGTCGCAAGGTAATTGAGAATCAGAAATTAAAGTTGGTCGTCGAGATTCCAAAGTAATACGATTGATGGTGAATGGTGTATCTGGAGAAGTAATATGACTAACAGTAGGTGCTGAACGTCCAAGTAAAGTATTATCCATTTGCATCCAAGAAGGGGCTCTTTGATCCAAGGAAGGTGGCAAAGAAGATGTTGGTGAAGGTTCTAAAGGAGATGATAGTGACGAAGAAGAAGAAGAAGAAGTAGAGTTACTAGTATGTCGTCGTCGTTGTTCCCAGTGATCTACGAATCGTAAACGTTCCCGTAAAGCCTTTGGAGAGAAAACTTCATGTAATACTTGTTCTTGAAATGTACGATGTGGATCAGATAGTGATGACCGCCGGCGTTTTTTTTCTTTTCCATAACATGCTCGCCAATTGCGTAAGAGATGTTTATTCTTGTCAAATACCACTTCAGGAAAAGGTTTTTTTCGTTGTTGTCGATAAGTCACATTGAGAATACCAAGGTTCTGACACATAAAAGGTAAAAGCTCAGGATGAGTCGCTTCCAAATGTTCATAAAAGAGTTGTTCTTTTCTTGTAACAGGTTTACAAATGGCACGTTTAGAGAATCGGAAGAAAGATGCATGTCCACCTACTTGATTATTAAATGGTAATAAAGGAAGAGAAGTTGTCATTTTAGTGGGATCAAAATAATGATCAGTTGTAGTTGGTGTAGTCACTTGTTGTTCTTGTTGGTCATAATCGCTACTTGTTGTACTACCAGTTGAAGAGTTGTCGTCCCATTGAGTATCCACGTTATCTTCATAGTCAGAGATGTTGCATTCCTTTGTTTTGACGTTCTCCATTCTGTGACATGAAAAAAAAAAGGATAAAAAAAAAATTGGGCAAGGAAAAAAAAAAAAAAAAAGGAAAGGAAAGGAAAAAAAAGGAAAGAGAAGAAAAAAAAAAAAAAGAAAATAAATTGATTTGATAGGCGACTCAAAATTTCTATGATAAAGGAAAAATAACAAAAAAGTGATACTACCCAAAGAAAAAAAGAGGGGTAAACAGTAAAAAAGGAAGGATATCCACCAATGAACACCTAAAACTTTCCACACGCACTGATAATAATATAGTTCATCATCAGGTGAATTCCCCCCATCGTATTTCCCTATTTTGGATTCCCTTTTTTTTATGTGGTCCGATTCATTTCAGAAATAAACATCAACCAATGATTTCAACATTATTTTTTATTTTAATTTTTGTTTGGCTACATCTACTAAATATTGTTCTAATGGTTTTGATAATTGCATAAATCCCTTCTTGGTAGCTAATCTATAAGCAGGCATAGATTGATATGTTCCAGCTTGTATTTTACCATCTTGTAATAAAACACTACCAATGATATCTTCAGGTTTTGGTATCCTTCCCCAAGGTGGTGGATTACGTTCATCCCCTATATGTAACCAGCTAAAATAAAAATAAAAAAGTTTGTAAGACAATAATAATAATAATAATAATAATAATAATAATAATAATAATAATAATAATAATAATAATAATAATAATAATAATAATAATAATAATAATAATAATAATAATAAATAAATAAATAATAATTATAATAATAGTCATGTCTTTTTTTTTTTTACCCTTCTTTTTGATATTGAGCCATTCCTTTCAAAGTACTATCATTGATTTCGTGAATATGATTAGAGAAAACTTGAGTCAAGTAGTTTAAAAAAGTATCATTTGGCATAAATGTCTTTGAATCAATTTCATCTTGTTTTGGTGTCCATCCTATAATAAATTCTGGGTAGTCTGTCAATTTTTTATCACCTAGATCTTCAGTTGATAAAAAAGATACAGGATATCGTTTATTGCCGTTCAAACCGTGTATACGTCCTATTCCTATATATAAAAAAATAAAATCAATTTATGGTATATTCCCAGTATTTTTATTTTTTTTTTCTATTTACCAAAAGTAAGATTTGACTTGTATCTAACATGTTGAAGTAAAGGACCAGCCTTCTGCCATCTAGTAAACATGATATAGAAAGAGAAGAAAAGAAATAAACAGAATATATATATAAAAAAAAGCGGTCATTCATATATATATCGTCGGAAATTCAAAGTTTTCCCAATCAAACACGTAGCAAATTTGTAGGCTGTTTGCAATTTTACCCTCTTTCCCTTTTTTTTTTTCTTTCCTTTATAACAACAACAAAATAAGAAGAAGACTTTCAACATGGTAATAAACTCATGTCAATGATGAATAATACTCGATAGAAATAGAAAAGAAAAAGAATAGTAGTCAATCATCTTTTTATGGATGAACACACTATTATATAGTGACCTGACAAACCTTTTTTTTTTTTTTTTACTACTTTCTGTCAACTTCATCTAATCTATTCTTTTCTTTTCTTTTATTCTTATTCTTAGGGTATGCGACTCGACATCAAGGTAATACAACAACCAAAAAAAAAAAAAAATAGAATAGGAACTCGAAAGAAGAAAGAAAAAAAAATAGGAAAAGTATATTGCCATCTGACATTTTTCTTTTTATGGTGAACCATCATCTATCAACACAATAACAACATTCAACAATAACTTAGCGTAAACTTTTGTCTCGTTCGGATCGTGTGAAATGTGTTGACATTCATCCAACTGAACCTTGGGTACTTGCTAGTTTATATAGTGGTCACGTATATATCTACAACTACGAAACACAGGTACATTGAAAAAAAAAAAAGATAAACAGTAGCATCATTTTAGGGTTGAACGAGAAAACATTTATACTAATGTACGACACTATATTCATTCCCTTCTTTTTTTTTTTTTTTCTAAATCTTAGGTTTTAGTCAAGACATTCGAAGTATCAGAAACACCAGGTACATTTTACGACAAGTTTTGTTTTTCTTTGATATGTCGATATACTGATGAGTCAAAATATCATTTTTTTATCTAGTTCGTGCTGCCAAGTTTATTGCTCGTAAGAATTGGATTGTTACTGGTTCGGACGATTCCCAAATTCGTGTTTTCAATTATAATACTCATGAAAAGGTGGCTAGCTTTGAAGGACATCCTGATTATATTCGCTGCTTGGCCGTTCACCCGTCTCAACCTCTTGTGATCTCTGGCTCGGATGATATGACAATTCGTTTGTGGGATTGGGAAAAAGGATGGAAATGTGTACAAGTCTTTGAAGGTCATCTTCATTTTGTTATGCACTTGACTTTCAACCCCAAAGACTCAAATACCTTTGCCTCTGCTGGTTTGGATGGTATGGTCAAGGTATGGTCTCTAGGCTCCAATGTTCCTAATTTTACTTTGGAAGGTCATGAAAAAGGTGTCAACTTTGTGGATTACTATCATGGTGGTGATAAACCTTATTTGATTTCTTGTGCTGATGACAAGTAAAGTGATATTTTTAGTTTTGTTTTTAAAGTGTTTACTGATGCTCTTTTTTTTTTTTTTTTTTTTTTTTTTTTTTTTTTTTTGTAGTTTGATCAAGATTTGGGATTATCAAAACAAGAACTGTGTGCAAACATTGGAAGGTCATAGTCAAAATGTCAACTTTGCTGCATTCCATCCTGAATTACCTATTATCCTTTCTGGTTCTGAAGATGGTACTGTTCGAGTCTGGCATTCTGATACTTATCGATTAGAAAACACCCTCAACTATGGGTTGGAACGTGCTTGGTGTATGGCTTATCAAAAAGGTGGAAACAATGTTGCTTTTGGTTTTGATGAAGGTTCTGTAGTGATTAAATTGGGTCGTGATGAACCTGCTGTTTCCATGGATACATCTGGAAAGATCATTTGGGCCAAACATTCTGAAATTCAAACTGCCAATGTCAAGACTGGTGTTGGTACGATCAAAGAAGAAGAAAAAAAAAGAGAAATATAATGATACATGTTTCTCACCTCTCTCTCTCTTTTTTTCTATAACATGTTTTTTTTTTTTTTTTTTTTTTAAAAAAAAATAGATGATAATATCAAGGATGGTGAACGTCTTGCTTTACCAATCAAGGATTTGGGTAGCTGTGAAGTATATCCTCAAACATTACAACATTCTCCCAATGGACGTTTTGTAGTGGTATGTGGTGATGGTGAATACATTATTTATACTGCATTGGCCTGGAGAAACAAGAGCTTTGGTAGTGGTCTTGGTTTTGTTTGGGCAGATGATTCAAATGTATATGCTGTACATGAATCCTCTTCTCGTGTCAAGATTTTCAAGAATTTCAAGGAACGCTCTGGTCTCTTGCCAAAACTCAATTACAGTGCTGAAGGCATTTATGGTGGTGCTTTATTGGGTGTGAAGGGAAATGGTTTTCTGAACTTTTATGATTGGGAAACAGGTGCGGTTGTTCGTCGTATTGATGTAGATGCTAAGGAGGTAAGCTATTCTTGAAGAGGGGAAAAAAAGTTTTTTTTTTTTTTTTAATATACATATTTTCTTCTTTTTGATTTGTTTATTAGGTGTTCTGGTCTGATGCTGGTGATTTGGTAGCCATTGCTTGTGAAGAATCCTTCTATATCTTGCGTTACAATGCTCAAGCTTACAACAACTTTATTGAATCTGGTGGTGATGTTGGTGAAGAAGGTGTAGAAGATGCTTTTGAATTCATCACAGAAATTGCCGAAACGTAAGAAAAATATAATACAATAATTATGTTGACTGATTCTTATATATTTCATTCTCATATAGAGTAAAAACTGGATCCTGGGCTGGTGATTGTTTTATTTACAGCAATGGCGCAAATAGATTGAATTATCTCGTGGGAGATGAAATCTTTACTATTAGTCATTTTGACAAGTAAGTGACAGAATTTTTTTTTTTACAAAAAAAAAAAGAATGATCATGATGAAAACATTAATGATATCATCTTTTTTTTTTTTTAGACCAATGTATCTTCTGGGTTATGCTCCTCGTGATAATCGTGTATATCTTGCTGATCGTGATGTAGGTGTCTATAGTTATGTTCTTTCTCTAGCAGTCATTCAGTACCAAACGGCTGTTTTACGTGGAGATGTAGAAGCAGCGAACGAACTTTTACCACAAATCCCTCAAAATCAACGTGGACGTATTGCCCGATTCCTGGAAACACAAGATATGAAGGAACTTGCATTAGATGTGTCAACTGATTTAGAACAACGATTCGATTTAGCAGTTCAATTGGGACGATTGGAAACAGCTGTGGATATTGCACGACAAGTAAACAATGAATCTAAATGGCGTACCTTGGGAGATGTAGCCTTACAAGCTTGGAATTTCTCTTTGGCTGAAGAATGTTTACAAAATGCAAAAGATCTTAGTGGACTCTTACTCTTTTATACAGCAAATGGTAATCAAACTGGTCTTCGTCAAGTAGCAGAACAAGCAGGTAATAAAAAAATAAGATTTATTATTTCTTTTTTATTTAATAATAATAATAATGTCTATAGTGGAACAAGGAAAAAACAACATTGCATTCTCAGCATTATATGAACTTGGTGATTTAAATCAATTGATTGATTTATTGATCAAGACTGATCGTATTCCTGAAGCCGCCGTATTTGCACGAACGTATTGTCCTGAACAAATGTCCAAGATTGTCAAGTTATGGAAATCCAATTTGGAAGATCAAAATAGGAAAAAGGTGGCTGAAAGTTTAGCTGATCCTGCTGATTATGCAAACCTATTCCCTGATATTCAACAAAAAGAAGAAGAAAAGTTGAATAGCACTCCAAATGTAAGCCATAAGGAAATGTTGAAATTTTTTTTTGTAAAAAATTCTGATATCCATTCTTTTTTTTTTTTTTTTTTTAATTTTGTAGGGAATCGACCTAGTTGAAGTGGATGAAAATTAAACTATTGATTTTTTTTTTATTATTGAGTGATCGAATTATACATTTTATACATCAAAAAACAAACAATAAAACATTGATCCATCTTTTTCTTTCTTTTGTTTCCCCTTTTTATTTCTCGTACCGATAGCTCCCCCTTCTTTTTTTTTTTTTTTGTATTACAATTCAATAAACATACTCTGATTTCCAAAGGTTTACATTTATTTTGTTGTCTTATAGAGTGATTTTTTTTCTTTTATTTCAGTGTGAAATGAAATTTGATTGTTGACGTGATGTCATGGATGTATTAAAGAAGAATAGAAAGAAATTGATCTATTATGCCAATAAGTATCAGTAAAAGAATCCCTACGATCAAAGGGCAAGCCAAATCAAAGAAAGAATTACTTTATCATACAAAGTCCATTTTCTGAAGTCTTGTAGTATCCAGTGCGGTAGGACTAATCAATTGAACCCGTTGGACAATGCTAATCATTTACTATCCACATCAAAAAAAAAAAAAAATAGGCGTAGTGATCATATCAACCATATGGGACGCATCCCCTGATTTGAAGATGATACAGTCCCCTTTTTATTAGAAACCAATTCATTCGATTGATGAAATGATATGAAACAATATTGGTTTTATTTGACAACAAAGAAAAAAGCGGGGCATGATAAAAACTATACTACTACATGAATATGTTTATGTAATGTTCATTTTGTACGTCTGTATTTGAGCCGAATATCCACTTCCAAATTGTCATGTTGTTCAATATACTTGTCGTATTCTTCTTTTGATCTATCATAAATGGTACGTGAAACTGTTTGCCAGAATGCCTTTTCCATCGATTTCATCTGTATGTTATTTTAAAGAAAGTGAATAAATAACTGTATTCAAGATGGTCATATTTAAACGTACATCATTATTGTTATTATTCTTCGATTTATCTTTGCGGTTACCGTTGATATTGCTTTTATCTTCATCAAATGTGATACTACCAATATACGAAGGGACAAGTTCAAATGTATTTTCAATCTAATTCAGAAAAAAAAAAAAAAAACGTGTTAGTTTTATTTATTCCCGTCATACTTGTTCTTACCATTGTCTGTTCTTCTTGTTTCTTTTGTTTTTGTCGTGCTTGGATTCTCTATTATTGTTATTATTTTTTAAGAAAAAGAGGATGAATATATGTTCTAGTTTCAATCTATGGTCCTTCTTTATTTTATTACCCTCCTTCGAGTCTCTTTGGCCTTTTCACTTTGACTATACTATTTAAAAGAAAAGGACAATCGTATGGCATTTAATAGGGCTCTTTCATCTTGATTTCCAATTCTTTTTTTTTTCATACTTTTCGTCTTGCTTCTTTGGCCTTTTCACTTTGAGCGTACTAATCATTCAAATAATAATAAAAAGTGTTTCAATGAATTATTCGTTAAAAAGTGGATATTTCAACTAATATACCTTTTTCCTTGATTCTCTTCCTTTTTCGGACTGAGCATACTACGAAAAAAAAAAGACTGAATTGTAAGTTTCTATTACTAGAGATCACTTTGGCATTTCGATTTTTGGATTTGTACGCTTCCTATAGATACCTTTTTCCTTGTTTCCTTGGCCTTGGCTGTTTGGTTATACTTATATCCAAAAAAGTAGTAAAACAAAAAAAAAAGATGAGTTCAGTTTTTAACTATGGTTTCAGTTGTTTCTTTTTTTTTTCACCTGACGTCTTGTAGCTTTTCCATATTCACTTTGACCATACTACAAAATAGAGAGAGAGAAGATTAGAAAGTGAAAGAAAAAACAAGTTTCTGTTACCTTTCTTGCGTTTTCTCTACATTCTAAACATCCTGCATGCCGTGGTTGAGTGGGGTCATCGTTTTTAAAAAGGTCGACACTTCTCCATCGTTTACATCTTGTACATTTATGGGTTTCCGTTACTGGTGTTTCTTGACAGGTGTTGAACGGATTCTCAGTGGAGGAACAAACAATACTATCGATCAGTGTATTTGGTGATGATGACGTACTAGTAGTGTCTGCAAAACCGTGGTTGGATGACGCCATGAAACTACATTCAGAACCGACAAATAAACCTTCATCTTGGGATTCAAATAATCTTGTATGTGATTGCTCAACTTCTAAAAAAATATATATAAAAAAATTGATAAACGATAGTTATATATATATTGCCAAGATATTACCTTGTTGTAGTTCAGTCATATGAATACGATTGATAAAATAAAAAAAAAATGAAAAGAAGGAAATCAATTCTTTTATGGGAATAATATAAAATATGGATATATATATAGGTTATAAATATATATAAAAATCAAAAATGAGGAAAGAAAAGAGGTACAATAAAAAGGAGAAGAATAAAGAAAGTCGACCTTTTTCATATCATGCAAATTTCAAATTCCGGTCTTTTTTTGTTATTATTATTATTGCTATCATGATGATGGTTTAACTGGTGATGATCATACTTGGTGTCATGATGATGGTCATGATACTGATGATGATCACGGATAAAAAAAAAATGGATTGATCATTGATAAAAAAAAGATCGATGACATGTTGATGATAATCAATACATATGATACATTGAATCAAAAAAAAAAATGAGGGGAATTATTGATTAAATCTGATGATGATGATGATATTTATGACATATGATGATTCTTTTTTTTTTCTTCTTCTTCTTATGATGATGATACAAGAAATATATCAATGACGAATCAATCATAAGATACAAACTGATCCCAATGTTTGGAATGCAGGAGAATGAAGTATGGCGAACATTCTTTTTCTTGTCTAGGAAGAAAACGTGGGTTTCACCTCCTCTTTCCTTGAACATTTCTATTTTTTTATTTACATATATATATGAACATATATTAGAGTTAAAATAGGAGCTTCCTTACTTGGTAATTCAAAATGTCCTGATTGCGCGGACATGATCCGTTTTCCCTTTTTCCATTTCCCCTCCGTGGATGTCTATATTTGGATCAACAATAAAATGTATAGTATCACCAAGATTCCAAAGCACAAATCAATACAGTAATCAACTGAAAAGAAAAAAAAAGTTTTTAATAAGTAAGAACAATACCAGAAAGGGAATGAAAGAATCCTTCATGGAGGATGATAATCTAAAAGTATGGGTCTACATCAAAAAAAAAAAAAAGAGTTGGAGGAAAGATATATAAAATAAAAAAAAAAAAGAAAGAGGGGTAATAGTAATAATCATAATAATAACAATAATAATAAATTATATAAATAACAATAATGATGTATGTGATATAAAGAAAAATATATATCTAAACTAGGAAATGATACACTTGGCCTTGCTGAATTTCTTGAATTTTTTCTTTTCAGATTTTTCTTCGACTTTTTTGGTAGTATCGGAAGAAGTAGTAGAGGATTCCTTGACAGTATCAGCTTTGGGAGAAGGAGTAGTATCGGCATCAACAACAGGAGAAGCAATATCAGTAGATTCCACAGTAGATTCGATAATGTCTTCTTGTTCATCTTTGGGAGTATAGAAAGGATAATCAATATAACCTTCAGTACCTTGAGTATAAAAAGTGGGACGATGATACTTATTGAGGGGCCAGTCATGACGGATACGTTCGACAAGATCAGGATTAGCAATAAAAATACGACCGAAAGCCAATAGATTGTTGGGGCATTCGTCACACAACTTGATGGCTTTCTTGGGGTCGGTGTATCCACCAGCAGTAATGAAGGGGCCTTGCCAGATCTTACGGAAAGGATCTAGAGATTCATGCGATTCTAAAATTTCATCCGAATGTCCACCTTCACGAGATTCAATATAATGGATATAAGCCAAATCAGGGTGATTATCTTGTAATTGTTGAGTAATATAGGACCATGTTTCCACAGGGGTATCATCTTCCATATCTTGGAATCCAGACCATGGTGAGAGTCGAATAGATGTCTTCTTGGCACCAATGGCACTTACTACAGCATCCACCACTTCCAAAGCAAATCTTGCTCGATTTTCAATAGAACCACCATATCGATCAGTACGTTTGTTACTTGATGTATTAATGAATTGATCAATTAGATAACCATTTCCACCATGAATTTCAATACCTATCAAAAAAAAAAAAAAAAAAAGATCATCAATATTAACATGTGATTATTTTTTTTTGTTTTTTTTACCATCGAATCCGGCTTTCATAGCATTTTCAGCCGCCTTGACAAAATCTTGAATAGTAACTTGGATTTCTTCTTCAGTAAGAGGATGAGGTACTTCAAAGTCATCACCAAGTAAACTTTTACCATTGATAGCAATAGCCGAAGCAGAAACAGGGGTCAAGTTGTTGGGTAAGATCTTGGAATGAGTAGCACGACCAATATGCCAAAGTTGACTGAAGATAAGACCACCTTTAGCGTGAACAGCATCAGTGACTCGTCGCCATCCTTCAATATGTTCTTCAGTATAAATCCCAGGAGCATACTTGTAACCATGAGCAACAGGAGAAATCACGGTAGCTTCCGTAATCAATAAACCACCTTTAGTGGTACGTTGAGTATAATATTCTACCATAGGATCAGTCACCACACCCTCTTCCGTATTTCGAAGTCGAGTTAAAGGAGCAAGAACTACTCTATGTTCTAATTCATAGTCACCAATCTTTATGGGTGAAAGTAATGCAGGTGTGGACATGATAATAATAAAAAAAAAAAAGGAGGGGAAAAAGAAAAGAAAGAAAAAGGAAAAAAAGAAGAAAAAGGGAATGTGAAAAAAAAATAGCCAATTCAAAATAATAATAATAATAATAATAGAAAAAAAAGTTTAAACTCTTACCCTTCGGTACCTGGCGGAGACCTAATGGAAGAACTTGAAATGGTGACCGAGAATGTGGATCGACATGAATAACAAAGAATACTGTATATCCGCACATCATAATCTATTTCTTACTGTCAAGGAGTTCTGTCACCAAATAAATTTGTACCACACCTATAAACTCAAAAAAAAAAAAAAAAAAAACGGTTCGTTTTTCCATCACCTAGATGATCGTTGGCGCGGTAATTGAATCATCTCTTTCAGGTACTAATGGATCAACCTATTTGTTCTTTTTTAGCAAACTTGACTACAATCAAAAATATTGAGTTTTTGACATGACATAATAATCTTAAAAAAAAAAAAGAAACAAGAGATTTTATTATATGCATTTGTTCAAAAAAAAAAAAAAAGGATAGGGGGGATATGAGATTTACAAGACAATAGATAAAAAGAGAAAGGAAGAGAGAATTCAAACAAGTGAAGGAATAAGGATGTAATCAATTAAAAAAAAATGGAAAGAAGATCGATATACAAATATATATATATAATAAATGAGAGAAAAATAACCAATAGGAAAGGGAGAAGAATTGTAAAAGATGATGATGTTAATAATAACTAAAACTACATTTCGTTTGAATAACCAATCACCTTTGTCAATTGATCAAACTTGATGTTTTCTCGTACAACGATGGCCTTGGCTTCATTATCCTTGTTCAAGGGAATCAGAACAACATCACCTTGTTGTGTCCATTGTTGTTGTTCACAAAAAGCAGCGAATTTGGCTTGATCCTTCAATGCAAGATAAGATTGTACAAGAGACACATTAATGGATTGATGAGACATGGTCACCACACGTGCGATTAATTGGCGAATAGCATCTTCAAATCCAACTACTTGTTGTGTCAATTTTTGATATGGTTCGTCTTTGTAAGTTTCCCAGAATTTCACATAATTCGATTGTTCTAACAATTGTTGTAAAGTCGTCATTTGTTCCACTTCGGGCTATTATATAAAAAGATAGATGAGATAAAGATATCTTCTATATATATATATATATATATATATCAACTTACCGATCGTTCGCTTAACAAATACAAACACAAATTAAAATCAGGAGCTGGGACAGCAGTCAATGCTTTGGCAAGAATGTTGATAATGACAGGTTCTTTAGCTTCAGTAGGATTGAATTGATACCTAAAATGAATAAGGAAAAGAAATGTTTATACTTTTTTTTTTCCCTTTCATATCTATTTTATTAACCTTACATTTTCAAAATGGCAAGATTGGCCATCAAATCATAAGAACCAGATTGACATTGTGTTTCAAGATATTGTTCAAGAACAGTGACATTTTCAGGATTGTATCGTTCAACACCATCAATTAGCGTTTGGATTTTTTCAGGTCGTTCGAGAACAGTGGTCATAATTTAGGATGGATGGATGGATGGATGGTTGTTAAATACTAAGGAAGACCAAATGAAAAAAAAAAACCTCTGTTGAAAGTAGGTGGACGAAACGCGGCATTGAAACACCGCCTGTTATGCTTGATGATGAGCCGGAATCTTTTTTAGTATTTTTAAAATGATAAGTATTGTCCTTCCCATTATCTTCTTTAACCTTTTTAAGAATGATCATCAGTCTTTTTTTTTTTTTTTTTTTTTTTTTTTTTTTTTTTTGATGGCGTGAACTCGTTGAAGAGGGGGGGATGATATGCACGTAGTTTGATTGCAGCACTATTTTCTCGTCCCTCCTCCATATTTCTGGTGCCGACTATAAAAGGCTTAAAAAAGAACTTCATTTTTTTTTTCACTCCTTTTTTCTCTTGAAAATATATATATTCATTCTTATGGACAGTTTACATCATCACGCTAGTATGGCCAATCAGTCTCCTATGCAACATGGTCACGACGGTCATGATATGCCTATGCCTGACATGCCCATGTGCAGTATGAATGTAAGTGAGAAAAAGACAAAACAGAAAAAAATTCATAATCAGTTTTTTATTTTATTTCTTTTCTTGTAGATGATCTTCAATTGGCAAATAGAAAACGTATGTGTAGTATTTGAATCATGGCACATTTATACTTGGGTTGGAATGTTGGTTTCTTGCTTTGTTATCTTTAGTATTGCTGCTGGTTACGAATACCTTCGTGCATGGACCGCCAATTTGGATCGTGAAGTGACCTTGGCTGACGTTAAGCGTCAACGTGATTCTGTTGGTAACAATGTAAGCTCCAGTGGAAGAAATGGTGAATCTGATACTTTATTGGGTCATCATTTGGAAACATCAAGGTAAAAAAAAAATATTATTATTATCATCATATCCTCCTCCTACTCACACAACTTTATCTTTTTTTTTTAAAAAAAAAAAAAAAATGGTAGTTTACGAAAAAGGCATCGAGTGATTCGATCGGTCATGTATGCTATCTTGATGGGAATCAGTTTTTGGTTGATGTTGGTCTTTATGACTTACAATGGTTATCTAATGATTGCTATCATTCTTGGTGCTGGTGTTGGTCATTACATTTTTGGACAAGGCAATCTTCCAGCCGCTCGTAGTATCTCCTGTCATTGATCTCTCTGTGTTATGTGGAAACAATATCCCTACATTTCCATCTCTCTCTTTCTTTCTTTTTCCTTCTTTTTTTTTTTTTTTTTTGAACCACTACTTGATCATCCATATCACTAGTCTATTCCTCATATATTTTTATCCTTATTTATTTGACCTAAATTATTTTTTTTTTTGAATACTTTTTATATCTATTTGAAATTGGATATTAAATTGACTCTTTTTCTTCGTTATCTTTACTGAATGGATACATTGTTCAAAAAAAAAAAATCCTTTATATAGGCGCAAAGGTATTTGATTTCACTTTTATTTATGTTACAACATCATCAAATGATTAACTAGTAAATAATATGAATAAACGAGATGTATCACTATGTGCAAGACGAGATAAGGTGAAGATATAAAAAAAAAAGCAATATAACAATATGTACAGAAAGAGGGAATGGAAAGAGAAAGGAAGGTATATACTAAAATAATAATAATAATAAAAACTATATCTATAACTAATATGAATAAGTAGAAGAATTTTGATCATCTGGATGGAAGGCTCCAAAAGTGGAAATCGGATTACTGTCATTCTTGTGATAAACTTGTTGAGGTGCTCCATAAAAGTTGTATGTATCAGCGAGACTATTGGGTGAAGCTACATTCGAAGTTGTATGAGTTTGATGGAATATCTGATTGGATTGATGTCGATAAACAGGTGAATGAGGGACAATAACACTTTCCAAATTCTGATCTGTAGTGGCCATTGAGGTATTATTGGTTGTGATGGCATTGAAAGTAGCAGCGCCTAAAGTGGATATAGATGGTAATTTGTTTTTCTGGCGTTTTCTGCTGAAATCATCCGTCGTATCATCATCATCATCATATTGTTGTTCATCACTATCATTATTGTTTCGAGGTTGATCTTCACCGTTAAACCAGGCCACCCATCTTGTAAGGGCTTCTCTATCATATACTTGGAAATAAAGTTGAATATTCTTGTCAGTCCATACACAAAAGATAAATCGTCCAGTATTATTTCTTGGCATTCCTTGACATGATACATAACGATGATATTCAGCTTTATGTCCCATCGTCTATTTATTACAAAAAAAAAAAAAAAGAATAACTCAGTATCTGTTTTATCTTGTATTGGTTATTATTTTTTTTTTTCGCTCTTACAGTCATCAACATAAACGTTTGCTTGGAAGGAATTACTACGACATGTTTGAGTTGCCATATAGACATAAAATGGAACCTTGCCCTTTTCTTGACAGGTAAAACGCCTTCATGTGCCTTGACAGTAAAATCCAACAAATTTTTGGCCACCAGAGCATTATGAGCATTGGAATCAGATTGTGTTTCAAATCGAAAAGCACTAGTCAATTCACTGCAGCTTCCATAACGATCACTATCCATATCATGTTGTTTATGATGATGTCGATGTTGATGAGGGTATATACGCCAAAAATTGAACCAATGTTGAGTCGTCATGTATTTACAGATAAATACCATTTTTGGTAAGAATAACACAAGGAATGTAAAAGTGGCAGAGAAAAGGATAGCGGCAAGTTTAAGATAGATTGCCACTTGATATTGATCGAGAGATAGAAAAAAGGCAGGTGCTGCTACAATGGTCGCCAGTCCAGTATTGCTACAGAAAAAGAAAAAAAAAAAAAGATCAATATCGTACCTGGAGAAAAAAAAAAAAAAGAAACTTACTAACTAACGTATCCAATTTGTTGTGATTCTGACCATTTGCTACTTATTCTTCGAGTCTAAAGGATATCAAGATGGTTGATTTAGTATAAAAATCAGATTTAAATATTATAAGACAATACCTTCCATGCCAAGAGAGCAGACACCAAGCTCATAATAAAACAAACAATGGCAGAAATCAGTTCGGCAATATTCAAATGAGTCCAATCAACAGCTTTGTTTGAGGTTGGATAGGCACAGATTATACAATAAGTGTTCATAGTGACCATATGATTAGTAACCACCACAGGATATAAGGCATACCAAGCAATCAAAGGAGCAAGAGCAATCAGACCAAAAATACCAATAAGCCTTAACAAGTAAATCGATTTGAGTTTTGAAGCTTGTAAAGTGAAGACATTTTGAAATCTATCATATAGAAAATACAGATTATTATAAATAAAAGTTGATATTATTTTTAATTTTATCTTTTACTTACACTCGATAAACACTATAAATGGGATGAAAAATTTATAAGATGAGTAAAGTATATTATATAGTAAATGATTGACTTACCGATAATTCTTTGCAATAATACTGCCGATCACCAAGATAAACCCGATCACCAAAGTAAGTTGCCTTGCGATACAAGTAGCAACAGATACCTTATTGACATATAGAATCACCGAAATGTAAGATAGGGAAATACCCAATAATTGGAGACAAAGGAATATAGGACTTGATACCAGTACCATCTTGAGATCACGATAACAAACAATCAAGATAAACATGATAAGACAGAGAACGATTCCGACACTAGCGATGACATAGATAACAAGACCTGCTACTTCTGATGATTTTGGATTCAATGCTATAAGAATAGAAAAGCTTAGTCGTCTATTTATAAAAGTAAAATATATATATGAAATATTCTTACACAATCGAGTAGCCATATCTGCTGGCCATTGATTAGTACTTCCAAGATATAAAATGGGGACATCTGGAAAAGGTTTATACACACCATCACGGATTTCAGCAAATGCCACACTTGTACCATTTTTCATATATTGAAGTTCAAAATGCCTATAGAAAAAAAAACGATAAGTATATTTGATATCCTATTGATGATAAATATATATATATATATATATATATATTACCCGGTTTTCTGATCACCAGTTGCTGTAAATGCCATTAGTCCAGCAGGTCCTGTATAATTCATGTTATAAAACGTGGGTGTCATGGGTGTACTATTGAAATTATGTGTTGACAAGTCTAGAAGGCCTTGTTGTCGTCCACCTGGGTATTGATTCAGTGCCTAAAAATAGTGACAACGATCAATAAAATACAATAAAATAAAAAGGGTCTTTTTTTTTTTGTCACCTACCTTGTTAAGACCGAGAGCCAATAGTTCTGCACACGAGTAAGCATTTGGTGCATTGTAACTTAAACCAAGTGTACTAAATTGAGATGGATCCACACTAAAAAAAGGTTAATTCCTTTCTGTCATCATTTTTATAAAGATAGAATTTTATTTCTTTTCTTTGTTTTTTAAACTTACTAGTTACTAGGTATAGGTTGTTGTTGCCATAAAGCATAGAGATCGTTATAGGCAGATACATCAGTTACTAATATAAAAAAGATGAAATGAAAAATTTCAAACTAACGATCAGATATATACTTTTTCTTTTTTTGTATCACTTACAGTTCCATAAACCGCTTATGAACATGAGACCATCAAACTCCTCCAGATCTTGTGCATCAATGGATTCAGATAGCGCTTCTGACAGATCGTTTGTAAGCATCCAAACCCACCCTTTTGAAAGCATACCCATTGACCTTTAAATATAGTAATTAATAATGTAAAAAAATACAATGAGTAAAAAGGAAAATAGGATTTTCTTTTTTTTTTTCCTTATTACCTAGCAGCTTGTAATATTAATATTTGATTTCCAGGATTTGAATCGGCTACAATAATAATTCTAGCACCAGTAGTTCCAAGTTGTTGAAGAGAACCTATATTATATATATAAGTAAATATATATATATATCATTTGAATAGTATAACTTACTAGAAATTTCGTCTTGACCCAAGTCGTACAAAGGGATTTGGGTCATAGGTGTAATATTATATTCGTAAGATTTTGAGAGCATAGATGTCAAGACTAGAACAAAAAAAGAAAGAGAAAAAAAAACAATGAGCGAATTAGTTAAATGAGGTAAATGTGTATTAAATGATAGTTTACTTTGTTGACCAACATCGTCATCAGTATAAACTAAAGCAAACATGGACCAGTTCATTTGTCGTATCCATTCCATAAGAGCAGCACCATAAACTACCACATTACCCATACTTCGAAAAAAGTAAGGATAGTTTGCTTTATCTGATAAATCCAACGATGAAGCTGCGCAAGAACATTGAGGGATTTGAAATAAACCTGTAAGCCCTGCTGATATTTCTGTAATGTTCGATACCATATCACCAATAACAGCACTAGAAAAAAAAAAGACGAAAGGGTGTTAGTGATGAATATATATATATATATAAAAGAGAATAACATTACTTGATACCATCTTCTATCATTCGAGTTGTTGTCCAAGAAGTCAATCCACCTTTGAATTCAGTAGAATAATATCGAGTAAAGTTAAGTTGTACATCTTTATCATCAATAGTTTCAAAAAAAAAATGAAGTCGCGAGTTAAGAAATTAGTCTACTTTTTTTTTTTTTTTTTTTTTTTTACCAGGTAAATAATTCATTTCCGCTATATGCTGTTGAGCTAATTGAATAGCTATTTCACTTGTAACGATCATATTATTGAGAGCTGGATCAATATTTCGTACATCGGATGCATTTGGAAATAAGATACCAATATTGTAAGTAGGTCGAACTGATGTTGTTGTATTAGAAGATAAAGTTGAATTTTGATTTATCGTAGAAGGTGCCGCATCTGATATGATTGGATGAAATAATAATAATAATAGAAGAAGCATAAATGAATATAATAATTTCTTCATGCTTTTAAAAATATATATCCAAAAAAAAAGAAAGAAAAAAAGAAAGAAAAAAAGAAAAAAAGAAAAAAAAAAAAGAAAGAAAGAAAGAAAAAGAAAAGAAATGAAAAAGATAGCGGGAAAGAAGTTGAATTTCGTTTTTTCTTTGTTTTTAGACTCATTCTGTATAACCTTGAATTGTCTTTATTACTATATATTACGACAACAAAACTAAAAAGAGTGAAGCATTTTTGTCGTAGTTTGGATATTTCCCTTTTCATGCGAAACTTAATCTTATCAACTAAACACTACTTAGTAAAAAAAAAAAAAAAACATATTTCATTCATGCTCAACACACTGCAGCTTATTGGTGTCCTTTTTTATATTCTTAACACGTTATTATCCTCCTTTACAAGTAATCTTCCCTCTCTCTTTTAGTTGACGTTGGTTACACAGGATGGTCAGTGATCCGCATATGTCAACTAACTAGTATTTTATTTTGTAATTTCATTTTCCGTCAAAAAAAAGGGTGATTTCCTTCTTTTTCCCCACAACTAGGTTGTACTTATTATGATCCTCTCTCTTTAATTTTTTTTTTATTGTATAAGAACGTTCCTGAGAAAAAAGAGACAACCAATTTAGATGCCGCATCTGGGGGTAGATATACAAAGCCTCCTTTTTTTTTTTTGATAGATGATTCTCAAGGCGGGGCTGGGATGATTCCAATGTCACCTCCGACAACAATGGGAATAGGTAAAAAGGAAAAAAAAAAGAAGTCAATGTGATGACATTCTTTAGACAGTGATAAATAAAAAACGATATTTGTTAGAATGATGTCATTACTATGGATATACAAGTACGGAACGGTAACAATATATGGAAGTAAAAAAGATTAGAATCATCATGATCTTGTCCACGTGTGGAAATTTTTATATATATAGTAATGTGATGATGGATTATAATTATTTTTATCTTAAAAAGAAAAAAAGAAAAAAAAAAAGATAGAGAGGGAAAACAAAAAGAAAAAAGAGAAAGAGATCAAAAATTGTTTTGATAATTACTGCATAACTGTTAAGTTTAAGATGAAAAGAACCAGTCATCATAAGCTAATTTAACCACACTTTCCATTTATGAAGAGTAGGAGTTGAAAATGATTTACCTGTAATTGTATTGCCCTTTTGGGTTATGAATAATAGACAAAAAGAGAGAGAGAGAGAAAGAGAGAGGCAAAAAAAAACTCCTTATTTTCATTTTCAGCTTTCTCTTTTCATTCTCTCTCACGCACACAACTCAATACTTTTTTCCACTCCAAAAAAAAACAAAAAAAAAAATACCTGTTTTTGTGTTTACCCTCCTCTTTTTTTTTTTTTTTTTATTTTTACCTTTTAGCTTTTTTTTTTTTTATTTTTTATTTTTCTTCTTTCTTCTTCTTTTTCTTTTCTTTTTTTATATCTTTTTATTCTTTTGGTCACAAATTGACTTTTGTACCCTTTTCATATTTATTTTTTGTATACAAAACTTCAACATATATATATTTATTTATTATCATGTTAACAGCAGCATTAACAAGTACAGCCACTTCATCAAGACCATTTGTAGTACCGTCTGAAACTAGAACTATTCCTGTGTCCAATAATAATAATAATAACAATAATAACCATGTAGAACCTGATACCTCTCATATTCGAATTGTGCCTCACTTGGATTCAAGTCGGTCTCTTGTATTTAGTGTGATTGAAAGAGATGTGGCTGAAGGTACTATACTCAAGATTGGTCGTTTTACTGACAAATATGCCTCATCTACAAGAATCACTTTTAAAAGTAAAGTCGTCAGTAGGGGTCATGCTGAAATCTGGTCAAAAAATGGAAAGGTAAAAAAAAAAAAAAAAGTTGTCTATTATGTACCAAAAGAGGGAGAATGAGGATATTTGGGATAAAAAAGAAAGGGGGAGGGGAAGAGTGATAGGGAGTTTTCCTAGGGTGGAGAACCAACGACAAGGGGGAGTCAAGTGAATAAAAAAAAAAAGATAACTGAAACTTGTTTCTTTTTTATTTTATTTTATTTTATTTTTTTTTCTCATAGTTTTATATTCGTGATACAAAATCTTCATCTGGTACCTTTCTCAATCATGTTCGTCTTTCTCCTCCAAATCAAGAATCAAGGTCTTTTCTTTTAAATGATAATGATGTTGTACAATTAGGTGTAGATTATCAAGGTGGAACTGAAGGTAATATATAATATGATGATTGTTTTTTTTTATTATTGATCTGATCCTTTATTTTTTTTTTTTAATTGATAGAAATCTATCGATGTGTTAAAATGCGACTGGAAATTAATCGATCTACTCAACAAAGAACTACTTTCAGGTAAAAAAAAAAATCATATTTATTTGAAACGAATTGTTTTCTTTTCCTTTTTTTTTTCTTTTTTTTTTTTTTTTTTTTTTTAACTGATATGTCTTTTTCAAATATATGGATTATAGTTTGAATACTTTTCAATCATTACGCAATTTGACCACACCACCAAATAATGTTACCGTACTCGATTCAGCAATGACCAGCAATAACACGAATACAAAATTAGGCAATGAAGAATTCCATGTTGAAGAATGTTGTATTTGTTTATACGCCCTCGCTCCTTTCCAAAGTCTTTTTGTTGGTCCTTGTTCTCATACTTTCCATTACAAGTGTGCTAGACCATTACTAATGAATCATCCTGGTTTTCTTTGTCCTTTGTGTCGCAACTATGCTGATCTTGATGCAAGTGTGGCTGTAGAAGCAAGTGAAGTAAGTGACACAAAACGACAACTTTTTTGACAACTACTTGAATATTCAATATTTTGCCTTTTCATCCTTTAGGTTTTGGAAATGTATAAAAAAGAAAAAGAACAACAACAACAACAACAACAAACGAATACTAGTCCTATTCTTACTAACGATGACGATACCAAGGCAGGCGACACTGTGACTCAAGGTAAATTGGAAATGATAACTGTCTCATGATCTTGACGTATGACGAACTCGTCGCCTTTTTTTTTTTTTTTTTTGTTGCTATCAATAGACCCTAGTGGAAATCCGACAGATCCAAGTTCCATTTTTACATTCATGCCCTCTCAATCATCCTCACCAACAACATCTTAGTATTCGTCACTATTTAATCATCATCCATTGTATCAAAGTCATCCCTCCTACTTTTTCGCCCTTGTTTACTATTTTTCCCATCCGAATCCTTCCCATTTGTATAGGTGCTTTTTATTATTATTATTTCCTTTCACTTCTTGTCCTTCTTTTCATGTTTGTTATTATTTTCCGTTACCCACCATCCAGAAAATAAAAAAAAACAACAAAGATAATAAAAAAAAAATCATTCTTATTGACTCTACTTTTTGATCATCCCACTTTTTTTTTTTTTTTTTTCCCTCAAAATGCATGTAGTTGACATTTGCCAATTTTTTTTTTTTTCCATCCGTTCATTCATCCCATTGATATCCCTTGCTTTAAAATAAGGAAATGAACATCATTCAGAGACTGACCTTGATCACATGTTTCTATCCCTGATGTCTTGGCTGATCTTTTTTTTTTTTTTCACACACGCACGTAGTACATATACATATATTATATGATACATAAAAGATATATATATATATACATATTTTCATGGATTTGTTTCGACTTTATTTGTAACTGCCCCAAGTTGTTCTTCCATTTTCTTTTTTTGGTAAATAAAACCACTTACTATTTATTTATACTAAACAAATGACCAGAATCCGGTTCCAATCCATGAATAAAAATATATAATACTAATTTACCCAAATCTAACACTAGTAAATGGAGGGATAATAAAATAAATAAAAAAATTAAGACTTTTCATAGGAATAGGTTGCTTGCAAACGTCGTTGTAAATGACCACCGGCAGTTAAAACTTGACCATGTTCATCTTTTTGAATGGAGGAAGAAGGTACCAAATGAGAAGGGATAGGCACCAATGGTGTAGCATCTTCAGGATGGACAAAAAAGGGCATTGAGTAGCGATCCAAATGATTGTGTTCAGGAAGAAACGTGACGCGATGCAAAGTAGATTTAAATAAACCACCAGTCCATTCTTGCATTTGATCCCCTACATTTACCAGAATACTTCCATCGATCAGGGGCGCTGCGATCCATTCTTCACGATTAGCTTGTACTTCTAATCCAGGTACATCTTTTTGGAATAGGAGAGTGATGGATCCATAATCAGAGTGTGCACCTGCACGTACCGTATCTTGATATTCTGCTTCACCACCATGAGGATATTTTAAAAATCGTAAGATTTGACCACTGGGTTCATCATAATGATGTCGATGAGTGAACCATTCAGTTCCACCTTCCGATGCAGGGATTTCCAAAGCAATGGCAAATGCTTCTAAAACACGCATAGCCGTAGCATGACATGCCTATAAACAAACATCAATATCATCATAGTTATTTATTTATTTTTTTTATTACTTACTCTTGAGAAAGATTGAAGGAATTCTTCATTTTGAGCAAACAAGTCAGGAAGAGGAGCAAAAGGTTTACCATGAACAAAGTTACGAAAATTGAAGCCTCTATTGATATATCAAAAATTAAAAAAGTGAGTGATCTTAATGGTATTTATTAACATAAAAAATGACGATTCTTACTCTTTATGATCACCTTGTCGTTGATGTTCGGGGTCCAAACTATTGAAAAAAAAAATCAGTACGTATCTTTTCATTGCTTCTACAAAAAGTCTCCCGTCTTATCTTTTTAATACTACTTACGTTTCACTATACAATTCAGAATAGCCATGGTTATGTTCTTGTATCAAATGTTTTCTTTTTTCAGTCGCGGGCAAATCGAAATATTGTTTACTCTGAAGAAAAAAAAAAAAGGAAAAAAAGAATATTAGTCTCGCTTTTCGTCATTTTATTATTTGTACTTACAAGAGCAAAGGCACGGTCAATTTGGTCTTGAGGTAAACCATGATTGATCATATAAAAGAAACCAATAGTACTGCAAGCTTCCAGGACTTTTTTCGCTACTACGTTCTTGTCTTGACTGAAATCAATGGTAGGAATAGTTCGACTGGTCATTTTGATAGTAAATGTTCAAAAAGGAAAGAAAGTAAAGAAGAAGAAAAAAAAAAAATGAGGTGGAAAAAAAAAAGAGAGAAATTCCAATTTGATTCCCGCCAATACGGTTTATTCACGAAAATAAATTTAAGAGTGACAATCAAATTGGGAGTTGATAGAATCAATGAATAGATGAATCAATGCAAATAGGATGACATGTGATGGAGTAAATAAGGAAGGAATCCAAGGGAATTTCCATGGATTAAATCATCCATCATCATTGATATGTCAATCATCAAAGTTCAAAAATCAATCATCAACGCCATTTATTTCCATAATACAAAAAAAGGATCATCGCTGAAATGTTCGAACACTGATGCAAATAGGTTTCTGATATCAGCACACAAAAAAAAAAAAAATGCAATCCACAACAGGGAAAAATCTAGTAGTAGGTTTTATCTTTATTAATAATAATAATAATAAAAAGGTTGGGGGGATAAATATAGGTAAATATATAATGATAATACAATCTAATATAAAAAAATAATAATAACAAAAAGTCTAATGATGAGGGGGTTGCTTTTCAGCGTCTACATGTATCAAAATTTCTTGCACCATGGGAATTTCTTTCTTGACTGTAGCACGCACCTTCTGTTCAATACGATGTGCTTGTTCTACAGGAAGTTTGGGATCTAATTGTAAAATCATATCTAAATGTTTGAATGGTCCTAGTTTTCTTCCTCGAATTGAATAAAAATCCACCAATTGAGGTTCTTCATCCTAAATAAAGAAAGGCAGGAAATGAGGAACCACATTTCGCAATCAACCATATCTTTTTTACCTTAACTTTGGCAATGACTGATTTGATTTCATCAATTTCGTTTGAAGGAATCCCTTTATCTATCAATTCTTTCACAGAATTATTCATAATACTTGCACCACTTTTCACGATGAAACCAGAGACTAATAATCCACCCAGAGGATCAAGTACAGGGATGCCTGCATAAGATCCACCTATAGCAACCAAAGCAATCATACTTGAAAATGCATCCGATCGATGATGCCTTTAAATGAAATAAACAGTAGTTAGTTTTTCTTTTTCTTTTTATATATATATAATTTCTGATTTCAAGATAACATTTTTCTTTTTCTTTACCAAGCATTAGCCACCAATACATCGCTGTGTTCACTTTTACCAACCTTGAGAGCTTATTCAATATATATAAAAAAATAATGATGGTCAATACCAAAAAAAAAAAAAAGAAGAAGAATATGTAATGTATCCAAAATAATTCGTAGACCTTACTTGCATGATATAACCATTCTTTTACACCAACACTTGCTAAAGCAAACCAGGCAGCATTTGGATCCAAAATATTACCATCATGATGATGATGATGATGATGAAAGAGAGATGAGAATGTACTTGACAGTGTTGACAATGCTGTTTTTGAAGGTTCGGATGATGATGAAGAAGGTGAAGGTGATACTGTTGTTGAATCAATAGAAGATGATGTCATACTTGATATAGTGTCAACTACAGAATTAATACTATCAGTAGATGTAGGTAACATATTCAAAGTTGTCATCAATAAATCAAACGAGTGGAATCCAATGGCAATCCCACCAGTAATCAATAGAGTTGATACACCAAATGAGCCAACAGTTTCATATTTGCCTAGACCAAATAAAGATGAGCTAAAAGAATAATAAGAATAAAAAAAAGGTATATTACCATAACCATAGGGATAAATAGCATCTGGTGGTTTTCTTGACATTTTGACGGTATACAATGTAACAAAGTCACTGAGGAGATCTATAAGATATTATAAATTCATACATATATCCTTATCTTTTTATTTGAAAAAATCAATGAATCATTTCTTACCACTAAGAGAATGTGCAGCATCTGCCAATAAAGAAGCAGAATTCATATACCTAAAATAAAATCAACAATTGAAATACATTAATGAATAGAGTGTGTATATTCATTTATTTCTTTATTTCAATACGTACCAACCGGCAACACCTTTGGATGCTGTCAAGCCAACATTCGCTGCCAAGCCAATCAATGTGATTTGCATACCTTTCTTTCCTACAAGTGAAATAAATAAACCAAAAAAAAAAAAAAAAGGAATGAGCAAATAAGAATACTTTTTTTTTTTACTGTTTTTTCTATCTATCTTATCAACATGGATGTTGTTGGATACATACCAGACGCTTTCAATGTGGTAGCCAGATCTGCATGAATATGATCGCCGGCTCCATGGTGATGACGATGAGGAGTTGTACCGTGGTTACGAATTAAAGTAGTCGAAGCTGTCAAAATGATGGATGAGGACAGTTGTTGTTGAGAAACTACGGCAGGTCTTCCTTGAAATGTCCATAATGAATCAACTCGTGGTGATAAGTATCGTAGTGAGGTAGTGGTTTTTATAGCAGCTTTCATCAATGAACCATGTATCCTTGAAAGAGCTTTGGTCATGATGAGAATACTGACTGGTGAAAAATAAAAGTCAATGGAGAGGCAAAGATAGCGAAAGAAAAAAAAAAGAAAGAAAAAAAGTAAGAAAAAAAATCCCTCTCGTCCTTATCAGATTGTCGTTTTTACAGTCCGAAATCTAAAAAACGGTGCCCCGGAAATCCGGTCCAATAGAATAGAGGAATAGAACAGTTTTATTCAATTGATTCAAAAAGATATATTAATAAAAGAGGAATTTGACAATAATGCCTATAACATAATTGAGGGGATTGAAGATAGAGATAAAAAAGAAAACATGAATGATATGTAAAGCAGAATTCTAAACGAAAGGGGAAAACATCAATCGATCAAATAGCACCTTCAGCCACTTGTAACTTGAACCAATCCACAGTTTCTTGTAATCCTTGTTTGACAGCAAATCTTGGTTCCCATCCCAAATACTTTTTAGCACGTGAAATATCTGGCTTTCGTTTTTTTGGATCATCCATGGCAGCTGGTAAAATCTTGATTTCAACTTCATTCACAGGTGTTGGCACAGGTGATGTCAATACTTGATCTCGAATCATATATGCAAAGTCCTTGATGGTATATTCTTCTGTATTTCCCAGATTAACAGGTTCCATAAAATTCTTGTTCATCAATAAAATCAAACCATCCACAAGATCATGTACATACTGAAATGATCGTGTTTGGTCCCCATCCCCATAGAGTGTCAAAGGTTCCCCTTTAATAGCCTGCATGATAAAATTGCTGACCACTCGTCCATCTGCAGGTGACATCCGTGGTCCTAAAATTTTTGTAAAAGAAAAATAATTAAAAAAAGAAATTAGGTCAGATGGGAAACTTTATATATATATATATATATATATATATATATATTAACTTACCAAAAGTACTACAATGATGTAGTGAATAATAATAATAATAATAATAATAATAGATGAGTATACATTCTCCCAATTTTTTTTTTTTTTACAACTTACTTGAATATTCGAGCTACTCTAACATCCACATCATTTTGTCGCATATAAGAATACGTCAATGTTTCGGCAATTCGTTTCCCTTCATCATAACAAGCGCGTGGTCCAATAGGATTGACATGTCCCCAATAGGTTTCTTTTTGTGGATGCTCTTCAGGATCACCATAGATTTCTAAAGAAGAGAAAGAAAAAAAAAAGAATCAACATAGAGATAAGGATAATTGTAGACATATTACCAGAAGTGGAAGTCAATAAGAATCTTGCCTTTGTTCGTTTTGCTAAACCCAACATATTGATAGTTCCCATAACACTGGTTTTGACTGTTTTGGTAGGGTTGTACTGGTAATGAGGAGGAGATGCAGGACAGGCCAAATGATATATCTGAGATACTTCAATCATAAAAGGATCAACTACATCATGACTAACCAATTCAAAATGAGGGTGACCAATCCAATGTTGTACATTACGTTTAGAGCCAGTGAAAAAGTTATCCAGTACAATAACTTCATGACCCATCCACATGAGACGATCCACCAAATGAGAACCCACAAAACCAGCACCTCCAGTGACAAGGATTCGTTCACGCTTGGCTGGACTGAGTTGACGAATGGCTGGATAACTTCGTTGCATATGATATTGTACTGTTCCATCTTCTAATATCGTTTTCTCTGGTGATACCTTGGGCAAGTAAAGTTGTCGTAACCACGCCAAGTCAACATCTGATCCTACAGATGCATGACCTACTGTATTCACATAATCTCGTTCGGGTATAGAAGCAAAGGTATTCGGTTGTTCATTATTATTATTATCATTATTGTCGTTGTATTTTGAATGATCCATTGTTGTTCAATGTTAGTATAATAACTAACTTTTAGATTAATAGAACTTGAAAGAAAGTAAAGAGTAGGGGGGGGGGAATAAAAAATAATAAAAAAGGAAAACAAAAAAAACTAAAAAAAAAAAAAATGGAAGAAAAAAAAAAAACTCACATTCTTTTGCAAAGTAACCAATGAACATATCCTAAACTTTTTCAACTGCTTGTTTTTGCACAACGCGCCAAAAGATGAACTCCGCTTAGGCACACTTCTTCTTTACATTTTGTTAACGTGAATCATCTGATATCATGCAGTCATCTTTCTATTCCTTTTCTGAAAATGCAAAAAGAAAAACTTTTTTCACTTGATCTATTAGAATAAGATGGTCCCTGGAGACTCTAATGTCACGCAACCTACTTATGACATTTTTGAAAGTTGATTTAAATTCAAAAAAAAAAATGTCATATTAGAAATAAAATTGATAGAAATAAAAAAAAAAGAAGGACATCTTTATTTCTTTGTTGACAAAAAAAAAAAATCGAAAATAAACAGAGCGATAATACAATGGAAGATCCATTGATATGACAAATGAAGGAGTGGGGGGAAAAAAAAAGAGAAAACTATGGATATGAGTATAAAAAAGAATAAAAGAGTAAATAACAAAAAAAAAAAAAAAAAAGGGAGATAGTGAGAGAGAAAAAAAAAGGGGGTGTGAAAGGAAAGGGAACTACACATACATCATCATCATCCTATTGATAACAATAAAAGAAAACTATTGACAGCATCCACCAGCAGTTTTATTGTTCGTTGTTGTATTGTTGTCAAGACGAACTTCTTCCCTTTGACGAGTTTGTTGTGTTTGTTGAGTATCGATTAATCGTTTCTTGATATCCCTAATAAATAATATCATTAGTTTATTATCATTATTTCTATATATATATATGTTACCTTGCAAGATCAAAGAAAGCTTCTTCTACACCAATGTTTGCCTTTGCACTTGTTTCCATAAATTGGATACCTAGTTCGTTTGCCAATGCTTCACCTTGTTCTTTTGTAACAACCTAAAAGTAAATTATGTTAAACAAAGAGAAAAAAGAACCAACTATATATTCTTACTCGTTTATCTTCCATATCACATTTATTTCCAATCAATATTTTGTTGACACCTTCATTGGCATGTTGTTCAATATTGGAGAACCAGTTTCTGACATCTATAGTAAAATATATATATTTTAATAACGATGGATTAATATAATAAATCTCTCTTACTTCCAAAAGACCGTTCATCAGTAACATCATACACCAAGAGAATACCCATAGCTCCACGATAATAAGCTTTATATATAATAATAAGAAGAAGAAAAAAAGAGGAAGAAAAAAAAGTATGAATACCTATTTATTACTTATTGTTTATTTTTTACCTGTAGTGATAGTACGGAATCTTTCTTGACCAGCTGTATCCCAAATCTGTAGCTTGATACGTTTTCCATCCAGTTCAATAGTTCTGATTTTGAAATCAATACCAATGGTGGTGATAAACGAAGGGGTAAAAGAGTCATCTGAGAAACGCAAAAGTAAACAACTTTTTCCTACACCTAAAAGGATTATAAAAGTTTATATTAATATACAATTATTTATCATCATCTATGGGTTTTGTTATTTTTCTATTTTACCAGAGTCACCAATCAATAATAACTTGATAAGATAATCATAAGAAGCACTTTTTGCTGTTGACATTGTATAAAGATTACTTTGTATATATATATGTAATAATAATAGTAATAAAAAAAATAAAAATAAAAAAATAAAAAATAAAAAAAAAGGGTGTCAGAACTGTAAAAAGGCGGTAAACAGAAAAGAAGGCAAGAAAGAGAGAAAGAGAGAGAGAGGAAAAAAAAAAATGTCTTGGGTGGACAAAAGAGAGAGGTTTCACCAAGTCGAAAAAGAGAGGAAAAGTGAGCAGCCAAAAAAGGATGCTGAGATGGAATCTCACACGTCATTCTTCCATCAGAATTGTGTTCCTTTTTTAAAATGACCCAATAAAAATCTACATCCAATTGCATATCAAAAAAAAAAAAAAAAAACGACAATTCCAAATCAATAAATTAAAATAAAATAAATAAAATACAATAGCTGATTTATTTAATAAAAATCTCTAATAAGATGGTATACAATATTCAAAATAAATAAAAGGATGCAAACCCGGATCATCGCATTAAATTGAATCACCAATGGTAAATTCTTGACTGTAACCGTGATGAGATTTGATCATCCTGTTCGTATTCATATAAAACAAATCGTAAGTAATAAATTTGATAAATAACTAACCTGTTGAATTACCTGGAAATAAATTCTTTATGATGTCCGAAGTATCCTAGTCTAAAAGTACCATCTAAATAATAAAAATAATAATCAAATCATCTTTTTTTTTTCTTCCTACTGTATTATCAGTCATGAAACTTACGTTCTGTTTTATTATTGATTTCCCATTCAATAATAGCTTCAGATTGTCCAAATAATTTACTTTTGAGATTCCACCGAAATCTAACATGATTAAAAAATAATAATTTAAGTTATCATATCTTACTAGTCATTGTTCCTACCTTGTATCATAATCATGATCATTCCGGATTATTTCCCAAGTTCCATCTTGTTGTTTTTTTTCTACTGTCAAAAATGTACCATCAAGCATAGGATAATGTCGTGGGTTTCCTGCAACAAAAGAAGCTGAAATCACTATGATCTCCGATGTTGTTGGGTAGTATCGTTGACTCGACGTATCCTTCAGTATATCGCCAAAATGGAAAGATAATAATGGTCTATCTGATGTCCTTTTAGGTGTAAAATCAAATGCCAAGCGTTTCGGATTCATCATCATTGTTGTTGGATCAAATATCGTTGTAAGTGGTGATATATTTCCTGATGATGATATCATTGTGGAAGGTATTTGAATAGGTTGCTCTGTCATCATAGATCGTACCAGTGCTTGAAATACTTGAATATATCCTTCGAGTGTATGGGGTCCATAGGCTGTCGCTGCTCCTTCAAAACGTTGCATTTGATATTCTTCAAAGGTGGCTACATAAGACTATATAAAATAAATAAATAAATAAGACATCAGTTGATATCCAATGACACTATATATATATATAGGTTGTGATCCGATCTTTCTTTTTTTTTTTTTTTTTGTCAGCCTTACAGAATAACCATTGGCAGGTCCAGACAAGATAATCGAAGCTGTATTTACACCATAATCCATCAAAGTATCAGCAATCGCTTTTCGTAAACGTCGTCCACTCATTGTCGTGAATTCCGCAGGCACTGCAGCAATAAACGTATTTCCAACACGAAAAAGTTGTATATCTAAGACGTTTGGTTGCCAGGCATGTGGAAAAGACATTTCACCAGTATCAAACAAAATAGGTTTTGGCGCATGACATTCTACTTGAGATTGACTTGGGGTTTTGATAAAAGCACGTACAAATTTCCAATACCAAGGCATATGAGTAGTACTCTGCACAAATATATATAATGCTGATTAATCTTATTTCTTTTTCTTTAAAAAAAAAAATAGTATCTTCACTAGAGTATTATTACCTGATAAACGCCAAGACCTGGTTCAGCATCAGTTGTACCACCAACTAAAGTAGAATAATAAAGAGGTCCTATTAATAATGATATCCTTACCTTCAACCTTCCCTTCCTAAAGAAAAAAGTCAAAGATCACTTACTAAATGCAAGACCCTATGATAATAATCAAAGAATAGATCAATACAGTTGATAAAAAAAGAAGAATTGGGTATTTATCTCTTACCATGGCAGGTGCACAAAGAGAATGAATCGATCCATTTGGTTGTATCATTTTCGTATGAGGAACATTCCAATATACTTGTCTAAAGTCAACAGGACCATTCAAAACGTATTGATATTTTCCTTTTGCTTCCAGATAAAGTCGTGTTGCCATTCTTGCTTGATTTTCACCAATCATTCTATTTGATTCCAAATGTCCAACTGTCCAACCAGGTCCTCTAAATTGAATAAAATAAAAAAAAACAAGGGGTCAATATGATAATAACTAGTTCGTCCCCCTTTTTTTTATATATATACCTTCCTTGACAAGTGGAAAACCACGGACATTTGGTCATTTTTGTGCCGTCGCAAGGTATGTTAGTTCCAGTACAAAAGGAACCAAGAGTATGTGGACTAACATCACCTTCATTGGACTGAGCAAATGCTGCCACAAATTTGTCTGAACTTGTTGAAGTAGAAGAGTTGCTAAATAATCTATTCTTTTCCACCCAATATGACCCATAACCTTTGTTATCACCATTTACTAAACGATTTGTTTTATTGACAGAAACACCATGAACAGCAAACCTATAATATGAAGGTGTGGTATATTAATCATAATATCATTTTTTTTTTGTGTTGTTTTATGTATTGTCCTTTTTCTTTACCAATTGATTAAACCCAAGTCTTGTTTTTCTGTATAAAATCCAAGAAGAGTCATTGTTTTATCCACATTTGAAGTATAAAGGTTTCGTTCATGTTGAGGATTCAAGTTGTAAGCTGCAGGTGACCGATTGATATTGGTATCGAAGAGTTCCCCTGAATGAAGTGTTACGTTTCCTTTTTCCAGATGATGATGAGCCTTGACAATAGATTTGGTAATACCTGATACTATTGGTTGTACCGTTTCTTCTATCCAACCCTTGACTGGTATTTCATATAAAGCTAAAGAAATAAAAAAAAAAAAAAAAAGAAGAGAATTCAGTCAAGTGTCTTTAATTATTCGCCGGACTTGAAAAATTGTTAGTTCAAAAATCTTACTGTATTCAAGAAAACCTCCAACAGCAGAATGAGTATGAGTACTTGATATCATCACATTTTCCATTGTATATAAATCAGGACCAAAAATAGATTGTAGACGTTCAACCACTCGAAATTTAACACTAAGAGACATGGATTGTAGATCCACATTCACAAAAACAAGTCGTCGCTGAACTGCTGATTTGACCATAGGTTCTTCCCCCTGATGATCATCATCATCAACGATAATATAAGACCTAGCAAAACATCTCTGTAAAATACCATTTCCTATTTGATTCATTTCTGCATATCCAAAAAGATGGATCTCCGCCACTGGACCTGTAATATCAGCTTTGCCTGTACCAATAAGATATCCATCAATATTATATACCGTAAGAAGAAGAAATAAAATAAATAAAAATATCGACATAGAAGAGATTGAAAAAGGAAAGATAAAGAAAGAAAGAAAAAAAAAAGTGATTCTTCTTTTCTCCTTTTTATACATATATATATAAATACAATAAAGGAATGATGATTTGATAGTTTTACTTTTTTTGGATACATGATGATGTATCACTTGCTTTGGTTGGTTGATGAATACCCCGATATCATCATTCTATCTTCCGCTTGGTTTAGCTTTTGATCTAATACTTGATCATGTTCCATGACTTAAACAAACCACCTCTCCAATCCCTTTTATAGTATACCAATTAAAAGAATTGATAAACTTGCTTGGCAAAAAAAAAAAAAAGGAAATGCTGAGAAATAATGAAACTTGACCAGTAACTTTTTATTTCTCCCTTTTGTACAAAAATTCAATGATGCACCCTGTTTTTTTTTTTTTTTTTTTTTTTTTTTTTTTAAAGCTTCCGAGCACAAACATTTTTCACCCCTTGATAGTCATGCGCTTCTTTTTTTTTTTTCTTTGTCATTTTTGATCCGTCACTGATCGATTGACAAACCAACAAAGAACCTGGTAATGATAATGATTTTTTTTTTGTAATTTCAGTCAGTGTGATGACTCCTCCATTATGTTCTCAATCATCTCATCATCTAGTCAATGACCAATAATATAGAATCATTGAAGTAGTCACCAATACAACAATGCGTCAATTTGCGCACAGTCCTTTTTTTTTTTTTTTTTTTTTTTTTTTGCTTGGCGTAGGAGCCTAAATATGCGAATGAATATGATCCGAAAGGAGAGGAAGATAAAAAGGTACATGATGATAATGAAGACATGTATTTTATTGTGGCAACCCAAAATAATAATAATAATAATAATAATAATAATAAAAAGAATATGCATAATTCTACGTCCTAATCCAACTATCTAAGCATAGTCATTGAAACGGAAAGCACCATCTAACCTAATGACAGAACCATTCAACATACGATTGTCAATGATAGAAATACATAAATCAGCAAATTCTTGAGGCTTGCCAATACGTTTAGGATGAGGACAAGGTGGTGAGCCTTGAGGGAAAGGATCCAAGATTGGAGTATCTATAAGATCAAAAAAAAAAAAAAAAAAAAGAGATCGAAAAAGTTAGTTTTCCAAACAATGATCAATGCTTAATTCTCTTTTTTTTTTTTTTTCTATTACCAAACGGTCCAGGAGCAATACTCATAACACGGATGCCATGTGGAGCAAGTTCCTTGGCAAGTGGCAAAGTCAAACCAGCAACCCCACTTTTAGCAGCCCCATAGCCAACCATAGTACCATCCAAAGCAGAGATTGACGTAGTAGTGATGATGATACCTCGTTCATCTATACATTAAAAAAAAAAAGAGTATATAATATATCAGTATAAAGCGGCGTCTTAAAGGAACCGGAATAAAGATAGTAGTAGTTCCATCATCACGTTCTTGTTTCCTTCTTTGTCATCCTTTCTTTTTTTTTTTATTATTACTTACTGTCTTCATTGAAAGGTTCATTCTTGATAAGGTGTTCAGCGACCTTTTGAGCAACCAAATAACATCCCAAAAAGTTCACACGAACATAGAATTCAAATTGCTTGTAACCAGTCAACATGCCGGTAGGACCATAACCAGTAAGAGATGGAGGAGGGAACAACACACCATGACAGATGATGGTACCAGCAAGAGGAATACCTTTGAAATGTTCAAGACCAGCTGCTAATGCCTTTTCAACTTGAGCCTTTTTATTATGGTGAAACATAGAATGAGTTAAAGTTTTATTCTTCCTTTTCATCCTCATCTTACCTCATCGGTACAATCAACGCTACCAGGGACAAAGACATTCTTTCCTCCAAGTTCTTCAACTAAGAGTTTACCAAAAGTTTCATTAAGATCAAAGATCTTCAATAATAATAATAATAAATAGATTTTGTTAATAAGATTTTATTGTCGGGAATCACAAAGCATAATCCACTTACAACCGCGTAACCTTTTTTGGCAATCAGGGTCTTGACCACTTGTTTACCAATACCACCAGCACTATTCAAAAAAAAAAAAAAAAAAGAGAATGTATTAATATCACAAATTACCAAGATAATTTTATTTAATTACCCTCCTGTTACAATGTATAAATTTCCTTCAACCTTCATAATGAATTCTATCCGTTAGAAAAAAAAAAAAAAGAGAGAGAGAGAAAGAGGAAGAAAATTTGTACGATTTTATATTCAGAATTTACATATTGCCGGAGATTGATTTCCTTTTACTCTGATTCGTTAGATCAGTCTATGTACCTGTGTAACAAAAGAAGGAAAATCACAACTGTCATTAGGGAAGGAAGGGCAGACAGTCAGACGATTGGAATAAAAAAAAAAAAAAAAAAGGAAATCGTTATGTCATCCTAAAAAGGGTAACTAGCTCTATTTATGCTTTTGATTAACATAGAGCATTCGTGAAACACGTATAAGAGAAAATAATTAGGACTTTGTTCTTCTTCCGCGCATGCAAATTCTGATTCCTTTACTATCCATCCATCTCACTGTATTTTTCTTAAAAAAAAAAAAAAGAGATGTACTTATATTGATACCCGTTGTTGACAATTGTAAAAACATGTGTGTCATCATCTACGATACACATGTTTTATTAGTAGTGATCTCATAGTGCGACTGGAAGTTTAAATCTCAAAATGGGATTGGAAGTTTTTCTTTTTTTTTTTTTTTTTTTTTTTAATGAGATTAGGTGTCAGACGATCTTTTCTTCGATTATCTACGTATTATATTTTTTTCTTTTCAGAAAATCGGCAAGATCCTCTGATGACCATTGCATATTATATGGCAACATAACCGTTAAAACAAAATGAGATGACTTTAGATTGCTTTTTTTGAGAGAAAACTAATGGTGGTAGTGCTATTGGATAATTGTCATTATTGGATGAGGGATGATGATATATTTTTTTTTTAATTTACTCTATGAACAGGAAGATAAATTATAAATGGTGATGAAGATAAGTAAAAGAGGATGTTTTCATTTATATTCGATCGAAATTTTATGTGGTGATGATGATGATGACTTTTAGCTACAAAAGTATAAAAAGTTACATGTGCACTCGATGTCATGTTAGGTTGCTGCAGAGAATTAATTCGGTTTTTTCAAATGGCTTTTTTTCTTACTAAGAAGAAAACTAATCGATAAAAAAATCATTATATATACTTGAACTATTTTTTTTTAGCATTGCAGCCAAAGGTAAATAGTGTTTGACGTTTGGAAGAATAAAAAAAAAAAGAATGGGATCGATTTTGGGATTTCTTGTCGTTTCTAAACCAGTTTGGATTTTTACAGCCAAAAATTTCGAACTCCTCAGCCAAATGTTAGCTGTAAAAATAAATTGTCAGGGGGTTATCAGGTAATTTTTGGAAAAATGGATGAAATCTTTTGGTGATCATTGTACATTAGATGGCAATAATAAAATGGGATTAGATGATATTAGAGAGGAATCTAATGGTGGTCATTTTATTGAATGATGATCATTATTGAATGAGAGATGACTGAATTTTTGTTTTACTGACTAATATTTGCAGGAAGTCATGAAAATGGGCTTAGATGAATAATTAAAGTCATGACCTATTTTATTGGTGTGATGTATTATTCAATATCCATATTAAAACTATGATGATAATCTAAAATTGCCAAGTAAAGAATAATGGGTGAATTTTATTTCCCAGACGGAAAGGATTGATTTATTCATTGTTACAAGAACAAAAACAACAACAACAATCAATGTCAATACATAGAGAATTGATGATGATCTTTTTTTTTTTTTTTTAATCCAGCTTATTATGAAAAAGGTTTGATTTTAAAATGAATTTTGATTCAATAATGTCATTGGAGGAGGGTAAAAAGTTAATATTGGCAATGAACAAAGAATGTAGATTATAATTTCTGACTCCTGAACCAAAAAAAGTGTAGATTACCACTTTATGTTTCCCAAGAAGGTAGAAACCAATATATGAAAAAGCTTGATTTGACGGAACAACACGTGAATTTATCCATACTAAAAATCTTGTATCACTCTACTTTTGGCATGGTTCCAAAGATAATTTTAATAAAACGGGCTGACACAGAAAATAATCTCTTTTATTGTGTTTATATGTATAAATCATAAACATATATATATTTAAATCAAAATAAATAAATAAAAATAGACAAAAGAAAAACAAAAGGATTCATTTGTAAAGAGAATAATGACACTTAGTATTAATAAGTTCTTTTTTTTTTCTGGGCTGATTTAAATCTTCAAATGGTATTGGTGAAACGTCAGCCTTAGAAAATTAAAATGAAAAAAAAAAACCAGCGATCCTTTTCTTTTTTTTTAATTTAAGCTTTTTCCTTTTTTCTTCTTTTCTTCCTTTTTTTTTTCTTTTTTTACTTTCACTCACTCCGTTCCTTATCATTCATTCCTTATCTACATGACTACCAAAGTCATTTCACCTTCTCCATCTCTATCCATAGATGCTCCTCAACAAAATGAACACCTTTGGAAGATTATTGAAAAACAAAGGTCCATTATTCAAGAACTTCAATTGAACTTGGCAAAAGTAACAGAAGAAAGAGATCTCTTATTGAAACAAACTGCTCAGCCTGCTTCTCCTCAATCAAGTCCTTCTGCTATTGATATTTATTCACGTCGTCCTCTTCCTGTAGAACCTTCTCCTTCTCCTGAAACTACTACCGCTGTTACTACCAATGATACTACTGATACTGCGACTATTACTGATACAACCACTTCTACGACCCCTATAACAAACCCTACGCGAAACAATACAACTACTCCTTCACCATTTGACCTCATGTTCTCTTCCGATGAACCTATGCATGCTTCCCCTGGCAAAAAGAATAACGACCTGTCTCATATTCTGGATCCAACTGAAGATATCGACGGTGACTGCAGCGAAGATGAAGATATCGACACAAAAAGAAAAAATTCTGCTATGGATGAAAAGGATATTATGCTATACACAAAGTATCATGAAGCTGTAAGAAGTCGCCATACCTCTCAACCATACCAAACGGAATCTTCTATGATTACCCATTCACCCTTACCTCCTCCACCTCAACGACATGGTGCTTTTGCTCAACGTCAACATTCAGCTCCTACCATTCCATCTGCTAGTCAACCTCCTACTAGTGCGTTTTTAACCGGAAGTGTTTCTTCCTCCAAGTCAATCACTGCTACACCTATCACTGCAACACCTTCCTCTCTATCAGGTCAACAACAACAACAACAACCTTCTTATACTCTTCAAAAGTTTATGGATGAAGATCAATCAACTTCTATCACTAGTTACGGTGATCATGCGAGTCAAGTCCATTCTTCTACTGTTGCTACACGTTCTACCAGTCAAGACATGGTGCGGTACGAAGATGGTTATTATGATCCCTCTTTGGAAGATGAATCTGGGCAAACTACTGGTTCTGCTTTACCAGCATCACCTGGAACACCACACTCAAGTGATCAACCTTCTACACCTTCGACACCTGTACCTATGCTTACTGATATCACCATCCAAGTCCTTAGCTCTAACATGACCACTAATGAAAAAGGAAAAGAAATCTTCTCTTTCACTATTGCTATTGGTAAAATTTCACCTTCTTTGCCTCATGGAATGGAAGAACTCTGGCGATCTGAAAAACTACTCTCTGACTTTGTCACTTTGGATCATATGGTAATAACTTGCAAAGAAGAAAAGGCAACATTTTTTTTTTTACTGATATATACATATATCATTCAACTAGATCAAAACGAAGAATCCAGCCTTAGCTTCAAGTTTATGCCGTTTACCTGACAAATCTTTGTTTATATCAAAAGCTCCAAGCAAAGTGGACGAAAGAAAGGTAAAAAAAAAAAAAAAAAAAAAAAATGGATTAGGATTAGAGATTAGATGACTTATCCCTATTTTATATATGATTGTAAATAGCATGTCATACAAGTCTATCTTCAACATGTGCTTACCTTACCTTTGACTGATATGTCAGATCTATGTGAATTCTTGAGCACTAACGTATTGGAACAACGAACTGGTGTAAGTGATGGAAACCGAGAATGACTATCATAATATTGATTTTTTTTTTTTTTTTTTTTTAGCCTCCTAAGAAAAAGGTTGGTTACTTGACAAAACGTGGAAAGAACTTTGGTGGTTGGAAAATGAGATTCTTCGTTTTAGATGGGCCTACTGTCAACTACTTTGAAAACGTATGTACTTTTTTTAAAAAAAAAAAAAATAGAAAGATTGGGATAATTATTTATAAACTGTTTTTACTGACTATATATGTTTTATAGAAAGGTGGGCAATATCTTGGTACTATCAATCTATCAAGGGCACAAATTGGAAGACAAGTGGTACAATCTGGATCTGGGGATGCTTTCCGTCACGCATTTTTGATTTTGGAACCCAAAAAATCTGCACCTAATGGCATTCATCGACATGTATTATGTGCTGATTCTGACTTGGAAAGGGATCAATGGGTAGAAGCTATGAGTCAATATATCAACTATGATGATTTTGGTCAACCTCCACCTTCTACGCCCACTACTGATTATCGACAGCAATTGAACAAGTATTTGCGACGAACAAGATCTGATACTGGCAATTTCAAAAAGAATCGAAAGAACTCTGCACAACGACATGTACGACAACGATCTAGTTTGGATGGAGCAGATTTGATGCAACACCATGGAATGGATGATGAAAAGAAACAAAATAATAAATCTCGACCTTTTTGGGGGAAGAAAAAGCTCAATAATAATGACAATAATTTACCATCACTACAAGGTGGATTATCTGCTGATCAAGCAACTGCGATGATGAATTCAGTCGGTTTTATGGATCTTTCAGATAACAAGCCTGTGAACTATGGACCCAATCAAGTTTTTGGTATTCCTTTAGAAGACGCTGTTCAAGTATGTCGTATCTCTCATGATTATGAATTACCTGCTGTGGTGTATCGATGTATTGAATATTTAGAAGCCAAGGATGCTGCTCAAGAAGAAGGTATTTATCGTCTTAGCGGAAGTGCTGCCAAGATTCGAAAATTGAAAGAAAAATTCAATCAAGGTATTCCAAAAAAAGAAAAAAATATTATATTCGATAAATGACTCAATTTTCCTATTTTTTTTTTTATCTTTCGAGTATATAGAAGGAGATGTTTTATTATTGGAATTAGAAGAATACAATCATGAAGTACATGCTATTGCTGGATTACTGAAGATGTGGCTTCGTGAATTACCTGGTAGTGTCTTGACAATGGAATTACTGAATGAATTTCTTCAAGTGGCTGGTAAGATAAAAATGTTTTACAATGAATATCTTTTTTTTTTTGACAACCCTTTCTTTTTTTTTTTTTTTAAAAAAAAAAAAGACATTGAAGATCGTGAACGACGTACTACTGAATTGGGACGACTTGTATCATTGTTACCTATCTGCAACTATACCTTACTCCGTACTTTATCTGCACATCTGATTCGAATTGTCCAAAATGCTGGAGTGAACAAGATGACACTTCGTAACCTTGGTATTGTATTTTCAGCCACATTGGGTATTCCTGCCGTGATCTTCAATCTATTTTTATCCGAATTTGATTATGTATTTTGGACAAAGGGATCCAATGATCAATCCGTCTTACCACCTCCCTCTTCTAATGCCAGTTCTTCAACAACCTCTCATCAACAACAACAACAACAAACAACAACAACAACAACTACTACTATTACTACACCATCATCACCTCCACCAACTATCCCTCCTCTTTCTATCCATCGTAGTCGAAGTAATCGAAATAGTATTCATTATGCAGATTTTGCTCCTCAATCTATTGTTGGATTGGAAAAACGATCTCCTGGTAAGACATAAAAAAAAAAAAAAGGAAATGATCACTCATATATAAAATATATAAATAATAGATTTTGTGGCCATCATTGATGAAGAAGATGAAGACAATACTTTGGGTTTTGACTATGATGAAGTGCTGGAACAACAACATCAACGAAATCAACAACAAAACGATTGCCCTAGTCCCGCTCAAACATATGAATATACAGCCACTGTGATTGAACCTCAAATTAGAAGATAGTGTTATTTCCCATTTTTTTTTTTTTTGCTTGATTGTATTGTATCATTTTTTATTTTCAATATATTGATATCCCCTCCTTTTTTTATCGAATAAATATTATTTTTTTTTAATCATGATTTTTTATTTTGCAAAACAAAAATAGAACTAAATCCCAAAATGTCTTTTTGACCGCCTTGTACCTTTCTTTTTGGATTTGTATGGTTTGTCAGTATATTCACCATCACTACTATCATCATCACTTTTTTTCTTTTGTTGTTGTTGTTTCCGTTTACTGGATTCTTGTTTGGAACCATGTCGACAATGAGTTCGGAATGTTTTTTCAATATCACCTGAAGCCGTCTTTTTATCAAAAAGATAATGTGCCTTGCCCTTTTCATCCAATACATAATTTTTATCATAAATTTCTCCTGTTTCAATTAATAATCGATAAAAATTGGAACACTATCAAAAAAAAAAAAAAAAAAAATTGAGACTATTTTTTTTTTTTTTTTTTTTTGTAATTACTTGATAACCCACACGTCCTGGTACAGCCATAGCAAATACACCCCATTGTGCATTGGCACCCACTTGTTTCAAACGATCAAGAAACAATTGTTTTTCTTCCTTTGTCCAAGCACCTTTATGTTGTTCTTCCCCTGGAGCATTGAACCGATAATAATAACTGTTGGGATTCGTATCAATCATTCGATAAGCTCGTAATCGTGCTTCTGACCATCCTTCATAGACGCCTGGATTTTCTTTGACTTGTTGTAATGCATCATCCAATGCCAATCGTCCTACAGATCGAACCCGACTATTTTTTTTTTAAAAAAAACATATTAGTCACCAAACAAAAAAAAAAAAAAAAAAAAAAAAAAGAATCACTTGCGGTTTTTTGATAGGGGACGAGGAAGGAATAGGTGTGGATGGTCCAGTTGTATTGTCATCCGTGACAGGAGAGGATGGTTGTAGAGGGGGTGGCTGTCTCTTTTTATACTTTTTCCCTTTGTTGGATCTAGTTGGAGATTTCAATATTGGTGAGATAAAAGATGGAGATGATGGTAGTAATGGCTGGAGTGGTCGGTAATAAGAATGAGAATCTTGTTTTGCTGTAGATGGTATTGTTGTTGTTGTTGTTGTTGCTGGTAGTGTTGTTGTAAATGGTGGTTGATGATGATTTTCTGGTAAAGGAGGAACATATATACTGTCGCTCTGCTCATCGGATAATTTGTTTTGTAAGGTAGCACCAGTCATGGATGGTTGCGATGAGTGACTAGTGATGGACTCGGTGGTGGATGTCTCCATGATAGGAGTGTTGCCTTTATCGGTGTCATGATTATCATTGTTATCCTTTGACAAACATCTGGCTTGTTGAATACGAATTAAGTAATCATGTTGAGTGATCATCCGCAAAATCACTTCATCCTTAAAAAAAAAAAAAAAAAAAGAGTCAAATCAATCAAAAAGAAAATCATCTTCGTAATTTTTATAAATATATATATACTTCATTGTAGTAACAATCTTCCAACATGGCTTGAATGTCTTTGATATCCACATCAACGAACATACATTGAATCTTAGTCATCTTGAATTCCATATCCTGTTGACTCACGCCATGTTGTGATGTAGATAAAGTCGATGGTTGCACTAAATCGATCATCGTTGTCTGATTTCCTTTTTGCTCCATATGAGTCTCCGTCTTGACTGGCGCATTTTGCTACATTTTTTTTAAAAAGAAAAAAAATAAAAGCGTATCAGATTTGACAGACTTGATAAAAGATGTTCCTTTTTTTTAACCTTTTGACTTGATTCATACTGCATTGTTTCAAGACTTGGAGTATTATTTTCTTTTGTAGGTTTGACTGCTTCTATGAAAAGAAAAAAAAGTTTGAATGAATAGGCGCTAGATGAAACATGGTCGCCTGGACGAAATAGGAAGGCACATAATTATATGATACTATGATTTTTTTTTTTTTTTTTTTTTTTTTTTTTACTTACCAACCTCAGATAAAGGAATGACTTGTTGTGGCTTTTTTGTTCGTACCATGGTGATAAAGAAAGAAAGAAAGAAGAAAAAGAAATAAAAAAATTGAGAGAGTGAGAAAAAAAAAATAAAGCTAAGAGATTTTGTTTATACGTCCCAAGTTGTCACAAAACATCAAGAACAAACAAATAAAAAACCAAGTTCAATTGTCGCAAAGTATTGTTCCCTTTGTGCATATTCTTGTACGAGTCTAAATCAATCCATGTGTGTTACTCTTATAAAACTAGATAGGACAGTTATATATAAACATTAATATCATTTCCTTTTCCCTTTTTTTACTTTTTCATTCCTGTATAAAAAAAAAAGATTCTATTAAAATACTATTGGAATTCGATAGGTCAGATGAATTCATCCATAAGCTTTATTTTGTCAAGGTAATAATCATAAATATAAATACCAAAATGACGCTGATCTATATATATATACAAGAGATAATAAGAATAATAAATAATAATAATCAAATATGTACAAGACTATTGTCAAAAATAATAAATAAAGCTATACAAAATACTAATAAAAGATGGTAAAGAATAAAAAGGTAAAAAAAAAAAAAAAAAAAAAAAAAAAAAAGTATTGACTTGATGTTCCATTGATAGACGTTGGTCATAAATTAATTTGATGAAGGCGGTCCTGGTGGTGCTGGTGGATAAGATATATAATGATTCGTGTCAAATCCAGTGTATATATCTGAAGCCCAACTTGGTTGCTTTCCCATTGCTTTTGCTGATCGTTGTCCATATTCCTGATGATGTTGATGATGATAGTGCTGCTGTTGCTGTGGTTGTTGCTGATGCTGATGCTGTTGTTGTTCTTGTTGTAGATGATAATAATGCTGATCTTTCGCATGAAAAGGTGGCACTGGTAATGACGACGATGATGCTGTTGCTGTCGTTGTTAAAGAAGAGGAGAGTATCACTGATGATGGATATTCTTGCCCAAAGTGCGGTAAACCTGTAACTCTGTTATTCGCAGATGATGATGATGATGATGATGATGTTGAAAATTGATAGTTATTCAGTGAAGGTGCTGATGGTACATAATGCTGAACTTGTCCCGATGTTGTTGATGATGACTTCCCTATTGGATCATTGGTAAAATTATAAGCCGGATGTGTATCGCAAGTAGTTGTCCTTGATGCCATCCATTCTTGCTGCTGTTGTCGCTGATGTTGTTGTTGATGCTGATATTGCTGTTGCTGGTGTTGTTGTTGCTGGTGTTGTTGTTGCTGGTGTTGTTGTTGCTGGTGTTGTTGTTGTTGTTGTTGCAGATTTTGGTCGACGATATTTCCAGTTGGTCCCAATGATATTGATGTTGTTGTCGTTGTTGCTGTTGTAAAATTAGATGATTGAAGATTGTCAGGTTTGTTCGTGTCACTGGCCATGGATAATGACCATTGGGAATGATGTTGTTGTGGGTAAATTTGTAAATAATATTCAGAAGATGTTGATATTGATGCATTACTCGTAGGATCACTTGACGGCGAAATCGAATGAGACCAATCAACATGTGCTACTGTCGAGTTGTTGTTGTTGTTGCTATTAGTCAAACGCTGCTGTGGTGAGATTTGATCAATATCATGAATCCATTGTTGAACGACGATATTATCAGTAAATGGAGAATGCTGAAACAGAGTCTTCAGTAAGTACAATTGTCGTACAGCTTGATTGGCAATATCGGTATTATGGCGATAATCGGTCAACGTAAAGAGTGTTGTTAAACTAGCTGCACTTGCCGTTAACAAATACATTAGAAGACAAGGTTGAATCCGTTGCGCTAACTGAATAACATAATTGGTATAGTTCACTGCAGCTTGAAGTCGATTACGTGTCACCAACAAATCCAAAATAGAGCCGTCATTTGTAAAAAAGCATTCGTATACATGAGTTCTCGTCATTGTCCATTGTCCTTGCAGTAGTAAGCCAAGTTCCATACCAAAAGCTTGTATTGATCTAGCATCCTGATGATCATGGTGCACATCATCCATAAGTTGTTGTTGATTATTTTCGCTATTCCAGTATCGCGGTTGTAACACTTCAGGTAATCCCAATAGCCATAAATCCAATTGATATTCAATATCTTTCAATTCCCATAATAATTTGGCTTCTGTTGTTCTCCTTTTTAGACGTTTGCTGATGGATAACGAGAGAAACATAAGTTTGACACTTTGTACACAATAATCGATACAATATCCCACTTGATTTGATTCATCTTGTCGTTTGCTAGGAGGACGGGCGTTCGGTACCAAGAGATCAGATTCTTCCACCAAGATAGGACGATCAAAAGCAAGAGAACACCATACATGAACCCAAACAGTTGACCACCATAAGCGTCGATCATCTTCCCGTAATTGTTCATTCACAAGCATTCCTTTTTCCTTGTTCAGTTTCAGTCCCTGAGCCATTCGAAGCGCCAAATCGCTATATTGTATTGCCTTGAGGTGGCCACCTGGAATCATCACTTGATACATATACATATGTAGAAGAGCTCGAATGGTATTCCGGCTACTTGTCATATAACACAATTCCAAAAGTTCTTCTGCTTGCTGAAAATAAAAAGCACCACGATTTGGATTGATATTTCGTTGTCGAATACTATCAGTAGCACCACCATGTCGATGAGAATCAGAAGCCAATTCATGGTTATAAACAAAAGCACGGACGGATTTCGCCAAAAGAGAATGTTCCAATTTGACTTGACCTTTCAGACCATCGATAAAACTAGGTGACACCCATTCCACTAATCGATCTTTTTCCACCATTTGATAGATCAAAAAGCACCTTGAATATCTTGTTGTTAACATCATATCAAACCACATACGTTCTTCTAATTCTTCATTGTCGATATCAAGATGACTGATGCTTTGGTATTTGTTGCTGTTGTCATATGCTGAATCCAAGATATCTATAGGCCGCGAATATACTTCAATTGCTTTTTGTTGCACAAACGTTGGATTGATCCCACGAGCCAAAAGTTTGACGAAATGATGAGGTTCCCTAACATTAGTAACGATGTTGATACCAGTGGCACCAAGTGTTATTTTTGATTCTTTCGATGTACTGTCTAATGATTGTGAATTGATGATATCCAAGGAAGGTATTTCTGTAGGTAAAAATGATGGATTAGCCTGTTTAGATAATGATGAGGTATCTGCGTGTAATTGTGAAGTCAAGCGCGCCTCCAGTTTCCTTAATCGTCGTTCAATATCCTCCATATCTATAGTTGGATCTTCAGATGCTGTTCGAAGTTGTTGATATTCTGTTGCCAATCCACCATGTGTTCTACAATGACTACAGGATCCATCAGTCTTTCGCTGATCCATACAGTATAAACACTATCAATACATACATATATAGAGAGAGATAAAAAAAAAAAAGAGGCAAAGAAAGAAGAAGAAAAAAAATAGGGGTAGAGGGGGACAATCAGAAGGATTAGTAAGAAAAAGGAGATACATCATGAGGCTGAGTAAACATGAACTTACTTTTCTAATTATATCAGTATCATTTTTTTGTCGTTTCACTGGTGGAAAGTTGTTTAGCATGAGCAATGATGACCTTGTAAAGACATAAATACAACAAGAAAAAAAAAAAAAAAAAAAGTGAAAAAAGAAAAAGGAAAGAGAAAGAGGGGAAAATATAAAAAATCCCGTAATATGAAGAAGTGGGCGGAGTCCAATTCCTCGCGCGAGTGTTTATCCTTTCATAATAAAGAAAAAAAAAGAGTTTGGTGTCTAAACAAGTAACGGCATCGAGACTCACTCTGAACCAACAACTTTGTTTATCGCCATGGAAAAAAAAAATGAAATAGTATCCTAATATCTTGTATGCGTTAAGGATAATGCCAATGAAAATGCTTGTAATATATATCTAATTTGACAGCTGCATTGCCCCTTTTTCGTGAACAACGCTAATTATTTTAAGGGTTTTTATGTCAGATGTTGAACCTATCATCATTCATCATCTCTCTCTCTTTTTTTTTTTTTATATAGTGCTTTCAAAGTTTTTTGTCAGGTCACAAGAAAATAGTTTCGTGATATTATAAAATTGGTCTTTCCCAAAATGGATGTCGTCTTTTTCAGATATCGCTACAAAGGTGTCAGTAGAGTATGCCAAAGCACATTGATTGATGATTGATGATTGATGATACAGTATATTAATCATTCTCTTCTTTTTTTTTTCTTCCTTTTAAAATCTCCTTTGGTGTTTCCAATTCAAAGTGAATAACCCATCTGTATATATTATAAGGAACTATAAAATCAACGTTGACCCATATAACTGGAACCATTTTTTTTTTTGTTGGCAGCATACTTATCAAGTGGTTTCACCATTGAAAAAGAAAATCATTTGATTTTCCCGCCCAAATTCAAAGGAATACTGTGTTTCCTATACATAGTAACCATCAGTTATGAAAAATAAAAATAAATAAACTTTGATATATGACATGACGTATGCAATCCACCAGCTGTCAAAATGGTTTTCCCCCAAAAAAACAAAGCTTATTTCTAAATATGGAAGGTGCATGGCCATCTTGGTAGTGGAAATTGTAGAAAAAAACAAAAAAAAAAAAAAAAACTATAATTATATATTATATTTTTGTGTGTAACTTTTTAGATAGAAGATATTAAAGATGTGTCACATTCGATCATTTTTTAATACGCTGTCGTAGAAGTGACGCGTAATAAGCACTCATCATATTAAAAATAAATAAATAAATAAAAAAAAATATTGGATTCGTCATCCTTATCCATCGGACATCTGATAGAAGAAATAGGATTGACTTGCAAAACAATTTTTTTTTATATAAAAAAAGTTAAAAAATAAAATACTATAAATAAAGACAAGAAAAAAAAAAAACATCATCACGACAGTAATCTCATTCATATTCATATGACGACGATATCTATTTCTGTTGTATGATGATTTTTATTTTCCTGTGGCAAAAAAAAAAGTCATTCTTCTGCTCATAATCAGTATTATTTAGACCAAGTGTTGAAGAGAATATATAGTAAAGTGGTTTTATTCATTATGATTGAGAAATAAGACAAATAAATAATTCAAGGATAAGTACACTATCACTAAACTAATACCTCTAGAGTCCTAGATCCATTTTCTTCAGTTCTTTGATTCGTTTGATTTCGTTGATCTTGATCCAGTCCCCAGCTAAATATATCATTATTAAAAAAAAAGATAAATTATTAATTCGTTCAATTGTCTTCTATTAAATAACTTACATTCGAATAGTTTTATCATCGCTTGCAGATGCAAATGTTGGGGGTTGAGAGACAGAAGGACACCAAGCAACACTGTTCACCGTTTGACTATGAGCTTCCAGTACTTGAAGTAGCGTTTGATGCTCTCTACTCCAAACGTATACATTGTTATCTTCACTACCACTGAGTACAAAAGTTTCATCTCCATCATCTCCTCCAAATGTTGATCTAATAATGTATGCACCTTGTTTGAGTCCTTGATATTTTCGAATCACCCTTTGTCCTAGTAAATCCCATAGATGAATTTCTTGAGTTTCCTGTATATTCACTAGTGCATAACGGCCATCCTTCGTAAGCGCCAAAGACGCAATACTGCCTTCTTCCTGAATATCACTACATAAAACCAATTGATGAGCTTCTTTTTTCTTTATACCTTGATTTATTTTTTTTAAATATCTATCTTTACCGGATCTTCGTCAAATTCAAGCCATCCACATCATATACATTAAGTTTCTTATCTAATCCAATAATCACAAGCCGATTTCCGTTGACGTTCATGGCCATATCTACAATCCTTTGTTCTTCCAATTCACTTATCAAATCACCATTTATACTCTACACAATAATAAAAAAAAGGTAAACTAATATGAGAAACTCCCCTCCTTTAAATATTATTGATTTCATATGCTTACCCATAATCGTAAGGACTTATCACAAGAACCAGAGATAATATGTTGCCCATCAGGTAACCATACACAACTTGTAACTTGATCAGAATGACCAACAAAGTTTTGTAATAATTCCCCTTCCTAAAAAAAAAAAAAAAAAAAAAGGATTTGATCAATCCATTTTTTTTTCCCGGACTAATATAATTCAAACTTACAAATGGATTCCATATTAATAATAAACTGTCATTTCCACATATAGCTATCTTGGAATCATCAGGTGACCAACTGCAATAAGAGATACTTGAGGCGCATCGTAATCGTTTCATGCGTTGGAATGTCTAACTCCGATATACACGATAAATAAAACCTTCTTTTTTTTTATATTTTATTTCAGAACTTACTTGCATATCCCATATGATACAAGTCGAATCCTTGGAAGCCGAAGCTAAATATCGTCCACAGTGAGAATAAGCTACATGCCAAACTTCATCAGAATGATCTTTGAGTATAGCAATGGTCCGAGTAGGAAAAAGAGTTCTAATAGAAAAAAAAAAGATTCGTTCGTAATCATAGAAATGATAACATCCCATACTTTAATTTTTTTTAAATACTTACTTATCACAAGTATGATCGGTAAATAGAGAATAAGTGGCCTTGTTTCTATTATGATAAAGACAATTGCCTTGTTGCCATTCAATTGCTTGATTGATCAAAGTCAGTAATCGGTCACGGGGAATCATTATATTCGGATCAATGTAACCTATACAAGAAAGACGCATATATAAATATATATATATAAAGTGAGTTTATGCAACGTACATAATTTAATTTTTTTTTTCCTTTTTACCTTGAAGTTGTGCCAAAAGTTGTTCTCTTGGAAAACCTATTTGTTCATCTCGATTCACTCTTTGTTTCACTTCTTCAGCAGAAGAACATAATATCAAGCTATGATAAGATAACAAAATCAGTTCATATCAGAATATCATTCCCTCCTCCTTCCTCATCCTTTACATATATACACACACACACACATTTGTATCATTTCTTACCTTGATAATTCGTGTAATCGTTCAGTGTCATGTTTACCCAGTGGAGATAATTCGTTCCGTAAAACTGAAAGAGCCTTCATTAATTTTCTTGCTTCTAAAAGTTCTAAAAATTTTTGTTGTCGTATCAAAAATCGAGCATGGTCGCATATATCATCTTTGGTTTGTTGATCATTGTCGATTCCTGTTTGCTGGGGTACTAAGCATAGTTGAGGAAAGAGTGATTCACATTGAGACCAATTGCCCACCAAAACAGCCTGACGAAATTCCGTTACAATAGAAGATTCAAGTACAATACCAGAATCTCGCTCTAACATTTCTGCAACATTCCTAGTAAAACAAAAAAGATAAAAAAAAAAAGATAAGAGTACTGATTGGAGAATTGTATTTGATGATTTCAAAACTTACTGATACCCCAAGTCGTAAAGAGATTGTAATATGAGTCGAAGTAATTCTTCAGTTTTAATATGTTCAGATCGAGTAGTCCGGGTATCTATAGAATGGTTTGAGTTTGATGAAGTTGTACTAGTTGTACCGTTGTTATCGTTGGCAGAACTTGTTATCTGCATACTAAATTGGTCGTTGAGTAGTTGAATGTATGAGAATGGCTGTCTATCAAAATATGGATCGAGTCAATATAAAAAAGTTATGTTTTCTTTTCTCTACTTTTTTCATATTTTTAAAAAACTTACAATAAATATAAAAAATAGTTGAAGAAACAAGTTCAAAAAAAAAAAAAAAAAAAAAATGAAAAAATGAAAAAGAAAAAAAAAAAAAAAAACTCATGCCGCCTATTAATCATTTCAGTCAGTCAGCCGGGGCGTGCGTATGTTCGTATGCATACGGACTTTGAACAATAGGTCAAATGTAACCCCCCATTAAAAAAAAAAAAGGGTAAAAATTTGTTTTCAAATTTTCCCGCGTTCCTTTTTTTTTTCTTCTTCTTTTACTTTATCGTCATGGTGGAAAACAAACCCTATGGCTCCTGGCCTTCACCAATTACTGCAGAATCTCTTGCTTCTGGAAAAGTTGCTACTGATATTTGTATCGATCCTACAACTCAGTCAGTGTATTGGTGTGAAGTCATTCCTTCAGAAGAAGGTCGTGGTCAAATCTTTAGGCAACGGTTGGATAGCAATGACAAACCCGAACCTCTTTTAGCTCTTGGATACGATTGTCGTTCTCGTGTACATGAATATGGTGGTGGTAGCTTTATAGTCAGCAATGGTTTATTGGTTTTCTCAAACGATAAAGATTTCGCTTTGTATAGTCTCAACTTGACCGATTCTCACGCTCAACCTCAACGTGTCACTGAAAGCAACAAGTTGATACGATATGGTGATTTTTGTTTGGATGCCAAACATGACTTTGTGATTGCTATTCAGGAAGAACATTTTGAAAATGAAGAACCCAAGGATGTTGTGAATACTCTTGTGGCTGTCCAATTATCGACTGGTAAAGTCAAAGTCCTAGCTCAAGGTTGTGATTTTTATTGTAGTCCTCGAATATCTGATGATGGTAGCGCTCTTACGTTTGTTTCTTGGGTTCATCCTAATATGCCCTGGGATTATACTCAACTTTCGTATGCTACCTTTCATTATTCTGATCAAGACTCCGTTGTTTTGGATTCCGTTATCTTGGTGAACCCTGATATTGAAGAAAGCATTGTGGTAAGATTTTTCTTTTCAATATTATAATATATATATAAACTAATTTTTTTTTTTTTTTTTTTTTTTTAGCAACCTGAATTTGGAGTGGACAATACATTATATTTTGCTTCTGATCGATCTGGATTTTGGAATTTGTATCGATATCAAGTCAACACAAATCAAGTGGAATTACTTTTAGAATCACCTTTAAACCAAGAATTTGCTGGTGCACAATGGAGTCTTTGTACTTATTGGTATAGTCCTTTCAAATCCGATCCAACCAAACTGGCATGTCTCAACAAAGAATCTCTTGCCATTCTTGATACTACATCCAAGACGTTGACCAACTTACCAAGCAACTATGATCACTTTAGTCAAATTCGAACTTTTATCAATGGTGATCATCAAGAAGTGATTGTAGTAAATGCAAGTGCTACAACAGTACCTATTGATTTGATTGCCTATGATGTCTCTTCTCAAGCTATTCAACGTGTACTTAAACCTTCTACTGTACCCAAGATGGATCCTGCATATATTTCTGTGGGTAGAGAAATCGCTTTCCCTACTACGAATGGTCAGACGGCTTATTGTTATTATTATGAACCCAGAAATCCCAAGTATACTAGTGATGACAATTGTCCACCTCCTTTACGTGTGCTCTCCCATGGAGGACCCACTACATCAACCACCAACGAATATCGTAGTGTTATTCAATATTGGACTACTCGAGGATTTGCAATTGCTGATGTCAATTATGGTGGCAGTACAGGGTATGGTCGCGATTATCGCAATCGATTGAAGAAAAAATGGGGAATTGTAGATGTGGATGATTGTTGCAACGCTGCTTTGTATCTGGCAGAACAAGGATGGGTGGATCGTAACAAATTGGCAATTGAAGGTGGATCCGCTGGAGGGTTCACTACATTGGCAAGTTTGGCTTTCCGTAATGTTTTCAAGGCAGGTGTATGCAAATATGGTATTTCTGATATTACACTTTTGGCAAAGGAAACTCACAAGTTTGAATCAAGATATACAGGTAATTCCATAGAAAATGAAAAAAAAAGGAAAAACAATGTGATAGAATGATACAAATGAATGACGACTGATCCTTTTTATATATATATATATGTATGAAGATCGATTGATTGGAGAATACCCAAAAGAAAAACATATATATCAAGAACGGTAAGTCAAAAAAAAAAAAAAAAAAAAAGAAATTGCTTGATACAAGTTTAATTGAATCATACCTTTTTTTTTTTTTTTTTTTGTTCTAGTTCACCTCTATTTGCTGCCGATGAAATCAATTGCCCTGTTATCTTCTTCCAAGGAAAGGACGACAAAGTGGTGCCTCCTGGTCAATCTGAAATTATGGTCAATGCTTTACAAAAGAAAGGTGTACCCGTTGCTTATGTTCTTTACGACGGGGAAGGTCATGGTAATATAATGATACATTATTAGGATAAATAATCATAGTGTTAATGTGAATTTTTTTTTTTTTAATATTGAAAACAATTTATTCTTTTTTTTTTTCATTTAGGTTTCCGTCGTGCTGAAAATATCAAACGTACCATGGAATTGGAACAATGGTTTTTGGGTCAAACATTCGGCTTTGAAGTGGATGGTGTAGAAGGCGTTCCTATTGACAATTTCCCCCCAAAATAGTCTAGTTTAGCAAGTATCTACATTTTTTACAATATGCCCCTCAATTAAAAAAAAAAAAAAGAAAATCATTCAATATATATTTTTATGATGATATAAATGATTTTATATAGAAAAAAAGAAAATAAAATCAGCAAACTAAAAAGGATTGTAGTGCGGGAAGGGAAGGATGAATTTTTCTTATTTATAAAGAAAAAAAATACAAAGTATAAATAAAAGAAAAGAGAATTATAAAAAGGAAGATAACAGAAGAAAAGGGAATTCATAAGGAGGATTGATGAGGAATGCGATTTGTTTGGGAAAAAAAAATAAAAAGAGAATAAACTGATGGGGTGTGAATATAAAGATATAAATGGTAGAGGAGCGAGATTGTATATATATGTATATGTGTTTGCATGTGCATGTGTAAGCTAGACCATAAAATAAACCTTGTTCCGATCATTGTTCACTATATAAAATAATATATAAAAAGATGTTAGTATACTTTTATAATGTTATGTATTTATATACATACGTAAAGATAAAGAGATTGTTTGTTGCAGCGACAGCAATTGTATTTTCTTGAGGATGCCACGAGGAATGAAGGATCTTCTTATTAAAATCAGTAGGATCAGAACCAACTATACCACCTTTACCAGGACCTCTAGTCATCGCCATCTTGTTTTTAGATGAACCTAAACGTTTCGCCTTGAATGCACTTTTATCAGCTTGAAGAGTAATATCAGATTTGCCTTCACGATCATAGAGATGGAATGTATTGTTGTAGGATCCAGTGATCACATGACTAGATAAAAAAGAATAGAGAGAAATTATCAATTTTTTGTTGATTCTTTTAAATCATACTTTTTTTTACCTATCATCACCACTAAAAGTACATTCAAATTTGTCAAAGATACAATCATTTTCATAAAGATCACATAATTTGGATCGTAGTTGGTCATGGATGTTGATGGTTTGCACAGGCTTATTGTCCATGTTGATATCCCAGATTTTCAAAGTTAAATAATCTCTAGACAAGATATATCGACCATCATGACTAAAGCTAATATCAGAGACAGAAGAGATAATCTCGGAAAAGAAGGATCGACTAGCAGGATCTTCAGCTTCTTCAAACACTATATACATATATATATAAAACATTCATCATCAGTTATACTTATTTTCTCTTCTTTATCTTTTATTTTAATTACCTTTCGCATGTTGATCACATAAAGCGGATTCACGCATATCACTTAACTTGATGGTTCCTTTGCTAGAACTATACATAAACATGTTGCAATGATAAGGATGGAATTCGGCTGCTGTGATGACTTCTGTAAGTTCTTCCATATTCGCAGGCTTGATATCCACAATATCTATGATTATCACGTTAAAAATTATCAATCTAATCATATAAAAGATATGATATCAACTTACTGAAAGATTGATCAGAGATATTCAAATTCCACAAATTGATTCGTAAGTCATCTGCTGAAATATAGGTTTCGCTGTCAGAGTTGATGGAAATCGAATTGATATGATAGGCATGAGCTGTGTAATATAATTAGATATATATTGTTAGATAAATTTAAATAGAGATATAAAATTTTTCATTCATTTTTTTTTTTTTTTTTTTTTTACCATTGGCATAAACTTTTCTAGGAGCGGCGGCGATAATTGTATCTTGATGAGCCAACTTTGGTATACGTAAGGCATTTGCAACAGGTTGAGGTCCATCATTCAAATTGTTTTCAGCTACCACCTTGAGAGATTTTTCGAACACTTTCCAGAGCTTGATCGTTTTATCTAAAAATTTATAAAAGTTAATAAAGATATACATTTTTATTTATTTATATACCATTGGTTGACAGTAAGAAGTGAGCAGAATTTTGACGTTTGCACCATTTGATTTTGTTAATCTTTTCTTCAATTTCCAAACTTTTGAGGTAGTCGAATTCAGCTTCATGAGATTGGAATTCGGTATGAAACTTGTATTCACATCCTTTTTTCTAAATAGTAGTAAAAAAAAAAAAAAAAAAAAAAAGAAAAAACCATACGCGTACAAACAAATATATATATATTAGAAAAAGAAGGTAGGTAGTTATTCGAATAGAAATATCACTTTTTATCCTTTTTCAAAGACTTACACTATCGTTTCGTTCAAACAAGACAACCCGACCACCTATTAATAAATATCAACGGAATATTGAAAGGAAAAGAAAAAATAAGTTAGGCAAGATTGGGTTAGTCGTAAATATGTTTTTTTTTCTTTTTCTTCTTTCTTGGTATATAATTCAACGAACCCTAATAATGATAAAAAGAAAATACTTAATATTACTTTCTTTCTATTTTCAATTTCTTTTACTAACTTACTCGGTCACCCGTTACTAAGAAATCACCTGTGTGGTCAAACTCTACTGCTGTGATGATATCGGCTACAAGTCATAATAAAAAAGAAAAAGAAAATGGAATAGAGATAAAATATTAGTCAAATAATATTTTTGTTTTCATAGTAAAAAAAAAAGAAAACAACTTTATTTCAGGAGTTTCCTCTTTTCTATTAAAAAAAAATAGACACATATGGGACCATGACATTGAATAACATGGGGGTCGTTGTTTTTTTTTTTTAATGTAAAAGATGATTTTGAAAGCTTACCTTCTGTAATGTCGTCTGATTCGCCTTTATCACCAAAACATTGAGCGAATTTCCAATTGTGGTCTTCGTTAACGTTCATAATAAGATGAGCTTTTAATAGTATATGGTTGTAAATAGAAATATAAAAAGTAAAAAAAAAAACAGTAAAAAGGAAAAAAAAAAAAAAAAAAAAAAAGAGAGGAAGAAGAAGCGAAAATTGGAGGAAAAAAAAAGTGTACAACGGAGTTTTCATTAGCATTTCAGAAACCGCCTACGTCCTTACTTTGATTTATTTAAACTTTAGTTGTGCTCTTGTTTAGTATAAGTGAATGATGATAAATCATGATGATAAAATTGATTGCATTGTCTTTTTTTTCTCTAATAAATAGTATTTTATTCCTAAGTTATAAATGAATACAGTGTTTCTTCTAGTGATACGTATTTTATTCACATCATTAAAAGATCCTATATATATACTATCATGAGATTTTTGTTCATTTATTTTATTAAGATAATAAATATATCCTCTATTCTAATAATGAATGATAACTAAACTAAAGGGGAAATAACAGCAAGATCTAAACACAAACAGAGGAGAGAGTAACAAAAACGAGAGTTCCGCATGTGATAAGATCCCTTTGCTTGTTGTATTGTTCTCGATGAATAAAGAATGGCCTGTAAGACGTAGTAGCATTCGATTAGTGTGTAGTTAATCTAACTAACGTTAATCTAACTAACTTCCTTTTTTTCTTAATATTCTGTAAAGAGAAAAGAAAAAAGTAAACGGCTATTTTTTTTATATTTTACTCGCATTTCCTAATGAGAAGGATGGGTTTGAAATGCCGCATTGCTTTTTTCTGCGAGTAAGCACGTCACGCAACTATTTTTTTTTTTTTTTTACTTCTCGATTGTCATATCTCTTTTTTTTTTTTTTTTTTTCTCTTTGTTCATTGTGTCAGTTACCCATTTACCCCTCTTCATATTTACAAATATACACTATACACACTGAAAAGGATATATTATAAAGTTAAGGGCAATTTGATTTGTTACACTTCCTACATTATTCGAAACAATTCTTGTCCTTGCTTTTTTTTTTTCCTTTCCTTTCCTCACTGTGTACCTCCTCAAATGTCATTGTCTTCAAGCGGCTCCAACCTTTGTCGCTATATATGGATGAAACGTTTTTGTCAAGACATTGTCAAAGCTCAACATGGACGACCATTATCACTTGCAACCAAACAAACGAACCGATTATCCTCTCCAGTCAACTATCAACCCATACCGACTTTTCTAACACCACCTCACAGAACTAACAAGAAGAAGGCTTTAGAAAGAGCTGTTTTGGAACAAGTCAAAGAAAACCGTATAGATAATGCTCAACGTATATTGACGGATATCTATCGATCGGGTCATACACCAACCATAGGCGCATACAATCAGATCATCAAAGCATTATCGAAACAGTTCAACCATCGACAAAACCAAATACAAGCACATGCACTCCTTGAAGAAATGGCTGAACATGGCATTACACCCAATTCTCAAACTTATATCCAATTGCTTTTGGGCTATGCTATACATACCAAATCTAATGACCATATACACCAAATGCAACTATTATTCGATATACTATTACATTGTGAACATGGACAACGTTACAAGAGAACTCATTTCAAGATCAAAAAACTAGTGGAAGTCATGGCAACACAAGGGCATGGTGCTATTTTACCTATCATGATGGCTACTTTTAATGCTGGCATCAAACTCGACATATCTATTTGGAATATTGCTCTAGCTGGTTGTGTCCGTGGTGGCTATATGGAAGCATCTGAACAATTATTGGATATCATGCGATTATCTAGACAAGAAGAAAAGAATAATAAGGAACAAGATTTAGGATCGATATTACCGGATATGACTTCATACCATACTGTTATTTCTGGCTACTTGGATCAAAATATGGATGGGAACAACATGGATCGTGCTATAGGGTTATTCCAAAAGATGATGGATGATGGTGTAGTGGCTGATTATCGAATATATCAACTTTTCTTACGTGCATATACGACTCAATCAACATCGACTACAATGATGAATAAGGACGTTCAACTAGATACACTTCAACGATTATGGCGGGCCATGATGACAACAACAACGGATGAACTGCAAATTGGTGATGATGTACTAGAGACGCTCTTGGAATATTATGTACGACATCAAGAATATCCAGCAGTGGAACAAGTATATTGGGATTTACGACAACATAGATATTCATTGTCAGGACGCATGGTATCCCTTTTTTTCAAAACAGTGATTGGTTTCTCAAAGCAACAACGTCTGATATCTGGGATTGCTATGTTTTATGATTTGTTATCATATGGACATGGAGCCGACAATGCAGCAACATCATCATTATTACGGGCATGTTCTCTTCGTGGTCAACTGGATATGGCACAACAAATTTTGGATGTAATAGAGGATACATTACAACAACCTTGTTCTATCAGTCATTACAGCATGATGGTACATGGGTACGTAGCACAAGGAAAAATGGAATTGGCAACTACAGTATTCAACAAAGTTATACAGCTTTGTAACGGAAACAAATCATTCGATGTTCAGTGTTTATCAGCGGCACGTTTGACCATGATTCGAGGCTATTTCAAATCAAGGCAGTTGGATAGGGCAGAAACTTTATTTCATCAACATTTGTCTACGCAACAAGATGATATCAAGATGGATAAACGGTTGGTCAAGATTATGATTGAAGGCTATGGTACTACTAGGAATAAAACAAAATTGGATGAATTTCTTGGTAGAAACGATATTATCTTGGACGACATTCATACTAGGGATATTTTGATTCAGTCTAGACTCAATTGCGGGGATCTGGATGGAGCAGAACGTGATCTTCAAGAGGGGCTCAAACTACATGATGCCAAATGGCTGCGAAATTCAATTCAATTGGTATTATCAAGACTGGCGTTGAATGGAAATGTGGCATCTTGTGAATATTGGATGAATTTATTGACAACACATCATCTCATGAATGCAACTTCTTATGGAGCACTTATAGTATGTTATGGTGAAGCAGGTGAAACAATAAAATTGAAACGGATGTATGATGATATCAATAAACAAGGTCTGAAACTGGAGAAAGGTATTGAAAACAAGATCAAGTCCCAATGGTTATAGAAACAAATGTATATAGTTAGACTTTAGACTTTCTTAACCATTTTAGTTTAGTATTGTATTTTATTTTATTTTTTTATTATTATTGTTGTCTTGGTTTATACCCTTTTTGAATAATAAAAAAAGAAAAGAAAAAAAAGAAAAGAAAAAATTCAACCATCTATTATCATATGACCTTTATGCTTTTACAATTTTTTGACAATAGGTTGTACCAACAACTCCGAAGATCAACCATTTTTTTTTTTTTCTATTGTTTTATATAAAAAAAAAAAAAAAAATCGATTGCCTCCCTTCTTTTTTTTTCTCCTTTTTTTTATTTTTATTTTTTTATATATGTATCTATTTCTTTGTAACCATGTCCCCTAATTGGTTACTGAAATCAGTTACTCGGTTTTCAAATAAACATATCCACTTTTTACAAATCCATTATATTTATATCGCTTTGATTATTTTTATTTTTTCTGGTCTTTACTATGCACAACCAGGTACATCTTGGGCTTACATTGACTCTTTATATATGGCCACTACAGGTTGTACAAATACTGGCATCAATACAATCGTCGTTTCTTCCATGTCTACTTATCAAGTTGCAGTCTTGTATTTCTCCTCCTTTTTTGGATCTCATATTGTTGTCTCTTTTGTTGTGGTCATGGTACGGAAACACTATTTCTCCAAACGATTCAAAGAAGTAGTTCTCTTTAACAAGGCTAGAAAAATTCGGGAACTCAATCATCGTCGTCAAAATAGCAAACCTCATATCAGAGTTCTCTTACCTTCGGACATTGTCAGAACGTCTTCAATGCAACCTAACAAGAATGAATCTCCTTCTTCTACTCACTCTGTTTCCAATATTGGTAACGCTACTCCTACTGATACTAGTGGTGATATTATTATAGGTGCTTATCCATTAACGATGCCTTTGCAACAACAACATGAAAAACACATTCAACAATTACGACGCGATTCTCAAGAATCTATGGAACATACAACTCAAGGTATTGTGGATTCCTTTCATCGACAGCAGCAACAGCAGCAGCAGCAGCAGGAGCAACAGGAAGATATAGAAAATGTTTTTTATCCTACATCAAGCGTGAAATCATCTCAGCCTCTGGATTCTGATAGTGAAACTGATGACATGAACAAAGAAGACGTTGCACATGGCAAATCACATTTCGACCATAATCCGACTTTGGTTACGGCAGCAAATGGAGGAGCGAACATCATCTTTGCAGATAACATCCTTCAGCAACGTGAAGCAGCTCGTCAACGACTTCAGGCGCAACGCAAATTGGAAGAAGGACGACATTCATTTACAACAACTGGGACAATGGATGATTATCAACAACGACGTGATAATAGTTACGAACAAGAATCAAGAGATGCGGCTGATGTATTATCTTTGGCGATTGATCAAGTGGAATTGACAAGAGAACAACGGTATCTTGTGGGTGGAGCAGAATATCGTGCATTGGACTTGTTGACTATTGTGATTCCTCTTTACTATCTTGGTATTTTGATTGGTGCTTCTTTAATCTTTCGTCTCTATATTGCCGTGTCACCCTATGCACAAAAGGTTTTATTGACTACCAATAATTCGGGCATTCCTGTGAATCCATGGTATCTTTCCTTTTTCATCTGTCTCTCAGCAATGAACAACTTGGGTCTTAGTCAAATTGATGCTTCTATGGTACCATTCCAAAATTCTCCTTTTCCTTTATTATTATGTGGCTTTCTCATCTTGGCTGGAAATACGGCATATCCTATCTTTCTTCGGTTTACTCTATGGTGCATGTACCATGTTACACCTCGATCGTACTCAATGCATCGCGAAACTCTTCGGTATCTTTTGGATCATCCTCGTAGATGTTATACAACCTTATTCCCTTCACGACAAACTTGGTGGTTACTTGGCATTCTGATAGCTATCAATTTGACTGAAATCGTTGTCTATGTTTGTACAAATTACTGGCTTCCTGTGATGGATGGCATTCCTGTGGCTTCTCAGATTTTGGATGCATTATTTCAAGGCATTGCTACTCGAAATGGTAAAAAAAAAAAAAAAAAAAAAAAAAAAAAAAGATCATGGGAAAATTCACATTCTTATTTTATCGCCACATAGCTGGATTTTCTGTAGTGAATCTTGCAATGTTGAACCCTGGAACTATCCTTGTTTATATTGTGGCTATGTATATTGGCGTCTATCCAGTTGCTATCTCTATGCGAAATAGTAATGTTTATCAAGTAAGTACAAAAGATAAAAAACCTTGGAAATTTAGATGAATACTGAACTATACATTGATTCTATTTTTAGGAACGTTCCTTGGGTATGTATCGTACAGAAAATGAACCTCAGGATGATGATGATGATCATAGTGAAGACAATGGAGGTGTTATATTGAAATTACGGACACAAAAGACTATCAATAGTGTGATGACAACATCAAAAAAGATTTTCCATCGACCCGATTTTTTTGTGATGACTCAAATTCAACGACAACTAACCAAAGATATTTGTTGGGTGATTATTGGGATATTTTGTGTCTGTGTCTTGGAAGCTCAATCGATCATGTCTCCTTCTCCTGTGACTATAGGCTCAGTGATGTTTGAATGTGTCTCAGCATTTGGATGTGTTGGTGGATCTCTTGGTGGTACCGTTCCTGGGACATCGCAAAGTGCAGATTATCGAACGGTCAGCAAATTGGTACTAATATTATTAATGTATCGGGGTCGACATCGTGGATTACCAGCAGCTATTGATCGTGCTGTTCTTTTACCATCAGAACAACTAGAACGTTCGGATACCGAAGAACAACAGCTTCATCGCCTCTATCGCAGTCCATCATGTACTACTACCGCCACACCTTTCAATCATTCTCGCTATCCTAATATCAAAGTCTACCAACGATCGGAAACTCTATGAAAGACCTATTAGATATTTAGACACCTTAATGATCCCATATCCTCTTTTATCAGCATTTATTTATAGACTTAGACTCCCCCCCCCCACTTTTATATATATAATGCACTCAAACGTTTTATTTTTATTTTATATATATTAAACCCAATAGTATATATTTTTTTTTTATCATCTTGTCTTATTCCCTTCCATCAACCATACTAAATCAATATCAATAAAAAGAAAACATATTCCGTTTTTAGAACGATATTTTTTTTTTTTGCCACTTAATACTGTACAATGTGAATCTAAGAACTATTTGGCCACTCATCATAAAATAGATGTAAATTTATCCATTTTTGATATAGAGTTCAATCATCATGGTTTACTTGTCATTATCGTTCCATCATCGACATTCATCAGTCAATCATCATCATAGATCATGTGATTACTCCTAGTCTTTATCTTGAACAAAGGACATCTCTGAGATACCGAACAGATATTGTTGTAGAAAGTGTAAATGATACATACAACGATTATGAATGTTTTTTAAAGGATCGATGTAGAAAATAAAAAGAAGAGGAGATTACGTTTTTGTATATCATATGTAGAATCAAATAAAAAGGAAAGAAAGTATCACATTTTTTTATTTATTTCTTCAGCTAGAATACAACTATCATACATATATATAAAAAAAAATGGAACTAACATAAAAAAAAAAAAATGTAGATCTAATCTATTTCTATTATTCTATTTCCAAATCTATTCATCGATTCAATACATCCAGCATATGTTCCACAGTAGTGAATTTTTCCCTTGGTTTCCCCAACTTGGCACCAGCTTGGAATTCGGCGGCTTCAATACGTTTCCAATCATCATAGGATACATGGCGAATTTGACGTTGATACATCAATTGGAACAAATCATCATCGGCATGATTTTGGGAAGAAAGCATAGGAGCATCCTTTCGAAGATCGGCTAAAATGGTATCTGCAGTTTCATAAGCATCTGACATGGTTGATACAATCACACCTGTAGGACCTCGTTTCAACCAACCAGCGGTGTACATCCCAGGCATTTCGTTTTGTTCATGATCAATCATCTTGCCATACAGATTGGGGATCAAGCCTTGTTGCACATCAAATGGAAGTCCATCCATTGCCAAACTCTTGTAACCAATACTACGAAGCACCAATCCACATTCTTGCGTTTCATATTCACCTGTTCCTACCGCACGCGATTTTTCCACAGGGCCTTCTAAACGATTGATTTCATATCGAATGCCTGCCACTCTGTCATTGTTGGTCAAGATTTCCACTGGACTGCGTAAGAATTGTAGATGCCATGATTTATCACCTTGTTTATTTTGTTCTTGATCCAATAAAGCCATCAAACGTTTCAAAGGTCGTCGTTTTGCAAGATAATCACTGTGTTGTTGAATTTGATCATGAATCCAAGTATGATCCGCTCGGAATTGTACACCAGGAAGTTTGAGTTGTTCGCGTAATTCTTTGGCCGTAAATGCAGCTTGTAAGGGACCACGCCGACCTACCACATGCACATGCTTGATTCGACTTTTGCTAAGAGCTTCCAACGCATATTCTGTCATATCTGTCTTGCGTAGTTCATCAATGGGACTGAGTAATACACGAGCCACATCCAGTGCTACATTGCCTTGTCCAATCACCACCGCTGTATCTGTATCTTCCAAAGGTAACTTTAAATCTCGATCCCGAGGTAACCCATTGTACCAGCCTACAAACGTTCTTGCCGACGATGAACCATACACATCTTCATTGGGAATACCTAATTGTCGATCTTCACTAGCACCATATGAGAAGAGAATAGCATCGTAATATCGTTGTAGTTCATGCACCGCAATTGACTTTGATATATTGTCATCGTTCTGTTTACCAATAGTAACATTGCCGAAAAAACGGAAGCGTTCGTCTTCTGCCACCTTGTCAAACGTTGTCATGACATTCTATAGTATGCATATAATAAAAAGAAGGAAAATAATATATTAATACCAAGATTAAAAAGTAAATAAAAAAAGCTTTTCTTTTTTTTTTTTAATGATATATATGCTAACCTTAACTTCGGGATGATCAGGTGCCACACCATAACGAACAAGACCATGAGGAACAGGTAAACTATCAAACATATCAATTTGAGTGGTTGGAGATTCTTTGAGTAGTTTATGTGAGGTATAAAATCCAGCAGGACCACTTCCAACCACAGCTAAACGAAATGGTTTACTTGTTGCTGCGGTTGTCAAAGTTCGTTTCAACATGATATATAATGGAGAGAGAGAGAGAGAAAAAAAAAAAAAAAAAAAAAAAAAAAAAAAGAGGGAGAACGAGGCACAGTTGACCCAGGATTTAAAGCGGGGTTGGGTGACTGAAAAAAAAAAAAAAAAATTGGGTCAAAAGCGAAAAAGGGCGCACGGCATTTTGAAAAAAAACTTTTTTTTTCCTTTTTTTTTTAACTTAGTTTTTTGATCAAGTAGAATGAGTTTGAACTTTGATACATTAACAGAATGGTATGATCAACCTGTGGACACCTTGAAAGAGATCAATGCCAAGAAGAAAGAACTTACTCTTGTGGAAGATATTTCCTCTTGTACCAAACTACGAAAATTGATCTTATCTGAAAACTCACTTACCAACAATCACCTCAACTTGATCGGTCTTGAACACATTACTTTTTTGAATCTCTCTCACAACAATTTGGATTCTCTTAAAGGATTTGAACATTTAAGGGATTTGAATGGTAAAAAAAAACTCAAATTCATGATTATTTTTTCCCCTGGATTAACGTTTTATTTGATATATAGTTCTCAACGTCAGTCATAATGTGATTAATAATCTTCCTACTGATTTACCTTGTTATAAAAATTTGAAGGCTTTTATATTGAATAACAATCACCTTTCAAAGTTGGGAAGTTTGGATTCTTTAGTGGCTCTGAACACTTTAGGTAAATAGAAAAAAATAAATATATATATATATAAAAAAAATTAAGATTGGACGATTCATGCAACTTTTATATAAATACTATAGTTTTGTCTCACAACAAGCTTAAAACGATACCATCTTTGGACGCCATGGTTGATCTTGCCAAATTATCTGCAGCTCATAATAACTTTAAGAAAATGCCTGATCTGTCTTCTCATACAACTTTTTTAAAAGAAATCCGATTCAATGATAATAAGATTACAACCATACCCGATACATTACGACCATGTCAAGCTTTAGAAATCATCGATTTGGGAAACAATCAAATTGAAAAATGGAGGTAAAAAAAAAAAAAAAGAAGAAGATATCAAGTGAACTAAGAATTTTTTCTCATTACTTTTGTATGATTTTTTTTTTTGTTAGTGACATTGCACCACTTGGCTCATTACTGAATTTACATAATCTGAATCTACACGGAAACCCTATCACACAAAAAAAAGATTATAAGGATAAGATCATGCAATTGATTCCTTCTTTACGAGTATTGGATGGTGAACGTTTCGACATGAAGTTCTTGGAACGAAAACAGAAACAAGCAACGAATTTGAAATTGATGGAAAAAAAAGATCGATTGAAACGAGAAAAACTGGAAAAGAAATTGGAATCAGAATATGGATTGGAAGCTGAACGCAAACCTCGACATAAACATCTTATGCGTCAAGAACAACCTGAACAACAAGAATTACCAGACAAGAAGAAGAAGAAGAAAGATGACAAACGGAAATTGGATCAATTGGATGAGGATAAAAAGATTACCAAGAAGAAAAAGAAGATTGATACCTTCTTTGACGTTCAAGATATGGAACAACAAACAACTGTAGAAGAAATCTCCTCACCAGTCAAACCTACCCCAACAACAGAACCAATCGTACCTTCATTATCAACTGATGATACTCAACCCTTGAAGAAACGCCAAATTGAAAATATACTTAGTAATCGTGAACGAACAGGTGTATTATCCATGGTGGACAAATCCAAAAAAATGAAGAAAAAGTCCAATGTGGAAGATGTGGTGGCTACTTTGGAACAAATGAAGGAACAAGAAAAGGAACAATCATTGACTGGTTTAGGTGCAGATGCATGGGATTAGACTATTCATTTACATAGATCTTTATAGTTATTCTATATTTGAAAACTGTATAATAAAGTTTTGATCTTTTTTTTTCACATGATGATGATGATGACGGGTGGGGAAGAGGATCTATGCACGGACTTTTTTCTTTTTCTTAATGGTCTTTTTTTTTTATATAGAGAGATATCATATATTCTTAAAATAAAAAAAAAAAAAGAAAAGAAATGATTCATTTTTATTTTCTTTTTCTTTAATCTGCTTTCATTTTGATTTTTACTCATTTACAAAGAACTTTTTGAAAACTATTTATGTTCTTTCTCTTTTTCGTTTGTGGGGAGATGGTAGCACGTTATCCGGCGGACATTTGTACAACTTTATCCAGAGAGAGAGTGATCAAATAGATATGATCCATCTACAAGAATAAATACAAAGAATGAAAAGAATGAATAATTTGTCTCATTGTTGTCATGACAATGAAAAAGAATTGCCATTTTTGATAGGATAACTAGTAGCTTGTCAAAGAAAACAAGAAAATAAAAATAAAAAAAGAAAAAAATAATAAAAAGAAGCGGCGACTCGATGTTGAACCCAAGGTGCCGGAAAGGAAAACAAGGATTTTTTTTTTCTTTCTTTCTTTTCTTTCCTTGTTTTTTTTTTTCTTTTCTTCTTTTTCTTCTTCTTTTCTTTTGTCACGCGTTACAGTTTTGATTCTTTTGTTCTTCCCTTCAAAGTCTATATTGACTACCGTACATACATTGATTCCATCATGACCACCAAAGATAATACTCTGAAAGTCGATAAGAAAAGAAGTCCATTCACAGAAAACGTATTTCTATTTGTTCCTAATCTTATTGGTAAAAAAATATATTATAGAAATGTAGAGAATGATGACTAATGTTGTTTATTTCTTATAGGATATACTCGGATCATACTAGCTTCACTTTCTCTGTATTATATGCCCATTCACCCAAAAGCTTGTGTAGCTTTATACACCATTTCCTGTTTATTGGATGCTGTTGATGGAAACGCTGCTCGTTATTTTAATCAATGTAAGTAAGGAAACTCTTTAAAAAAAAAAAGGATCTAATTGAATTTTATATAATTAGGTAGTCGATTTGGAGCTGTACTGGATATGGTGACAGATAGGTAATAATAATAAAAAAGATGATTATGTGCGGTCAATTGAAAATAATGATTTTTAACCCTCCTCTTCATAGATGTACTACCACCTGTTTACTTTGTTTTTTGTCTCTTCGAAATCAAAATTGGACCATTCTATTTCAATTTTTAATTTCTTTGGATTTTGCTTCTCATTATATGCACATGTATAGGTAATATTCCCCAAAAAAAAACTGATAGAATGAAAGGATAATTAACCATTTTATTAGTTCTATGACTGAAGGTTCATCAAGTCACAAGAAGATTGCTGAAGGTGGTAGTCGATATCTTCGTCTCTATTATACCAATAATGTAAAAGTTAGGAGGGGCTAAAGAGAGGGGAAATAGGGGGAGGATGATGAACTAATTGGATATGTTTTGCCACGTTTTTTTTTTTTTCTTTAGATTATCTTATTTGTTATGTGTGCTGGGAATGAACTGTTTTTCGTACTTTTGTATATTCTTAGTGTGGCCAATATCTCTCAACCTTTGAATGGTAAATGGATATAGTCTTTAAACAAAAATTTACTTACTTGATTTTCATTTAGTGTTTTGGTGGATTTCATTATTCGTGACTGGAATGATTTGTGCTGCCAAACAATTCATCAATGTGGTGCAAATCGTAAATGCAAGTAGGGTATTGGTAGCTATTGACAAGGAAGATAGAATCAAGGCTTTATCAAAGGATAGTTAATTGAATACTTTAGTGATTCATCTGTAGTGTATTCCCCCCCTTATCTTTTTTTTTTTTTTGTTGTGTCATATATTTATCTTGTGCATTCTAGTTTAGATGAATCATATCACACTTCAATATAGTATTACTTATATTACTAACCTCTTATTACAAAGCAACAACACGCACATATACATATACACACGCATACACATACATACTCTTGATAGTCCGTCCATTCAACCATTTTGTAGAAATCAAAAGAATAAAACCAAAAAAAAAAGGGAACCAAATCATCACTTTTTTTTTATTATGTTTGTATAAAGAAATATATGAAGACATATCGAAAGCAAAAGTAAACAAAGGAAATGAAAGAATGGTATGTGACAATAAATAATGGGATGATATCAAAAGTCAATGAAGATCATTTAAAAAAAAAAAAAAAAGATCAATAAGGAAGGAGGGGGGAAACAGGATGAAAACATCAAACAAAAAAAAAAAAAAAAGAACATTGGAATGGGAATAGGAAAGTAATGTGTGTGTGTATGTGTAGGGTAAAGAATAATAATAAATAAATAAAAAAAATAAAAAAAAAAGCTACAAACAAATTCATATAAAGTACTACTAGTAAAGAATAAAAAGACATATATGGATAATAATTAAAAAAAAAAAGGTAAAAGATATAAATATAAAAATAAGAAAAAAAAATAAGAAAAAAGAAAGAGAGGTCATTCGCCTCGTAACGACCTTTCCAAAGAATCAGACCGTAGACGTTGGATTTCAATTTGTTTGTGAGCTTTGGAGAGTTCGTTGGTAAAGTAAGTATGCATTTGCTGATAATCATGCTGTAATCGTGTGATGTAGGCTTTGAGTTCATCTTGATAAGAGGAAGACGATGACGAGGGTGAGACCGATGGTTCCTGAAGCATGATATTGTACATGGATGATGGATGATCAAACATCATTGTTTGTGGCGGTGGTGGTGGTTGATAATCATTCATAAATGTAGTGTAATTTCCATTCGTCTGAGTACTAATGTCAAGTGGTGATGATAAACAAAGAGCATCGGAGGATGGTTGTTTTTGTTGTTGAAGGGGATGTGGTATTGCATGATGTTGTTGCTGTAGTTGATCAAAAGGCAAAGCCACTGGTTGATGAGATAATGAATGTTGTTGTTGTTGTGATGATGAAGGTAAGGCAGATTGTGAGGTTGGAGACACCATCAAAGAAGAAGAAGAGGAATCCATTAGATGATCACCAAAAAGAGTAGATGAAGATGGAGGAGAAGAGGTATAAACCAAGGCATTCCCATGAGTAGTCATTGTTGGCGTTGTAGCATTCGAAGGAATAGATGGAGATTGATGATGACTGGTGGGTGTATCTGCATCATCATGATCGGAATCATCATCAACAGGTTGTTCTTCTTGTTCTTGTTCAGACTTGATACGTTTTCTTCTGGAATATCGAGTTGCTTTTCGTCGAATCAAATGGAATAAATCACGTCGACCAGGTCGGAAATGAGTATGATACCATCGACAAGTATCTTTATCTCTACTATCCTTTGATTTCCTTGCATCCGTATCTCTTTGGAATCCATAAATCTATCAATGATTTTATAAAAAAAAAAATTCATTAAACTCTATTTATCGATTATTTTTTTTTTAATTCTTTCATTGACTTACGTTTAATTGTCTTACGAAAGATGCAAACTTGCAATGTTTGAAAAGTTTGGGAAGAACTGTTTCTGTGAATTCTATTAAAAAAAAAAAAAAAAGAAAAGAATAGGTTAGTACAATACATCCTTTGGGTTTGTTTTATTCAAAGGAAAAAAAAATTTTTTTGCTTTACTTGGTATACAGTCAATAATAAACATATCTTTGCCGTTGTGTTCACACCAATGAGCATACTTTTCACCATTATCAGGGGCTTCCAGACTCCTATTCAAAAAAAAAAAAAAAAACCAAATCAGAAAAAATAAACATGGTTAATGATAAAAGAATATATAAGAAAAAAAAGGGGTGATGGTTACTTACTGATATAGCTTACATACAAAGCCAGCCACGCCACGTTCTGGGAGAGGAATCAACAGGTTTTCATCATTGTCTAAGGATGAATAATTGGAAGATACCATGGATGAAGATAATGTTGGTTGATTAAGCCAAGAAGTCATTTGTAATTGATTCATAGATAAAGTACAATTATCATCGGACGGTTGGTAGGATGGATGATATTCCTGATTGGCGGAGGTTGAATATGAATAAGGCGACGTATCCACAATCGTAGTTGTTTGTAATGCATTGGTGGAATAAGTGATCACGGAAGGAGTGTTATGATGAGTAGTAAGATAGCCTGCTGCTACAGTTTCTCCTGATGATCCTGATGATGATTTTGTTGTTGCAAGTGATGATGTTGAAAATGGTAAGGTCATCTTTGGTGGATGAGTGTAATATGTATTATTATTTGTTGATGTTGTTGTTGTTGTTGTTGTTGCTTGCGATGATGCAGCTGCATAGTCGTGAAAATTCATGTAAGGTAAAAGAATGGTTGTTTGGTTATTGATAGTAATTTTGTTGTAAAAGTTGAATAGATGATATTGTCATACACCAAGAATAAAAGAGTGGATCAAGAGATGTGAGACTAAATATATTTATATATATCTATATCTATAAATATATCTATATATATATATATGTATATGTGCGTGTGCGTGTGAGAGAGAGATAGAGAGAGGGAGAGAAAAAAAAAAAAAGAGAGAAAGAAATGGAAAAAGAAAGAAGAAAGAGATAAATATAATAGAAGGGAAAAGGTAGCAATGGAATCAAGTGAATAAAAAATAAAAAAATAAAAACTAAAACGTGTTTGACAAAAAAAAAATCCCCAACTTTATAATAATAATAAAAAAGAAAGGGAGTGTATATATGATTGTTAGTATGTGTTGAGTGAGTGTGAAAAAAAAAGAGAATAAATGTTAATAACAACAATAATAATCTAGTGATATATGTTCAAAAAGGGGGTCCCTTTAATAAACTTCAGGAAAAAAGCGGAAAGAGAAAGAGAAGAAGAGGGTCAAAGGAGAGGAAACTCTAAAAAAGAGCTGACGTTTAAAAACCCAAATGTCGTTTTCCAGAATAAGGTTATAAAAGGGGGAGATTTCTGTACAACCTTACCTTACTACATTCTGTATGTAAACCAAAAAAAAAATGTATCATATATATAAATAATAATAATAATAATAAAAGAAACATATTTTATTTATTTCATCTATCCATTTCTTCAATCAATCGTTTATATAATTTACTACTATGACTAACATTGTTAATACGTTGATAATCCCCTTGTATCAATTTCGTTTTGATCACCCATGTCAACCAACTTGCTAGTGGTACAAATAACCATTTTTCACAAATCATACTGATCCCAAAGTTCAATAATGCCAATCCAATAATCAATAATCTGAATCCAATTGGTAGATATTCTAGTTCCAATAAATCAGTCAAAAAGTCTGTGGGCCATAATACACTCCAAGTCGTGAAGGTAACAAGGAATACAAGGGTAATCATAAATCGTCCTACATCACATCCCCATCCGGTCATCGTCGCCCGAAGGGAAAAAAAAAATAGATAAAAACAGTTAAACTCTATTGTCACACTTGATACCATTCGGCTCCACCCATTTTTTTCCCCCGCTCAGTTCTAATTTTTATTTTCAGTTTCTGCAATCCATTTCTTACCATTTGTCCATAAAGGTTGACGATAGGGAGGACCAACACTAAATACAACGGCCACCAAAATATATTGATAACTTGATACCAAAAACAAAACTGTATTTTCATAACAAGATATATTTTGTCCATTTGGATCAAATTCAGGTGCAGTATACCTAAAAGAAAAATCATTAAATCAGATCCGAGTTCAGTTAGTCCAAATCATCATATCATTTTTTTTTTTTATAAAAGATAACTTTTTATTATTATTATTATTATTATTTTCCCTTACCATGACTGTTGATGTACCAACCAATAAGCAAATAGTTGAAAGCCCGAATTAATCATGATATGTCCAATGAGAGATGTAAGTACTTTTTTGGATACCAAACTGGCTGTGGGTCGTTTTCGGTAAAGTTGGGGCCAAGCGTCCGTGTAACCCACTAAAATAAAAATACATAAATATTGATTTGTTTGATCTTGATTTTTTGAGATGAAGAAACAGTACTTACTATATACAGCAATAGGTAAGATCAAGAATAAATCAATATAAAGGAATTGAAAATCACCAAGATTACTTCCAAAGGCATAAAGTAAAGTCACTGATGTAAATTGAATCAAACTATAAAGTGCCATATACTTGAAACAACTAAAACTAGTCACAAGAGCAGCTCGACCTTCCCTATAAAGCAAAAATGCACCAAATCAGTATATTCCGTTCAACTTCAATGTCCCTGAAACTTTATATCCAACTTACTTGATGACATCAATCACACATTCTATATCCATTGTATTGCTTGTAAAAGGTGCAGCCACAGATGCTTCGGCTTCTGACAATGAGATACCAATATCACCAGCTTTCAAAGCCCCACAATCATTAGCACCATCCCCACAGAATCCGACACAATAGCCAATATCTTGTAATGCCATGACCAATTCTTGCTTTTCATCAGGTGACATCCTTCCATAGATAGCACCCTTAATAAGCATTCGTCCAAGTAAGTCGGTTTTCGAGTAATCAATCATCCATCGGAAAGCTTCACCCGTCACCGCAAGATAATATGGTTCTTGTCCTCCACCAAATGGATGATCATAATAATGAGATTCCCTTCTTCTAGGCTAATAAAATAATATATCAATTTCTATCTTTCTATTTTTTTTTCATCTTACCATCAAAGTTTTGTTGTCTAATATGTTGCCTTCTTGTAATACACTTTCCCATGATAAAATTGAATCTGGATCGGTCGATGAACCTTGTAAAAATTTCGGTATATAAATTTCGGCATGTTGTTCCACAAGACCACATTCCCTTGATACACTGATGGCCGTTAAAATATTGTCTCCTAAAAAGTAAAAAATGTTGAGTCAAAAAAGATAATCGTACAAAATCAATCTAATTTTTTACCTGTACACATGATTTGTCGAATATTGGCATTACGTAAAGTAACCAAGGCCGATACTGTACGAGGCTTCAGTTTGTTTTCAAAGATGATGAAACCAAGAAAGGTCAGATTGCATTCCACTTCTTGCCTACAATAAATCAATCGATCAAAATGTCATCATCTAACACAATCAGTCTATTTTGGGATATTTACCTTTTCAATTTATGTAATTTGTGCCATTTCACGCCATCCAATGGTCGAGAAGCACAGGCAATAACACGATAACCACGATGAGTATACCAATAAAGTTGTTCTTGATAATCCTTCGGTACTATAAGAAAAAAAAAGTCATATTAGTCAATATTTTCTATAAAAAAAAAATAGTTGATTTACTTGATTCAGGTGTACAAATGTCCATCATCACTTCCGGAGCACCTTTCACAAAAACTTCCATATATGTATTTGCCAATTGCCGAACAATCACGCTCATTCTTCGTAGTGATGATACAAATTCAAAAGAATGAATAATACCAAATTCAATCGGTGTTGTTGGACTTGTTTCCTAACGAAACAAAAGTAAAACCAAATGAAAAAAAATTAATAAAAAAAATTGGATTGATTGAACTTTTATTCTAACTTACCGACTGCATAAGTAAGAGATCTTGTCTTCCACCAGGAGGTCTAACAACCGTAGGCATGATCCCAATCTTTGCACTTTTCTTGACATGTGAAGTAGTCAGTTCATTTCTTGATGTCAATCCCATAGATGACATCCCACCACTTTCTTCAAGTTCCCATCCAGTGAAGCCAAACATTTTCAAATCTAGAGGATCCCCCACCAGTTCTCCACCAACAATTTTGAGAGAATGACAAGTCGTCATGGCCCGTAACATCCTGATCCTAGAACTATTTTCGTCCTCTTGTTGTGATGTTGTGTTGAGTATACTTGTTGATTCAGGTTCGAACACTACTTTAGATCCATCATTGTTTTGTCTTTGAATTGCTACTGTTCTAATACCATGAACATCTAGTCCATCTTCTGTCAGAGTCCCTGTCTTGTCAAAACACATACAATCCACTTTGCCCCCAATGTTCACTCTAGGTGGAGAAATACAAAAAATACCCAGTCTCTTCAATCGATGAATAGCGAAACTGGTGCCAATAGACATCGTTGCAGGAAGTGCTGGTGGTACCACAATTGTAATCAAATCCAATGCACGAAGAATCATTGTCGCTGAATCAATGCCTAATCGTATAAAATTGATAGATGATATCAAAAATCCAAGGATAGCTATTCCATACAAAAAAAAAAAAAAAAAAAAAAAAAGTTAAAAAATCATGTCCATATTTGACAATTTTTTTTAAGTTACCAATGATAGATAAAACACCAATAAATTTGAAGGAATCACGATAAAATTTGAAATTGTTTGGTTTTGGAAAGAGCATACTTCGAACAAGAGCACCTTTTGCCGTATTAAAACCAGTACGTACCACCATAGCAGTTGCTGAAATATTATTTTCACTTCGTACACGAACTACTTTGGTACCATTGAATAAGAAATGCTTGGTGACTTCTGCAGGTATGGTAGGTCCAGAAAGATCCAATTTGCGTAATGTAACATCCACCATCGGTAATTTGGATACAGGTACAGATTCGCCCGTCAACATGGATTCATTCAAAATACAATCTCCAGTAATAAGCATGGCATCACAAGGTACAGTATGAAGATCACCAATATCAATCAAATCACCAGGAACAAGATCTACGGAACTAATGACACGCCCTATATTCGGTACAATGAAATGAATATTCCCAATTGTAATTGTAAATCACTTTTTTCTTTTTTCCTTCTTATTCATTGACTTACATGACCCATTTCTAAAAGTTCTAACTGAGCATTCAAATCGTGACATATCCCGCATTCGTTTCATTGTCTATTATAAAAGAAAAAAAAATTAGTTAAAATATCTTACAGTATCTTTTATTATTTACCTGTTTCGTTTCCACTAAGGTTGTAATGATACTGAAAGCACTGATCACAAAGATACAAAATGCATAATAGTAATAATCATCCATACTCCATAATATGATACTACCAATTTGAAAAACATAGAATGGATTGAGGACCTATTGTAGATATTAAAAATTAATATTCCAAATCATTCACTATATATGTATTTTATTTCTTTCTTACTTCGTCTGTTAATAATTTCATAGTAGGTTTTTCATGAATGTTGATGATATTTGGTCCAAATACAGATAGTCGTTCGATGTATTTCCCTGTAGAAAGCCCAAGTTTGAGGTTTTTAACAGATGTCCATTGATGATCTTTGTAAAACCTATCAGTTCATACCAAAAAAAAAAAAAATAAGTTCATGTATCATGTGATGCTACTTTTCATCCTTTTTACCCTGTGATAAGGAACTTATCAAAAAGTGGATGATAAGCCAACCGAACATAACGATAATCCACCAAAGTCAAATGTTGCAATTGTTCATCCAAATTCAAGAAAGGTAACTGATCATTTCTGGGTGATACTGATAACTGCGCCAGTTCTTCTTTGATTTGTTGTATAGAGAACACAGATCCCATAGTGCCACCATAAAATTCTCGTTGTGGACGTAAGATTTCAAATTGATTGTATTGATTCTATTGATCATGATTTGTTGAAAAAAAAAAAAAAGATGAAAAAAAAAGATGTGAGTAATCAACATAGAGACAACTCAACTATTCACATGCACTAATAAGGAAGTACTATCCCAATATAGAAGACGGCCGTTGTCGCAGTATTTTTTTTTATTTTTTTTTTTTTTTATTTTAGGAGTTTACCTTGAAGACTAACCAACGAGCATCTTTCAATGGAACTTGTTGTCCAACCCATTTGATCCACCAAGTAGGTATCCATCGTCCAATAAGCCATACAATACCCAATGTAATAATGCATCCAAGTTGATACATCAAATATCGAAGAGTATGATATCGATAACCAGAAATCATCACCTGAACATCTTCTTCTTCCAATAATAAACATTGTTCCCATCGATGATCAAAAGAACCCGGTCCATTGTCAATTTGTATATGATATCCATTTTGACTTGAAGTGGTGATTTTATTATTTAAAAGTGTATCTCCCTCATCATGGTTGTCCAAATTATCATCGTCATCATCGTCGTCATCGTCGTCATCACTAGATATATTTTCGTCACTGGTATTCAATTCAATATCATTGGTAGGATGATTCACCTTTGTCTCAGTCTGAGATGGCGATCGTCTTCTCCGTTGATGTAAATGTCGTTGTTGTTGTTGGGTAACAGAAGAATGAGACTGAGCTGCTGCTGAGTATAAACTAGATCCTCTATGGTATTGTTCTTCGTGCTGAAGTGGTTTGTAAGAAAGTTTGTTAGATGTTCCACTAGTCTTGGCTGGAAAGGACATGGAGGAAGAAGAAGTAATAGAGGACGAAGAGGAGGAAGCCGAAGGAGGTAAGGAAGTGGATGGTGATGGAATAGGAGGACCATGTATAAGTGGCGCAGTTGAGTCCCTTCTTGGTTTTGTTGTTGTTCTAGGTGGTATTGTATCATTTTGAGACGTCCATGAAGTATTATCTGTAGGATTGTCTGCTGTTAAGGAAGCACTGTTGGTTGTTGGGGAGGAAGAGGTGGAGGTTCCATAAGCCACGCGTGTCCAGGTCGAGGGTTTCTTCGACATTCGTGATCACAAGAATGCATATAATGACAAAAGGGAAAAGTGAAAATAAATAAAGAAGAAAAAGAAAAAGACAGTCTTTTTCAAGCAAAAAAAAAAAAAAAAAAAAAAAGAAAAAAAAAAGAAAAAGAAAAAAAAAATTCCACCTTAAAAAAAAAAATGTGACTCCAAGGTAAAAATTCAAATCACCGCAGTTTTTTAAAGTTTGTATGAGTAAATTTTATTACAAGACAAGATCATGAATACCAATCCAAAAATAATAATACTAGACTAGCACCAAATAAAAAGATCAACATAAATTTACGAGTTCCACGATTTCTTTCCCTAGCTTGCTGTAATTGTAAATTCCCTTGCTCTACTCGTTCAGTTGTTGCCAAGGAATCCCCATAAAGTCGATCCGTTTGCATTGTCTGTACTGCCAAATGATTCGTCAATTGAGATTGAAGAGTTGAGATTTCCATTAGTGCTTTTTCAGCTTGATGTACTTGATTAAGAGTGCTGTTCATTTCTTCTAACATGGCTTCATTTTCCTTTTCCAACATTTGAATTTGTTCCTGTGATAATTGTTGTTCAAAAGCATCCATATCTTCATGTATATCTGTCATTGCCCATTCTCCACTGGATGATGTATCCTTTGTTATTGTCGATTTTGTTGCTTTCCAATTCAATCCTAAACCTGATGATGATGATGATGTCTCTATCGTAGATTGATTACTTGTGGTTAACATGGTATTGTTGTTAAAGAGATGATTTTCGGATTTTTCAAGTTCTCTTGTTAATCTTGTTTCTTGTTGACCTTTTTGTAATTTGGATACATCCATCAAAAGTTTGTTCAAGAGCCACACCATATTACTTCTATGAATACCTATTATATCTTCTATATCCACCATGGAAGAAGGTACGCCTGGTATCACTTGCTGGAGAAAATTCGCCAATCGTCGACTTGCTTTTGCTTCTGCTTGTTCTTTTCGTAGTCGTTCAGCTTCTTCTAACTCTTTGACACGATCCATACATCGTCGAATGATTAACTTGGCCTGGAAATCGATTTCATCTCGTTCACGGTCAGTCAAATGTGTAATATTGGTGGGAAACATGGCAAAAAGTGAATTGGTTGTTGCATTATCACTGTTTTTCAAGTTGGTGTTGGTATAACGAGACTTTCGACTATCATTGCTGAGGTAAGCGCGTCGAATGGAAAGTAAGAAACGAGTCAAACTGTCAATGTGTTGGTATATACGGTAAGCTTCCTTGGTAAAAATATCATATTCTTTTTTATCTTTTAAAGATGTTTTTTCTTGAGTTGGATGTTTTTCTTGTTGAGATGCTTGAATAAGTGCATGAAAATCTGAAGTGATATTTGGCATAAAGGTGTTTTATTTGAATACAATAGGGAATAGAAGGGGAAAAAAAGATTAAAGAGAGAGTCAAAAAAAAAAAAAAAAAAAAAGGTAAAGAAAAGTAACGAAAAAAATTGGGCTTTTTTTACTTCTCGCTGGATCTATTCAGTCTCACTTTTTTTTGTGTCTCCGGAGTGTGAATCAAAAACATTATAAGAGAAATTTTTTTTTCCTGATACTATTTTTTCTATTCTTTTTCTTTCTTTTTTGTTTATTATACTTCTTTTTATTATTTATATCCTTAATGCATTTATTTGGATTCTCAAAAAAGACGAAAAAAACGACTTTCTTCAAGGAATTTGGGTCTTGGACTACGAAAGTGTAAATCTACTGGAAATATTTATGGTGATGATAGTGATGCAGATGATACTTCAAGTGACAGTAGTAGTAGTAATAGTAGTAACAATAACAACAATAACAACAATAACGACGGTAATAACATCGATAAAGCTCACCAAATACTGCGAAAATCTTTGGATAGCGCGATGAATGAAAAAGCAAGCCAAGAACTACTTGAAGCATCTAAATCGGAAATAGCGCCGCCGCTGTCGCCATCTAAACATGTCAAACCACCTACAGTGACGATAGATCAACCTTCTGAAACCAAAGAAGAAAAAGCCAAGACAAGCATCATGAATAACAATCAAACAAGTTTTGATTTAAACACATTACTCTCTTTGGAAACACAACAACGATTAGATGCACAGACAGAAAGGGATAAATCAACTGATACACCACCTAGACCAACTAGACTTAAATTCGCATTACCAGAAACACCAACACGATCTCGATCTCCCAATAATCAACATATTACTTATCCACGAGCTCGACCTTATCGATCTCTTTCTGCTGAAGGTGATCGTCGACAAGATGAAAGTGGTGGTCGTACCAAATCAGGTCGTAGGAGACGTCGTCATCGAAGATGGTCATTGTTGATGGGCTCGGATACAGATGATGATGATGAAAAAGAAGAAAGGGAAAGGGCAATGAAAAGGCATTTGGAAATTGGCACCTATGTTAGATTGATCAAGCGTCCATTACCTACTTATGGTCATGTAAAATATATAGGTCCTGTTGGAAACGAACCTGGTGATTGGATCGGAGTGGAACTGGAACATAGAGGTAAAACGGAAAAAAAAAAGGTAGATTTTTATAAACTTATTATACTAACTGACTTTTTATTAATAGTTGGCAATTGTGATGGATCAATCAAAGGACAACATTATTTCAAGACGGATCCGCAGCGTGGAATATTCTTGAAACGATTTGACGTGGAAGCGGTGATATAGAAATTTTTCATCCAGCCAAGCGACAAAGAACTACCCATTTAGACAACAATTATGCATAAACCAATTTTTCTGACCCATTTTGATTGGATACCCCCTTTTCATTTCCTTAGCATTTTTACCACACCCATCTTTTTATGGTTTTTGACTTTGAATAAACATTTTATTATTTTATTTATTATATGAATATATATATATTTTAATTTATTTATTGAGTGGTGTATGTGTGATAATCATTTACAAAAAAAAAAAAAAAAAAAGGAATGGAAAATAAAAAGAAGGACGATATATGATACAAAAATAGGAATAGTGATGATGATGGATAAATTAAATTTGAAAACAAAAAGTATCAAAAGCTGGAGGAATGAACTTTGAAGAAGTACGTTTGGATTCATCATTATTTTGACTTTCATTATCAGAACTTGTGATATCTGATTCAGAAGATGGAGAGCTTGATGCTTCAGGTAACATGGACATATCCATGGATGATTGACCTAATTGAATTTTCATAGCCTTGTTTTCTTGTTGTATTAATCGAATATAATCAATAGCACGCCGTAAAATTTTAGCTCGATGATATTTCTCTCTATCATTGGTTGAAGTTAATGGAATGGATTGTGCAAGTTCATTTACCAAATTATTCTATATATATATATATATATATATTTAGAAGAAAAAAAAATGATCATATGAGTATATTATCACAAAAAAAAAAAAAAAAAAAAAAAAAAAGGGAGAATTATATTACCAATTTATCTCGACGTCTTCTTTCTACTCGATTATGCGTTTCTCTTCGTTGTTTAATGCGATGCATCATCGTATCACTATCAAGACTTGTTTTATTGAGAATATTGACACCATTCATCATCAATTTCCCTGAATGTTTTTCTTGATCACTGAATCTTCTAGCCATTGTATCAGGACCATAAATCTTTAATCTTTCTTGCAATGGATATGTGGCTCTTCGTTCTGATATACTGATGCGTTGCTTTTTGTTCATATCAATAGTATTAGTAATAGTAATATCGTTATTTTTCATAATAATAATAAAAGAGAAAAGATGTCAAAAATGTGAAAAATTAAAAAATTAAACAAGACAACCTTTTTATATAGTTTTTGATATTTACCGCTATACGACAAAAAAAAAAAAACTCAAATTCCCTCATGAGATGGTATAATGATTTGCTTCATAGTGTAACATGCATCGTTTCAACAGCTTCGACGAATTTTGCTATTGGTTCTGGGTTTGAACGTTTGTAGGATACCATTTTTGGCAGGAAGAAAAAAGGGGGGGTAATAGGAAGGTCGTGTCATTTTCATCATCCGCGATTTTTTTTTTTTTTTTTTTACTTGCTTTGTCTTTGTTTTTTTTTTTTTCATTTCTCTCTTACTCTGAGTTTCTTACATAATGGACAAAACTTTTGAGATTCCTGACAGTTCTTCAGAAAGGTAAAATAATAAGGAAATAAATTATGTTATAGACTTGTAGTTTCTAACGTACTTTTTATTTTATATTTTATTTTTACGTTTTGTAAAATATAAAGCTCATTAGAACTTCCTTTATCACCAGCTCAACAACAACTAGTAGATCAACTTTCTTTACATAAAGATAAACCTAATGGTCAATCTACGTAAGTTTCTTATATAAAAGATTCCTTAAAAAGTTAAATATGACTAATCCTTCTTTTTCTTATTTTAGTACTCCAACCACACGTCATAGTATTGAAGTCAAAGCCAACTATGTCAATTTACTTTTAACAGCATACGGATACCCAGTACCTCTTATCTTTGATAGTAAGGACGAGAATGATATTATGAAGGTGTTAGATTGTTTTCAAATGGTGTTACAAGATATCAAGGTAAAAAAAAAAAAAAATGTCAAAGTTTGGAAAGTTTGTTAATTTGAATCTATAGAAACATCAAGATGAACGTGATGAGATGAACGAAACTATAGTGACATTACAAAACGAACAAGATCAAACTCAAACCAATCTGGTAAGTTTTTTTTTTATTGTGGATATCGATTACATGTTAATACTCGTCTATTGGATGTAAATAGAATCGTTGTTTGGCTGACCTTGACAAAAAGGAACAAGAAATTGCTCAAGCGAAGATCAAAGCAAAGTAAGACAAACAGTTAGAAAATAGTAAGTAAATCTAATATATATATATCATTTTATATATAGATCTGCCGATGAACAATGGAAAAAATCACTTGAAACCAACCGTCATATCAAAGAAGAACTGTCAAAGTGTAAAAACAATATGCAATATATGAAATTACAATATGCGGTAAGGAAAAATCAAAAGTTGGAAATATATATATATATATTAATAACTTTATTTTTATTTTTTTTTAGCATGAAACTCGACGACATGAGCAGGATCATGCAAAGACAAGGGAACGATTAATGAAATTGATGAAGGAGAAACTCAAAACAAATGTAGTATCAGTGACAATCAACAATGCTTTACCTATTTCTGAAATAGACGCAGAACCTAAAGTAACTCCGTTACAAAATGTAATTACAAAAAGAAAAGAAAAATGATAATATGAAAACTAATAGATGATTTTTATAGGAACGTGCCATGAACAAAGACTTGTTGCAAAAATGTACTGATCGAGAAAGAGAAGCAAGGATGGAAAGTGAAGATTTACGCACAGCATTGATCAAAATATATACCACTATACGACGATTAATTGAAACTCAAGTAGAAACATTTGAAGACACTGTTGGAACACAAAAGGTAAAATTAGACATATGGTGACATAATAGAAAGTTGACCTATTTTATACATATATATATATATATATATATATATATTAGTTACGGAAGGAAACAGCTCAAAATATTGAAAAGTTAAAATTACCTATGGATTTTGGTGCATCGATGGCTATGGAACAAGTAAATATATTATTAGACAAATTACAAGAAGAATGGAATCGTCAAATTGTGGATAGGAATGTTTATACGCAAGAAGAAATGGATGAAAAAGATCTGACCACACAGCAATGGCAATCGGAGGTGACCGAATTAGAAGAAACATTAGGTAACCAAAACAAAATGAGAGATTTAGACATATGCAGAAAATCATCAAAAAATTATCTCACGCTTCTGGTCATTTTATTTATAAAATTTAGGCAGGTTGCAACAGGAACATGAACAGAAAGAGCAAGTCTATCTCCGATTCGTGAATGGTGGATTCTTTGATGAAATAGCAAAAGAACAAACTCTTGAACTATCAGAGTAAGTGATTTTATATATAAGAAAGAGGATGATTGATATTTATATCATTATTATTTAGTTCTGAAAGCTCAGTTTTAGAAGACGATCCACAAAATTTAGCACATTATCACCAACTTCATCAAAATGCAAAAAAAGAACGAGAAAGGGTGACGGAAGCAGCCATCCAGTTAGGAAATGAACGTACCAAACTTGAAGTAAGAATTTTCATTATATATATATATATATATATATATATATATATTATTAACACAACTCTTTGTATTTTCTTTTTTTTTTTTTTTTTTGTATACATCATAGGCTGAACGGTGGGCGTTTGAAGAGATGAAAAGACAAGCAAAATTATTGGAAATCATGGAAACTGTATCACCTCCACATGAAACAGCGTCATCATCAGCATCATCACAATCCAAAAGGCAACGATTATTTTAATTAGTTTAATATAGTTATACATCATATACCCAGTATTGTTTTTTATTTAAAAAACAATCATATTAATAAACGATTTCAAGGAAAATAGAGTTCTATTTTTTTTATTGTTATTATTATTATTGTACATGATTTTTTATTGACATGATAAGAAAGGACGAAAATGAGGCAATATATCTAAAGGGTATCTTGTTGCATGAAAAAAGTATATATACAGTACAGATGATAAAGTAAAAAAATAATCAAGTGGTAGTGACGCAAAACAAATTTATCGAAGACGACAAGCTTCATTTTCACGAACAGGACCCTTCACGTTACGGATAATGCTACGGTTGGTGTCATCCATAAATTCAACACAGACTTGAGTCACACCACCACGAGAACCAGCACGGCCAAGGACTTTGATGACACGGGCAAGTTTTACAGGATATAGGAATCCTATATGTACACTTTATAATATCACGAAACTATTTTCTTGTCTAAAAAGAAAACTTTGAAAACACTGTAGGAAATAAGTTGGTTTTTTTTTTTTTTTTTAGGCAAATTCTATGGTCCGATTCTCTGGAATCAATTTCATCCATCCATTCATTCATTCCTCCATTCATCCATTCATCCATCCATCCATCCATTTATCCTTTTATTTATCCTTTTATTCATAAAATTCATCATTATCATCAATGATCTATATACATGTTATAATAAAATAGAATCGATTTCTTTACCATAATGAAGCTATTTTAAATGTATATTTGAAGGGAAAAAAAAAATAAGGGGGGAGAGACAGAATTTCGAATAGGGTAAGCAAAAAGAAGCGGCATTCCAAATGCCAGTGTGTATAGTCTATCTTTCTCTCTTTTTTTTTTCTTTCAGCACTCTCGTTTTTCCAAGTTTTATTTTCTTTTTTATTATTATTTTTATTCTTCTTCCTATTACTTTCTTTCAGTTCTGTTCTACATTTATTAGTTAGAACTATATTCTATGTGTCTGAGTTTTATCCATGTTAACATCTAGAATCTCCACCACTGTACCTGAAGGTTATTCGACTGTCACTACGACAAATACTATGACTACATCAACAAGGAAAGACATCTCTAGGCCACAACGACAAGCAAAACGAAAAAGATATTCAACCATACCAACTCGAAGGATGTTAACCAGGAAAACGACAAGTCTTACTACTACACCTATCAATACCGCAGCTAACAATGACTCCATACCAACACCTCAATCACCTCTAGAAGAAGAACAAGAAGAAGAAGAAGTGTCTATCGCACATACCCTCAATGACAACAATGACAATAATGACGATGATACCAAACAAGAAACAGACATTAGCCCTTCCACGACATTGGTAGTATCACCAGAAGAAACAACTCTTCATAGTAACGACGACGACGAAGACGAGGACAAGGGTGAAAATGAGATATCGATGCAAAAAATGCAGATGATGCCTATTTGCCCTGTCCCTATAACCACTTTGGAAACAAAGGATGATAATGATCAAGGTAAAATCAAAAAAAAAAAAAAGATATCAACCAAAGATTTATTACATAGTGACTGACGTACCCATTCCCGAATTTGGAATATTGTCGCTCTTTTTTTTTTTTTTTGGTTGTTAGTTAACGATGATGATCCATTTCAACGGCAGGCTGCTTTGAAGGATTTAACATATATTGAAGTTCATTTTGCAAGACTTCGACAAAAGTAAGTTTCCTCTTAGAAGCAAAAAAAAAAAAAAAAAAATTTATTATTATTTACTGACTCTTTTTCTATCTGGGGATGCAAATAAAAAAGAGTATTTGAAGAAAAGTTAGAAGACTTGTATCAAGAAATCCTTATGGTGGAAAACGGTAACACAAAAAAAAAGGGTCTACTCTAACGGATATTTCTATAGTACTTTTAACTTGAATAACCTGTCTGAATTAAATATGTATAGGAACCCATCCTGAACAATTGGAAATGATGCAACATGTGGACAACAAAAAGATCAATAGGATCAAGAAAGCTACTGCAAAACGGGACATACGACTTTTATCCTATCGAAAACAATTTGAATCCACCATACATCAAGCAAACCATGATTTTATGGTAAAAATCATAATTTTTCTTTTCAATCTCACTTTTTTTTATTCATTTTCTTTTTTTTTTTTTTTTTTGCTTATTTATTTGATTTATTGATGAATGCATTTAGGCTCGTCGACAACATTTGAAAATGGAAATAGAACAAAAAGTAGGTCATAGACGGTTCAAATTGAATGATGAACGTATGAACATAACAACAGATACTTTGTCAGGTAAACTAAAAAAATGAACCAATGAAAAATGGCAATTCAAACGGAGAGTACGACGACTTTGCATGATCGATATTGACATCCCGCTATTCTTCATTACTATAGAGAATGCACATGATTTACGACAAAAAAGAATGGTTGTATCCGAACAACTTCACCATATCAAGCAATATAATGGATTCCCTCGAGCTCCCTCTGCACCAGGTTTATCAGATCAGGAAATGCTGAATGATCTAATGGAGATGAAGGTATATATATATTTATAAAAACGGAATAATGAGAAACACATCTATTGGTTATGCACTCACCATTTTATATATATGATTGGAAATAGCCAATTCTAGAAGATGTAGGATCATCACGCTCAAGTAGTACTCATTCAATGAGTTCATTATCTACGCATACAAGTCCACCCATGATGTTATCCACCTCTTCCACACCATTATCAATTCATCCACCACCATTGACATATCACCAACAGGCGACGCATTATGCAATTCAGGACAGTACTCCATTGACGATGACAACTACTCGTCAACCTATGATGAAAGAAATGCCTATGATCAACATTTGTCAAGATCGCAACACTCTAGTTTAGTTATTGGTTGTTTTTTTTTTTTTTTCAACCTGCCCTTTCTTTCAATTTTTTTTAAACACACTTTTTTTTTCTTTTTCCCTCTCTCTCTCTACATACCTCTGTTGTAACCTTTTTTTTTTTATTATTTCTTTTTGGTCTGTTTGTCTACCGTCTTTACTGAAAAATACATTTGTGTTATCTATGATTTATAGTTTTATTGTTTTCCTATCATCCTATATTGTATTTGTTTTATTATTCTAATATCAAATCATTCAACAAGTTCACCCCTCCTATCATACAAACAAAACATTACAAATACATTTATATAATAAAAAAAATCAGTTCTGTTTATTGTCTAGCTAAATTGATGTATAAAAAAAAAGGATCAATAATGAGGGTGTTTGTGCCAAAAGTGAGGAAGAAGTGGAGGAGAAATGGATGGATGATGAATGCTACTAGTACTATACAAAGGAGACAAGGAAGAGGATGAACCTAGGTAAAGCGAAGCGTGAGGATGTAAATGTGAATAATGATGATGGTAATAGGAGGGAGGTTCTTCGGAAGGGGTCTGGATGAAGTTGCTACTATTGTCATTGTCCTGATCATCATGTCGTTGTTTCAGTTGGTTTTCTATTGCTGCGATGTTGTATATCGGTTTAGGAGGTGGTAGTCGTGGGAATCGTAGCTCGGATGCCAATGCTGAAATGGATGAATTGGTGATAGATGGAGATCTTCCTATATCATTATGATCATACAAGTGTTGATTGTTCGGTTGAAATGGTTGAGGTCCTTTCCATGATGTAAAATAGCTAGACTTGGAAGAAGATGCTGCTTCATCAATTATATCTGGTACGTTGCCTTGTTGCTGCTGCCTACCGGTGATGAATGGTTCTTTCCAATGACTGATTGGTGTAGTTTGATCGTTCCCGATGATGATGTCTTGTTGTTCGTCATGAAGATCGGTATTACAACCGAATGGTGCCTGACATGGTGTAATTCCGCGTGTGTAATGAGGGACTTGCTGTGTTGCTCCATATGCGTCGAGGAAATGGTCCATATTGGATTGCTGGAATGTAACACCTTTTTCATAAGAATGACAATTACCTTTTTGTTGAATAGGTGAGCATGATTTTCTAGGAACAATTGGTAAGGATGGTAAAGCGGTACTATTCTATAGTATATCAAAAGAGTAAGAATCAAATCAATATTAAAAAAAAAAAAAAAAAGACTTCCAGTTTACCTGCAGAAGAGATGTATGATTCGTTGGTGGAGACGCAACTGAACTGTGTAACCAATCTGAAAGTAAGGAAGTTGTTTGTTGCTGAGGAGTAGTAGGTGAGCGATGACAGTGTAGAGAATCAAAATAATCTGTAAATGCTTCTGAGGAAGTTGATGAGCATGTGACGTTAGCGACTTCGTTGTGATGGAGAGGTCTAGCCATAGAAGGACCGTCGGTGATATTCTTGTCATTGATTTTGTGGATGTCAGTGTCATCGTATTTGTCGTTTTTTCTATTGATGTTCTTTGACTTGAATGAAGAATGAGAAAAAGGATCACAAAGAAAACTTGCTTCAGAGAATACTAGATCAGACACTAACATAGTATGAATCGGATATTAGTCGTCCATTTTCTAAAATAAATGAAATATAATAAACATACCTCCTTGTTGTTTGTTGAGTTTGATTGATCCTCTTGCTGATGATTTGCCTTTGTTGAAAAGTCCAACCCGCGACCTTGATTGCATCTTGGATCTCACCTGTTAAAAATCAATAGCAAAATATTAATAAAACTAAAAGATAGAGGTTTGAATATATACGAGATTACCGTGATATGATCTATTCCTATGTTTGGTGATGTGAATTTCTAGAATAAGAAAGAGAGAGAAAAAAGTATTAAATATAACTTTTGACACAAAAAGTATAATGTTATTTTTTTAAAAAAAAAAAAAATATACCTCTAAAAGACGTATTTCCGATTTTTTGAATATAAGCTTTTTCGTTTCACGCGGTTCCTGATATCTTTGTCGTTTCTTCCCAGCAAACTTGTTTTGGTATGATTGTTGTTCTTGCTGTTGATCATGATGCTGATGACAATGCCGATTTTGTTTGTTAATAAAGGATTCAGGAGATTGACTTTGTCTATCGAGTGTTAGTAACGAAGGTGAAGAGATATGACTTGGTCTGTTGGGAGAAGGAGGCAATTTAGAGGCGTGTACTATTCCTCTACATTTTGTCGAATACTTGGTATTATCATGCTTTGGAATTGGTGTAACAGATTCAGCTTGTGATATAAAGCTTTGTTGATTTTTAATATGTGTATATACCCGAGAGTTTCTTGTCACATCTTCATGGTCATTCAACGAGTCCAAATACTGTAGATTCACTTCTTGTAAACGCATAATATATAAAATAGTTGTATAGTATCATGGAAGGAGTACCGAAAGAAGAGAAAGAAGAGAAAGAATTGGATTCAATTGATGGCAATATTGAAAACCCCATTTTTTAAACTTCCGCACCAGCATTTTTGCATACGAGAGCAAACTTTGCCTTTTGCATTCTGCCTTAAAAAAATGAACATCATCATCATCTATCTTTATTTTCTACAATATTTCTACAATATTACTAAAGGATAAGACCATTTTAATATAAAAAAAAATTGTGTATAGTTGCAAATCTTTATTGATTGATTTATAAAAAGTGTTGTTTTCTTTTTTAGAAAAAAAAAAAAAAGGAAAAAAAAAACATGAAAATAAAAGGACAATAAGTAATTTCTATACATGAGAATTAAAAAAAAAAAAAAAAAAGAACGATAAAGGACAAACTGTACTAGTAAAACAAAACAAACAAACAAAACTAATATTCAAAACAATAAATAAAAATAACAAAAGGGAATACTAAATACGAGAGAACAAAAAGAAGGGAACGGCTGCAGGAGATAGGGGCATTTGGTGTTTGAATTTGATCAGATCATTGATGATAATATTGCCATCAGGAAGTTTGGTGTGGTCACGACGTTTCGTAATGGTTTGATCGCCAGTAGTAGTGCCATCGTCATTTGTTGTAATAGAAGGAGCATCGATCATCATTGTTTTGGAAAGGTGTGCCAATAATGCTTCCACATCTTCTTCTTTTGTTTTCAACTCATCCACTAATAGCTTGCGTAAAATTACATCTGTTGGTAAACCTGCATGAATATCCTTTCCAACCGTTCGTTTCAAATCATCTAATGTCAATGTCATAGTTGGGCTGTTGATATTGCCTCCACTGGTGTCCCGTTGTTGCTGTAGTAATTGAGTATGGTGATTTGTCAAGCATGCATGTAATGATTCCAAAGTAAATTTAGGTTGACTGATTTCAGGTTCCTTTTGAGATTGTAGATGCACTGAGAGTTTGCGGAAATCGGGTGATGTTGGATTGATATACTTGTCATAGAAAGCCACCATAGATTCTTTGGTCACATTACCCAGTTCTGCCACATCTTTGTCCACACCATCGAATTCATAATAACCAGATTCAATATCAGCCCAATATTTCGAACCTTCTTGGCCCATATTGTTGAATTTCTCCTTCTTATCAGCAATCAGGGAGTCAACTTGAGCTTTGAAATCATCGTCCTTCATATTGACCAAGATATCACGTAGTGTAATTTCCAAGAATTCCATCACCCGGTTTTCAAGATACACAGTGTCGCGTTCACTTTGAATAATTAACCTGAGACCGACCATTCCCACATGACGCCTAATACCACTAATCACTATATATCCCAATTGTTCAGTTGTACGTAGTTGATTGAAGCATGGTTCTTGAGCAATTTGCGACATGAGACTGAGTCTAGTTCGTAGTTCGATATCCGTGACGTCGCAGACTTGACAATAGAATTCAATAGCAGAGTTTACTTCTTCAGGATCATGCACTGGTAGTTGATAGACATAGGAGTGACCAGGAGGAAGGATTATCGTTCTGTTGCTGATAAATTGACTTGCCATCAAAGGTCGAGGTTGGAGAATATTTTCAACACTGCGAATCATAGTTGTCGATTCTTCCGCTGTCAGATTACCATGAACAAGTACTTCCATATGTAGATGAGATATAAAGTGTCTATAGGTCGATTCCACTTCTTCCATAGATATATCTTTGAGTTCTGAAGATAAATCATCACATTTCCACATCTGTTCCCGTACAGCATAGGTCATATGGTATGCAGCGTGTTGAAAGGGTGCATCCATATAAAAGTTTCGATAGGATCTGTCAGTAAGATCTTTCATCACAGCAAATCGATCAGGAGAAAATTGCAATGTCTTCATTCGTTGTACCACTTTTTCCAATAGCAATGGTAATTTATCACTGTATCCACTGACTTCCAACTATAGGATCGAATACAAATAAATAAATAAATAATAAATGAAAAGTGATGAGTATCAATACAAGTAGATTTTCTCATTGTTTGTGCTTGTATCCTCTATTTTACCAAGAAACCATTGGATGGAGTGTATAGATAATAAGAGAGACCAGCCACTTCAGCATTGTAAGTATACTCAGTCAGAGAATCCACTAACATGCACACATATAATCTACATAAATAAAAAAAAAAAAGATAGGATATGTTAGAGATCATTTCCTTAGAATTCTTTTTCTTTTTTTTCACTTACTCTCCAATCACTGTATGACGAGGAGTGGCGTTGATCAATGGATTTCGGAATAAAATAGATATAGTTGTCTTTGGAATCCAGAAAGTGTCGTCTTTTTTATGCCAGAGTCGAAGTGTTGAAGTTTCTTGAATTAAATTTGGTTTTCGTTGCTTTTCCTTCACAATTTGTTTATCCACATCCAGTTTTCTAGGCACAAATTCATTGATTATAGGTAAAGTGAATTCATCATTGTGTTCCAAATTGGTTAGTTTCTATTAAATACAAAAGATTGAATATCATGGAAAAACGAAGGATTATTATTATTATTATTATTATTTACCAGTATCAAATCATCTGAGATAGGGAGAACTTCATATTCAGTCTTATACCAACGTTCAATCTTGGTGCACTTGATACCTTTGGGGAAATCCTGACTTGATAGTGTCAATCGGAAATTGTGTATATTCAGTAAATTCAAATGTTCGTCAATCAGTTTTGGATCATAAGTGCGTAAAAGACTAGAACCACTGATTGTCATATGCGGTGGATATTCAGCTTGCATACACTGAGTTAACCAAGAGGTATACTGAGAAGGAGAGGATTTTTCAGAAAACTTGAATTCAATGGCGCTAAGAGATTGTACTTCATCAAAGATCCATTTCTTAGTACCATTTTTCTTAAGCATGTCAACATATTGAAAGAAAGCAATCACAACATCTTCATAGTGTTCTATAATAAACAGTGTTAATATTACTTCTTTTTTTTATTACTATTATTTCATCTCTTCCTTTTTTATTATTATTTACCTAATCCTTGTTCCGTAAGATCCACACTAGCATGATAAAATGAAAAGCCTTCACCAGCATCGTAGCAACCAGAACTCAAAAAGGTAGCCCAACCTTTTTTCTTGAGATAAGAGAGTATAGATCCAGTGCCTTCGTGTCCAATGAGATGTGATAAATAATTAGCAGGCTAAAATCGTAAAAAAAAAAAAGATAAACATTTAAATACTTGATCTTTTTTTTTTTTATTATTATTCTAAGGTCTTACCTGAGTTTCATAATATGGAGATTGATCTGGGAAAGGAAATGTGATTTCCAATAGACGAGTGTGTTTTACAGATTTAACAAGGATTTGTTTCTATAAAATGAAAATAGATTACATATGAATATCAAGATTGTTTTTGAATTTTATATCCATTTTTTTTACCAATAATTCATTTTGACCCAAGGGATGTCCAGGATATGTTGGAACCTTGATATTCTTATCACGTACATCAGAAAATTTTTCTACTGCCCATTGTGTAAGTTGATCCAAAGATTCTAAAGAAAAGAAAATATTGATTTGTTTAGATCGCATTATTCATCCACATTTATCGTTACCTTTTCCAAGTATACAAAGTCTCATGATATTGGCAGAATAATAATTATTGTGGAATCGTAATAATTCTTCGCGTACATTCAAACCTAATCGTTTTGGAGTTTCCATCAAGGTTTCCAAATTGCCGGTTTGAAACTTGTGCCAAGGGTGATTGGGATTACTTAATGATTTTTCAACTTGAGATACTCTCCATGAATCAGATTGTAAATTCTTTTTGTGTTCTAAAAAAAAGAAAAGAAAAGAAGGAAGAATGAGTATCATATAAAAAGAAAAGTTTTTTTTTTTTTTTATGATTTACCAGAGTCCACTGCCCTTAATTCTCTATCAGTACACGAATCCGAAAATAAAGGATCAATAAAAAAATGGGCAAATCTATCCAAAGCACCTTCTAACCATTGATGACCAACTTCAAAGTAATAATTCGTGTTTTCTGCACCAGTCCATGCATTTGCGTAACCTTTATATATAATAATAATAATAATAAAGGATAAATTTTCTTTTTTCATATATTTTATTCATTATACTTCTTACCAGAGTGTTCAGATAAATAAGAATAATAATCATTTTCTTTTGGATATTTTTCAGTTCCCATGAAGAGTAAGTGTTCACAAAAATGAGCCAGTCCTTGTAAATTATCCTATAAAAAAAATATGTATTTTAAGTAGTTGAAATGATGTATTAACAAGTCAACTTACAGGATCAGAAAGATTTCCAACATGGACATCTAAAGCAGCACTAGCACGATCAGTTTCAGGATCACTGATAAGGAGTACTTCTAATTGATTAGCAAGACGTACTAATCTATATTGTCGATCATCGTTTGCAGGGGTTTCTAATGGTTTTGAATAAAAGTGGTGAGTTCCATCTTGAGAAAGCACCCAGTCTGTGTTTGGGTTAATAATCATGAAGGAGAGAATGAAGACAAAAGAAAAAAAAAAAACGGAAAAAAAAAGAAAAGAGATAGAAGTAAAAGGAAAAAAAAAAATAGGAACCTAAATTTGTTAAAAAAGACAAAAAAAAAAAAAAAAAAGAGTCAGTTGACCTCTAATGAGCCTTTGATTTTATATATATATATTATTCCCCGCATGAACAAAAACCTGTCTTCAATTTTATTCGATTGATTGATTCAGGTACCCGAAGGAATGATATAGACCGGATTTTTTTTTCTTCTTTCTTGGGTTACGCAATAGTCTCAATAATGAATCATGTGAAATATCATTCAGTATTCTTGATGAAGAAAATATTAAAAGCCCAAGTATTGAACTCATCTGACTCAATCTACATACTTTGTAAATCAATATGTTTTGTGTGTAAAAAAAAAAAAAAACTACCGATTACGTAGTATATTTTGGTGAAACAACGAGTAAAAAAGAAAATGATCCAACTGAAGAAAAAAAAAAGGAGTGCAGTTAGTATGATATCAGGAATTCCTCTTTTTTTTTTTTTACATTTAAAGTAGAAATGATCAGCAATGCATAAACAATCACTATGAATCCCTTTTACATTTGTTGATTTTCTTATGATACTTTGCGATTTTTATATAATATTTTATTTTCTTTTTCGGTCGGATTACCAACAATAGAAATACCTTGTTTTGCTCTTCGGCTTGTTTGCTGATAAAAAAAAAAAAATGCCCTGTCGACATCCCAGGTATTTTCAAAGTCAAATGATCCATTTCGCCATACATGTACACATGTATCTGTAAAGTACATTGGATTATGACGTCGTGTGTACATATCATAGATATGACATATTATCACTATGATTCAAAATCGTGTGAAATTATTAATACCATAGTAGAAATCACTCATCCTTTCATTTTAAAATCATCAACGTCATTATATGTCTAACATTCACTTTATAAAAAATATTCATATCATAAGAATCATCAAAAATAGTATCAATTTCCATATCATCATTCTAACCACAAGCCACTATTGGAGAAGAAGATGCTCTTTCAAGCAAAAACGCCTCGAGTGAATAAAGCGGGGATTGAAACACCAAAGAATGATGCTAATATTCCAATTCTTTTGAGCTCTTCACGCTTTTCTTTCTTTTTTTTTTTTTTTTTTCTTTCTTTTTTTTTTTTTTTTTTCTTTCTCTTTTTTTTTTTAATTTAATTTCTCCTTTTAGCATGGAAAATAAGGCAGCTATAGCTCAACATATATTCATTGGTACTGGTGTTTCAGGTAATATATATAACACAGTTTGTAGTTCATATTCAATTTCTAATCTTCCTTTTATGATTCGTTATAGTCATGGCAGGTGCTACTACAGGTGCGACCATGGCTGTACTAAAAAATGCTCCTGTGAAAGCCTATGCTTTTTCCACAGGAGTTAATTGTGGTGTATTTGGTGCAACGTTTTTTAGTAAGATCTAGAAAAAAAAAAAAAAAAAGAAAAGATGAGACAAAAGCGGGTTTCTTATTATTTGTTGACTGATTTGTCTTATTTCATAGTTATTCGTGAATCATTCCTTTCCTATCAACGCAAACAAAATCCTCATTATGGACTGAAGGATTCAGAAACTCGAGATATTGATGATCTTGTAAGTAGTGCCTTGGCAGGTGGAACCACAGGTGGACTTCTCTCTGCAGCTTTTCGTAAGTATGGTTGCTCTTCTTTTATTATTTCATTATTAACCGCTGTTGTTGTTTTTTTTTTTTTTTTTTTTATTTTATTTTATTTTTATTTTATTTTTGGTTGTGCTCAATAGGTGGACCTCGAGGAGTATTACCGGGTTTTTTTATGTTTGGAGCTATTTGTACTGGAGGACAACTACTATATTCAGCGGCCAATCGATGGCGACAAGATACCATTGTCCGTAGTGGCTTGATGAACCTTCCGTCAGATCAAGATATCCCAACAAAGAAGATTTGGGAGTATATTGAAATCCCTTCCTGGTCTCCGGTACGAAAATTAACCAACGATGAATACAACGATCTTTTGGATGCCAAGCTCAAGGCCCTTGAAGATGAAGTTCGACGTATTGAACGAGAAATGCAACGAAATGAACAACAGGAACAACAACAGCAAGAAAAAAAGGTGGATTGATGGTATAGGATTTGGAACTGGACATACTTGAATCCATTCAATATAACTTTTTGTTTAGTCTTCATATCTAGTTATAGAATATTTTTTTTAATCATTTGCTCATTTATGTAAATAGTTTTATTAGATCCAATAAAAAAATATAGAATTTTGATATATAGTTAGTCTTAACAGAGAAATCAAGATTATTAGTGATAAGAATTGAAAATGTAGTTGAATAAGTAACAAACACTTTGATTCATGCACAGTATAATCATCATGAAAACGCAATATATATATAGTAATGAGATTCAATCCAATAAAAACAAGAAAATGATATAAAAAAAAAATAACAGTAACAATTTATTTATTTCCAATCAAATAAACAATATAGCATTTATTGAAAAAAAAAGGTAAAACTAAAATGTAAAACATATATATATATCAACCATCCTACTTCCAAAGCTTCTTCAAACTGGTATTGGCATCGGAATCCTTCTTCATCACCTTGGCAACTGCCATTTCAAAGTCTTCTTGAGTCACATGTACACGTCGTTCACGTAAAGCAAACATACCAGCTTCAGTACAGACAGCCTTGACTTCAGCACCACTACTACCAGTCATCTTTTCCGCAATCTTTCGAAGATTAATACCTCGTGTCAGGTTCATTTTTCGAGAGTGAATCTTCAAAATATCAGCACGAGCCTTAAAAAAAAAAAAAAAAAAAAAAAAAAAGAAGTATTAGGAGAAAAGTATCTCTCACTCATCATCACTTACAGCTTCACTTGGTGGAGGGAATTCAATCTTTCTATCAATACGTCCAGGTCGTAATAATGCAGCATCCAAAATATCGATACGATTGGTGGCCATGATCACCTTGATATTCTTTGTAGGTTCGAAACCGTCCAATTGATTCAATAATTCCAACATAGTACGCTGTACTTCGGAATCACCACCACCACCACCTTCCATACGTGCTGAACCAATAGAATCGATTTCGTCCATAAAGATAATTGAAGGAGCATGTTCTCTATATATATATGAATGTCTAATTAATTTCTCTTCATTATACAATTCTTTCTTATTTTTTTTTTTAAAAAAAAATTACCTTGCCATGACAAATAATTCTCGTACCATTCGACTACCTTCACCAATATATTTTTGTACCAATTCTGACCCAGATACACGAATGAATCGACAATCTGTGTGATGAGCTACAGCCCGAGCCAATAATGTTTTACCAGTACCAGGAGGACCATACAGTAGTACACCCTAATTATATATATAATATATATTTAAAATAAAAAAAAATTGAAGCCTCTATTCTTTTTTTTTTTGAATTCATTTTTGTTCCCTCTATTTTTATTACCTTTGGTTGAGCAATACCAAGAGATTCGAAAAGTTCAGGATGTTTAACAGGTAATTCAATGACTTCCTTGATTTCCTTGATTTGTTGTTCTAAACCACCAACCATTTCATATGTAGAGTCAGGCACTTTTTCCACCATCATGAGTGAGACCAAAGGATCCACCTTGTTGGGTAGAACTTTATGAAGTTGATAAGAATCATTTCGAAGTGCCACACGTGTCGTAGGTGTCAATTGTGCAATATCGATATCAGAAGCAAGATCAACCACATATTTGCCTTCGGGATGTACCTAATAAATAATAAAACATTCATGTTTATTAATACTTGATGTTCAACATTTGAACTATGAGGTTTTCTTTTTCTTTTTTTTAATCACTATGTAGTCATAATTATCTTCCTACCTTTACTAACACTTTCTTCTTGCCCATTACTTTGACTACTTCACCCACATAAGATCCAGGTTCTTGTAATAATTGAAGCTCTTCTTTCAAAAGTCGAACTATTTTATAAAAGAAAGAAAAGAAGAAGAAAAACGTTAGATCCATCCATGTTGAAACCAAATTGATCGTTTCAATTACTAATTGTTGCTATTATTATTGTTCATTGTCGTCATCCATGGCGATGTTTTTATAAATAATTTCGAAGAATATATTGATTTACCTTTGGCATTCAAAGCATTACGTTGAGCTTCCAATCGACGTAAATCTTGAGACTTATCGTTGATAACAAGTTCACATTCTTCAATCTTGGCTTGATAATATTGTTTGATGCCTTCCTTATCTGTTGTATTAGGAGTCATCGTTGTAGCTGTCGCCATTATAGATATATATATATAAAGTTATTCTATATAAAAAAAAAAAAAAAAAGAAAGAAAGAAAGAAAAAAAAAGTCGACTTGCGCGTTTACTTCAGTCCACGTCATGTTTTCAAGCAACGACCAAAAAAAAAAAAAAAATCTGGTAGCAACCGAAATAGGAAAATAAGTGCCACCTTCATTCTCAGAGTCAATATACATGAAACTAATATTCAAATCGAATATATATTTTATTAATAAAGTTCAAAAGTATAAGATATACAATAATGGGTATGAGAAATAATAATAATAATAATACCAATCTATAGAAATTGGAATATAAAATACAAAATAAATATTCATCTATCAACAATATCGATCATGTCTATGCTACTACTACAACTATAAACCTCCACATTGTCATCCGAGTCTTGATCATCATCCACTTGTTCTTGATTATCCACAAATTGATAATAAAAAGGACATGATCGACGTGTCCACACTTGTTCGTATAACCTTCGTCGAGAATCTGCATTATACCTGTTTCCACGTTCACAATCACATTCACCTGATCCTTTGATGAAACTACAAGTGTATTTTTGAGTGCTAATAAATACCATAGGGAGTTCTTGTGAAAGATGGTATCTTTCCATGATATCTTGAGCCACCTTGGTTTTAAGAGCTACTTTGTTGCTTTGATATCTATGACTTGTACTAAGATCAGCATGGGTAAAGACTAGAATCATATTATTCCAAAAGTTGTTTTTGTTGCTTTGTTGAGGTAAATCATCTGTCAATAAAGATTGTACAATATCCAAACTTTTGAAGATTTGTTCTTCACTAACATATAAATTTATACAAGAATAGTAAGCATATAGTAAAATATCTATAAAACTTCTTTTTTTTTTCTTTACCTAGTAGTTACTTTGAATACCATCAGAAAACAATGCATGCCATGTTCATCTTGTTCGTTTTTCCTAGTCACCACGTCCATAATATGTTTCTTAATCATGGGAATAAATTGATTGTCACGCTGAAGGGAATCACCAAATCCTGGAGTATCGAAAACACGAACATGACAGCCAAAAGTTTGTTTCCCATGCAAATAAGGATCTAAAGGAGCCCAAAAACCTTGATGTTCAAGTACTTGTTGTGTTTGAGACTAAAAAAGAACAAGAATAAAAAATAAAAATAAAAATAAAAATAAAAAGTGAATCAATTATCCAAAAGGGCATATGATTTTACCTTGACTGACGCTTTTTGTTTGAAAACTTGATGACCAAGTATGTCATTTAATAAACTAGATTTACCATCACCAGTTTTTCCGAGTACCATGATAGAGATGGGAGTTGTTTCTGCTATAGGAATAAAAGGACGATCGGTAGAAGCATTACGAGAATGACGCCAAACAGTTTGTTGTTGTGGTGAGTTTGATGTTGTTGTTGAGAATGAAGGAGTCATGAGAGGTCGAGCGTGAGAAACAATGGTTGATGCTCGTCTTTCATGAGCAAGCCTTGCAGCAATCATGATAGGATCTTGATCTGATTCTGTTGTATTGAAAGGACTTTCCATGAAAATATATAGGTTAAGTAAGAATACAGTTTGTCCACTGATAGATGACGCAGTTTCAGAAATAAGATGTCGCCAAAATAGGAAATAAGATATCGTAAGGATAGAGAATGGATGACGGAGAAAAGAGATAATTGGATGACGCATAAAAAAAAAAAAAAAAAATCGGACGAGAGGAAAAGTAAATTGGGAAAAGGAGGGACCAAGGAAGAGCAGAATTGAAAAAGATTAGTAAACCGAATAGAAGCATCATACCTTTTTTTTTTTTTTTGGGACTTACACTGTAAGCGTCACACGTATTTATTACGCGGAGGAGGAAGGTCTTGCTAAATATCCAGGTCGTTGTCCAGAGGTAACCATGTTGACAAAAAGGCTACGAATATTTCGAGCAGCATTAACGTCACGCTGCCACACTGTACTGCAGTGATTGCACACTAGTACAGCGTACATACGTGACGTTGATTCCAACTCTAGTCTCTCCATGTCCTTATGCCCACACCGAGAGCAAACTTGAGAAGTGTTATATTCATCAATATCAATAAGTATCAGTCTTCCTTGGCTATCGGCTTTTTTCAGTAGATTTCTGCATTTATCAGTTACTCCTGCGGGTTTGCCCTTGAATACGTTGCGTCCGAATGTTGAAGAACCAAAAACAATTACCGGGACCTTGGATGGATGATGAGTAGCTTCAGCTTTTTTCCATTTTCTATGTGAGAAAATTAAAGATCAGTATGATTTTTATGTGTATTTTCGATCAGACAAACTTACGACTTTATTGTGCTTCTTTCTTCGTTGTGAGGGTGTCTTCTACTTCTTCTTCTTCTTCCTCCTCTTCGCTGTCTTTGTTGTTGTCCTTGTCTTTGTTGTCGCCGCTTTGTTCTCCGTTTTCGTCTTCGTCTTGTTCCATAAGGTCTGTACTTTTCACCGCCATCGACGAGTATGTTCACCATCTCTGCATCTACGCGCTGTCTTCCTTTGTAATTTGAAAATTTCAAACCACGAATTTCATTTTGGTCATAAAATTCTTTCATTGGGTCCAAGGCGTCCAACGTCGTGGCGATGTAATCTTGTATCCCCTGCATGGTTACAGTACGGTGCGTTGATATGGTTGACTCTAGTACTTGTAGTGATGATGTTTTAGTTAAATTGATTCTCGCTGTGGATTTCTTGTAACCTGCATCAGTATAATATTGAGCCAAGCTAAATTGCCGTACTTGATGAGATTCACCTATCAAAAAAAAAAAAAAAAAAAAGAAGGTGCATTAGAAAATAATAGTAAAATAATGTTTGCATTGTCATAGATCACTTACCGACAGGCACAGTGGAGAGAGTAGGATTAACAATAGCAGAGGAATCAGTGTGGCTGACAGCAGTAGGTGTGTCAAAAGGAACAGTATGACTGACATCAGTAGCGGATACCTGGTGATCTTGAATTGAGCCAATTACAGTGACTTCAGCTGAATTATTGGTATTGACGGCGCCCCCAGCAACAATGTTTCCAGCAGCAAATACAGAGCCGCGAAGTAGTAGATTTTGTCCAACAGTAATATTGCCACTTGAGGATAAATTACCACCGATGATCATATTTCTTCCCACCTTGACGTCTTCCATCGTCGTAACATCACCTTTCACAGTCAATGATTCATTCGTTTCAACAGTACCACAAGCCATTAAACTGCCAGTAACCATGTTCTTTCCAACCTTGATATTACCCCCAGTAGTGAGAGCATCCTTCACAGTCAATGATTCGTTCGTTTCAATGCTACCAGATGTCGCTAGACTGCCAACAATCACAATATTCCCAGGTTCAATCAAATCGCCTTGATGATCTATATTGCCTGTACAGACTACACCTTCCTTCTTTGCTAAATTAGACGCATCCGAAGCCAGAGACGAGACATTTGTCGCAAGTGATGATATACGTTCAGAAATATGAGAATTAGTGCCACTAGAACACGAGTTTCTTGCCAGTATGGAAACATTCGAAGCTAGGCTTGACAAATCGGTAACTATTTTTGACAATGAAGCAGCAGTATCCGTGGTAGCATGAGGAGCACCAGTAGAGTCATGTCGATGGAAGGCGGCGGCGTTAGTGGAAGTATCAGTAGGGCCATGTCGGGAAGTGGCGGTAATGTGAGAAGCATCGGTACAGTCATGTTGATGGATGGTGGTGGTAGAAGTATCGATATCCGTGATGGCGTGACTAACATCAGTAGAGTCATGCTGATCGGTGGTCGTGGTAGGAAAAGCATCATGGACACCTGTAAAAAAAAAAAAAAAAAAAAAAAAAAAAAAAAAAAAAAAAAAAAAAAAAGGTAAATAAAGATGTACGTGTTTAAAATTTAATGCCACCTACCCTCATTGTTCATTGCTTGATTATAAACTGCATCACTACTACCATCACTAGCAACGTAGATGCTTGTAACTCCAGGATCGGCACCCCATATCGTAAAGTACTTCAATTCCCATTCTTCAAAATCAGCTGGTACCAATCGAGGCAATTGTTGCAAAGACATTGGTCTGTCATATGGAATTGAGACCGCAAACCCATCCGTCCAAATAAATCCTGCGAAGACCATATCATTATGTTTCTTTATTTTCGAAAGATTCAAAACACCAGAAAGAGTTTGCTCGCCATTTCTGTACACATCTAGACCTGGGGTACGTAAAAGCGACAGCCTAACCTGGTTGGAGATCTTGATATATTTTTTCATGACTGAAGGTTTTGGCACAAGATTAAATAACCGTTGCTGTTTTACGACATGGTGTAGCTCAGGTTTGAAACAATCGTCAAAAAGTTGATCGTTGTTATCAGGGTCATTCAAGTAAATTTTGGAATTGTTGATTTGATGTTTAGTATCCGTGATGATCGTTTCCAGGTTTTCCAATGATTCTTGAGACAGATAATTGAGTCTAGAGTTATCCAATTGTTCGTCGTTATTGATAGCCTTATCTAAAAATCGCGCTAAAGATGACCGTCGCCGTCGTCCCATGTGCTTGAATTCTTCTAATTCCCGAATGACGCTGTAACACCATGACCGTGGAGCACTTTGCATTACCAGACTGGCAACGCGTATTTGATCCTCGTTGAATGAATTCATATACTTTGCAATGTTGAATCCGTACTTGCTAAATAAGTGACAATGGCCTGCAATGTATGCTGGTGTCAACGATGGTAGATCATTTTCTTGAATAATGACTGTGTTGCTCTGTTCGCAATAGTGATGAATGTCATGAAGCACTTGTCTATTTCCCAGATCGTTGTTGGCGTAATATCTTCCCATAGCGGCTGTATATTGGCGATCAATCATATCGTACATACGTTGCTGTTCCATCAACCGGTCATTGAACCCTTGTATTTGCAATGCCATGGCTTCCAGGCTTCCTACAATATTCAAAGTGTCCAAATCATTGTTTCCAACTAAATCATTATCATTGACTGCCTGTTGTTGCACAGGAAGAGAGTCCTGTAAACGCCGTATAACATGATCACCAAAAGATTGATTGATATCACCAGAGACAAGTTCCTGTAATCCTAGATTTGTTGCCACTTGCATTATAAGACGCACAGAACGTTGATGACCAATGAGATTTTCTAGTAAAACCTCTGAAAGATGTATGATTCCAGGTAGAAGTTGTAAATTGTTTGAGGTGTCTAAGGTTTCCTGTAATTCTTGTAACCGATCAAGCCCATTTCGCATAAGAATTCGCATCCCATTTTGGCGGTTTACAATTCGTTCTTGGAGACTACGATAAGAGCGTTCCAGCAGGCGGCGACTTGTATCCATATGCGCTTCCAAGTTGGCCAGATTATATATCACTAATAGATCAACACGGGCTTCATCCAAAACTGTAGCGACGCATTCTTTGAGGACATCGTTTTCACCATCAGAAAGTATTTTTGGTAATCGTGGCGGGAAATCAGGATTGTGCATGACAGTTTCAAGAATATATAGCCCAAGTTTGTCTGCATCCACTTTGCTCAGAGTCTAGGAAATTGAAAAAAATAATAATCACAAATTCCATGTAAGTTTTCATTTTTAGTCTTATAACCTATCTATTTATCGTCACTTACTTGATCTTGAGATTCTTGCTCTTGATGTTGAGGTGGTTGAGATGGTGGCTGACGTTGATGTTGTTGTAATTGATGACGAACATGTAAGGAATATTGATTCGCCATCCACTGTGTCATGTCACTTTCGATTCTATTCACAAAGGCCGAAACATACTGGTCCAATAGTGATGAGATGACTTCGGAATATCCATTGCCGCCATGGATCTTTTTGACTTTGAATCGTTGCACCTGCGCTTCAGTGGGGTTCATGCTATTGTATTGTCGTCGGATTTCTTCTGCCAAATGATGATCGATGGTGTTGTTCGTGGTGATGGTGCTGCCAGTAACGATTTGAAATACCGAATAAAAAAAGCTTTTGGTGAAGATTTGTTTGTTGATGATTTCTCCATCATTGAGCTTGTGGTATACAAAGTAAGTTATAAAAAGGTGTAATTTCACAATAACATCGCGAGCATATGTAGCCACATCGTTCAGTCGATCAATGAGTAATTGTTTGTGATCAGGATTGTCAATAGATAATAGTGAGTTCAGTCCAATCTTTCTACATACGGTCATTGTTTGTCCCACTTGCTGCCGTAGTCGTTCTTTTCTGCTTGGCTGTCGGAACGGGCATAATTTGCTTGTAGATCTTGAGTGAGAGTAGGCGGTGTCAAATCGACGTTTTTCTAGGCATACCGGGCAGGGTGTCAGAGAGTGCTTGGATGATGATTGCTTCCGAACAATGGACGCTTGTTTTTTCTTTGATTTTTCTTGCCGAGATTGTTGTCTTTTACGCTTGTTCCCTGATAACTGTTTTGAAACTGTTGAACGTGTTGCAGTAGAGGAAGAAGCAGCAGCATAGTTATCGCCATCATGGTCACCATCATCACCTGTTGAAGTAAAAAAAAAAAAAAAGTTAAGCCAGTAGCCTCACAATAATATTTTGCTTTTATTTCTAATATTTCTTACCTTCATGATCTTCACTGTCAATATCACTATTGTCATCACCGTCAACATCACTATTGTTATCATCTTCTTCATCACCTTGATGGGGTTGCTGTGCTATATTTGTAAAAGGCAAAAAAAAAAAAAAAAAAAGTAACTCAGTAACAAAAAAAAAAAAAAAAAAAAAAAAAAAAAAAAAAAAAAGACAACATTGTTGTTTCAATTGTGATCACGCTTACCGTTACGTTGTTGTTGTTGTTTAAATAGTTTCTTATACATAATGATTTCGTGTACAGTCATACCATCGTAATGCGTTCTTTTTTCAATCAATTGTTCCATGGAGTATAAGCATCCTTTGGTGAAAGAGTTCAAAAAGAAAAAGAAAAAAGCGAAAGAAAGAGAAGCAATTAAGGATTTCGCTTGTCAATATGCGCGTTGCAGTCGGAGTTATTTGTAGAAAATCATGAGTCATATACCTATAGCAAATAATATAAAATGAATATATAATGTCTTTTTCTTTCTTTTTTAGTGTCATCTGCCTTACTTTCTATGCAAAATAGAAAAGATGTCTATAGTAGTAGCGATAGGAAAGGAAAAAGAAAGTATGAGAAAATAATTTACATAACGCTGAGCCATGGATTGAGGATTTCCTTTTTTGGATATTCAGTTACGGCTCATATTCGTTCGTAATCTTTCTTTACTATAGTTATTCAAGTTTAATGAATACAAGGAATAGGAAATAAGTGATAAAAACATTCACTTGAAAGTGCTTATTCTAATATCATTATCATCATCATCATCATTATGATGTTAATCAATAAAAATCAATTCAAAAAAAGCAACTTAAACCTATGTGATTTCTTACGATTGGTTAATTTGATTTGCAGGATTTTTTTAAACTGGCTCCGACCAGCTAGACATGTAAAATTAATGAATTTTTTCTTTCTTTCTCTATCTTTCTTTTTTTTTTCTTCACTTTTTTTTTTTTCTTTCTTTCTCTATCTTTCTTTTTTCTTCACTTTTTTTTTTCTTTCTTTCTCTATCTTTCTTTTTTCTTCACTTTTTTTTTTATACACCTTATTAAACGAACATCATGGCTCAAGCATCCAACAGAGATTTGACTGAACTTATTATGCGTCCCAATACTGGCACAGTTGGTAAACAAGTACGTGTACGAAGCAATTTCTTTGAAATGACTAGTATTCCAACTCAAAATATACAACACTTGAATATTCAATTCCTACCGGAGGGTACATCTCTACCTGTTCGAAAAAAGTTGTGGCAATGTTTTGAAGATAGTCTCAAAGGTCGAGCTTTCCTCAACAAGATCAAACCGGTCTTTGATGGTCGTGCAAATCTCTTTTCTCCAAAACCTCTCAAATGTGGTGATGATAATCTTGGTATTTCTTTTGAAGTAAGTAAATAAAAAAAATGACGTACATTTTATCATATGCTTAATATTTCACCCCCAACATTATTATATTTTTTTGATCACTCTTTTTTTTATTGGTTCATTCATATCCATCATTTTTATTCTTGTTATAGGTCAACCTTCAACAAGGAAATCGTTCTAGAGGTGTTTTCAAGTTAAAAATCAAGCCTGTAGGTGTAATCAACATGAGTGAATTACAATTACTTTTGGATGGAAAGTCTATTATTACCAACAACTGCTTGATGGGTACGTAAAACAAAAAAAAAAAGAATATTATGATTATCTCCTTTTCTTTTTATTAACTTCTTTTCCCTTTTTTATCCTCTTCTTCTCTAAAACCACTCTACAGCCATTAGAGTCCTTGACACATTGTTTCATTACTTTCCATATATCTATTATACTACCATGGGTCGATCCTTTTATACTCCCCAAGGTAAACGTCCATTACCCAATGGTGCTGAAGTGTGGCAAGGCTTCAATCAATATGCTCGCCCTACTCAAGGTAAAGAAAAAAAAAATCCTAAGATTTTTGTTAATATTTCATTCTTTACTGTTTATAGGCAAAATGATGGTCAATATTGGTGTTAGCTCCATCGCTTTCTATCAACCTGGTCCTCTTCACGAAATGTTACCCAAACTACTTGGCCGCCACAGTCTTGGTGAACTTCGTCGTGGTATTCCTGACCGTGAACGTATCAAAGTTGAAAAAATACTCAAGAATCTCAAGATCGTTGTTGTCCATCGTGGTGCTGAAAAACGATTGAAGTACAAGATTAACAAGCTCACTCCTACCTCTGCTGAAAACACTGTATTCAAGGATGATACTGGAAATGAAGTGACCGTTGCTCAACACTTTCAAAACACTTGCAACAGACGTTTGGCCTTCCCTTTCTTACCATGTGTTGTTGTCAAGAAGAATACCTTTTTGCCTATGGAAGTTTGTGAAGTAGTTTCTGGCCGATGCCCTGTAGAGACACCGAATGACTATCAAAAAGGTGAAATGATCAAGTTTACTTGGAATACACCCAATGCGCGTGCCAACTTGATCAATCAAGGTATCGACATCCTCGACCACAAGGACAATCCGTATGTTCAACAATTTGGTGTCAGCGTCAAGCCTGATATGACCATGGTCAATGCTCGTGTTCTTCCTCCTCCAAAGATCTCTTTTCATGCTTCTTCGGAAGATGCTAGTTTTACTCCTGTCGGTGGTACTTGGAGTCTCAGTGGTAAGAAAGTCGCAAACGGTGCCACCTTGAAATCTTGGTCTGTCGTCAATTTTGCAAGCAGTATCAATGATGGTTCGGTACGATTTTTTATTCGTGAACTAGGTCAAATGTTCATTGATAATGGTTTGGTAAGTTGGTTTCTTTTTTATTTATTTATTTATTTTAAGAAAAGAAGAAAACATGATTTATACTAATCTTTCACCTATTATTATTTCTTTTATGATTAAAAATATAGAATGTCATCAATCTTGAACCACCAATTACTCATGCTGATCCTCAAGGCGATGTCGAACGCACTCTCAAGGAAGCTTGGTTGAAAGCTGGTAATGCTACCAAGGTTAAACCTGAATTAATCTTCTGTATCTTGCCCAACACTGGTGTTCAAATCTATGCCGACATCAAGCGTGTCTGTGATACAGGTAAGCAAACATAGAGAAAGAAAAGGTGATACTGATGACGACGATGTTGATGATTTTTACGAATAATCTCATATCCTTTTTATATAGTTATTGGTATCCCCACTCAATGTGTGAAAACGAAATATGTTGCCAAAGCCGAAAGAACGTATATTGCCAATGTCAGTTTGAAAGTGAATATGAAGCTCGGTGGTGTCAATTGGTTTTTAGCTAATTTTCAAGTACCTTTTATCTCCAACAAACCTACTATCATCTTTGGTGCTGATGTTGCTCATCCTGATAATAGTGATGTGAAAACACCTACCCTTGTTGGTTTGACTGCAAGTATGGATTCCTATGCCTCAAGATATGCCTCCGCTATCCGTGTTCAAGCCAACCATACTGAAATAATAGCTGATTTAGCCAATATGGTCAAAGAACTGTTGAAAACATTTTATCAAAACTGTGGTCAAAAACCTCAACAAATTTTGTTCTACAGAGGGGACATTCCAGAAACTCAATTTAATCAAGTTTTCAAGTACGAAATCGCTGCTATTCATGCTGCTTGTGCTTCCTTGGATAAGACTTACAAACCTTCTGTTACATTTGTGGTTGTTCAAAAACGTCATCATGCTCGATTCTTCCCTGTTGAACCCCGTAATGCCGATCGAAGTGGTAACTGCCAACCTGGTACTGTTGTGGATACTGATATCGTACATCCTTTCGAATTTGATTTTTGTAAGTATTCAAATGATTATATATATTAGGATGATATATTGATATATATATATTTATATATGTGTATTTTTTTCTTAGATCTACAATCACATGCTGGTCTTCAAGGAACCTCTCGTCCTGCTCACTACCATGTACTTTATGATGACAATCATTTTTCTGCCGATGCTTTCCAAGAACTCAGTTATAATTTGTGTTATATGTGTCAAACAACGACCAATGCACTTTCCATCTGTGCCCCAGTATACTACGCAGGATTGTTAGCTGAAAGAGCCAGGTACTACCAAAAAGGAAAAAACTGGAATAACGTTACTGACAACACAAACGAACTGATAAATAACGAACTAGCAACCTTCGGTTGTATAAAACCTGAATTGAAGAATACAATGTTCTTTTTGTGAAATTACGATTTTTTTTTTATATATTCAATAAACCGAAGACAACACTTTTTTTGACGATAGTGGAATGATGGGGAGAATAGTTGAGTATAGGGAACAATGGTATTATGCATAATCCTCTTTATATGTATATATTGAATAAATGCTCTGGTGCTTCTCTGAAACTTTTTGGCATCGAAGATTTGTGTGGGTTATGGGTTTTTTTTTTTTTTTTTTTTTTTTTTGGGAGAAGGTATGGACTATTCATTCGATGGAAAGGGGATGTTAAATTGTATGTAGGTTGAATGTATAAAAATATGAGACTAGTAATAAGTCAGTGAGATTCTTTTTAGTTTATTTCATAGATCAATAAACTATATGGTATCGAGTTGAGCTTCCAATTTTAATTGTAAATACTCTCACTATGGGAAAAGATCTGAAATAAATTTTATTTTTCTGAATACGTTTTTTTTTTTTTCCTGACTCGATTTAGTACAGATGTTCTTGATTTCTGATTTTTCTGAAATGCATTAAGTCGTTTTCAAAGTAAATTAAATGTGAATTTCGGAAAAAAACGAAATGAATATCGGATTTCCGAAATTCATTTTGTATTTTCATAATAGAACTTCATTTCTTTACACAATATACAATCATCGCTCATTATAGACAAGAAAGTTACTTTATTTCATTAATATAACTATACTACGTAACTATACTACATAACTATACTTCATAACTATACTTCATAACTATACTTCATAACTATACTTCATAACTATAGTAATAAATAGCTAAACTACAAGGACAACGTTTACCAGTACGGCTAAGACCACAACCATGACCAAGACCAGCTAATGCCACCTCCAAGATAATGATCATGACTTCCACTTTGGGTATAATTATTTTCTTTGATATGGATCCTTCAATTGGCAGTCTAACAGAGTCATTCCAGCGAAGAAGGGAGACGATCTTGGCTTGATTGTATGGTTTGCAATCTACAGATAAAATTAACAAATAGTAATCCATCAACATCACTCTCTTTTCTTTTTTTTTTTCTATGCACATGTTACCTTGATTATACCCTTGAATATTTGCGCCACCGTTATTGTATAGACAATAATCTTGCAAGTTACAAATAAAATCAACAAAATGAGTAGTAATCCATCAATGTTTATTTCTTTTTCTTTTTCTTTTTTCTATGTACAAGTTACCTTGGCTGCACCATCGAACGTTTTGTACCACCAGTAAACCCAATGTCATCATAACAGTTGGCTCGGAGAGAAATAAAGGCTCGCCAAATGCAGATATCAGACAATTTCAGATCATCAAGAAAGATAGTTGTACCGTCTTACGTATAGCGCTCCACTATCAGTCATTGATATGATCCTCAATAATCTTTCCAAACCAAATACTGACCATCCGACATTTGACTGTATAGACCACTATTCTGATACCTAACAGACAACAAAGAATCACCAAAATGAGTAGTAATCTGTCGATGTTATTCATTTTTTTCTTCTTTTACATATACATATTACCTTGGATCATGCGCCAGTGTCAATGTATCAATAACAATATAATAAAAAGAAGGATCTAAAAAAAAAAAGAAAGAAGCAAGTAATTGTATGTAATATCGGTTGATCCTTTTTCTTCTTTTTGTGCAACTTACTATTTTGGTTGTACAGACGACGATCTTGATATCTACAGATACAAAAAACAACAGAGAGAAAGAGTCCAACCAAATAGCAAAGAGAGATTGAAGAGAACATCACCACAATGAGCGACCGATGGGAGAGAGAGAGTCCAAACAAGTAGAAAAGAAATTTTGAAAATATCATAAGAAAGACTAACCAAGCAGTAAAAAGGACCTTCAAAAGTACTTGTGCATAATTGAATTGCATTGGCTGTGCAATGGAATCCGAAGAAAGAGAGAGTCCAACCAAGAAGAGGTCTTGAAATTGTAGACACTAGAATGAATTAACTATAAAACAAGTAACTAATTGTATTTTATACTATTTTTTATTTTATTATTATTATTTTATTTATTTCTTTAAATTGACAATAATAAAATAAGAATCCATTACTTGTCATTGTATTTTATATGTTACCTATCATGAGCCAATATGGAGACACGAACAAAGTGCGCAGGAGTAAAAAAAAAAAAAAAAAGTGTAGAGAAAAGGAAAGAGAAGGTAGAAAAAGAAAATTGTTAGGAAACGAAATAAATAAAAATGCAACGAAAAGTCCGACTAAGTAAAGGCAATGTGCCAAAGTAATATATAATAGAGAGAAAGAATATGTTGTAATGTACTAATGAGAATAAAGTATTTACAAAGAAGTAAGGTTAGTTTTTAATATTAAAGAAAAAGTGATAAAAAATATATGAAAAAGAGAACGACTTCATAATATATTTCTTTTTTTCATATCATTTAATTTATTTAAGGAACACAGGCACATAAACAGTAGTTTGAAAGGAAATGATAGATAACATTAAAAAAAAAAGTGATGATTGTAAATAGTGACAATGAATATAATTTTATTAAACAAAAAGAATGTAAATGTGTATAATTGTATACTAAGTGTGATAGTAAAAGGAATCACTAGCGCTTTAAGCCAGAATAAGATAAAAAGACCAAGAGGATATCTCTAATTGATTGTAAGTCGAATCCAATTGAATCCTATAATACATCCTGTTCATCCATTTCGCTGATCCAGACAGATAGCTACTTCTCGTAGTATCCTATTGACATGAAACTATAATGATCAATCTTCGTGTATCTAGATTTCTTTCTTTCTGACAGACGTATATTCAGTAATAATCATTATCCAGGATACCAAGTAAGAAGGATGAGAAGAAGAAAGAACGATAATCCGAGAAGGACAGATGTTGTAGTAAAAACATCAAGGTCGAAAGAACGTGTATAAAAGAAAAAAGAAGAAAAGTAAAGTTAGAAATAAGAAGAGGAAAGAACTTGTTTTTGAAACTTACAATTAATAAGAGTGAGTGTCTGTAAAAGCACATAGAGAAAAGGATATAGCAAAGAGGTTGGAATGATTCGTGTATAAAAAGAAGAAAAGGTTATAAAACAACAGTATCATTATCTTTTTTTTTTGTTTGTCTTACTTTAATCGTCATATTTGTATTTAGAGTATAGATTCAAATAAAAAAAAAGAGATCAATATCATATAACGTTGGTGGCATAATGAAATGGATTTACCTTATTAAACATAACTAATATAACAGGTTAAGGATACTTGTGTACACTTGTTTTAACTAAACGGTATAAACACACTACAAAAAAGAATGATTCAGTCAGTTCATGAATACAATGAATATATGTATAGACAATCTTTTATTATTATTATTTCCATACCTTACTTTGATTTGTCTTAAAAGGTAAACGTATAACAGAAAGAAAAAAAAAAGAACAATAATGTGATAAAAATAAAAATAAGAAGAAGAAGAAGAAGAAGAGTAAAAATAAACAAACGTCCTTTTTTATTATTTGGCAATGCATAATTTTCACTCAGCGAGTCTGTGGGGCAAAACCCCTCCTTCCAAATTAGGACTAGGAACCCAATATTTTATTCAGCTCTACATAGAAACCCTAAATTCTACCTAGAAAACCAATTTTTATTCAACTCTATATAGAAGTCCTAAATTCTACCTATTTGACCTAATAATTATGTTTATTGCAAAAAAAAAAGGTAAATCTACCTATTATATGCTTTCTAGCCTAGATAGGAGAAAAGAGATCTGCGATGTATATGTAGTGTTAAGTATTTTTTCGTAAATGGATGGATGATTGATTAACTTGATAGATGGATATTATTATTAATATAATAATATTTAGGATGGTTTGTATTTGTGAGCACCAGTTACTTTTATAAAAAAGTAACAAAACGTATTTTGAAAAAAATAAAATGATCCAAATAAGGAAATGGATGGATGTTTGCAATAACAGTAAATGATGATCAGATAAAAGAAAATAAAAGATACCAAATGTCTTGATGAATTGGTATATAAAAAAAATAATAATAATAAGTGTGATGATTGTTAATATAATTAAAACCAATGGATGATTATTTCCAATAGAGTGGCCAAAGTGATTTATATTTGATAAAATAATATTTTTCTTTTTTTATTTTAAAGATTGACGACTAAAAAAAAAAAAAACTAAAAGTCTACACTATTTATAAAAAAATTATAATCATCAATAAGGAAGCGTGTAACAGGAAAAAGGCCTGAGAGAGGGAAAAAGTGTGAGAGAGGGAAAAAGGACAAGAAGGAAATAAAAATAAAAAAAATTAATTAAAGAGGCGAAAAAGGTTTTTCTCCAACAGTAGACAAGTTAATAATCACTTGGTATACGTTCAAATAGTAGAAATCCCTATAGATGATCAAAAAAAAAAAAAGTATGAGAAAGACATGTCCATGTATCCTTTTTTTTTTTTTGATATAAAAAGACTTACTGGACGATGACTTCATAAAGAGAGTTTCCAGGGAATACGTCCAAGCATTCAGTGAAGGATTGCCACGGTGAATCACACTTTCCGGTAGTCGTCCCGGTTGAATGCATCCGTTCAATAATCTGATCTGGTCCTTCACATTTCAAGTGGCTTGCCACAGCTAATATCAACGGAGCCACCATCGAAGACAGAAATGATGCTATTTGATTGTTGCTGTCGTTTTGTTTGCTTCTGGGTTAGTCGAGTCGTCCCTATCAAACATATACATATAAATTATTTACCTATGATTTTTTCTTTAGATATATACTGTATATATCCTTCTTACCCTGATGATTCTATAAGTAGCCGTTCAATAGTATCTAATATCACCTATTCCCATAAAAAAAAGAATCTTGTTAAGCGTTTTTCTATATCATCTTCTTCTTTCTATTCATTTTATTCAAACCTTTTGAGTCATATTAGTAGTGGTTCCACCAACACGACCAACTCGCAAAAACAAATGACCAGGTCGTAAAAAGTCTCTTGCCAATAATTGAATTTCTTTGGGGAATGTTGCACTGTATAACAAAGTTTGACGATCTTTAGGTAAAGCTAGAAAAAAAAAATCAAGTTAATTTAGTGATAAACCTATGTAGAATTCTCTTTATTATTATTATTATTATTATTTACCATGTCTTTCCACAATATTACATTATAGAAATAAAACAATATATTGATACTCTAAACTAAACAAGGAGAGACTAACTACCGTAACAAAAGGTCGTGATGACGAGGAAGAAAAAGAGAAGAAGAGAAAGTGATAAAAAAAGTGATAAAAAAACAAAAGAAAAACAAGGAGACGTAAATAAATAAAATAAAGGTAATTCTGACTCAGACTCGCTGCATGATTTACTTAAGATGATAAAAAAAAGAGGAAGGTTGATGTTAGAAACACAACACTTATCTTTTTTTTTCGTCTTGCCTTATTCGTACTGTCTGTAACAAATCATATAGTGGAATGGTGAAAAAAAAATTCGATGACACACTAAACAATAAAGCAAGAGAAGGAGAATAAGAATTATATGTGATAGCTGTAAATATACCATTTTAAGATAGTTGATTGGATTAAAATAAAACAAAAAATGATAATAAAGACAAATCGAGAATACGATGAGACTGTTGGTAAGTTTTTTTCAATAAGAATTGAATGAGAGAGAAAAAAGAGAAAAAACTATTCCAATCCAATCTTAAATGACAAGAAGCTGAGATCTTAAAGTTACACAATATCAGTCTAGATACGACACATTTGTCTATAAGTCCTACTGTGAACAATTTATCATGCTCACAAAGATCGTGATGATGATGCCGTTTATGTACAGTACCCACTGATGCTGACGGATAATATATCACGGATATTTATCGACGTTGGTGAATAAACCCGGTATATCCGTGATAGATAGTCGATTGATACTGATCACTGTTTATCTTGCTGAAACTACAAACATTATTGAGATTAGGATACCTGCTGATCATTCTCTGTATCCATACCAATATAACGCAAGGTTGCAATATTACCGAATTAAAGAAAAAAGAAATGCGAAGTTAGTATGTATTTTTTTTTTTCGTTACCAACCAATAAGATAAAAAAAAAGACATCCGGTTGTGAATAAGAGACAAGTATTAATCCTTAAACCTCTGCTCGTAGTTTCAATTTTTCTCAGGCAAGTATATAAATTTAATATTTTTAAATCAAATCATCATCCACTAATCTCTTTTTTTTTTTTTTTCTCTACGATAGATTTACTTTCATGATGCTGTATCTGAAAGATCAAGTGTTTGCCCATGGACAACTGTATGTAGCTCTCTCTCACGATCAAGAGATCCGTCAAATCTTCGAGCGGCAACCCCACAACCAGTTCGCAATTCTCAACCACAAACTGCCAATATTGTATATCGCGACGTCCTTCTATAGTTTTTTTTTATAATATATATATTCAATATCCAATAAAGCAATAAATTATTTTCTCCTCCTCTTGACGATGTTAGTGATGATGATTGATGATTAATGAAAACATCCTCTAAAAAGATAATCTGTAGTCCACATCTTTCCATCAAATCAATAATTCACGCCTTCCCAAAAACAAAAACAAAAAAACAAAAAAAAGAAATAATAATCCACACCTTTCCATCAGACCAATAGTCAACATCTTCCAATCAAATGTATAATCCACATCTATTCGTCAAATCAATAGTCCATACTTTTTCAAAAAAAAAAAAAAAAAAAAAAAAGAAAACTATAACCCACACCTTCCAATCAAATTAATAATCCACATTTTCCGAAAAGAATCTATAATCCACACCTTCCAAAGAAAATCTACAGTCCACACAAATCTTCGATTTCGAAAAGCTCCAGCGGAGCGCCAGAGCGTTTATTATCATTCAAGAAAAAAGTAAGAGTACCTTAGAACGCCATGGTAGATTGGACGTATTCATGCGACAAGTAGATTTTCAAAATATACGCCAGGTTAGCATCAAAAACTCCGCCATCCAAAAATCAAATAGGACGCCATTTTTTCTCCCCCCATGCGCCATCTAACTCTGGAAACACTGTAATAAAAAAAATTAGAAAAAGAGAAAAGAAATCCCCTTTTTACTTTATGATCGAAGCTAAAAATACCCAAACTCCGCAGCATATTTCAGTATTCATGTTTCAGAGGCAAACATATATGTTTAGTCAATCAATGTGGGGAAAAAGGTAAAATGATAAGAAAGAAAGCACGGACCAAAACATATGATGATCTCTTCTCCATAAATGCAAGTATCTAATTTTGTTCTATTTTATATTTACTGTTCCCTAAAGAAAAAGAATAATAATAAAAAAAAAAAGAGTCAATACCTCATAATCTATGATATTTTATTATTTCTACTTGAAAAAAAAAGTGGAAAGCAAAGTAAGAAAAGAAAATATTTGATGACAACCATTAGATAATCTTATAAACATGTGATATCAATAATATTGTTTTATTAAATTCAATAAATTAGTTTTGATTGTTTATGAAATCAAATTGATTAGATACTAAAATGTCGGTTATTGATTACTCTTTTTTTTTTTTTGACAGTATGAGCTTTTTTTTTTTCTCTTTTCCTTTTTTCTTTTTTAGGTTTTTTTTTTTTTTTTTTAAAAAAAAAAAAATTTGTCACACCCATATACATGTATGCGGATATTCAACACTGTTTTATTTTCTACCCTATGGTCACTATTTATTTCTCTTCTTCTTTCTCCCATTTATTTCTTCTTTTTATATTTATATATATATTATAGAATGGCTGATTCTTCTTTTTGGAGAACGTGCAACAGTCAGGAACAATGTCAATGCGATTGGCGATTGACGGCATATCATTGTATAGAAGCAGATACTATTCGATCAATATACATTAGCAATGGTATTATATCAGCTATTGTGGGAGTTATAGGTAAGTCAAAATAATAAAGTATCTCAATTTTCTCTTTATTAATATTCGTGTATATCTAACTTTTTCTCTTTTTTTTTTTTTTTCTTGGTTTAGCTATGGCTCTATTATATTATAGACTTTCCTATCGTGGTCAACATATATTCGATACCAATACCCAAACTGGTTTTATTAGACCAAGACCTATTGAATCCATGATATTATTTGCTATTTGTTTCCATTGTTGTAAGTTAGCCAAAAATATAAAAATAAACTGTGTTTGTGTGATCTGCGCGGAGTCATATACCCTTTTTTTTTTTTTTTTTTATTAACAATTACTTTTTATTGTAGTACGGTTAGTACATTCTATTATTTTGGTGACAGATATTTTTTCAAATGTCGCATTTCGATCATTTGCTTTTGAATTTCCTTGGGCATTTGGTTATGCTGCCTTGTCAAGTTATGTATTTGGAATATCTCATACAATGAGTGATGTAAGTCATTTTACCCCTCATGGTTACAATGGAACTAATCAATTTTTTTTATTTTTATTTATATTCTCTCACATGCACGCTGGTCATGAAAATTTAGAGTAGTCATGTCATTTACAATTCATGGTTCCACAATCCTTTAAAGGTTGATATTTTGTGTTCAACCTTGATCATCATGCCTTTTGTATCAAATAATATCTGTTCCATCTCTGCTGGTATATATGCTCAAAATGGGGATATAGAAAAAGCCATTTTGTTTACTCGCGCGTTATATTATTTTTGGACAATATATTGTGGTAAGGATAAAATTTATCATTCTATTTCTCTCATCATTCATCATCCATCATCATCATCATTAGGTACACTTGGTTTGGTTTTACTCTATTCTGGTGTCTACTTGGTACGACTTCTGAATCATCATTTAAGATCACAACGTGGAGTCCAATGTAATGTCGCCAAAGTTAAAACTGGGATTCTCAAGGTCAAATTAGTCATTTTTATTGGTTGTAGTTGCCTAAATATCTTTGCTATTATTGTCTGTCTTTATGGTATCTTCCGAGAACGTATGTCAAATAGTACTCTTTGTAGTTTGGTGATTGCTGCTATATGGACATTTGATGGTCCTATGGCAACCGTCTTGGTGGAATTAGCTTTGATCTTAAAGTAAATTTGTAAAAAAATGCAACAACTTTTAAAATCACCATTGATTTATTTTTCTTTATTTTTTTATAGTCCTCATGTCACTAGTGCTTTAGGTCTTATAGCTGTCAATCCTAATCTATTATCAACCTTGGATGATGATGTATATTCATCTATGGATGATCAACGACATGATCTCTCGACATCACCTATCAACAAACCTCCTTTATATACAACGTCGTCTTATTACAATAATAACGTCTTATCATCATCACAAGAAGAAGAAGAACAACAACAACAGCATCCTAACGTTCATCGTCCATCATCTTCCTATGATGCAACCTATACATCATTATCATCATCACCAGTAGGTGAAGATCATCGTTATCTCCAATACAATGAAAGCAACCATCAAAATACAATAGACGCATTATCGACATCACATCAATCCTTCAGTACAAAGAATCATCGTCAAGATTCCTTATCCCAATTAGAGCAGGATCGTTTGCAATATATTGCCGCCACCAAATATGCCCGTATCCCACACAATCGACTATCATCCGCACAACGACGACGACCATCAGATCATTTTACCCCTAACCCTTTTGCCACATATTATTGATATTTCCCTTACATTATATATCTCTAGTTTTTATACCTATCTATTTTCTATCGACCATATCCTCCTTTTTCTTTGGAACGTATTTAATATATATACCGTTTTCAATGGATACCTCATATCATAATAACAATAAAAAAAAAACGAATAAACAAATTGCATTTTCAAAACCAACTGTCAACAACAAAAAAAAAAAAAATGAATTGATACAATGTTAAGTCTTTGATTTTTTTTCTTATTTTTTATTATCATCATTCTTGTATTTTTATTTCATAAACAAAAAAAAAAAAGGAAGAAAAACCATGAAGGTACTTTGCAAAGAACCACCATTGTAAATAAAAAAAAAAAAATAACTAAAGGGTGAAGTGGGGGATATCGATGTTGATTGAAACATATGAAGAATAAAATGGGGGGAAACTAATGTATAAAGGCATGAAAACCCAATGGGGAAGAGTTGTTGTGTATAATATGTAAGATAATCCAATTGTTTTATCGTTGTTTGTCCGTATCTTGTTGTCGGTCAGTTTCTTTTTCTTGTTGTGGTTGTTGATTATGGTCAGTATTGTCCTTTTCAATAACATCCATCACACGTTTCGCTAATCCAACAATATCACCTTCCATATCATCCACATTTTCTTCTGTTGAATCATATGCTACTTTTGATTTTGGTAAAGGTGTTGTACTGGCAATACGTCGAATACATGAGACAATGTCAGAAGATTGAGAAAGTTTCGATATCAATTCCTTATCTATAAAAAAAAAAGATATGATGAGCTAGTGTGTAAATAAAAGTTTTAAATCTTTACCTCCACCTTCCAAGAATTGTTCCACTGTCCAAACTCCAATATGTTGAAAAGCAATATCTTGACTTTCACTTAAAAAGTGGATCAAAAAATCATGTAAACCACCTCCAGGTTCGCTCCATACCTTGACAAATGGTGTGTAATCCTTGACTATAATAATAAGTATTAGTAAATAGATTAAATATATATATAAAACACTTACCTTTTGAACTGAGATTACCAATAGCAGCAGCAGAATTTCCTTGTACTTCCATATTCTGACTTGATGTAAGAGGTACCAACACATTCAAAACGTTCATACCAAGTAATCGTTGTTTCAATTCGTCACTGAGAGCAAGTACTGCAATAGCTGCCGTCATTTCCGTTTGAACACTTGTAGGAACTTGATTGATGAGGTTCTTGATCCGTTCTACAGCACCAGCTTCGATGATTGCTCGTTTATTACGTTCCGAACTCGCTGCTAAATTTCGTAATGTAGAGATGGCATGACATTGGATTTCTTCGTTTTCATCGTAAGAGAGAAGTTCGATCAAAGGATTCACAAAACCTTCGTCAATGATGGGTGACTCGTTGGTAGGATGAATAGAAATATTTCGTATGCAAGCAACTGATGATAAAATGAGTGGTAAAAAGGATGATCTGAGTAGACGAAGAAGTGGAGGTAAACCTTTACATCGTACAATTTCCAATTGATATTTTTCTACAAAGATAAAAAAAAAATATTACAATTAATAATCAATGTGGGAAATTGAATTGCTTTTTAATATATTTTTTTTCTTCCTTTTACCATCAGAAGCCAAATTTCGTAATGCCAATGCAGCTTGACATTGTACTTTCAAACTTTTCGTGTCCATTAACGCAATAAGATGTTGAACTAGACGAGAATCGGATTGGGCAAGCTTTTTCCTATTATTTGCTATAATATAAAATAAGTACAAACCCGATATAGATTTCATTCATGCGTATTTTTTTTTTTTACCATCAACTGCTATGTTGCTAAGAGCTGTGGTACAATAGTATTGGACATCAGCATCTTCAGAACTAAGTAGACCAATCAACACCGGGATGGCACCAGCATTCACCAATTGTTGTCGATTTTCCTCTATTTTAATATCCAAAAAAAAAATCAGTTTTCTCGTATATATGATAATAAAATAAAAATGATTTACGTGTATGAGTCATATTCAAGAGAGCCCCTGTTGCATTCCTTTGTACCCGTTGATCCTTGGAGCGCGCCAAATCCACAAGTAAACGTAAAGCATCAGATTTTGCTATTTTCGCTTTGTTGTCATCTAAATAAAATTAAAAAAAAAGATATTAAAATAAAATAAAATAAAATAAAAAATAAAGTAAGATAAAAAAAATTAAAAAAAAAACGTGAATATAAAAAATGAGGAAACATACCATGTGTGGCAAGGTTGGTAATACATCCGACGGCGTTGCACTGAACTTCCACATTTGGACTACCCATTTGACGAATAAGTTGTTCTAATCCACCAAGCTTGACAATAAGCAATTTGTTTTCAGCTATTAAGACATATTAAGAAAAAAAAATCAATAACTGTCTTGTTTTTATTTATTTTAACTTACTATTGACAGCCAAATTGCCTAAAGCTGCACTTGCTGCACGTTGAACCTCTATATCATGAGATTGTAATAAAAACAAAATAGGATCCAGTGTTTCTCGACCAACTTGGCGTACATCTATTGGAAAAAGAAAGTAAACAATAAGAAAAAGTTAAATTACCAATCAGGTTTCATCCTCCAACAAAAAACAACATGTGTCTATAAACAACTACTTTTTTTGGGGTAGTACACTTCCTTTACCCTTTTCGGTGATTTCAGCAAATGCCAAGGCAGCAGACCGTTGTAAATCCACATTATCAGAGTAAGCCAATGTTGATAAAGGTCTTAAAGGTTCACCTTCAAAAAAGTTTGTATGACTACGGTCTAATAATATAAATAAAGTTAGTGATAAATATTATAACGATATATCATATTCTCAATAACGAAGTTACATACTTTCCAAGTATTGAAGTAGTTCGGCAATAGCTTCGCGTTCATTCTCTTGCAATAAAGGCTCATATAATCCAGACTTGTTTTGTTCTAAAAAAGAACAAATAAATGGTTTAGTTCACTCTATACAGATTACTTATTTGACTTACTTCCACAACAATCTTGACATGCACTACAGGTATTTCCCATGATAAATGTGATAGATATAAAGAAAAAGTGTAAAGTGGATGAATCAAATAAGAAGAAACAATGAAGGGAGCTATATATATATTTAAAATAAGAAAAGATAAAAGTATATAGAAAACAAAAGAAGTGTTGATACGATTGAGGGGGATTGCGTTTCAAAGAAGTGTGTGAGTCGGTTATTTGAATGTAAAAAGTGAGTTCAACGAATGGTGGGTACTTTTCTTAAAGGATAATCTAAATAAATCGTATGTGATATAAGGTGTAAAAAAAGAGAGAGAAAAGAGAATGAAAACGGTCAAAAAAAGAATATGAAAACAAATCTGAATATAATAATGAGGCGAAGTGAAAAAAAAAAAAAAGAGGAATTAGGCGAATTTTTTTTTTTTTTAAATCTGCAGTTGACTGAAAAGATATCCGTTTCGAGTGACGTGTTCCGCCAAACCACGTGCATAAGGCATTTTGTACACCACACAACCAGAAATATATATATTTATAAAAGACAAACAATAGAAAATGAATGAATGATCTTTTTTTTATTGAAGATGATAACACTTTTAGTATAAAATAACAACAAAATAAACATCCAGTATTCAATGACATTTCTATAAAGTGAGTCATACAAAGAATGATCAATCGATTTAAGCAACCATGGTGGAGGCAGTGGCGGATTCACTATAAAAGTAAAAATAGAGGTTAAGGAAAGACAGTTACCGAGCAAGTGCAACCCCCATAAAAAAAAAAAAGGAGAATGCAACAAACTACAGGCGTAATGTCAAATATAGTATAAAAAATATGATTTAAAAATTAGTAAATAATAATAATATAAAAAAGGATACTATTTCCAGTTGGGAGGCAATTGACCGGAAGTCTTGTAGTAACGAGCAAGACGGTGAATACGAGATTCAATAAGAATCAAACGGTACTTGGAACCCTTGTCCTTGCGGTTACGTTCCATATGCTTACGGATAGACACAGCCTTCTTGATCAAGTGATACAAATCTTCAGGAATTTCGGGAGCAAGACCGTTGGACTTGAGGATACGAAGAATCTTGTTACCGGTAACACCCTTCACTTGAGGAATACCGTGAGAGTCACGAAGGACAACACCGATTTGAGCGGGGGAGAGACCCTTCTTGGCGTTCTTGCAGATCATGTCAACAACTTCTTCAGGAGTGGTCTTGACCCAAGAAGGAGGAGTACGACGATAAGGAAGGGCACTGCTAGAGATACCTTTACCGGGAGTGTGCTATATATATATTATTAGTATATTGTAGAGATAAATACTATTGATTTTTTTTTTTTTTTTTTTTTTTTTTTACCATGCGACCCATATTGACTAATGATACTAAACAAAAAGTTGGGAAATGAAAAGAGAAGGGAAAAAAAAATGAAAAGAAAAAAGTTTGGAAAAACTTTTATGATAGTATCCAAGATAAGCCACTTTTTCATTGACCGCGTCCAACATCATTTTTGTGATGAAAATGACTTTTCATTGAAATAGCATGAATCATCTAATATAAACTGATCAAAGGTGTTTGTTGAAGAATAAAAAATTGGAAAGTAATTCTTATCATCATGGACTTGTATTAGAAAAAAAAAAAGAAACTTCAGAGCTATAAGAGGAACTACGACCTTTTTCAAAGAAATACCGTTTTGCTAGTCATTGATCTTTGATCATTAGTGAATTTGATTATGTATGTATTCACTTCATTCACAAGAAAGAGAAAATCATGTGAGAAGCTTTACTTTAATTCAAGTCAATATAGTATCAAAAAGAGTCATCTATGCTATTTGAATCAAAAAGAGTCATCCATGCCATTTTGAAGGTTGTGATGCGTTTTAAAGTCCGTTTTTTTTTCCCTTTCTTTTCGAATTCTTTTTTTTTTTTTTTGGAGCTACTTTATGATCATTTCTCTTTCTTCCCTTCATCGTCCATTACTGCTTTCCTCACGATTCTTTCATATACCATCTTATCATTTTATTATCCTGCCGACCATTAAACGATCTTACGCCATGATAAATACATCCTCTACAGTGGGTTTAGACTCACCGTCAAAACGACAGCAACAGCAAAAAATATATGGCATAGCAAAAAACGGTGTAGAAATGAAAATTGTCTTGACTGAAAATGAAGCTCGTATATGTGATCTTTTACAAAAAGTATCAGACTATATTGCAAGTGAACGATCTGATCTTCCTCGTATTGAATCACGTATTGCTGGTGGTTGGGTTCGCGACAAGGTATTTCAAAAAAAAAAAAAAAAAAAGTGAAACTAACTTGTTTATAATAGCTCTTAGGAAAAGATAGTAATGATTTGGATATCGCCTTGAACAATATGATGGGATTTGAATTTGCCAATTATTGTAATAGTTATCTTCAGAAACACGGTCTTGCCACTCGAACCATCTCCAAAATTGATAGTAATCCAGCCAAGTCTAAACATCTTGAAACTGCGACAACCAAACTCTTTGATCAAGAAATTGACTTTTGTAATTTACGCACTGAAATTTACACAGAAGATAGTAGAATCCCTTCTGAAGTGGTAAAAATATAATTCTATGATTTATTTGAAATAATATATCTTACCTTTTTTTCTCTCTCTCTCTCTCTCTTTCTTTCTTTCTCTTTCTCTTTTGTGGTATAGACTTTTGGAACACCATCTGAAGATGCTTATCGACGTGACACAACTATCAACAGTTTATTCTATAATATCAACACTGAAACTGTGGAAGATTTTACCAATCAAGTAAGCATAACAGAGAAACAAAAAAAAAAATGATTAGAATGGATTTTCTTATTATTTTTATTATTATTTTTATTCATGATCATCTTATTTTCTAGGGCCTTTCTGATCTTTCACTTGGACTTATTCGTACACCACTCGCTCCTTATGAAACATTTCGAGATGATCCTTTACGAGTTCTTCGATGTATTCGTTTTGCTAGTCGGTTTGGATTTGACATGGTACCTGAATTATTAGAAGCCGCAAAAGATGAATCTATCAAGGATGCATTGGTGAACAAAATTAGCAAAGAACGTATTGGAACTGAAATCGATAAAATGCTAAGTGGTCCTTCACCATTATTATCTTTACAATTGATTCATCAATGTGGATTATATTCAACTGTGTTTGAGGCACCAACCATTCTATCATCCCCTCCTGATGATGCTTCGCAAGCTGTACGTGCAGCTGGAGTCGTCCAATGGCTATTATTAGATCAGTGCAACTTGTCATCATTATCACCAAACACAATATCAACAACATCATCATCATCATCATCATCAGTACGGAACACAGCTACCAAAGATGAAAAGCGTATACTATACCTTGGTGCCACATTATTACCATACTTATCGGTGATGTCTGAATTCAAGAAACGTCCCATTCCTGCTGTTCAGTTGGTTCTACGTGATTCTCTCAAATCAACAAATCATGATGTCAATACTATCTCTACTTTATATCGCGGCATTCCTTTACTCCAGCAAGCTGTCAAACAATTGGATGAACAACAAACTATTTCAAGGTCGGATCTTGGCATGATGATTCGTGATATTGGATCACTTTGGCAAACCTGTTTGAAATTATCTCTAGTACATGATTTGTTATCCACTCTTACTAACGTAACATGGGATCGTTCTGAAACTTTAGATGCAAATTTGAATGCTTCTGCTACAGTGATTGTGGATCGATATCAGAGATTATTAACGTTGGCTTATCAATATAATATTCAAGATGCTCATAGTTGGAAACCTATGATGGATGTAAGTCCAAAAAAAAAAAGCCTAGTTTTTTTTTTTTTTTCTAATATGTATATATATATATATATTGTCTTTTACATATCTAGGGGAAGAAAACAACACAACTTTTGGGTTTGAAGCCTGGACCAGTCGTACAACAACTTTTGAAAGTAATGATGATATGGCAACTGGAGCATCCTGAAGGTACACTGGACGAATGTGCAACTATGATGAAATCTTATTGGGATGAAAAGAAACAACAACAATCTTGAAATGGCCGTTTAGTATAACTCATTTTTTTTTATATCTAGTTACATATACACATGATGATTTCTCTATAATAAATAAATAAAAAAAGGACTTCTATCGTATTTTTCTTATCGTGGCCTTTTGTTGCCAATGTTGATCTTGTGATTACCATATGAGGAACCAAGTGCATCCACATTTGATAGATTATAGTTTGACATATCAAATTTCCCTCCAGACACGATCCCAGCTTAGTCATCCATTATAACAAAACCATAATAAAAAAAAAAAACTTCACGATTTATTTCAAATAAACATTTCTAATGGTAATAATAATAATAATACATATATGATAAAAAACAAAACAAAAATAAAAAATAAAAAAAATAAAAAATAAAAAATAAAACTACACTATACTAATACTAATCAAGCGGCAACAAAACTGAAATATTGACGGAGAGCATCAGATAAAGCTTCGGGTAAACTGTTGATATCACGTAACACCATAAAGTATTGGAAAGGGAAAGTTTCAAGGTAAGGAGTCATTTGTAAAGATAATTTGCCATTGACAGTTGCATATTTCACATTGGTCATATTCAAGATAGAATCACTTTCAGGTTTGTTGTCCACCACGATAAAGATGATCATCACATGTTCGTCCATTGCACGTCGTACTAGAGCCTTCAATGCTTCATGATCTTCACATATACCATCCGAAATAATCAATTGAAGTTGCCATAATTCAGCATTGTGAGAAGCACCACCTTGAGCATTTTCAAAGAGAGACAATGAGCTTTCCACCAGGTTCTTGACATAGGTCTTTTGTTGAGCAAATGTGAATTGTTGTAATACAGAAGCACCAGATTCGGCAGTGAATGGTTGATCAAATGGATGTAAGAGTCGAATACGTTCACCAAAAGATGTAATGCAGAGATCACCTACTTCCAGTTGAGACATTGCCTTGGAGATCAATGAAAGAGTTTCATAAGCAAGTTGTACAGAGTGAGATTCAGACATCGATTTAGAATCATCCACAGAAATCATCACTTGATATTGACGTTTGCTTGGTTTGGTACGTCGAAGCCAGATCTTGTCCTTCTTGAATTGACTTGCAATATAGGGAATAATTTTCTTCATATTGAGTCGTTTGCCAGTACGGTAATCACCTTTCAATTTCGTGGCTAAAGTAGGTTCCAAAATCAATCGAAGTTGTTCACAAAGTCCCATTGCCAAATCATGTGTCAAATTTTCGTATCCTTGCCAAAGATCACGGGCTTGTTGAATATCGCGACCTTCTTCACGCCATTCAGATACCTTGTTTTCCAATTCTTCACGCATTCGTTCAATATCTTGTTGATCCAATGGGTCACGAGCAATCACAGATTCATCGACTGTCAATCCATGTATTTGTTCTTCATCACCATCAATAGATGATCCATTGTTTGGTAATTGCTTGCTGAGAATGACACCATCATGTTGATCTGAACTGTCTTGATTTTGATGATCCAAACTTTCCTTCGGTAAAGGCATGGTATTGATGTCAGAGTTCATAGGTTCATCTTGATCCATTTCTTCACCAGCCTGTTGACCTTCATCCGCTTCTTCCATTTCTTCATCCATAGCACCGAGTTTCAAGTCTTGCATTTGATCAGCAGAAGCATTACCCATAGTTTGCATATCGTGAGCATCTTCATCGTTTCGAACATATTCAAATGCATTGTCTTCTTTCACTTGGGCATCGGTTTCTTGAGTTTCATCCTTCTTGACTTCTTCTTCTTCTTCTTCCTCGTCATTGCCATCTGTCAAATCACCTAATCGTCGACGCCAGCTTTCCAGAGCATCACCTAAACTTCGTTGAGGATTTGTCTTGGTGCTGTCCTTTTTGTCATCCTTTTCATCCGCATGTTGTTCATCGTCCTTGGCTTGATTGGATCCACGTTCGGCTACACCAGACTTTTGCTGCTCCATATCGGCTTGAGTATCATCTTCATTGTTGTCACCATCATTTTCATCTTCACCTTCTTTTTGACCATGAGAACTTGCACTAGTTTTTCCAGCTTCACCTTGGACACCAAATTGATTGTCAGCAATAGCTTCACTATTGGGTTGTTCACGATTTTGACCCTTGGTTTCAGTATCATCCTCTTCTTCAATGGTGGCACCTTGTTGTTGTTGATCTTGTTGTTCCATGTCGCCATTGTTGTCTGCATCCTGTCCTTGTTCATCTTTTATTTCTTCTTCTTCTTCTTCTGGTTCTTCACCTTCTTCATCCTTCACTTGGGCAGTAGCGTCATCCATATTTTGGTCATCATCGTTCTCAGGGTTCATTGCGTCCTCTTCAACGGCTTCTTGAGGTTGATTGTCCAAAGCGTCTTCGAATGCATCACCTTCATCTTGTTCTGTTTCAGCATTGGTAGCAGATTCATCGATATCCATGCTATCTTCAAAACCTTCATCTTGACCTTCTTCCATGGTTTCATCTTCATTGTTATCATCACCGCCATCCATGTCCAAGTCATCAGGGAGATCCAAGGTCTCTGCTTCAGGTACATCGGCATTCATTTTTTCACCAGCTTGATTTTCAGTTGCTTCATCTTCGTCTTCACCAGTACCTTCGTTGTCCTCTACATCATCACCTTCCTCGTGCTGATCATCATTGTCTTCAGGTTGGTCAATTGATTCATCCTTTTGGTCAGATTTATCATCCGCCTTGTCACCTTGGTTCTGCTGTTTAGGTTGGTTGTCATCTTCCTCTTGAGCAACAATATCAGATTCCTTTTGATCTTGTTGATTTTGTCCTTGATCCACCGTCTTGTCACTTTCTTTGAGACTTTCTTCAGGTTCTTCGCCCCACATCTTGTCATCCACGGCATCAGGATCCATATCATCAACGTCACCAATCTGTTCATCAGGATCTTCCTTGTCAGAATCAGAGTCAGAATCAGAACTATCTTGATCTTCATCAGGTTCCATGTCTTCCAGTTGTCCTTCAAAGTCATTTTCCATTTCCAGACCGTTCTTTTCTTCCTTGGTTTCAGGCTTGTTGTCATCCTTGGATTGTTCTTCATTCTGAGTTCCCAACACCTGTTCTTCGTCTTCGATTTCTTCACTGACATCCTTGTTGCCTTCACCTTCGCCCATACCAGTACCAGTAGCAGTACCATCAGCTTCACCTTCTTCATCCGATGCACCTTCAGGCATACAAAAACCTTTACTGAGAATGATTGTAAACGAGTTGATGAGACAATAAGTCATTTTCGCCAAAGATTTGTGATGTGCCAGAATTTCACCAAGAGTATGTTGAGTCAATAACATGTATTGCTGTAAGAATGGATAAACCTGTTGTAAACGATCCTTGATTTCTAATAAGCCAACCGAATTGAGTGAGTCACGTTCATGCAAACAGAGTCTTTGGGCAGTCAATAACAAACTGATACAACGCTTTGTCAGAACTTCCAAATGGAGAGCATTGGTAAGTGTGAATTGTTGATTGTGTTTCATTTTGATGTAACCATCTGTCATGTCATCCATATCTTGCATTTCATCATCAACATCGTCGTCGTTCTTTTTGGTTGCATTGTTGTCAGTTGTTGAATCCTTTGCCTTCTTCAAATCCTGAACTGTCACAAGAATAGCATCCACAAGAGCATACGCCTTTTCCCGTAAAGACAACATGGTATTTTCATCATCACTGCCATCCACAAGAGGCTGTCGTAATTGTCGTTGTTCAGGTTGCTCGTCCAAGTATTGCTCGATTTGAGTAATGATAGGATACAATATATGGCAGAATTGATGTTGATCTTGCACAATTTCCAATAATGATGTTGATACGGACGATAATCCAGAGATATCTTCTTCCAATTGAACAGCAATGTCTTCAGAAAGTAATACCACACCAGATAACGCTTGAGGATAAAGATAACGATGACCAAAGATATGATCTGTTCCATGTTGCATCTTGATCATACCATTCCATAATCCATGAACTTGATCGATAGCTGTGCGGTCCTTGACAGATGTGTCTTGAAGTTTCATGGTAGTCATAGCTTGTTGAAGCATAGAAGTGATTTGATCAACATAGAATTTGTGAGTCGTCAAACGTCCACCAAGAGTAGAATCAGTGGATAATAGAGACTTGTCCGCAATCGATGAAGAATGATGTTCGAAAAGAGAAGCCAACTGAACAGAGACACCTTGTAGTACTTGTAACTTGCTTTCAAATCGAGACATGATGGATCGTTCCTTGGTCACTAGAGAGAACATATGTTCGGTAGCTGCCATGCTTCTTTCAACTTCCAACATGGATAAATCTTTACTAACTTGAGTAGTACCAATAGATCGAAGATGAGTCAAACGAGCAATGGATCGGAAATAGTAATCATTTGCCTTTGACCAGAGTCCAATCATATCTGGAGATAATCCATAAAAGTTTGTCGATTGTCGAGTCAGTTTCAAATCAGTACCATCCATAATCATATCATCCAGAGCAGCCACAGCTTCAATGAACAAGATAGAAGTGTCAGCATTTTGTTGTATCAATGTTCCCGATGTACGCCATTTGAGACCTAATCGCTTGAGTTCCTTCAAAAAGTCGACCATAGCTTTCTTCTTGAGAAGTTTTTGATGCTTCACCATAGACTTGTTTTCATCTGTCATCACAGAAGGTGTTTCTTTTTGGAAATTCTTGATTTGTCCAATGATTTCAGTCATGAATGATTCCAAAGGTAAAATAGCACCATCTTTAGGTTTCAAAATAGATTCACGACAAATATCTTGCATTCTTGATAAAGTATTGTTGAGATTCATCAAATGTCGCTTGACCTGAGGAGCATCATTTTCATATTCAAAATTGCTGGTGATATCGCGTACCGTTGTCGAAACAATCCAAAGTCGAGGTTGAGCCAATTGATCCATAAATCCTTGATTGATGTCATTATAACGCTTTTCATCACCGTATTGGAACATAGCACGCTCTTCATTGTAGTTGGCAATAACCGTCAGCATCGAATTGTTGAGAATGTCGCGATACTTTCGGATGCACTTGTGAAGTTGTCGATGGGTCTTGTAGGCACTTTGTTTCAAAGCATAGATGTTCACATCCTTCCATGTGGCAATCTTGACATAATCCTTGAGATCTTTTTCAATAGGTTTTCGCAGTTGTTTCAACATCACTTGAGCATGATCTTGGAATTGAGTGTAGTACAAATACGAGTTTCGAAGAATAGTCGAAATTTTGACATAGTTTTTGCGTTCATCATCTGTCGAGGCAACACGAGCTTGAAGTAGAGTTTGTCGATAGAAAGAATCCACCATTTTCAGTCGAGGTCCAAATTCAACCAGTGATGAGCTTTGCATAAATTGATCTAATGCTGCTAACAAATCCTTGGTATTTTTCTCAACTTGGGTTTGATCATCACCTGTGAAGTCAGAGTTGTTGACAGCATCGTATAAATGGAACCACCAATCGAAAACGGAATCTTGACAAGTTTGTTCTTGAACAGCAAGGAGTTTGGGCCAACAATTCAATTCCAGTTGTCGCCATCGCACAATCATAGCAATCAGTTCATCACGTTCTGTCTTGATAGATACATGTTTCGCAGCATAGGCTTCCCAATCTTCTGATTTTTGTAATAATAGTTCAACACCAGTCAGAAACTTGGCTACAGGCGAAGTGATTGAAAATCCAAGAATACGATCACAGATGGTTATCAATTGTTGAAGAATAGCATGTTCTGGCCAATCAGATAAGATAGTATTCACCCTAGTCTTGAAACGACGGATAACAGGTTCCACTAATTTTGCTTCTCCAATATTTTCACATGTATAAAAGTCGTAAATATCATCGCTTGATACAGAGAATGAATCATTGGATTCCAATCGTCGAATAGCAATATCAGTAACACGTAAATGACCAGCATGACAAACTCGATCAGTAGTATTTCCAAAAGCAGAAGTGGCGAGATTAGACAATTGTCCAGCAATAGCATATGATTCTAGAGTTTCCCGGTTCCAATTTTGAGTACCATGTCGAGAAATACCATTGTACTTGAAGTCTTCAAATAAGGTTCGATGTAATCGTCCAATTTTTTGAATATCTTTGGCATCAAGTACTGATTCTTCTTCTACATCGGCAGGAATAGTGGATTTGGTTTTGTTGACATCATCGTCGATAGTAAGGTCAGCAAAGTCGTCGTTAAAGTCAGCAAATACCTTCTTCATATCCATTTCATCTCTTTCTTCATCCGTTGCTGATTCATATTTCTTGGCACGTGTCTTGTAAAGTTGTTCCTTTTCCGCATCCTTCTGACGTTTATATTCTTGAGCCGCCTTCCAGATAAGTACAATTTCGGAGAACACCACATTTAGAGAATCCAAATCAGTAGCTTGAATATAACCAGCGTTGTAAATACCGATAGTGAGATGTTGAAGAACCACGATCAATAGTCGAAGATAGAAAGCCCATTTTCTACTGATTGGAGCACGTTCAAATATAACAGCCTTCACAGCATCTAATTTTCCTGGAGTTGCTAAAGTATGCCAGTCAAGATCTTGAGGATGGTGTGACACATCAGGTTGTCGAATAAGAAGTTGAATGACTTGAGCCAGGAAAGAATCCATAGGATTGCGGCGTTGAAGAGAGGACATAAGGCGCAAACCATACTTGATGTCATCCACTGCTACAAGAAGAGGTTGTAAAATATCACGGTACAAAGGATATTTCGCTTGAATACGATCAATAAATTGAAGAGCATTGCCTTGAAGTAATTGTTCCCGTTGAATTGTTGTTTCATTATCAGAAGACACATGTCCCAAATCGTGTACAAGAGATTCGACGTTCTTTTCCAACATGCTACTTTGCAAATATCGTAAATCCACGAATATATCATCCAGTTGAGATTGATTAGGTCGTAAAGAAAACGTAGTGATCGATTTTGACAGTTGATCATCGATGATTTGGAGCTTGGATTGTTCAACTTGGATTGTTGAATTGGTATCATTTCCAGTCAAGATAGTTTCGATGTTACGGCGAGTATCAATAACATTTGTATGTTGTTGTTTCTTTCTTGTCAACAAATTCACATGAAGTCGAGGTTCCGAAGTAGGATCAGCAGGATAATCAGGTATATAACAAGCAATAAAGGAAAGGCCAAGAAGAGTACGTGTTTTACCAGCAGAATGGAAGAACATAGCATCTGTATTCATTTGATGGTGTCGAATGGTATCCAAGAGAGATTTGATTCCTGATATATAAATGCTATTGAAGTTGTATTCTTTTAGTTGTTGAATCATATGTTCCAAGGATTTGAACACTAGATCATAATCAGAATTTGAGATGGAAGACTTTGTATAGATATCTCTTTCAGACAGATTGTTGGCATACGATAAAATTGTTTCTAGATAAGTCGACATATCATCTTTCAATTGAGTAGGTACAAGTGCTGAAGATGCTGTGAATAACTAGATCAAAAAAAAAAAAAATAGAAATGTAAGCACACATCAAGTATCATTCTCAAACAAATATAATTTCAACTTACTTGGTATGACATGGTCACCAACATAATGATTTCCAAAGACTTTCGATCCGTCTTGTTCACATGAGAAGACAAAAATGTTTTCAAATCTTTCAACTGGGTCAATGAGCTATCCAACATATCAGTCGCAATTTGATCAATGGAACAACTATTATAAAGGAAGAATCAGAACAATAAAAAAAAAAAAGAATGGTCAGTTGCGACTTTCTTTCCTTTTACATTTTTTTTTCTACTTACAGGATATTGAGACAGGCCAAAGATTCAACACTTTCAAATAAACTAAGAGATCCATCCGAGATTGTCAAGTTCTACATAATAATAAATACAATCAGTTATATTCTCGTTAGTTATGCATATATAACTATTGCGTTAACATACCTTTTCCTTTGTCGAAGAAGTTAATTGATATAATGTTGATTGTCCAATGCTTGATCGCCATAATCGTTGCTGCCATTGATGAATAGCATCTTGAATCAATCCAGGAAGAATAACATGAATTTTTTGAGTGTCTAGAAAGAAAGAAAGAAAAAAAAATTAGAAAATCACATAAATTTTTCAACATTTTTAAAAGGTCTTACAGTCGGAGTCCAATAACCAAAGCAAACGTTGGTAAGGCACCATATCAAGAGGAGGTCGAGAAGTTTTGTTCAAAGTAAATGTTCTGAAATTCTTCAACTGTTCAATAAGACTTGCAGGATTTTCCTATGATATTGATGAAAAATAAACATTGTCATTCTTTTTTGATCATTTTTCTGAGCTTTTTTCTTTCAAATTACCAAATCATCAAGGCTACATAGGGTAAGATATAATTTTGACAAAAGTTCCATTTCTTTCACCAAACTACTGTAATCGTATAAAGGTAGTAAAGCAGTATTCCAACATGTATTACCATCAATCTCTGTAGATTCATCCAATATAAGTTGGGAGCTAATAAACTAATCGCATTTATAATAAAAATAATTACAAAAAAAAAGTATAATCAATATAACATCCATCTTTTTGTCTATTATTTGTTTTACCTCTGGTAATTGTTGTAAGGACTTTGTAAGCTTTCGAGAATCCTTGTCATTTCTCTGGTCAAGAGCATAAAGGGTAGCAATGCCTTCAATGAGTGTTTCTTTGAGTTCAGTCTTCGTTGTCAATATAGGATGTTTTGCTGTCAATCCTCGATCTGTGCAATAGAATAATAAAAAATAAAAATAAAAAAAGAAACTGTATTAGTTTTTCTTTTTCTTTTTTTTTTTTTTTTTTTTTGTTCGGTTCATTCGTATCAATAATTACCATTGTTAGCTTGATAAGGATTCAATTTTGAGTTGATACCAAGTAGTTCCAGTTCCAAAAGATGTAATGTTTCCGATGAAAGGGTAGCAGGTCCAAAGTGTCCCCATAATTCTTTCATTGAGAGAGAGGTTTCGAAATCAAAAGAGGACATAATTCGATCAATACCAGCACAGGAACTAGCAAAGAGAGATTCATCGTGAATATCCACCATCATCAATGCTTTGATAGCACGTAGAATGATCAATAAATTATCCAAAGGCAAATTGTTCGATTGTGTCAATTCCCAAGCATAATCATAAAGATCCAGAATGTTGTTGATCGAATCATATTGCTATATCAGTCATACGTCAAGAGAAAAAAAAAAAAAAAGAAAGATCAATTAAAATTCCATCACAAATACATTCACTAAGCATACACTATACCTCAATTGAAATGATTGAATTGATTCCTTGATCAATCCATTGTAATAAGGTATTGTTCACATGGGCAAAGAAAGGATACAATTCTGCTACGACAGGATGTAGTAGTTGTGATTCACTGAGTCGACCTTCTTGAAGAGAGTATGATTGTTGAATTACTGTCAAGCTTGCCACCTTAAGTTTATGAGAGGTATTCTGGATTATCATCATGGCATATTTTTGTTTGCAGAGTCGAATAAATAATTTGATGGCATTCTATAGAAATAGAAGAAGAATAAATAACCTTTTTGGTTTGGTTTTTTTTTTTTTTTTTTTTTTTTTACTAAATATGTACAACATACCTTGTCTGATACGGTAGCTTGTTTAGTGAAAAGAGGATGATTTCGAAGATTCTTCATAAGATAACCAAGTCGTTCTAAAACATGAGGAGTGCTGATCGAATATTGCTGAGACACAAATGCCAACCATCCGAGTCGAAGGCCATAATCATCCAAAGACATAGATTCCAAGTAAAAGTCGGAAGCCACATCAATACGTTGCAGTTGTTGTTCTTTCATTACTTCGGCATCTATTATTTCTGATGTTGATTGTCCATATCCTTGTAGGAGAGCTAACAAGTACGCACCTTGTAGAGCTACCATCGCCAATCTAGAATCCTGACGACACAAGTTACCACCAATCAATAGAGGACAGTTTGCAGGAGAAAGCATCATCTGAAGAATATCAGAGTCATCATCCATAGTCATAAAAGTGGATAATGCTTCAGGTACATCCTTGATATCGACGAACACTTGAGAAAATGATTCCTTGACAGCGTTCTTCAAATTTTGACCACGTTGAAGACGTTCATTGATATAAGTTGCCAATAGGATATAATCACGCACATTCTTGTTCTTGCCAAAATGTTTTCGTTTGATAGCAGCTTCCTCTTGCAAATCGTTGAGAATGAGTGGGAGTTGAGGACCACGTAAACCGATACTATTAGTAAGTTTGATAACATCTTGTTTATTATTGTTCCAATGAGAATCCACCAGTGAGATTTCAATACCTCGATTTCGCATAGCACGTGAGAGTTCACCATTTTGAGGATCCACTGTCATAAACATTCTAAAGTTGGGATGTGGAGTGATCACCTTGACTGTACCATCGACTAAACCACGTTCATTGACCATCAAAACACCATTGTTTTCAAATAGAGGATTCAAACGATCAAGCACCGAAGGATTACATAGATTGGCATTATCGATCAATAACCAATGTCCATGTTCTAAAGCATCGATGAGAAGACCATCAATCCATTCAAACTTGCCAGCTACAGAATTCTTTTCCAATTCTTGTAATCGTTTCACTGAATCTACTACTGATGCGATGGATGATGATGCTTCACTATCAATATGGGCTGTAGAGTTGATACAATTCAAAACTGCTGATACCAGGCTATAATCTAAATGGTCCTTTGTATGATTGTCGGAGACAAGTCGTAATTGTTGTTGTTTTTCCAAAGCAAACCAAGCGTCACTTAATTGTCGTATTTGTTGTAATATCAAAAGTCGTTGTTGTTCTTGATCACTTGATACTTCCTTGGATACCGTTGCTAAATGATCCAAAAGGTATTTTGTTCCACGATTTGTAAGGCAACGTAAAGTATCGATGATGACTTGACGATGACGATTAAGATCCACTTGTTCGAAACCTCCAAGTAATTCCATTGTATCCACACTGTTATTCATTGCAAATTCTTGTAGTCGATTTCCCGTCATTTTGCTGAGGAGTCGGACTAAAGATGTTTTGCCAGATGCTGAAGGACCAGTAACGATAGCCATCCAACTTGATTCCACACATTTAATCAATGCTTCCAAAGGAGATAAAAATGATTGTAATATATGATCTTGATGTTCAAAGGTATCCAGAGTATCATCGTTTCCTTGAGTTCTCGATAATGAAGAATGGCCAACCACAAAATGTTCTGGAGAAATACTGTAATGAGGATGTGGAGGACGAAGATACTTGCATTCAAAAACAGATTCATACAGTTCCACTACCTTGAGCCGATCTTCATGAGTCCGCATACGTTGCATATAAATTGTATTCAAGAATTCCATAGGATCCTTCACATTGTTCGCTTGCATCAGTTCCAACCATCGAAATACATCGCGAAGATTGAATTCCCAAGGACTACCTTTTCTTCCAAAACTACATTTGACCATTGTTTCGTGATACATTGCTGAGTTGAAAGTAATCATGCGTTGTAAAATATCTTGTTCAAATTCTGGGAAAAGATGAATACAAATAAACAACAAATCATCAGCAGTAAGTTGTTCTACATAAACTTGTGTAAATCGATTCACAAATGACTTGGGTAAACCTTTTCGACCACCACCTTGTTGTAATGGATTTTGAGCACCAAATACACGGAATCCATGAGCACAAAAGAATTCACGATCAAGTTCAGGAATATATACCGCACCACGATGATCCAAACAAGAATTGAGACCTTCTAAAACAGATTGAGAAGCCAGATTGAGTTCATCTAAAAGTACCCAATCACCAGCCTTCATTGCTTGTAAAAATGGAGCATCACGCCAAGCAAATTCACCACTATTGCCTCCTTCCACAGGTAGATCAGAACCAAACAAGTCCATCAGATCAGTTTGTTCAGATAAATTGATACGTACAAGGTGATGTCCAGATGCTGCTGCTAAAGCTGATATCAAACTAGTTTTACCCACACCAGGACTTCCTTCCAAAAGAATTGGTTTCTTCAATTGCATTGATCGAATCACTCGCATTGCATTATCACCGGTTGTTGGTGCCAATAATGTAAACTTGATATCAGTCTTGTCTAACTTGCCACGAGGAATATGGAAAGGTCCAATAGCGAACTGATCTTGGGTAACACACACTTTGGTATCATCTGATGTATGTAAACCTAAAACATCTTGTTCAGAAGCATGATGATCACCTACCAATTGACGAAGACATTTCAATCGGAATTCCTTCAGTGCATTGCCAGCTAAAAATGAACCTGATGAACCGTGAGAACCGAGACCATCCAATAACACAATACAAGCACCATGAGCATAACATAATTGAGGATCCAAACCATTTTCCACACCAGTATTCATGAATTTCACCCAGGCTAAAATATCTCGAAGGGACACTACAGTACGTGATTGACCAAGAGCTGCCATATACCAAACAACAAAATCGAGCATCTTTGGAGCGTAGTCTTTCAAACTTTCATGACCGATTTGCTGACCTATGATATTCAATAAATCTTCACGATCTGTCACAGAAGGTACCCAAATTTCAGTAAATCGATTACGAAGTGCAGGAGAAAGTTCTTTCTTGCCATAGTCACCACCAGGATTCATAGTAGCAAGGAATTTGAAATCTTTGGCACCAATGATTTCTTCTACATGTTTCCCACCTTTTTCAGCAAGTACCAATAGACGACTAGGTTCCAATACAGAATTTAAACGTTCCAATACAGAATCATCAGCCAATGAGATTTCGTCTAGTAAAAATAGATGACCATCACGCATCGATTGTACTAATGGACCATCATGCCATTCAAAAAGTGGTTTCGGTTGTTGATCATCTTTTCCAGTTGATTCATCCATGTTGTTGTCGGATTCCTTTTGTCGAACAGGCCGTTGTCCACCAAGTAAATCTCCAGTTTCCGTATTTTGATGACAATTGACAATCTGTAATTCCCGTCCATACGTTTCCGCGAGCATTTGACATACTGTTGTTTTTCCACAGCCGGTATCACCCACCAATAACACAGGTTCATTGTATTTCAAACAGCGTGCCACCAAAGTAAAGAGTCGTTTCATTGCTTTGGTCCATACTAATTTTGTATCTTGTCCAGCTTCAGTGGCTTGATGTTGAAGCATTTTATCATAGATAGCGAATTCTTCCAATCGTGATGTATCGTAAATATCGTTTTCATTCAGAGTCACTTTCATCACGTTTTCCAGCACTTCCTTGACAACTGCTTTTTCTTCATCCCGACGACATCGTTCAGCAAGTAGCATGTAGCCATGTTCAGCCAATTCTTGATAACCTTCAGGATCTCGACCAGCCCAACGGAAAAGGTCACGTAAAGTAATGAATCCATGTCGTTGTTCAAAGATACGAGTACTTTGTCGACGTTCCATCAATGAACGATACACTTGAACTAATCGCTTGCAATAACTAGGAGCAATTTGACACCTTTGGGAGAGAATGGTTTCTAGTTCTTCTTCAGGAATATCATCAAAGTGGAGTTCCAAGAATCGATTTCTAAAAGCACGAGATAACGCCTTACGACCACCATAAAGACCAGCAGGATTTTGAGTTGCGAAAAGCATAAAATGAGGATGAGGCTTGACAATTTCTTGCGTTTCTGGAATGAGTAATTCACGATTATCATCTAATAATCGATTCAGAGCTTCTAATACATCGGATGGGGCCAAATTCAATTCATCCAAAACAATCCAATAACCATTACGTAAAGCTTCTACAAGTACACCTTCTTGGAAGACTAATTTTCCTTCGGTATTTGAGACATAGGTACCCAGATATTCTTGTAAATCAGTATGTTCATGATTGTTGATACGTACAAAGCGATGACCCGTCTTCTTTGCCAAATATTCAATCATACTTGTTTTACCAGCAGAGGTAGGACCTTGGATCAACACAGGGAATTTGCGAGACATGATAACACGAGCTAGATTATACAGTTTGGTTTCAACAGATGGTGTCATGATATAATGAGGATCATCGATAGGATCATATTGGCCTTTTTCCAACCAAAAGTAACCGAATTGAATAAAATTGGGTGAAGGTTGTCGAGGAATCTGAGTGATCAAATGAGTTGTATTGGGAATGTTGCCGAGTATAGTACTAAAGATCAATTTCTGCATCAAAGATTCACTTTCTTTATTGAGTTGTGTCAAAAATGTCATGGAAAAACCTTCGTACAGAGATCGACGTAAACCATAAGTTGGAAAGATTTGAACCACATAAGTCAAAGCACGAGCCAGAGTACGGATACTAAAGTGAGGACGTTGATTAGCACCATCAACAAGTTTATGTTGTTGAGAAAGTTTTTTAGCTTCCATATAGAATTGAGCCACATCTTCACAAGCACGTTCATCACCAGTAGCCACAGGTAAGATATATTGGCGAACAATTTGAAGCAAATCTTCATATCGAGAATCAGGAGAATGGACGTAGAACTCTGTAAAGCGATTGCGCAAGCCAGGAGGAAGATCACGTTTACCAACATCAGTAGCAGGATTCATACAAGCGAATAAACGGAAATTTGGATGACGTTTGATTGGTTCCACATCACCTTTTTCAGTCAATAACAGCGATCCTTCAGCATCTTCCAAAAGACCAGATAAACATTCCAAAGTTTCTGTTGTAGCCAAATTGATTTCATCCATAAGAATCCAATCCCCTTGTCGTACAGCTTTAACCAAAGAACCTTCCATAAAATTGAATACAAACTTGTTCTGTGATTGAACTTGTTGTACTTCAAATGCTTCCACTTGTCTTCCAAATGCTTTCCATAAGCTTCGTAGTTGAGGAGAAGAGACACGTTTACTAACATTGCCATCTGTAGAATTTGTTTTTTGTTCATCTTCAGCTTGGAATTTTTGTTCAGACATCTTGATTGCTTGTTTCAATAAAGCGACAAAGTTGTTCCATTTTTGATGTACAAAGGACTTGCGAGCAACTTCCAAAAACTTTGCGTTCTTCTTGACTGAAAATGTCTTTTCAAATAATTTTTCGAATTCTTCACGTAGAGGGATGGCCAAGACTTTTCCATCAACAGGTTTGAATCCACCCAATAAATCCGAACTATCCGATTGTTGAGATAAATTGACCACAATCAAGTTTTGATTCATCATATCTGCCAAATGTTGCACCACAGTCGTTTTCCCTGTACCAGTTTCACCCACCAAAAGAACAGGTTCAGTCAAATGAACAGAAACGGCAATCTTTTCCAATAAACGTAAGGCATGACCAGTAGTAGCAAAAGGACGTTTCTTTTCACGTTTAACCATAGATTGCTTTTGTTTCTGACGACCAGTAGCTGCGATAGAGGACAAGTTGACACGACCCACTCGTACATTGGAGCCAGAGATATCAAAGGCAGGTTTGTATTGATCCACATAATGGCGTACCATTGCTTGTGAGATTTGAAGAGGTTGACCCATCCTTTCAAGAACAACCACCCATGTAGCATAATCAGAGATCATACCGCAGAAACAATCAATAGCTTCACTAAATAAATCTTGTCGGATTGATTCATCCATTCCAATATCACGATCCGCTTGTTCACTATGTCCAAGTCGAGAGCCAAGTAGAGTGTCGATACGGTAGCACCATTTCATTAGATCCCGTGTTGAAATAAACCGACCAGCAGATGATGATGATAGAGAAGTAAAATTGGGATCTTGATAAAGATTTACCACAGTTTCAAAAAGTTCCATGACATGACGAGAGAAGTCCCCAATATTATTGAATTTTTGTTGTACGACTAGTTCCAGTTCCTTATGAGATAAAGCATCTACATGTACACGAGTCCAAAGGTTTGCACCGGTCACTAAATCACCACCACGAGAGCTGAAACTTTTACCAGATCGCGAAGGAATCAAAGATCGAGTACCAAACAAATGAAAACCTTCTTTTGCCTTGATTTCTTCACCACGAGAAGGAATGAACAAATGACGAGTTTCCAACAATGGTAGTAGAACAGAAATAACTTCAGCAGGAGCGAGATCAATATCTTCAATCAGTACCCATCGACCTTCTTGTACAGCAGTAGTAAGAACACCAGCTTGCCATCGAAATGAACCAGGAGTAGATGTTGATACATATGTTCCAAGAAGCACTTTGGGATCAGTTTGATCACCTAAATGAATTTTGACAAGTTCTACATAGATATAAAATTTTGGTTAGACAAATATATATGATTAATAATTTACAGTAATCATAATAATAAAAGTGAGACTTACGATCACCACGACCAGTTCTGATTGCAAGTTCTTCCACAAGGGTTGTTTTTCCAGCACCAGTAACACCTTCTAATAAAGTAGGAGCACCCACGGAAAGAGCTAATCCAATCGCATGAAGATTTCGAGCAGTTGTGTCGGTAAGAATCAATTGAGGTTGTTTGTTAGAGGAAACTGTATTATGTTGATTATGATTGACCATAAGGACACCACAAAGATTAGTAGTAAAAGAACATAGATCATTCGACGTCAATTTAGATGATGTTGATGTTGTTGTAGATTGGAAATGGTTGTTGATAAGTGAGATTTGAGCATTGGCTTGATTTTGTTCTTCCCAAAGACTGTTAGTATTAAAAAAAAAAAAAAAAAAAAAAAAAAAAAAAAAAAAAACCGAAATCAGATTATCATTCATGCTTCATACTATTGATTTCTATGTATTTACCTAAGCATGCGTAAATCTATCCGAGTATCATCCAATATAGCCATAATAGGTTCTTCTTTTTCATCGATGCAATAACCCACAGCAGCGTCCAATAGACCTTTAGTTTGAATATCACTGAGTCCATATACTTTTGATAAACATAATGAAGCAAGATAACGGATAGTATCATGAGGATAATCCAATAATTGTACAAGGGAACCCCAATTCCAAATGGAAGCAAATGTAGTTGTTGAAAAGTTCAGAAATTTGTATGCAGTAAATAGTAAGTCTTGAAGTTGTGTGACATTGGAGGAAGAAGAGATCTATCATGACAAAGGAATTAGTTTTTTTTTTTTTTTTCTATTTGTATCAACTGTATAAAAAATTAATGGGCCTTACTTGAGTTGAGAAGTCTAGTCGTTGTTGATTCAATCGTTCAAATAATGAGGGAGAATGCGAAAAATATGATACAACCAAGCTATATATAATATTTAAATATATATTAAAAAAAAAAAAAAAAGGATAAGTCAATGGTTAAATATATATATATATATAATATAAGAGTATGTTTACCTTTTGACTTGAGGTACGATTGAAAGTACTGAAGCAAAGGTTTTGGCCACCAATTCTAATTTATATACAGTAATGCTTGAGTTTGATGTAGAAACATGATCCATTTTGATAAAGTCCAAGAATCCAGGAGTCACCAGTCTTGCTATCAGATCAATAGCAATAGGTCGAAACCATTGAATAACCAAGGAAGTCCAGGGACGATAAAGCATACATTGTGAAACAGTATCTAATACTTGACTTTTAGATACAGTTTGAGGATCATTAAGGAATGTTTGGAATATGGTAAAGTCTATAGAGGTAACAAGTGCCGAATGGATTTTGTGATCGTGTTGATCTTTTGACAGGCAAGTAGAATAAAGTTGTTGTATGGCATGGTGAAGATCAAAGTCGAGAGGATCATATATATTTGTTTCACTGATCAAAGTACTGGACTCCTTCATAACAACATCTTGATCCTCCATGATCGAGATGTCAAAACAAGATCTTTGGTGCAAAAGGAAAAAGAATTTAAAAAAGAAAAGAAAAGAAAAGAAAAAAAAAAAAAAAAAAAAAAAAAAAAAAAAAAAAAAGGGAAAAGTTTTTGACTGTGACAACTCTCTCTGACTTTTAAAAAAAACAACAAAGCATAGGCGGTAGGACAGATCGAGAATCGATCTTCCAGTATGTAAAATGCACACAGTAAAAATAATAAATACAATAGTTTTTTTATTCTTCATATACTATAACTAATAACAAATACATATATATATATATATAAACTATCATTTTTCTACAAAGACTTCTAGGACATGACGAAGATTGGTTACAAAACCAGTATCTTGATCCACCAATTGTACAAGGTCAATAGTATGAAGTTTTTCCTTGACCGCAATAAATCGAATATCCACCGTTTGTGATGTTGAAGGTCCCAATGGGCAGAGTCGTACATTATTTTCCAAACTAATCATATCAGCTTCGTGAGTTTCGTTTTCAAAATACTGTCTAAGGAATTCTATTAAAAAGAAAGAAAGGAGATCCAACGTTCAGAAAAGGAAAAAGTTGGTATTTTTTTTTCTTTTTTTATCTTACCATTTTCATCTATAAAAGGATCGATAGGCGTTTGTTCCATTGGTAAAAGAGGTAAAGCTGTTTTTGTTCCCATCAATACATCAGGTGCTACTTGTCGCTTGCGATTTGGTATCATCACTTGGAATCGTCTTGTGTGTTTAGATCTATTGACAATAAAGATATGTAAAGAGAATACTTTGCCAACATGTACCACTTCAGGAGCAGTAAAGCTGATCACAATCCCATCCGCCACTTCCAGTTCAGGAGCACGTCGAGCACTAGCTCCATTGTTGGTAGTATCACGTTGTTGATATGGTGTTGAAATAGGACTATGATAACCTTTTTGTTGTTGAAGTGGATAATTCACCACAGGACGTGACATATTTCCAAATACACCTTCCAAACTTGAATGGGGTTGACTAGATAGACTTCCAACTGATCGTGCTCCAGGAGATACTGATAAACTTGTTGCAACCGATGTCTGTGATCGAGTGAGATAAGAGGGAGATGATGAGAGAAGTGAATTGAATCGAGGATCAGGCAAGTCTTGCTTTTGTCGGGTATTGCTGACATCCAGTATTGTATTCCATTTAGATCGTAAGATTTGAGCAGGAATACCATCTACAATAGGAGTGCCGTAGACATGAATCGTAACACGTTGGGGTTGAATTCGTTCATCATGCAATGCAGGTGAATTGGGTGTAGATGATGGAGGAGGTAATGGACGACGACTTGAAAATATTCGCTGTGATGGCGCTGGTGCTTTGGTTGATCCATCTTCCAATAATGTCACATTATATAAAAGTACCATTTGATCCGATGTATTCAAATGGAAGGGTACTTGAACCTATATCAAACGATTATAGGTGTCCAAATTTAGTAAAAAATTTACTGCTTTCTTTTTTCCTTTGTTTTTCCTTTGTTTTCTATCCTTACCTCTTTTGTAAAAGCTTGAGCCACCACAGCATTGGATACTTGAACTTCAACTTTGGACACAGTAAATTGACAACCAGTATCTACAGGATTCTCTAATTCTACAGACATCATCACCGTTTTATCCATCACAGAGACATTTGTTGTTCGCATCTTCACCATAAGACCAGGCCGTAACGGGATAGTTTCTTTTATTTGAGATCGTAAAGTTAAAAGATGTGATGCTGCTTGTTGAGGTTGTATCATTCCATCAGGTCCATTCGGTTGTCTTAATCTATTCTCCATGATAAAATGTTGTGAAGGTCGTCCATTAGGAGTAACAAAGGTAGGATCTAAAAAAAAATAAAAAAAAATATATAAAAATGGAGTTAGCCTTTTTAATGAATCATTCCATTCTTTTCCATATTTACCTTCACCAAGTCCACTCAAAAGATCCACGGTATCAAACAAATCAACATCATATTCAGCATCATCCGATTGCTCTTCATTAGCAGATAATTTAGTTGGTAGAGATCTATAGGCAATATTAATGGTGGTAGATAAGATAGGATGACCTCCTCTAGTCTTGATATAAGCTATATGGATAAAAAAAAAAAAAAAAGAAAAAAAAAAAAAAAGAAAGAAAAAGAAAATCATATTTATAAGTATATAAAGAATCTTGTTTTCTTTTTTCTATCCTTACCAATTGGAATATCCACTGGGAAAAGACAACAATGAGCTTGATTATGTTGAAATATCATTGGTTCTGGATCTTTGCTGTTGTATGTATGAGAGAAGAATGGAAGAGATTCTGAACCGCCTCGTACAGGATCGCGTTTGTTTAGTTGAGGAGAAGATGGAGCACTAGATTGAGTAGATGTCTGTTTGGATATAGTACGTTGATGTTTTGTTGGTTGTGTTGTTGGTATTGTAGTGGTGCTGTCAATAACAGAAGCTTCAATATGAATGTCCAATTGGTTATAAAAAAGTCGTACAGCTTCCATGATTTCTTCCCCAGTTCCTGTCACTTGCTGAGGAATAGATGCATACAAGTATATACGAAGCTGTTCATCTGTCAATAACATCATCAAATAAACCAAAATAAGTACTCCTTTTGTTTTTTGTTTTATTTTTGTTTGTCTGTTACCATAAAATGCAAACGTTCGTTGATCAGCTGCCGAAAGAATATCGTTGAAAGTGGGTGATTCTGATTGAGAATATTGGATATTGGGAGTAAGTATCTGGTACTTTGTCTCGTTGAAAAACAATTCAGACGATACTGTAGATAGAGAAGTCATCAACAATATATAGTGTTCAACAAATGGAGGAAGAAAAGCAAAGAAGGAACAAAATTATTTTAAAAATCTTATATTGGCATCTGTGTATTTTTGCCCTCCATTTCGGTATTTGAAAAGAAGAAATGGAGAAATGATTAGTGTTTGTGGTCAACTAAATATTATTTGTATATGTGCACTTACCAAAAAGAAAAAAAAAAAAAAAAAAAAAAGAATCCAAGAAGCAAGAAGGACAGAGAGACGCAAGGACTAACAACCAGAGGCACAAGAAGACCAAGAGAGGAAAATACGGAAACAAGAATCAATATTCTATTGCGTGTGACCAGGCGACCGGAAAGAAGAAGATACCAACAAGGAAAAAGTGTCTTTTATATCGTTTTTTTTCCTCCAATCACATTGAATCCATCAAATAATAATGATGATTATTCTATTAAATCAAATCAATCATCCAATCATTATTTCATAAAATAGTATATAGAATTCATATCTCATAAAATAAAATAAAAGGCTACTTGTAAGAGATCATGTATAGTTTTTATTAAGAGCATAATAATATAACCATGATTAAATTATTAAGAAGAGGGCGATTTTCAAGGATGCTTATCTTGTAGATGAACGGTTTCAAAAAGGCGGATGCTGCAGAGGAGACACGATAGCAAACCATCAATCATCATTATAACACTAATTTTATCAATCAACAATAGATGATGATAACAGTAAAACGATTACACAGATAAATCTGAAAAAAAAGATAATCTATCAAAAAAAAATTCTATTAAATCAAATCAAATAAAAAAAAAAATCTAATCTAATACAAAATACTACATATCTAAACTAATGATTCCTTTTTCAAACGAGCATGGAACAATTCAATAAAACGAAGCGCCTTTTCTTCTTGCACAGACCCACGTTGCCAAGTAATAGTTGCATGCATACTTCCATTAACAGTGATAGCATTGACAGCCAAGATGGTTGCATAAAAATGAGCGGATTGTGAGAACCATAGGTGATCTAAAGTCCATGTTGCTTTCGCTCCAGTCGAGTAGTTGAATTTCCCAAGATCAGAAATATTGAGTCCACCTGATCGACCTTTTTCAAACATTTTTCTTGCATTATACCATACGTTACAATAATCCTCGGGATAGTTTGGTAATGAATCACCCATCAATAATGACCTTTGGCATGTCAATAGCTTGTTTTCTTGTACCACATCATGATATATCTTGGCCAATTTCCAAAACGTTGTTGTCGAGAAGATACCGGTATCAATATTATCATTCATAAATAAATGTTTGTTTCCATCCAAAGGAGTTTCATCATCCGTCGTATCTTCAGTAAGAGCATTTAGTTTTTCCAAAGGCCATCCATATTCAAATCGACCAAAAAAGATACCAAGTTCATCATGAGGGATAGGAGGCTGACAATAAGTACGACAATTAATGGCTGTAACAGTTTTGACGGCTTGATCAGGGTATTCCGACATCCAAGATAATAAATAGGCTGAATAGAGAACAGCATGCAAAGACACTTCATACATCTTGGCTTTCTTCAATAAACTAGTCCAGGTTTGAACATCCACTTGCATAAGATGCATCACAGTATCCAGTTTTTCATTGGGAGGAGCAGCATAATCACCTTGCCATCCATCAGTAGGTACTGGATCACTTGGAGACACGTTGATATCCTTGGGTCCATTACGATCTTCAATAGCAAGAGGTACCTGACAAACACTGCTGGTGTCAAAATAGAGAGAATCTACTATATGATTGTGTGAGTTACTATCAATGTTGTTCAAGTTATGTAATAATTCTTGCCAAAGAACAGTTGTACTAAAGAGGAAGAAAAATAAAAAAATAAAAAACAAAAAAATAAAAAAAAAAAATGAATAAAGAATAAAGGATTATTATTATTATTATCTGAATAATGAGGTTACCTAAGACCATCAGCAATAACATGCTGAACAGAAAGTGTAATACTACATTGATCCAACTTATCAGGGTGACATGAGACTCGTAAACGCCAAAGAGGACACAATCCAAATAAGTCAAATTCATGTTGACATTCTTCAGTGATGATAGTTTCTTGAATGTTGGGAATCCAGAATTGATCATGATCAGTTACCAAGACAAGATCATCGTAAGCAAGTTTGAGTAGTTGGACAAAATGAGCTGAAGACTTATCAGTATCATGAACAGTCAGTCGAAGCATAGGATGCTTTTGTATCATAGTTGCCAATGCTGGGTATAGATACTTCTTGTAAAAAACCGTGGGAATGTCGCCATTTGAGCGAGGCGGGTGATGTAAAGAAGCTGTCAAAGTGACTGATGCATATCCTTTTGTAAGCTGTTTAGCAATTTGATTCTTTTCGAACATGCCCAATGGCCTCTGAGTAATATAGTTGGTCATTGGAAATAGAAACAGAACCTAACTAACAAAAGTGAGAGAGAGAAAGAAAAAAAAAAAAAAAAAAAAAAAAAAAAAAAAAAAAAAAAAAGGAGCTGCATTTTTTTTTTTCTTTTATGGTGGATAATATCAAGAAGCTGATGGTGGCACGATGATTCAGGGTCAGTCTGAGCGCAGCAAAATTTCCCATAAAAAGTGAATAATAAAGTACCAATGATATCGTGATAAAACAACAAAGAATAGATGGATACCTTCTCACTTCAATTGCCAAAAGAATATATGTAATGAAATATTTTATTTGAATGCAGATGATTTGACAGAATCATATATCATATATATGATACCTTTTCGTGAACCACAATGAGAATAAAATGGTGGGAATCGGTAGTAACACACATACACGTGATAAGATTCAAAAATTGTATCATAGATCAAATCCATCTCTTTTTCATCAAAATACAAGTACAATAATGTTGTTTATTTGATAAATGAATAAATAAAAGAAATATCAAACTGAATCTAAACATTTCTACTAACAATCTTGGATGCCGCTTGACAGGTAGGGAACACTACAATTAAAAAAAAAAGTCAATCATATATTGTCATCCATTCTGTATTTGCTTACCAAGTAAATCAGCAATATTGACGTGGGATGGACGACCAGCAGTAAAAACGACAATTTCAGCTAATAATATCAAAAGTTTAGAATTAACTACTCGATATTATAATCATAATTGTTATTATTTTTATTCTTACCGATATCTTGAGCAACTAAAGGTTGAAGTCCTTTGTATACTTCATCAGCCTTTGCCTTATCACCACGGAAACGAACAGTGCTGAATTCTGTATTAACAAGACCTGGACAGATTTGGCTAACACGAATAGGGGTATCGACCAATTCAATCATAAGAGCCTTGGTAATAGCATCCACCGCATGTTTAGTTGCTGTATCATAAAAAAAAAAAAAAAAAAGTTTATTAAAAAAAAAAAAACAAAGAGATGTTACTTTTTAACTTACCACAATAAATACTTCCACCAGCATAAGCTTCCTTTCCAGCAACAGATCCCAAATTGATAACGTGACCAGTTTGACGTTCTTTCATACGAGGCACAATAGCTTGAGTTAGGAATACTAAACCCTTGACATTGGTGGCAAACATGATATCAAGATCTTCTTCCTTGACTTCTACTAAAGGATCCACACCATGTACCATACCAGCATTGTTGACAAGTACATCAATATCACGAACACTTTCTGGTAAGTTCTTGACTGCCTCATCAATTTGCTTTTTGTCGCGAACATCCATAGCCACTGTGTGAATATTGATATCTTTGTGTTGTTCTAAAAGTTCTTGTTTCAATTTTTCTAACCGATCAACACGACGTGCTGCTAATACCTACGTTAATATCATTAGTTACATATCCTTCAAAAAAAAAAAAAAGGAAAGGCACGTATTTTGTTATTACTTACAAGATTGGAACCTTCTTTTGCGAATTCTCGAGCACAAGCTTCTCCAATACCTGCAGAGGATCCAGTGCTATCAATAAATAAATAAGTGAGTTATAGTTACATTATTCAAAAATCTTCATTTACATAAAAACAGTTTTTCCTTGAAGTCTACCCATATTAATTTTTATTAAGAAAGGAAGGAGGAAAAAGATGATCAATTGCAATGGGAAATTTATATATGAGTGGATACAGTTTTTGAAATTCCGCATTAGTGTGATTAGTCACTGTAGCCTGATAACGGGTTGGATACTTAGTGTTAACGATAATTAGTGGATGATGATTAGAAAATAGTATCAATGAATAGTATATGAATAAATCATAACTTAATTTTGTAAGATGGATGATTTCCTATATAAAGTTTCAATCATGATTCAATATTACTGGTATTTCAAGGATGATTGAATAGTTAATAAAAATTCGGCAGATGGTAGCAATTCAACAGTATCTGTACCACATCCCTTTTTTCTATCTCAGTCATACTTGACCGATGATATTGCTTCAGGTTCTTCGTATGCATTGTTCTACTGCATAAAACATATGTAAGATTTCCGACATCAGGTACAATCATACTGTATATCACAAAATGATAAAATATATAAAAATAAAATAATGTAGTCAATCAATAGAGTCTATCATGAAACATGGAGTTTCAAAAGCATGAAATGAGTCATGAAAAAAAAAAAAGAAATCCGCTGTCTTTTTTTTTTCGTCTTTCTTTCACTCTCTTTTCTTTATCCCCATTCCTTTACTTTCATTCATTCTCTTATTATATCCTCCATCACCGCTGGTCGTATATCATATGTATCAGAAGAACAAGTCTTCTTACCTTCTTGTTCCTTCCTTCTCGTTTATCTGCTATCCTTTGTGACTCTGTCAACCCTTCTTTGACTTAACCTTTTGACTGGTATGCCCCACTTTCCCTCATCTCTGGACTTTCCTCACGTAATTAACATTATGTCAATAAACAAGATTCATTGCAATAGGTTTATCAGTAAATATGGATAACTCAATTTCTTTCTTTTTTTTTTTTTGTATCTACTAGTGTATACCTTGATATAGATTCGCCTTTAAATCCTTTGGTTTCAACCTGTGGAGTACGATTAGCTCTCTCTCTCTCTCGAGATTCACCTCTGAACAACAAAGAACGCAGTTGCAAAGTCATTACGGAAGAGGATGGAACATACGAAGTTACGTTACCTCCCTCAATACCCAACTGGTACGAGGCTTGCCATTGACTTCAACCAATCCAAATTTTCCAAAGCAGGCTGTTCTTCAACACTGGGAAGCTTTTACAGAAACTACGCCTAACGTGACAACCGCCTGTACAAATCAATACAAATTCTTTCTGGCTATTGCAAGCGACAAGCATCATGCAACTTTCTCCATCTCCCCGGCAATTTCAAGAGAAGAATCATACCACTGTTACGAGTCAGTGATCAAAACTACCGCACCGGATACAGAAAATATTTTATCAACAAAAACAGTATTTTATCAACCATTGTTTGCTTCTCCTGGATCCTCCATTTTTGGCAAAGAAGGAAAACATGTCACCCCATGACTTTACGACATCATTGGTTCGTCCTGTGTGAACAAGATAGATCAGTATATCAGGTTGTGTGATGGGCAATCAGACGTGTTGGTGGCACTACAAATCAACGGTGAAGCGCAGGTTTATCGAACAGCTGACAACTGGATTACGGAACTCAACATTGTCTCAGCGAAGGTCAAGTATTTGGGATTGGTGTTACATTGTTACATGTTCTGGAGCAATATGTCCAAAAGTCGAAATCTTTGGATGAGTCTGATTATGCACCAGTAGCAAAATCTCGATCATCAGCTATACCCCATCAAGAAGCCACTTTTTTTTTATCAAGACCTTTCTTGAAAAACATGTTGTCAAATTGGACTGGGATATCAATTGCGTATAATGGACAGAATGGACTCTAAATACGGATACACGTCATGGAATGTTATTTTCTAGCTGTAGGCGAGCACTGTTGTAAGTTGAAAATACTGACTGGCGGTGTCATTTCTTGTTCTTAAGAGATTGATTGACTTTTTTTTTTTTTGAATAGTTCCATGATGGGTAAAAACAAACAGGTTTTTACAATAACACTCTATCCCAGAAAGCCGCCCTTGAACTTTGGAAATGTCTTCATCGAAAAGCAAGCATTATATCCAAACTGGATATCACAATTCTAGCGCCCGGCTGCTATCCTGGAAAGCCTTCACGTGAAACTTGGAGATGTCTTCATCAAGAAGCAAGTAGAACAGGCAATTGGATCTCTCAGCATGGTCATCCCCCCTTTGCCTATTTGCATGGCTACCCGATGTTACACGACTGACCGAACTGGATCTTTTTTTATATACTGTAGATATTAGAGATGTATCGTTTGGATCTTTTTTTTTTTTAATAAATTGATTTATTCTCAACTTTACAAAATTGGGTTACTTTGGTTGGGCGGGTCAAATGGATCATATCAAGAGAAATGGCGATGGTCTTTGATTGAGGTAAAGAGTCAGGGTGTCAAAACGAAAATATATATTTTAGTAAATCATGATTATTCTGTCATCTGAAATCTGCGTTTGTGAGTTGTGGATCATGGGCTACAAGCTAACCAAAAAAAAAAAAATCTATGCAATGTAGGAAAAGACAAGTTTGTTTATGTTTTCTTACATAGAATGGCTACGTGCATAAGAGATAGATAATTATCATATGACAATATAAAAGGAAAATGGAAATAGAAGCGAAGAATCACCATAATAGGTTAAGTAGAAAGAGTGTCCAATCGAATAATCCAAAAAAAAAAAAAAAAAAAAACAATTTATTATAGTGTACATAAAATATCGAATCACAAAGAAAAAAAAAACCAATCAAATGATGATAACTAGAAACTATAAGCCATTACAACACGTACTTGAAATCAGGATGTCTATCACCAGCGAGTTCAATACCACCATACTTATGAACTTCATATTCTTTCATTTCTTCAGTCAATTTGGAACGACGTTTGTTTTCATAAGCAAGTACCAAGCGAACAAGGATAACTAGTACGGTTTGAGCACCTACTAAACAGACAGCAATCAAGTTTCCATAAAAGTACTCGGGAGGATCTAACAAAAAAGAAAAATATAACAAATCACATTTGTCAATATCATTGTTTTATATATGAATTATCATTTACCATAATAAATTTGTCCTCCAATGGCACCTCCAATGGTTCCTATAGAGACGATAAAAGCAGAACCTACAGCTCTACGAGTTAAACCAGCACTATAATAATAAAAAATCATCATCCAAAAAAAAAAAAAAAAAAATAGAAGAGAGAGATTAGTGAATATTCATCTTTATATTTCGATACTTACAAATTGTTATTGAACCATGCAACCTTGACAGCAACATTTGCATAAACAGAGATAGTGGCCAGACAAGCAGCAAAATAATGGACGGCGACATTGGAACGGTCAATAAACATCATCAAAAAGAAACCAAGAAGACCGAGAGCATTGATGGCAAGCATGTGAAGGGCACGTTCAAATAAGCGATCAGAGGACCAACCGATAGCCACAGTAGCAATAAATGCCAAAAAGTAAGGAGGAGTGGTTAGTGCTTGACTTTGAGCCTTTGTCCAAGATCCCATATCCGAGATAATAGAAGGCAAGAATAAAGTCACTCCTTGTAAAGCACTGGTACCTGAGATATAGATAAATGCATAAGCCCATGCTTTCCAATCTGTAAATACCGAGTTGACTTGCGCCCAAGACCAAGAGTGATCATTAGCAACACCAGCATCTAGAAAAAAAAAAAAAAAAAAAAAAGGAATTTAGTCATTGAGTTTTATCATCAACAAATACATATTTCTCATTTCTTTATATTGTAGGATGGAATTTTTTTTTTTTTTTTACCTTTAGCTAAACGACCTACAGCAACACGACGTTCTTCTTCTGTCAAAAATTTCGCAGTTTCTGGTTGATTAGGAAGATACCAAGCAGCAAATAAAGCCAAGGCAACAGATGGTAAACCTTCAATCAAGAACAATCTAATCATAAATAAACAAGTGAATAAAATATATAAAATATATATATATATATATATATATATATATATATATATATATGAAGGAAGAACTTACAATTGCCAAGTTTGTAATACATTTGTAGGGATTTCCGTAATACCATAAGCAATTAAACCACCAAAAGCACCAGCCAAAGAACTAAAAGACCAAAAGAAACCAATACGACGAGCATATTCTTTACGAGTATACCAAATGGACATATAATAGATAGATCCCGGGAAAAACCCAGCTTCAAATACACCAAGAAAGATTCTTGCTGTAGCTAATTCAGCAAAGTTTTTTACACCTGCCATGGCTACAGCAGTAACACCCCAAAGACTAATTTATTTAATAAAAAAAAAGAAATGAATGACTATATTCTTTTTTTTTTTTTTTTTTGGTAAGACTTACAACATGAGGGCACCAAGCCAAATAGAAGGACGCCAGCGTCTCATGACAATATTAGAAGGAAGGTCAAAGATAACATAACCAAAGTAAAAAATAGATAAAGACCATTGATATTGTTGTGAAGTTAAAGAAAGATCTTTTTCTAAACCACCTAGTTTAGCATTACCAATGTTGGAACTAAAAAAAAAAAAAAAAAATGGTGAGAAAAGAAGAAAAGAAGAAAAAAAAAAATAGAAATCCCGCCATTCAGGCACTTTTTTGACAAAAAAGGATAATAAAAAAAAGGCTATTACCGATCCAAATAACTAAGAAGATATAACAAACAAAGGATGGGAAGAATACGAAGATCGTATTTTCTAAAATAAATAAAAAGAGTTGAATTAATAATAATAATAATAATAATAATAATAATTATATTACCTAACAATCTTTTTTTCTATTTCTTTATCACGTTCACTTGAATACTCTTCCAATTGTTCCAATTTGCCAACATCATCTACTGAAGATGTATGTTCTATTTTTGTTCCAATTTCTTCGTTTGACATTATATAATTTGATATATATATAAAAAAAAAAGAAAAGAAAGGAAAAAGATTGAAAAAATAAAAATAAAAAAAAGTTTAATAAATATGTAAAAAGAGATGGGATCAAAAAAAAAAAAAAAAGATTCAGGCTGGGAAAAAAGCTTAATGTAAGTCATTCTCCATTTGGTTCTTTTCGGATAATATCTTTCCTCTCCACATTTTCCGTAGTGCATTGTATTAATCATCATCCATTTCCTCATTGTATCATAATTTATCAATGGATCTTTTCTTTTATTATTCTTATAATGATGATGATGATGAAAAAAAAATATATATTATTTTTGGTTTATTAGGATGATCCATGGATATATATATATATAATATACAATAAGTTTCATTGACTTTTTTCTTTTTCGTATCACTTTCCAAAAATGGATGTTTTCTCTATGTTGGCGGAAAATAGTTATAAAAAGAAAAAAGATATCACTACAGTGTTATATTATAGAGTGTTATATATTCTTAAAGTCAATATAAATTTTCTTTCAATAAATAACAAATAAATGATTATATCATCTTGGTTAATATGGGAATCCATTCCTTTGGTTCTTTTTTTTTTTTTCTACGTTCATACTCACACACTTATAGTTTTTGTGTAATCCCCAAAAGGGAACATGAGGGGAAAATGCGGGGAAACCCGTTTTAAACTGACTTGTAACTATCAAGTACAGTATCATTTCATCATCTTATTTTACTTTGAATCAAACACAATTATCATCATCTTCTTCTTCTTCAATGGATTCATTTTATTAACAATCATATAAAAAATATCTATTTATATCTATCTAAATATATATATAGAACATCTAAACTCTTATACTATTCAAAGTCTTCAATATCATACCCAATAATTCAATTTTGTCGTTCCATTTTTTTACTATCGTACCCATTTTCTAGTAACAATAATATGATTTTTTGACCTGCCGAATATTTCCAAGGGTTTCCGTTTTGTTCTGCTGACCAAAGAGAGAGAGAGAGAGTGGAGATCTAATTCACAATAGTTTGTTTTTTTTTTTTTCTGTTTCTTTCACATCCATCAATTCATCCAAAATGGTGGGTTGTCGCATTTTCTATCATTCCGATCTTGGTGTAGCAATGGTGTAGGTTCCCCAACCGATTTATTCCATTGCCAAGTGTACTTGATTTGTTCCGATGTCTAGATATCGATTGGGAAAAAAAAAAAGAAAAGATCAATGTCATTGGAAAATATCATAACGAGATCGAGAAAAATGTGTCTATATTCTTTTACCTGTATTTGTCAATCTAACTTGCATTATCTTGTTGAGACTAGCCACGTTCCCAAAAAAAAAAAAAAAAATCATCACCATAATTCCTATATAATATCAAAAAAAAAAACCTGATTTGAATAACTACACCTTCCAACCTTTTTTTGTTTTGTTCCAGTTGTTGATATAATTACCTGTAGGTTGTACAGGTGCCATTTCAATTCATAGGGTAAATTCTTTCCGTAACTATTTGAGGTTTCACTTTCGATTCCCAAGGCATAGATGAGTTTGAATAAAGTAAAGCGCGACATCCTCATTGTCATCGTTGTCATGCATTGTTTCTTGTCCATTGTACATTGTGTGTGTAGTTTACTGTTTGATGTAGATCCAATCCAAAAGAAAAAAAAAAGATCATCCTACTTCATTTGTACAACTTGCTAACCATGATGAAGATTTCCCATTTTTGTCCTCTGTGTCCATGTTTTTTTGTTGTTGATCCTATTGACATAAAGAAGAAAAAAAAAACACTGGATCACGAGTGTTTCATCTATTCTTCTCTCTCTCTAACTTTGTCTGCAGATCACACATCCCAATAACTGTTGAAACACCCCCCAGATGTAACCCAATCAAATAAAAAGGGTAAGACGTTACCACGTGAGAATGATATAATGCTGTTGTCAAAGAAAGACTAACAAATCCAATAATGACAACAAAAAGAGAGGAAGAGAAGGAATGAGTACAGTCATATCGATACCTTTATTTCAAGAAATGGATGATACGAACTTACCCTTTTGAAATATGATAATTGGTGTGAAGTCATTCTTCCCATCATATTCTACCAAAATGTATAGGATGGTACAATAGCCTTGATAGATTCCTTGGAATCAAAATAACTTGAGTTGTACAAAAAAAAAATAATGAGTCTTGGGTTTCAATGTGAGAATAAGAAGAGTCCATTACCTACAGTTGAACAGCAGAAGTTCAGATCCATGTTCAGGTAAGATTGACAAGATTAGAAACAATGAGATAGTGTAATCATTTATTTTTGTAGTTTAAATATGATGACAGCCGCATGTAAAGGAGGGAGCCGAATCTATGAAATAGTAAAGAAAAAGTAGGCTCCAGAGTCAGCAGTATTCCCTTTATCCAAACAAACATGACGGTACATCAGTACAATGATGTCTTCTTTTCATATATCAATTTACAGTTATACATACAAGGTTTGGAATCACGGCGATTAACATAAAAACAAGGGACATAAGGAGAGAAAAGAAAAGAAAACAGAACAAGGGGCAAATGTTCATACACTTCAGCGAATTATCTGTGTCCGGGCGGAAGATGAATTTGTCTGCTTTGGGATATTTCGCCCCTCACAAACCCATTCTTGATTTTCCCTTTCTCTTTAAACTAGTGTTCAGTCATGGTAAATTACTAGACCCCATCCATCCATCCATCTATCAATAACTATATCCAAACTCATCGATTTTCTTATTATATAGCCTACTAGATTACACCATAACAGAAAGAAGCGTGGACACGTATCAGCCGGTCACGGTCGTGTTGGTAATTACAAAAAAAAAAAAAATAGAAATGTACATGATTTCGAACGATCGAACGACATTGGATATATTTTTTAAGGGGGGAGTGTATTCAACAATTGATAACGATAGGATATTCTTGATACGCATATATACCCTCCTTAGCGGAATGACAACGAACGATCGAAACATGACATTTGAACAACATACTGAAGATATTGAATCATACATGAAACTGATCATCCTAATTTCTTCCTTTACAACAGGTAAGCATAGAAAGCATCCTGGTGGTCGTGGTCTTGCTGGTGGTCAACATCATCACCGTATCAACATGGATAAGTACCATCCTGGTTATTTTGGTAAGGTCGGTATGCGTCATTTCCACTTGAAGAAGAATCCTACCTGGCGTCCTGTTGTCAACTTGGATCAAATCTGGACTTTGGCTGGTGAAGGTGTCCGTGAACAATACAAGAACACTGAAAAGGTTCCTGTCATTGATGCTCTTCAAAACGTAAGTATAGACTTATATTATTAAGAATCCAGACTTAAATTTATTTTTTATTATAGGGTTACGGTAAGGTGTTGGCTAAGGGTCGTCTTTCTCAACCTGTTATTGTCCGTACTCGTTTCGTCTCTCGTCGTGCCGAAGAAAAGATCAAGGCTGCTGGTGGTGGTAAGTCATCTATAAAAAAAGAAAACCATTCAACTTGATTGGTTTTTTCTTTTGGATATGAATATCTCACTTTTCTTTTTTTTTTTTTTTTTTTTTTGTAGTTGTCGAACTCATTGCTTAAAAAGTACAACAATCTAGTAGAAAAATGTCATATTCATATACATCTTTTTGTTAATAAACTTTACTCGTCATGATGATCCTTTCCATTGGTTGGTGTTTTTTTTTATGATATTATGGTTTTATTATTATGATGGGAAAAATAGAAATGAGATAATATGGTATATAATAATGTAGAGTGATTAGAAGTGAATCAATGTAGATTGTAAGGGAATGATATGTATAGCAGTGATTCTATAATATGGTATGATTACTGTTAGATGATGAAGGATTGGTTTTCTGAAGCCTTCAATTCAAATGGAGTATATGCGTATGGAGTATGTATTGAAAACTGGGACATTTTACTCATAATATCTAAATAGTTTATTAAAAACGATAGATGATTTCGCTAGCACTACGTTTCAAATGAATGATGATGATTGGTATTTTAGTCGTATAAGGACTGGGGAACTATATATGTATATGTTAACTATAGGTGCTTTCATAAGGGTTCATCGTCATCGCTTGATAATTCTATACGCAAAAAAAAAGAAGGTTAGTACACTCCTTTCATAGGCACATTTTGTTTTTCTTTTTATTTACCAATGACACGCTGTAATCCTATTCTTGATGTTGTCATACTATGTACAAGAAAGAAAAAAAAAAAAGAAAGTCAGCATCACAATATAACCTGTATATCGTCAAACTTACGGTCGCTTTGGACTTTGGAAATTCACCCTTGGAATGCTTGAATGGTTGCTGTTACTCCTGCCATCATCATCATCATGATCATCATCATCAGAGCCAGAGTCAATGATTTCTGGTGTCTGCGAAAATGATTGTTGTTGCCGTAATGAGTCAAATATGTCATCGTTGCTTTCCATGTAATCGTCGTTATTACTCCCATGATCCAAATCTTCCTCCATATCTGTGCTTTCATTTTCAGATTCCATTTGGGACGATCTAAGACAAAAGTACAAAACAAAAAAAAAGAAGAAGGATGGTTAGATGATATGCTCTTTTTCATATATGATGATCATCATTACCTTGAGGAATGGTTATCTTCATTGTCTTCTAATAGATTTATCCTATACTGTGGACTATTTGCTGATGAACTGCTGGATTGTATCATGTTGGTGGAATTATCTAAATATTGATTATCTTGCTCTTGTTGCTGATGGGCTGTAGTCAATGGTCTATTCAAAAAAAGAAACAATCAACATACGGTCACATACACATGAACTGATCGGTTTGACTTACGTTATTAATTGGTCATCTTCATCCATTGTATCATCATCTTCTACATCCAAAGGTATAGCAGGTTGTTTGCTGAATTTCTTTGCACTATTGATGATTTGTAAGTAAATATATGTCCCTGAACTCTTTTTTTTTTTTTTCTTTTCCTTTTTGTAACTAATTCAATGTGAATATTTTACCTTAAATGTTCCTTTGTCTTATTGTTTGTCCCAGACGATCGTATAGATCGATGTCGGCCAATCCGTTCTAGAGAACATTTATCAATTCCAATGTTGATAATATTCTATAAAAGTGTTTTAAAAGTATGTGCGTGTGAGATAAGGAATTCGATGATTAGGCAAAAGATGGAACATTGATTATTTTTTTTTTTGACTTACTTGCATAGCTTTTGATCTTTTATATTTTTTCTTTAAATCATTAATTCTATGATACGATCGTTCCAATTGTGTGTGTTTGTTTTCAAGTTCCCTATTCAAAAAGAAAAAAAAAGATATCATCAGGTGATACGTTCTAGATTCCTTCTTTTTTTTTTTCAACTACTTACATTTTCAAATCTTGATAGCGTTCATATAAAGAACATGTCAGCAAACTAAGTTCGTCCCTTGGAAGTGATCTCCATTGTCGCATCTGATATTGTCGTTGAGGAGTAGCTAGTCGTTTTTCCAGATCCAACACTCTATAAAAATAAAAAAATAAAAAAAGAACAGTTAGATCTGACCCACCGTTTTTAATAATGTTATATTACCCTTTGATAGTTTTGTAAATGTTGACCTTGTTCAAATATAAATTCTTGTCCTTTTCTGCTTTTTCCATCAGCTGTCTTTCAGTCTTCAACCTTTGAGTGACTTCTTCCACTTGTTTTCGAAGATTGTTGCAAGAGTCTCTTAATCGTGCTTCTTGAGTCATGTCGTCTTGTGAATCTGGTGATGTAAAATTATGATTGTGATCAAAACTCATATAGAGTCGTATAAGAGGATTATTTTGTGTACAAACTTGATTGCAGCTTGGGCATCTTGGTTTAGTTGCCAACCACAATTGGATACTATTATTAAAAAAAAAAAAAAGAGCAATGTTAGAGAATGACGAAGATCGGAAGAGGATGGAAATATTTACCAAGAAGTATGATAAACATGGCCACAGTGGAGTGCTGATACCTCGTTACCACTGAAGGATTCAAGACAAACACCGCAATCTAACATGAAGGGAGGATATAGAGGGAAGTGCAAGGAAATGAAAACAGAAAAAAAAAAGTGAAGAAAAAAAAAAAGAAAAACTGATGGAAAAAGGACAATTGAAAATGAAGCGGAAAACGAAATCCATACGATGTCCAACCAGAACAAAGTATAAACTAGAGAAGATGAAACGATGTTATTTTCCAATCATATTGTATAGCTAATGGAAAATATATTATTCATGTTATCATTAATTCATCAAACATCGCTCACATCCATCATCCATCATATGAATCATGAAAGGAGTTCAACACTTCCTCAAGACTACTCGGATCATTAACGTATGGGATTCAAATCAAAAGTAATTGACTGAAAAAGTAAAAGGAAAAGAAATAGATGATCATCAATGAATGATATTGACCTTTTTTTTTTTTTCTTTTTTTTTTCTTTTTTTTTTTTTTTTTCTTACCTTCTGGTATAGGTTAAAACAATTTCTCACTTTTCCTTCTTTCTCTTTCCATTTATGGTATGTACTTTTCGGTTATCGGCTTTAAGAAACAATGAAATAGAAAGTAGGATGACTCGATGGTAATAGCATGATCGGCGGATTTAGGTAATAAGCAAGCTGTCACTTAGTTAATGTATGATGTCACTTTATCCGTTTCAATTTTTTTTTTTTTTTTTTTTTTTGATCTGGATAGATGAATAAAAATTGGTGATCTGAATTGAATGATTTTCTTCTTTACTTACTTACAATCAAAATGACTGATCAAGGTAAAAATAGAAAAAAAAAAGTATTGAATAATGTTAAATAAAAAACATGTCATTGAAATATTAGGTAGAAAACAATTTGTTGTGATGGTTCAAGATTATACAGATGGTGAAGCATTACAACGTCGAATGGTTGCACGACCTAAACATTTGGCGATGGCTGAAAAGGCTCATGAAACAGGTTATATCCTATGTGGAGGTGCTTTGTTTGATTCGCATGAAAATCGAAAAATGATTGGAAGTATGATGATTTGTCAAGCTCATAGTGAAGAAGAATTACAAGAAAAAATTGCTCAAGATCCTTATGTCCTTGGAAAGTAAGTTAATTCAAAAGAAAAAAAAATAGAATCGATCTCAACTTTTTTTTTTTTTTTTTAGGGTTTGGGAAAAGTGGACCATCTATCCTTATAGAAATGTAAGTTACCTTGATAAAAATAAAATATATAACTCATCATCTATTGGTTTCTTAGGCTATTGGACTTGAAAAAGAACTAGAAGGTGTAGAAGTGATAGTATAGTTGATGTTTTTTATCTTTTACCTGATGAAATAAAAAAGCAAGTAACCTACACATGCTATGAGTTTCTACTTCCGATTATGATTTTTCTTTCTCTTCAAACTTCCCAATTTTTTTTTTTGGTTCCTCTTTCTCTTTCTTTGCTCCCTTCTCTCAGAAAAAGAAATAAATTCTATATATCCATGTCTTCAACGACCAGTTCTAGTTACCAATTTCCCTCTATTCATGATTTTCCTCCCTTTTACACGTACGTAAGCACACGTCTAAAAAAGAAAAAAAAAAATAGAAATGTCTTCTTACACTTTTGTTACCATTATAGTCGACAACCTACAGAAACGACTTGGCAGAATCAAGCTCTTCAATGGTCAGATCTTATACTCAAATATGCTCGACATTATCGGATATTCACTTTGAATCTTAATCAAGCAACAACTCCTGGTGCTTCCCCATTATTCGAAAACACTCGTATCAAACGTAAAGTTATTTAACATGAAATTTTTTGTTTTATCCAAAACCTCTCATCCTTTGACTTCTTTTTATTTTATTTTATTTTTTTCTATCTGCTTATGTAGGTCGTTTATCGCTCGAAACTCTGCAAGAAGTTATAGAGTTCATGGTTCAACAAGGTAAGTGTTATAGATATATACAATTGTATGAACAAAAAAAAAAGACGTTTTATGAAACTTATTTGAATTGACTCTTGTTTTTTTTATTATTATTATCAATATGATGCTACATTCATATCACTATAGGTACGGCAAAATGGGGGGACAATAAAACAGAAGCATTACTTTTCTGGCGTAAACCTGATGATTGGGCAGACTTGATAGCACAATGGGTAAGAATAATAATAAATAAATCATCATCTTTATTATTTGAAAGATATAACTAATATATGTATATTTCTTTTTATTATTATTCATGGATGATAGGTGATACAAAGTGGACTCAATAACAATATTGTTACAACATACGAAATAGCTCACGGTGAATTAGCAGAAGGACAAGGTAAAAACAAAATTACAAAATAGTAGATAAAATAGATGAACTGAAGACACGTTTCTTTTCTTTTTTTTTTTTTTTTTTTTTTTTTTTGTTACCAAGAATTCTATGAGATAGATCACAACGTTTTGTTACTTGCGATTCAAGTATTGGTTAAACGCGGTGTGGCACAGTTATTCAAAGGAACTGATAATGAAAATATGGGTGTCAAATTTTTTGGAATCAAATGAAAAAATAGAATAGTATAGATTATGCTTGTATTATAGGATTTTTTTTTATTGAACAATAATAAAAAAAGTCAGGGGATATTCACAAAGACTAATGATAAAAAAGAAGACTATCTTGTTTTTTCTGTACAAATGTGCGAAAACGCAACATCAATATAAAAGGAGGGAGAGAGAGAGAGATGAGATGAATGACGAAATAGCAACTAAAAAAACTAAATATGTTTTGAATGGATAATAATGGAAAAAGGAGGGGAAAATGGAGAAAACCAGAGAGAGGATATCATTTATTTGGAAGAGGTGTACTTGGTAACAGCCTTGGTACCTTCAGAGACAGCGTGCTTGGCCAATTCACCAGGAAGGATGAGACGAACAGCAGTTTGAATTTCACGAGAAGAAATAGTGGAACGCTTGTTATAGGCAGCCAACTTGGAAGCTTCAGAAGCAATACGTTCAAAGATATCGTTCACGAAAGAGTTCAAGATGGACATAGCCTTGTTGGAGATACCAGTATCAGGGTGAACTTGCTTCAACACCTTGTAAATGTAAGAAGAGTAAGATTCCTTACGGCTAGACTTTCTCTTCTTGATATCAGACTTGGACTTCTTTTCGGTAGTCTTAGCAGGAGCTTTGCCAGCGGGAGCCATTGTTTATTGATGATATATAAAGTTGTAATGTAAAAAAGAAAGAGAAAAAGAGAAAAGAGAAAAACTTTTTTTTTTTCCATTTCACACTCTCCCTCTTTTTATAATCGACGGAGATTTCATTCTTTTGTTCTAAACAAAAAAAAAAAAATGCTTCAGAAAAAAAAAAAAAAAAAAAAACGCGTGCTCACTTTCAGTTTCCGATGGATGATCACTTTTTTAAGTAGATAACTTTTGATTCTCTTATATCAATTAGTTTTTTATATCATGTCACGAAACTAACACGTTTTGACGCGGTTTTACACGGTTTTAAATAGATTTAGAAAGTAAAAAAAAATTTTATTATGTTTTTATATGGTTTGAATACTTATAGCTTATGATTTTTCTATTCATTGTTCAAAAAAAAAAAAAAAAAAAAAAATGAACACGCACGCACTACTCGGAGCATCAAATCAGAATTTTTTTTTTTTTGAATTGGGTGACTCCGATGAATATAAATATAAAGAGTCATTTCTTACTTTTTTTCCAACTTCTTCTTTTTTCCTTTTTTTTTTTTTTTTTTTTCTTTCTCTCTTCTTCATATTCTCTTTTTATTTTATTTTTTAATAACATATAATCAACATGTCTGGTGGTAAATCTGGTGGTAAATCTGCTTCTGGCTCCAAGTCTCAAACTCGTTCTTCCAAGGCCGGTCTTCAATTCCCTGTTGGTCGTATTCATCGTCACTTGCGTCGTGGTAACTATGCTCAACGTGTTGGTGCTGGTGCTCCCGTTTACTTGGCTGCTGTTCTCGAATATTTGACTGCTGAAATTCTCGAATTGGCTGGTAATGCTGCTCGTGATAACAAGAAGTCTCGTATTATTCCTCGTCACTTACAATTGGCCATCCGTAACGATGAAGAACTTAACAAGTTGCTTGGTCAAGTCACTATTGCTCAAGGTGGTGTTCTTCCTAACATCCATGCTACTCTCTTACCTGCTAAGACCAAGAAGGGTGGTGCTTCTCAAGAACTTTAAATTTCCCCTTTATTATTATTTTATATTTTTCTCATTCCATTTTGTGTCATCTTCTTTTAGTCATCTCGCAATCAATCATGACCCTTTGATCTCCCTCTCCATCTTTACAAACTCCCTCTTATCCCATTGTTAAACATCTTTTTATATATGTACATAGCTTTTTTTCGTGATTATGAAAAAGGAATAATAAAAACTTATATTTTTTTTCTTCAATCTATTTTTTTTTTTTTTTTTTTGGTTTATGTTTTGGATGAAATAATAGTTAAATGATATAGAAAATGGTGACTTGCGATTTGATCATGTGCTGGTTTCATATGATGACTTTTTTTTTTTTTTAGACAGATCTATTAAAAAAAAAAAAAGATAAAAAATAAAAAATATATGAAAACGGGATATAAGAGAATGTATAATGATAAAATCAACCAAACTAACTCTTTTATGATCCAAAAAGATAACATTGTTTTTATAAAAAAAAGTTTTATTATTGTTTTATTTGAAGACAGAGAATCAAATTTATATACAGACTAGAGATACTTTAGACAAAAGTATTCATTGATGTGAGATGGAGCAAAGATGAAGAGATGGAGGGTAATAAATCGATAACTTAAGAGATGAGAGGTACAAAGTATGTGAAAGGAGGAAGAAATATATGTAAAATAAGAGTATAAAAAGGGGAAAAAAGAGATAGAGGAAACCAAGAAACAATTGATTTATCCACCGAAACCGTAAAGAGTACGACCTTGACGCTTCAAAGCATAGACAACATCCAAAGAGGTAACAGTCTTTCTCTTGGCGTGTTCAGTGTAGGTAACAGCATCACGGATGACATTTTCCAAGAAAACCTTGAGAACACCACGGGTTTCTTCATAGATAAGACCAGAGATACGCTTAACACCACCACGACGAGCAAGACGACGAATAGCAGGCTTAGTAATACCTTGAATGTTGTCACGAAGAATCTTACGATGACGCTAATATAGAAAAGAAAAAAAAGATGAGTTACATTATAAAAGCATATTCTATTTTTTTTTCAATCTCTTACCTTAGCACCTCCTTTACCCAAACCTTTACCACCTTTACCGCGACCAGCCATTATTATAATGAAATATTTGAAGAGAATAGAAAAAAAAAAAAGTTGGAAAAGAAAAAAAGAAAAAAAAGAAAAAGAAGAGAAAGAGGGAAATCAGTATGGGGGAGAATTTTTATAGTACGTATCAATTCAACTTCCGCATAGAGCGTGTTTTTTCATTCGTACACCCGTATTAAATTTTTTTTTTTTCAAAAAACTATTTTTTTTTTCATTGACACGCGATTCCATTTAAACCATAAAAGGAGGATGATCCATTGTCACTAAAAATAGTGAATGATGAAATCAATAAAAGTAGTCAATACATTGATATTACTATATAGTTCATTTTGAAATGGTACCATTATATATTATCCTTAGAGAGATTTGTTTATACATGAAAGGATGAAGAATGTTTCTTTTTTTTTTTATGATGAGGAATTTGATTTTTTTTTATGATGATCATCATTATCCCTTCTTCGCGTAGTATCGTGACAACAAATGTAAAAAAAAAAAAAAATGACACGCGACAAACACCAAACATATTCAACGTCCGTTTTTTTTTTCTTTTTTTTTTTTTTTTTTTTTTTTTTTTTTTTTACTCCAAGTATTTACAACCAATCAAATAGTAGACACGCGTATCGGCGGAATATGAAAATCATATAAAATGAGAAATAACCACATTCTTTTTTTTGTTTCTCCCTTTTCTCTCTTTTTCTTTTTTTTCCAACTTTATACTTTTTTTTTTGAATAATAATAATAATGGCTCGTACCAAGCAAACTGCTCGTAAATCTACTGGTGGCAAGGCCCCTCGTAAGCAATTGGCTACCAAGGCTGCTCGTAAGTCTGCTCCTACTACTGGTGGTGTCAAGAAGCCTCATCGTTACAGACCCGGTACTGTTGCTCTTCGTGAAATTCGTCGTTACCAAAAGTCTACTGAATTGTTGATTCGCAAGTTGCCTTTCCAACGTTTGGTTCGTGAAATTGCTCAAGACTTCAAGACTGATTTGCGTTTCCAATCTTCTGCCATTGGTGCCTTGCAAGAAGCCTCTGAAGCTTACCTTGTCTCCCTCTTTGAAGATACCAACTTGGCTGCTATTCACGCCAAGCGTGTCACTATTCAACCCAAGGATATCCAATTGGCTCGTCGTCTCCGTGGTGAACGTTCTTAAACAAAATCATCTCATTCCTTTTTTTCAATCATCATCATCATCATCAACCAACAATCAACAATCAATCACGTTATTCAACTTCTCATCATTAGTTATAGCATGAAGTGTTTGTTTTCTGTACAGTTTCTTTAGTTTTTTTTTTTTCTTCCTCCTTTACCTCCTACCCTATTTTTCTCCTTTTACTCCTTATCTGTATGTATTTCCTCCTTTTACCTTTTTTTTATTACAATCATCAATAAAAAATGAATTCTTTTGATAATCTTTATTTCTTTTTTTTTTTTTTTGTCTTTTTTTTTCCGGAATGGTATCACATTATGTATTTCATATATCATATCCTAACAAAAGCGGTCACTTTGGGATCAAACGCGATGAAGGAAAAAAAAAAAAAAAAAGAGACACGCTTGTAACCCTGTTTCATTGATAGATAATTACAAAGGAAAAAAAAAAGACACGATTTCAAAAAGAACCAGACGTGTACAGTTTTTTTTTTTTTATTATTATTCGGATTTGTTGTTTAATACATAGCCAACCACATGCATCCATAAAATATAATTTTTCTAAACTAAAACTATTGATGATGGTAATAAAAAAAAAAAAAAAAAAAAAAGAAGAGAAAAAGACTAGACTCGTGTGCAGTGATGATAAGAATAATCCACAAAAAAAAAAAGAGTAAATGCTTGCTAATCCATGACCGTATAATCTACATCAAATAATAATAGTACAATGGATGTCAATAATAATTTCATTTCCTTATCCCTTCCATGATGATTACTTTTTTTTTTTTCTACTTACAATTTATACCCATTCACCTGGACTTTTAATTCACCAAATCATCCTTAATCACTTGCTAGTAAGATGCGTTGAGACTTTACCAGGGTTAAGACCAATATTTCGTCTTGATATTGTACTATCGTTTTCCTTATTCCAAAGTTTTGATCCATGCTACAGTGTAATCATGACTATTTGAATGAAGATATATTATGTGTTAATAATATCTTTGTCTGCATATTTTTATGATGATCACTTTCTTTTTATTATTATTATTATTATTACTTACCATATAAATCCGTTTGAGGTTGTTTTTTTTTTCACCAAAACGCGCTGATATATATAATCATGACCAAAGACTGACCATGTATATGTGCTTTTGTGTGTACAAACCAAAAAAGGGAGGATGGTCGTTCAACATTCATTCCAAATTGCTTTTTTTTTTTTTTTTTGCTTCTTCGCTAAGAATCTATTCGCGTAATGCATTGTTGAGAATAATGTCGATTAAGCATATAGTGAAGAACGAGTTGTTTGAATTGTTGAGTTGTTGAATGTCAAAAAAGAAGAAAGAGGTATGTTGTCAAGTATGTTGTTAAGCATGTTGCCGATTAATGCAGAAGAACTCTTCATAACCAGTATCTTTGTTCCATTGTTATAGTTAGCCAAACATCTTTAGATATATGTCCCTTCAAAAATGGCTTGATTTCAGTCGACATATCGACCAGTATTGTTTTAGTCATCTAAAGTAATAAACAAATCTAAATTTATATAAAGTGTAAGTTTGATTTAGTCCATATTTGTCCTTTGTTACTTCATCTTAATCAAACTTGCCTGTTGTATATCAATTATTGTCAATTGAATGAAAAGGATAGTCGAAACCACAAAAAAAAAAAAAAAAAGAATCCATTCTTTAAATCAATTGAAGACCTAGAAAAATGAATGAAGATAAAAAGAAAAAAGTAAAAAATGTAAAAAAAAAAAAAAAAAAAAAAAAAAAAAAAATTACGTTATTATCTTTGTAATGATGTTCTTTTCAAAATGAACTTACATTCTTTGTAAGAATCGAATAATAATTAAACACACACATTATATAAGGCATTGAAAATGACAGGAAAAGAAAAAAAAAAGAAAGAAAAAATTCATGACAAGTCCATTCCGCCCTATTCAAGCTTTGTCATTTGCTGAGCGTATTCGGTGAAATAATTACCCAACCAATCAGAATTGAGTATTTGATTTGAGCTTGATATACTACATTCCAGTTCAATTTTCATCCATAGCTTGTTAGCTCAGGGGAAGAGCGATGGGCCCATAACCCATAGGTCGGAGGATCGAAACCTCCACAAGCTATTATCTTTTTGTTAAACTTGAGCTTCTTTCTGAGTATGAAATAGCTTCCTTTTTTGTTCAGGTTTTCTTCCAAAATACAAATATCCATCTCTTTTATATATATATATTTATTTATTGTCTATGTTTATAATAGGAATTATGGATTAATTATTCGTAATATCTTGTATATCTAAAAAAAAGATTTGTGTCGTATTTTTAGTTTTATTTTCATGTTAGAACTGTAGTTATCACAGATATACATTTTCCTAAAAAAGAAATTTTATTCTTTATGGGTACATTATTATTCATTCATTCCACTTGTACAATTCATCCTACTATTATCTATATGATGATCACCAGAATTTTGCTATAAATGAAAATTATTTCCATATCATTGATTAGTTACTGTAAAAGTAAAATGTTTTTTTTTTTGGATATTTTATATATGTGTTTATAAAAAGAGAGAAAAATGCAATAGTCATTTAATATGAACAGTTACTGAAATAAATACATATCATGGTATCGTTTTCCATTACCCATCGATCGAATATTATATATTATCCACCACAGTTAATTATTGTCCATTATATTGGATTGTTGTATTATATATATCAATTCAATTGATTAATAAAGATGTTGTATATTACATAGAGATATGTACCTATTACGGACTTTTAATGATATATACCTGACGCGAGAGGCGCGAATGCTGCGAATAACAAAAAAAAAAAAAAAGGTGCTTTTTTTTTTTTTTTTTTTTTTTTTTTTTTTTTTTTTTTTCTTTTGCTTATTTTACATTATTTAGACACACTCCTATTTTGTTGGTTGCATTCTCTCTAAGTCTATGGAGTTGAATCATGATGAACATTTGGCGTGGTTCAAAAGTACAATAGAACCATTTATTTTAGAGCCTCGTCGACAATATACACTCTATCAAGGTACACTTCCCTCTACTGACGATGAATCCACTAATATAACTGCTACTTTTAATTGGGCAACTGATACAACTATATCCGATACCACTACAATGCCACAAAAACGATCTTTATCTGAAGTGATTGATCAAGACTCTGGTGTTGATTCCACTTCCAGGGGTTTATGGGTAACAGGGAATATCAGTAATAGCAATAATCACCACAAGGATGTAATAAGTGAAACAAGTACCAATGGATTATCACTAAACTACAAGCGGTCAAAACATTCCAACTCAATATTCAACGGCATTGACAGTTCCTCTAATTCTACAGCAACAAACGGGAAGCTGAACGAACATTCAACTGGATCGGCTTTAGACAATTTAGACGAACAAGGTGATATAGATTACGACGATGATTTTGATCCTGATTTTTCGATGGTAAGAACCAGTATAATGATTGAATAAAAAAAATAATAATAATAAAAAAAGGAAGACTAGTTAATTAAGGAATGTTCACCTTCTTCTTTTTTTTTTTTTATGGTAGCTCGAGTCCGAAACATGCTTTGACGATATCATGATGACTGAGCAAGATTCTCGTGATGGGCAATTTTCTTCTTCAGCTACAATAAATAGACAAAATACAACAATACAACAGCAGCAACAATCATCATCTACACCAGAGTCTTCGTTTAATATCACAACAACTCCAAGAAGTATAGAGTCAGATCGGCAAACTATGGATATTGACCCTTCTTATCCTTCACTCATGGCTGGCCAAACAAGTGATTATCATACAACAACATCAACTCATATAGAAAGGTAGAATATATATATATATATATATATATATATTATAAAAAAAATGAAATGAATTCGATTCTCATTCTTTTTTTGCCATTCTTTTATTCATCCTACTTTATATAGACAAGAAACCATCAACGAAATTACAACAGACAATTATATGGACTTGACAATGGATGATACGGATTTTGATGACGACTTTGATGAATCAAATCTACAGAACAATCATAACGGAAAAATAGTGGGATCTCGATATTTCTCAACGTCAAGAGCACCAACGACTCCAGAAACACCAACCAGTAATGTAATAATGACAGCCGAAGATATTTATCCATGGTCTAAGGACGTACGACATAGTTTGACTCATATATTCAAATTGAAGGATTTTCGTCGACATCAACTGGAAGCTATCAATACAACTTTAAAAGGGGAAGATGTTTTTGTGTTGATGCCAACTGGTGGAGGAAAAAGTTTATGTTATCAATTACCAGCAACGATCCAACATGTAGATAACATTGGACAACAACAATTTCGACGTGGGGTAACAATGGTGGTATCTCCTCTTATATCTCTGATGCAAGATCAGGTACAACAATTACAACGACGTGGGATTGCAGCAAGATTATTGAACAGTGCAATTGGTTTTGAAGAAAGACGAGCGGTATTTTCAGGTTTAGCAGGCAATCCACCAGAATTGAAACTTGTCTATATTACACCAGAAATGTTACAAAGATCGAATGCTTTCCAGGATACTTTGGATAGGTTATATCAAAGAAATTTATTAGCACGGTTTGTGATTGATGAAGCTCACTGTGTATCTCAATGGGGTCATGATTTTCGTCCGGATTACAAGTTATTGGGCAATCTCAAGAATCAATACCCTGGTGTTCCTATTATTGCTCTGACAGCTACTGCTAATGCTCGTGTACAAAAAGATCTAATGTATAATCTTAAAATTGATGGATGTAAAATTTTCAAGCAAAGTTTCAATCGGCCCAATCTCAAGTAAGTCCTTAAAAAAAATAATTCAGTTTCTTTTATTATGATTACTGACCTAATTTTTTTATTTTATTTTTATTTTTTTATTTTTATTTTTTATTTTTTTTTTTTAAAAAAAAATTTAGGTATGAAATCAATGAAAAATGTAAAAGACATCAAGATCGTTTGGAAGATATCAAGAATTTTATTCAAACAAGATATAGAAATAAATGTGGTATCATCTACTGTTCAACCAAGAAACAATGTGAAGAAGTGGCACAAAAACTACATGAAGGATATGGTATCCGAGCACTTCATTATCATGCTGGGATGACTCAAGAAGAACGGGTTGAAACACAACGAAAATGGCAACAAAATGAATATCCGGTGATTGTGGCAACTGTGGCATTTGGTATGGGGATTGACAAACCAGATGTACGATATGTGATCCATTTTGTATTGGCATCATCAGTGGAAGGCTATTATCAAGAAACTGGAAGAGCTGGACGGGATGGATTAGAAGCAACATGTAGATTATATTACTATTTTGGGGATACCAAGACTCATAGAACTTTGATTGAAAATGGTGATGGCAATTTTGAACAGAAGAAACTACAACATGATAACTTGAATTTTATGATCCAATACTGCGAAAACAAACTGGACTGTCGACGGAAACAAGTACTGGCTTATTTTGGAGAAACGTTTGATGCACGACATTGTCGTTCTCCGGCATGTGACAATTGCATAGAAAATAATGGAAAACAAGTGATTGACAAGGATGTTACTAATGAATCCAAATCTATAGTACAACTTTTACAATCCATTCTTGCCCTTCCTATTACACAATCATTTTCAAACAACAACAACAACAATAACAACAATAACGGACATCGAATCACACTCATCCAATTGGTATCTTTATTTCGAGGAGTAGCAAATAAAACACTCAAGAATAAAGGTTATAGTTCAGTAGCTCTTTATGGACAAGGTGAAAATATCATGAAAAATGATGCGACTCGATTAGCACAACATTTAGTGTCTTTGAATATTTTGAAGGAATATACTGAAACCAATGCAGGTGGATATAGTACTACCTATGTTACTCTTGGAGTGAAGGCAAATAATCTTTTGTCTGATCGAGAAAAGGTGGTACTACGTGAAATTGGGGTAAGTCAAAAAAAAAAAAAAAAAAAAAGAAGAGGAGGATGTTTCTGAATCTCATGATCTTTTTTTTTTTTTTTTTTTCAAGCGACCATCAACTACTTCAATGACCAATACTATCAAATCAACTAGAAAGATTCGACTTCCAGTTCCTCATTCAGCACCATCATCAACAACGACACGTAATTCTAGTAGCAATATTCATACCAATACTACTTCACCACCAGTACGTACTTCCAATATTGTTACACCTGTATCAACTTCACCTCTCATTATGCAAGTTCAGAAACAATTTTATGACGAATTGGTAACGGAAAGGAACAATGTAGGTTTTTGATAGGGGAAATATGGAGATGAAGATCGGATCAAGTAGGATGAATACCGTGTGTAAAAAAGAAAAAAAAAAAAAGAAACATCTTGACATTTTCATTTTTTTTTTTTTTTTTTTTGGATAGATAAAGTTCCGATTCAAATTAGCTCAAGCAAGTACTGTATTTAGTGATAATGAACTCAAGAATCTTGCAAAACATCTACCCATACCCAAAACAATATCAACTTTCCTGGATGTAACCAAGATGTCGGATGATGCTTATGATCGATACGGCCGAAACTTTCCCAAAATATGTAAGAAGTATGCAGAACGAATGGAAATGGAAATTAGGAAACTAGCGAATTAGTTGAATGTAATATATCCTTGTAGATAGTTATAGATTTTTTTTTATTATTAATAAAGAAGTTGATTTGATGGAATATGAATACATCATGTGGAAAGATGATTGTATGTATTAGAAACAGAAAAAAAAAAAACAAAAAAAAAACTCCACAACATTGGGATCAAATCATAATTCTCCTTCTATTATACTTTTTCCCGCTGGTTACTAAAATATCTATATATGGAAAAAGAGGCTCTGTTGATGAAAAAAGAGGGGGATTAAGGACAATTTTTCCATGTGTGTGTGAGAAAAAGAAAGAAAAAGAAAAGTGGGGGTTGCGGGGAAGATCAAAAAAAGAAACATCCAAATATGGTTAATGCAGTCAATCATATTCTGGCTCCGTCAAAGTTTAAAAAGATTCCTGTGGGGAATACAAAAGAAAAAAAAAAGAAAGGCTTTTAAAAATACATTCCTTTCTCTTTTTCTTTTCATTTTTTTTTCTTTTGATTATTATTATTTAACAACATGTCAGATAGTGAAAAGGATATTCAAGTACATCAACAAGAAAACATGGATATTAGAGCTGAACAAGAATTGGAACAGCATAATACCAAGAAGGATGGTATAATCAAACGACATTTATTAGATTGGAAACATTCAATTTATAGAAAACCAGATAAACCTGTGAACGCATGGCATCTTTTAACCAATTTGAATAATAGACAAAGAATCACCTTTGTAGCCGGTAAGAGACAAAAAAAAAAAGATACACGAATGAACCTTAAAAAGAGCCTGATCTTCTTTTTATTTATTTATTTGTACGATAGCCTTTCTTGGTTGGATGCTTGATGCCTTCGATTTCTTCTCAGTGAGTCTTACAACAACTTATATAGGTAAAAAAAATATATATAGGAAATCCCTGTCTTGATTAACATTCTTTTTTTTTATTTTTGTATTATAGCTCAAGATTTTGGTGTGCAAGTTTCAGACGTGACTAGTAAGTATCAAGTATTATATATTATCATGAAAAATAATTCATCTTTTTATTATTTATATAGGTGCTATCACTACTACTTTGGTAAGATAAGAAAAAAAAAACTATTAAGACGATGTGGATGATGAATGGATTTAACATGTTGTTATAGATGTTACGACCTATTGGTGCCCTTATTTTTGGTAAGACAAAAAAAAACAACAATGAATTTGGCTTAGTAACCAATATCTATATATACATAGGTGCACTTGCGGATAGATATGGTAGACGATGGCCATTGATGGTAGATATTATTTTGTTTTCATTGATCAACATGGCAAGTGGATTTGCTCCTAATCTACAGACTTTTATTGGTTTACGTGCTGTTTTTGGTATCTGTATGGTAAGTATCAAAAAAAAAAACACTATTTTTCTTACTTTGCTCATCTTTTTTTTGTTTTGTTTTGTTTATCTTGTATTAGGGAGGTGAATGGGTAAAGTACATATCATTATCGTGATGCAAAGAAGGAATGGATGAGATGCTGTGAAGGGGAAAGGGTGATCATTCTTCCTGCTCTTTTCTAACGCCGCTTTTTTTCTTTTCTTTTCTTTTCTTTTTTTTTTTTTTTTTTTTTTTTTTTTTTTTTTTTAACAGGGTTTGGGTGCAAGTTTGGCTTTGGAAACATTACCCATTGAAGCAAGAGGTTTATTCTCTGGTATCTTTCAACAAGGTTATGCATGTGGATATCTACTTGCAACATTAATCAATTATGCCATTCAAAGTCAAGGTGCGTCATGGCGAATTCTCTTTTGGGTGGGAGCTGCTTTTGCTTTACTAGCTGTCGTCATTCGATTCTGGGTACCTGAATCCGATACGTTTGAAGAAACTAAAAAAGCAAGAAAGATGTTAAATCGGTCTGTTTGGAAAGAAGGTTATTTGGCAGTCAAACGACATTGGCTACGACTTATCTATATGGTCATCTTTGCCGCATTTTTCAATTTCTTTTCTCATGGTTCCCAAGATCTATACCCAACGTTTTTGACAACTCAACTCAACTACAGTGAAACACAAAAGACAGTGACTAGTGTGATATATAATATTGGTGCCATTGTTGGTGGGATCTTGTTTGGTTATCTATCCAATTATTTGGGTCGTCGTTTTGTGGTGGTTATTTGTGCTGTTGGCGCTGGCGCTTTCATTGCTCTCTGGGCATTTGGTCCTACCATCTCTTCTCTTCAATTTGGTTCTTTTATGATGCAATTCTTTGTTCAAGGTGGTTGGGGTGTTGTACCTGCTTATTTGAATGAAATTTCTCCTCCTGGTTTCCGTGGTTTGATGCCTGGTTTGGCTTATCAATTAGGAAATTTGGTAAGAAGTAACAAGTAAATATCGTCTTCTTATATTAATCATCCCTTTTTTTTTTTTTTTTTTTTTTTTTTTAAAAAAAAAATATAAATAAATAATAGATTAGTGCTGCTAGTTCACAAATTGAAGCTACAATTGGTGAAAGATATCCACTTCACAATCCTGATGGTTCCATCAAGTTGAATCCCAAGACCGGAAAACCTATTGCTAATTATGGATTAACTCAAGCTATTTTTATGGGATGTGTTTGTGCTGGGCTCTTGATCACGGGTAAGGGAAAAATAGACAATGTCCTTTTGATGATGACTCAATATCCAAATTTTTTTTTTTTTGTAAATAGTTTTCTTTGGTAAAGAAGAAACAAACAAGGACTTTATGCAACATTTAGTGGAAGATGAAGAATCTCCCAATACAGTTGGCGTTGCGGATATTGAAGCAAATCAAATGGAACAAGGTACTGGATCTAGTACTAATGCCAATGATGGTGAAGTAAAGGTGGAAAAGGATGAATCCAAATAATAGTCTAGTTTTTTTTATTTTAGTTTATATTATTAGTTATTTTGTATAGTTATATTTCTTCTTTTGTCTTATTATATTTATTCCAGAAAGTAAACAATGTTAATCACTCAGTAAAGGAACTTCTTGATACTCTATTGAAATTTCTTATTTCTATATACCAAAGATATAAGAGTTGGAAGAAAGTCAAGCTGTTTTGTGGACAATAGGATGATACGTGATGATGATATGATACATGATGATGATGATATTATGATATGTGATGGATGATAACGCATATACGTAACTTATTTTTGTAGTCGAGGTAAGGAAGATGGGTTTTTCCCCTTTCCCCTTTACCAAAACGGTTGTTGCGGTATTTTAATTCGCACGTCACTCACGAATCGTAAAGACGGGAAAAAAAAAAGAGAAATAAAAAAAAAATTCGAACCTGTCATCGGCAAAAGTATTTCTTTCCGTTTTGATTCATAAGCAAACCACACACTTACTTTTTATACTTCAAAATGGCATATGCACAAAAGGATGGTAAAGACACTGTTGTCTTTGTAGATAAGGAATATATTGATAGCCAAGAAGAAGAAGTGATCACTCCTCAACAAAAAGAAAGTGAAGAAAAGGATCAATCTGCTGCTTATGATCCTGAAACTGGCGAAATCAACTGGGATTGTCCTTGTAAGTATACATTGTTTAGAAAAAACACTTGAATTAAAAGAACATGGATAAACTAATGGATTCTTTTTTTTTTCTTTCTTAAAAGGTCTTGGTGGTATGGCTCAAGGTCCCTGTGGTGAACAATTCAAAGCTGCATTCAGTTGCTTTGTATATTCTGAAGCTGAACCTAAAGGCGTTGACTGTATAGAAAAGTTCAAGAATATGCAAGACTGTTTCCGTGAACATCCTGATATTTATGGAGACGAAATTGACGACGACGACGATGACGAGGAAGTAGAAGCAAAGCAAGGTGAAAAACAAGAAGAATCCCAAGTCAATGAACAACAAGAAACTGAAGAAAAGGAACAAGTAACAGCATCAAATGCTTTTGAACAAGGTGATGACAATCAATCATGGTTCTCTTCTTGGTTCTCATAGATTATCAATCTCTGAGTGTTACTTGTACTTTGTTTAGTTATATGTATGTAATAGAATAGACACACCCTTTTTTTTTTTCTTTTACCTCTCACCTTCAATCTTTGTCTTTATAACCTATTACTTTTATTCTTCTTCTTCCCTGTATATCTTTTTTTCCCTTAAATCCCACCCCTTTCATATTCTTTAGACTTTTTTCATACAAATATTATATTGGCGTATCAATAAACATTGTACTTTTTTTTTTTTTTTTTTTTAAGTGTATACACACAAAGGCAAACTACGCGGCAGTTGAATTGAAAACTGTGATTTTGGCTCTTTTGGGCTTTTTTTTTTTTTTTTTTTGTCCCCTTTTCTTTCCTCTACTAGATCCTTATCTTTTCTTGACATTTTGCTTTCAATAGTATCATGTCAAGTAAAAAGTCAAAGTCCAAAACTTCAACACCGCCACCACCTAACGGTAACAACAAACAACAACGTGGAAAACCAAGTGATCCAGTCAAAGATGGTGCTAATGACAACAAGAAATCAATCTTTGGTGACTGGACAGGCAAAACTCCTATTACATTATTGCACGAACATTGTCAAAAGCACGACTGGGAAAAGGCAGTTATTGATATGGATCGCAAGAAACAAGGTTTTGTAGCCACTGTTCGATTAGGAAAACGTAACAAGAAAACAGCACAAATCCAGACCGTCCTCCTGTCACCTCCTGATATTTACTTTCCTACGGCTGTCGAAGCTCGTCATGCTGCGGCAACTTTTGCGTTACATCGAGTCAATTCACATATGAATATGCACCATGTCCTACCTCCTCAACATCGTGATCTGTGGCGTCAGTTTGAATCTTTAAAGACAAGTGCTAATGCCTGGCAGTATTCACCTGATCCATTCAATGCTCAACCACCTACACCTATCGCCAGATCCAAACGTCAATTACCAACAAAAGAACATGCCAATGCAGCCATTCCTATGCCTCTCATTCAACAACAAGAACAATTCTCTTCAACTACCAGTCGGTCAGCATCGGCTGCTTTGGATCAAGATATGGATGAAAAAATGCAAAAGTTTTGGGCAAGTCTACCTACTGTTCATATGACCTCTGAAAATAGAATTATGATTGAATCCATTGTCAAGCAATCTGATCTAGTTTATCAACCAGTAAGTTAAGAAGAAAGTACAAAATAAAGAATAATCTAAATTTGCTTATTTTCTTGATAGTCTACGAAGAAGCTGAAACCTGATGAAAAACAAGAAATCATGGATGGTTTGATCAAAATGGGGTTTCGTCCTTCTCATGTCAACGAAGCTTTGGATTATTGCTCTGATACAGCCTCTGCCTTGGATTGGTTATGTAAGTGTTATAGAAACAAAGATTCATTTGAAACTGATTTATTGATGTTGATCCTTACTTTGTCTAGGTTTGCACGTACCAGAAGATGGTAATAACAAAAAAAAAAAAAAAAAAAAGAATAAAAAAAATCAAAAAGAAAAAGAAGATATCTAACGTGTTTTTTTTCTTTCTTTCCTTATTTTCACTTTTATTCAGATTTACCTGGTCACTTTTTACATGGAAGTTATAATCCAAAAATGACTACCATTTCTCATACAACCCAATCTCTTGGACGTGATTGGCTTCTCAAACGAATGAATTCTATTGGATATCCAGCATCGATCTGTGAAGAAGCAATGCAACAAATGGGCGATGATGACAGCAAAGCATTGGAATTATTACAATGGCGACTCGTCCACGCGGATACTGACATGCCTGAAATGGAAGCTACCACCATGGACGATCAAGAATTAAAGGATGCACGAGAAGAAGAAATTATTGCTTTGGAATCCATATATGAATCACGATTTCAAAGAGAAATTGATCAGGATCAACGTCAGCACTATAAGATACAATATATGGTACAGGTAGATACGACTACGAAGACAACAACTACGATCGTCAACAAAAAGAAACAAACCAAGACGGCTCTCCCACCTCGTCAGCCATTGATTTTGGATATCATGATTCCGACTCATTCTACATACCCACATGCCCTTCCTGTTTTTATGATCCATTGTGATGGTTTACCGTCATATCTCAAACTCTCGATGATTCAAGGACTAGTAGAGGAAGGCGAACGTAATATGGGAATGCCTATGATTTATATGTGTGCTGAATGGTTACAAGAACAAGCTGACAATCTGATTGCAAACCCACCCAAGTTACGCAAGATCACGGATGGTCTTATGACAACGCCTTTGGCTCCCAAGAAGGTACAACGAAGAAACAAAAAGATTGGACAACGATATCAACAACAAGCACCTCTTTGCCAAGATCAGCAACTTTCTGCCACACTTAAATCTGAACTGGAGTCTATGCATGCAAGCGATGCCTATCAACCTTTTGCTACTGTTCGTTCCAAATTACCTGCTGATGCATTCAAAACAAAGGTTATCCAAGCTGTTCAAAAGCATCAAGTCACCATTGTATCTGGAGAAACAGGTTGCGGTAAGAACAGAAAATTATATATATATAGATATATATTTATGAGAGGGTTATGACAAATGTTTTTTTTTTTTTTTTTTTTTTTTTTTTTTTTGGTTGTCATGTTTACTGATATAAAGGATCTCTTTCTTGTGTATTTTGATAGGAAAAACAACCCAAGTGCCTCAGTTTTTATTGGATGAAGCAATTATGAAAAATCAAGGATCAACTTGTAGTATCATCTGTACTCAGCCTCGAAAAATCTCTGCTATTGGTGTTGCTGGTAAAATAAAATAAAACAAAATAAAAAGTATTTTGATTAACCTAATTCTATAAATATAGAGCGTGTTGCTGCCGAACGGTGTGAAGCTATTGGTCAAACTGTGGGTTATGCTATTCGTGGTGAAACAAAGGTATCTGCCACTACAAGATTACAATTTGTCACCACTGGTGTATTACTTCGTAGAATTCATAGTGATCCTACTTTGAAAGGAATCAGCCATGTCATGATTGATGAAGTACATGAAAGATCTGGTAAGAAGAAAGCTTCAGAGAAGATACATAAGATCACTCACTTTTTTTTTTTTAAAAAAAAGTTGATAGCGACTTTTTATTGATCATCTTGCGACAACTTATTCAAAAACGAAAAGATATCAAAATCGTATTAATGAGTGCTACTATCAATCAAGAATTATTCTCAGGTAACAATAATAATAATAATAATAATAATAAAAAAGGTGAATGTTAGGATTTTTGTATTCATATTTCTTCTCTTTGTAGGTTACTTTGGTGGAGCTCCTACTGTTGAAATCCCAGGATTTACTCACCCTGTTGAAGACAAGTAAGTTTCTTATAATTTAGTTGATCAAAAAAAAGGTTATCACTGACAGAGATTTATTTTATATATTAGTTATCTTGAAGATATCCTTGCAATGACGACATATGTATCGAAAATGCCATACTCCAATAAAAAGGATAAGGATGACGAAGAAAATGGATTGAACAAACCAGCAGGACAATGGGCGCAGTGGCAACTGCCTTATTTAGAAAAAGGGTATGATGAACGAACAGTGCATTCTTTGGCAAGGTACCGAAATCAAGACAAGATCGATTATGATTTGGTAGCTCAAACAGTCAAGTACATTGTGGACAATGAAACATTGAAAATTGATGATGGTACGGAGCCTGCAATATTGATCTTTATGCCTGGTGCAATGGAAATCAAACGATGCGTGGAATCTCTTCAATCGACTTTACCGTCCTCCAGTGTTTATGATATTTTACCTCTTCATGCCAATTTATCACCTCAAGAACAAACTCGCGTCTTCAAACCAGTCAAAAAGGGTGTTCGTAAGGTAGTGGTGGCAACCAATGTAGCAGAAACATCGATTACAATTGAAGGGGTGATATATGTGATTGATTCGGGTCGTGTGAAGGAAACACAATACGATGCTGGTAGCAATATGATGCATTTGGTAGAAACATGGGCTTCAAGAGCTTCTTGCAAACAACGACGTGGGCGTGCTGGGCGTACTCGACCTGGAAAATGTTTCAAATTGTTTACTCGGGATACGGAGGAACGAAAAATGAGACCGCAACAAGTACCTGAATTGCTTCGGACACCTTTGGAACAACTTTGTTTACAAGTGAAATCTATGGCTAGTAGTGATGATGGTTCTATTTTGGATGTTAAAACCTTTTTACGTAGTGCCATTGATCCTCCCTCTATTACTGCTTTGAACACGGCTCTGGCAACGCTTAGGGCAGTAGATGCTATTGATGATACAGAACGTGGGGATTTAACACCTTTAGGCAAACATATGGTAATATATAAAAAGAAGGTAGGACAAGTCTGTGGGTATCTGATCCATTTTTTTTTTTTTTTAATTAGGCAAACATTCCTGCCGATCTTAGGATCAGCAAAATGCTTCTATTTGGTTCCATCTTCAAATGCCTCGATCCTATATTAACAATTGCTGCCACTATGTCTTTGAAAAGTCCTTTTACGTCTCCAATGGAAAAACGGGAAGAAGCCAAAGAGTAAGTTTTTTTTTTTTTATTTGTATTCAAGGTGATAACAGAAATTAACTTTTTTTTTTTGAAAGGGCCAGGGAAAAGTTTATCTATGGAAACAGTGATTGGCTTACAGATATGCGTGCATATGATGAATGGTATCAAATTATCAAGACAAGGGGAATTCGGGAAGCTAGACTTTTTTGTGAAGAAAACTTTCTATCATTTGCAACCATGACAGAAATTCAATCTTTACGACGACAATATGCTGATAGTTTGAAGGAAATTGGATTCTATGACCCGACTCGTTATGGTGGTGATGATTATTATAATAGTAATCAAGAGAATACCAATCTATTGAAAAGCATTATCTTTGGAGGTCTTAATCCTAATTTGGCCCGGATTCGATTACCTGATACCAAATATGATAAGGTTCTTAGTGGTACTGTGGAAAGGGAAAAAGAAGCCAAGGAAATCAAGTTTTATACAAAACAGGATGGTAAAAAAAAAAAATCAAAACAAATCAATAATGGAACATGATTAACCTTTTTTTTTTTTTTTTTTTTTTTTGGTAGGTCGTGTATTTCTTCATCCAGCATCGATACTCTTCAACACTAATCAATATGGGGCTTCGTTTTTGACGTATTTTTCAAGAATGACGACCAGCAAGACATTCCTTCGAGATGGGACTGAAGTACCTTCATATGCGATTCTTTTCTTTGGTGGCAAATTGGACGTAGATCATTTAGGAAGAGGATTGAAAATAGGGGATGGTTGGCTCAAGTTTAGAGCTTGGGCTCGTATTGGTGTGTTGGTGAATCAATTGAAACGACTTTTATCTGCAGAATTGGAAAGCAAGATTGAAGATCCTAATCAAGACAGTAAGTAAATAGTAGTATTTCTGATTAAATCCTGATTTCCTTTTTTTTATGTTTAGTTTCTTCAAGTGGTGTTGTAGATGCTATGGTTACTCTGATCTCTAGTGATGGTATTTAATGTTACTTCTCCCCTTTTATTTTTTTCCCCCTTATTGTTCCCCCCCGTTGATCCATAAATACATATAGATAAATAGATACTTTTTTTTTTGAATGAATAGAATAGATTTTTTTTTTTGATCTTTTCAATAAATCAAATAGATGATTCTTTATTATTAAGATGATGAATGTTGGAATAATAGTAGAAAGAGTCATTTATTATGAGAGAGTATAAAATGAATCTTGATTGGTTTGAGTACAATCATCTTGATCTAACTGTGATGAATGATCCTTTTCTTCTTCTTCTTCAACATGATTATCATCATCGTTCTGTCGTGTTGCCATCATTTGTTGTGATTCCTGTCGCCATTGAGATTTAAGTAATAATAATTCGTACATATCATGATAAGATAATTTTGCCACTTGTTGTGCCGTTCGATCTGGTAATATAAAAAAAATAAACTTGAGTATATATATGTATTTTCTTCAATAATCATTGTCTTACCATAATCTTCATTGGCAAAAGCATCAATCCATTCGATATCACCAGAAAATTGAACTTGTTTTCTTAATGTCATCTCCAAAATATAAATATATAAAAAAAAAGAAGAGAAAGTAAAGAAAGGAAAGAGTGGAAATTAGATGATGTTGAAATAAAAAAAATGCATTCATGGTTGCTTTCAAACTTTTTCCCAATTACTCTCTCTATTTATGGATCAAGGGTGAAATGGTTATTTTGATAGAAAACTAAAAAAGGAAACTGGAGAAGGAGGGATGTTCTTTTTTTTTTTTTTTTTTTTTTTTTTGACTGAGGTTCCGCAATTAGGCTTTCGGATTGGGAGTACCTTCTTTTTAATCTTGATCTCTCTCTCTTTTTATCGTTACTGCGGAAGGGTGACTAATGCTGATTATTTTTTTTTAAAAAAAAAAGAAGAAAAAAAAAGAAGAGAGAAAAAAATGATGATCATATTAAAGAAAGTAATAATAAAAAAGTAAATAAAAAGAAATATTAAAACAATATATTGTCAAACAAAAAAAAAAAGTGTCATTTCTTTGTTTGTATTTCTGGATCTTTCTTCGGCTTTCTACATCAAAAGGAAAATCACTTGTTCCCCCCCAATTGTGCCTCGCTTAGTGACTCCGCCTCATTTTGAATCACCTCGCGACAGATAGATATAAAAATATTTTCAAAACGTTTTTTCTTTTTTATTTTCTTTGTGCTTTTTTTTTTTGCTCCCTTTCCTTTCTTTTTTTATTATTACTTTGTTTCTTTATAATGGATCTGTCTTGGTGTATCATTTGTGACAACCGTATTGATGACATCTTGGTAAGTTTACTTGGATATATATATATTATATAAGATCTAACTTTTTTTTTTTGAAAATAGACTGAATCATCCTTATATTGTTCAGAGACTTGTAAAGGCAAAGATCAATCCAACTCTATTTGTGAACAGAACAATGATCAAACCACTCCTTTGAAACCAGTTGTAAAGGCAAAGATTAATTCAATTTGTCGTAACAAAAAACCTACTACCCCTTCATCTTCTTATCCTTGGGAATTATTGTATACTCGACCTCGTAATAGGCGTCATGTTATGGTGAAACGATGTCAACCTATGATAGCAAGTTCATTTACCACTGCCACTGCTTTGTTTTCTCCTAAACCTTCCATGGTCTAGTTCCCTTCTTTTTTTATCTTTCTTTCATTTTAGTCTAGCTTTTCATTTTTTTTTTTATCCCCCTCCTTCCTTGGCGTTAGAACAAAAATGTGGAAGGATTGTAAATATTCATATCACAAACAAACAAAAAATCATTCATTTTATCTTTCATTATCTTATATATATCAAAAAAAAAATCATATTTGCATACCCTTTTTTTTTCCATCGCCAATGGATTTTAGTATAGTTTTTCCCCTCCCTCCTCTTTACATTTTTTTTTTTTTTCATCTCTCCTTTTATCTCTATGAAAATAAAACCTTTTTTTTTTCAACTATTTTATTTGTCTTTTTTTAATATTACTTTTGAATTGTGTTCTGAAAGTTATGATTTATGTGATACCTATGCAAAATAATAATGTGATAAAAAAAAAAGGGAAAAGCGGTTCTTGAATTTTCTTTTCTTTTTTGGTTGCGTTTCTTTACATCCTTTTTACCTTTTCTTTCTGTACTTCATGTTCACCGAACAAAAGGAAGGTAGTTTTGGTGCTTTGTTTCAACAATACAAGGAAAGACATGTCGATGAACCTACCTTCCTTTCAGCTTGCCATCTTTTTATTTACTTTGATCAAACCAAGGCAAGTTCTATCAGAATACATTTAAAAGGGGTTATATGACTCATGTTGGTATTTTTTTTTTTTTTAGGTGGTCACTGAACGATTGGTGATTCTTTATATTTTATATGCTTATTATGCTCATAAGCCTTTGACACAAAATCCTTTCTTAACCTTCTTTTTGGAATTTATCATGGACCAAGGACGTGGTGATTGGATGGAACAACACTTTGTTCATGCCATCTTGGAAGGATGGATCGATACGGTAAAAAAAATAAAAATAAAAATAAAAATAAAATAAAGTAAATAAAATAAAATAACAAAAAATGGAAGATCACAGTATATTTACTCTTTTTAATATAGGTAGAGCCTCTAACCCCAACTGATGTGTTTCATGAACCTGATATTTATATACCAATGCATCCTCCTACGACGTCGGTACTGAATGAATTGAAACGCGCTGTGGCTCGTTTGTTGGATGAAAAGTATGTACAACAAATAGAATATATGGATTATACAAACAGACTCAATTTTTTTTTTTCGCTTAGTGATGATCAGATGGATACATCAAATACTGAACTTACTGGTAATAAGTGGACACAATATGATGATCGAGATAGACTTCTTTCTGATATGTTGACCAAGGTAAAAACTGAAAATATCATGATCGATTTAGAATAATCAACTGTATATACGTATTTTTTTTTTTTTTTTTTTAAATTATAGATCCAAAATGACAAACTTGATCCTTCTATCATCTCATTTTTATCTGATTTACTTTTCCAAGCAACAACAAGGACATTGACGATTCCTGAAAATGAGGTAGATCATATCTTGATTGAAAAAGGTAGGTGTCTGATTTCTGTCTTTTTCTTTCTCTTTGATTAGGTGCTTATTCAAGGCTCGAAACTTCATCCTTACGTTGTGAATCTCTTACCTCTTGCACCCAGACAACTTCCAAAATTGATAGAATTGAATCATTTTTTGGCGGCGGATCTTGTACCCATGATTCTGACTAGATCTATGGCTGAAGCGTAAACTTTTTTTTTATATACTGATCGCATCCAATTGATAAATTCTTTTTATGTAGGTATCTTCATTTCTTGGCCATGCCTAAAGTGACATGCAATTCATTGGAAGTGATCCATCATGTCTTGACAACACATCAACAACGTTTACCCGATGATTTTCTACATGCCTATATATCAAGTGCTATTCAAACATGTGAATTATTGGAAGGATCATGGCAGGAAAGACAAGTACGCATGGTAAGTGAAGACACAAAAGATATCACTTTTTTAATTTTTTTTTTTTTGTATAGGTAGCGAAATTTTTACAATCCTTATTGGAACGACATATTCTCCCTATTACTGATTATATGATCGAAATTCAATCTTTTTGTCTTGGTTATCTTAAAATCCGAGGTGTGGCATCTTTATTCCGGACGGTATCTCAAGAAGCATCCATAGAATAGAACACTTAGTTTTAGATACCCCCCCCATTGTATTTCCCAAAAAAAAAAAAAAATAAACTGTGAAAACTAATCTTCCAAAAAAAAAAAAGAACAATGTTGTATGAAAGTCTATCAAATATAAAATATATCCTTTATTTTTTTAATTGATGTAAGAGAGTGAGGTGTATGTGTAAAAAAAAAATAAGACGATCATATAAACAAAAAAGGTGAATGGGATTTGCGGGACTAAGAGGTCTAAATAAGAAATGTATGTTTTATGTTTTTACATCATTTGTTGGTTTTGAGATTCACGTTGGATTCTATTGACATAAGATCGAGACACGACGTTCCAGGCTTCCATGTAACGATCCATACATTTAGAAAGACATTGTTGTTCACCACTTTCAAGACGAGGACCAGGTTTGGGCACACACTTCAAATAACACTTTTCGTTGATTTTCTAAATAATAAAAAAAAAAAAGTGAAATCAATTTATGTTTTCTTTTTCTTTTTTTTTTTATTTTATTTTACATTAATGAGTTCTTGAGCATTGGCCATGGCAAGTTCACCACGGACTTGTTCCATGACTTCTTGTTTCTTGTTGCTCTATAAAACAAAAATAAATTATAAATCTCATATTTCAATTTCCCCTTTTTATAAATATGTTCTTACCAATTCAGGAGCGCCAAAGCTGGAAGAATAATCACTCATTGTCGATAGTTATAAAAAGTAATAAAAGAATGAAAAGAAAACGTTAAAAAAAAAAAGAAAATTCCTTAAGGCTTTTTTTTTTGTCGACTGCTACCCCTCACCCATCCCTCCTTCCGTTTTTACCTGCCATTTTTCAAACACAGCACACACTAGTCAACAAGCCACTTTCCTAAAAATCATTGATCTGACTGTATCTGAAGGACTTGTCAAGAGAAGAATGATCGTCGACGACTGCGAAGGATGATGATTTTATAATGACAATGATTCGATTTTGTGTGTGAATCAATGGTCATGATGAAGAGCAAAGATTGATGGCTGATGAGATCTAGACTGATTTGATTTTTCTATGATGATGACTTTGATGAGAATGTTATGGCTCTATAAAAATGTTGGATATGTGTATGGTAACGATCATGATGAACTTTCTAATCAAATCAATTTTAAGTTGAAATAAGGCATAAAAAAATAATCATGATAGTAGCATGTCTAAAGAAGGATTTTATTACAGTAGGTATACATCAGATTGACTAACCATCATAACATTAATTAAAAGACAAAAAAGATCAAAATAAATCATAAATCCGAAACCAGCGGCATAGGGATATGAAGTTATGTCTTTGTGGATCATCAGGTGCGATATAAAAAAATACAATATTTGATGTAAAGGTCATCGGCTGATGGATGAACCGGCGAGTATAGTTGAGTTGCATCATAAGTAGGAGGATCAGGATTTGCATTTATCGAAGAAGAATGGACAGATACGGAAGATTTACTAAGTTTGAATCCATTTGTGCCAGTGAAGGACGATGATGTACCTGATGATGGATGATCTTTTCCAATAGAAAACCATTTCCCTTTGTCATTGGATCCATTCGTTGTCACAATCGTTGAAGCTTTACTTTTCCCCTTGGCAAGAAGCACACTCTCACCTCCACTGATATAATTCACAGATCTATCATCATCATATCATCATAAATAAAATAAATAATAATAATAAAAAAGCATGAAAGATCAGTGTCAAAGTATATAGTAAAAATCATATGGATGGTAACAGGTCTTACCCAATATAGCCATAAGGATTGTTTTGCATGCCTTCTGCTACAAATTCCTGAAGACTCTTCATATCCAACTAGGTGGTGCACAAAAAAACAGCGGTGAATGATTAATATCGTCAATCACTGTAACTGTTCGTCTACACTTACTTGATCATCAAACATAGAAAAGCTGCAGCTGACATCTAGATGAAAGAGGAAGGTGCTTGATATAGAGATATAACGCACTTTTTTAACCTGATTATTTTTCCTTACCTTTACTGTGTATACTGATCATTGTCGCTTTTGTATTATTAGAACGGACCAATCTATAAGATAGTGGGATTAGACCATCTCTTTTTTATGAATTTCTTTTTTCAGTACTTACTCCTCATTTAAGGTGGTGTATAAGTTTCTTGCTTCTTTTCCTTGACGGATGCGGACCATGCCAGGCTGATAAGTTGTTGGAAATATCGATGGAGTTACCTTCAAGGTCCCTTCAACCAGTTCGTCAGTTGCACGTGTTTTCTTGAGAAGAAAAAAAAAATGAGTATCTCCATGAATTGTTTTGGTATTACACAACGAAGGTATGGGAACGAACTTACCGTGAATTTGTATCGATGTTCAATGGAACGATGCTGCAGGTTACTCCACAAGGTTTGCCATTCGCTAAGATGTTTTCTGATGCTTGATTCAGGAATATCGTCGTCGTGATTGATCAGCTTTCCCACGCGATGGATCGTAAATTTGTGGTATCTAAGGCTATCCATCATATGTGTATGGAAAGCCACATCTAATAAAGCGATCATCGATAAAAAAAAAAAAGGAGGATCATATTAGTTATTATTTCTAACGTTGTTTCATCTTTCGACAGTACATTCCTTTTTTCCTTGTAATTACCGATTTCAATTGTTGGAATAGCCTTGTGATTAGGATGCATTTTGATTAAAGCCAGATGATCGTGGTATCGTCGAATAGCAGACATGTAACTAATAGGGTATTGCCAATGAATGGACGTAATATTAGAATAGAATTTGCGCTGTCTAGCCACTGCTTGAATCAGGTCATTAGAGAATGGAGAGGGATTGCCTTGATAAGAAGTTCGAATAGCATACAACAATTCTGCCAAAAAAAAAGAATAAAAAACGGTAAGTCCTTTTACGTGTGGTTTGGCATTTATCTTTACCATTGGCATCATACTCGTAATCGGGTCCAAGGAATTTGAGTTGTTCTTGAATCTGTCGTTCATAAGCGTAATCCATTTCATTTTGAGGGATAATGACTTGAATGGGTCTGATCTTGGCTATCATTTTGTTGAGAGTCACTTTTACGCTGCCATTTGGATTCAACAGCGTTCCTCTAGTATGTAATGAAAAATAAAATGAAATAAAATATAAAATCAATTTGAGAATTTGGCATATCGGATGATTCGATTACTGTATAATCGATAGCACTTACGCGACTACTGGACCATTCATCAAATCAGATTCTAACTTCATTCTTGCTACATCCCAAAAGTTGATACCATCTACAGGCGCACAATCATGAGGAAAACGAGTATGGTTTGCACCAAATCGGTAATCGTAATAATTGGACCTATGATGATAAGTTGTATACAAAAGAAACATCAGTAATGGCAAAATCTATGTTTTTTTTCTTTTTTCTTTAGTTTTGGATAGCCAATACTACGTTACCATGGTAATTCGATCACTTGTCGACAACGGTAGCATGGACGTTGAAATGTTCCCGAGTACATGTTTTGGTTGGTCAAATGATAAGGTTCATCTTCGCCAAAAGTTTGTTTCCATCTTTTCAGGTCGTTAGGAGTTAGATCTTCATTTTTGAACTATTATGAATAAAAATTGTATCAGTGGCGAGATTTAGCGTTACTTTATTTGGTACTTTACGAGGTCATACAAAGGGAGTGGATCATCAAAGAGTTTTTTACAAGGTAAGCGTAAGACAAGATCTTCGTAACAGCGGAAAGGAGAAAGTTTATGCACATGCCACATAAATGCAATATCTAGAAAGGAAAACATAGGTGAATAAGAAATACATATATATATATATATATATATATATATATGATTTTTTTTCTTTTTCTTGAATGTATTACCTAGAGGAGGTACCAACATGGGACTAAAATGATTGTGGATCCATTTTTCATATCGTACTTCAGCACGAGCAAGATAATGTCGTTGTTCCTGAAGGGTCATTGTATCCATAAAAGTCCAAAAACGTTCCAAAAAGGAGAGATAATAGTAACAGTTTTCAACAGTAACCACGCCATTGAGTTTAGGGAAATGAGTTGGATTAGGAGCGACAGGAGGAGGAGCGGAGAACTTGCCATATGTCATGGTATCAATAAAGAGTGATAGTGAATATTGTGAGATAAACCAAATTAAATGATCATATTAACAAAAAAAAAAAAAAAAAAAATGAAAGAGAAAGAAAACTTTAAAATACATCAAGTATTTCTTTTTTTTTTTTTTTTCACAGCATCCGTAGCCACGCATTGTAAATCTCCGCTGTCATTAGTTGCAAGTGGGAAATGCTTACCATATTTACTGCATGTCCCACAAGAAGACAAAAACGGACTTTGGAACATTACATTGACCACAGGTTAATTTCCTCAAAACGAAATATTACCTTTGTGATTAGAACGATGGATGAACGCTTTTTTAAGATGCAGATGACTCGATTGTGAATATGATAAAGATGATGATGGATAGCGTGTTTTCTAATCACCAAACAATTTGAGTTGACCATAAATGCGTAAAAAAAAAAAAATATGGTAATAGCACGTCTAAAAAAGGGTTTTATTATAATACATCATAATACTAGATAAAAGATACAAGTATACATGTAGAGATAAACTAACTAGAAAAGACATGCAAAATAATAATAAGAGATCAGAAACTGCCGACAAAGGCAGCTAAGGGACCGGCTTGCGCTTTAGGAGGACCACCAGATGCATATAAAAAAACGTAATATCTGATGTAGAGATCATCGATTGATTGATAAGCCGGTGGGTACTGACCTCGATGAGTTGCATTATAGGTTGGAGGATCAGGATTTGTGCTTGTCGAAGAAGAATGGGCAGATACGGAAGATTTGCTAAGCTTGAATCCATTTGTGCCAGTGAAGGATGATGATGTACCTGATGATTGATGATCTTTTCCAATAGAAAGCCATTTCCCTTTGTCATTGGATCCATTCGTTGTCACAATCGTTGAAGCTTTACTTTTCCCCTTGGCAAGAAGCACACTCTCACCTCCACTGATATAATTCACAGATCTATCATCATCGTATCATCGTAAATAAAATAACAATAATAATAACAAAAAAGCATGAAAGATCAGTATCAAAGTATATAGTAAAAATCATATGGATGGTAACAAATCTTACCCAATATAGCCATAAGGATTGTTTTTCATGCCTTCTGCTACAAACTCCTGAAGATTCTTCATATCCAACTAGATAGAACACAAGAAAAAAAAAAGTGGTAGATAATTAGTGTCGTTAATCACTGTAACTGTTCGTTTGCACTTACCTGATCATCAAACATAGAGAAGCTGTAACTTACATCTGGATGAAAGAGAAAGATGGTTGCTATTGAGATATAATGCACTTTTTAACATGATTATTTTTCCTTACCTTTACTGTGTATACTGACCATCGCCGCCTTTGTATTATTAGAACGAACCAGTCTATAAGATAATGGGATTAGATCATTTTTTTTATGACTTTTTTTTTTTGGTACTTACTCTTCATTTAAGGTTGTATATAATTTTCTTGCTTCTCTTCCTTGATGGATTCGGACCATACCAGGTTGATATTCTGTCGGAAATACAGCTGGAGTCACCTTCAAGGTCCCTTCAACCAGTTCGTCAGTTGCGCGTGTTTCCTTGAGAGAAGAGAAGAAAATTAGTATTTTCTCTTTTCGGTTAATTATTTGATATATAGGAATAAACTTACAGTAAATCTGTATCGATGTTCAATGGAAGGATGTCGCAGGTTTTGATTACTCCACACGGTTTGCCATTCCCTAAGATGTTCCTTGATGCTTGATTCAGGAATGTCGTCATCATGATTAATCACCTTTTCCAATTGTGTGAGCGTAAAATTACGATAGGTTCGACTATGCATCATATGTGTATGGAAAGCCACGTCTAATAAAGCAATCATCCATCAAAGGAAAAAAAAAATAGATTCACATTAGTACTATTTCTAACGTTGCATCATCCTTCGACGGTATCTTTCTTTGTTATTTGCATATTACCGATCTCAAGCGTTGGAATAGCCTTGACATTAGGGTGCTTTTTAATTAAAGCCAGATGATCATGATACCGTCGGACAGCAGCTATGTAGCTAATAGGGCGTTGCCAATGAATGGACATAATATCAAAGTAGAATTTGCGTTGCCTAGCCACTGCTTGAATCAAATCAATAGAGAATGGAGATGGATTACCTTGATAAGATGTTCGAATGGCATATAATAGTTCTAACAAAAAAAAAAGATAAGTCCTCTTATGTATGATTTGGAGTTTATTTTTACCATTGGCATCATATTCGTAATCGGACCCAAGGAATCTGAGCTGTTCTTGAATCTGTCGTTCATATGCGCGATCCATTTCATTTTGAGGAACAATGACTTGAATGGGTTTGACCTTGGCCACCATTTTGTTGGGAGTCACTTTTTCAGTACCATCCGGGTTTAATAGCGTTCCTCTAATATGTCATAAAAAATCAACTTGAGAATTCACATAATGGGTGATTTGATTAATGTATAATTGATAGGACTTACGCGACTAAACCGTTAGTTAAATCAGATTCTATCTTCATTCTTGCCACATCCCAAAAGTTAATACCATCGTCAGGAACACAGCTATGAGGAAAACGAGTGTGATTGGCACCAAAACGGTAATCGTAATAATTGGGCCTATGATGATAAGTTGTATATAAAAGAAACATCAGTAATCATTCTTTTTTATTCTGATTACCCAATTCCCCTAGTACTACATTACCATGGTAATTCGATCATTTGTTGACAACGGTAGCATGGACGTTGGTATGTTCCCGAGTACATATTTTGGCTGGTCAAACAATAAGGTTCATCATCACCAAAAGTTTGTTTCCATCTTTTCAGGTCGTTAGGAGTCAGATCTTCATTTTTGAACTAATATGAATAAAAATTGTATCAGTGGCTAGGTTTAGCGTCACTTTACTTAGTACTTACGAGATCATATAGAGGAAGTGGATCATCGAAGAGCTTTTTACAAGGTAAGCGTAAGACAAGATCTTCGTAACAACGGAAAGGAGAAAGTTTATGCACGTGCCACATAAATGCAATATCTAGAAAGGAAAGCATAGGTGAATAAGAAATACATATATAGATATATATATGATTTTTTTTTCGTTTTCTTGAATGTATTACCTAGAGGAGGTACCAACATGGGACTAAAATGATTGTGGATCCATTTTTCATATCGTACCTCAGCACGAGCAAGATAATGTCGTTGTTCCTGAAGGGACATCGTATCCATAAAAGTCCAAAAACGTTCCAAGAAAGCGAGGTAGTAGTAACAGTTTTCAACAGTGACCACACCATTTAGATTGGGAAAGAAGTCATAAGTAGGAGGAACTGGAGCTGGTTCAGAAAACTTGCCATTGTACGTCATGATATCAATATAGAGTGGTAATAAAAAAAATTGTGAGGTAAACCAAAATTAAAGAACATTGTATAAAAAAAAAGAGGGAAAGAAAACCTTAAATAGATTGAAGTAATTTTTTTTTTTACTACAATTTCCGCAGCCACGCGTTGTAAATCTCCGCAAGCATTTGCACATTTGTGCAGATGTCCACTTATTCTGGTTTCGATTATTATGACAATGTTGTCTTTTCTATAACGATGTAATCGAAAATATGTAAACATGATCTATCTTTTCATAATAATAATAAAAAAATTCATCATTGGTAATCCCTAACAAAAAATTTTTTTGATGTGTGAATAAAAAAGAGGTTACTTTTTATGAGGACTAAATCAAAAAACTCAGGAAAATGGATCACAGCAAAATCGGAGAAGATGTCTTCAGATCCCTTTACCTTTTCTTACGTCATATGAAATTGTTGATCACTCCATCTTCCATTTCTTCAAGTGTCACATCTGGTAAATCATCACCAACTCGATGGAGAAAAATTCAGGATAATAGACCTATACGGCAGAGATACGGAACAAAAAAAAAAAAAAAAAAGGCATTTGTGCGATAATTTTGTTGAACCGGAATGGGGAGTTTTATGTTAGATTTCAGGTACGTCGATACGTATGTTAGTTCTAGCGGCCTCTTCGATTCATTTCTTTTGCTGTTAGTGTCTCGAATGATTTATACAGATGTCTTTATTCAAAGTAATACATATAATACAAACATAAAAGTCTAGTCTAGTAACACAAAATAAAACCGGGAATAATCTATAACTACAGATAAGTTGGAATAATGTTGGTGATCCTGGTGCTCTTGATGATGCTGCTGATGCTGATGCAGTAGACGGATGAAGGTCTATAGAGTAAAAAAAAAAAAAAAAAAAAAGAAGGTAAATAAGCGAAATATTGACAATCCAGCAATAATAACAATGGATATTTAAAATAAACAGACAGATCACCTTGGTCGCCAGAAAGTAACTGGTGAATGAATCCATGACGCGCCATAAGAATTCCTTTTCAACACTTGCTTGTATGGTCGATGATAAATGATGGAAGGCTTCCAAAAAAAGGATGATGATAAGTAAGGCGATATGATATGAAATCCTCTTTCTTTTTTTTATCACTTTTTGTCCTGCTGTTACCTGTCCCTGTTGTCCTACAATGCGAATTTACGATAAATGGTTAGTGAAATTCTTCGCGTATAAGATGATAATGATATTGATTGCCACCTTTTCTTTGTTACCTTTAGTTTGCCCTTCCCTTTGTTACTGGTGCTGGCGAATGAGACTTGTATCGTATCAATGTGTTTCTCTTCGTCTTCTTCGCCGTCTTGTTGTTTGTTGCTGCTGTCTTTGTTGCTGTATTTGTCTTATCCGTGTAGATAAGGGTAACGCAAAGAGAAAGCATTCAAATAAAGAATCAATATACGTTGGGATATAGTTGGAACAGAAAATAATAAAAGACTTTATTGAATAAAAGTGTCACTACTAAACTGATTGATATACAAAAGGTAAAAAGTCAATGCAATGAAATAGAAAGAAAAGAAAAGAAAGAAAGAAAAAAAAAATAAAAGTTAAAAAAAAAAATAACAATCACGGGCTTCGAAAATTACTCCATCTAACTCTGGAAATACTAACATAAAAGAGGACAGACATGTTTACCAATATATAATATAGGTTCATCCATTCTAATCATCATGATAAATAAATGTACCAATGATGATCTATAAAGTCAGTAGAAACTAGAAGTACCAAAGAAGAAGTACACTCTAAATAATCTTGTTTCAAACTAAAAAAAAGAAAGACATGACGTGGTAATTAAAATAAAATACAGAGCAATCAATATCAAAGGATGTCATATAAAGACATATCATACTTAAGAACGTGTACGGAGAACCTATCATGAATTTTTTTTATAACACAAAACCGAGGATATAGAATAGATTTATTATAATAAATATAATTCTTTGATGATCATCAAGTTTAAGAAGATGTTTCTGTTTTTGACAACGTCGTATTTTTTATTTTAAAATAATTCCTTATTTTTTGAGAAAGCTTTTCATGTATCAAGGTAAAAAATAAGATGTTCATCATTTCCAGCTAAATATCCACCTTCGCTACCAAACGTATCGCCACCTTTGAACCTAAGCTTGAATCCCTTACAGCCATTATCCTTATAGTTATTGTCAAGAAGGGTCAACTGCATATTTGACTGAAGACCATTACCAAAGCACTGATCAAAAGCTCCTGCTCCAGGGTAAAAACACTCCTTTCCATAGACTAAGATTACTAGGTCACCGCTAGCAAACACGCCTGATTTCTTGCAATAGTATGGTTGACCACTTTGGCCTTGACATTTACCAGACAAAAATTGAAAAGGCTTTGCTTCGGATGGCTTACCGTAAGTACCTATTTTACCGTTGTTAGGGTACAAGTACCTCTTTATTTTTCCTTCCAACCAGTAAATATTGTGCTCTGAACCAACTGTTATTTGTGAGGAATCAACACATGCTTGAATAGTCGCAATTTTGAGACATGCCATGTAGAAGAAAACCAATAAAGCCCACTGTTTTATCATTGCTAACAGTTTGATTATGTTGTATTGATATATTGAATATTAAAAAAAAATCCAACATATTTATATAAGAATAAGATCATAAGCAGGGGTTCTCTCAAGACAAATTGCTGTCTTCCCTTCTGCAAGTGACAAAAAAAAAAAAAAAAAGGAATGGGAGACTTTATTTCAGGTGACTTTCTTACTTCAGGTGAAGGTAGGGGTCCATGTCTAACACTACGCAGCATTGTAGACACTGCTTATCTTGAGAGTGACCATGCCCAGGGAGGTTCAGGGTGTGCATACTCTTTGGTCACTCGTAAACAAGTTGGGTCTCCACCTGGAAATCGTTTTCTCTCTCTCTCTCTCTCTTCTTTTTCTTTTTTTTTTTTTAATTAAAGGGATCTACAATTGACATCATCTGACGATGATTCATTGATATATGTCAGTTCCCATCAATATGTATGCAGTCAATTTCATCGTCTTTGTTTACCTTTTTTTTTTTTTTTTTAAAAAAAGGATAGGAGTCTACAACTGACACCATTTGATAACATACTTCCTAACTGATTCAGTGATATATAGGAGTTTCATCATATTGAAGGCAATCAACAGAAGAAAAGTGAACGGTGATGATGGATATGAGTTCGTGGTATATGGGTCAACCACCTGTGAATTCGATCAATTGGAAATTTGCAACTTTTTTTCAATCATTAATTGTCAACAATCAATGGCCAACCATCGATGATCAGCAATCAGTAATCAATAATCAATTTGTCCCTGAATACTTCATATCATCCATTTCCGCATCCAAAAAATAAATAAATAAATAAGTAAATAGGAAAACAACCATGGATATCTGATATACGTACATATATATTGATTTAAGCGTCCTCTTTCACTTCCATTTTTTTTTTTTTGTGTGCTATAAGTGTTTCAAATAATATACAGATGTCTTTATTAGATGTTCTACATAGAATACAAACATAAAATTCTAAGCTAAAAGCAACACAAAAATAAAAAATATAGATAACTAGAGCTGGATAAGAATAATGGATGAAGATGATCCTCGATGCAGGCAGATGGACGAGCATCTATAGAATGACAAAAAGGAAAGTAAGTAATAGATTCATCAATTCAGAAATATTGACCAACATATTACTAAAGACAAGCAGATCCCCAGTTTCTTTTTCCTAAAAGGGAATGGATGGATTTCCTTTTTAACATTTATGTTGCACGGCCGATGATGAAGGATGGAAGACTTTTTTTTTTAAAAAAAAAAAAGACGATGGTCAGTAAATATGTTGTGACAGGAAATCCTTTTTGCCTCTTTTTCTACTATTACCTTTCCAATATAACACCTGAGATATCATATAATGCGAATTTACGATAAATGGTTAGTGAAATTCTTTGCGTATAAGATGATAATGATATTGATTGCCACCCTTTCTTTGTTACCTTTGGTCTGCCTTTTCCCGTGTTACTAGTGCTGGCGAATGAGACTTGTATCATATCAATGTGTTTCTCTTCGTCTTCTTCGCCGTCTTGCTGTTTGTTGCCGCTGTCTTTATCTTCTCCGGTATATACGCGTAAAGCAAAAGGAATGTATTCAAATAATGAATCAGTACGTTGGCATGTAGTTGGAATAGAAATAATGAAAAACTTTATTGAATAAAAGTATTACTACTAAACTGATTGATATACTAAAGGTAAAGCCAATGCAATGAAATAGAAAGAAAAGAAAAGAAAGAAAGGAAAAGAAAGAAAGGAAAAAAAAATTAAAAGATAAAGATAAAAAATCACGGGCTTCGAAAATTACCTTGTCTTTTTATAGCCATCTGATAGAGACATAGTAAGTTTATCCCAATGTGATCCTATGATTGTTTTTATTTCAACCCCTCCTCAATGTTTAACTTCTTGATAAAAAGACTGTTTTATGCAGGAAGAGAGGCCTCCTTTTTTTTTTTTTTTTTTTTTTTTTTTTTTTTTAAAATGATACTTTGACTGATTAGACCTATACTGTCTCGGTGTTGACTATTCAGATTCTTTCCTTTGCATAATCAACTAGAAGACAGAGACAATGTGTATAACTGAGCATTCGGTCGTGACAAAAAAAAAAAAGATGATATTTCTTGTACAGGAAGAAAAGGAGATGCGGCAGAAAAGCAGGAATTCAACAAAAAGAGGATCTACATGCATCTGATTCCACACACGTCCCTATTTTGTCATGAAAGACTTGCTGCGTTTTCCTGTTTTTTACAGGAGTGATCAGGATGATATGCGTAGTGTGAGACAATCTTCAAATAACATATAAAGCCTCTTTTTTTTTTTAAGGCATCATCCCCAACATAAGATTGGAAAATACACTGTCATAATATCATCTAAAAACAATGTACGCGCTAGTATTGCTTTTTGCGTTGATTCTATGTGTGAATGGGAACCCTGATGATTGGGGTACGGTAGTCAGAACTTCCGATGGTGTTCAAGCTGACAGTTGGATTGCTAGATTAAAGACTATTGAAGTCACTGATGGTCGTTTTTTTGAGGCAGCTTCTCCAACAAGGCCGAATGCTCCAAACAGACAAGTCGAGGCAGAGGGGACAATTAATATTGCTCCAGGTGGAGTTAACATTGGTAAAGGATCTGCTTTAGCATCACGAGCAGATAGTAATGCTTATCCACAATCTGATTCTGGAAAACAAACAATAACGGCTCCCGGCGTTTCATATGCTGAGAGTGGGGGTACGATGTTAGATATTGGACACCCATATGTTGATAATCCTAACGGAGGTACTCAAATATCTTTAATTGGAGTACACATCGATGCTTGTAGAGCAACTGCTATAAGTATTCCAGGGAAACCTGTCAAATTCGAAGGATGTGGAGGTGGTTATATATCGGTTTCCGGTACAAAAGTAGTTGATATACCCAGCTTAGGACCTGCAAATTTTTGGGTGCGTGTGCCTCAAGACCAATCACAACCACAAATTGCTAATGTAATAATCAACGAACAAGTGACAACAGATGATCAAGGTAATCCAACAGTGGACAGCAATGGGATCTACAAATACGATCCCAAAGCTACAAGTGGATATATTAACGGTGTGCGTATCATTATTGAACATGGTGAAATAACTGCATTGCACGCTGCTGTTATTCGTGATGCTAGTAAAACGGATTCATTCGCATCAACCTCCAACATTTCTAGATAAAATATTTACATAGTATCTATCCCTATTCCCCACGATAATTTTTTTTTAAAAAAAAAGAAGGTATCATTCTAGCATAATACACCTTTTTTCTTCAACCATCAATCACTAACAATCTACTTATTCTGAGTATCTCATACTATCCATTTCCGTATACAAAAAAAAAAAAAAAAAATAAGATCACCCATGTGTAAATTAGGCTTCTAATGACAGCGTCGAAATAAAGCTTTTATATAAAAAAATATATATACAACTAAACTAAAACTACAAAGGGAATCTATCTATTTTCTATCTAATCTATTTTTCTGTTTCTATTGATGTTTCAAGGACTATCCGGTTGTTCCAACAAATCATCATAATAAGTAATACGAATGCGACTATCATTATCCAAATAATGCCTTTGCTGTCGTTGCTGCTGATCCAATGAGTCATGTACCTGCATTGTCCTGCTGCGTTGCAAGCGAGTCGTATCCAAAGATGAAGATCCATTTGAATTTGCGAAAACAGACAATGATCGTTCTAATGCGTGTTGTCGAATAGGTTGATTGGAAATATCAAAACGTTCAGTCCACCAGCGATCCAATTGTGTAATCCATGATCCCCGTCGATAATCAGTATAGCAAGCGTCAGTGCTGTAAATGGATGGTAATGATCGACGACGACAACGATGATGATGCTGTAAATCAATGGAAGACTTTGAATCGTCATTTTGTTGTATTGCTTTCGAGAAGTTTCTCCCATACTGCCTATAGAATGGTTGAGAGTGACGCCGTTGTTGATCATTCATGCTTTGTTGTTCTTGTGTTGAGCTATCCATCACTATCATTGAGTGAGTACGTCGAGGGATCTGCGTGAACGTATCTTCGTTGTTATTATCATTGTGATCGGTCCTTGTGACTGTGTGAACTTGTAGTGGTGTTGAGTGGCGTCGTCCCATCATAGATAATCGTAACAAAACCTGTTTTCGTTCCCTCTCCTCCTCCTCTTGCTGTTGTATCATCAAATAGGTCATGTCTTCAGTGGTCGGTCGCGCTGGTAATGATTCATAGATATCAATAAATTCGGATGTGACACCTTTACGTTGCATTCTCCAATCCAAAAGATCCTGATTTGTTGGTGTTTCTACATTGCCATGCATCGTTCGTACCATCAAGTTGTTGTTCATAGGTGAAAGTAAACTAGTGGACGATTGCATTGAATGCTGATCCTGCCGTTGCCAATATTGGTCCATGTGATCATTCTGTACAAGTCCACGATGCTCTTCATCCGTTTCATCATCCGTATCCATAATATTTGTAAACTTTCCACTGTTCATTGTCGGTGAACTATGTTGTTGGCCTAGCGTAGACTGGCTGACATGGTCGAGTTCATCACTGTCCGAGTTACTATCATCATCGTCCACGGCTGTTTCGATAACATCCTTTTCTGTCATGGTGCAAAACTTAATCGTCAATCCATCGTCGAGATCCATTATCATGCTGTTTTTCTTGTTTGGTGTACTACCCTTGTTTCGTAGAAAAGGAGAAGAAGAAGAAGAGTATTGATGTTTGACCATTTCGATTGTTTCTTTTGGATGAGATACATGGTGATAAACTTGAGGTAATAAGTGTTTGACATCATCATGAACCATGGGAGCAGAAAGTTTATGATGAGTGGCAGGATCACGGAATTGATTTTTCAGGGAGTGTGACTTTGAAGATGGTTTCTTTGCAAGTGGTGAATGGTATTGTTGTTCCAACCAGTTAGCAGTTTTCGTATCCAATTTGTAACAACCCATATCAGAAAGTCGTCGACCGTAAAACCATTGATAAGCAAGAGTCAAGAAGGGTAGGGGAATCATACAATAGGCCTGCAAGTGACCACCTTTGAGATCAAGGACAATGATCATGACGACTTGAAAGAGAATAACACCAACGTTGAGTGCTTGAAAAAGAGCTGGCCATATTTTTCCACCACTTTCAATTTTGGTGACATAGATATACATCAACATATATTTGTAAACCAAGGAAGCGATGGTGAAATACATCAGTGCAAAAGGAAGAATCAAAGGGGCCATAGCAGAGTACAAGAGCGCAATGGTGAAGAAAAAGACCGTTATACTATAACCTTGAGGATAATCAAAAGGCGGAGGACGAGCATATTCACGAAGTTGACGAGGAGAAGGACGAGAGATCCATTTTCGTACAGATAGGGTAACCAAAGGCATAAGCTGACACAATTCCATGGTAAGTCCAAGACCTTTCACGCATACATAATCGATCCAAAATGTAGAGACATCAGATATATTTTTAGCCATTTGTAATACATATTCGCCCACACTGGTATCATCACTGTTCAAAGATCCAGAATTCACCAAGGCACGGATTTGACCATAAATACCAACAAAGATACTGACCAGAGTAAATACCAAGAGATTGTTGATGATAAAAAAGGCATAAAGTTTGAGAAAGACCTTGCGATCCAAGGTTGTATGCGTACGGTAACCTTGTTGTTCAGAGAGTAGTCGAAAAAGGTAAGGTAGTAAAAGAAAGAAGAGAGCCATGATAATGGGAGTGAAATAAGCTTGAATGATCCCCATAAGGAAAGCATTGTTGGTGATAAAAGAGTCGGAATTGGGTATAAAGCGGATCAAGTTGATAAGGTTGGAAGTGGCAGATAAAGCACCAATAGGAATCATCCATACAAAGGTAAATATCCAGTAAACAAGTCGACCTGACCATCGTTTCATTTGGCGTTTATAATTATCCAAAGGTAAATTAGCCCAGATGAGATCACGAGCAGGAGGAGAAGGTCTTGCATCCAATTGATTGTCATGATTGTCTTGATTGTTGTTCTTTTTGTTGGCATGACGTGTATATTGATTCAAGGCAGCTTCACAAGCTTGAGCATGTTGTATTTGATCAAAAGATAACCATCCAAAGTTGGCTGCCTTCTTTTTTGCGTGTCGTAAATGATTGATTTCCTTGTCCAAATCATTGACTTGTTTTGTATAATAATCAATGACATCCACTTTTTTACCACCAAAACCAAGGAATCCACCTATGCGCATAGTAGGTCTTTGTTTCGCGACCTTTGTTCCATCTATGGATATATATATATATATATATATATATAAAAGAATAGTTAGTATAATGATAATATATAATAGTGTTCTTGTTTCATATTACCATTGAGATAAGAAGCCAAGGCAATTTCAAGATGTTCAACAGCTAGTTCATGTTCTTCATAAAGAGAAGTGAGTTTTGGATTAGCGTGACCAATAAGAGCTTCTTTGATAGGATAAGGAAGGACGCCTAAGGATTCAATCCATCGTTTGAGTTCTTCGTCAGATTGGATATGATGAGGAATATTACTGAGTAGAATAGTTTTTGCAGTATCAATATCTTCTTGTTGAAAGTATTGTTGTCGTAGTTTGATATAGTCGCCAGAGAAACGATGAAGAAAGTATATGATCATTAAAGTAAAAAACCATGTTGCAGCAAAAGGAGACCAATACCAGCGTAAATCAGGTTGTGTATTGAGTTTACCATTGATATAATTGATACCAGAAATAGAAAGAAAGTCAATTCCAGGAGCAGGAGGCCAGTCACTATTAACAAAAGAAAAAAAGAAAAAAGAAAAAGAAAAAAGAATGAATTGACCACAAAAAAAAAAAAAAAAGTAAAAATAACGTGTAGCGGACTTTACCCACTTGATCGAGTTGCCACAATATTAACAGGGATGAGAGCACAAAGTCCAATAATGGTCATCATTAATAATAATTGACGAAGAAGGCGTAAGAATTTCAAGAACATGACAGCATCATAACCAATACGATGTAATAAATCATCATCTTTTGCTGTTAATAATGGTTTCACCCAAGCTAAATAACCATAACCGATAGCAGGAGGTCTTTTTCTATTCATTTGTTCACCAAAAAGAGAAAAATAACATTGTTTAAAAATAGATTACACAAATGTTTATTTTTTTTTTTTATTTATTTATTGAAAACTTACGAGTCAACAGAATACTTGTATTTTGGAGCATATACCAAATTATGTTTAGGTCGAAGAAGACAAAAACCAATCATCACAAGAATAGCAATACCAAGATTAATCCCAAATTGAGTTGCTAAAGCTTTAATATTAAGATCAGCTTCTTGATGTTTTTGTTCATCGAATGAGATGAATATTCCACCCATTCTTAGATTTGATCTATCTATGTATGATAAGAAAGAAAAGAAAACAAAGAAAAAAAAAAAAAGACATTGATCATGAGTGAATATTTATGTGGGTAACAATTAGCGCGGCGATTCAGCGGGTGTAACCTTTCATAAGACAAACTTCAGGGTTACATTTTTATTCCTTTTTTTTTTTCCTTTCATCATTTTTATTTTTATTTTTTTCATGCTTCAAGTTAAACTAAGAGTGGGTACAGATTTATCGGATTTACAAGTAGTATTACCTTATGAACCAATCAATATAGATAGTCCTTATTTTAAAGGTTATCTTGATATACGAATCAAAGGATGGAATGCTGCTCAGTATTTTGAAAATACAGGAAACACATTTTGTATTCATATTCATGGAAAATTTTTAACTGATGATACTACAACAGATGATATTCTTTTTGGCAATCAATTCGATTCTCCTTTACAATTACCTATAGGATTCTCTATTTTAACCAGATTTGCTCAATGGTGGGATCCTGGTTTAGACCTACATCTCGATGAACAACAACCTTATGCTTTTAGTACTTTAATCGTCACTTTGAACAAATTAAATATTAATCAAGATATTACCATATGTGATCCTGCTGCTGAATATGATGTCGAAGAAAATACCTCCTTAATCACTCCTCAAAAAGAAATCATCTCTGCCAAAGAAAGACAATCTTATTTCAATCATCCTATTCATCGGCAACAAGTACAAGTCACTCGGGATCAAATATGGTTGGGTGATTTTTGTAACGGTTATTTGGACATGATGGTAAAAAAAAAAAAAAAAAGGTAAACAAAAAAAAAAAAAGGATTCATTTTTCTATTGTTTCATATAGAACGGGTCTATACAAATTCCTGGGTTTAGTATTGATGCATTGAAATACTACAATGGACAAGTAAGTTAAAAAACAAAAACGAACACATCTATCATTCATTCGCTCATATAAAATACTTTTTCTATTATAGCCTTTACGATTCATTTGTAAAAAAAGAGATAATTCTGTAATATATTTTATTATTGAATTTGATATATCAAAATAAATAAATAAATAAATAAATCTAATCGTCAATCTAATATTGGATATGCCTTATTCTTCATTTCATTGTTGACCATTTGTTGTAATTGTTGAATGAATTCAGATTCTGGGAAATCAATAGGTGCACTAATGTTAAAAAAAAAAAAGAAATCAACAAAACAGTTAAAACCCGATCCATGCCCCTTCCCCAATCGTCTTACCTGCCATCCTTGGGATAGATCGTTTCAATAGGCAGTAATAATCTTGTTGTACTTGTCAAAAAGCAACCTTCCCATTTACCACTACGAGCATCTTGTATCTTTGGAAATACCCATTCAATATTGATTTTTGCTTGTTCACATAAAGACATCAATACTTTCATAACAGTTCCCAATAGTATATGTTCCAAAGATGCACATTGTATCACATAGCTATTGTTTCTTCGTCGTACAGCAAAAAAATTGGAGGCCATGCCTTCATAAACATTCCCTTGATCATCAATAAGCACCACTTCATTAATACCTTGTCGTTTGCTTTTTTCCAAAGAAGCACGATCCCGTACCCATTGTGAATCCTTGACTGATGGCATAGTTCTTGCTTTATTTTCCAACTCTACTTTGATACGTTGCTTCGGAGGTTGACCGAGGTGACCAATATGAGCTGCAAAACAAGGTCGTTGTAACTAGAAGGATAATAAAAAAAAATATAAATAAACGTTTACATATTTATTTTATCACATACTTCAAAAGAATAAGTCACCATAAGAGATACTTTCGCTTGTTCAGCTTCAGGTATGTGGTTATAATAAGCTTCCAGACCAGCTCGTAACATGGGAATCAACTTTTCTTCAAGGGAATCTATATGTCGAAAAGACACCAGTTGATCTGAGACAGTATCAGGTTCGCCGTCCTTTCCAGTAGGATTGAATTTCATTAAAGTAAGTGAATTGACTATTCTTTTCATATGTGAATTTAATTCTAAAATCGAACCACGTCCTACTGTTCTCATTCCAGTATATGCACCTAAAAAAGAAAAATATCAAAAAAATAAAATATTACATCATGGAGTCTAATAATGATTTACAAAAAAAAAAGGGGTTTCTTTTTACCTCGAGGATATGAGAGAATAAACTCATTAAACGAGATATGACCATGCTTGATTTGATATGACGCTTGTTGGCCAGAAGCAAGTGGATTGGTTTGTTCTATAATAGCTATTGACAATAACGTGAGAAGAATATATATCTATATATTTGGACGTTCTTACTGGAGGACATGGTCAATTGTCTTGAGGAATAATGTATTATTGAGGAATAGATGAACCTTGACGAAGGTGCCGAAAAGAATCTAATAGAACGTGTAAACAAGTACAATGTGATAAAAAAGAAGAACAAAAGGAAAGGAAGAAAAAAGTAGGGAAGAAAAGATATTGTCATAAGGCTGAGGTTAAAAGTTTTCCTTTTTTGGATATATGATTTGTTTGATCTCAACAGTAACCTAATAATAATGATAATAATACTTTTGAAGAAAGAAGAAAAATAAATGATGGTTTTATTATTGATAAAGATATATATGATCAATGACATGAACCTTAAAATGTGAAGATCATTCAGAACCTATTACTATTGAACCAGGCACCCACTGAAAAAGTGGTTTCAACGGGGTTTGAATATAACACTCAACCAATCACATTTATCTCACGTTGAAAAGATGTTTGATTCTCATTTTGCCTTCTTTTTTTTTTTTCTTTTTCCTTTTATTTATTTATTTTCTTTTTGTTCATTGTCTTTCTTCCCCATTTTGCTTATTTAGGGTGACTGGCCTGAAAAACATTAAACTCATGGAAAACAATAGCAATAATACCAACAACGCCAGTAACAATAACAATAACAATAACAACAGCAACAACAGCAACAACAACAACAGCAACAATACCAATAACAACAATAACAGTAGTAAGGCAGATCAAACCAATACATCTACAACAAACAATACCAATGATACTTCTAACGATGCATCTGATCCAAAAAAGAAACGAACTGGTCCTAAAAGAAGAAAAGTGACTCATGGTAAATTTATTTATACAACCAAAAAACTTTTTTTTTTTTTTTTTTTTTTTTTTTTTTTTTTTTGTAATACTCAGTATTTTTCTTATCTTTATGACTTTTTAGCTTGTGTCTATTGTCGACGGTCTCATATGACTTGTGACGATGGTAAGGACTAGAAGAACATTTGAATATAGAAAAAAGCTTAATTTTTCTCTTTTTAGGTCGACCTTGTCAACGATGTATCAAACGAAGTATTGGTCATTTATGTCATGATGAACCAAAACACTCGAGTAATGCACAAAACAACAATCAAAATAAAAACAGAGCTTCCAATAATACTACCAATGGAAACAATTATGGTCTAGCTTCAAGTGTGTCTCAAACTGGAGGTAAAAGAAAAAAATAAAGGGGATAGTAGAACTATGGGTTTGTAAGTTTGTCGATATTAAAATTATTTAATATAGCTCTAGGATCCAATAGTAATCTTGGTGGTCTTCCTTTACAATTTTTTGGTCAAATGGGTACAGGACAACTGACGTTTGCTAGTGAACATATGGGCAATGAAATTTCTGTCATCAGGTAAAAAAAAAAAAAAAAAAAAAAAAAAAAAAAAAAAAAAAAAAAAAAAAAAAAAAAAAAAAAAAAAAAAAAAAAATCAAAATGACTCATTTTCATTGCTTTTTTTTTTTTTGTCTGTCGGTAATAGTGATTTCTTGGATTCTTTAGGTGGTGATGCAAGTGCAATCTATGGCAATAATCAACAACAAGCGAACAGCAATAACAATAACAATGCACCTACTGTGAATACCACTGAAAAATTTTTCTTGACGGCCGCGGATCCATCGGATGGTAAACTGGAAGATCGATTAACAGAAGTGATCAACGCAAAGTACGAGGCTGGTTTCCTCAAACCTTACAATTATGTCAATGGTTATGCACGACTACAGAAATATATGGACAACAAGTAAGTAGTAGTGTAAAAAGAAGACAATCCATTATACTTAACTTTTTATTTTTTTTTTTTTGTTTTAGTATGTCTGCGTCAAGTCGGCAACGTATTTTGAATGTGATGGGAACCTTCCGTCCGGCTTTTCGATCTGTAGCACAATCTCTTACTGATATCGATTTGATTTTGGTAGAAGAAGCCTTTGAAAGATTATTACTTGTAAGTGATCATCAAAAAGAAAAAAAATATGTATGATTATTCTTTTCTCTTATTTAATGATTATTTAATGATGATAGGATTATGATAGAGTTTTCAGTTCTATGGGGATTCCAGCTTGTTTATGGCGTCGTACGGGTGAAATTTACAAAGGAAATAAGGAATTTGCGTCACTTGTGAATGTACCTATTGAAACCTTACGAGAAGTAAGTGATGAACATGATGTTTAATTAGACAAAAAAAAAACATATTTATAATGATGAATTGTATTATAGGGTCGATTATGTATTTACGAATTGATGGCTGAAGAATCCGCTGTCAATTATTGGGAAGTAAGTTTGTAAAATATTGTCATTTTTGGGTTATTTATTATGTTAACACTTTTTTTTTTAAAAAAATAGAAATATGGCAACATTGCTTTCGATCCTGGACAGAAAGCTGTTCTCACATCCTGTTTATTGAAGAATCCTGAACCGGATAATACTAGTGTGATATCTTGTTGTTTTTCTTTTACAATTCGTCGCGATAAGTATAATATTCCTGTAAGTCTGTGTGATCAAAAAGACAAAACATCATTATTAATCACTCGTCTTTTTATATATATGCTTTATAGACTGTGATTGTTGGCAACTTTTTACCGGTTCAATTACAATAACCTTTTCTCTTTTCTTTCTTTCCTTTTTTTTTTTTTTTGTCGTATACTCTTTATTATTTATGATACACTTTTATCTCTTTTTCTTTTTCTTTTTTTCCTTTTTATTTCTTCTTTTATCATTTTACCTTTTATATATATTTAGTGTTAGTATCATCTCTTATATTTATATGATCTGTACTGATAGAATTTTTTTTTTTTTTGGAAAAACAAATAAATTATAATGAATGTTTTTGTTTGATTTGTATGATTGATTGAATTTAAATGAATAGAGAGAACCGATGGGTTAATAAAATACAATGGAAATCAAAAAGACTTTTACGAATATGATTGGATGTTTTTTTTTTATTATTAATACTATCGAATAACATAATAGATATACAAAAAAAAAAAAAAAATACGTACAAGTGATATCTATATTATAACTATTTTCGTCCATTTCGTCCTTTCATCTTGGATAAACAAGTATAACAGTACCATTTACCTTTGGGTACAGTCTTCAGATCCACACATGCCAAATGGAACCATTCGAGATCGCACTGTATAAAAGATATTTATTTAGAATGTAATCTAGAATTACTATTTCAACCTTTTTATGTACTTACATCGTTATTATCACATCCAACCATTTCACCAAAAGAAACTTGTTGACAATAACAATAGAGTGGTTCATTGGGATCAATCGTAAGGTCAGCTGGAATAACACTATTTGATAACAAAAAAAAAAGTTAAATGATGAATTTCAATTTCTCTTCCTTCATTAATAACAATGATAAGATCAACTTACGTTTTTCCTTTTGAATTGCCATGCTTTCCTGGTGTTTTTACTTTATCCTTATCACTATTTGATTTTGATTTTGATTCCTTGGTAACATGTTGTTTTGAAGAACCGGGAGGTGGAGTACCTGTTTCTTTGATTTTGCGTTCTATGGAAATACATCATCATAATACATCAGTAACAAAAAATTATTCATTTTAAAACAAGAAAGACAACTTACTTTTTGAATTAGGATCTATTCAAGGAGTAAAAAAATAATAATAATAAAAAAAAGAATGAGTCAAAGATAATAACTTTGGACTTTTCTTTTTTATATCTTACCTCGTTTTTCGCCTTTATCCTTTCGTTCTTGTCTTCTAAAATGACTCAAAGCTCTATCCTTTGACTCGATATTCTCCTTTAAGAAACGAGATGAAGGAGCCATACCGGGTAAACTTGTGATGCGATCGGTCCAGCCGTTGTATTCATCTTCAAACTTGACTAAATTGGCATCCAGTCGATTACAATGACGCTCCACAGAATCAAATGTTGATTTCGCTAGGGCTACCTTTTCTTCACCTCGTTTTAACGATTCGTTCAGTAATACAGCAAAGTTTTTGAGTCGTTCCAATCGTGTTTCTGTGTTCAAATCTTGTATATGGTCGATCAATTGTATGGCTTCATTGGCTGTGGAATCTATCAATTCTATTTTTAAAGTAAATAAAAGTTAAACACCATGTGTTGTTCTTTCGATAATAATAATAATAATAAAAGAGTAATTTGTGCCTTTTAATATACATACCTTGTGCATAACCATCTAGTTCCCGTAACAAGGTAAAATTTCGTTGAAGTTCTAGTGGTAGAGATTCAATGGCTAGTAATAAAAGTTTTTAAAAAGGGTCAGTTTGAACAAACTAACTTTTTTTATTTTCACTTACTGTCAATATAATCGTCCAAATAGACTAAACTATCAGTAGTTTTCATAGTTGATTTCATGATAACAAGTTAAGAACAGTGATATGAAAAAAAGAATTAAGGTCAAACAAAGAAAAAAAAGAAAAAAAGAAAAAAAGAAAAGAAAAAGGAAACAAAAGGGCAAAAAAAAAAAAAAAAATGGTGATAACTATTTCAACTCCGGCATCTTTTTTTTTTTGTCACTTTCTTTCCCTGCTTTCTTTCTTTCTGTATGTCTTGGATACTTCCTTTTCGATCAAAAGATAAACTAGTTGCGACTCAATGTAGAAACTTGGTAAGATAAAATATAACTCATGTATTATACTTGCTATAATAATTAATATCAATTTTTCACTAGACTTTATCTCTCTATAGATCTCTTTTACGCGCTGCTCACCAGTTCGACACACCGGAGCAACAATGGTTTCTTCACAACACAATACGTGAACGGTTTCGTTTTCATCAATGTGAAACTTCGAGACGTAAAATTGTATCTTTAGTATCAGAAGGAGATAAGGTATTTATGATAGTCAAAAAGAGAAAATAATAACTTGTTTTTCTTTTTAAAATAGGCTCTTCATCAATTGAATCAGGCTCTTGAAGGTCATTCTGCAACAAAGAAATATATTCTTGATCTCTCCTCTGCCAAGATAGGTCCTTTGCATCATGTTATTACAAAGGTTAGTAAAAAAAAAAATAAAAAAATAGAAATAAAAATAAAAAGATAGAAGCTGACGTATAAAATGAAAAATGATGGTTAATATCTCTTTCTTTTTTTTTTATAGTTACGCAAGATACCAAATGTATGAAAATATCTTTCATTGATCACCTTTCTTTCTTTTCATCATGATGATAATAATCTAATTTCTTTTTATTATCATTATTATCAATCTATCATATAGCTCTTGCAACGATCCATCACAGCAACTGATATTCGATCACAGGCATCCAAACATCGACACCCTTCATTTTACGATCGAATAAGTTTACCCCCTCATCTCATCTCAGATGTACGATTAACAGGATTATCCACACCAGTACCCTCCAATCGAAAGGAATACAAAGTAGCAACAAAGACATTAGAGATAATGCGACGACAACAGAAGAATCGAAGGAAAAGCATTGTCCGCGAATGGAAACCATATCAAGTCAAACGAGTGGTCCAGGCTTCTAGTGGTTTCAAGTTTATTCGACGACGTGGATTTCGCCAACCTGTGACGACGTCTATGATGATGAAACAACGAACACGAACAATACAGAAGCGATTGGATCTTTATTACCATTTAAGAACACAACGTGATTATATGAAATCGGAACAAATCTTTTTGAATCAATTGGGTGTGAAGAATGATTGTCGCGAATATAGTAAGTGATACGAAAATATGATGACAGATGATTCCCCCTTACTTTTTTTTATCTTTTTTTTTTGTGTTCATGCAGTACAACCTATTACTGAAGCGATCAAGAACAACAACACCTTTATCCGTCCAACCATAGACACATGATAGTATCCCCATCTTTCCCAACAATCTCATTAGAATAGTTCCCACCATAGAATTATTTGTAGATAGGCACGCACACGCATATATATATATATATATATATATATATATTGAATCAATGATATAATAAACATTACTTGGAATTACATACAAATAAGACAGTTAGTTTTAATTGAATGATATGAATATATTTTAATAATACATCTTTTTACAAAGATATCAAAATGGATAGATAGAGATAAAAAAAAATGATGAAACCAATGAGAATCAAAACTAAACTATTGATATGGATTAAATAATAATAAAGAAAAGAGACATGCAGAAAAAATAAAATAAAATAAAACAAAAAAAAAAGAAGACATAAAAAGAAAATAGATCTAATTTGACTTCTTGAGAGTAGCAGACGAAGCAGCAGCAGCAGCAGCAGCTCTACGTTTACCATAAGTACGACGAGCAAAGTCCACAAAGAGATAAGTCAAAGGTAATAAATACAAGACGTTCAAGAGGACAGCGAATTTTTGACCAGGAGTGGCAAGACAATCGTTGATAAAGAGATAAGAGGTAGCAAGAGACATACCCACTAAAAATTGTGAGATTTGAATAGAGGTAATATAACGTTTGCCAGGTACATGGATACCCACAGAGGTCATAGCATAGTAAAGATACATAATGGAGTGAACAAAGGAATTGAACACGACAAAGATCCAAATGGGTTGAGCTCGGAAACGAATACCAGCCCACCTAAGAAAGTTTGAAAAAAAAATAGTGTTGGTTATTTCATGTTGATTTTTTTTTTTTATAATAAGGAACTTACATGGTGAGCATAGCACCAGAATGATGATAAGTTTGTAACAATGAAGAACGACGACCTTTCATCAAAATGATAATAGTATCAATGACTTCATAGAATTTGGATAAATAGAAAAGATAACCCCAGTAACCAAGACCATTATCCCATAAAAATCCATCTTTGTCACAATACTATAATAGGAAAAAAAAAGAGAAGAATTCAGTAACATTCAAAAAAAAAAATTATCCCGCAAGATACCAACAAGAGAGGAAATGTCTTCTATTGTTCTCTGGATTCATTCGCCGCCTCAAGCATTGCCCCAAATGATGATCAATTTGTCTCCCTGATTCCCCTATCATCATCATATCATCCTTTTTTTTTTGTTGTTGCCTATCTTCCCCCCTTATTTTTGTTGTCATTAAAAAAAAGAAAAAATAATACTTACAGTATCATGAATAGATTGACCACGATGGAATAATTGATGCATATATTGAACCATGTTAAAGAAGGTGATCATAGAATAAATAGCCAAGGATAAATTATGGAAAAAGACAAAGGTAGTCATCCAAGGACTTGATTTAGATGCGGTACCAGTACCTTGATTCTTTGCTTCAACACGAGACACTTTAGCTTTAGACACAGAAGGATTGAATAAATGAACCATCAGGGCATAAGTGGTGGCAATACCAATAGGCGCTTTCCAACTCATGAAGAATTCATAGTATTCAGGAAATGGTACACCGGGAATAATAGTCAATGCGTCAGGATCCATTGATATAATATATGTATATAGAAAAAGTGTAAGATAGAAATAGATGGAAGTTGTTGAATATAGTATTTATATACAAATGTTATTGGTTGATTTATCTGTAGTAGATCAAATAGAACAACAGATAGAAGAAACAAACAAATAAAAGACCAAAAAAAAAAAAAAGAAAGAAAAAAAGAAGGGTGTAAATAAAAAAAAGTTTTTGTTTTTATATCTATATTGTGTGTATGTGTGTGTATGCGCTATGTCAAGTTTTGAATTCGGAACCCAGATCCCCATTAATTGGGTTTCTGGCTAATAACTAGAGTACCTTTCAGCTACCCAACCAAAATCGTCGAAATAAGAAATATTTTTTTTTTTCTTTATTGAATATTGATAATGCTATATAAGCATATATATTAACGATAATAGGCATATTTCCTCATCATCATCATCATTTGTCCTAACATCGCCATTATTATTATTATTACAGGAGTTGAATCAAATGAACTCAATATCAAAGGAGTACATTGGAATTTTTCACAATCATCGAGTCATTGATCATCATCATATATAAACTTCATTTATTTTAATCGGAATAATCAGTCATCCAGCATCATCATCATCATCATCATTATCGGAATAATCAATCACAACATCAATCATCATTTAACTATGATGATCTTCATCATTAATAATAATAATAAATATATTTAGAAAAAAAAAGATACTATCAACAACAAATATTTATTGACATATATATATATATAGAGTTTATAAACTAAAATATCTATCCTACAAATACACCATATCTATCCTATCTTAAAAATTTGTTTTAGGTCCTTCCATACGAGGGCTAATATAAAGAGCTTTGGCTTCGGTATATTTCGTTCCATCTTCAACGTGTCCAATCCAAGCTTCCGCCCAAGCTTTCCGGCCTTCCACCCGATCCAATTTTCCTCGAATCATCACCCATTGATTTGACTTGACAGGTAGACGATAGTCCACATTTAAATTTGCTGTAAAACCAGTATAATTGGGAAGACTAGGAAGGGTCTATCATCATCCATACATATATTAGTGAAATACTTCGTTTCATTTGCATAACTTCCCCTTTTTTTTTTTTTTTTTAGTTACCACATAAGCCAAATGTTCATCTAATAAAGTAGCCAATAAACCACCGTGAATAATGCCATCATGTCCACATCTAATCATAAAAAAAAGAAAAAAAGAAAATCATCATTATTATCATCAATATCAGAAAAAAAAAGAAAGAAAGTCCACCTTCTATTGTATATATATATAAACTTACAGATTGGTACCAAGATGAGCAATGATAATACATTCAGTTTTTTCCTTATTAAAGAATTTCAAAGGACGACGACGAATCAAACCTGCGCCTCGAAGACTAGTAGCTGTCAAAGAATGCTTTTTGGCAGACTCGGATAAATAACCATAGGCCACTACTTCTTGCCATTCTTCAGAACTACGTAATTCTTGAACTTTGGGAAGAGCATTTTCTTGTTCAGCTAATAACCGTTCTTGTGGATCAGTAGGAAGTGGCTCAGCCAGTCGTTGCTTTATCAGTTGTTGTTCATCACTATCAGGTCCATGGTTAGACATACGTACATTAGGTCCAACTTCATGTACTTGATCTTCACTGTCTTGGGTATATACTTCACTAGTAACATCAGGCATAATAATGAACTATTTTGGGAAAGTCAAAAAAAAAAGGGACTAGAGAGAAAAAAGGGGAAAGAAAAGAGAGATATAATAAGCAAAAAAAAAAAAAATCACACGGGATATGGTTTTGGAATCCTCTCCACAAACGGTTATTTGAAAGCTGAGAGTGAATTGGATTTTCAAGCGCTTTGATTGGATGGTTTTTTCTACATGATGTAAAACCATGACAAATGAAAAGAACTTTCATTTATTGAGTAAAAAAAACATCATCTATTGAGTACATGAAGATAAGGACCTTTTTTTTTTTTTTAATTAAGAAAAAGCTGAGGATATGCATTTAAATCTGTCAACTATACTTCTTGAAAACAAAACTTAACGGAGACAACGGCAATTCTTTTCCGAATCAGGGCAAAAAATTTTTCAATTGTGACAGGTAATACTTTTTTTTCTTTCGCCTCCCCCTCTTTATAAAAATCCTATTACTTCCTTTCTTTTTTTTTTCTTTTTCTTTTTCTTTTGCTACTATTTAGATTATATCATTCTCTTTATACAAATGAATAAAAGGTAATTTTAGAAAAACATACTCCCTCTTCTTCAACAATTCACCCTTCCCATGAGATCAAGTCAGGGGGATCACCTAGAAAGATCATTTATGATTTTTCGCTTTATTATAAAGTGGTTGTCCGTTAATCTCGTGGAAGATCAAACTTGTCAATTCGACTGTAACTGTCTGTTCTAGATGTGTTGCGACTGATTTGAACCCGCTTCCATAAGAGTTGAAGACTATCTTATTTAGTGGTCGTCTTCTTAGTTAGGGAGCAAACATATACCATTTATATACGTGATTATTCTTTATGATGATGATAAAACTAATTCATATTTTTTTATTATAGGCATTATGATCTTGGATGATATAGTTAGATTAGATTAGTTATTTTATATTAATATATAAATAAAAAAAATATATATTCTTTTTTGAAATATCATTTCATATACACGTGATATCCTTCCAATAGATAATCCATGATACCCCTATATATAAAAAAAAAGGCAGATGACAATTATTTATAAAACTCATAAAAAGACTGGGTGATCTCGGTTGTACACGTACATACGCACATATATGCACACAATTTCATTTTCAAAGATATAATAACAATGACGATCTCAATATCTCTTTTTATGCAAGTCAATGATGCAGAAAAGACGGACAGACCAACAGATCAATGATTTCAAAATGACCAGCCACAGAATGATGCTAATGATTGGTGATTCACCATTTATTTCGAATAGAGCCAATTCTGTATATCTCACTTTACCTGGTCTTTATATCATTACCAGCCGATGAAAACAAACAATGATCTACGGAGGGGGGAGTAGAAAGATTGTGTAGAGAGCAGGGGTTATTGAAAGGGGAATGAAGCAACATAAAGAAAAGAGTAAGCTTGGTTTGAATTTCGAACTAAATTTTTTTGGTGGAACAAAAAAGTATTATTTTTGTACCGCACGTTCTATTTCCTTTTTTCTTTTTCTTTTCCCTTTTTTTCTCTCTTTTTCTTTATTGTTCTTCTTCTCCTTGTATATTAAAAATAAAAAAAAATTATGGCTAGCTCAGATACGGATGAAACTTTCTCATCTAGTGTTTCGATGCAAAGCAATTATATTCTTCCTCCTTTATCTCACCAAAATTCCTCTGATGGTCTACTTTCTCTTCAACTGGCTGAACTCTTGGATACTCAACAAGGACAACCTAATGACAACAACAAACCATCCGACAATACATCTTCTTTACCTTCATTACAAGCTCATACTAGCGATTCTTCTTCTGACGAAGACTCTACAGTTCCTTCTCCTTTGTTATGGTAAGTTTTATTTATTTTTTTTTTTTTGGCCAAAAGGGAATTTCTCTTTTTTTTTTTCTTTCTTCTTTTTTTTTATGAAGGGGAATGAAACTGACAAGTTATTTTACTTTTTCATTTTTATACATAGGGTTCCTGCAGACCGACACCCTGAAATAGCTCCTAGTGAATTTGCAAAATGGCTCGAAACCAATGGACCAAATAGTATAGCAAGAAAAACCTCTTTACGACGAAAATCATCTATTTTATCTCAAATTCATATACCATCAGATGACAACAATAACAATTCTATACAAACTTTTTCTCCCTCCTTATCGAAATCATCCTCTTTGATCATGATCCCTGAAAATAGTGATAATCAAGGTATTTACAAAATAATAGAAAAAAAAATGCACATTTGACTCAAATAGTTTCTCTTTCTCTCTTCTCTCTTTTTTTTTTTTTTTTTTTTTTTTTTAATTCTAGCAGAAAATCCATTAGAATTTGATAGACACTCACCTTCACAAGATACTTCGCGTGTATTGGCTCCTAGAGGAAGTAGATCATTACTTCGAAGATCAGCTTTTTCAGCTCGAGGTAGAGGACGAAAGCAATTTGGTAGTAGACATGGACCTGTTAACAATAATACCGATCAACGTACTAGTGGAGAACAAGAATCAACCATGGAATTATCAACTAAAGAACCTGTACGACTTTATGACCGACCTGTTAGTATGAGTGAATGGATTGATTTAGGAAATGCCAGTCTAGGTTCTTCGGATGATTCTCAGCTTGGCATATTATCTCGTGTACATGATGCTGAATCACATCTTTTATCACAATTAACGGACACAAACAGTAGTAGCATCGAAAAGAATGACGATCAACGAACACAATTATCTGCTGTAGGGGATGATGTAAACAAAAGCATTCAAGCCGAACAACAACAACAACAACACAATCATCATTCTTCATCAATACCCGAACACACAGAAACAACAATACCAAATAATGATCGACAAAATGATACTTCACTGGATACAATCAATAATAAAAAAAGTACAACAACAACGACATCATCATCATCATCATCATCATCATCGACAATGGGAATTAAAAAGGGATCAACAATGGTTGGATTACAAAGAGCATCTTCTGAAAGGTTACCAAGCAAACAAGAACGAAAATCCAATTCATGGTTTGGTAGTTTATTTGGCGATAAGGAAAAGAAAAGAGGTTCGTTACGACGGGTGGAAGATGAACGACATGCTCAACAAAAACAACAAGAACGACGAAATAATAATAATAATAATAATATTGAAAAAATCACTTTACCAACACCACCTTCATCACCAAATAATGGCAACAAAAAATCAGGTTTCGGATCCCTCTTTTCACGTAGCAAATCAGAACACAAGACCAAACGACATCATTTTGCAAAACTTCAACAACATGTGATCTCTGGTGTTACTAATGGCACTCCTTTACTTTCCAACAACAAGAATGGACGATTGTCTCATGGGGACGGTAATAAACAGGACTTACAGCTTTCCTATCATAGTTATCGATTACCAATTCATGTGGAACGAGCAGTTTATCGATTATCTCATTACAAATTGGCAGATCCAAGGCGTCCTTTACAACATCAAGTAGTGATATCAAATCTTATGTTTTGGTATCTTTCCGTTATTAATACTCAACAACAACAACAACAACAACAACAACAACAACAACAACAACAAGAATCAACAAATAACATCGATATTAATACATCGACATCTTCCACCAATTCAATATTACCCTCGACACAACCAGCATCCAATACCAATGTTGATGAAGCATTACAAGATCAATTACATAGAGGTCAAAAGACTGGACGCATAGGAATACCCAAACCACGATCAACAACCACCAATGGTGTAACATTACACAAATCGACTGTTCAGGATCGTCCCCACAATAATGATTCTAGAAAACAAGATGAAGAAGAAGATGATAATATCCCTCTTAGTTTCTTCAAACAAGGCCAATGATTCCAAGATCTAGTTGTTTTTATTTATTTTTTATTTATTTATTGTGATTTATTGCTCCTCTTTTTTTTTTTTTTTTTTTTACTTTCTGGTTTTGTGATCAATAAAGACTAGTATCCAAACTCCTCTCTTTATTTGTACCATATGAATCAATCCTCTTTTTGTTAATTGTTAGATAAGAAATAAATGATATGATGATAATAATTACAAAAAAAAAAAAAAAATTAGAAGATTTATATTGTCATAAGCGGACTTCTTTAGAACCCGGTTTACCGGAATGGAAGAATGAGAAGATGAAAACAGGTAAAAATAGTACAAGAAACTCTCTCTCTTTCTCTCTTTTTTGTCCTGGTTTCTTTTTCTTCCCCGCCCCTCTTTTATTATTATTGTTATTATTGCTTATATATTATCTATTATTATTTTTTTTATTATTATTTTCTATTTCCCCCTCCCTCTTTTTTCTTTTTTTCTTTTTTTTTTTTTTTCTTTTTTTTTCTTCCATCTTTCAACCCATTTGACATTTATGGGTAATCAACATTCCAAATCTTCAAGACATGGTGTACGCAAGAAATCCAAACTCGGCAAAAGTTTTAGTATGCCTTCTCCACCAAAGAATATTTGGCCTGATACTACAGAAGTGGACGACACATCTTGTTCAAAGGATGACCTTATGATCAACAACCTTCATGAACCAACATTAATACATTCAGAACACAGTAAAGAGAAAGAACCAACGATCATCAACCAGGCCTCTGACAATAACAATACCAACAAGGACAATAAAGGCGATAACGATGACAAGGACAACAAGGATAGCAAGAACAATGATAATAATGATAACAGCAGTAAGGGCCACCAGCGTAATACGTCTGTACATTCAACAGTGTCCACAATGGATTCATCTATGTATATCATTGATGACTATATTGAACGATTATTGGCAGCAGGATATGGCAAAATCAAGGGTTCACAACGATTATGTTTGAATGTGATGGAAGTGGATATGATTTGTCATGTTGCTATGGAAATCTTTTTACAACAACCTGTAAGTTTCTTTCTTTTTTTTCTTTTTAAAAAAAAATAATAATAGATATGATTGTCACTCATTTTTTTTTTTTTTTTTTTTTTTTTTGTATAGACATTATTGGAATTATCACCACCTGTCAAGATCGTTGGAGATACTCATGGACAATATTCAGATTTACTTCGTTTATTTCAAATGTCCGGTTTTCCTCCTTCAAGTAATTATCTGTTTTTGGGTGATTATGTGGATCGTGGGAAACAAAGTCTGGAAACAATGCTTTTACTTTTATGCTATAAAATCAAATATCCTGAAACTTTCTTTTTACTTCGAGGCAATCATGAAAATCAAAATGTCACAAGAGGTATTTTAAAAAAAAAGGAAAAGAAAAAAAAAAAAAGAGGATATTGATTATTTTTTTTTTATTAGTGTATGGATTTTATGATGAATGCAAACGACGTCTAAGTGTTAAAATGTGGCGATTATTTGTAGATGTATTTAATGTATTACCGATAGCTGCATTGGTGGGAGACAAGATCTTTTGTGTGCATGGCGGGCTTTCACCATCATTGACAAGTATGGATGACATTCGACGGATTGAACGACCTGTGGATATCCCTGAATATGGATTATTGAATGATCTACTGTGGTCGGACCCAACGGATGAAACACCGGATTGGCAAGATAGTGACCGTGGCGTTTCTTATTGTTTTGGTCACAAGGCGATCGATGAATTTCTAGCCACCTTTGATTTGGATTTGATTTGTCGTGCTCATATGGTAGTAGAGGATGGGTATGAATTCTTTCATAATCGATCTCTAGTCACTGTATTCTCTGCTCCCAATTATTGTGGTGAATTTGACAATCTTGGTGCTGTCATGAGTGTAGATAAGGATTTGATGTGTAGTTTTCAACTCTTGACTCCTGCCAATCATCCTCTTTGTAAACGACAAGGTAAAAAAAAATCTTTAAAATATATTGAAGGATGGATGGATTAATATATATATCTTTTTTTTTTAATAGTACCACGGACAATGACTCATGCACCATTACAACAACAAAAGGAATCGGCTGCCATTGCATGATAGAATAGATATTCCCTTCATATACATATTCCCTTTTGTACTTTTATATACACATTCTTTGTTTTTGACAATACCCCTTCTTTTTTTTATTTTATTTACATAATAGAAAAATAAAAATCTGATTCTTTTTTTTTTATGAAAAGATTACAATATGTTGATAGTAAGATGAAATGAGGGGGGGTTCCATGATCAAGTCATTAATGATTGTGTAATTTGTCAATTCATATAATATGGTCTGACTTTTTTTAAGATGATAATTGACGAATACAGAAACGTGGTCGAGCCAAAGGTAGAATTGTAAAAAAAAAAAAGTCAGAGGGGAACATTTGAACCGGCAGAAAGACAAAAAAGGCAATTGATCAACCTTTTTTGCTTTACTACCAATCCCGGTGTTTATATAAGAATGGCAAAACAAGGAGACGTTTTCTTTTATGATGATGATTATTGTTATTGATGTCACCTATTTCTTTTTTTTTCATTCAAATTATATTGATGTCTTTTTTTTTTTATATCACAATACAATGTTTGTTTTTCTCTTCTGTTTGTATGCCCCCCCCTTTTTTTTTTAAAACCATCTACAATAGGATCTCGAAGGTGACACAATAAATAAACAGTATAAAAATATAAACAAATAAAATCTTCATTTGTCACCAAACTTGAAACATTCAATAGCAAAAAAACATCCATTTATAATTGATTGGTCTCCTTAAGTAAAAGAATCATCATCAAAATAATAATCAAAAAGACAAGGAGCAAGTTTATAAATAATAACGATCTACAATTGTAATCAAGTAATAATAATAATAATAATAAGATGATATCATTCTCCTTTTTACCTCCTTTTTACCTCCTTAACAATCAACAACAATACCTTTGTGAATAGACTTTTGTTTTACTATTATACTTTTTTATGCACTCATTGGAATACCGCTTCTCGGTGTCTCCCCATAGTTAAAGATTAAACCCACACCCCTTGGTGCCATAAAGGAAAAGAAAGCTTATTTTCTTATTGATAGACAAAAATGGGGTACCAGCCAATTGGGGACGGCACTTGAAATTTGAAATCACCTATCAGTCTAATGCAAAAAGTATAAAAATATTTTTTTTTTTATTTCCATTTTTTTCTTTCTTTTCCTTTTTTTTTCTTTTTCTTTTTCTTTCTTTTTCTTTCTTTCTTTTTTTCTCTTTATCTCTTTGTATTTCATATCCAAGAAGATTCATGTTTCATCAACAACAACAACAACAAGAACATCATCATCATTATCATCATCATGTTACTTTGAATGATCAACAACAGCCACCTTATTTGATGATGACCTCATTACCGTTATCGCCACCCACACACTATGCAGAGCAAAAGATGCATCCTGACAAACCATCTTCTTATTATTATACGACCACTTACACCATGGGCCTTCCTCCTCCACCTTTACCAGTCATGAATGAATCATCCACTGATTTGGCTTGGACTTCATCTTCTCCATCTTCATCATCGCTTTCTTCATCATCATCACTTTCTTCTATTTCTCATGCATCATCATCACCATCACCCACATCGTCTGTGTATCATTCTCCCAGTGCCTCGTCTTATGAAGATGTATCCACTATGGATCCCATGACGGAATTACAAGCTTTCTTTACCTCACCTACATCACCAGCAACATCATCACCGTCGACTGATATCTCCACGTTTGATTTTCATCGAAGATCTATGTATATGAAAGACCCGCCATCTGATAATAATCTTGTTTTATCCAAAACACATCCAACTCGACCTTATGCATGTATGACCTGCCCAAGAGCCTTTGCTCGAAAACATGATTTACATCGCCATATCAGGGTGCACACTGGCGCCAAACCCTATGTCTGTTTATCTTGCAAGAAAGCCTTTGCCCGCACCGATGCCTTGAAACGTCATTTACGTATGGAAGAATCTTGTCGTCTTAGTCCCGAAATTCAGGCTATGAAAGGTCTTGGTCAACGACGTTATCGAAATCTATGATCCTCCATTTTTTTTTTTTATTTCTTTTTATATTTATATTTATTATTGTTCTTATGTCTTACTTCTTTTTTTTTTTATGCCTTATTGATCTTTATCCCTTTCATCTCCATGAATGCCTTCTCCTCTTCAATTCTTATTTTGTGTATAATCTTTTTTTTTTCATTCTCTCTCTCTTTTTATTTATTTATGAAGAACAAAAAAAAAAACTCTTTTTCTTGTTTTTATTTATTTTTAATCTATTATTTATTTTTTTTATGTTTTTATTTTTTTTTAGTTTATAGCATTCAAACATTATATACAATCACAAATCAATCAATAAAACATATAGTACATATAAAATCTGTTGTCTTTATTTCAAAAGTTGTCATGAATAGAGAGGGGTAACAATGATTGGATGCAGGTTAACCAAAAAGTGAAAAATAACCCTTTTTAGATAAACTTGCACCTCGAAAAAGTGGGGGAATAACTAACGCAAAACACTAACTGACAAACAAAAGAAGAATAAAAAAAAAAGGGGAAATAAAAAAAGGAGAAGTATATATATCTGTGTATGGATGGGTGGCTAAAAAATATAAAAGAAATAACTTTTCGTTGTCCCAAAGTATCAAATATTGAAATCAAAGTAAACGAAGTAGAAGAGGACCATAAGGTTTTGTTTGTTCTGGATAAAGTCGATTGCCTTGAGTAGCCAAAACTAAATAAATAATAAAAAAAAAGGAAATGAATGATTCTTTATATATCTTCTTCTTTACCTAATACAAGATAAAAAGCAAGGGCCACTTCGGATCTTTTGTTTTCCCCAGAGATGAATAAGTCCTGAAAAAAACATGTACGTTGTTGATCACTTGTAAATAATTCAAGATACCTAATTTCACCCCCCCAATATGAACGCAATCATTAGTCACTCATCAGTTCAATCGATTCTCCTTTTCATTCTCCTTAGATGTAACTTACGTATAAAAGTCATTTGCATTGGATAAATTTGTTGTCTCTTGTGGTTGATAATCAACGTTCATTTCCAAATAGTCACCATAATTAAGTTCTATACATATAAATAAATAAAAAAAAATCAATCTTCCGATATGTCTCCTTATTCCACCTAACCGATGCCTCCTTTTTTTTTTTTTTTTTATCAAGATTTACCTTCACCATCATCATCATCAAAAGAATCCACTGGATAATTCAATTCCTCGTGATCCAAAGAAGAAGGAGGATACCATGGTTGACGTAAAAAATGACTGAACATTCCGGATATTCCTTGTTGTTGTTGTTGTTGTTGTTTTTGTCGAAATAAACTAGATCCTGTATGGCTACTTCGTTTGTCATCTTCTAATTCAAATTGAAAATCCGGACTAATGATCCGTAGTGGTGATCCGCCTAATAAATAAATATTTAAATAAATAAACAAATAAAAAAAAAATGACAATCTTTTATACTTTACTTATATTATCTCGGGAAGTCCGCAACCGATCCGTAACAATACCATCATCAATATCCAATCCATGAGGTAAATAGTCATCATGAGGTTCTTGATTTCTTCCTTGTTCCATTTGTCGACCTATTTCTACTTCACCTCGCTAAAAAAGGTAATTTGGAATATGAATATATAACATACATATATATATATATCCAAAACTAGTCTTACCACGTTGCTGTTATTTCCAAATCTTCCTCTTGCTTGTTGTACTACCTTATTGATAATTGTATTTGTTTGGATTTGAGGTAGATAAAGCTGCTGTCGATATCGTCGTATCTAAAATATATATATATATATATATATATATATATATTCATCATTAATGAATCATCAACATCATATTATGAAAGGAAGAGAACTTACCAATTCTTGCTTACGAATCAGAGGACGAGAATGATTGTCGTGCATAAGTATACGATCTGTTGCGTCGTAAACAGCAACTGGTAACACAATTTCATCTCTATCCAGACGGGTGATACGACGATGACGACGACGACCAGTAGGAGAGCCTGGCAGATCAGATGGAAGAGAATCAAGCAATATGCGAGAGTAGGCATCTGTTTGTATTGACGATGTCGGTGATGCTTGTGGTGGTGGCATTACAAGTTGTGAATCGAGATATGAACTTTGTTGAACATCGTTCATGATGTAATCCGTCGATAATGGAGCTGTCAATCGTGTTGGTCTCGCAGCCAGAGGACGATCACTATTGCTAATATCAAAGATATCGAAATCCATTTGATCTTCGCCTATTTCTTCTTGTTGTTGTTGTTCCTGTTGTTCTATAGGATCTCCATGATAAGACGTATGTTCTTGCAATGGCTAAATAAAATACAAGAGATTGATGAATATGAATACATTAATTATTTGGAATAATAACCTACTGGTGATATGGAAGGCACAAGCTGAGGGATATCGATGTCATGACGGTTGAGTCTAAACATTTTTTTTTTTTAAAAAAAATTGGATTAGTTTACCATTGTCCCATTTTATATAATAAATAAAACGTTACCTTTCTTCATCAACATCATCCGAAGCATCTTGTCCTAGATCCAATTGAGCATCCATCATCAGTGATTTCCATTCTTCGCTGTTTTCCATATTGTAAGCATGATCATTTTCTTCCATTGATGTCAATACTGGTTCATCCAATTGTTGTTGATGTAGAGGAATACGGGTTGAAGAAGATGAAGATGATCCGTGAGGCTGATCCATCGTTATCTCGATACCATTATGTTGTGTAGTTATTTGCTGTTGTTGATGAAAGTCAATCCCTTCTAACCATTGTTCATCTTCATTTTCACGGGAAGATATGACTTGAATAGGTTGCATTATATTGGAAGTAGAGCTTGGTAATGTAATAGTATCTTCTCGTACAGTGATGATCGAGTTGACAGGACTGGGGAATACGAATCTGTCATTTTCAAGCTAAGCATTACATGCCATCCCGAAAAAACAGGTAGAAAAAAATAAATAAACAAAAAAAAAGGTATAATAAAAAAAAAAAAACAGGTATCTTTTGAACTTAATCTTTATGATCCCTTACCAAAGGCAACCGTGGATTCGTAAAAGCATAATTCATCATGAAAGGATTGTCACATAATGTAATTTTTCTAATGCTATCAAAAAAAAGGAACATAATAATGGATGAGGACTAGCTTCATTTAATAGAGTGATTTCTTACTTTGGTGTTGTGATTGGTAAATCAATATGACGCGTTTGATTGGTTCCCAATTCTCGATGAATCCTTTCCAAGAGATCCATGACGTTTCCTACATCAAACAATGATAGTTTAGTTAATAATAATAATATTTAAATAATCAAATGAATCATTTACCATAAACACGAGTAGTTTTCTTATTCACAATGAAGGATATACCGAGTAGTAAACGAGACATAGTACGTAATGACATTTCATGTTGTACATCGACAAGATGATCACTGTATTAAATAAATATATGTTAATACATAAGTTTTAAGAATATACTTTAATTTTTTTTTTTTTTTTTTACCATAAAACAGTTGTATTAATATTGGCAAATTGTTTTTCCATTTGAAGTCTTGTTCTTGACTTTCTTCCACCAACAGTGGCTCCAGCATTCCTAATTCAAAAAGAAAAAGCAAAATAAGACAAGGTTATTAATTGCAAGATCCAAAATGACGATTTGTTTCCTTACCATATTGTTTGTAAAGGTATGTTTCCTCGTAAAGAAGAAGTCATTACAAAGTAACAAACGAACTGTCAAAACAGAGAAGGAAGAAATAAAAAAAGTGAATAATAGAAGAAAGAAATACAAAAAAAGAAAAAAAAAAAGGATCCGATCCAAATAAGAAATAAATTCATGCGTGCGGATGATATAAAATCAGGACACAGACAAGGATTTACAACAAGCTGTAAAATAATAATATCCATCCTTTCATTCATTCAAGAGACCGAGTTCCATAATGAGTTCAATTCAGAGACTATCGTGCTTCTAGAGACTATACGTGATTTTTATCACAAGCATCAAATAAACTAGAATAAGAGAAAAAAAAAATAAAGTCATATTGTTGATAGCTTGAAATACACTTTTTCATTCATTCTAAACTTTTTTTTCTTGGTTTTACCATAAGACAATGTGTTGATAGTATTTACCAGTTGTGTCATTTCTAGAGGTAGTTCATCATCTTTTTTTTTTTTTTTTTTTTTTTTCACCATAAATACTATAAAGGAAAAGAAAGTAGAAGAAGCAAGTTCAACATGTTGAATAACCAATATCCAATTGTCATTACAATGTTAGAAATGTAATGCTATTACATTCATGAGTTCATTCTTTTTTTTTCATCATTTTTTTTATTTATTTATAAGTAATAACAATAACAATAACAATAACAATAATAAAAATAAAAAGAAAAAGGAAGAAAAAGACAGGTTTCCTTCACAATCATATTTCAAAAAGATTTTAAAAAAGTCGCACCTTCACATTGATTTCTCAAGTTGTGGTATGGATCCAAAGTGATGAAATACATGGATTCCAAGTTGATAATGAGATGTCATATGTCCCTATTTACTATCAAAAAATTGATTATCATCAGATACAGAAAATATTGATTCAAGCAGCAGGCCTTTGAACAAAAATTTTGAACCAAAAGTTCAACTCCCGCCTGAGTTTCCTCTATTAACAATTTTTTTACTTTTTTTTTTTTTTATTATTTTTGTTTCCTATCTTTTTATTTTCACTTGTTTCCCATCATGTCACCTATTGTAAGTTATATTCTATATTTTTTTTTTTCACCATGGATACTAGTAATACAAAAATGGAAATGGTGACTATCCATTATATTATATCTGTACTTTTCTCGGGAAAACATTAACTATAATTCTCATTGGAAAAAGTAGGGATTCAAAAAGGATGATCAGACAGATTTGATGGAACAACCGGATTGGTATAGTAATGCTCAAGCATATTGGACAAGTGTAGAACCAACGGTGGATGGGATGTTAGGTGGATTTTCTCAAGTGGATCCGATTGACGTGGCTGGTTCATTGGCTTTTATTGATGAATATGTACATGGTGTAAAAGGGGTCAACAATACTATCAAAAAGGAACCATCGTTACGTACTCATTATGCGTGTGATTGTGGTGCAGGTATTGGACGTGTCACGAAACATTTCTTGTTACGCGTTCCTTTCGATACTGTAGATCTTGTGGAACAAACGCCAATCTTTGTCCAGCAAGCCAAGGATAGTTATTTAGCTGATGATATTCAAGCTGGTCGAGTGGGTCAAGTACGATGTCAAGGATTACAGGATTTTCAACCGGATGATAACAAGTATGATCTTATCTGGTGTCAATGGGTACTTGGACATTTGACTGATGGTAAAATTATCATTGATATATACTTATGCATAAAAAAAAAAAAAAGGAGTGGACATGTAACAATAAAACTTCAATTGGTTGACAACTAGAGGGGGACTGATCTTTTTTTTTTATTTTTTATTTTTCATATGTATATATAGATGATTTGATCAACTTTTTCAAACGATGTATCAAAGGATTAGCACCTGGAGGTTTGATTGGTGTCAAAGAAAATAATTCTACACAAAACTATGTTGTAGATGAAGAAGATAGCAGTGTTACTAGGTAAGATCAAAAGAAAAGAGATTAAGAATATGTATTATCTCATTTATATATGTATTTTATTATTATTATTATTATATGCAATAGACCAAATGATGCATTAAAGCGTATATTTACGGCAGCGGGTCTGACTGTGATCAAGGAACAAGTACAACAAGGGTTACCGGCAGGATTATTTACCGTGAGGATGTAAGATGATAAACAAAAGGAATATAAAATTTTTATTTAACAGTTTTTCTTTCATTGGACCATTCTGATTTTATAGGTATATGTTGAAACCATGTTCCTCCTCAGATAGTACCTAGAATAAGACCATGATAGTTTAGTAATATTGGTCTCCGTCATATCATTTATTTATTATTTATCATATCAATCAATTAACCAATCAATAAAGACAATCATTAAGAATCATAAGATATTATCATTTTCTCTTGTTCATAATGATGAATAATCTACAATCAAAATCTTATGTTTGTTGTCAAGGTTTACTTTTAACAAATTCCTATTTTCGAAAAAGGTCCAATGAAAACTAGACTATTTATTGTATGATTGAACTGCCAACTACATTAATAAATTAATGATCTACATTGATGACATGTTGATCATCATCATTATTATTATTTTCATCCTCGTCACTATCTGGTTTTTTCATATGAAGGGTGCTTGTACCGACACGTTGTTGTTGTCCAGGATCATGAGTAATCCATATGCAGGTTCTTGTTTTCAATGTTTCCTCCACCTTGGCAATGGTATCGGTATCAAGAGCAGATGTCGGTTCTGTTCAATAATAATAATAATAATAATAATAAAAAAAAAAAAGAAGTTACCTGATGATTCTGTTTTCTTTTATAAATTGATATTGTTATGATCAGTACCATCTAATAATAAAATATCCGGATTCAATGCCAAAGCAATGGCCAGTGTACATCGTTGCATTTCCCCACCAGACAAATTACTCCAGTTTTCTGCAAAATGGTCATCAGATAAATCCCATTGTCTTGCTATTTCAATCTGCAAAAAAAAAGAAAAAAAAGAAAGTCAAAGGTAAATTATAGTTTGATTCTGTTGGCGATGGATACTATGGTCAACGATGATGATGATGATAATGATGATGATGGTATGTGGATGATGATGATGGTATGTGGATGATGATGATGATGATGATAATGACGATGATGATAATGATGATGATTTGATGATGTACTTACGGGATCATCAAAATCCGATCTTTTTTTAAGACTTGAAAAGGAACAAACCTTTTGAAAGAGATCATTTGGAGTCCCAGGATGATCAACAGGGGTTTGAGGCACATACATGACACGCGTTCTCCAAATCGGCACACCAAGTGAAGCAACAGTATTGTTATCATCCAAAGTACATTCTCCATGAGTATAAGGAATAAGATAAGCCAAACATTTCAATAGTGTGGTTTTACTACAAGTAGAAATGAACGAAAAAAAAAAAGATCCTTTCAGCCAATCAGGTCTTTTGTTTAAAAAAAAAAAAAGAATGAATAGATTTTTATTTACCCACAGCCACTAGGACCTTGAATGATCAATCTATCACCTTTTTTTAGTTTGATTTGAATATCATGAAAAAGTTGTTGACCATTTGGTAATTGAAAGCTAAAATTTTTTGCATGAAAAAAAGTCATGGATAACACCGAAAGTTTATGCGGAAAAATAAAATGAAAAGGAGAAGAACAAAGAAGTAGAGAGAAGAAACGGAGAAAGAAAAAAAAAAAAAGAGAGAAGAAAGGTAAAGGAATAATACTGTGATAGCATGACGTCAAATTTAAGTGATTGCTTTTTTTTTTATTATAATATAATAATAAGGGAAGGGGATATGATATATATATATATGAGGAGTCTCTTTGAGAGAGAGATGAAGTGTCGCACTTTCAAAAACGAGAGGATACTCTTTTTGGGGTGAATTGTGGAAAAATCAGTTGTTAGATTTTTTTTTTTCTTTTCTTCTTTCTCTCTCTCTCTCTCTCTTTTTTTTTTTCTGTTTCTTTTTTCTTTCTTTCTTTCTTTTGTTTCTTTCTCTTTTAAATTATCAACACTATCAAGTCATTGAAAATATTTTATTCTTTTAAAATCATTTGCCACTATTATACACTTTTATAATACAGGTAATACAAAACAGTCTCTCCCTATAATGAATCCCTTCCTCTCCCCTCCCTCTCTTTCATACTTGCCTCTTCTTTTCTGGGCAAAAAAAAAAAAAAATTGTTGTCATGAGCTCTCTTGTCACTATAGTTAAATTAAATATCATACCATCTCTTTATTACTTTCTTTTCTTTTCTTTTTAGTTTACATCTTTTTTTATTGTCTTACGTACTATAACACTATCTTACTATGACGACTATGGCTCCTACTGGCAAAGATAGTTGGCAAACGGAGTTTTACAAGAATGGATATCCCAAAGAAGTTATTGTAATAGAAGATTCACCTACTCCACCACGAACACCTCAACAAGAAAGTCAATATAGTTCCACTTGTACCCTAAAACATACACCTTTAATGAACGATACCATTTTACCACCTGCTGCATCAACAAGGTCTAAACGTGCTATTCGAGAACAAGAAGAACAACAAAATACCCAAGTTCGTTGGCAAAAAAGGAGACAACAACAACAACAACAACCGTTACCTTCTACACCTACTTTTACACCAACTACAACAAAGAAACGACGAAAACTTAGTGGACCAACAACTCAAGGTAATATTGAAAATACATATCATTTTCTCTCTGTTTCTTTTCTTATTCTTTTTTTAAATAGTAATAGGCCCTACTCGAAATACCAATGTGTCAGCTCGATTAGCACCAAATCGAGCCCCTCCGTCTTCTCCTATTGATGATAAGGATGGTCACTTTATTTTCAAACCAAACGAATCTCTCACTCAAAGATGTAAGTCTTTTATTTTTATAATGAATCAAAAAATGACTTTAACTTTTTTTTTAAAATTTATCTCTTAGACAAAATGATGCGATTGCTTGGTCAAGGTACTTTTGGAAAAGTGATTGAATGTTATGATCGTGTTAAACAGTGTCATTGTGCTATCAAAGTTATCCGTGCTATTCAAAAATATCGTGACGCCAGCAAGATCGAAATCCGTGTATTGAATGTATTAAGAGAACATGATCCATTAAATCTCAAGTAAGTTAACCAAAAAAAAAAAAAAGGGATGATGATGAAGAGACTAAATTAAATTAACTTTATTTTTTCTTCTTCTTCTTATGTTTTAGCAATTGCATCCATCTTGTGGAGTGGTTCGATTATGAAAATCATATTTGCATGGTATTTGAACTGTTAGGTCAATCGGTGTTTGATTTCCTGAAGGCCAATCACTTTCAACCTTTTCCTTTATGCCAAATCCAACAAATCGCAAAACAACTCTTTACCAGTATTGCGTGTAATGTAGTATATTATTTGTTTTATATACAACTGACTTTTTTTTCTTTCTCTTATAGTTGTACATCAATTGAAATTGATCCATACAGACTTGAAACCCGAAAATATCCTATTGATCAGCAATGATGCTGTTTCCAAAGTAACATAAAAAAAAAAGAGAAATCATCATCAATGATCATGTGGTTCTTACGTTTTTATTTTTTTTTATTAGAACAAACAATCTGACAAACCAGTCCTGACATTGAAAAGTACGAAAATCCGTTTGATTGATTTCGGGTCTGCTACTTTTGATAAAGAATATCATTCCTCAGTAGTTTCAACAAGGCATTATAGGGCTCCTGAAATTATCTTGGGTAAGTGAAAAAAAAAAAAAAAAAAGAATAATGGATGGAATGATGATCCTGAGACCTTTTGTTTTTTTCTCTCTTCTATATATTTGAAAAGGTATAGGCTGGTCCTTCCCCTGTGATATTTGGTCCATTGGATGTATACTAGTGGAACTTTTTACGGGTGATGCTTTGTTTCAAACACATGACAATTTGGAACATTTGGCTATGATGGAAGCTGTCCTTGGCAAAATACCTCTCACATTAGCACGCCAATCTACGTAAGTTCATAACAAATGATACAATTCAATGTTTTAATATATTTACCTTTATGAATAGACGGAATGGGCAAAAGTTTTATAAAGACAACCGATTACAATACCCAACAACAGAAACTACTCGACAAAGCAAGAAATATGTCAAAGCATTAAAACCTTTACAGGTAAAAAACAAAAAAAAAACGTTATCTTTTCTTTTTTTTTTTATGCTCTAATTATTCTTATAAACATCGACCTTCCTTTCATCTTATTTAGGATATCGTACCATCATCTCAATCAAAAGGAAATGCCTACTTGTTTGATCTACTCAAAAAGATTTTTGTTTATGATCCTGCACTTCGTATAACCGCTCGTGAAGCCTTACATCATCCCTTTTTTCAGTGTGATGTTTAATTCCTTCTTTCGTCTTCCTATGTCCATTTTCCATTTATTTTACGTGTATGTTCTTTTTTTTTTTAATTATCTAGTAATTATTTAACCCTCCTTTCCTTACTATCCTCAATAAATAAAAGCAAAATGTAATTGTGTATGATACAGGATGGACTGTATTTCTAATTCCGCTATCTCCCAATTTTTTTTTATAGGCGCGTTTTTCTTTCTCTTTCTAATTTTTTTTTCTTTGACATTATTTACCACCATGTCTATAGAAGCTAGCAAAAGTGATCCTGTATATGTTAAATTTATGGAACAATTACAAGCATTTCATGATAGAAAAGGGTAAACAAAAAAAAAGAGGTAATCATGGAATAACTCATCAAATGAATTAAAACCTTTGTTAGAACTGTTTTACAACCAGATCAGATCTTGGGCGGGCGACATCTCAATCTACACTTGATATATAAGAAAGTCATGGAAGCCGGAGGGTACAATCAGGTAATGTATATTCATTTACTTCCCATTTATCGTTTTTCTTTCTTTCAAGTTAATGTTTGAACTCACTATACTTTTTTTTTTCTGTCTTGTTTTTGAAAATATGAATAGGTCTCCAACAGTCGCACGTATGTTTCGATTCATAAAATATAATAAGAATGCGATTTATTTTATATCGAGTAGACTCAATTCTTATCACACTTTTATACTTCATTAACAAAATTTAGGTGGAAGCAGATTGGTGAATGTTTCAACTTTCCATCCACTTGTACAAATAGTGCCTATATTTTGAAAGCCGTTTATACTAAAAATTTGGTAAAAAACAGTGATTGTTTGATAATAGTGCTCGGTACCTTCAATAGTGACTGACCATTTTGTTTTTTTAATCATATAGTTGGGATGGGAACAAGAAATGCACTGGCATCAATTTTGGACACCACCACAAGATGAAGTCAAAGGGAAAGGTGGATCAGCCACTAATACTGTCATTAGACCGAAAGATGAAGCAAGACATACAGCAACTGGTAACTAGAAGAGAAAAAAAAAAAAAAAAAAACAACAACAACCAGATATATGTTATATCATGACATCTTATTGATTAAAATGACTTTTCTTTTTTATTTGATCTTCTATTGATGTAGCACTTTTACAACCTCAAAACGCATCGTCGAATGTACCAACCCGGATGACGGCATCTACCGGCATAGCACTCGGTTCACCTGGTAAATATTCTCAATAGAAAAATTTAAATCAAAAGAGAGAATAAGTAGAAGAGATGAGAAGAAACTGAACTCACTATTTTTTTTTTTATTTTATTTTGTAGCGCATATTGATGAAGAATTCAGATCACGGATTTTACTTGCATTACAATCATCTTTACCAAACGAAGTGGATTGGGTATTCAACACACTGATCAAGTTCTCTTTTGCTTCGGAGAATTTTTGTTTAGACTTCATGCCGACTTTAGTGGATCATCTTGTCACTTTTGTTGAACCTTTTTTCAATAAATACGTACAACCAGATGTGAACAATCGCAAGAAGAATGACGACGACGATGATGATTTGGGATATATGCTACATCGGGTGTTTTGTAGTAAAGAAGATCTAGAAATATTTGAACGTACATTACAAGTCTTCCATATCATTCGAAATTTCTCATTTTTGGATAATAATATTCGACATTTAGCACATCACGATACTTTACGACATTACTTGATGACCGGTATTACATTATCACCTAGTTCACAGTTTGCAGAATTGACAAGACAGTGCTTGGATATCCTGGAAAACATTGCTCCTCAAGTGATTGTACATAGTCCTGATGACCCATATCTTGTAGCCATGTCTTATCTACTCTTATCCAATGATCGTGCTTTGATCTTAGGTGCCATTCGATCGTTGACACGTGTAGCTGTGACAGAAGTGAACGAACGCGTACTCTGTATTCCAAAAGTGGACTTGATGGAACGTTTATTTCAACTCTTACTTGTAGATGATGAAGAATTGGTAGCAGCAACTCTAGAATACTTTTATCAATATACTAGTTTACGGGGTGATTTTGGTACACAATTAGTCAAGACATATCCTGGGAATCTGATGGGACTACTGACTGGATTCTTATCTTATAAATCAAGTTTGGTACCTCTTTCCTCAACAACAAATCATTATATTAATGAAACTATTCATGGTATTCCTGCTGCTCAATTGGCTGCTTCTCAAAATGCAAGAGCTGAACAAGCTAAAATCCCTGATTTGACAGATTATTTGAATTTGGATGAACCTTTCCGATGTCTTGGCTGGTAAGTGTTTATACATATATCGATATTACTGCTATAAAAAAAGGGGGATGACTGACCTTTTTTTTTTTTTTTTTTTTTTTTTTTTTGTTTGTTTTTGTAGGCTGAAAGATATATTGGAAACTGGGAATTCAAATGACACACTAGCCTTGAAGGAATGTTTTAATCGATATCAAGAAAAATTTAGTGGCAACAAACCATTTGGACTCAAAGAATTCTATACTGTACTTGTGATTGCCTTTCCTCAACCTGCAGAAGTACAAAAAGCTGCTGCTGGCCCAGCTCCTTTGATTGATTTGGTGCTACAAAATATCAAGTATGGACCTGACAAGCGACATGAAGGTAAGAATCATCTTTAAGGAAAGAGATGTCAAATACAAAAAAAAAAAAAAAAAAGTGATCTGATGATGATTAACCATTTTTATTATTTTTTATTTTGTTTTCAATTGCGAATAGCAATGACCTGTCATTGGAATAATTGTGGTAAAGTAATAGATGATAATGAAGGATTATTGACGCATGTGATGACAGCACATATACCGGAAGAAACAGCAGGAGCAACAAAAGAATTATTGGATTGTCATTGGAAAAACTGTACAAGAAAACAAATACCTAGACGAGCAGCATTGATTGGACATGTACGAACCCATGTTGAACCTCTGGCTATTGGATCAAAATACAACAAGAAGAAAAGAAGTATAACAAAAGTACCTGTGGATAAATTATTGATAGATGATTCAGAAGTCTCAGGGGTACCATTGACAGCAGCATTATTATTACGGAATTTGGCGATGAACAAACAACATGTTTCTTCTATATTACCTTATGAAGCTGAATTATCTGCATTGGCTCTTCAACGACCTAAGCTTTCCAAATACATTTTGACCGTACTATCGAAATTATGAAGAAACTTTTTTGGATGGATTTTTATGTGTGTATATATATAGTCAGTTAGATAAACTTTCTTTTTCTCTCTCTCCTACCTCCTTCCTTTTTTTTTTTTTATTACATATTTTAGCTTTTCCTTCACCCATGTTTTATGTTCTATTATTTTTTGTCAATAAATCATTGGTAAAGAGAGTTGTCAAAAACGAATTACATTGTGTTCAAAAAAAAAGCCAACATCATAGCCTGATATATGACTAGACAATAAAAGACAATTATAAGCATAACAGAACCTAATATTTATTAAAAGCATGAGAACCATAAACATAAAATAACATAAAAAAAAAGAAAGTAATGTACTTATCGTGAATGACAAATGAAAATAATAAAATAAATAAAGAAATAAAAGGAAAAGAAAGAAAGATATAAAAAAAAAAAAAAAGGAAAACGGGCATAAATCATAATGGCATAAAAAAATATCATATAGAACCGCCAGTCATCATACCCCTCTCCCCCGAAATTATTAAACAACATTTGATGATCTCGTCGACAGGCTTCTTTTACCATGGTGATTATCTACAATAGCAACAATATTCATATGAAGCATTACAATCATCAATTGATTACGTCTGTTCACGTTCGCCGCGACTGTTGGATGCTTTGAAAATTGCCAATAAAAATACAAATGTCAACACCTATTCATCTATATATATATATTTCCATTCCAGGTATCAATCTGCAATCTGCTCATAAAAAATTATCTCTGGATATCGAAACATTGAAATAATTACACTCTACCAATTCTGGATTGATTGAGTTTAGTTGCGTGCATACTTTGGTATGCTGGCTTGTAAGTAATCAAACAAAATTGGAACTTAACGATCAATGGCTAATCAAATTGGCTTTCCTTTTTCGGTCTTCAAAATTTATCTTCATGGGGGGTGAATACGTAGTGTTCAGTTTCCATCCACTCACACTCATTCAATTTTTTTTTTTTCCTCTATCCTTTTTTTTTTTTTCTTTTTTCTCTTTTCCTTTTTTTTTTTTTTTTTTTTTTTTCTATTCTATTCTTTATTTCTTTTGTTTCCGTGTTACACTTTTTCTTTACATCTACTTTTTACTTTATTTGGGTGGAAAAAAAAAAAAACGAAGATAACTGAACAACAACTGCAAATCGAAAGAAAAACTAGTATTATTCTTGTTTTATATGGTAAACGATCAAGTTGGAACAAAATTCTTTTTTTTTCTTTCTTACAATTGTTATTGTTACTAACTTTGATTCTCTTTCTTTCTTTCTTTCTTTCTTTCTTTCTTTTTATCAACAAACTTATGATCATGTAATAATAAAAAGTCTATGGTCAATTACCTCACATTACCCAAGATCGTCAAGACAAGGAAAAAGACCACACAATACACAACCATCACCATCCTCACCTCTATACAACATTAATAAATCATGTCGTTTGACAAGGACAAAGAAAACCAACTGAATGGTTATGCTCTTCACAGCCATCATGCTTTACAACAACTTTATAACTCTTCACTACAAAATAATTCTCCTGCTGGTCTCAGTAGTCCCGTCAATGGTGTATCGTCTCCTAGTCACATGATGGGCAACGCTACAGGTTATCCCATGTATTCCACTACAAACACTAGTAACGCAAACAGTACCAACACCACCAATTCTTTTGTACGTTATCCTATGGTTCCATTAGCTCAACAAAAGATGTCCCAACCTTTACCTCACAATGTAGTTGGTCACACCTCATCTCCTTCTACACCATCTGATCCTTCTTTATCCATGCCCATGTCCATGCCTAATGCCACAACTGTATCTGCTGCTGGTTCCACTCACCTTTCAAAACAACTCTCATATGCCCAACTCTCACGTCAATCAGCCTCTCCTCACCATCATGCTCGAACAGCTGCTCAAGTTGCTAGAAGTACACCAGCATCATCTACTGTCACTATCACTGATCCAAACAATCCCAATAAACTTTTCAACAAAACCGTCGACACCCGTAACAATTCTCAAGATAATAGCAACAACAACAATAACAACAACAATAATAATAATAATGTCACATCTGGTAATACTTTATGGACGACTTTAGATATGGGTGGAATGGGTTTGAAGAATTTGACAACGACAGTGTGTAACTATTCATTCTTGACGGTTCTTTACATCAATCACAACAACTTGACTTATCTAACGCCTGCCATTAGTCAACTCTCGCAATTGAAAACTTTGGATGCTTCGGGTAACAAACTTTCATCAATACCACCTGAAATTGGGTTACTTGTCAATTTACGTGAATTGTTATTATTTGATAACAATTTGGTCACTATTCCAAGTGAATTGGGTACCTTGTATCAACTTGAAACATTGGGTTTAGAAGGCAATCCTATACAAGCAGATCTTAATAATTTATTGATGAAAGAAGGTACTCATGCTGTCATTGTGTCATTACGTGAAAACGCTCCAGGTAATATTAAAAAAAAAAAAAAGAAAATCATAATCGGATAAATTTAACTAATCCTCTTTTCATATATTTATTTATTTAGTTGGCATGCCTCCTCCTCATCGGGAATGGATTACTGTGGAAAATGACATGTCAGAAAATGAAGCAGGTAAAAAAAAAAAAAAAAAAAAAAAAGGAGAGAATGTGGGAAAAAAAGAATAGTAAATCCTGATTTTTCTTCTTTTATAATACAGAAAAATTCACGGTGCTTAGTTACAACATTTTATGTCGAAAATATGCAACACCACAAATTTATGGATATACACCTTCATGGGCATTGGCATGGGATTATCGCAAAGAATTGATTTTATCTGAAATCTTGAACTGGAATACTGATATTGTGTGCCTACAAGAAGTGGAAATGGGTGAATATGAAGGTATCATTGGTGAAACATTGAAGCATCAAGGCAATTATGATGGTGTGTTCTTCCCCAAATCTCGTGCAAAGACAATGTCTGAAAAAGAACGAAGACTTGTAGATGGCTGTGCTACATTTTACAAGGCTGATAAGTAAGAATATGATTTCATATTATGATGTATATGGGTATTGATTATTATTATTATTATTATTTTAGATTTGATTTGATAGAATATCGTCTATTAGAATACAATCAGAATGCTCTTCAACGACCTGATTTCAAGAAAAGTGATGATATTTATAATCGAGTGATGACTAAAGACAATATTGCAGTGATGACAGTACTGGAAAACAAGGAAACTTTGGCTCGTATCTTGGTAGCAAATTCACATATTCATTGGGATCCTACATTTGCAGATGTCAAGTTGGTTCAAGTTGGGATGATGATGGATGATATGGAAAAATTTGCAAGCAAACATTTGAAACCTATAAGTTCACCCAATGCATCTCCTCCTCCTCAACAACAACAAAAGCGACCTATATATGCTTCAACAGCGGATTTACCAACCATCATTTGCGGTGATTTTAACTCAACACCAGATTCTGGAGTGGTAGAATACTTATCCAAAGGCACAATCAAGCAAGATCATGATGATTTTGGCAATTATGTGTATGGCAGTTATACAACCGATGGTATTTCTCATACATTATCTCTCAAGAGTGCATATGCTACATGTGAAGACATTCCTATCACCAACTTTACACCAGGATTCAAGGGTACATTGGATTATATATGGTATTCTAGCAACACAATCGACTCACTCTCACTATTGGGACCTATTGATGCAAGTTATTTGAATAAATCAGTTGGATTCCCCAATGCTCATTTCCCTTCAGAGTAAGTCAACAAAAAAAAAATCTTTGCAACTATATAACTCAACATTTAACTTTTTTTTTTTTTTAATGTTTAGTCATATTGCTATTGCCGCGGAATTGAAATTCAAGACTCCCAAATCAGAAAAACTTGAAAAACCAAATTTCGGTGCTACTTCAAAACGTTAATCTCCTCCTACCTTCCCATTCCTTTTTTTATCCTTTATTTTTATTACTATGATTAGCCTTCTTTTTTTTTTAGTTTTAGTATTATCATTTCTTATGATGGGTGAATCATACATCTTCAGTATATAGTATAGTTGTCGGTAATTCTCTCTTCCTTTTTTTTTTCTGCTGTATATTTCTTCTTTTTTTCTCTTTTATTTTATTTGTTCCTTTTTTTTTTCTTATTCATCTTCATATCCCTATTTCTTCTTTTTCTTTTTGTGTTTGATATATTAGATCACTTTTTTCTTCTTACTACTACATTCAATAAAGTATACAATACAAATTACTTTTTTTTTTTTTTGCATGACGGTGGCTAGGTAAGGCTGGGTTTCAATCAAAGGGTAACATCAAAGAGAGAAGTAAAAAAAAAAAATTGACATTTCTTTTTTTTTTCGTCTTTTGTTACATTAAAAATATCAAATGAGTTCCCAAGTATCAAAAGCAAGGACGCCATATAATAGAAAAGGTATACGAAGTCATGGTAAAGGTGGATATCAACCTACTCCTGGATCTGTACTTCCTAACAAGATGAAAGATGAATTGGACGAACTTGAACCAGGTAACTACTTTTTTTTTTTTTTTTTTTTTCCCTTGGAAAAAATGGTTTATAACACCATTATTATTTTTTTCTTCTTCTTTATTAGATACTGAAGATACTCGCAAATTTAGCAAAAAGTATGTCAACAAGGCAGCCAATAGAAAGGAACTTCGAAAACAAAAACGGTTAGACAAGGGAAAACGACGACAAGACTATCAACAACATCAAAAGACCTATGGTAAACGAACAACAGTGGAAGATGTAGGATCTACCAAACGACAAAAAACAAACAAACAAGATAAACCGAAAAATCAACAACCGACAAAGAATAACCAACAGGAAAAGACAGATCAACAAGCTATGCAAGATCTCGCTCGTACTAATCCTCACCTCTACTCTCTCTTGGATGCCGACCAATTGATCAACAATGATACAACAACAGATCCTCGCCTTCATCAAGATGCTTTTGCTGAAGATGATCAATACATTGCCTATTGGGAGAAAAAGCTGAAAATTGACAAAAACAAAACGTTGGGAAAGGCTTTTGTTGACGATGGTTTGATGGATATTTTGGGTGACCTCGGTAATCAAACTGAGGATCATACTGGAACTTCTTTTGATGATTTGGAGTATTTGCGACAAAAACGATTAAAGAAGAAACAACAAGTACAAGATGAAAAATGGGAACAAGATGCTGAAAATGTAAGAAATATAGTTTTTTTTTTTTGAACATGGAATTAAACTCTTCTCTTTTTTTTTTTTTTCTTAGGCTGTGGATGACTTGTTGGATGGTTTGGAATCTGAAGAAGAAGAAGAAGAAGAGGAAGAAGAAGAGGAAGAAGAAGAAGAAGAGGAAGTAAAAGAAGATGATGATATGACTGGGTTTGATATGGAACAAAGTGATTCTGATCAAGAAGATGTAGAAAATGAACAATTGGATTCTGATATGGTAAAATTTGACAAGATGAAATAGAAAAATACCTTAATAGGAAGGATATCCTCTGACTCCACTCTTTTATGATTTATTATTTATAGGAAAATAAAGATATTGAGAAGAACAAGGAGCCAGCTCCATCTACTGCTTCGACAGTAGCTACTAAATACATCCCTCCTCATTTACGCAAAAAGGCAAGCACCAAAACGGAACAACAATTGCGCTTACAGAAACAAATTCAAGGTTTACTCAACAAATTGAGTGAAAGCAATATGGAAACCATTCTATTAGAAATTGAAAAGTTATATGGTGATTATCCAAGAAATGGTAAGTGAATTAACACAAAAAAAATTGGATGATTATTTTTAACAATGTTTATTTATTTATTTATTTATTAGATGTCAACTCTACCATCACAGAACTTATTCTTACTTCGATTGCTCAAAAATCAAATCTTTTGGATTCTTTTGTTATCACTTATGCAACCATTGTGGGTAGTTTATATCGATTGATTGGGATTGAATTTGGTAAGTAATACATATCCTTCTATGAATGAATATACTGATTTTGGTTTTTGTTTTGTTTAGCTGCTTATTTTGTCCAAACGTTGATGGAAACTTTTGAAAAGAATTACAAGTCATCACAAACTGCCATCGCTAGTGGTCAAGATCAAGGGGAAGAAGGACCTATGGGTGCTCGTGAAACCAAGAATTTGTTGACTTTGACTCTGGAACTTTACAATTTTCAAGTGATTTCATGTATTCTTGTGTATGATTTAGTCCGACTTTTGATTGAAAACATGGATGAACAAAGTGTGGAATTATTACTCAAGATAGTACGAAGTAAGTATATCACTTTATCAATATTCTTTATCATGGATTCAGGGGGAACGTTTTGAATACTTACTCCTTTTTTTTTTTTTTTTTTTTTTTTTTTTTTTTTTTTTTAGCTTGTGGTGCTCAAATGCGAGCAGATGATCCAGCTTCATTGAAGGATATCATTGATGAAATTCAAAAACAAAGCAATAAAAAGGATCCAGCTTCTATATCGTAAGTTTATTATTATAAAAAAATAAAATAAAAAAAATTGACTTGATTTATTTTGTAGCACTCGACATAAATTCATGCTTGAAACCATTACCAATGTCAAGAACAATAAATTCAAAAGTGGTGAAATGGCGGCAAGACAAAGTGATAAGGATATGGTATTGAAAATGAAGAAATTCTTGAATGGATTAGGCAAAAAACGAACAGTTCGTAGTGCGGAACCCTTACGAGTTAGTCTTCAAGATATTCATGATATTGATACTAAAGGTAAAAGAAAAAGTAAAAAAAAAAAAAAGAAAAAATGACCATCTCAACCTTTTTTTTTCTTTTTATGGAATATAGGCAAATGGTGGTTAGTGGGTGCTTCTTGGAAAGCGAATCTTGTTGGTACTGAAAGTGAACATAATAAAAAAACCTCACAAAAGTTGGCTTCTGATTTGAAAAAGGATCAATCTCTTCAAGTGGCATTACTTAAATTGGCAAGAAAACAAGGAATGAACACAGATATTCGACGAAGTATCTTTGTTTCTATCATGGGCGCAGAGGTATCACAAAAAAAAAGGAAGGGGGGAGAAGAATGTTTGTAGATGAATGTATACTTAAAACTTTCTCTCGGTCATATAGGATTATTTGGATGCTTTCGAAAAATTGATGAAATTGGCATTAACTGAAGTTCAACAACGTGAAATCCCTCGTGTATTATTACAATGCACTGGCAATGTAAAGATAAAATATAAATAAAAATAGAAAAAAAAGTATTCACCCTTTTTTTATATATATAGGAAAAGACGTTCAATCCATTCTATATGTATGTTAGTCAACGTTTATGTCAATTCAGCCATTCATACCGAGTGACGTATCAATATTGTTTGTGGGACTTTTTACGTGATCTTGGACAAACTGAAGTGGGAGGATTGGAACGCAACAATAGTAGCACTCTGGACCAAAAAGCCATTCGTATCAGTCGGATCGTGAATGTTGGGAAATTTTATGCACATCTTTTAGCCAAACAGACATTGACATTGACGATCCTTCGCACCATCAACTTTATGTCATTGACACGCAATGCACAAGTATTTTTGGACGTGTTGTTTGCCCATCTTTTACTCCAATTAGGTGAAACGGATGATCTCAAACAAGTGTTCCTCAAGATATGTCATTTACCCACCTTGGCTCAAGGGGTGATGTTACATTTGCAAGGCTCATTATTGGAAGGTAACCGGACTGGTTTGACTGAACAAGAAATGGAAATTGTACAAGAACGATGTCGTTTGGTCAAGATCATTTTGAAAACTGCTTCATCCTCATCCTCTTTAGATTAATAGTTTAGTGTTGTTAGTGATATAAAACATATTCATCATCATTTTTTTTTTTTTTTTGTATTTTTATCTTGAAATCATTCCAATTAGTATTTTTTAGACAAATCAATAAAGATCGTTTTTTAATGAAACATCATACACACGGGTATAGGATCATATCAGATGATTGGATAAAACAATACAAAGAGGTAGATAAGAAAAGAACCGAATCGGAAAGATAAAAATAAAGGGAGTTTGGTTTGTTTTCATATGTTTTTTTTTATATTTATTATTAATATTGTTATTATTACAGTGACCTTCCAGATCACTCAAAAAGGATATATATTATATAAAAAAAAAGATGAGATCATAAAAAAAAAAAGGTGTATGTGGATGATGATATATAAAAAAATGGTATGTGTAACTAAAAGAAAAAAAAAACATGTATGCAAAACTGAAGTATTAAAATTTTGATGACAGGAAAAAAAAAAACATAATAGTGTAAGATGAAGTTATGAGTAATAATAATATGAATGTGAGAATGTATAATAAATGATGACTATAAAGAGTAATGGTGTATGATGAATATATATATATATATATAAAAGGGTCGTATAGTAATAGTGTAAATAGTATATAGGAAGATATAATAGTATGGGTACTTTTTTTTTTTTGTGTTTGTTTGTAAGGGGAGGATGATTGAATAAAAGAGCATGCAATGAGAAAACAAAATAGAAAAATGGATTGTATGGAGTTAAAAAAAAAAAAAAAAAAAGAAGAAACAGCATGAAAAAAGGAGAGAAAAGGAGGACCAAAAAAAGAAAGTAATAAAAAGGGAATAGTAATTAAAAAAGGGAATCAAACATAGGAGAAGTTTTTCAATCACGTAACCAAGGATGCATTAAGACTTGATGAATAGTAGGTCGATGGTCAGGATTCCTTTCCAATAAACAAGAGATCAAATGTAAACATTTAGAAGAAACCTTGATCTTGGGTTGAGCAAATTGACCAGCAATTGCCGCACGAGGATCAGCAAAAGGTACTTCACCAAATAAAATTGTATAGAGTAACACACCCAATGACCAAATTTCCGCAGGTTCCGCTCGATAGAGTTTGGCCATCAAGATCTCGGGAGAAGCAAATGATACTGTACCATAAAACTTTTCAAATAAATATGTTTTATTGGCTTGTCCATAATGACGAGGTAATATGACAGATGATCCAAAATCAATCAATTTCACCTATTTTTTAAAAAAAAAAGAGTTGAATGATCATAAAAAAAAAAACTTCCCGTCTTTCCAAATTTGGATTACCTTGAATTCATGGTCAATCACTATATTTTCATCTTTAATGTCACGATGACAAATCCCAAGTTTATCCAAATGAGCAACACATTCCACAATTTGTTTGAAAATCATCTTGGCCAAAGGTTCTTCAAAATTATGATGTCGTTCAATACATTCAAAAAGATCACATGAGGTACGTCGAGTAAATCGTGACACATCTTCCTCCTCATATAAAGGTGAATCCAAAGAGGAATTCCATGAATCTTCCGATGATGTTTGAGATAAAGCAGGAGACCGTGGTGAAGTCATAGTAGGAGGAGGAGGACCCCATTGGGTACCATGTAATTCCATGACCAAATAACAAAACTTTTCATCTTCATAATTATCCAAGAATTGAATGATATTGGGATGATGTACATTTTTCAATACATAGATTTCCATAGGCAATACACCTTGATCCGTTCGTACCCAACAATGATAGGGGACTTTTTCACGGAAAATGAACTTGACGGCGACTTCCCTTCCTGTTTGACGTTCATAAGCAGATAACACAAATCCAAAGCCACCACTACCTAATTCTTCCCCGAGACTATATTTAGCAACGAAATCAGGATGAAGACGATGATGCATCAAATGTTTAGCAGATGTAGTCATTTCTTGTTTTGGTTGTGGTGTGGTAGGTGGTGAAGGTAAAAGTGATTGTGTTGGATGGATTTGAATAGGTGATGGTTTTGGTACAGAACCTGGACCATATAATTGAATAGGTGAAGTAAACATGATGAAATAAATAAATAAAGGGATCAAGTATATATATATATAAAAAAAAAGGAAAGTAAAAAAAAAAAAAAAAAAGTAATGAAATAATAAAGAAAGAAAGAAATGGGAAAGATATTAAAAAAAAAAAAAAGAAAAAAAGACATGCCTATTTAAATCATCTTAAAGAATTGGTGGACTTTAAAAAAAAGAGGAGAGTAACATCATTTTATAAAAAGAACAACAACATCAAGGATCGTCAGGGAGATATCGTGGGACTTTAGAAATTAAAAAAAAACTTATTTCCCACTTGAACTCTTCTTTTTCGGATTTTGCAATGGAATGGAATGTCTCCTTGATTTGGGAATGAGGAGTACTAATGACTTGATCGATCATCACCCCCCCCCCCCAAAAAAAAAAAAGAATAATCACGATCGGTTCTTTTTCTACTTTTTTTTTTTTACTTATGATGTTGTCAAGGCAACCTGAATCATTCAAGACCCTTCTTTTTTTTTTTTTAGACTCCTCTTGCATAAGTTTTGCGTAACAAGGACAACACTTATACTAATAATAATAATAATAAAAAAAAAATCATACTTTTTAAACTTCCGTTTCTTCTATTATATATATTAATGATTATATTGTAAAATAAAAAAAAAAAGTTGTCATGTCACTTGATGAATTAGCCCCCATAGTGGATTCCTTTAGGAAGAAACATTATTGGAAACTGACAATGGAAACATAGTTTGAGGAGAGAAAGTTTGATAGGGAGAATAAAAAAGGATACGTCCACGCAATTTGTATCACCACGCTGGATGAACTTGTTTCTTTTTGAATGGATCAAAAAAGGGTTCAACTCAATGACATTTATATAACTTTTTATTGTTCCAAAGTGAAGGTAATAGGAGGATTAAATGGAAAACCATATATGATAACTACTTTTATGACATGAGGCAAGGGTTGTGGGGATACATGCATAAACTTTTTTTTTTTTTTTATAAAACAAAAGCTTCAACTCCTTTTTCATCTTGAACCATGTTGATGAAAAAGTGATGCCAATACAACCACGCTTTTTTTATATAACAATGTCAACGTGATTTCAATTCTTTCATCAAACTCCACCGACAATTGGGAATCTCCTTAAACAACCTTTCTAAACCGAATCTTCCGAAACATAAACTACAATATTGTTTATTTCAAATAATAATAATAAGCTAAACTTCTAATTGTTGTTGTTGTAAATAATCCCAAATAGCATGATAACAAAATAGATATTGTGATGCAGTTTGTACCATCGTCGTCCGTTGTTGTCGAAACGCATCAGTCACTTCGAATACAGGATCCACCCATTCATCTTCTTTCGATTCACTATGCTTCAGCCAACCAGTGACTGTATCCACCACACAAAAGGTTCCTGTTCGTCCACAACCCGCACTACAATGCACTACCATCGGTGATGTTTGTTGTAATTGATTGGCCAGTCGTACAAGAGCATTTAAATGAGATGTTTGTTGAGGCACACTATGATCTGCCCATCCAAGGAATTGAAGTTGATACACCGTCGACGTTTGTAAAAGTTGTTGTTGTTTATAACATGACACTTGCACTTGTCGTACAATACATGCTGCTTCCGAATGATGTTCTTCTTGTTGACTATTCTTTACTTCAATTGTCCAATCATCATCACCATGGGAGGACGGAAATAAGAAATGATTGATATGTTTCCTTGATTTGAGTCGGTATCGTTTTGTATCATTCCCCACTGGCCAATAGGCTGCACATTTCACCCGTCGATTCTCCATTTCCGGCGTCAGACATACAATCACATTGACCTGTTGTTCCAATACCATTCGCCAAAAATCACCACATGTCGAAGGAAGTGGACCTTGTGTTGCAATATATCGCCTTGACTGCCATTCAATCCAACTGGCATTGATATAATCATCCCCTGCTGGTCCCAATGTCGAGAGAACCACCCGGTTACTATCAAACGGAATAATATCAATATATCGGTTGCGTTCATCATTCATGGCATGTTGAGCAATACATTGGGAGAATGGTTGTGACCTTTGCTGACTTTGTTGTAACCGTACTTGTTGCCGTTCACTAAGGATCTGGAATTGTTGTGTTGCATAGCTTTCAAGTGATCCGCTCGTCATCAATCGTTTCAGTGTCTTGTACCGCGCGTTCGCCGAATCCAATTCACTGGATGTGTTGCCTACACACCTCAGAGATGTCATTGTTCTATACTTTTGTATGCTCAGTCGTAAGAATCCAATGTTGAAAAAAAAAAAAAAAAAAAAAAAACTGAATGAGAAAAAAAAAAAAAAAAAGTTACCCATTGGATGTGACGAATGAAAAACACACACAAAAAAAAAAAAAAGCCCGTCGCCCTTTCAAATGTCCCACTTCAGTGGACCCATCCATCCACATATATATGCTTAGAACGTCAGGTCACTTTCAGAATAAGAATATATTAAAATCATCATCCAATAAAAAAAAATATTGAACATCTTTCATCAATATTATATAAATCAATTGAGACATTTTCTTTCTTTTTGATCAAAAGTGTAATGAGGGTACTCCCAAAAGACCATGATGAAAACAAAATCCTTAAAAACGCATGGTTGATACTTGGCTCGTACGTTCATCATTGTGCCCCTGAAGATCCTGAACCATAAACAGTTCGAATTGTCAAGCATGACTCTCGATAAAAAAAAGGGCTCAGGAGGGTTGATCCTATGAAAACCATCCATGATATCTGTTTTAAGATGACGATCAACCGGATGATGGGAGGAAGATCTATCCGTCATCATCATCATCAAAAAAAGACATGGGGGGTAATGCCAACTTGTAAAAAAAAAGAGATTAGAAAATGGATCATGTTGAGATCATTCTTGTTACACACACACCTATTTTTTTTTTTTTTATAAAGTGATCAAGACACACACATTCCCTCTTGCCTTTATTGCAATATCACCGAATACATACACAAAATAGATGATATGCATATTATGGAAAGGAGATAAAGAACATGATATAAATTGAATGCTTTATTAATCATTACTTGTTGTTTCAATAAATGAATGAATATAAATAATAAGTTTCAAAAACTAACATATAAAAAAAAAAGAGGAGGAGAGAAACATATGGAACAAGGAGAGGATAGAAAATAAAAAATAAAAAAAAAAGAAAAAGAAAAGGGGAGGGGGGGGGAAGAATAATAATAAAAAAAAATAGGAATACATATTGAATACAAAGGGGGAGAAGGATATTTACAAGTGAATAGAAGTGTTGCCAGCCAATCGAGCATCCATTTGTTGAGTCAATACATCTAAATAAGCCGCTGGAAATGAAGTCATTGAAGATGAAGAGTGTTTCCTTCTTTCTTGATTTTGTTGAGCTGTGTAATAAAGTGACCCTTGTGAAGAGATGGACCAAGTACGTGAATTTTCCGGAGTAAATGATGGTGATAATGATGGTGATAATGATGATGATGATGATGATGATGATGATGATGATGATGATGATGATGATGATGAAGATGATGAAGATGATGATGATAATAATGACAATGAATCTTCCATTGAATGTAAGCTACCATCCCCAATACTACTGTTGAGATTATTGTTGATGATTGGTTGAAGAGGTACAGAGATTGTTGTTTTGGAATCCATCCTGACTGACGTATGATGGTTGTCATTATGAATATTGGATGCATGTTGTTTGAATATCTCTTTGGCGATCCTGGCACTTTGGATGGCTCGTTGTCGAATATCTGGATGTTTTGCATTGACCAAAAGTAAAACTGAATCTAATACAATCGTCAACCAATGAAGTTCAATGGTGCAAGGTAGCCGTACATGTAACACTTGATATATCTTGATAATGGCATCGCAACAGATAGATACAATCAAAATCGCCCGGTCACCATCCACACGATCCAGTGACACATTAGCTAAATCACATAGTTCAGGATCTTGCATCACTCGAACCACCGTTGACATCCATAACAGATAATACGCCGCATTGATTCGAAGACCACGTAATGAAGGAATTTGATGAACACGATCCATTTGCACATAGTCCATTGGCACATCTGCAATACGATATTCCTGTGGGAGACTTCGCCAAAAATCCAAAAATCGAGCTTCCAAAGCAATAATATCATTCGTTCCAATCGTATCCATCTTGCCCATATGATAGCGTAAGTTGAGTAAAGAGATTCGTTCACCGTGACCCACAGTTATCAAATGAAGAAGCCTTGATATATAATGGAAACCTTGAACCGCCTCAACAAGAGATTTGTCATCACTCTCACAAGGTAAAAGTCGTGGAAAGCCAATGTTGACTGAATGAGCCGCTAATTGGTTAACATCCGTGGGTGAGTCATACGCCATATTCAATCCAACTTCCACATACCGAGCCATCATATACATTCGTCGCCACGTTTCTGCAAATATCATCAAATGCTCCGTATCGTCATCATCAATCATAGTAGTGATGTCGTCATATCCATATTTGTTGTTGTATTGTTGAATGATAGGCACATAGGTATCTTTAAGTTGCACAGCCATACGCCAAGTAGCATCCGAATAAAACCGTATTTGTTTGTTTTGTAAAGTCAACCAAGCACATTGGGCCAACATGTAAGCCGTAAACATCCAGGATACAGAAAGTTCATTTTCATTTTCCAATGCAACAAAGAGAGCTTCATCAAATAATCGTTTTGCTTCCAATCGACAAAGTTCCCCTAATTCCAGCCTTGACCACGGTAAAGAGTGTTGTTGTAAAAGAAATAGATTATTCACATGATGACATGGTAAATAGGCAACATAAGCAGCAGCGGCCCATGAAATCATATCATTCAAATGAAGTTGCATGTAACGTTGATAATAAGGTTTGACCAAAATGGGGTTATGTAAATGTGGACAAGCAAAATAAATGTCAATCAATTGTCGTTTCACCGTCATTAATGCCAGTTCCTGTGATGGTTGCTCTACAATATCTTGTAAACTTGGTGGTGAAGGTTTTGTTGCAATTGCTATTGCTGCTGCTTCTGCTATTGATGATGATGATGTTGTTGTTGATGAAGGTATTGAGCAGGATGATCGTGTTGCTGGCAAAGAGTTGTTCCCTTGGATAAATGTGTTGAATATTTCACGTAGAGTTTTTTCAACTGAGGTGGACTTGCAGGTGACAGCTAAATGAGGTTGTATGGCGTGATTGATAATAGGTGAGACTGGTGTATTTTGAATACCAAACGATTGACTAGCTTGTTGTAAAAGTATCATGAGATCAGTCATGCTGGTAATATTTGTTTCCATTGCTAAACCATGTTGTGATCGTTGAATAGAAATGTGCCAGGACGGTGTTGATAATGATTTTTTATTTCTCTGTATTTCTTGTTGGTAAGCAATATCCTGCAATTCGGATTCCAATATTTCTGCTTCTTGTTCTAAAGTCCATACTTTTTGAAGGAGTCGATTCTTTTTAGATGCAGAGATGGGTTGCTTTTGTGTTACAGGTTTGGTAGAATACTTGAAGAAACAAGGTATAGCCATACGTTGACAGCGTTCACATATATTTTGTTGCGACAATATACATTTCCGTCTATGTGTTCGACAACTTTCACCTATAAAATAAGATGAACAAAAGTCAGAAAATAGAAAAAAAAAAAAAAAAGGGGGTTTAATTCCTTTGAATACTTACAAGGTTTATTTCGTTTTTGTTTGGAATCATCGTCATTCATTTTATTGATTTTATATTCAAATAGAAGTCATTCTTTGTCTTTTGACTTGTTTTCTTCACTTGTTTGATCAAAGAAAAAAAAAAAAAAAGATCAATAGAAAAGAAAAAGAGAAAAAAAAAATGAGTTTTCTTTTTTTTCCATTTTCAAATAGGAAACGGGAATTCATTCAACCGAAAGAGATAGTGTATTAGTGATTTCAAATCCAGCATATCAATTAAAAAATACAAAAAAAAGGGGATACCTTACCTTTTTCTTTTATCTTTTCAATCAGTCCCAATCCATTCATAACAATGCAAAGTTTGATACAACGTTATCAAAGCAATTTGATGGAACGTCCAATACGCACTTTTGCTATTCAGTCTGGTAAAAGAAGAAAAAAGAAAAGAAAATATGTACGTTCAACTTAAAAGTATTCTTCTTCCATAGGCATTATGCAACTGATAGGGGATGGTATTACACAACAAGTTATTGAAAAAAGAGGAAAAGATCATGATCCTTGGCGATCAGCTCGTATGTTGACTTATGGAGCTTGCATTGGTGGACCTGTTGTTGGAACTTGGTTTGGTTTTGTTAATAGATTCATTACGATAAAGCATTGGTTTGGAGCTGCTTTGGCAAGAACAGCTTTGGATCAAATCATGTTCACTCCTGTTATTCTTAGTTGTTTTATGGGTGGTATCTCTATTTTGGAAAGAAGAAGTTTAAATGAAATTAAAGAAAAATTTGAAACCGTAAGTTATCAAAAAAAAATAAAATAAAAATTGTATCTAAATGACTCATATCTATATTTAGAGTTACTTTAAAGGATTGATGAATGCATATCGATTCTGGCCTTTCGCAAACTTGTTTGTATTCAGTATGGTACCTTTAATGTATCGACCTCTTGTTAATGGAACTTTTGCTATTGGATGGAATTCTTATTTGTCTTATCTAAATCAAAATGCTCTTGAACAATTACCATCATTATCGGTTAATGCGGACATCAAATTACCTCTATACCAACAAACGACTGGAGAACATACTACTACTACTACCTTGGAAACTTAGATTCCCCCTTATTCAATATTATAGACTTTTTATTATATACATCATATATATATATATTTCATTTTACAATAGATTCACCCCCTTGTTTTATATATTTAGTATTATTATTATTAGAGACATTTTTGTTGAAAGTTTTCAATACAACTAGCATATTCCTCATCTACTTTTTATGAAATAAAAGAAAAAAAAATTAGATATACTTCAAATCAAACTAATGATTCAGAAAGTTACCGTACCTTTATAATTGGATGGAGAAAAGAATATGGTGTCATTTAAGGAAGTATGACCTATTTTCGGTTGCTCCTGATGTGATGGTACTTTCTTATTTAGTAGATATTTGAGGGTAAAAATATTCAATAATGCTATAAAGTCGATAGCCAAGGTAGACAATAAGAAAACGTGGACTTTATAAAAGTGATTATCAATATAGCTAGTCAACGCATAAAAACAAGGATCTTGGTATAAGACTCTATTGATTGGACACGAGTCACTATGAACAACATCATCAAATACATTAGCATAGCCACAACAACCAAACTAGTCAAAAAAAAAAAAAAAAAGAAAGCTTGTTCAGCAAGATTTCCATTTTAGGGCGACTTTACTGTTCCATTATATATATATCTATATACTTAATCTGTACATACTTCCTCTTGAAGATGATTTTTAAAAGTATCATCACGTTGATGCCATTCATTTGTCATGTATTCAAATGGATTCTGTTCCTTTTGCTCGAAAATTATTCCCATGACGATCTGTAGGATGATTGCCACTATCACTAAAGTGATGATGACAAAGGTCACCCATTTCCTTTGATATTGCATAGATATAAATTCCAAAGTAGCTACTGTCGTGATGATGATTCCTAACATACCACATACTTTCTTCCATCGTTCCAGTCAAGAATATTTAAAAATAAAAAGTGAATATCTTATCATCATGCTTCCTTTTTTTTTTTTTTTTATCAAGATTACATGGAAACATATAAGGCGGAAAGACTAATGCTCCTTTCATGATATTTGTACTGCCTAAAATAGCCACGATTAGAAATAAGAGGCCAAATGAAGCGATGATACATGTTGTAGTGAACAAGAGACATTTGATGCAACTAGAATCATATATAAAATAAAAAAAAGTATTTTCAAACCAATGAATAAATACCTTTTTTTTTCCCATTCTTCGTTTGATGTTGATGATTTACTTTGCCAAACGTTGTGCTCTCACCATATTAATAAGATGATGTAGGAGAAAAAAAAAAAAAGAAAATGATCAAATGAAATGTAAAAAAGAAAGAGAAATAGTAACTCATTGAAATCTATTCTTTACAATTCGTTAGAATAAGGGAATACCATTCATTGTATTCAATTGAATACTTCGTTATGATTTTAATCAGATTTGACATCATATTCGACAAGATATAAATTTTTTTTTTTTTTTTAAAAAAAAAGCATTCATTTCATTGACAAGATCACAGGAAAAAAAAAAAAAAAAAAAAAAAAAAAAAAAAAAAAAAAAAAAAAAAAAAAAAAAAAAAAAAAAAACTAACAATAAACAAGATGGAAGAAAATAGTTTATTATATACAGTGGAGAATAGAGTAATGGAAATGAATGGCATAATTCTATGTACAAACTACTACTATATGAGAAACAAGGGAGAAGATGACATTTGTAGATGGAAACATAATATGACGGGAGGACTATTTCCTAGTATCATCATGATAATAATGAATTACTATAATATAATAAAATAAAATAAATAAATAATAACAAGATAATAGTAAAAGGCAATATAGGAAGTAGAATAATAATAACTAAAGGGTTATATATATACCAAACAAAGAATCAATCATCATGATGACAACATTATATTCCATTCAGAGAGGCCGACTCCATCTTCCATTATCGTAAATTTCTTTCCACACAGGATTAGGTTTTAGTTCGCCATCCGGTCCTCTATATATATATAACATTTTATTTAATTTCTGTTCACAATTTGCCCTTCATCATTCTTTTTTTTTTTTCCTTTTCTTTTCTTTTCTGTTCCTACCGAATCATATCCGTACGACGTAATTTGACCTTTGGAATCTGAGTGATGATGATATCCATTGCATTCTTGTGTTCAGTACGATAATCAAATGACTATGGATCATAAAAAAAAGGATGAATATTATTTTGACACTTTCATACCTCTATATAACCTGTACTTTTTTTTTTTTTATGATTGATTTGATATTATTTACCTTACGAGGTTTGTATACTACAGTTGGAGAGGAATTCAAAACTTTGTGGTTATTAACAAATACATGACGAGGGCTCTTGGTGGGTAATATTGACGTTGACGTTGATAAAATTGAAGTTGAATTTGTTGATGTTGTTGTTTTATGAGAGATATCGTTCGCACTGGTAGCATTTGTTCTGGTAGGTTTGGATAATGAACGTGGTGATGGTGTAGGTGGCATTATATTAGTACGGAGGTCATAATGTGTTGTTTCTTTTTTTGAAACAGTTGAATCTTTTGTTGGTGATACTGGAGAACTAAAAATGGGATCAGGATCTGGATGTAATGTCCTTGATAAAACGAAGATTCTGCTGTGTCCCCGTGCAGGTGATGATTGTTGTTGACGCCGTGGAAATGACAATGTACGTGGAGGTGATGATAAATCGATTAACTATGAAAAAAAAAGAAACAAACCGAACAAATGAGAATATGTATAAACGTCCTGCTTTTATTGCTCTTACCGAAGATTCAATAGCTTGTATTTCTTTTTCTAGCCTTGCAAGTCGATCATCCTCTCCAGATAGGCCGTCTAGATCGTAATAACCGTGGATCATAGTGTTCATTGCCGTTTCTTTTGGTGTACTAGTTGTTTCTACGGTGGATGATGAAGTCGCCGTTGATTGCATTTCCTTTGCATTTGATGTAGGTCTTGGAGACTTATCTAAAGTGACTTTGGTATTACTTTTGTTAATATATGGGTTATTGTCATCTTGATTTGTAGAAGAGGATTGTGTCAAAAAAGGAGTATCATTATTGGAGGTGGTTGTCAAGTTGTTGTTGGTTGATGTTTCTGGATTATTCAATATCAATTTTTGTCGTTTGTTGGAAGGTATCGATTGTTGTTCCTGATTAGAATTACTTGTCGTTGTCGTTGTTGTTGCTGCTGCTGCTGAAGTACGTAGAAACCGGTGTTCATCAGGAATGATACGACCATATACAGCATTAGAATTATTGGGATTGCCAAGATGAAAGTTTGTCAGATTGCTGTTATCAAGGCTTTCTCGTCTTCGTTTTCCATTGATATTAAGTTCTGTAGTTGATTTCAGTTGATCAGGTATCTATAAAAAGTATGAAAATGAAGTTTGAGTCAGTTTGGACACATTTTATCATTTGATACTTATATAATATTAAAAAAAAAACATAATACCTGTAATGGTCTTGTGATAAATCCCCAAGCAGTACAAAATTTTTCGAATTCATTTGAAGCAGTGGTATAGCATTTTGAGAGAATAGATGTGAGAGAGGGTTTGTTGGAGGCAGATGAGGAAGAAGCCTTCCCTATTTGATTGTTGTCTTTCATGGTTGGTTGGGACATAATAGTAAGAATAATTCTTGTCACCAAGATAAGATATAAATACAGAAATAGAAGAGTCTTTTTTTTTTTTTTTTTTTTTTTTTTGTTCGTTGTAAGGATAGAAGGTAAAAGATAATAAAACAAGAAAGAAACAAGAATGAGAAAGAGGAATGGCCCAATTGTATTTTGTTGCTGAAAAACACGATCAGCGGGGTTTAAAAATATTGTATATGAAGTATTCGCCTCTGCTGTAAACACTATATTTTTCCTTCTACTTCTCTCTTTCTTTACCATTCTGTACTCTGCTCTTAGATTCTCAATGGCGATATATCTTTACAAGAATCAGTACAAGGATATTACTATTTTTGCATCTTGTGAATGGTTGAATGATATTGACTTTACAAATTCAATAGATCGGAATACATCTATTTGCAAACTGGTCATTTACAACGTACCGGACTTTTATAGAAGACTTGGTAAGATTTAGAACGCTGGACCTATTTTTTTTATTTATGAATGTCTGATAAGTATTTTTTTTTTTCTCTGGTTAAAATAGTGACATTCCAGGATCTAGAAGACTTTAAACAAGGTGATATTCCTTTGGACGTACTTAATACTGTGGTGACTCTTGCTTTACAAGGTGGTAAAGAATATAAAGGTGATGAATTAAATTGGAAAACTGTTTTTACTCGAGATGAATGCCAGGTAAGATATTAGAGAAGTAGGTATTTACATTTATGAGATATAGCCTATGGTAACAACATTTATCCATTTTTTTTTTTTTTTTTTTTTTTTATATATATGCATTATGGCAGATGACTTTGATTGGCTACTGGAATCGAACTTTACCGGTAAGAAATACAATGAGAATCAAGTATATATAAAATAATCAATCAAACAATCGTTATTGACTTTTATTAGGTCCAAGTGGGTTCTTTTAAACTTCAACGCGTACCTGAATGGGACAAAAATTCTATATTAACCGAATGGATGGAGAACACGTCTTCCCAATTCAAATTGATCAAGGTTAAAAAAAAATAATAGGAAGAATAGTTTAATCATATATATGGCTATTAATAAATGTTTTTATGTAATAGGAAACTCAAGATGCATTATCCCTACGAAATCTCAATTTGGAAGAAGAATACAAGAAAATGGAAGAATCAGTAGAACAGATGGTGGCACAAAAAACGATCTCGGATTTATCCATGATGGGAAAGGTAATAAAAGACTAGATGCTGTTTTCCCAATTTTATTTTGTTTGATTGTAATTACTTTTTATGTATAGTTCAAAGAGTTATTGAATCAGAAGAAAAAAAAGATACGTAATCTAATGGTGAAACTGGAACAAAAAGGTAAAGGAAATAAAAATGGTGATAACATTGGAACTATTGGGATGTTATTAAGCTTTATTTTATTTTTTTTTGGAATATAATATAGAGATAAAACCTGATACTACAATACCAAGCTCAATATCATCCTCCATAAAACGATCCGTATCCCCTCCTTCATCCTCAAGTAAGGGAAAGAAAAAGTAAGTTTTTTTTTTTTTTAAAAAAAAAAGAGTTGATCAAAAAAAGAGACTTTTTTGTATTCATCCTTGAATTTGATCTTTTTGAAATTAGGCAAAAGACGGAAGATACTCAATCTGAGGAAAGTAGTCGTCCAATAATTCCCATGTCTCCTCCGTCCAACATACCTCAAGAAGTACAACCTAGTGCTACCTTTACAACTACTACTAATAATGATGATCATGTTAAAACCGATGAAGACGAAGATGATAACTTGGAAGATGACTGGCGACTTACTATTGCACGATCAAGACCAAGAAGCAGAGGTATCCGAAAGGCGTACGTTATTATTATCATATATCTGATCATTTTTATACATAATGATGATCATCTCACCTTATTCTTACTCTTTTGTAGTGATACCGAAAAAAATATGGATACACAATCTGAGTATGTTTGGAAAATGGATAGACAAAGACAAAGCGAATTACTAATGTTCTTTTTTTTTTTTCAAATAATAGCACTACTGATGAAGAATCTTCCTAAATCACCTTCTCGTCTACTTATTACAGATCTTTTTTTATGTATATATATCCCCCTTCTGATATCCTATTGATTGTACTATATATTCCTTTTTCAATCTTAATTAATACATCCCTATACATAATTTTACACTTCAACATCTTCATTCAATTCCAATAGAAATAAAAACATTATAATCATCATCAATAGAGAAAAAAAACAATAATATTTTATTCATAATCATGTTTCAAATTGACTATACTATAAATGCTTTTCTACGTTTTCCACCAAGCTAACTTCCAAACCAGTTCTATCAGGTTCAACAAAGAGTTTCTTGACTACTCCATTTTCTATAATAGCGGCAAATCGTTGGAATCGATGGTTTCCCAAGGCACCAGAAGCATCAAAAGCCAAGTTCATGGATTGAGCAAGTTCACCTTTAGAGTCAGCTAAAAGAGTAATATTGTTTGTATCCAAGTTGACGTCCTTTCCCCAAGCAGTCATGACAAACGCGTCGTTAACAGAAACACATGCAATAAGATCTACACCTTGCTTTGTTTTGAGTCGTTCAGCTGCCTTGATATAACCTGGTAAATGAGTTTTGGAACATCCAGGAGTGAATGCACCAGGAACACCAAACAAGATGGCTTTCTTGCTTGTTGAAAAAAGATCACGTACATTGATGGTTTCAGCAGGAGATGAGAGTTGAACCTTGATATTGGGCAGAGTATCACCTACTTGAATGTTTTGACGAGCAGACGCATGTAAGTGTCGTCTACCAATAGTTTGGAATGCTGTACGGAACATGACGAGTAAAATAAAATAAAATAAAATAAAGAAAAGGAAAAAGAGAATTGGGGAAATAAAAGAAAGAAAAAATCTATGCCATCGTCGGAGTGGTGATGATTTTTTTTTTTTCTTTTGAACTTTCCCAGGCTGAAGAGAATCTGGAAAAAGGGAACACAAGTGATCCACCATCAAAGTTGCCTATGATCATTCTACAATTACCAGCATCACATTTTCAATCACATTCTTTTGTCAATACGAAATAGAATTACAGTGATTCAATGATAAATATGTTGATTGGTGGTACGAACTCGCAACATCCTAATAGAGTATCAATAGAATGGTTCGATCATTATCCATGTATATTAACTTTCAATGATCTATCTTCTTTAAGTCATTAAAACATATTCATGATCTTATTCAATCATCCAAACCTCTCAAACAATTACTGCGCTTATTTTTTTATTTTTCTGCGTTTGATTAGAGATTTGTTTTCATTGAGTTTTGAGTGTAGCTATGGTTCTTTTTTATATTATGGAAATGAATGATTGATGATCAATGATATCAATATAAACTTTCTTATTCATTTTTGTATATTCTCTTTTTGGTATAATCAATACAACGCAAATCACACTTTTTTTTCACTTGCAAACCATATCATTCAATGACGCCTCTCTCTGCCAATTCTTATGAAAAAAACCAGTAGTATATCTCACTCAGCTCATAACTTCCAAATCTAAGAAGATCTCCCGAGTAGTGAAAATCTTTTTTTTGACATTTTCCCATTTTTTTTCTTTTTTTCTTCTTTTTCCTTTTCCAGCTTTCTCCTTGATTTTTTTTATCATTACTCCCCCCTTCCTTTCCTTTTTTTTATTTTTATTTTATATTCTTTATTTATTCTTTTTCATTTTTTTTTTTTAAAAAAAAAGTATCCTTCTAGATGTCCTTTCGATCTGGAAGACCAATAAAACGATATGTTATTATCTTGGGGATTATTATCATCATTGGTTATATGTCTTCACTTCAAGTAAAGACTTTTGGAAATACAAATCATCCTTTAGTGGCAGATGATGGTACTGTTCAATTTGATTATATTCGACCTTTAGAACATAGTCAACAACGTGCTGACGGTCATTTGGAAATTACTCGACCTATTCCTCCTCCTTTAACTGTACAACAAATTAACAAGAAATATTGTGGATATGATCAATGTCGGTTTATATTACCTATTGCTATTACTGAACAAGGTATTACATAATAATAATATATATTTTTTTTTTAATTCTGATACTAATTTAATAACTTTTTTTTTTTGAATAGAATCCAAGGCTCAATATCATTTTCGACAACTAGCATTTTTATCTGGGAAACTCAAACGAACCATCGTATTACCAAATGTACATAGTTCTCATCTTGGAGCTTGTCGTCAACATCCTTTTGATTTTTATTACGACTATACCTGGCTCGACAAGAATAAACAATTCTTTAACTATATCACTATGGAACAATTTCAACAATGGATTCAAGAACGACATACAGTTCAAGCAGTACCTAGTGGACAAGAAGTGTTTATTGAAATTGATGAAACGTATCCTCACTTGGCCAAGTCTACCAACTGTTTCCAACATCTATTTGATTTTACTTATAGACCTCGTCGAAGATACCAACTTGAAGATCCAGAATTAGAATCAAAACGTATAGGTAATTATACTGAAATTCTTCTCAATGCACTTGGTGATGATGAAAGACGCAAGGATTATCAAAACAACAACAACAACAAGGATATCCCTGATTTAGAAGTGATTCATTTGTTTTATGATCGACGTTTTGGATATATTGAGGAACCACAAGTAGAAGAACCACTAGGATATCATCAACGTTGGACATCATTAGCAGATCAAATTGCAAAACAATTACAACCATTTGTAGCAATTCATTGGCGTATGGAACGATTAGAACCAGTATCGAATATGCAACTTTGTGCAGAAGAATTAGTACGGAAATTGGATCATATTGATGACAGTGGAAAGAAGAATGTATTTTTATTGACAGATTACCCTCATCTATTGACATCTCCCTTGGCTAAACCTGAATCCATGTCGTTTAAACTGAATGAATTACGTCCAGAACATCATGATGCCATTAGGTATTTGTATGAACGAACTAATGTGACATTGACAACATTACAGCGACAAGATATCCCTTATGATGATTTACCCAAACAAAATTGGAATCTTATTCCTGTAGAAGCCATGTCAAAACCTGCGGACAAGAGTATTCTTGGTATTGTAGATAAATTGGTGGCCATTCGAGCTCAATGGTTCTTATATGGTCAACCTGGTGTATGTGGTAAAGATTCAAGTTTTACAAGACGGATTCAATATGAACGTATTACTGCTTATCAACATGGCGATCCAAATATTATGTCACCTTTTGATACCTTTAAATTACATGTGTAGTTTATCTATTTTCTTTTTCTTTTTCTTTTTTTAAATAAAAAATCATTACTTTTTTTTTTTTTTAATACACGAGTCTATCATTTCGTTTAACTCACGTGGATGATCGTATAGACAACAATATTTTTACCAAAAAAAGTGGTAGTGCATCTGGTGGTTTGGTTGATTTTAGTGTTACCAAGGATGAACATGCATATCATTCAAAAAACTTTTCTTTTTTTTTTCTTTTTTCTTTCTATTATTTTTTATATACATAGTAACAATTGTAATTCTACTATAGAATAGAATAATAATTAATAATAGTATTGAAAGTATAATGATAAGTCATTTATGATATCCTTTTTTTTTTTGTCTCAATTTAAAGCGAATAAAATGTAACTATATATGCTTGTACTGCATTTGTGATTGGTATTGAGTTTGAATATTAGGTCAAATCTTTTTTCCCCATTTTTGCACCTCCTCTTTTTTTTAAAGAAAAAAAATCGCTCCCCCTTATTTTTTTTTTGTTCTTTCTACTTTCTTTCTACTTTCTTATTCTTCTATTTTCATTTATCGTTTTTTGAATAACCTTATTATATTCTTACCATGAGAGAAATTATTCACGTACAAGCTGGTAACAATATAATATTGAAAGCGCGTCTCTTAACTTATACTCAAACCATCTTTCTTTTTTTTGACATTTCCGTTAAAAAATAGGTCAATGTGGTAACCAAGTATGTTATATTTTTTTTTTCTTTTCATTTTGTTATATTATATAAAACTAATATCTCTCTATATATGAAATAGATTGGTCAAAAATTTTGGGAAACTATTAGTCAAGAACATGGCATTGATCCCTCTGGTACCTATTGGTAAGTAAACAAAAAAAAAAAAAAAAGGAAAACGCCTTAGTACATATTGACTTGTGATAAATAAACAAAAATCAATCAATCATTTTTTTTTTTATATATCTCTTCTTTCTTTAGTGGTGAAAACGATCTTCAATTAGAACGAATCAATGTTTATTACAATGAAGGTTCTACTGGAAAATATGTTCCTAGGTATAATAAGAAAAGATAGATTTAAAGGGATTAAAAGGGTATATGTAGGAGAAATAAGAAAAAAGGGGGAAAGGATGAGTTAACACTCTTTTTTATTGTAGATCCGTATTAGTCGATTTAGAACCTGCAACAATGGATGCTATTCGTAGTTCTACTTATGGTAAAATGTTCCGTCCTGATAATTTTGTCTTTGGTCAATCTGGTGCTGGTAATGCTTGGGCAAAAGGTTATTATACTGAAGGTGCAGAATTAGTAGAAAATGTATTGGATATTGTTCGTAAAGAAGCTGAACATACTGATTGCTTACAAGGCTTCCAATTGGCTCATTCTCTTGGTGGTGGTACTGGTTCTGGTTTTGGTTCTCTCTTATTATCCAAGATCCGTGAAGAATATCCTGATCGTATGTTATGTACTTATTCTGTAGTTCCTTCCCCAAAAGTATCTGATACTGTGGTTGAGCCTTATAATGCCGTTTTGACTGTACATCAATTGGTTGAAAATTGTGATGCTACTTTTTGTATTGATAATGAAGCTCTCTATGATATTTGTTTCAGAACTCTTAAATTAACTAATCCTGCTTATGGTGATTTGAATCAATTGGTCTCTGCTGTCATGTCTGGTGTTTCTACTTCTTTACGTTTCCCTGGTCAACTTAATGGTGATCTTCGCAAACTTTTTGTCAACATGGGTAAAAAAAAAAAAAAAAAAAAAAAAAAATATTGATCTTACTGATAATGGATGGTGTTAATCTCTCTCTTTTTTTTTTTTTTTTTTTTTTTTTTTTTTTTTTTTTTTTTTTTATCTAATAGTGCCTTTCCCTCGTCTTCACTTTTTCATGGTTGGTTTTGCTCCCTTGACTGCATTTGGTTCTCAACAATACCGTAATCTCAGTGTACCAGAATTGACTGCTCAAATGTTTGATGCTCGTAATATGATGGCTGCTTGTGATCCTCGTCATGGTCGTTATCTTACTGTTGGTGCCATCTTCCGTGGTCGTCTCTCAACTAAAGAAGTAGAAAATCAAATGCTTGCTGTTCAACAAAAGAACTCATCTTACTTTGTCGAATGGATTCCCAATAGTGTCAAGACATCTTTATGTGATATTCCTCCTGCTGGTCTGAAAATGAGTGGTACCTTTATCGGCAATAGTACCGCCATTCAACAACTTTTCCATCGTGTCAGTGATCAATTCTCTGCCATGTATAAACGCAAGGCTTTCATTCATTGGTATACAGCTGAAGGCATGGATGAAATGGAATTCACGGAAGCTGATAGCAATATGCATGATCTTTTCTCAGAATATCAACAATATCAAGTAAGAAACAATATGAAGAAAAAAAAAAACAAAAGAAAAAAAAAAGGTTGCTGATCATTTTTATTTATTATTTTATAGGATGCTGCTATTGATGATTATATGGAAGATGAGGATGATTATTTGGAAGAAGAACAAGTGTTGGAAGAAGAAGAATAGATTATTCGTCTTACACTATTTATTTTACCCTAGTTTTGAATTTATATATTATCCTTTTTTTTTTTTATCTTTTTTTTGTATGACCCGTTCTCCCTTTTACAACATTACCCAGTTAGTCTTCTATTCCTCTTTTTTTTATTTATTTATATATATTCCTTTCTCATTTACCCTCCACCTATGTTTTATCCACTTATTTTCTCCTTTTAGTTTATTTGAATGATAATAAAAGAAACATATTGATTTCTATGATCCTCCAATTCATTCTTCTTGATTACAATTACCAATGCAATAAGACAGAAATACAGTTAGGATATGCATGTATTCACATACATATGAGAGAGGAAGTCAGAGACAGAGAGAGAGAGAGATGATTACTGTATTCCAATAAAGTTAGACATATTCATGTTTCATCATTATGATGATTGTCACCATCTCCATCCATTCGTATATCATACCAAAAAAAAAAAAAAAAAAAAAAAAAACTCTTATGTAACGCAAATCCTATCATCATTATCATCATCATCTGTATCTTTCCAGAAAAGGAATCTGTCTGGGTAATCCTTTTCATTTAAGAAGTAGATTGATGAAATTGTTTTTATCTTTATTTTTTTTCTTCTTTTTAGTTTGATACGACAACATATTTAGTTATATATGTAACTTTCATCCATGAGTGTACCTGAAAAAAAAAAAAGGAACCCATTCATCCGATCGTGTATACACAATGACAACACAAATGTGATCAATTAAAAAAAAAAAAAAAAAGGAGGTCATTTTCTTTGATAGAATGTGGTCAAACGACGATTTCATCTTAAGTCAAACAATGAGATCTTTTTTTATTTATTTGATTTGTTTTTGTCTAAATAAAGAAATACCAATATGCTTTTATTGACAATATCATATACACACAAAGAAAAAAAAAAAGATAATAATAAAAAAAAAAAAAGTAGTCTAAATAAAATAATAAAGTCAAACTAAACTAAATCTACTAATAAAGTAATTAACAAAGTAATTACAAGTTTTTGATACTATCATTTCCATTTCCTAATGATGTTGGCAACATTTCCATTGATTTTTCTCGTTCCCCACGATCCACGTCTTGTTTCGCTTTTTGATACAACCAGAGACCCACAAAAGTCAATAGAATACCAAAGGATTGGGTCCAAGTCACCTGTTGACCAAACCAAACAATGCTCATCACAATCACAAAGATTCGTTTCAACAGTGATAAGATCGAATAAGTCACAGGAGAAGTCAATGATAGAGTGGTGAAAGCAAACCAGTTTTGTCCAAAGTTCATTGTTCCATTCAAAAAGAAATAATAAATCAATCGAGCCATACTAATATCCGTTGAAGTACCAACATTACTTGTATCATCACTACTACCAAAGAGTCCTTTACCATCGGAATATAACCAAAGGGGAATCATCAATAAAAAGGATATGGAGGAACTATAGAAGAGCACATTCATCTTGTCAAGTTTGTTTGGATTACGATCACCTAGTTTGGATTCCTTGAATAAGATTTTCTTGCTAAAGATATTTTGCGTCACAAATACAAAACATGATCCAAGCGCACATGCTAATCCCACCATGTTGTTGGAGAATGTAAATGAACAGGCCAAGATCACACCCAATGTCAAAGGTAATAATGATACATACACATTTTTTGTATAACTGACTTGAAAAATCACCCGATAGAATAAAACTGTAAATAAAGGTGCCAATGCCTACCAAAAAAAAAAAAAAAAAAAAAAAAAAAAGATAAGATAACCAATCCCTTCATCAAACTAATCTTCTTTTACCTTAATCGTATGCACCAAACTAACAGGAATTCGACTGATGGCAATACTAGAGAATACATGACCTACGATCAAAAAGACAGCTAGAGGAACAATTGTCCTAGTGATATCAGTCGTTGGTTTTCGGATATGAGTAGCACCAAATAATCGAGCTGCTGTAAAACAACATAAAGCAACCAAACCAAATTGGATAAAAGTCAAAGTCACTGGAAATCGAAAGACGTTGAGGATTTGTTTGCCAGTATTGTTCGTCATAGAAGAAGCTACGTACCACATACAACAATTGAGAATGAACTTGAGTTGACTTGATGCTTCAAAGTGTTGTCGACTTGATGGAAACAGGGCTCCCACTCGGCTTTGTAAATATCCAAAAAAATCCTGACTATGTTGTAATGAAGGTATGCTGGCTGTGGATAAATCAGAATAAGAAGGTTCCGATTCAAATGGTGATAAGATATGCAAAGGTCTTCTCGAAGGAGTTGGCGATAATGCTGAAGTAGATGATGTAAATTGAGGTTGGGCAATATGTTGTGGTTGATGTAAATGATATTGTTGTTGATGATGATATCTAGATGATAACCTGGTGGTTGATCCAAAAGTACGTACAGTTCCTACAGCACTCTTCATCCTTGATTCTCCTTGAATATCACTATCACTACTCTTTGTTGTTGATATCTGTTCCATGAATTGATTTCCACTAGATCGTTGATAAGGTGATACTGTAGTTTTTGTCGTCGTCTGCTTGGATGATAAGGATGTATTTATTGATGATCCATCTACATAACTTGTCCTTTTTGAATCTTCAACATCTTTTTCCTTTCCTCTATAACTTCCGGAATATAAATGATTTGAGCCATCAAGCGAAGTCGTAGTTGGTTCGTGAGAAGCAACTGCAGCAGACATAAAAAGATAGAGTTAAGGGAAGGAGAGTTACCAATCTATTCCCCAATTAAATCACAAACGATCTAGCCACTGAAAATTTTGAAAGGCCGATCACCCCCTGATTTTTTTGATTCTCATTGTTTCTTCATGTGTATAAAAGAAGGCCATTGTTCTGGTCTTTGGCTTTTGTTAACATCTTTATTATCTTAATATTTTAATCATCACTTTCTTTTAACCTTTAATTCCCTGACATGCAACCTCTGTTGATAGTCTATCAAAGCTATTGTCCTCATAGCAACCCTAACCAGAAGAGTCTTAGTGAACGTCATGGTGAGAAACCTAACGAATTAATCCAACCTTACCAAAAAAACAAGAACCCCCCTAAAAAAAAAAGCAAGATAACACGACCAAGAAACGCTTTTTTTCTTTACAGGGCAGCAAAACGTAACGAAATCATCATGGATCAAACTAGGAATGGTCGTAAAGCGCTGTTCGAAAAGGATGTTTCCAAACTCGTTGCCGAGATGTGGCAATACGAGCCAAAGCACGTAAAAGATTTTTACGCTCGACGAGCAGAAGAAGAATCTGTAAATCACACAAGTAAACACCCTGAATACAAATACCAGCCCAAAAAGAAAAGCATTCAGAAAAAGCCATCAGGTAAACAACCGACGATAAATGAAGGTCAACAAAACGACACCAGTATGATCGATCATACAAACAAAGCTCAATTGTCTTCAGATTCACTGCCATCAGCGTGCCTGTCACAGGATGATATCGATTCCTTGCTAAGTAGCGACAACTTTGTTAATCTGAACCCAAACCTACTTGATTTTACCATGTCGACAACTAGTGATCTTCAGGGACTATTCTCATTAGATGATAATTTTTTTGAGTTCAATTTGTAATAGTATAGATTATTATTTTATTAATTAATGTTATAACTCTCACTCCATTCACCTGTCTAATAAAAATTGCATGATATAGCTGCTATTTTACTGCATACTGGACTTTCAGACTCCTACATTTATTTAAATTTTTAAGTGTTTCATTGTTTTGTTTCCCTTTCCTCTTTCCAACATTTTTCTGGAACAGCAAATGTCAGGATCACGTCGGCGAACAAACCAACAAGTGCCACCACAGGATTTTGATTGGGAATTGACAAGGTGGGGACAACAATGTGTTAGAGAAAACAAAGAGAATGAAAACAGGAGAAGAGGTGATTGACAATATGACTTTTTTTTTTTTTTTTTTTTTTTTTTTTTTTTTTGTTTGTCAGTGAACCGAATGTTGTCAATGCAACTTTAAATCTTACGACAGAACAAGTACTAGTATCTTCTGTGGAAAAGCCAAAAGCACGTACAAGGGGAAACAAGTTTGATTTTCGACAAAAAGCATCCCAAGATCACCTTTGGACTTTGAATAATGAGGCTAGTTGGAACTCTGTTGAACCGACATGGGGAACAGAAGCATATGGACAGTCCTCCACTTCTAAATACAGTTACCGTGATAACGACATTAATATAGACAATTACAATGTAACCTCTGAACCATTGATCACAACTTCGTTCAAGTTAAACACGGATATTGCTGGTGATGAACCTATTTTTGCTCCAGTTACTGACTTTACGCTATTTCGACATAAACCTGTTATTCCTTTGGCTGATGATGTTTTATATCCGTCTACTTATTACAATGAACTTGAAGAACGACAAGATGGCTTCTTACCCAACGTTCCTGTCAATTGTGTCAATGGTCCATATCAATCTGTTGATCATTATCTAGCTACTCATTTTGAACTGATGCGTCAAGATAGTCTTATTCCTTTACAGAAAGCAGTCCAAGGTTATCGATCTACGCTCTCTCTTGATAAACATACAGATCTCTTTGGTGATCTACCTACTTCTGATCCTCCAGTTCATCATCCTCAAAACTATCGAATTTATGAACGAGTAAGTTATATTTTATATAGTATGAAATATCTTTTTTTTTATTATTATTAACACTTTTTTTTTTTTTTTTAGGTACAATTGAACGCGCTTGTATATGGATCTCGTCAAATACTATATCGTATTAGCTTCCGTCTTCCTTACACTGTGCGTATATCATGGCCAACATCCAAACGTCTGATTGAAGGTTCGATAGTGCTTTTATCCAAAGATAATTTTGAAAAGGATCTCAAGATTGCAACTGTAGTCCAAAGAGGGGAGGAACCAATGAAAGGCTCAAGTCGATTTGAATATATGATTGATATTTGTTTGGAAAGGGATAACGATGAAGATCCTCTTGGTTTTGGTGATCCAACTTCTACAGATCAAGATACTTATGTTATGGTAAAATTTCGAATTTTCATTATGATAAATGAAAAACTGACTCTATTTTATATATTGGAATAGCTGGAGGCCACTGAAGGTTATTTTGAAGGTAAGGAAAAAAAAAAAAAAGAAGAAGAGTGGGTTATTGTCAATACCATCATGACTCATCATCATCATCATCATTCTTTATTATTATTATTATCTAGCTTACCGTCATATTCTTAACGTGATGAAGGAGATACCTGTGGACGATTTACCTTTCAAGCCTTACTTGGTTGATGTTGACAAGGACGTCCGTATACCATATTATGCATCCATCAAACGTTATTATGATTTGGATACTTCGACAAAGAATAAAAGATTAGGGAAATTGAAACCTGTGGATATTATGGGTACTTGGCCACCATACGATATTGGCATGGACAAGACTCAAGTGGATGCTTTACAAACCATATTATCAAACGATCTTGCCATCATTCAAGGTAATTAAAAAAAAAAAAAAAAAAAAAAAAGGGATATCAATGGATCATGAGATTCTAATCTTTAATTTCTGGTATTTCTTTTCTTTTTTTTGTAGGCCCACCTGGTACTGGTAAAACTTTTGTTGGTACTTATGCTATGAAGGTTCTTCTAAGTAATTTAGACAATGTTGCTGGACCTATAGTTTGTATTTGTCAAACAAATCATGGTATGTATATTGACAAAGAAAAATAGCAAAAATGCAAGTATTATGGATATGAAAAGTCTCATTTCTTTTTTTATATGATGATGATGATGATGAAACAGCTTTGGATCAATTTTTGGAACATATTTTCAATTTTGAAGACCGTATCGTTCGTGTGGGGGGGAGATCAAAATCTGAATTACTCAAGGACAACCTGATCTATGAATTACGCAAGACTGAATTGAATACTCGCGGTGCAGGTCGACTTTACCGAAAAAGGGATGAAATTGGCAAACGTATTGATACATTGATCATGGAATTATATGAAGAACCATGCGTGACATTGGAATTTTTGACAAGGCACAAATTACTACGACCTCGACAATTGGATAGTTTAAAACGTATGGGTGAACGAGAAGACAAAAGAAACAAATCGTCTTCAAAAAAGAATACTTTGGACAACGACGATGATGATGCATGGGTTGTTACACCACAACCAGCAACAGCGCCATTATCCAATAGTCGAAACGGTGAGAAAAAGTTTGGAAAAGGGAAACGACAAGGAAACACAACGAATTCTCTTGATTGGATGCAAGGCAACCCAAATCATTTTCCTCAGGAAGAAGAGAAACCTATCAATCCAGTGGAAATATGGCTTCGTGATGCTATCGAATATATCAATGAACAGGGTGTCATGTTTTCTTATGCTGATGAATTGAAGGATGCTTTACTGGAACAACAAAAAGGATTAGTATTTGAAAACGATGATGAACAAGATTACATTGATGAAGATGAAGTTCAAGAACTAGCAGCAAACTACCGGGATGAAGATCTACGTGGAAACAAGAATAATCGGTTCATCAATATTGGGCGGGCCTATAAAAAGGAATCAAATGATAATGTGACATCCGTGAAAGATCTTTTCTTTGGAAATGCAATGGCTGGAGGAATGAACAATAAAACGAACGATCGCAAAGTCATCAATTACAAGAAAACAGAAAGCGCAAAATTGGAACGTGAATTTACAACAGACTTTAGCTTTTTTGATGATAAAGAAGAACGGATGAATGATGATGATATTGACATGACGGAAAAACATCAAGTGCTGGAACGATGGATGAAGGATGATGATGTGACTCTATGGCCTCTTACTGTTCGATTGAAGGCACACAAGAAATGGGCAAACTTACGCAATCAATCGATGGAAAAAGAAATTATAGCTTTGGTACGACAATACAATCAAGTCAGTGCAGAAATCCGACGGATCAATGTTTTGAATGATGCTCAGATATGTCGTGCAAATCGTGTTGTTGGAATGACCAGTACAGCAGCGGTAATATATTACCAAAAGATCGTGAATTATTTGTAGTACTCATCTCTAAAACACTCATTTGTTATATTTTATTTACTTGTTTTAGGCAAAGTATCATGATTTGTTAGAAGAAATCAAACCATCCATTATGGTAGTAGAAGAAGCAGCCGAAATGTTGGAATCACACATAGTAACAGCACTGGTTTCTTCTTTACAACATCTGATCCTGATCGGGTAAGTGATGACAAATCCCAAAAAAAAAAAAAAAAAAAAGAATTGTCAATAGAAATCATTTTGATCTGACTTTCCTTTTTTTTTTTTTTTGATACTTTAGTGATCACCAACAACTTCGACCAAGTACTGCTGTCCATGCTTTATCGGAGCAACACCATTTGAATGTATCTCTATTTGAACGATTAGTAAACAATGAACTACCTTATACACGACTATCTCACCAAAGACGTATGCGACCTGAGATTCGTACGTTGATTGATCCAATTTATAGCAATCCTCCACTTCATGATCATGTTGATGTTAGCAAATATCCTTCAGTCCGTGGTATGCAACGAAATGTGTATTTTTTGGCTCATGAAGAATTGGAAGAAAGTATGGTGGATACAGCATCGAAAACTAATCTTCATGAGGCGTCCATGGCAGCAAAGCTCAGTTGGTATTTGTTAATGCAAGGTTATAATCCACAAGATATTACAATCATTACTATGTATGCTGGTCAACGCTCAATCATCAAGAAACAATTACAAGCTGAGCGACGTGTTGATTGTGACACCTCGGCAATCCATGTAAGCAGTGTGGATGGATATCAAGGTGAAGAAAACAAGATTATTATTCTATCTTTGGTCCGAAGCAATATGCAAGGACAAATTGGATTCTTGAAAGTGGCAAATCGTGTATGCGTTGGTTTATCCCGAGCAAAACATGTAAGTTCATATTATTGTGTGTGGGAGAAGTTTTGTAATATGAAAAGAGACTATTTTGGATTTGTACATCTGATATTAAATGTTACTTTATTTTATTTATTTTTGATAGGGTATGTATATTCTCGGTAATGCCAAATTGTTATGTGAAAAGAGTGACCTTTGGAATGAAATTGTATCCAAGATGGAAGATGGGAATGATGATGTGATTGGTACTCAACTTGGATTGAAATGTGATATCCATAATGTGGTGACTCGTGTTCGATGGCCTGTTGATTTTACTGAAGTCAAAGAGGGTGGATGCAGCAGACCATGTGGAACCGTACTTGATTGTGGCCACCAGGTAATAAATAAAAAAGGAAATTGATTATCAAATAGGAATTAACTTTTATTACTATTATTATTGTTCTTGTCAAGTGTCCTTTACGATGCCATGCTTATGAACATGATGAAGTTCGTTGTACTGAAAAATGTAGAAAATTATTTACCGAATGTGGACATCAATGTACCAGATTATGCTCTCAAGACTGTGGATCATGTATTACTCCTATACATCGTAAACTTCAATGTGGCCATACCATACAAGGAGATTGTTACAAGATTAGACGGGAAATCAAGGCAAATGGCGGAAAATGCAGTGATTGTTCTCGTCTTTGATGATGTTACAGTTTTAGATTAGATTATTGGAGTATTTTTGATAGATAGCATAGTTTGAATTATTGAAATAAAAAAAAAAAGTTAACAGAACAAATCTGAAGGATTCTCCTTATTGGGTAATCATGTTGTACAAAGGTAATTCTTTTTTTTTTTTTTTTTTTTAGGTGACTCAGAAGGATTTGATATCACATTTTTCCCACTTGTCCTCATTCTTTTTTTTTCCCCACACTCTTTTTTTTTTTTTTCTCCCCTTTTTCTTTTCCTATACTTCAATATTACTTATTCTCTCATGCCCTTTGATACACTGGGACGATGCAACAAACGCTTACGGCATGACTCAACCGACTTTACAAATGACTATAACTTTTGGCCTTTTTCTACCTCCACTGAACCTTTTTCACTTTTCTCCACAAAGCCTGAACAAATGGTAGATTCCCTTTCGGATCAATCTTTACACGAAACAACATTTTCAAAAGATATTCAACTTGAACAACAACAACAGCAACAACAGGAAGACGAATTGAAACAGGCCGTACATCCATATTCACCTTCCCTCTCAACATGCTCTTCAATTACCATGAATTTACCATCCACACCACAATGTCCTGAACAACAACAACAACAACAACAACAACAACAACAACAACAACAACAACAACAACAACAACAACAACCTTTACCTAGGTGGGAATTGGAAGCCATTCACGCAGCATTGTCCAGGTTTCGTTTATCATATACAGAGACCGGGATTCATATGGAAGCCAATATATCAACTGCCTCCGAGTTACGCTCTCTTGTCGATGCCTTTGCACAATTATCTTGTAGTCCTTCATCCAATGTCACACAAAATTCATCTTTTAATATTGACTCATCCAATCGTCGAGATAGTGTTGTTCTTTATCGCAACAAATCCTGCAAAGCGGTACCTGCCAATGATAAGGTTCTAGTTGGTTTTTTGGGTCAAGCAATTCATCCTCATTCAAGTCATCATGGTATCATCACCTTACGACAAATAGCTGATTCATGTGTGGAAGCCTATTTTACTTGTTGGGTACGTTATACGCCTGTTCTTCAACGACAAGAATTTATGAAATGGTATACTCTACAAGACTCCCCTCAAGATACTCTGATTGTGAATGCTCTCTGTTCCATGATCTTTCGTCACGTCGTCACTCATCATCATGACTGCTCACCTGGTTTACAACACTTTTTACATGATCCTGATATGGTTCATGAACAAGAAGAATTCTTTTTCAATCGTGCTCGTGATGCTTTGGCGCAGTCGTTTGATACACCTGATCGATTCACTGTAATAGCCTTGACCTTTTTATGTGTACGTGCTGAACCAAGTCGACGACAACATTATGGTGGATTAGCTGTCTCTTTGTTACAACAACTTCATATTTATCCACGTATGCTAGCCAACAATGATGATGTAGATTCTATCAACAATATACAACAAGAAGAACAGGAAGAATCAAACAACAACGATAATGATGATGATGATTATGCTTTGGAATTGGATACTAGACTTTGGTGGTATGTTTGGCAAATCGACTTTTCTCATTGGACAACTGGTTTACCTAGAATCACTCCTTTACTGCAGTTACCCAATCAACGTTATGATCAAGTAGATTTCCCTTTGGTATTTGAACAAGATATGGATGAAAGTGACATTCCAATTCTGGTACATTCCCATACACTAGCTCTTTGGCGCATTCAAACTGATATTATCACTACGATGTATGAACAAGACTCTGAATTGACAAGTGAACAATTGATTGATTTTGATGCTCAATTGAATGAAGTTTATGATCGTGTACCAACATGTATGAAATCATTGGAAACTATGACAGAAACCAATTCTATTCATGGCGATAAACAATACAATAACGACATGGAATTAGCAAGAGCAAGAATTAATTTGGAATACAATGCAAGTAGAATCATCCTTCACAGACTATTTACTCCCGATGTTGGTGATGGGCGACCAAGTCAATCTGCTTTGGCATCATTGAATGTATGCATCCGTGCAGCTCTGGATCAACTTGATCTCTTGGCAAAATGTATCCAATCTACAATTCGATGTGCATTTGATTTATTTGAACTCTATAGGGTGGGTCGGATTCTTACTATGGCATTAGATATTTATCGAACAATTATTCAAGATGATTCTCTTCTTCAGGTCATGATGCATGGTATTCCTAGCTGCGAAGGGTTTGGATTTTTGGAAAAACAATTGGAACGTGCTTTGAATGTATTGGAAAGGACACCAGAGGGCAAAGTAGGTACTAAGATTTGGATTCAAGTGGCTGATTTTTTACATATGGAAGTACGACGACATCGACTCTATTCTAGGAAACATTCTCGTTCAACAACAACAACTGCATCATCATCATCATCCTCTTCATCACCATCATTATCAACAACAACAAAATCATCAACATCTTCCTTCCATGCTTATCCAACAATGACAACACAACAACAACTAGGGAAAAAACCAGTAACAGGACTCTCATCACAAACGCTTTCCATTATTTCCTTTGCCTCACCAATGACACCGTTGACATTGTCATCACCCTCCTCTTCTTTTTCATCAACAACATCACAAGCAACATCCGCAAAATCATCCAATAAAAAGCATACATCCGTTCGACAACGACAATCATCCACTTCATCAATATCATCATCGTCATCATCATCATCATCCAAACGATCGTCTCCTCCAATTCAAACCTTTGTTCAAGCAACCTGTAATACTTTTGATGGAAAGAATCAACCTCGTTTCCGGTATTTCAATCCAAGAAAAATGAACAAGTTTTTATTCATTGATGAAAGTCGATGAATCTTTTTCTTTTTTATATATGTATTTTTATGTCCATTACCTTATATATGTCTTTTGTTATTCAACCTATGTAGATAGCCTTGTTTTTTTTTTTTAATTCTAATTCTAGTTTAGTTCATTTTTCTCAATAAAAAATAAATAAATAAATAAATAAATCATCTATTCATCCATATGCAGTCTTTACTATGTTTATTTTTTTTTTATTTGAACGATTGGGAATACAAAATAACCTTTATTATTTAAATATATATCAAAAGAAAAAGTGTGTCCCTGATATTGTATGGAATAATCACAAGGGGAGAAATAATCATATACATAGTTGGAAAGTAGAGGAAGTATGAAAAGAATGAAGAATACAAATATACTACAAAAATAAAAATAAAAATAAATAATAAAACGAGGATGATCTAAATAACACTATAAGCACTTTTCACGGATCCAGATCTTGGTAAATGACCACCATTCATATCCATTTGATTATCCCATTCAGTTAGATAGGCATCCTTGAGAGCCGAGTACCTTAGACGACTTTCCATTTTCAACGAGAAGGCCTGTACCACAAACCAAAAGTATACATGAAGCCCGGTCCATACTACATACGATAGACCAAGGAAAGCATAGGCCACTGTTATCGCCGTCGAGCAAGTATCATTAGACCACTGGGTTTCTACCTGACAGAATAACACAGCAGACGATCGGAACACACCTGATACCACCAAAAGAAGAAACTGTAAGAATCCCATAGAACCACACGCAATCATGTAAAACGTTGGTATTCGTACTAACCATTTTCCTGAAGCCTATATATAAAAGTGAATAAATGAATGAGTTTCTCTTTTTCTTTTTATAAATGTCATTGTCCCTTATAACCGAAAACACACACATATATATATATAGATTTTATTATTCGTATTACCTTAACTATTAGGTAAATGCCAAATAGACTCCAGAAAGCATATGCAAAGTGTAACAAGACAGAGATCCACAAGACACCAGGAGAACCAAAGGTCACAGAGAAAGCTAAATAAAACAATAAAAATTAAGTAAGACTGTCAAAAAAAAAAAGATATCTTGTCTTACCTGGTTGACGAGCAATGGAGATAATTGCAAATATGAGACCATAAAGAAAATCAAGAGTAAAGATAGTAAAAGTCGCTTTCCGTAATGATACAAAGAAACAACACTTATCTACTGCCATTATGATCAAGGTTTCTTGTTTTGTAATAGATCCGTAGAAGAAGATGGTATAATAGAGGAATCAATAAGATAAAAAGAAAAAAAAAAAAAAAAGGAACCGACAAAATAACAAAAGAGAAAAAAAAAATCAGCCTGAAACATACACACACACATAATACACACCGCCTCGGATCTGACCTCCAAATTCTACTTCATCCAAAGGGATGGATCATCATCAAAAATAGTAACAATGATAAAAATAAAAAAAAAAAAATGTCAAAACCAAAGAAGTTGTTTATTGAAATACAAATCTAAATCTACAATGACTAAAATAAAATCAAATTCATTCATTTATCGCATAGTCACCTATTATAAGAGGAAAAAAAAAAAAAGAAAAAAAAAAGTAAGTAAAATTATATTAAGACACAATTTTGTTCTTCTTACCAATTCTTCAGCAGCAGTAGGATGAATAGCCACACAGTTATCAAAATCTTTCTTGGTAGCACCCATACGTACAGCCACACCAAAACCTTGTAAGATTTCATCACTACCACGACCCAATAAATGAACACCAACCACTTTTTCTTCCTTGCCAACCACCACTAGTTTATAAGCTGTAGGTTCCTTATGTTCCAACATAGCAAAGTACATATTGACAAATTTGGAAGTATATACCTTGACATTTTCATCACCATATTGTTCACGTGCTTCAGGTTCTGTCAAACCAAGAGTACCTGCTGTAGGATGTGAGAAAACAACAGTAGGAATATTATTGTAATCCAATTTGGATTCCTTGAATTGTGGTCCTCCAAACAAACGATCAGCCAATTTTCGACCTGCCGCAATAGCAACTAGATAACCAAAAAAAAAAAAAAAAAAAAAGTCAATACAATACATATATACTCTATATATATATATTACCTGGAGTCAATTCTTCACGTCCACAAACATCACCCAAAGCATAAAGACCAGGTACAGATGTATTTTGATATTCATCTACAAGAATATGACCACGTTCAGTTGATTTGACGTCAGCAGCAGTTAGATTCAATCCTTGTACATTAGGATCACGACCAGTAGCCCATAATACACAATCCACATTCAAAGTCGCAGGTTGACCAGCTGATTCATATTCAATTTCAATACTTTTATCATCTTTGCGTTTCAATGCCTTGACCTTGGTATCGAAAGCAAAATCCACACCTACGGATTGCATTTCCTTTAATAAATTGTCCTTGATGATGGGATCAAAGTTCCGCAAGATTTGTTGAGTACGAGAAAATACAGTTGTATGACTACCCAAAGTGTTGAAGATACCAGCCAATTCAATACCAATATAACCAGTACCAATCACTGCCACACGTTTAGGTTGTTCTTCCAAATCGAAAAAGCCATCAGAGTTGATAGCAAGTTCAGCACCTGGGATATTAGGCATCACTGGATGACCTCCTATATATAGATAACAAAAACAATGAGTTCAATCCATCATCTTATATATATATATATATATATATTTACCTGGAGCAATCAATATATTCTTAGCTTGAACTTGAATAGCGTCACCCTCTGTAGGTTGAACTTGAATGGTATTCTTATCGATAAAGCTAGCAAAGCCTTGAATATGATCTACTTTATCATTTCCGAGATTACGTTCATAAATCCCATTCAATCGTTTTACATAGGCATCCCGTTTCTGTTTGATCACATTCCAATTAATGCTTGCAGGTTTATCTTGGTTTTCATATCCATATTGTTTAGCATCCCGTAAAGCTTCGGCAATCGAGGCTGTCCAACAGAAAAAAAAAAGAAATATAAGAACTATTACCGTTTCCGTCCTTTTTTTTTTTTTTTTTTTTTGTTTACCTGCATTCCACATGACCTTCTTAGGTACACAACCCACATTGACACAAGTACCACCTAAACGATGTTGAGCTTCTACAAGGGCCACTTTGGCACCATGGATCCCACTAGCACGACGAGCAGAGGCAAGACCACCGGAACCACCACCAATAACAAGATAATCGTATACTTGATTTAAAGATTTAGTCATATGAAAAAAACGGCGTGTAATATAGGCCATAAAAGAAAAGAAAAAAAAGAAAAAAGAAAAAAGAAAAAAAAAGAAAAAAAAAAGGGGAAGAGGGACTTTTGTTCTCGAACCAACGAAATGCTTAGTAATTTCAATAACCGCTGTCGTCTCGAGTTAGCAAATCAAATTACAATAAAATGGTGCGACAGCTTACTCATAGGCGCGAGAAGTAAGAGAAATGTATTTATCCAAGTCATCACCTTAAAATACAAATAAAGAAAAAAAGAAAAAGGACAATAGTGAGCCGAATCCCAAGCTTTTGTCTGATAACCATTTCTTGCTCAAAGTCAACGTATTCGAAGAAGAAAAAATAAATGAAAATGTACTTATTCGTTGGCATCATCCTCCCTCCTTGATTCTCATACTGCTTTCATTTCTTTTGAATATATCTTGGTAAAAAGGGATGGATTCTTTCCTAGATATTCATGACATTCATCATTTGATAACTAGGCATTCTATATTCTAGTTTATGACATATAATGATTGGATGATTGATTTGATTTAATAGAATAATCATCATTATTTGACAACTCCAATGTGATTGGAGGAAAAAAAAAACGATATAAAAGGCACCTTTTTTTTTTATTTTCTCTTTCTTCAACAAAAACAAAAAAAAAATATTCAAAAACCAAAAAATCAAAAAAAAGTTACTTGCTTCTTTTTGGCCGCTTCGTTGTTGGTGTCTTCTTTTTTCCGGTCGCCTGGTCACATGTGACATAATATTGATTCTTGTTTCCCCGTTTTCCTCGTTGTTCTTGGTCTTGCTGTGCCTCTGGTTGTCTGTTCTTGCGTCTTCCTGTCTTTATTGTTTCTTGGATCTTTTTTTTTTTTTTTTTTTGATAAGTGCACATATACAAATGATATTTAGTTGATCATCACACTAATCATTTTCCATTTCTTCTTTTCAACCACCGAAATGGAGGGTGAAAAAAGATGCCCTTTTTTTTATGCACTTGGGCATCTTTTTCTTTTTTTTCCCTCCACATTTTTTTTCTCTTCGTCATTTATTCACTCAACGTGGTCACTTTTCATATGATAACATCTACTCTGCTTCGTCAAGGTAATGTCAACTGAAAATAAAAAGAATACTGTCTTCATGTTTTTTTTTTTAATCATACCTTCATTAATAACACTATTTTCTTTTATCTTTTCTTTCTCACTTTGGGTGGATCAACAAGCTTGTCGTCATCAAGTCTCATTAGGAAAGACAAGCCGCTTTTTCTCAACAAGTATCCTCAAGTCACAACAACAGTATCATTTTGATTCGTACAAGTTAGTCCACCATTTGGAAGAAAAGGGCTTTTCGACCGAGCAAAGTCAAGCAGTCATGGTTGCTTTACAAAAAGTTATTTCCGAAAGGTAAAAAACAGTGAATTCAGTAACCTACATCTTGTATGGTCCTTATTTCTCTCTTTTTTTTTTTTATTGGATAGTATGGCGAACTTGACTGATAATACAGTGAATAAGGCAGAATTCGACAAGGTAAAAAAAAAAAACCACTCTACTCCTTATAAATATATATTTGACAACAATAAACTATAGACGATGTATGCACGAACGGTGGATTTCGTCCAACTACGGAGTGAAGTACAATTTATGGAGAGAAACGAATATGCCTTGATGCGAGCGGAAAATGAACGACTTCAAGGTGAATTGGAAATGATACGACAAAAACTGATGGAAGAGGTGAATCGAACACAAGCTAATGTACGGGTGGATATGCATTTGGAAAAAGGACGATGGAGGGACGAAACAAGTGCTCAAGAAATCAAGATCAAGGAAACTGAAGCAAGGATTGAAAGTGAATTGGCAGGACTACGTACACAGATGGAAGCCATCAAGTTCCAAATCTTACAATACTTTATCGGCACATTGACTGGTGGTGGTGCTCTGTTCCTGGCATATCTACGGATGTTACGATGATAGGATTCCCTTCTTTATATATACATATATATAATAGATAGTATCATGATAATCTGTATTTGATGTAGTAATAAATCTGTTTTAGCCACATATATATATTTTTTTGTATATTGTTTTTATTATTATTTGAAAATGATACTAGTCAAAGTCTAACGAGTAATAATAATAAAAATGTTGAAAAGGAAGAACTCAAACAAAAAAAAAACTAGGAAATAATGTCAAACTATCCTACAAGAGTCATATAGCGATTGTGGGAAAAGACAAAAGAATGATGAAGGGTAAAGTTAAAAAAAAAAAGGAAAGAGTGATCGATATACACATAGCGGAAAAGGAGATGAAGACAAGGAATGATGTGATATAAAGGAGTCGTTGACAGTATTGGATATTGATAAAAAGCCCCATATTTATCGTCCGTATCTATAGAAAGAATAACAGTTAGGTATATTTCCATTTATTTAATAGGTTGTGTTCACTTACTTTTGCCATTCCCATTCACGATTATCCAAAGGACATACTTGACGACTTTTCAACCAACGAGAGATACAATGAAAATGAAATGCATGCTAAAATAAAAATAATATAGAATAAATCAGTTAGTTTTTCTTTTTATATCATATTCAATGATACTTACATTACAAACACCCCAAGCAACAGTACATTCTTCGGAAGTAGCGGAAGCTTGATTTGCCTGACATTCTATACCTATTAAACAAAGAGTATGTAAGTCTACCAAAGTAATATTGAAGAAAAAAAAATATAGATCAAAATATCTATTTTCAATTACACAAGTCCATAATATGATTTCTACAAATAGCACAGTTATCAACCACAATATCTATGAAGAAGAAAAAAAAAAGAAAAAGAGAGATCGATAAGAATGGTAAATTGAATCGTTTTGGTTTATTTACCCCAAGCCCATAAAGCTACAGCATTCCACTATAAAAAAAAAAGAAATAAAGAAAAAGAAATATGAATGAATATCAAGGTAAAACCAATCAAATATATGAAATGTACCTTTTTCACTTCAAAACGTTGTTTCTCTGAAGCATCCTTTTCCTTCCCTTTTCCTTTGGGAGTTATTTGTTGTTGTTGTTGTTGCTCCTCTTGTTCTTGTTCTGGTTGTTGTTGTTCTTGTTCCTGAAGTAGTGGTACTTCGTCTACATCCATAGGTGCTGACATTATGCTGATGAAGAATGGTAAGGAGACGCGTATGAAAGAAAAAGAGGAAAAGGAAAAAAAAAAAAAAAAAAAAAAAGAGAGAGAGAGAGAAAATTGCAAAAGAACGTCATTCGGATTGCAACCCCGTCACCGGTTAATTTTTTTTTTTTCTTACTGCACTTGGGATCCAATTCAGGCTGCGCCAAGGAATGATTGTCATGCCCCATGGCGAAGCTTTCTTTTTTTTTCCTTTTGAAGATCATTTGACCTTTTATTTCTTTCTTTTTTTTTCCTATAAAACAATGAACGGATGTTTGATTTCTTTTTTTTCCATTTTCTTTTTTTCTTTTTTTTTTTTATCTATAATATAAATTCATCATGGAATCCATGCTTCATCCTTCTTCAATCCACTTTTTTACAGAAATCTATCCACAAAAAACATCTAGTTTGAAAGCTTTTTTCGATGCTTACAGAACTAAACGATCAACAACCACAACGACAACGACAACATCATCATCATCATCAATGAAGAATACTACCACAACATTGATAAAGGATCGTCCAGTTCAAGAACAACCCTACCACCATCGAAATACATCCTTCCTATCACTCCATCATCAATATGATGAAGATGATGATACAGATGAAGAGGAAGATGTACTACCTAGACGATATCAACGATGGTCTTGGACAAGTTCAATTGCTGTCTCACCCATGGAAACAATTCAAGAAGAAGAAGAATGAACCTATGTTATCCCATTCAGGTCGTCTTTCCTTTTTTGTACATACCCCCTTTTTTTTTATTTATATATATACCTTTCTATCCATTTATTTACTGTTGTTCCCGTGATTTATCATTGTCATTGTGTTAGCTCTTATATATATTTTTTCACATGTGTTCATCAGATGAATAAACATTATTATCATTGATTTGACCATACTGTTCGATATTATTATTTAAAATACTGTAAAATATCATAATGGATTGTTATTTTTATTTTAATGTAAGATGATGATCATCATAGGAGGGTGATGATATCTTTGAAGGTGTCTATGTGATGCTTGTGATGGTTCCTGTGATGACTATGTCTAGATTGATTCCGATGATGGCTCCTTGATTCCGATGATGGTTCCTAGAGTGACGATCGGATGACGAATGAATGCAAGTGAGAAAAGGAATAAGACAATGGTGTAAAAAAAAAAAAAAAAGGATTTTGTCAATCCCACGCTCGAAAACGCCAAAGGGAGAAAGGAGGTCACTGGAACAATGAGAGTGGAAAGTGCATAGACATATGTATTGATTTCTGGATTGGGTAATGTCACCTATACATAAAAAAAAAAAAATATTACTTTTTATCTGTCTAAGATGCTTCATTTGATAGAACGATAAAATAAAAATATAGTGTACGTATATGTTTGAATTCTTGAGATGATGATTTATTAAGATTGATACAATTCTAAATGCAAATTCATTATAATCACAAAAAAAAAAAAAAAAAAAATAGTAAACCGATGATTATCGCCAAACTATATATAATATATATATACACTATCATACTAAAAGAAAAGATTCTATTGTAAATAACTAATTTTATCACATTTCAAAACCTTCTTCGGCCAACCAGAGAGCAATGATCCGCATACTAGCTTGAGCAATCATATTGTTTTCCAGTTCATCCTCATTGTTAGCAGTATCTTGCATAAATTTAACTAGTTCCATCACCACATCCATCACTTCAGTCAGAGCCTTTCTAATCTTGAGCAAAACATCAGCGTCCATGCCACTATCGGATTCTTCATCATATTGATCCGCCAAGTATTCAATGGCAGATTCCAAGATTTCAAAATAAACGGGGATCATCATTGAATGCCGAGCCTCCTTTTCTTCATCCACTTCAACAATGCGTCCACTACCATCGCCACCATGCATGGCCACCCAATGATCTTGTACCATGTCCAACATCACCCTTGATTCCACAGACACCAAATGAATCAACAAGACAGGAAAGTTGGCATTGAGATACATTTCACTTGCACCAGATGTCATTTTCCCTTTTCCTTTGTTTTGTTCTTGTTTCGCCTTCCTGGTTTGTTTGAGCCATGAAAAAAGCCAATCTGGTCCAAAATACCGTAAAAGACTGGATGTCACTACCATGGCTTGATCACGTACTCTATCGCCTAATTTGCTACCAAGTACTTGTCGTAAACCCATTCGCATATTTTCCAGAAATTTATCCATTGTATTTTTTTTTGTTGTACCCTGCCAATCTCGTTTCAATGCTTGCATCCATTGACTTGATGCACTCATCATAATATGATATAATAATGTCAAACTATCCATCTTGAGCTTATCTTGAGTATGATTGAATAATGATGCTGTAATAGGGAGGGTGGTGGATTGTAATGAATATTTCAATGCTGATGTCAAACTTGGTATTTGCTTTGTTTCCAACAGTTGAAACGACCGAGTATATGTTTGTAATAATAACTGAGTGCATAACTCTCGTTCTTCTTTACCTATCCAATATAAATAACGATGAGTATGATTCAAGAAAGAAGAATGAAGAACTTACTTGTTTCAGTATTAGCAAATACTTCAAAGATGTTTTTCAAAACATCAGGATCCAACATTTTCACTAATCCTTCTTTTGTTGTTGATACATTGATTAATATATGAAGTACTTCTTTTGTGGTGTCGGTTGTATCACTAAAAAAGAAGGAAAAAAAAGTCAAAAAAAAAAAAAGAAATCGATTTTTTTAAAAACAAACTTACTTTGGTGTCAATATGATAGAGAGTGCTGGGATACGATCTATCATAGATTGTGTGGGTGCCATAGTTTCATAATGAGCAAAACAAGCTAAAATGTTGACAGCTATTTCCTTAAGTACATGATCAGGTACTTCACTATTGACTTGCTGTTGATCTAAGATAAAACAAAATAAATTTCTAGTTGTATATATATATAACTTACTTGTTCGTAGTAGTCGTTCAATGAATTTAAAGTTCATACGGTCAAAAACATATTGTATAGAATCATGATCGTCTTGTTTCAATAGTCGAGGTAATAATAGCATACCTACAAACTTTGATTCATCTGAGGCACTTGGTGATATCAATTCAAGACAACGATCTATTTCTGCTTGACGATCTTTATTGGAAGAGCTGATAGAAGTCATGATTTACACAAAAGGAAAGAAAAAGAAAAAAAAAAAAAAGAAAAAGCGTCTTTTAGAGGTAGTTCGTGTTTTGAATCCCCGGTATTAACATTTGTGATCCACTAAGAGATATTTTTGATCATCATCAATCATCATCAAAATAGTTTCCATTGAAATTAAAAATAAACTTTTTTTTTTGAAATAAAAAAAAAGAAAAAGAGAAAAAATATCAGTAGTCGCAATAGGTGACAAAGAGGTCTTAAATATTCACATATACGACTCTTGCTGCCTGGCACCCCGCTGACAAAGGAAAAAAAAATTTTGATCAATCGAAAGCAAAACAAGCATCCAATCATCTTTTTCTTGTGAACCGATGTATTGGATTCACTCAAAAGGTAACATGCATAAGAAATAACACCATCCATTTTTCTCTCTGATAGGCTCATTTTTCTTTATTTTTCTCACGGAAAAAAAGAAATGGGTATTTGAAAACATTTAATGAAAGAACTCACAGATCGATAACATCTTTTTTTTTTTATCCCACACCAAAACACATTCACACAAGCACAATATAGTTTTTCAGTTGAATGATGATGATGATGAATATGATTTTGTTATTTACCCATCACAGATACTTGATGTCAACAATAAATGATAATAATAATAATATACATTGCCCCTGATGATCTCGAATTCTATTTTAACATCACTCTAGGAGGTGGGTTTTATTTTGTTGTAAAGCCACGTTTTATCACTTGTTTTAGGTGATTGTACGCGGATAGAGAATCATATTTGGTAAGCCGACCGAATTTGAAATGAACATTTTTGCAGGATGAATGGTTGATTTGGCTGAAATGCAAAAATACCCTGCCAATCAATCTATTTTTTTTTCTTGTTCCTCTTTCATGTTGGGGTAATAAAAAAAAAATTGGGAACAAACATAAAGTGTTCCTTCCTTTTTTTCTTTTTTTTTTCTCTTTTCTTTCTTTTCTTTCCTTTTTTTTTTTATCCGCTTTTCCTTCCCAGATGATATGACTGCCTCCACGACATTGTATGGTTCTTTCTCAGTATTCAAACAAGAAGGTATCCGTCAATTTTACTGTAGATGGTCTCAAAAAGAAGATGATTTGTTGATTGAAGCCATCAAGAAATATGGTTGTCATAAATGGTCTTTGATTTCACAAAGTATTCCTGGTAGAACGCCAGCTCAATGTTCTACTCGATGGCATGGTGCTTTAAAGTATGATCTCTTCAAAAAAAAAAAAAAAAAAAAAAAAGGAAAACACTTTTTTTTTTTACTTACCTTTTTTTTTTAAAAAAAAAATGATAGCTCCAAAGTACACAAGGGTCGATGGTCAACAGAAGAAGATGATATTTTACTCGATGCAGTACGCAATTATTTGAATCAAGATGCATTCACTACTAACAATTTACCATGGAATCTTATTGCTGAACAAATCCCTCATCGAACAGGTATCCAATGTCAATCACGATGGACAGAAGCACTTGATCCAGCAGTACGAAAAGGTAGATGGAGTAAAGAAGAGGATGAACTTTTACGCCAAGCTGTACATCAATTAGGATGTTGTTGGATTCGTGTTGCCGGTTGTATCCCTAGTCGCACGCAACGTCAATGTCGAACACGTTGGAATCAAATAAAAAATACACGTCAACCCAAACAACGTCAGCAACAATCACAGCTTGCCACCAAATCATCATCCATCTCTCACAACAAACACCGTCGTCCTTCTTTACCATCATCTCCTACTTTATTATCATCTTCTTCACCAGCGAATATTACTACATCTAAAACGCCTTCTATTCCAGCCATGATCATCCCTGCCTCTGATTTCGTACCATCCTTCTCTATACAATCTTCCACTCTTTCATCCATATCATCATCACCCACATCATCATCATCATCATCATCCTTATCTTCATCACCCTCTCCATTATTACAACCTTCTTTTCCACATTCTATTCCTTCCATCACTATTCCAAAAGATCCCTTTCCTTTTCTCCTTGATCACGATATGACTGATTCCTTTTATGCCAACGATACTTCCTCTATATGCCAAGATCATCACGTAGATCCTTCTTTGACTTGGTTCTATGGTACTTCCCCTTCTTCTTCCTAAACATCCGCCTTCTATATATTATTTATTGTTTTGTTTACCTTCTCATTCTTCATACTTGTCTTCATTTCTACTTATTTTAATTTGATAATAAACATTCTTTTTTTTTATTATTTCCTCGTTTGGATTTTTTTTTGAATGCTTTGGTATATTTAGTTTTTATTAATTAACGTGGAAGACTGGAATTAATGGATGATATTGGATGATATAAGATTGATATACTGATGATGATATCTGGGAGAAGGATGGTGATACTGACTTTTTTTTTTTATTTTACTATATAAATTGGGAGGCAAGGTATAAAATGTTACTAAGACAATTCAAATAAAATGTTTTTTTTTATGTTGTGTTCAAATGTGACGTGATGATGATCGGTTTTGAGCGAGAAAGGAAAAGATAAAGATGTTGTTCGATTGTATACAGGATGAAAAAAAAATGACATGAAGTTTGGGATTTTACAGCCAAAATTTTCAAACTCCTCAGCCAAACTTTGGCTGTAAAAATAAATCGTCGAGGGTCCATCAGGCAATTTTTCGAAAAATCGATGAAATCCTTTTAGTGCTCATTGTACGTTAGATGATAAGGTAAGTGATGAAATGATATTAGATGATATTAAACTACTTTTTTGAGAGGAATCCAATGATGGTAATTTTATTGGATGATGATCATTATTGGATGAGAGATGGTAATATTGATTTTTATTTTTTAATTTACTCTATATAACTGGGAAGTAACATATAAATTGTTATTAATATAATTGAAAGAGAATATCTTCAGGTATGCTTGATTAAATTTTGGTGCTATGATGATGATTTTGAGTGAATTACAAAGGTTTGCAAATCAGCTCATGTCATGATTTCTCCAAATAGATAGATCTAAATAGTTCATTTCATAGATTTCAAAAAGGATCAATATATTCAGGAAGAAGCAAGAACTGCGTCGTTTGGCAGATAAACATCATGCATATTATGAGAGAAGGATAAAAGTGGTCCGAGCGTTGATAAGAAAATAAAAAAGGAAATAAGTGGAGATGACTATAGATTGTACGTACGGATAGGGCACTCTCATTTGCACAAACATCAAGGAATTATCATTATCACTATTAACATTTTTACTGTTGTATAACTAGAAATAGTACATCATGTAAAAAAAAATAAAGTCTCCATTGAACTTTTGTTGCTTTCTTTTCTTTATTGAAGACCAAAAAAAAAAAAAAAGGTTTATTTTACAAATAAAGAAGAATACTATATAAAAAGATGGGGAAAATAAGTACACATGAATACAAAAAAAAAAAATATATATAATACATCTAATCTATGGGGGATTGTTTGCGTTGTAATTTTGCTTGGTATTTTTCCCGTTTGATTTGTTCAGAATCAGCTCTTGCACGTTCCAAAAGAGGTCGATATTTTGTTGTTCGAATGACTTTACCCGCACCTAAAACAATGGTTGAAGTTGGTTTGGGTGTATAAACAGATGGTTTTTCCGATAGATCTTCTAAGAAAGTTTGATATAACCATGAACGGACAGTTTGATCATACCATAATTCATTCCAATGTTGTTGTAATCGTTGAGGTCGTAATCCATATTGCCAATCCAATTGTCCTTTTTCAAATTCACAATCATATAATAATAAAGGTAAATCACTTGCTAATGGATAATCCGGTTTGGCATTCACCTTGTCAATATCTAATAGATCCAACACAATTTCAGGTCGTTCCAATCGTTGACCCACTAGGAAAAGTACTGACATGATACAACGTACTTGATGCCATAAGAAAGCAGTTCCTTTGATAACGACTTGATAATGTTGTTGACAGGGTACAATGTCGATGGATAAAATATGTCTATTGTAACTTTGTTGTTTAGAAGGATCCAATTTGCAAAAATTCCGAAAATCATGAGATCCAATCATATAATTTGCTGCTTTTTGCATAGCGTCCACATCTAGATCTTGCTTCAGAAACATATACCTATAAGTTCGAGATATACAATCAAAACGAGCATTAAATCCAGGAGAGACAGGTGACCAAGCCAATACACGGATATCTTGAGGTAAAAGTGCATTCAATGTTTCAACATATGGAATAGGTCGATCTTTGCCACTACTTTGTCGTACATTCAGAGCTACTACTTGACCTAGACCACTAACACCTTTATCTGTCCGTCCGCAACGCGTAAAATCACAAGAAGTAGGATCTTGAATCAATTTGCAATATTCTAGAGCCTTGAATAATTGACCTTCCACAGTTTGATCCGTTTCCTTTTGAGAGGCAAAACCAAGATAGTTCCAACCCAAGTAAGCTACCTTGAGAGCAACACGATGTTGAGGGTATTTATTCATGTTGAAAGGTTTCTTGACTCTATTATTTTTATTAACAGTAGTTGATTCAAGTACTCTCAGTCGATCGATAAGTTGTTGTCTAGTCCATGTGTTATATATATCTGTTGAAGTTGGTGATAACTTTTTAAACCAAGAAAATAGTCGTGACCATGAAGACATTGTACTAAATTAGTTGCACTGAAGTAGATAAAATAATAAGACATGAGTGTTTATTAAAGAGAGAGAAAAAAAAAAATAAAGTATATTTGAAAACACATACATAGATTCGACCTTTAAAAAGAATAATTGTTGAGGGATGGGAAAAAAAAAGAAAAGCATAAACAAAAAAAAAAAAAATGAGAGAGAAAAAATAAATAAATAAATCAAGTCCGATGTTCATTTTCGATCTTTCTTCTTTCCCTCTTCTTCACTTTTTTTTTTATCAATATGAGACGTCCAACTCATCAAAGACGATTATCTATGCCAAAACTTACTAAACGTTTAACCAATATTGTTATACATGATGATTAATATTGAGTCTGTTCCAGTAAGCACTGTGCCTTCCACACCTATGCATGAATCTTTGGAACCTAAATCTTGATCTATGGGAAAAAGTTATTATCCAAGCACATCAAAAAAGATCATCCATTGCCTCTTCCTCTGATAATGATATTGAATCTTCACAGACATCGATTGCCTATCATATGAACTCAACACAACTTGGAAAAATATTCTGTCTATCAAACCGTGGGCTTTTTCTCTTCTTGATAAATGACTTCAGCGATGGAATCAAACTCAACAATTGTACAAGAAAGAATTTAGACGTAAACGTTGTTATTATCTTAGTATGGAATTATTGATTGGTCGTGCTTTGAATAATGCTTTATATGCACTTCATGCTAAAACCAAATATTCTGAAGCTGTACACTCTCTGGGATTCTCCATGGAAGATTTATTGGACCAAGAACGAGACGCTGCTTTAGGTAATGTCTTTTTATATATTTGTATAAAGTGAAAAGAGTATTACTAACTCTCCCTTTTTTTTCTTTTTCGTTTTTTTTTTTTTTGTTTTGAAAAAAAAGGAGAAAGAGGCTTAGATTTGGTCATTTTATGTATGGTCTAGTGATTGGCGTGACATCTGTACCTCTTGATATACCTGATCCCCAGCAGTAACAGCCCAACAAATCAAGCATGTTGTGGAAGTGATGACGACTAAGACAAGCGATTTCAATGTGATATAACCCAGCCATGCGACAACTAATCACATCATCATTCTACAAGGTATTTGAATTTACGATATCAACAAGGCAGAAAGACATCAAAACTGTTAGGAAAAGAAAATGGAGTTACTATACAACATGAATGGTTATCAAGCAGCAAGATGACATTGATACTTTTTTAACTAGGTATTGATGGAAAACAATGTTACCCTACTTTATGACATGAAGCCATTCTTCTCCAATGCCGAACACAGAAAACACCTTGTCAAATGAAATATCAGCGTGGAATTGTGGCTACTGAACTTGATGCTTTTTGCGGTAACCTGGTGCCTTTACATGAACAAATTCTGCAATATTTATATTGGATGTATTGTCGTTACGGTGTCTACTGAAATCTTTCATTTGAATCTTCTCATTTTTTGATACGGTCCAATGATACAAAGGTAACCAAAGAATGACAACAGCAGGCACAGAAAAAAGATAATTGAGTAAGGGGAAAAAGGATGACTGACCATATTTGTTTTCAACTTTAGGGAAAGATATACATATGCGAACTTACCTTTGATGCAATATTATATGAAGCGAATGAGTCCAAACAACCATCAGCGACGTCTAGCATTATACATAATATCATGACAGAAGATATTCGACACTATCAAAAATATCATGGTGTTGATTGATGCCACTCTACAAGCAGTTTTAAATTGCATTCAGGCTGGTGATGATCCTTCTATCTTCAACTCTCTGATGGATACTTTGGTGGGACCATTATTTGATTTCAGAAGACTCTGATGATTCTTTGAAACGACAAGATGATGATGATGCGCTGGACAGGAAGCAATGGGCTCGAAAACTTAGTCTTTGTATAGGGACATCAAGGATTACGATGAAAGGATTTGGAAAATTGAATCTTTACCCATTGGTACTACCTAGTATGATTATTTTTTCACTTTTTTTTTTTTTTTTTTTTTCGTTGTTGTTGTTGTTATTATTATTTTTATTCCTTGTTTTGATTATGCCAATAATAATAAAAGATACTGATTTATTCATTGTTTTTTCATTGTCCCAATTTGGAAGGCGGGGTATTAAATACAACATCATAAAAGGAAATGAACTCGAAGAAAAAAGTGTTTTCATCTACTCTTCTTTTTATTATTTCTAAACAACAAAATGCATAGCAACAATGATAAAAGAAATTTAACAAATGGTAGTTATCAAAGTGCTTTTTCAGCATGGCGAGAAAAAGCCAACAACAACAACAATAATAGGTCATCATCACCAGCACAACAAGATGCTTACAAACATAATCGACGACCCATCCATGGCAAATCAGTGGCTGCTCTACAAAATCAATGGCTTGCTCAACAAGAACAATCTTTAAATGGTAGTGTTCGATCCAATACTTCCTCCCTTCGATCATCACCCTCTGGTTATCGATCAGTATCACCTTTACCTATTCGATCAAGACTGGCTTTTGAATCTGGAAATGATGATGATGATGATGAGGAAGAAGAAGAAGAAGAAGAACCATTAGAAGAACAAAATCAACAAAACAGGAATGGTGATGACGATGATATCAATAGTAAAAATATGCCGGATTTGGATTTGGCGGCAGAACATGGTTATTATGAAAATAATAATAATAACAATGATAGTGGTATAATGGATGATCAACAAAGTGATCATAGTTCTTTCATGTCAAGTCCCTCCATCATTACGGTATCTGGTCAACCTCCTACTCATTTTGGTTCCACTCAAGAATTTAAGGTGAGACGACTTTTTGCTTTAGGGTTGATGAAAGTTTAACTGATGAAATTTTTTTTTTTATTTCTATAGGTGGCAAGAGAAGGCTGGCTTTATAAAAAAAATAGTTTAATGGTAGGTTCCTTTTTTTTCCCTTTTTCTTCTCTTTTATTCATTTTTTTTTTTTATTTTATCAACGAATAGCAATGGCGACCAGTTTATGCTGTAGCGAAACATGGGAATGCAATCAAACCTGGGGCTTTGTATCTTTACAAGGATGACAAGGTAAATAGAACAATAAACTTGTAATTAGCATCTCTGACTCTTTTTTTTTTTTTTTTTTTTTTGCTTTTTCAGTTTGCCAATCATATTCATACATATGATATGAGTGAAGTGGTGGAAGTGGAACCTCGTACTCAAGATTATCGGGCAGGTATCAAGTGGGAATTCCGATTACTGGTGAAACGAGATGATGTTGTTTTAGCAACCGATGATGTGACAGCACGAAAGGATTGGATTAATTCTCTGACATCCATAATGGGCAAGGTATCACTGGCCAGTCATACAGAATTGCAGTCTCGAACGGTTTCCATGGAACAATTGAATCGACAACTTCAAGTAACCAACACATCATTGGAACAAGACATTGCTCAACTCAAACATGACCTGATGGAAGCACAAAAACGAGAACGGTCTTTGACAAGTGAACATACAGCACGTGAATCTGGTCTAACAACAGAACTCGAACATGTAAGACAAACTCTCCAAGAACAACAACGCGAACTCGGTATATGGCGATCCAAGGCAGATGAACTGGAAAAACAGAAAATGTCCTGGCAAGCAAAAGCTCAAGATTGGCAAGCACAAGCTCATGAATGGCGTGATCGCGTAGCAGTATTAGAGGATGAACGTGACCAACTTTTGGATGAAAAGGAGCTTTTGGTGGAAGAAAAGGAACATCTTTTGGATGAAAAGGATCAACTTTTGGATGAAAAGGAACAACAATGGGTCATGATGAATTCTGCAAGTTCTTATCAAAACAGTAAAAACAGATCTGGCTATCACAATGGTGGAAAACGACGTGGTCGCAAGCAACGTGGTATGACCAACAACAATAGCAATGATGATGATGGTGATGATGATGATGATGATAATAACGGTGAAATTGGCTCAAATCAAAAGGAAGCACTTCGTGATGTTAAATACCAACTACAATCTCTTCGTGATCAAATCAAAGATCCTCTCTTGCAAGGTCATGTCATGGATATTAAGACTGGTGTATCGAAATTGGTGACTACTTTTGATGATTCTCGCCGTGGATGGACCGAACTTCAAACTGATATTGTCAAATTATTGGAATCTGAAGGAGATGATCGTGTTCAACTATTGGAAACCTTGCAGTCAGATCTCTCTCATCTACGTGATGCTACTTGTGGTGATTATGATAAACTAGCGACTCTACTAGCGGATATCCAATCATCTCAAGCCGTGCTTCTGGAAACAATGATGAAGAACGATACCACAGCCATGGAAGGTGCTATCAAAATCTGGCAAGAACAACAACAAAAGCAATCGCAAGAAATGATGGAATTACAACAGACATGGTTAAAAGAAACACAAACCAAACTGATGGATCAATCCAAAAAGACAGGCAAGGATGAATTCACACGATTGGAAACGCATGATCAGCAAAAACGTATTCTGTCAGTATTGGAAGGTCAATTGGATACTCTCAAGAATAATCAAGAACGAGATCATGAAGAGTCTGATAGAAGTTTCAAGGTCCTTGGTCAATTATTCCAGCATGTGATCCAACAATTAGATGATATGGTTGTACCGGATATATCTCACCATTTGGAAGAACTTGTGGAGCGACTAGCTACCATTGATCAGCGACTTCATCGTATTCAACTATATCGTCCTCAAAATGGTGGTGATAATGATGATCTTCAAAAGATGCCCATGGATGACGAAGATATACGTGAACTTGTGCTTGGCACCCGTGGATTTATGGAACGTACTTTACGAGTACTGGACCGATTTGGTGGAAGTCAATCTGGATTGGAAGAAACCGTGCGTCGAGCTGTCAAGAGTGCATTCAACAGTCATCTGGATGTCAATTGGAAGGACCCTCAACAAAATGAAGAAAAACTCAAACGATATGAAGAAAATGCTCGGGGTTACATTGACAAGGCGATGTCTGGTATGAGAGGCCATTTGGAAGACTATACTGGGGTGATGTACAAGATGATTGAAGACTTGATTTTACATGCAGTACAACATTTGGAAAATAACAACAATGAAAGAAAGGATGATTTACAAAAGGAACAACAAGACCGATTATCAACAGAAATTGATCGATTGAAGAAACAAAAGGATGAATTGGAAACACTGATCAAACAATTGGGCAAGGATAATGATCAAGTATCTTTGGAACTTCATAAGAAAAAAATGGAATTACAAGCATGTCAAACTGAATACGATCGACTACAACGACAAATCCAACAAGCTCGACATGATAGTTTGGCAGCCATGGCCCGTGATCTTGAACCACTTGTTCGTCAAATTAATAAATTGAAACAATCTGTTCATGATGAACATCAAGAAGAAGAAGAATCTACTAATCGACGCTTCAAATCATCCAGGGATCGAACATTGTCAAGTTATTTGAATAGGAATTAGACTTGCATGAAAAGGTTGCGGAGTTGCGCATACGCCACCATCTCTTATTATATTTTTTGTACCTTATTTTGAAATAAAAAACCGTCTTTTTTTTTTTTTTTTTCTTTTTATTATTATTATTTCCTTGTTTTCTTATTTTTCCCGTTTTATATATCTATATTTTATACCCCCCCTTTTCTTTTATATCTATTCTCCTTTTCTTTCTTTCTTTTTTTTTTTTTATCTTATTGTTTTATTTATTTATTTCTTTTTAGAAAAATGACTCGAGGCCTTGAATTAGATGTCTCCTTTTTATCTGGTGATACCTCAGAAGTAAATCTACCAGAAGGTTGGGTAGTAAAAGAACGTAAACGGTCACTAGTTGAAGTAGAAACCAATATCCGTACTCTAGGACAATTATTTCGTACATTGACTGATCTCAAGAAACAGTTACCTTCTCCTGTGGCGGCGGCGGTGGAAAACAATAATACTATTAGTCTTCTTGGACAACCGGTCAAAGCAAACAACCATGACAGTGGCGATCTTATTCCAGTGACACCTATTGATCAACCTTCTTCAGCACAACATATTCTTTCGAAATACCCAGCTTCTATCTTTGATCGGTTGATTGAATTACATCTGTGTTGTTGTACATCTTGGCGTGATCCTGACCAGTTTATGATGACGTACCGTCAAGGCCGTTTGGCGCCTGGTTTGATGTATGCGATCTTTGCTCATAGTGCTATCCATGGCATGATGTGTCATCCCGAGGCTTTCCCACAACCATACCTGGTATCGCTTGGACAGGATTGTTATCAGTTGGCATGTGATTGGGTGGAATTTGATGTCATCACGACAAGTACGGTGGAGGCGTTGGTGACCATGCATTTGTATTGTTCCTTTTTACAACAAACAACAAATCATCATTTTTTTGCATTGGCGAAACGACATGTTGATTATTTGGATGTCAAAGGTTGGGGATTTCGTGCTTGGTTACGACGCATTGAATTGGCAACAACGACTTTGGAAGATCCATGTCCATTTGTTTTAAATAAACCACAACAACAACGACAACAACAATCATCAGCATATCCTACGCCCAAGAGTGATGATGGATTTTTGGATCAACAACAAATGTGGATGTATTATGAAATCAAAGGTTGGGAATTGATTCAAACTTCAGCTTCTGTGTCATCTTTACAAAGTTGGATGGATCAAAGTACTGCAGATATGGACAATACTCCGTTATGGCAAACATTACGACTACAGACACTTTATTTGGCAGGGATCCTGAATCGATATCAAGCAGATATGATGGATGTGTTTGAACGTGATGATCGATGGTTATTGGATGATCAAGTGACAGATTATTTTTCGGTGCCTACTCAGAATCGGATTGAACAAGGCTTACATCGGGCCATGTTGGCAGGTTATAAATTGATTCAAGTGGTTTTATATTCTTTCAAGATCAATCATCGATGTTTGTTACCAGAAGTAAATTTAAAAAAATAAATGCGTATGATTTATTTTCATATTTTCTTTTTTATTTTTATTTAGATGATGAATATCATTTCTGCTGCCGTTACCATTCTTTATTTTGGTCATCAAGTGACGTTGGATGAAGTGATTACACAACAGGCAGAACAAGCTTTAGTAGATCTGGTTAAAACATTTGAAAATGAAAAGGGTATGTTGATGAACCCCACCATCTCTTCTTCTGTACTGAAATGGAAAGCCATGGTCAATTCATTTGGAACATCAAGAACTTTTTGATTATTATTTTTATTAGATACAAATTCAATAAAGTTTTTTTTTTTTTTTTTTTAAAAAAAAAATAAAGATATATTTTATTTTATTTGTTTGTTTGTTTGTACAGAAGAAATAAAAGAAGTAATGAGTGTATATATAGTGGAGGGGGGAATCAAAGGAGAAAAAGAGGAAAAATGTGACTAAAAAAAAAAAAAAAAAAAAAAAGGAGAGGAAATCTACCTGGTGTAAAAATCAGTAGAATAATAAGAAAAAAAAAACAAATCAGGAAGTTAAATAAAAAGTGGCTCATCAGGAAGGTTTAAAAGCACTAAAGGCGGCAAAGGTATCTTGTAACATGGAGGTCAAATGATGAAGATCCAATCGATCCAAGTGTCTATCTTGACGTTGATCATGAAGTTGTCCAACCACCACACGTACTAAATCCAATAAGATCATCATTCGTAGTTCTGTTTCTTGAAACCATAATTGCCAACGAGGATGTTCCATACGCATGACAATGTTCCCACCAATGGTATAAATTGTACCTTCATCATCATCATCATCATCATTCTGGTCATAAAGATCGCCTAATCGTCCAAATTGTACATCACTTGGTTGTGTAATAAAGAATTCAGGTAGTTGCCGCGCAAAAGCATTGACATCCGAGACTGAGAGTAATCCATGTTGCACCAGACGACAGATAAATAAGATACAGACACGGAGACCCATCTTTGCCGTTTCAGATTGATCCTTTTTTCGATATTGTTTAGTTAACTGGACAAGTACACGATGAAGATGAGACATGAGCAAACGACGATGAGGTGGAGCCACAAACAAGACATTCAGAATACTATCCAGGATAGATAAGAAATCCGCCATACGTAGAGCTGCACATGTTGTTGAAGTATCATAAGAAGAGTTCATGGGTGTTACATTGTTGTTCATGGTGGTGGTAGTGGATGACGTATTTGAAGAAGCTAAAGAAGAAGAAGAAGAGGTGGATGGATTGGTATAATATTGTTGATCATAAAAAGGAGGACTGAGTTGATTCCATTGGTGATCAGAACAAGTAGAAGGTAAATCTAAAAAGATAGAATCAATAAGAATGGCAAGACAATGGTCTAGTAAAAAATCCAACGTGGCCGCCATGCCATGAATATCGTCATTGTCGTCTTGATGAGGAGTACGGTCATTGATGGCGACAGTAAGGTGATTAGCAACAGATTGAATGGTAGTGGTAAGATGACCGTAACGTTCCAGATAAGCAACAGCAGCATGAACAAGTTGAGCAAATGGATTGATCACTTTAGGTCGAATAAGATTGATTTGATACTTGGTGAGAATCAATTCCCAGGCTAATCGTCGTAATGATTTAGAACAGGTGCCAAAATACCACAAGTCAGAAAATGTCAGGTGCTGGGCTACTTTGAAAAGAAGTTCATAAGGTAAATCTGAAAGGATGATGGTCATATGTTTGTAATATTTTGTATAAAGAAAGAAAGAAAGAAAGAAAGAAAGAAAGAAAGGAAAGAAAAAAAGAGATAAAAAAAGAAAAAAGGGATGCAGAAAATGGTGAATTTTTATGACCTATTTTTATGTGGGCGTTTGAGTCACCGATAAAAGCATATCCACGCTAACAATTTCCTACTTGCCGATCCAAGGAAGTTGGCAATGGCTTTTTTATTCTTACAACTTATCCTTTATAGGGAAAACTCATGTGAGGCTACATCGGATCGCCAATATCAAAAAGGGATTCCCTTTTCTGGTACTTGATTGTAACATACGATGATATCATAAAAAAAAAAAATAAACATACTGTAAATATAATTTTTTATTATAATATATTGATATAAATATTATATAGTAAAAAAAAAAGGGTAAAAAAAATAAAATAAAATAAGTACAAGGTAGCGTCAAGAACGAATTTGAGAAGGAGGGTAAAATGCTGTTATTACGGTCAACGTAACCAGAAATAATCAAAAAGGAATGATGAATAAATAATGTCAGTAAAGAGTAAAAAAAAAAAAAAAAAAAAGTAAATAATAATGATGATGATAATGACGATGATAATATGATAATGAAGATAATGAAAATAATAAATAATAAAAATGATGATGAAAATAATAATATAAAGTTAAACTAAACACATGACAGCAAAAGTTAAAATATATAAAAATAGATAGATAAATATGGAGGAGTATAGAGGAAACATAAAAGTATTTATCAATCTAGTTTCATATCCATGAGCTTTCTTGATCGTCCTTTGCTTTTTGTATTTGTTCCACCATTACCACGTCTTGCCCTTTTGTTTCGCTTATCATCAGTTGTTGTTGTTGCTGTCACTGTTCCCGCATTCGAATTAGTGGTAGAAGTGGCGTCATTGTAGTCAAAACCATACATGGTTTTCACCTTCCTAGTAGCACGAGTTTCGGATGAATACATTTTCCATTCATTCAGTAATCCAATGCGAATATCATCTTGTCCAAGCCACTCTAGTATATCAGCAGCAGTATCACGATCTTGAGGTCGAGTACGAAGACATTTAAGTAATAATTGTCGACTTAATTCACCATGCACTTCATGTTCCAATGCTCGTTGAATCCTATAATCATCTTCTGCCACATATCGTAGTCCTTGCAAATCTGTATCCAAAATTCCTCGCCATGGCTCTGTTTCCGTAAATATTTTCCAAATCATGACTCCAATCGAGTAAACATCTTCTGATTGTGGATGAATTAGCCAAGGTAGTACTTGAGTATCTGAACGTGTCTTTGGAAGTGTTTGAATGGATCTAAAAAAAAAAAAAGAGTAATCATATTTGAGTAAAATCAATAATATGAAATAAAGTTATCTTACCTATACATCCTATATCCATGATCAGGTTTGCCTTTAATCCAAGGTAAAGATTCACACCATGTTTTCAATTCTTCTTCGCTTTCAGGTACCACATCACCATCATATTCACCAGCAGAACGAGGTACATCCACAAACCATTCACATAAATCTTGAGAATCACAAAAGACCGCTTTACCAAAATCAATCAAATAAAGACATATTTTGCTAGTGCCATCTTCTAATTCCCCATCGATCGTATTCACCATAATGTTGACTTCAGATAGGTCCCGATGAGCAAGTCCAGCCTTGTGGATTGTTTTCATACAATCAAGCATCTGATAAACAATGTCATATTTCTGATAAGCTGTCAAACGATGATGGGAGTGGGCATGTGTATATTGTTTCAATGTTGTTTGGTATCTATAACACAAATAAAAATAGATTATAAATATTCTATATTCAATATGATATCTCTCTTTTTTTTTTCTTTTTCTTCATCTTCTTACCTTTCCATGGATAATCCAATAATATCACCATTGTTATTGTAAAGAACTTCCCTTAATTGTGCCATATGTGGTAAATTACGTAGTTTCCTATGAATAGATGGTATAAATATACTATTGTGATAATCTCATTTTTTTTATTTTCTTACATGAGACATGCCACTTCAGTGATACGTTGATACATGGTCATTTGTCGGAATGTCTGTACAACCACTTGATTCAAAAAATAAACTTGTTTGAAGAAACCTTCAGAATCGGGTGCACTCCAATTGAGGTGATCATATTTTTCTTGAACATTGACAATATCGGCACCTTTCGATGTACAAACTATAAAGAAAATAAATACAAAGGAAGAAACAGAAATGAGTTATGATCTATATACCTTTTTTTTTTTTTTTTACCATTCAGTAGTTTTTGCCAAACTTTGTGAGACATTTCAGATTTTCTTGAATGTGAGACAGGGATAGTCGGAATGACTGTTTCCAAGGCTTTGGTTTGAGGAGAGACAATGGATGAGACTGATTCTGGAGATAGTGTAGATCGCTGATTATCTTCTGGTGTCGAAAATGATGCTGAAGAGAAAGACTCATTGGGTTTTTCTTTCTTGATTGTCATGATAACATCTTCCTGTTGCATTTTTCCAGTCCAAGTATCCACATCCATAAGATCCTTATCCTTCTGGTCTTCATCACCAACATGATTCTTATTTTCATCGTCCACTTCCATTTCTGACGATGAGATTCTTCCAACTTGCTGTTTGATGTTTCTAACATTGATAACTGATGTTGTTGTCGAAGCGGATGGTTTGTGATGTTTTTGTTTTTGTTGTTGTCGATGATTTGATGACTGTCTCCTATCAAGGATTTGTTCTCTTGAGTCTTCATCTTCATTGTTATCATCAGTCTCTGGTAGATCCAATATCTGTTGCACCATTTTCTTTAATATCCTTTTGGTTTCACTTTTGTTGTTGTTGGCCGCGGCAGAAGTTGGCTTGTTGTTGTCATCCATCACTGTAAATTTGGAAGTTGCAAACATACGTCGAAAGTAGTCCCTTTCAATTGTTTCATTGACACTAAATACCATCTTTTCTATCACCTTGAGAGGCCGAAGATGGATCCAACCTTTGGGAGCAAAATCATCTGTTTGATCAATGTCAAAGAGAGGGCTTGCTGGGTAAGCGATCACTACATCCGTTTCCACCTTATGAGCTTTTGATCCAGTTCGAGTTGTTTTTGTATTGTAAAAAATCGCCAATACACCTTGAGCGCGAACCTGTCGAAGTAGTGTACGATTCTTAGCAATGTAAAATCTTGGTACTGGTGGATGATTCCCAAAAGGATCTTGTTTCATTTGTTCAACCGCATGGAAAAAGGGTCCGTTAAGTTGAAGGTATAATTGTTTGTCGTAAGTGAGTCCTTTTGGTTTCTTTGCTTTTGGTTCCAAAGGTGAGATAGCTGCAATACCATACAGAATACTAATGATAATGGATTTTAGTTTTAACATTAACATTTCCTTTTTTTTTTTTTTTTTTTTTTTTTTTACCTTTGTTTGGAGAAAACCTGTTTCATAGGTGGGTATGAGAAATCAGATTCTTCAGGTAATGCATCAGAGGTATCAAATTTGAACTGGCATGTAACACGTTGATGTAATGGTTTTCGATAATTACTATATATATATAAAATAAAAGATGAATAAAAAGTTCTCATATTTTTTACTATCTGTTTTTTTTTTCTCTTTACCTAATTTGCTTCTTCAGGTCCAGTACCACCTTGTAAAAAAGATTTTCCAAGTTTTCAGCGTGCTTTGGTATTGCACCAGCATTCCGGTGAAAAGATTTGGCGTTCTTCCAGATTAGTTGCATATCTTGTTCAAACTTGGCAAAACGAGTATACAATCCATTCCACATATTTTGTTCAATTGTTGATAAATCCATGGGGTATTTGATTTCTTGATGATAAAATACAGCAGATGCAGGCACAGGTTGAATAAATGGCCAGCAATCGGGTGTGGATAAAAGTATATTGAGAATAAATCGATAAAGTCGTAGAAACAAACGAGTAACATTAGATGGTGTATGATAAGTGACTGTAGATAGGTCAAAAGTAACCTTTTGAGATGATACTCTTGACTTGGTATCTCCATTGTCTTTGGTGTTGTTGATGTTTGTTAAATTATTTGATTTTTGTTGCAGATGTGTCTTTGTCTCGCTGTTACCTGCTGAAGGCGTTGCTATAGAAGGTGATGATGATGAAGGCATAGATGTTTGTACGGTATGTATGACAATATTTTTCGTTTTCAATCCAGCCACTATCATTCGTTGTAAAGCCACTAAATCACCATTACAGATTTGAGATCCAACTGTTTGCGATACCTCTTTATCCCCAGACGTTCCCAAAATCATTGTTGTAATCAATTGCATCGCAGCTGCAGGTAGTACTTGTTCTGAATCCGTTGGTAAATGTTGATCTATATCTACAGTTGGTAATTCATCGACAGTCATCACAACACCAAGATTCTTCAAAATGGCAACCGTAAGACGTCGAAGGTTCACCTTATCCAGTTCAGGTAACATTGGGTCGGTATCCTCTTTCACACAAGGTCTTGGACTTTGTGGTCGTCGTTTCTTAATATGAACTCGTAATTGAGGGCGAGGTTGTAGAACTTGCTTTGGTGGAGGTGGGGAAGCGGTTTTCTGTTGAAGCATGGGTGACTGTTGCATACCGATCATTGATCTATTTGACTGTGGCAAATGTTCAGTAGCAGTGGTTAGTCGATTTGTTGTTGGTGAGAGCTGAGTAGTCATATCAGAAGTAGTAGTAGTTGTAATAGTCGCAGTAGCGGTAGTAGAAGCGAAAGAAGAAGGTGATGGAGCAGTAGTAATATTATTATTAGTAGTAACAGTCGTCGTCGTCGTCGTCGTCGTAGATGGTCTCTTTTGTATCGGTGATTGAAGGTCAGTAATGATAGATCGACTTTGTACTGGTGATTGGCGACTGGTAATGGTAGGTCGACTTTGTACTGGTGATTGATGACTGGTAATGGTAGGTCGACTTTGTATTGGTGATTGATGACTGGTAATGGTAGGTCGAGTTTGTACTGGCGATTGATGACTGGTAATTGTAGGTCGAGTTTGTACTGGTGATTGATGAGCAGCAGCCGGCCGAGTTTGTGCTGATGGATGAATATGAATATTAGATGCATTAGCTACTGGTGAATGAGTCGATAATGAGTGCTGAGCAGGAGATGATAATGGTATAGATGCTGAACCTAACGGTGATCCAGCGGGTATGTTCATAGGAACACGTTGTATAGGTGTTTGCTGCTGCTGCTGCTGCGGTGGAGGAGTTGCGTATGGTTTCTGAGGTGAAAAGATTGAAGAAGAACCAAGTCGTTCGATATCAGAAGTTGTCGCCTTATCTTGCAAATTCAAAGGAGAGTTATCGTAAGATGATTGAGGTGGTATTGCTGTTGGTGTGGTAGATACTGATGTGGTACGATACGGAATGTTGTATATGACTGGATTGATTATCAAATTATTCCCTAACGAATCTGGATCTACAAATGGTTGCCTATTAATAGTAGGAGTAAGTTGTTCAGAGTTGGTAGGTGAGTGTGATCGTTTTCGTGATGATGATAATGTTGGAGAAACAGTGTTAGCATGTTGATGCAAGTTGTAACTTCCTGGAGAGAGTAAAGGGTTGGATGATATGTGACCAGGAGATATGTGCGCTTGACCTAAAAAAAAAAAAAAAAAAAAAAAAAAAATACAAATACAAATAAAGAAAATGAATGGGTCAGACATGATACGTGCATACTCCTCCCCCGTTTTAACCCTCCTTTGATTTCTCTTGTATACATACCAAGAGATGATTGACTATGATTGAATGTTTGCTGTGTACGATGTTCTTGATATGAAGGATGTACTGTTTGATATGAAGATGATTGTTGTTGATATTGTTTGTGTAGATGTTGTTGTTGTTGTTGTTGCTGTTCCTGCTGTAACTGTTGCTGTACATGTAGATGCTGTTGCTGCTGTGCTTCTTGTTGTTGTTGTTGTAAAGTAAAAGTCTGTTGGAATAATTTTTCAATATCTTCCTGAATATCAGTTGATGGCATTTGACCAGAGGTAAAGGACAAAGGTTGTTGAGGTGAAGATAAACCATTGTCTTCCGTATTGGATAAGTTCAAAGGATTGAAAGGGGATTGTTTCCAATATCCGGCGGTACCCACCATACCGTTGATAGAGTTAAGCGTCGAGTCAGGGTTGTCCGGCAAAGACCAATCCTCCATCTGGGAGTGAAAAAACAATAGGTATAAAGAGCAAGTATGATGTAAAAAGGTTTGTAAGATTTGGTGATAGGAATAAAAATTGGCAATAGGTGATACAAGTATAAAGAAACCGTTTGAACCTGTAAATGTTTAAAGGATGAGTTAAAAAAAAAACGTCGTCATGCTTTGTTTTGTTTGTTTTAATAATATTATAAGTATAGCAATTTCAATAATAAACATACCAACTATCTATTATAGAATCCCAAAATCAGTCTGTTCCTGTAGTGGTCTTATATAAAGAAGAAGAAGAAGAAGAAGAAGAAGAAAAAAAAAAGGGATTGAAGTCAAGAACAACAAAGAATACTAAAAAAGAAAAAGAAAGAACAAAAAAAAAAGTGGGAAAAGAACAAAATAGAAAGACAGCCAATCAGCCAAATCGCCAGCCAACCAGTCAATCTATTCTGAACGTCATCGGCCATTCCCAAAAAGGTAATTACAGATCATAGAAATTAGAAATCACTCATATATTATATATTTAAAGATGAAGAGTTAGTTACTAATAAATAAAAAAAAATGTTTTCTATATGATTTACATTATATAATAAACAATATTATTACAAGTAGGATAAATATTGTATGAATATATATATATATATATAAAAGAAGAAGACCCTAATGTTCATACGGTATTGATCATTGTAATTTAAGCAAGTGGGAAAGAATAATTATTTTTTTTTTCTTCTACTCCCTAATTATAGGTCTTACATTTGTATTAGTCAAGGTATGATGCGGGAAAAAACAACCTTATCAATTGTAGAACTCTTTTTCATAAATAAACCCCTTCCCCACCGAGTAACCTTCCTTTCCTTTTCTTTTCTTTTCTTTTTTTTTCTTTTTTTTTTTCTCTTCTTTTTTTTAAATTTCTTACTTTATTATTTTTATCATGGTATCTAACTATCAAACATATGATTTACCAAATTCAAGAATGGTAAATGATACTTCCTTATTCGACGCGCTTGTTCATGATATAAATAGTAAGTTCATAACTATGGTTGTCATCATTAAACAACTTATGTTTTATAATTAGATCATCGTATAAAATCATTCATTAATACTGAATCCACTTCTTCCAATGCCTGGTTCAAAGTAAAAGAAAAAAAAAAGAATTTTTATGCTTCAATCCATCATTTTCTTATGTTCACCCCCTTCTTTCGTAGAGATTGAAATCTTTCTGTGTCTCAAAACTACGCCCATGTGTAGGTTAACAAAATGTCTTTTTTGAACTTGATTTTTTAAAATACCGCCTTTTTTTCCCCTTTCTCATTTTCTTTTTTTTTTTATTATACATAGACTTCTACCAGCACTATAACAACAACCTCATTTCGTCAACATGATATCCTCTCCCATCATTCTAATGACTTTTGTTTTATGCTTGACCAAACTGCTATTCATCGTTTATCTATCATTGATGCTGAAGCCATCTATCAAGGGGTAGCCTCATCACAATCCTCTCCACATTCCTTTTATGACAAAAACTCTACCTCCCGTTATTCAATTCAACCAAATATTAAACGGCAATCACCAACTGCAGAAGGGACTCATATTCAGGGGAGAAGCATACAGGACAAACGATACTATCCACATCGTGAACCACACCAACTTCAGAATGACATGCATTGCAGTTCATCTCCGCAACATCCACGCTATCTTCATTATTCTGCTGATACATTATCTATATCATCAACATCAACAGCATCATCCTTATCCTATCTTGATCAACTCAACAAAATGGAATATCGTAAGGATAGTAGAGATACTGATGCCAGTTATTCAACTATCCACTCTCTATACAGTACATTTGCAACATCCATAGCCAACAATATTCATGCGACTAATATCTCTTCACCCTCACCTCCTCTTTCTCCTATATCTACTCAACCAGCTCATGTCTCCTATTCTTCACCATCATCATCATCATCATCACCGCCATCATCAACAGCACAGACAGCATCTGACAGCCCCTTCTTGGATTGGATACATAGTTCAGCACCATCTCTCTTTAATTCTCATCATGAAAATACTCCACCAACTATGACTTCATCTATGTCTCCAACTTCTTTCTCTTTGAACGATGTCTCCTTTGCTGAAACTCTTGCTAACGATTTTTGGAATGGAAATCAAATTGTGTGTGATGATGTCAAAGCGGCTATGTGGCTAGGAACAAAGTAAGGAGTACATTCAAAAAAAAAAAAAGAAAGAATATTCATTAACAGCCTCTGAATTTTTTTTTTTTTTTATATTAGTGATCCATTTCGTACAGCTGTATTGACATCTTATATGGCTCATTTTGATTTTAAAGATCAGCGATTGGATCAAGCATTTCGAACTTTATGTGGCAAACTTTATTTCAAGGCAGAAGCACAACAATTGGATCGTATCATTGAAGTATTTGCAAAACGATATTGGGAATGTAATTCAACAGAATTATACCATAGTGCTGGTAGGTATATATAAAAAAATGAGGAATGTTAATCTGACCTATATTTTTTTTGATAATTAGATGTTGTTTATGCTATAGCATACTCTTTACTGTTATTAAATACAGATCTCCATGCGGCACATCAACATCATCAAAAGATGAAAAGAGCAAGATTTGTCAAAAACACTATGGAAACTATTACAGCACTCATCTCTTCTACTTCAGAACTCGTGAACAATTTGGATTCGATACGTAATAGTCAACAGCAACCACCGAGACTGAAATCATTACCACTGCAGCATTTAAGAAAATCGAAATCACATCACAGTCTGTCATTGGCACCGGTATCCTTGAAGACACTTGTGTTCTGGCGCAACAGGAACAATCACAACAACAATAATACTGATCAACAAGAATGTGTTGGACATGATATAGGAGATGACATCGACGACGATGACGATGACGATGACGACGACGATGACGATGATGATGATGATGATGATGATGACGGTAATGATGATGGTGATGATTGTAAACAGGACAGGAATATCCAAGCGGAACAAGCAACCATCAAACCGAAAAGTTCGTTAATGAAAGATACAAAATCTCAATCATTGATGGATTTATCACACTACTTGAAAACACGACATACATTTCTGGATGGTCAAGTTTGGACAAAAGAACAAAAACGATGGTTACTCAATATCGAACAATTGTTAAAGGTAAAAAAAAAAAAAAAAAAAAAAAATAGAATTTATGGCCTATATGATCTGACTCTTGTTTATTTTATTTTTTTTTTTTTTGTTGATATAGGAAATGTATACATCCATCAAATCCAAAGAAATAATTCAGCCTACCTACGATCATCCAGAAACAAAAGGTGACCGAAGGTATTCTCTCGAAAACGAAACAAGGAAGACAACGATTATTCGACGCAAGCGAGGACAAAGCGCACCACCGACGTCCGGAGTGTCACTACAACAACGATCGATTGGAGCCAATAATGATGAAAGCAAAAAGGATAAGAACAATGACAATGATGATGATCAGCGCCGACTCCGTAAGTCACTACCCCCTCTACCGTCTATTCAATTGCGCAGTCACCAACAAAACGACGCCGTAACAAGCATACAACCAAGGACATTGGAAGGATGGGTGATGCGTAAACAACTGATGAAAGGAGCATGTCAAAAAGCAAAACAACGCTACTGGAAACGATGTTACTTGAAAATTGACAATGGAAAGGTATCTATGCGACAAGTGAATGATTGGATTTTACCTGCACAACACCTGATGTACCAATTGACACGACATCAAAACAATGGACCATGGCCACTTAGACGGAAATCTACCTCTTCACAGGATGAAGAGCTACAAGATCGTACTGATCATCGTCATCTCTCTTTGGGCAAGGTAAGAAAATGAAAAGTAAAAAAAAAAAAAAAAAAAAAAAATGGAATTGACCCACTCTTTTTTTTTACTATTATTATTGTTATTGAATGGATTAGGAAGAAATCAAGGATCTCAAACACAGTTTATCTAGTTTATTACCACCACCAGGCTGGCATGGAGAAAGAACACATGTATTTTGTTTACAATTGACGGATGGCATCAGTTGGTTATTTCAAGTGGAATCGCATGAAAAAGGCAAGTTATGGACGGACGTGCTGAATCATTGGGCAGCGTTACACAGCAAGGAACCATTACAGGGTGCAGTGACTAATGTGGATTATGGTTGGCAACATCATTCAACAAACGATCGACTTGCGTCTTGGGAAATCCCTCTCTCTTGTATGATTCAAAGCCAGCAATCAAGGAAAGATCAATTGGATTCTATTCTTGCTTATCTTGAAAAGTTACATATACAAGTGGAAGATCATAGGAATTTACGTGAATTGGTAGAAAAAAGGGTAATAAATCTTATTATCAAAATAATCCCATTTTTACTCATTTATTATTTTATATATCCTTAGTTTTCTCCGCGCACTCCGAATGGGATCAAAGCCATGGCCAATTGGGAAAAGAAGATGCAATATCTTTTATATGAAAAAGTCAAATTCCAAACATACCGAGACACGTTGATGACTAAGTGTTAGTTTAGATAGTTATTTTTTTTTCTTTCCACGTGCATTTTGAATAAAAACAGATAAAAAATCACCCCGCCTTGTTATCCCTCTTCCTTGTTGAAAATCAAGCTTTATTGTCGTACAAAACTTTATACATACATGCATATATATTATTATATATAAACTATATAAAAAAAAACACACCCAAAATGAAATAATAGGAAATAGGATTCACCGCAGTAGCAGAAGAAGAAACTCGTAAACGACCATTCTTGCCAATTGTATCATCAGGGAGAGGAGCCGATAATGGTGGTCGATTTGTATTATTGTTATTATTATTGTTTGTATTATTGGTATTGGTATTATTATTGTTATTAGTATTGGTATTATTTGATGATGATGAAGGAGTAGCCATGGCACCACGACTGGCCGTCATACCATTGATAGTAACAATATCATTGCCTATTGTTGTACTACTGCCACTACTACTACTACTATTACTACTAGTACTACTCATCGTCGTTGAAGTGGGAGATGGATCATTTGTGGTGGGGGTGGGGGTAGATTGTTGTTGCGCCATCACGATGGAAAGGAGAAGAATACATATGATATGGAATGGTCGCATGATTATCAATCAATCAATAAAAAAAAAAAAGGTATAAAAAAAAGTGGATGATATAAAATTAATGCTAAATAAAACTATCAATAGGTTAATAGTAATTGATTAAGAAAAACAAACAAATAAAAAAAAAAAAAAAAGAAAAAGAAAGAAAAAAAGAAATAGGATGGAATCATCGTAAATAAAGAGGAGAAAAAAAAAGGGAGTTGTATTCCAGGAGAAGTGGATGATAAAGAAGTAGAAGTGTTGATTTAAGAAGGAGAGAGGGGTAAGGTAATATATACAAGTCGAAAGAGAGGAGAGAAACATACAACTTTTTTTTTTCTTTTTATTAGGATCATTCAAAATAAACTATATATATATATATATATATATAATAAAGGGTAATAGTTGACTAGCTAGATAATCAATAATAAAAGAAGACAGAGAGTATATAAAAAAAAAAAAAGTCTCATGAATCACTGTTGTTTCAAGATCATCAATTCCCGTCGTAATTCTTCTGCTTCCTTTGCAAAGCTTTCTTCCCTTTCATGTAAATGACTGATATATCCAACAGCTATGAAAAAATAAAAAAAAAGTGTCAATATTTTATGCATTTTATGATTTTTTTTTTTTTTTTTTTTTTACCTTTACTAAGGATTTCCCATTTACTTGTTTTTAACCCCTTGTCAACCGGAAGTAATTCCCGTAAATCATCAAATAAATCCTTCATTTCTTTACGCCGTTTTCGTTCGGCCAATTTATGACTGACACGTAGTTCCGGTGATCTTGAATAAGGCGCCTGAGAGCTGAGTCTTCTTGAAGATGCATGATTGTTGATCGTATTATTATTATTATTTGATGGTGATGAACATACAGAAGAACAAGTGGATGGTTGAGTAGATGATGGTCCAGAATAAGATTCTCGTTTATTGGTTGGCGCTATGGCAATAGAATGACGGCGTAAATGAGCATCTTCCAATAACAAACTGGCTGGTGAAGAAGTATGTCGAGTTCGAGCAATGGTATGATTTGGATAAGTAAATTGATGCTCAAGTTCACTTGTCAATTGACTAATGGAGGGTAAAGAGTCTCTTCGCCAAGGTGAATGTAAAGGTGGACTAGATATCAGGTCAGGGCGGTGTTCCAACGGTGAAGGTCTCAGGGTATGTGAAGGTGAAGAAGGTGGTGAAGTATGAGTAGAAGGTCGATGTGGTGAATCTATCATGGACCCTCTTCGTGAATTGACTGGACTTGGTGATGCATAGTGACAAGGATTGGTATGTGACCGGAAGCTTGGGTTAGTAGGTGGTTGTAAAATCCTAGAGTTGGGATCTAAACTTTCATAGTCCATAGTCTTTTGCGATACTTGGTCTTCATCATGAGGTGGTGTGGAATAATGATTAGAAAGAAGCATCGTAAATAATAAATAATAAGTAATGTTAGAGAGAAAAAAAAAAGAAATATATATGTAAAAGAAAGAAAAAAGGGTTTCCACAAAATAAAAAAAAAAAAAAGGTCAGCCTGTATACACAAAAAAAAAAAAAAAACATAGTGGACGAAAAAAAAAAAAATATAAGAATAATTCGACTCCGCAAACACGTGCGATCTGTAGCAAAAACACATGCATAGAGATTTGTTCAAGTTTTTTCACACAGGTCCTCTCTTTTCCGTGGTCGTCTTGTTAAAAAAAAAAAAAAAAAATCCATTTTGAAAAGATTCGGTACGTATTTCCATTTTCGTCCCTACGCCTTTTTTAAGCAACCATAGTAATAGCGTACATATGATAAACTATGTTTTTCCTTCATTTCCATATAACATATTTTTTTTTATCTATATTTTGTTTAAGATCTTATATACATTTTATGATAAATAATCACAAGAAGAAAAAGAGAAAACAGTTTACAATGATATAACAACATCTTATCAATTTACATGTAAGGAAATCAGATCAATTAAAACAAAATCAATTATATAATATATATATATAAAAAGAAAGACTGTTTTTCTTACAAGAACAGCTTTGAAAAAAAAAGGAACATTCTCAAATTGATAGAGAGAGGAACCACACAGCACAATGCTGAAAATTCAAAGTCAGGGAACGAAGTATGGGACTCGATCGATCTGGGTTCCCCCGTTTTTTTTTCTCTTCCTCTACCCCCCAAAAAAAATATCACTCACCATGTACAATTAGCTTTTTTTTTTTGTTGGCTATAAAGATAACAGGTTAATATCAACATTATTACTTTGTTGACAATTTTAAAGTGTTTATTTTATTCATTGAGACCCTTTTTATATGTAGGAAAATTCGGTCTTTACAAAAGGGAATGTTCAAATCCAACGAAAAGTTTTATTTGAAGAAAACTGTTAACATTATTTAATAGGTAAAGAGAAAAGAAAAAAAAACGTAATAACTATAATATGACTTGTCTATTGACGTATTCTATTCAAATAGGATGATTCATAACAGTCTGTTATGCCATCAACTAATTCAAAGCAAACACTCTGAACGCATAGTATTCAACAAAAAAAAAAAAAAAAAAGGAAAGGACGAATAGATCAGCACTTCATTCGGGTAACGATCTATTTTATGTGTATAACAAGCAACCTTTTTTTTTTTTTTTGTGTGTGTGTGTACCAAAATAAAATGGAAATTGTAAACGGAGTGTATCGGATAGGAAATCAAGATCAGGTCGATCACTCAACATTATCGTGGGATATCAAGATATAAGTAAAGTTTGACTTGTAAGGAATGAAATGATGGTAACACGATGTCTGATTATCTGTTATTATTCTTATTATTATTATAATTAGTATTCATCTTTTATGACAACAAAAAGCACTATTGCACAATCCGACAAATTGAGTATGAATGATATTTTTTTTTTTGTTGGGGAAAAAGATGGCTATACATGACGCTTTATGCACTCATTCATTATTATTTGTTTTTCAAAATAGGCAACAGTTGGATCCATATTCTTGGGAACTTGATATTACCAAAAAAACGTGTATGTGCGTGTTACAAGAAAAAAGATCCATCCACTCATTTCCGCGATTGCTTATTACTTTATCATAGACAAGTTGCTGGATCCCTCTTATTGACTTCCAAGGCAAGTAATTGGCAATTTATTTTTTATATATCAATGATTTACTAACAATGAATTTCAAATCTTGATAGTGAATCTTTTCGTTATTATTAAGTTTGAATTCGCTTTTCTGTCATTATTAATTCACCAAGTCATATCACTCTGATCAGAATGATGAATATGGATGCAATCAAGGAGCAATTTCATTTTGGTGTTCGAAGGAACGCGTTGGACGATGTGAAGATCTTTCTGATAGTATCGATTTTTAGGATGATAGCCTTTTGTGATTAAATAACTTAGTTTTTTTTTTTTTTTTTGAAATAAAAATGTGGAAGTCGAAAAAAAGAAAATTGATAACTCTGATGATTGTCTGTTATGATACCTAGGGAAGATAATCACGAGCAAGGATGTTTATTCTTCTTGTTGTAAGCGTGAAAAAAAACAATGCTGTCTTTATGTACTTTTTACATCCAGGTTTACTTGCATATCTAACCAAATCGATATTTTTTTCCAATGTAAAATCAATCCCAATACTTTTATATCACGCTTTTCTTTTTTTTTTTTTTATTAAGTTATGCTTTTGGAATTAAAAAAAAAAAAAGAGTAATAACTATACTACACTATAGCCATGATCAAAACCTACTACTAAAAGGAAGACCAACTAGGAGGCTTGTCTATATTTTCTCTTTGCAAAACCATCAATCCAAGATCTTGATAGCCAGAGAGCCCAATAGTAGTAACCAGGGAGATAAACTTCACGTTCACGAGCATCGGAAGCCAAAAGGATACGTTCAGCCACGACTTGAGGAGACAATTTCCCTTTGGTTGAACCAGCAATCACAGACGTTGATGCATCAAGATCCACCGCTGATTGACGTAAATCAGTATCCACAGTACCAGGACATACAATTCCCACATGGATGTTGTACGGAGCCAGTTCCACACGTAAAGAATCAAAAAAGCCATGAACAGCATGTTTGGAGCCACTATACAAAGATCGTGTCGGTGCGCCTACTTTACCTGCCATGGAGGAAATCACTATCAAATTGGGTTGTCGTTGTTGGAAAAAACTCTTGAGAAGGAAAGGTAAGACCAATCTTGTTGTATGTACTGCGGCAAAATAATTGATATTGGTAATATCTTTCATAGCTTGATCGACTTTTTCTTCTTCTTGTTGTATGATCTTGTTGTCACTAATGATAATACCACTAATGTCCATGAATGGCCGAACAGAGATAGCACCTGCACAGTAAATCACAGTATCTATTCCATCTTGAAACGGACTTGTAGCTACGATCCTTGCCATATCTTCCACTTGCGTCACATCCCCTGCCATCCCCACTGCCAATGAAGCACCTGCTGCGAGACATTCTTCAACTAACGCATCCAAAAGTGGTTTACGTCTTGCCACGAGAACAAGCTTAGCTCCACGTCTTGCATAAAGTAATGCCAATGCTTTCCCAATCCCACTGGAACATCCTACCAGGAACACTTTTTCGCCATGGCTTGCTACCACTTGTAATCTTGTTCTTCGTTTTTTCCTGGATACAAGGTATGCTGTAAAGAGTGCAATACAGATGGATATAATGGTACGGTTTATCATGTTAGATATACACGAGAAGATTAAAAAAAAAAAATAAAGGGAAAAAAAAAGAAAGATGCTGAAAAGTTAAAAAAAGTTGAAGACGAAGAAAAAAAAAAAAAAAAAAAAACTTTAGTAGGCGGCACCTAAATTGCAGACAAGTCTGATCCTCTGAAAAATCATGCATTGCATTCGATTAGGAAAGGATGGAAATCATAAAGAGTGGTTCCCTAGAAAAGAAAATGAGCATAATGGAAGTGATTCGTCGCTGCTTTCTCCAGGATGAAAAAAAGAAAGATCATCATCCGTCGAACGATAATAACATAGCATCAGGTAATCTATCTTACATTAGATGATTGTATTTGAAAAGAGAAATTGTGATTATCATGGAAAAAGATGAAAACTCGTTCATGAGATCAATATATAGAGAGAATAGAGTCAAGGTAAGAATGATTTTTTATTTTTTATTTTATTTACAGCTAGTCTCTAAAAAAAAGAAAAAGGAAATAAAGGTCATCAACATGGGGTAAAAAAAAAAAAAAGCTAGTATTCAACAAGTGAGTAAACCATAAATGTATAAAAATAAGAGAGGAAGAAACTTGTATATATATACTATAATAGGAACGATGATGATGATAATGAAGGGGAAATGTGACCATTCTTCTATAAAGTAAAATTAACGAACGGGAATGGAGGGGGACAACAATAATGAGAATAATAATAATAGTAAAAAGAAAAAAAAAAAAGGGAAGGAAACTACAATAAACAAGGGAGAAGAAAGATACAAGAAGGTCTATGATATACCAAGGGAACGTTTGCTCATTTCATAAACAGCATAACTAATACTGACAGATGGCACAACCTACAACAATAACATTAAAAAAAAAAGGAGTCAACTTTATGATTCATCTTAATTAACTTATTCTTTTACCTTGAACAAAGTTGGTCCTAAACCACGATAAAAACCTTTGACACCATCGATTTGATAAGTTTTCTTTGCTGCATCCCAAGCAGAGGTATATGTATATGGATGACCAGGAGTACCTTGAGCTTGTAACCTAAATACGAGAAAAATCAATAAGACAATTGAATACATATTTTTTTTTTCGTCTTACCTGGTTCGAATCATATTCAAGGGATAAACACTAGTAGCACCAATACAACCACTCACCATACCACAAGACCATAGGACCAAAATATTTGGTTGAGGAGCTTGTTCACCCACACGTCCAGTAGATTGAGCCTTCATATATTGTAGATAAGTCACTTTCAATGTTTCATAGATCCCCATATCTAAAGCTTGATAAGGAAACACACCCATGAGGCCTAGAATATAAAATAAGGATGAATAAGAATATCAATATTTTTTTTTCTCTCATTGCCTTCTTACCCAAAGTCAGTCCAGGCCAAAAGGAGCGAATCCCTTGACTACGATACATTTGTTTTGCTGTATTCAAGACAAGTGATTTTTTAGCTGTGGATGCTGTTTGTACTGCAGTTGTAGATGATGACGATGATGATGATCCAACACTTGTCGACATGATTCTTGTTTTTAAAGTTTCCACAGGATAAATACAAAATTGAGAACAAAGACCAGCCACACCACCAGCAATAAATCTTGCACCAACAGGAATAGCATTCTTATCCTCTGAATGTGTCAATTCTGCAAGTACTGTTTTGGCCGTTTCAAACACATAAAATTTGATCCTAATGAAAAAAAAAAAAATCAATAAAAAAAAAATAAAAAAAAAAAACATTATTTTAAACTTACGAAGATTCAGGAACAATTTTGAATACATTCAAACCATTACCAACAAAAAATGCACGAAAACCACCTTGGGAATATATACTACGTACAGCAGAAACAATACTTGAAGAAGTAGAACGAGAAGTAACAGCAGTACTAGTAGAAGAAGCAGCAGCAGCGGCAGCAGTGGATTTGGCATGATATGAAGTTTGAGTAATAAGATATACCTTGAGTCGATCGAATGGAGCAGTACAAGTGCGAGAGACAGCGCCAGCAATGCCGCCGGCGGCTAGATATTTGTAGGCGTTGCGTGCAGCTTCATCCGTATGAGGAAATACCACTTCAGCATCATGAGTCAGTTGTGTTGATGTTTGATAATATCGATAGATTTCCGTGATAGTTGTTTCCCTTGGTAGTAACTTTTAACATAAAAATAAATAATAAATGAAAAATCAACATTCCTATGATATCAACACGTGGGCACAAACAAATGTAAAAAAAAAAAAAGTTCATTTCCTTGTTTGCTTACCAGTAAGAAATCCCGCCAATCTTGAAAATCAATATAACCATTTCCCTCTAACAGAAAGAAAAAAAAAATAGTTAAGATCAAAGATGTATTTTTTTTTTTTTTTTTTTTTTTTTTTTTTACCTGTATCAATAACATGAATAAAATCTTCAATTTCTTCCTTTGTCACTCTAATACCCGCCGATTTGAGAGCATATTCCAATTCGTTGGGATGCAAGCGATTATCACCCGATTTGTTGATTTCGGCAAACAAGGACCATAAATCCTTTTCCTTTTCCAGTACATAAGCCCTGAATTCTCCATAATCAATCAAACCATCCCTTGCTGTATCACACATTGCCAATAAATCCGTCGCATAACGTGTATGTGCAGGTAAATGTGTCAGTTTCAGAAACCCACCAAGAATACAATCAGCATCAAGTACTCCTGTACCATGTCGGTCCAAAGAATCAAACAAACTCCGGATACGTGCTTCTCGTTCGCCAGCCTTTTCATCATAGTATGGATGTCGTACCTGTTGTGTTGTTTGATCTTCTCCTGTTGTCGTTGTTATCGTTGTTGTTGGTACCGAGGTGGTTGTCTTCGTCGTCGTCATCATACTGGGAAAAAAAGAAACAAGTGTGAGATGATGAAGGTACGTATAGATAAGTAAAAGCCAATAACGTCGTAGAAAGGAGTATCAAAAAAAAATATGAAAAACCAAAAAAAAAAAAAAAAAAAAGAGAGAGAGAGAGAGGGGAGGATAAATACAATGAATGAGAAGAAGAAGAAAAAAGGTGTGTGTGTTAAAAAAAAACAGTAACGGAAAAGGAACAAATCTAATCTAGTTTAAAGGAAAATAAGGGAGTGGATGAAAGAACGAGAGAGAGAGAGTATATTATCGAAATACACTCTTGAGAGTGGGTAAAAAAAGGGAATCGTAATGAAAAGTCAAAAAAAGAAAAACAAGTGGTGTTCCAAAAATACGCTATAAAAAGAAAAAGAAAGGAACGAGGGGGGAACGAAAAAACAAGTGAGATATATCATTCTTTTTTTTTTTTTTTGTCTTCAGCTTTTTAAAAATCAACCAATGAAAAGCCACTTTTTCAGTCATCCGTCAAAACTTTATTTAAAAAAATCTAAATGACATTTTTATCTATTATACACTACTTCTCTTGATGTTTCTAAATCCATGGTTTCTTCCGCCTGGGATATTTGCCAATCATCATCATTTTCTTCTTGTACAGTTTCTTGTTGTGATGGTATTTGAACCATAGGAATGTTACATGATTCGATTTGATCTGTTGTTCGTACTGTAGAACCATAGTTTGGAGGTGGCGGTAATAATGTCATAACAGGATGGCCAGAGGAAGCTCGTTGTTCAATTACAAAGTAATGATCGTTTGGTAATTCCATATTGCGTAATAATTCATTTAACCTTCGACGTCTTGCTCGACTGACTTGTCGTTCCAATTGGAATACTTCACGTGCATGTCGCTGATGATAACTAAAAAAGAAAAAAACACCTAGACAATATAAACCCAAGGGTAACCAGAGTAACTTGGCAACAGGAGGAAGACCAGGTACAAACACAGACACCGCACCCACAAACACTAGAACAATGACCCAAAATGCCATATAGAATCCAGTAAACTGACTTGTAATAAAGGATACAAACATACTTTTGACACTGGCGAATGAATCTCCTTCCGATGAAAAGAGTTGATGCAGAATGCCATTGTTTTGTTCTTGGTTGTACAAATGTTCCAATCGTCGAAGTGCTTCCATATCTCTTGCCTGTTGTTCTTCTTGTTCCGGATTATCATATCGTTTGTATGTTGGTGGTCGTGATAACATTGGTCGCAAGTTACTACTATGTCGAGTGACAAAGGAAAACCTTGATGTTGGCCTACTGAGGATGCTGCTACTGTTACTGTTGCCACTAACTGATTCTGAACGACCAGGCACCCTAATGCTTCGACTCGATATCTCATGATTACTTTGTTGGACAATGTCAGATTCTTCAAGAGGTACTATCCGGTTAGGGTAACTGGTTGGATTCAAAGTAGGATTGCGGTAAAGACTATTGCCATCGTTGTTGGTATTGCTGTTATAAGACGACATACCGTCATTAGAATCATGTGGTAAAATGGTGGCACTCTGGCTTCGAAACAGTCGTGAAACAATGGATGGGCGCTTCGTACTTGGTTGAGCGGATCTACATGGACGAAGAGTTGTTGAAGATGGGTTATTCGTTGAGATGGGAGTAATATCGATATAGTCAGAGGTTTCATTTGCATGTATGATAAAAGCTGTGTCAGGTGAAAGATGGGCAAAAGACTGAGACCTGGTTAAGGTTTGCAATGATGGTGGTGGTTGCAGGAAACTACTAGAGTCGGTATTGTTGCTGGTATCGTTACTGACAGTACTGGGTTCCGTTGATGTGCGTTCAGTCACATGATCAGCTATCATACCAATAACCTGAAATAAAATAAAAAAAAAATAAAAAAAAGGGAAAGATGAATAATAGAATATTGGAAAGAGAGAAAATTTCTTTAACTGAAACCCTGATGATGCGCTAATTTGAGTCCCGAAGGCTAAACCAATCCAATAAATTTTACCTTTTAATCAATACGATTTTGCTTTGAATAAGTTTCCGCAAGTAGTTTCAATTGTTGAGGAATTTCATCCAAGTTTTCGCGGTAAAGTACCATTGTTCGCATCACTTCACTTGGAGGAATTATAAATTCAGGCATCATTGCTTCTAGTTCGGGGAATATATCATCCAATGTCAAACCATTATCATGTAGTTGAATCATTGAGAATATTCTTCGCATTTGATAATGAGTTGCAAGTGTCAAATCCAGATGAGTATCCATTCGTCCTATATTAATATAACAATAAGATGAGTCGAATTATATTTTTAATCTTTTTTTTTTTTTTTTTTTTTTTTTTTTTGTTTACCAGGTCGAATCACAGCAGGATCTAATAATTCTTTATGATTGGTTGTCATGATGAAAATAATTCCATCTTCCAATGTATGTCCATCCAAAATAGATAAAAAGGTACTAAGGTTAAATCCATCAGTCTCTTCTTGATCTGTATTTGATGAGATGATTTTTCTATTTGTTCGATGATGTAGAACCTAAAGATCAAAAAAAAAAAATAGTGATTAGAATGATTAACAAATAAAATCAATTTTTTTTTCTTACTGTTGTTTGAGTATCCACATCTTCAAGTACTACAATGACATTAGCAGGTAAAGAGGCAAAAGCTTGAATCAATGCAGTATCCGATCGAATGTAACCAAGATTGATAAAATATAATGATGCTTCTAAATGTGAGGCAAGAGCTAAAACCAAACTTGTTTTCCCTGTTCCTGGTTCACCATGAAACAAATAACCACGACGAAAAGCCAATCCAATACGTTTGTAGAATGACTTGTTGTTGACGAATGATGTCACATCCTTGATCAATCGTTTTTCATTTTCAGGACAAAGGGCTACAGTTGATAGTCCTAATGTATTGGTCAAAGGACAAATCCTTGTCCATTTCGCTTGTTGAGGTACATATTCATATCGTGCTCTTGTTCGTTTGTTGCGTTCCATATCCATGTGTAAAAGATAATCTTTGGCAATAGTATCCAAGAAATTTGTCAATGTAGCAACAGTAGAGTTCTTATCCATGGTTGATATTCGTAAAGGAGGATCAGGATTCATATTTCGTAACGAAGGAGGCAGACCATGTATCATATCTGTTGGAATTTCTGGAGTTGTAGTTGGTGAGGTAGTTGTATTCAAAAATGTAATCTGAAATTTGAGCTTATTATATTCAATAGTTTCCACTAGATACAAACAAAAAAAGGTAAATCATAAGAAAAGAAAAATGAAATATCCTTTCATTTTTTTTTTTTTTTTTTTTTACCTTGTTGAGGTTGAGGTACCATATTGAAAGGAGGTGGTTCTAAAGAATGGTGATCAAAATCAGTAGTTGGTTTGAGATTATATGTACCAAAAGATTTTTGTTGAGCTTGAGTTGATAACAAATGACAAATAGCCTGATGATAAACATTAGTATCTAGTATTATGAAATTAAAGAGAATGGATGAATAAATAAATAATTCTTTTTTTTTTTGTCATAACTTACTTGAGCGATAATCATCTTGTACAGTAGCATTAATTACAATAGAGATCAATTGTTCTTCTTGAGGTACTTTCTTTTTTGTTGTTTGCGCCAATTGTTGAAGAGTAAAATAAACAAGTCGTAAGAAAATCAAGACAAAGGTGACTATGGTGTTGACAATGAAAGTATCAACAGAATATATTCCAGTCTTTTCAACGAGTTGATCTAATCGATTGGGTAGATATGCATAAAGTAGAGTTTCTATTTGATGAAAAGAAAAAACACTAGATAAAGGAGCTAAAATACTTGATAGATCATTGGATTCACCATTCATAATATTGTATTGGAAGAAAAAGAAAAAGAAGACATCAATTGAAGCGGAGGAGCAAAAATTTATTGAAGTAAAAAAAAATTGACTATAATTTTGATTCTAAGCTATTATTTACATTAAAAAAAGTATGAATAGATTGAACAAGATCATCCACCTGGGAGACTGTATTATGACCATGTAAACAAATACGAACACGTTCTTGACCTTTAGGTACAGTTGGAGAACAAATAGGTTTGACAATAAATCCAAGTTGATTGAGATAACTAGCTAAAGCACGTACAGGAGCATTTCCATTCAATACTACACCTTGAATTGGACTATTAGAAGGTAATAAATTACCAGTTGGTAAACAAATTGTATTTCTAAATCGTCGAGTGAGATTATGTAAATGATCTTGAATCTATCATAATAATAATAAAAAGATGAGTGAATGACAAGGTGTAACCTGATCATTACCTTCTTTGTTTCATCTGATTCTAATTGATTGTATGCTGTCTGGATTAATGCCAAACTGCTAAAAGACATAAAAGTAGAATAAATAAGAGGTCTAGCATAATTAATCAAATATTGTCGAAGAGTTTCAGATCCAAGAATAACAGCTATTTTCATCCATATATTATATATAAAAAAAAAAAGAAAAAATGAATAAATTATTATTATCATTTTTTTTTTTGTTGGGGCAAAAAAAAAGGAAGGGAAGGAAAAAATGAATTCATTTTTGTCAGCTTTTTCATTTTACCTCCGTTACTTGCCAGTGCTTTGCTAAAAGTATGGAGCCGTGCGAAGACCATCTTTTCCAATCCAAATTGTGATACAATACCCCGGCCATGATCACCATATACACCAGTTGCATGAGCCTAACAAAAGAAAATAATTAAAAAAAAAAAAATTGAATATCCAAAAAAAAAAAAAAAAAATAGAATCATATTATATATATACTTCATCTACGATCAAAAATCCATTTTCTCCATTCGGCCAATAAGAACGTAAAACTTGTACAATTTCATTCAAAGGTGCAATATCCCCATCCATAGAATAAACCGTTTCCACTGCCACAAAAATATTTTGTTTGGTATCTTTGATCCCTTCCAATTTCATCGTCAAATCACCCACATCCGAATGAGCAAAAGGAATAAGTTGTGCTGCTCGTGATATACGCATCCCTTCGTGTACACTTGCATGAACCAAAGCATCATAGAGAATAATATCACCCTTTTGTGGTACTGTGCTAAATAACCCAGCGTTGGCATCAAATCCAGAGTTAAAGATCAAAGCTGATTCTGCACCGTGAAACTTGGCAATTCTTTCTTCAAGATCATGTGCATACTGTGAGTTACCATCTAATAGTCTTGATCCCGTTGATCCCAAGATAAACGGCATCGATTGTAATTCATTCAAGTATTCTTGTCGCATTGTCTTACTATAAGATAATCCCAAAAAGTCATTGGAAGAGAAATCAATATTATCCACAGGGTTCACCACAAGTCGTCGAAGTTTTGCAATGTCACGTCGTCTATCCAGTGTTGCATTCATTTGAAGTTGAAGTTGATTCATATTATTCATCGTAGTCGGGTAATAATAAAATAAAAAAAAAGAAAAGAAAAGAGAAAAGAATGAAAGAAAAAGGAACCAATTTTTTTTTTTTTTTTTTTTTTGGGAAAGATGGGATTGCATTAAATTGAAACACAGCGAAACGCTTTTTGCAATCTTTGGGGTTTACAAAGTGAGAGATCAGGTGGCTGGCTCTATTGAAAACAAAAGTTGTCAAATAAGCTCAATGTCCATGCGTTCAGGGCGATCTTTACCCTCTTTTTTATTTTAATCTGTCAATAAATAAATTAACTTGGTTTGCATAATCATCAGTGATAAGCTCCGTATTCATTTGTGTAGTATTAGAATGTTAAGAAGAAACTGGAAAAAAAAGGACAAGAAAATGGAACAGAGAAAGAGAGAGAGAAAAAAAAAAGGAAGATCAAAATTGGATCATCTTTGTGTGTGTTACCCTTTTTTTTTCTGACAGATGTTTTTGTATCATGTGAAATAGTATGATGAGAAAGAAATGGTCTTTGATTTACATGATAAAAGATGTAGTACAAAAAGAGAGGGAATCAATAACCATACTATTTGAAGATGTCATCCAGGAAAACCAACATGCATTAAAAGCATCATTGCAATGTTAACAAAGTGGGCTTTATTAAAGAGTATAAAAATAAAGCAACGATGATCTTAACATCATAGAGAAATCGAGTTGGTCATAACACTTAGCGAATTGAATATATACATTGGATGGTATTTTTAAAAAGGTACAACGAGTCGCTATAAAAAAAAAGGAGAAGATAATATCAAAGAAGAAAAGATCGAACTATACAACAGATTGAAGAGTTTTTTTTTTATTATTATCACAAGAATTCAATTTTGTCGGGGGTAAACAAACAACAAAAGAAAAGGAAAGAGTAATAATAACAAAAGGTAATAGTGAAATCAAAAAAAAAAAAGGATAGAATAAATAGTGTATAAGACTACGATCAAAACAATATACAAAGGACAAAAGAATAAGAATAAAAAGTAAAAGAAGGGTTATCTAGAGTTTTTCAGTGATTTCAGGGACAGCCTTAAAAAGATCTTCCACAAGACCATAGTCAGCCACTTGGAAGATGGGAGCATCAGCGTCCTTGTTAATGGCAACAATAGTCTTGGAATCCTTCATACCAGCCAAATGTTGAATAGCACCGGAGATACCTAAAGAAAAGAAAAACAATGAGTTAGATAAATTTTCCCACGGTTGTAATCCTGTTCTGCTCCGAAGCTTTACCAACAGCAATGTATAATTCTAATTCAAAAAAAAAAATAATAAACGATGAGTAAATGAATCATCATCATCATACAATGAATCCTTTTTTTCTGTCTCTCTCTCTCTCTCTCTCTCTTTTTTTATTTCTTTGTTCTTACCAGGAGCAACGATCTTGCCAGTTTGACCAACTTGTAAAGAATTGTCAACGAAACCAGCATCAACGGCAGCACGAGAAGCACCCACTATAATCGAAGAAAAAAAATAAAGATTATGAATTTTCTTTTTTTCAATTTGATATATATTATATTTACCAGCAGCATTCATCTTATCAGCCATAGCATACAACAATTGGAAATTTTCACCATTCTTCATACCACGACCACCAGAGATAACACGACTAGCAGAACCCAAATCAGGACGATCACTCTTTTGAATTTCTTCACCAACCCATTGAGTAGTACCCACCTTTTCAGCTTCAGGAGCAGCTTCAACAGTAGCATCAGCATTACCACCAGATTGAGCAGCTTCAAAAGCAGTACCACGAACAGTGACAAATTTGACAGCATCGTTGGATTTGACAGTAGCAATGGCATTACCTAAATAAAATCATCAAATATTTAATACATATATATATTAATAAGAATAGTAGAATCACTTACCAGCATAGATAGGACGAACAAAGGTATCTTCAGATTGAACAGCAGTGATATCAGAAATAGGAGCAACGTCCAAAAGAGCAGCAGCACGAGGGAACACGTTCTTACCAACAGCAGTATGACCACCAATAATGTGAGTAAAGTTATACTTATTTTGAACAGCCAATAACAAGGAAGTGACATCTTCAGCCAAGTTCTTTCCATAAGTGGCATCGGTAGCAGTTAAAACTTTGGAAACACCTTGATAATCAGCAATGGACTTGGCAACGGCTTCAGGAGCATCACCAGCAACAAGAGCAGTAACAGAACCTCCCAATTGTTTGGCAGCAGTCAAAGCATTCAAGGTAGCATTGGAGATCACACCATCTTTATGTTCAACAAAAAGTAAAGTGTTAGCGCCAGCACTGGAAGCGTAAAAACGTTGAGCGGTCACGCCAGTCTATATAAAAATACACGTTTGTTGAAAAAGAGAGTAATTGATGAATAATGTGATATACCAACATATAATATATTAATATAGACAAAAAAAAAAAGAAGAGAATGGTTTAGTTATATTATAAATAATGGCTGTAAATCAATGAAATTGATTCATTCTTTCTTTTTTTTTTCTGTACCTGACGAAGAAAACGAGAAGCAGTAGTAGATAACATTATGAGAGGGGAAGTTCAAAAAATACAAAAAAGGTGAAAGGAAAAAAAAAAGAAGAAAAAAGAAGAGGAAAATAAAAAAAATCAAAAAAAGATTGAATTTGAATTGTGGGGATGTTGAGAGCAAATGAGGTCACCTCTAAACCGCCGGGGCAACGACTAGGGCAAAAAATAAAAAAATGAGCGGTTACTGAAATCTACATTGATTGGTAGAAGGGGATCAACCAATCAAAGAAGAAGATGAACAAGTAAAAAAAAAAGTTATTGTGCATAACTAGTACTTTGATGATGATGGCTAAAACAAAATGATATGACCGTATTTATTCTATAGTGATTAAAAGGAGGAAAATATTTCAGATTCGGTTGTCAAATTCAGAACAAACCATTAAAATAAAATGTCACTGTCTATGTATGACTTTGTTGGTAATAGGAATCAGAAGATTTTTTTTTTTTTTACTCTATTTTGATTTACTACCAATAACTATACAATAATAATGATAATAATCAATCCGATTATTGGTGAAACCAACCACCCAACATTTGTACACATATTTTATTTCTTGATCATCCATATAAAAGTTTATTCTTTTTCTTTTTTTTCCATTCTTTTTTTTTAATCATCATCATCATCATGTCTTTATTAAAATCGAACAATAATACAGGCATCATCAAGTTGTATATGACCCTCCTATTGTCGCAACTACGTAAAAAGAAGACGATTGCTCTTACTTTTACCTTGGCTCTCTTGTATTCATTGTTCAAAAAGATCAACGCACCACCTTCTTATTTGCGTCATTTGCCATACGTCAGCTTCTCTACTTTTTTCAAGTGTATCATTGCAGATATGCCTCTTGATCGTTATTCTAAAGAAATCATCTCTCCTGTATTGAAGAAGTCACCTGATGCCTTTGTGGTAATAAAAAAAAAAAAGCTCTTCGTCAGTGAAATGATCATCCAACCATCTTTCTATTTACTATTATAGTGTCCTACTGTTGGTTATTGGGCTATCATGCTTACTGATCCCATTGCCGTCAAACAATTTCTAATGAGAGCAGGTATCGTATAAGAAAAAAAAAAAAAAAAAGAAACAAGTACTACCGTTATTCCTATCATATGAGGTTAATTGATCATATCAATCATCCATCATCATCCCATAATCCATCTGTTTTTATATTTTCTTTTTTTCATAGATATTTTTCCAAAGGCAGAAATTAACTCTGGACGTCCAGGTTCATTAATTCATCGATTTGTAAGTAATCCCAACATTGTCATGTTGAGTGGGGATGCTTGGAGAAGACATCGAAAGGTAAAGCAAAAAAAAAAAAAAAAAAAAAAAAAAGATATTTGATTTGACTACCATTACCATTTCGGTTTATCGCAGATAGTCAACCCAGCTTTCAATTTATCTATGCCTATTGGACTTTTTGGTGAATTTACTCAAGTCATGTTCAACACTATCGACAAATTAGGTTCAAAGGTGGATGTATTGACACTTTTTGAACGATTGACTTTAGATGTGATGGGACGATATTTACTTTGTAAGATATCCTTTTTTTTTTTTATGAGAAGATTCCATGGTAACGCAATGTGACACGGATGATTTTTTTTTCTTCTTAAAATATTTGTAGCTTTCGACTTTAAGGCACTTGAAGATCAAGAAAATGAATGGGTATCCGTTTATAATAGTGTTAAAGATGGTATCATGAGTCCTTTCTTTTTAGTCTTTTCTATTTTTGATACAGATTGGGTACATTTGTTTCCAAAGCGTGCTAAAGCCCATGACAATATGACACGCTTTTTAAACATGTTGGATAGCATCATTGAAAAGAAAAGGCTGGCTTTGAAAGAAAACAAAAATAGAAATCAATCCTTGGATGCACAAGATCGCGACCTTTTGACCATGATGATTGAAAGTGAAGATGGAAATGGCGGTGCCGCTTTGTCCAACGAAGAACTTCGAGTAAGATAAAAAAAAAAAAAAAAAAAAGGAATGATTTTTTTTCTCTATATCCAACGTTAATGAACATCTTTCTGTATTACCATTTTTAATAAGAAAAACTTGTGCATGTTCTTCTTGGCTGGTCATGATACAACAGCTTTCACCTTATCTTTCATGGTCTATGAACTAGCAAAGCATCCGGTATGATCTATAAAAAAAAAGGGGGAATGGAGAACAAGGTCGATTTATCTTATCATCATCATTTTTTTTTTTTTTTTTTTTACTTAGGATGTACAAGAGAAGGCACGACAAGAAGCAATCAGGATTTTGGGTGATAAACCTATGGATGTATTGCCAACGATTGAAGATATCCGCAAAATGACATACATCAATGCTGTCATGAAAGAAACCATGAGATTACATAATCCACTGTTGGCTACTACTACTCGACAAGGTAAAAAAACATCTATCCAATGGAAGAGCATCTTTTTTTTTTTTTTTTTTTTTTTTTTTTTTTGTTAAACTTACCTCTCCACATTTCAGCAACGGAGGACTGTCAGTTAGGTTCTGTTTATGTACCACGTGGGGCCTTTGTTTGTGCAGATATGACGAACCTTCATCGAAATCCTAAAGTTTGGAGTTCACCATATACATTCAATCCAGATCGCTTTTTACCAGGTGGTGAAGCTGAACGTCATCCAGGTAGTGGTTTAGCTTGGTATGTAAAAGAAAGTCTTTTTTTTTTATATTCTAAAAAAAAAAAAGACATTGTAACGATGAAGATGATGATGATATTTATATAAACAATATCTCTTTTTAGGATTCCTTTTTCAAATGGTAGTCGAATGTGTGTTGGTGCCAACTTTAGCATGAATGAACAGAGAGTAGTGATGTCTATGCTATGTATGTAAAAAGAAAAAAAAATCATGATCATCAGGACTCTACAACTGGTTTTTCACATATATATTAATGCACATGTCTCCTCTTTTCATTTATTAACAGTGCGAAAGTTTACATGGAAGTTACCTAGCGATTCTATTCATGCCAATGGATTGATTACTCGTGGACTTGCTTTTAGTATTATATCTACTACTAGCTTGGATATCAATTTCGAAAAACGATACTAATCTTCAAACAAGTATGTCCTTCTTCTACTTTATGAAATCATCATTTCAAGAAAAATAAAAGTCACCAATAAAAGATGTAATGAACAGATATTTAGTATAAACTACTAATATAAAATAATAATAAAGTAAAAACCTTATATCTAATGTTACTGATGTAATACATATAATGACTATGTAAGTGGTGATGGATTGATGATGATAGGTGGATGATGTTAATGAATAAATAAATGAGCGTTAAGAACATTGAGGACGATGGTAACCAAAATAATCTTGATAATGAGAGAGATCAATGAATATGACTTTATTAATAAAAAAATACGAAAATAAATGTTTATACTATATTGATTTAAAGCTGCTAATATAACTAACCCTAACTACCAAAAAAAAAAAAAAAAAAAAAAAAAAAAAAAAAAGAATCATCGCCATAACACAAGAGTGGCCAGACGAAGACCATCAAACGGATATATGTACCCCACATCCAGTCCATATACATGTTGAACCTTCATTCAATTTATCCAGTTGTACATTCACTTTTTGTCTATTTGCTGTCCATCCAGTTGAAATCCTTCTCGCCGTATATCTATCCAGTTGATCCAGTCCTGCCTCCATTCCTACCAAAGCAAGCCAAGCGTGATGACAAAGATGAAGAAGAAAGTGTAGAATTACACAATCTAGATCAGAATATAAAAAAAAAGCGGTTGACAAAGAGAAGCAAGTATCAAACTATATCTAAAATAAGAGAAGAACAACAGTAGTCTATTAATAAAAAGTTAGATATAATATCATCATCACTTTCTCCTGGTTGATATTACCTTTTCCTTCCCTCTTGACTACCTATGGGGTATCCATCGATATGTATTTATATTGATTGTCATTCATAATCTTAATGAGTATTTATTTAGTTAAACGACAAAAAGGATTTGAATCAGTAAATAATAAAGACTGTAGTTTTGATTGTTATTACCTTTTGGATATAATAAAATTGTTTGTTATGTCTATAGAGCAAAGTCTTGTCCAGGGATAGTGTGATAGCTGTTCAAATGATAAATCTCCATGCCTTCAAAAATCAAGTATCTAGGATATTGGAAAGGAATGTGGTAAGTATTGAAATAGTATTGATTCATTTTGGTATCTACTCTTCAATCATAAAGTCTACATAAGGATACCTAATAAAAATGGCAATTACCATACCAATCTCTAAGGTTACCAAGTCAAGTTTTCAACAGAATCAACACTACATGATTGCGTATAATGTCCTTCTTATTTCGGCCACTTTGTAAAGTCGTGTCAAAACGTAAAAGAAGCTGGTAGGAAAGTAACATATTCAAGAAAAAAAAAAGAAAAGAAAAGTGAGTGTTTTGGCAATGGATAATTAATAATATATTTACATTCTTCAATTGGCTGTCGTTCAGTTGCCATATCTTGATAACGTTGTTTCCACCCGATTGTCGTATTCTTGTTCACCATCAAATTGTACTATAGTTTCTGCATCCGTATAGTCATGTTGACGCGAAATCCAAAAGTCCCAGTGATAAAAAGAAAGCAATCAACAACAACAATATCCGAAGGAATCAATAAAACAGTACCTTTATTTAAATAACAGCGATAAAGTATAGTAGTGGAGTATAATAATAATGGAAAAGTGAAGGAAAAAAAAAAAAAAAAAAAGAAGAAAAAAAAAAAAAAAAAAAAAGGAAGGGAAATAAATAATTCTGCACCCAAAATCAGAATGTCAGACAACCCGTATATTAGCGTTTATAAACTTTTACATAATTGTTGAGAGTATTCTTGAATTAAGGTTCTTATATTGATTGGTGATTCTTCTTTAGATTTTCCGAGCGGTACATCATTCATTATATGTGTGGCAATACCAATACCTTTCTTACATTCACCAGCCATAGGTAACATTCCCAATACTTTAGGCATTGCTTTTTTGCTAGCTATTTGCTTAGCCTTAGCTATTATATTTTGGTGTTCTGAAATCTTCCAATCAAATTTACAAATATCTTCATGATTGGAAAATGCTTCACAGCTAGCTGATAAAACAGATGCTATCCATTCTGGCGTCATACCTTTTGGTGTTTTGGGAACTTTACTTCTAACATATGGAATAATCTTATCAGCAATCTCTTTTGAGGCTTTATTTATGTATGGTTCTGCTTTAGAATAAGGAATAGGTTTTCCACATTGGATACAAAAATCTTGGATCATCCAACTGTATACTTGAGGAGCATATGTTTCTACCTCGTTGGCAATTTCCATACATTTTTTAGGAATTATAGAAATTATAGCATAGCTATTAACGAAAAATAAAGTAAAGATGTAAATGAAGATAATCGGCTTCATGATCATATTGAATACTGTTACTGTTATTATTCTATTTGAATTTATATAAGAGTAAAAAAATATATGCAACACCCCCTTGTCATCTCCTTGAGAAATCAAAACTTGAGTTGATGATAGCCACATTGCATAGATAAAAGGTTGATCATACTTCCTATACCTTTAGAGAGTATTGAATATCGCGTCAAAGAAAAGAATAAAATAAAATAAAGCAAGATCGTCTTCTCTTTCTTATTATTATTTTTGTCCTTCTGATGTCTACTATAGCAAGCATCCGACTTTGAAAAAATTATAAAGCAGAGAAATCCTTGCAGCGAATGACAAGAAAATAAGATCATTTTAAATCATGGACTCCTCATGGCGATACCGCCGGTTTGAATCTTGGTTTTCTCCTGTTTCCTTGATGACCCTATCTGAACTACTTTATATGTGCCTGCAATGATGAAATTTCGTTCTGAAAAAAAAAAAAAAAAAAAAAAAAACAGGATTGTCCAGTGTTGTTTTCTGCGTTTTGTGGAGAAATCACGCACAAAAAAAAAAAAAAAAAAGAATAACAGGATTGTCCAGTATTATTTTCTGCGTTTTGTGGAGAAACCAATCACAAAAAAGGTTAAAAAAGGAAAAGAATACTAGGATACATAATTGTAAAAAAAAGACTGAAGATGTATACATGACCATAGAATACACATACATGATATCACAACCATAATTTTATTTCATTTCCAATGATTATATCAATATTGCTAAATTGTAATGATGATAATCTATACTATCAACTGTCAATAAAAAAAAAGGATAACCAGGTAGTCGTCTTCGCTGTTATCACCATTTTCGTTATCGTGAAAGGTGTGATCTTGTTCCCTGTCGTCGTTGTTCCCATATTATTACATGTAGAAAGAGGTGTCGTCTTTTTTCGATGGAATTTCCATAGTTTTGCCTCTCCACGGCTGTTATCCAAATATCGACTTTTTTTTCTTGTGTTTCTTTCTCTAACGATGTCGTCCATTGCATCCCTGAGGCCACAGTCAACGTTTTTTGCAGATCTTCAAGTCAGCAATCATAACGTAGTCTACATAAAAAAAAAAAGATTATGAATCCATTTACGGTTTTACTTCTTGGCCTATTTTTTTTTTTTTTTTTATTTTGTACGATAAGAGTCAGACAAGAGAACCAAACCAGAAGAAGATCATCAAAAAGAGACATGTGTAACAGCATTGAATTGCCTTTTTTGTCCAGTCGAATCCAGTTATATGTCCATCTTGTACATTTATGTTGTATTTCCTTCCAATTGTACACTTTATTCAATAATAATTGACGGAATTCAAAGAATAAGATGTCGCAAAAATAGGAAATAAAATATCGTAAGGATAGAAAATAAATGACAGAAGAAAAAAAAATATAATTGTCGCATAATCAAATAGAGAATATAAGAAAATAGATATCATGAAAAAAAGAGTAATCAAAAAAAAAAAAAGGAAATCCACCAATTGAGTTCACCAAGTTAACATATAAAAAAAAAAATGAGTGATATTTATCCAGATAAAAATATTTCACTAGCTTACCATTTAAGTGTAATGTGATCACTGCACCGCTGCAGTGAAAGTGGGTGACCTGGCGATAACCAGCCCGGAATTTGTTGAATATAAAAAAAGAAAAGGCGGACCGTAACCACGCAAATGCGCATTAGCGACCACGGTCAAGCCCAGAAAGCAAAAAAGAAGTAGGTCAATTGAGATACAGGCAAAGGTGGTTGAACTATAAAAGAATACTTGTAAAGAAAAAGATAGGCCAAAAAAGAAAGAAGGCAGACCAAAAAGCAGGCAGGTAAGATGAATGTAATGTAAAGAAATAAAAAAAAAAGTTAAATCAAAGGGATCCCTTTATAAGAAAATGAATCACCCTTGCAATTATGAGCTAATTTTAGTAGATAAAATGATGAGACAAGATGTAAGCGAGTTTTATCATCTTTTTTTTAAAAATATTAGCAACATTTCTATCTTTATATTGTATCTAATTCATCATCATTTTTTTTTTAGTATTAACAACATTTCTTTCTTTAGATTGTATCTAATTTATTATTTGTCTTTTTTAGTATCTACTTTATTATTTTTAGTATCTACTTCATCATTTTTTTTTAGTATTAGCAACATTTCTCTCTCTATAATAAAGTTAATTACATAGGTGTTCTACATTAAATTCTATTATTACAATATCCATGTACTAAGTGATACATGATACTGACTTTTTTTGCCGTGTTTTATTTGATGACTAGATTTTTTTTTTTTTTAGTTGTTCTATTTTAAATGGTAGTATGATTGTGTACAGCACATTTATTATTGTATTTTTTAATTTCCATAGATGTTTGATGAATCATCGTTATTATATTGATTTATCATGTTGGCTGATAAAAGAGTGTTTTGACATTTTTCAAAGAAAAAAAGAAAAGAAAAAGAAAATGTTGTTCTGTCAGAAGGTAACTAGAATGAAGTATTTTGTATTTTATCAGAAATTTGTACAGTGACTGATCATAATGTTCCATCATCCATTCTATAATCATCCATCATACAATCATCCATCATACAATCATCCATCATACAATCATCCATCATACAATCATCCATCATACAATCATCCATCATCCATCCTATAATCATCCATCCTATAATCATCCAACATACAATCATCCGTTATCACATATCATCGATCATGAATCATCAATCAATTGATACCTAAAAAAGAATGGACAACACCCAAAGCTGCTAAAAATATGAAAAGCCTATGTTACTTTTCTTTTGTATCTTTTATTATTAATAAACAAGTTATCATCAATATGTTATGTGTTTTTAGTGTACTCTACCGACATCTCTGGAGCGATATCTGAAAAAGTGGTAACGCGACATTCATTTTGGGAAAGTACGATATTTTATTTTATAACATCACGAAAAGCATTTTCTTGTGACCCGACAAAAAACCTTGAAAACACTGTATATCCACCTGGTTCATCCATTTAGATCCATCCTGTTGATCCAATCTTGCCTCCATTTATATATAAGGAAACAAAGTGTGACAAGAACGACGAAGAAAGAAGAATAGAATACACAGTCTAGATTCGAATAAAAAGGGATTAAAAAAAAAGAAATAGGTCGAATATCAAACTCTGCGCAAACGAAGAGTAAAATGGTAAGTTATTAATAAAAAATAGATTCGTAATGTAGATTAGCAGCATTGTAACTTACATGTTCAAGAGTGATTGATCTAAAGACAAAAAGAGAAAAGGGAAAAAAAACGTACAAAAAGGAAAAAAAAAAAAAAAAAAAAAAAGGAAAAGAGAAAAGAAAAATGTCAGCGCTTTATTTTTTTTTTATGTCAGCGATCATCCTTTAATTTAAATTTTATTTATAAACTTTTGCATAATTGTCGAGAATATTTTTGAACTAAACCTCTTACATTGGCTGGTCCTCCTTTGGATTTTCCGGATGATACATCGTGCATTATCAATTTTGGAATACGTACAAGTTTTTTACATTCACTAGCCGTAGGTAATAACCCCATTGCTGTAGGTATTACTTTAGGTAATGCTTTAGATATTGCTTTGTTGATAGCTATTTGCATAGCTTTTTCTATTTCTAGTGGATTATTGATAGCAAATTTACATATATCTTTGTGATGGGAAAATGAATCTTCAAGAGCTGATGAAACATTCTCTACGAATTCGGGTAGTATATCTTTTGGTAATTCGGGAGCTCGACTTCTAATATACGGAATAGTCGTTTCGGCAAGTTCTCTTGTAGCCCTTTCTATGAACAGTTTTGCTATGGAATAATCAATAGGTTTTCCACATTGAGTACAAAAATCTCGGATTGTCCAACTTTTTACTGGATAAACATATTTTTTTACTTCATTGACAAGTTCTATACACTGTTCAGGAATTATAGAAATTCTAGCATAGCTACCAAAGAAAAGTAAAGTAAAGGTGTAGATAAAGATAATCGTCTTCATGATCATATTGAATACTTTTACTGTTATTATTTTTATGAGTATTTATAGGTAAAAATATACGCAACACGCCCTTAACCCTTATAATCTCTTCCAGAAATAGAAATTCGAATTGATGATCGGCATATTGCATCATATTGATAAAGAATCAAGGGTTGATCATACTTCTATGCTATTAGAGAGAAGTGAACATTGCATCAAAAAAAAAAAAAAAAAAAAAGAGAATAAGGTCCCTCCTCTTTCTTTACTAGCTTATTATTATCATTTCCCATTTACAACAAATACCTGATTTTGAGAAGGATATAATGCAGAGAAACTCCTGCAGTAGATGACAAGAAGATAAGTCCCTTTCAAATCATATACTCCTCGTACCGATATCGCCGTTCTGAGCCTAGAATTTCCTCCCACTTCTTTGATGATCCTATCTAAGTTAGATCATAATGATGATGGTGTCGTTCGTCTTGTCCCTGATATTCGATTGAATCGAGGTGTGGAATTGGTGTAGATGTGGTTAAAAAAAAAAATAAAAAAGAGACGAGAACAAGTCTGTGAGATTTATTTTTATTGAAAAAAAAAAAAAAGATCGGGTTGCGACTTATAAGCATTTTGCATCCTACTATGGGTATAGATAGATATTTAAAATAAAATAGACAGTGAGAGTGAGATTCCTTTATAGTCCTATTTGGGGATAAAAAATTGTTATCAGTGGACGGGCTTCAAAAATTAATCACCCCTTTACGTGCGTTTTGCTCTTTTTTCATTTTTTTTCTCTCTTTTTCTTTTCTTCATCCACTTTTTTTTCCACATTAGGTGTCCTCTTTATCTGTGCGATCTTGTCAAGGTAGATTTTATTGGATTTGGAGCGTTTTGAAAAAGGGATTTACAAAATACATGGGGAAACTCTTTCATTTTGGATGTAGGATTTAATACAGGTAATAACAAAAAATATTTCATATAGTCTTGTTTTTTTCATATGAATTGCTTGACCTAGATTTATTTCATTGGTAATGTGAACTGACTGGATAGGAAACTTCGTTTGGTTAGAATCTCTTGGCGGTGGACGAACGCTTCTGGCGTAATAGATACAGTAGAATGGATAGTAGTGATAGTTTTACTAGTTAGTATATGGAAATATCTTTTTTTTGTTTGAAATAAAAATTATATTGCATTTTATGATACATAGTTTCCGTGGTTTTTTTTTTTTTTTTTTTTTTTTTTTTTTTTTTTTTTTTTTTTTGAGCAAGAGTAACAGTGAGGTAATATAGAATCGTTTTCCTCAACTCCATCCGATGAAAAAGATTACTATGACGACTAGGCGATTCCTAGGCAATTCTAGGCTATTTTCAAGTATGGACAATTATTCATAGTTAGATACAAACAATGAAAAAGAATATTTTACAATATGATTCTCATTCTCTTTTTCTTAATTATTTTGGGGTGTATCGGTCACTATCATTATCAAACAACAAGCATTATCATCCTGGACATATTTGGATCACAACATCAAACGAAAGTGGATAAAACAAAAAAAGGGACGAACAGCCAATAGCAAAAAATTACATAGACAACGGCTGGAAGGATCTATTACAGGAATCTACTGAAAACGCTAGTCAATTTGTGTGCAAATGGGTAATATTCCTCTGTTTTGTGTCTCCCTTCCATCTGGATCTTTTTGTTATTATTGATAGTTTCATCTTATTATACCAATTATTTCGCCATCTTCTTTAATAAAGTTTTTATTCATATTTTTTATTATCATATTTAATTGTATACGATTTATTACCAATCATCATCATCTATTATATCCATCGGTTTGATCCAATCATCCATCCAATCCATCATCATCCATCGTCAAGCATAAAATATCAGGCACTATTATCCAATCTAGATATTCATCAAAATGCAAAAATGATACAAAAAAAAAAAAAAAAAAAAAGGAAAAGAGACGAGTATATTGAAAACAAGCTTTATTCGAGTTAATATAAAATCATATTTGAATAAAATAAAATACACTGAAGCAAAAGATCCAAAAAAAAACAGAACAGTCAACATCTTACCATTTTATGTTAACATCCCTTTCATCCAATTGTTATTATTGGTTGGATCAATTTCTAAATTAGGGACTCGACCCTTTTTTTTCTTCCCTTTCCACTTCGTTGCTTACAAAGCAGAAACTATCCCATGATGATGATCGAATTTACTCACTTTTCCCCTTGTCAAATAGACAGCCTTTTTTTTCTTCTTTCAAATGTAAAATGATATATTAGCATTTTTTTTTTTATTTTTATTATTTTATACATTTTGATCTAGGTTGTCAAACATCATACATTGCGGCGTAAAAATAACAAAGAAATGAACAAAGCGCATTTGTTTTACTGTAATCCTATATACGCGTTTAACCGTAAGGCTTAGAGATGGATTCGTTCAAGAATGTTCAAGATTTCCATCAAACCAATCGCAACAACGGAACTAAAACAATTTTTCTTTTTTCTTTTTTTTCTCTGGAACCGGATTTCTCTTAATCAAGCTTTTTTTTTTTTTTTTGAAAGATCTGTGAAACAGGTATACCATGATCATCATTTTTAGTAATGGATGATGTTACCTCATCATCATCATCTAAATGCAGGATATCCCATGAAATCAAACCATTATCATAAACATACACGTAGATCGTTGAAAAAGGAAAACTTTTTTATAAGTATAAAGTGTAAATGACATTGATATATTTTATTGAAGATAAAAAAAATAATATGTATTATCATAGGGAATGTATAAAAGAAAGAAAAAAAAACGAATGTAATCGATGTGAAAGACTTTCTGCGATGTTGATTGCATCCAATAAGACATCGCCAGGGAATTTGCGTGTCATGCCCCAATCTTCGAGGTTACGTTTCCGGATTTTGTTGTAGAGCTTGTTACCAAAAAACGGTACCATGACTTGATGAAGTCGGTTGTTGTTTTGCAGTAGGAGAATGGAAGCTAATGACAGGATAAGATGAGTACCAGACTCCAAGGCTAAGTTATTGGTTTTCACGAAATCGCTTCCTATAAAAAAAAGATGAATAGTCAATCTATTATCCAGACAATATATATGTATATATATCGTACTTCTACAATCACAATAAGCTTGGTGACCAAATCTAGAGGAAGTCGAGCATTCATCATAGCAGTAATACCCATCATTTCTTGAATGTCCTCCGCAAATAAATCCAGATATTCTTCACCAAAAATATTGCCCATACCTTCAGGCATCCTTCCAGGTTTGATAAGCAAGATGGAGAATGCAGCCCTAAAAAAAAATATAAGAATAATAAAAACAATAAGGATACCATCTCTTTTTTTTTTTTTTGAAAAAAAAAAAAAAAAAAAAAAAAAAAAAAAAAAAAAAACTCAGTCATCGTCACTTACAAGATGTGATACAGCATAGGTGAGTTTCCATATGGAGTTTTTGTTGATGATTCGCAATAGAGAGCTGGAAATCATAAAAGGCTTGTGAAGCGTTGAAATCATCAATAGAGTATCAGTCATTGTTCTGTTGAGACTTTAAAATAATATTGATAAACCGCCTATAGACATGTTGTGGGTGTGGAAAGGACGGTTGTCGAATACAAATTTCCAATGATGATGCCAAATGTGTTGGATGATGACAGCGCATAAGGTAAACATCTTGGAAATAGGTGGAAGGCTCGGTACAGGTTGGAGATTCAAAAGAAAAACACTGATGTCTTGTTGATTGAAGAAGTAAACCGGAAGCTGTATAGATAGCAGATTCAAAAAAGAAAAAAAATAAGAAAAGAGGTTCAAAAAAAAAAAAAAAGAAAGTGCGGGAGATTGATAGTCAAAAGCCGTAATATCGTGGAACTCGTCGATATCACCACTAATTTCTTCCTGTTGCTGCTGTCTTTTCTTGGCAGGCCCTTCAGTTAGATCGCTGTAGAGAAAAAAAAATTAAAAAAATATATTGTCTTAGTTTCGTGATGGATAATATCATATTCAGTTTCATTCATTTACCTTTTGCGCTTCACTTTTGTTTTTTTGTCCTCTTGTTCTTGTTGTAGCTGTGGTTGTGAATAAGAAGAGCACTGAATAGCTCCAATGATATTATTGTTGCCGCCTATTGTGAGCAATGTACTTGTTGATAATAGTCGACTTGTCCGCTTTGTTAATGTCATCCAGCAGTGAAGTGACCTTCGATTTTGTCAAATTCTAAGGGAAGATAAGATAAAATCAAATTAGGTAAGATATGAGGTGATTGTTATTTTATTTTTCAATAAATTGACCTACCTTCATTATGTGCAAGGCGTTTTTTAATTCAGAAAGCTGTTGATCACTGGTGCCTTGCCTTCGTTTAGCCCCATCCAGGTCATTCTTGTAAAATTGTAGGTATTTCGCCACGTTGTCCTCAGAGATGCCTATTGACTTGATGTATAAAGAGAAGAAAGAAAGAAAATAAAATAAAATAAAAATATCTTTTAACAAAAAATAAAAAAATACGGACTTCGAAAATTATCATGCTGATGGTCCATAATCATGGTAAATCATTACACAAATGATGTTTCATCACTTTCCCTATATAGTCAATAAAAAACAACCATCATCATCCGATGACTGATAAAAAATATAATTCACATCCGTTTCTATTCTTAGCGTCCATGAAAAAGAGCCAATTTGTGCCATAGAAAAGGTAAGCTCCTTTTTTGCAATTTTTTTTTTTTTTTCGTTGTTTGTCGTCACTCTTTTCTATAATAAATAAAAAGCAATCATCATCCAATGATTGATAAAAAGGGTGCCTCCTTTTAAGTTTAGCATCCCTATGAAAAACTTACTGTAGAAAAAGTAAGCTCCTTTTTTTTCATTGTTTCTCTTTTTCTATCATCAATGGAAAACAATCATCATCATCATCATCCGATCACTGATCCAAAAGAAAAAAAAAGAAAAAAAAAAAGAAAAAAAAAAAAGAAAAAAAAAAAAAGAAAAAAAAAAAAAGAAAGAACTAATCACCCCTTTCTATTTTTTCATTTTCTATAAAATACTCTTCCATGATCTTTCTTTATTTTACTTTGCTTTTCTTTATCCTTTCCTTATTTGACATTCAAATACTGTCTTGATATATTATTTGATCATCCATTGTACAAATCATATGATGGTAAGTTCCTTTTTTTTTTTTTTTTTTTTTTATCTGGTCAATAGGAATTACACTAACTCCTTATATCTACGTTTATGTTAGTGATTCTATGATCCAAAATCATCTTTTTATTTTTCTTGCTTAAAAAAAAAAAAAAAAAAAAAAAAAACAAAACAAAAAGATGATTTTGGGTCATTAAAATAGTGGTCATCATGGAAACGGAAACCCGAATTAGTGTAGTTTAGTTTGCCTTGTCGTTTTACCTTTAGTTTACATGATTTGATTTGATTCTTTTTACTACTACTCCCAATAAACTTTTTTTTTATTGTATACTACTGTTTTTTTTTTTTTTTTTTTTTTTTTTTTTTTTTTTTTTTTAAAAAAAAAAAAACTAGCAACCGAAATCATCAGACATGTATACCCAATCTTGATGACACCAATTGCATCGTCAATATCACAGATACCATACCATGGTTTCCTATATATTTGATAAAGAGACTTCAAGCATCAACACAACTGTTTATTGCTATTCATGATAAAAAGAAAGAGAAATTATACTAACATGTATATATATGTACAATTAAAGAAGAAACAGAGAGGGGATCATTGATAGTAAGAATAAAGGTAAAAATAAATTGTACTAATTTATATATGCAGCTGAAGAAGGGGAGAGGGGATCATTTCAATGCATCTTGGACAGTCAGTCCTACATCGGCAATGCCCACACATTCTTGTTCCAGCAACGCAGTAACATTTTCCTGTTCCAGTAAGTCAGCCTATATATATATATATATATATATATAAAGGTTGATGAGTTGTTTATATGATTTGCATATATTTGATCTTTCTTTTTTCAATATCATCATAGCTTACCTTCAATTTCAGTAGTAACTCAAAAACCTTGACCCACTTCCAGCGATCCTTGTATGAGGTTGGGATCCTTGCACACCGGGTTTCAATAAATGCATATCGTTCTTTGTCAACGATGCGAGTAGTGGTGAGAGTCATTTTGTCGTGGATAAATTGCAGTCCAAAGACCTGACGGCGTCGGAATGTATTGAAGGAAGCAGTTTGGTAGTTCTTCATGTCCATCTTGAGGCAATTGCTAGTATTGCAGATTTGTTTGATTGTATCTTCTGCTGAATGTTCCACATCATCGCTATACATAATATAAAGAGGGGAGGAAAGATATCAGCTTATTATTTTTTTTTTCATATCTTTCTTACCCTGATGATTCTATTAACAGCCGCTCAACACTGTCTTTAATAGATATACCGATTCCATCCAGTAGGGACCGGAGCATAATCTTGTTCGGGAGACATAATGATAATAGGCGGTTGGATACCAGACCTTTTTCGCACCTACATGGGGAATTTAAATAAAATGAGCTTTTAGATGATAACGTTGTTACTGGTTTTTTGACTTCTTACCAGGTAAATTTCATGAGATGGGTGATGCCTGCAAAAACCTTGAAGATTGGTATGAGATGTTCGGAGAATGGGGTCCTTTCATTCGCTGCTGTTGCTGTTGAATTGTTATCAATGGTGATATTACAATTGATATAGAAATCAGTGAGAATGTGTCTAATCATTTCATTGTTCATAGATTCTTCCTTGTTTTCATTATATCCGTTTGACCAAACGTATTGGCGGATATTGTCTAGTGGCTGTTTCAACGCTGCAACCAAAAATTCCATTGTTCCGGGGGCGTCATTCAAACTTTGGTTTCGAGCTTGCTGTTCCCTGTTTATCTTATAGAGTTGTTGACTGTATGGCGTTGCTGATGATGATGATGATGATGATTGATCTTCCGAAAGAAGGATATCGAAGTTTGATTTCAGCTTGCAGAAGTCGTCGTTTTGTAGGTGAGGTTTGTGCGGTGAGATGAGATGGATTTGAGGAATGATTGCATTGTATGTTTTATTCTTTTTCTGTAGTCGAAGAATGTTCTATAATAATAAAAAAAAAAAAGAGTCAATTCGAACCTCAAATTTTCATCCAATTAAACTTACGTTTTCGTTCAGGAAAATATCATAACCATCATCGTCATTGGTATCATTGTTATTATTGTTGTTATCCGAGTCGTCCTTGCCATCGTTGATATCATCTTGCCGCCTTTTTCCATTTCTTTTCTACAAAAAAAAAAAAAAAAAAAAGAGGTATGAGCCTTGTAGTCATCCTTGCTATTGTAAAGATAACGCGACTTCATTTTTTTCTAACTTACCGCCGTTTCAGGCCCAGAGATATCCTTGCTAATATCTTGTTGTTTTTGTTGTTTTTGTTGTTTTTGTTGTTGTTGTTGTTGTTCGTGTTGTTGTTGTTGTTGTTGTTGTTGTTGTTGTTGTTGTTGTTGTTGTTGTTGTTGTTGTTGTTGTTGTTGTTGTTGTTGTTGTTGTTGTTGTTGTTGTTGTTCTCCTTCTTCTTCTTCAACTTGTTGTTGTGGTTGCTGTGAGAAAGAAGCATATTTCACACTGCCGGCTATACCGTTGTTTGATTTTATGATATATTTATTTATTGTCGTCGATCTTTCTGCCTGATTGATTTCTGCTAAGATTGATCGAGCTTCCCCTGGTGTCAGTTTCTGTCGTGACGAAGAGGAGAAAAGAAAACAAGTTAGTACCAAAATGTAGCCATAGATATTCCTCTTCTGTTTTAATAACTGCGACCTACCTTCGCTGAAGCCAGTGCATTATGAACAGTATTCCGATGTCGTCGACCAATGATTTTTTCTGTCATAATCGATAAATCCGTTTTATACCATTGCAGATATAAATCTAACATGTCTTCGCTGAGAATATGTTGTTTTGCTTTGATATGTGACAAATAACTTTTAAATGAGTAAGTAGGAGATGCAGAAGGCACAGTGTCAAAGTAGTCCGCAAAGTGCGACATAGCAGGAAGATATACAAAAGAAAAGGAGGTACTAAAAAAAGGAAAAAAAAAAAAAAAAAAAAAAAAAAAGAAGAAAGGGACAGGTTCTCCTGACGCGACGGAATAATTAGAGCCACACAAATGCCGCTCATGGCTTCTTGTGGGGAGATCACTCGATCACAAAAAAAAAAATTGAAGTCACACTCACGTCAAAGAAATTTTATCCGGAGAAAAAAGAAACCGCCCCAAATTTCTCTCTTCCTCTCTTTGGACACATCTTTTGGGAAGTCAGAACTAGGGCGAAAGTCGACAAATGTTCACTCATACCGTCGGATCATTAGTAAAGGTATGACTTGGACTGTTCTGCTCAGTTGTCTTGTACTAGGGTGCCTATCCTGGGGTCGACAAATTCCACAGCTTGTGTGGTGGCAAGATTTCAACAGCTTGTCGTTGCCTTGTCTCTTGGTAGTCAAGTGACTGATATTGCTTTCCATGGTACAACGAAGATGTGAAGGGATGGCCAGAACTTGGGCGAAGGTCGACAAATGTTCACTCATACCGTCGGATCATTAGTGAAGGTATGACTTGGACTGTTCTGCTCAGTTGTCTTGTACTAGGGTGCCTATCCTGGGGTCGACAAATTCCACAGCTTGTGCGGTGACAAGATTTCAACAGCTTGTCGTTGCCTTGTCTCTTGGTAGTCAAGTGACTGATACTGCCATCTCGTCCTGTATGATGAACTGATTAACAGCAATATGAAGCAAGTAGAATGGTAATGAAAAATATAAATTCTGTTTGTGTCATGATGATAATACACTTTTTTTTTCCTTGATAGTCAAAGAACAAAGTACTACGGTTGCAAGGTCATGTATCTTATACTTTACTCTATCTGAACTGGATCTTATCAAGTCTTCCAAAGGAAAAGTACATTCCGAAAACGAAAAGGTGGAAGGATAATGGATACTTGGTTCAATAACACTGATGATTCACAGATATCCTTACAGTGATCGGTCTCTCTTGGCTGATTATGATTATATGTAAACATATAGATTCCTCTTTTTATCTGTTTGTTATCCGATATCTCTCTTTTTTTTTTTTTTTTTTTCTTTTTTTTTTTAATCTGTTTATTGTATATTATCATCTTCAAATAAAATAGTCTTCTTTATAAAGCCATTGTCTTTATTCTCGTGATTGTCTCCGTTAATCCCCAATCACCATCAACAGCCATCATAATAGGGATACAGTAACATGAATCATCATTTTATCCATCTTTATAAGGCCCAATGGTAAATCATTCATCATCAACGTCAATCTCATTAAAAATCATCACACATACATCTTAAAGTCGATCATCGAGTATATTGAAAAGAGTATTTTATTTGGATATCCTTTTTTTTATATAAAATCAATTGAATAAGATAAAAGATGAATACTACATTATTTTTTCTATTATTCTCTATACTAAAGGGAGAAGGATGAAGGACGGTGATAGTTCTTTTGTCATGAAAAAAAAAAAAAATATAGAGAGAGAGAGACAGAAGAAGATCATCAAAAAAGATACGTGTACACAACATCTAATTGCTTTTTTCTTGTGCTGTCCATCCAATTGATCCAGTATTGCATCCATTCATATATAAGCAAGGAAAGCGTGATGACAAAAGATGAAGAAGAAAGCGTAGTAGGTTATCAAGATATGAATAAAAAAGGATTGAGACCAAATATCAAACTATATAAAGAGAAAGAGAAAAGACAATAATAAAGTATTAATAAAAAAATTAGATTAATATCATCACTCAATTCATTATCACTTTCTCTTATTGATAGTACCTTTTTCCTTCCCTTCTCGAATGTACATCGATATATATGTATTTCTATTGATTTTCATCCAGAATTTTAATGAGTATCTATTTAGTTAAACAGTAAAAAAGGATTTGAATAAGTAAATAACATGAGACTGTAGTTTTCATTGTTATTACCTTTTAGATAATAATAAAATTGCTTTGTTATTTTCTATAGAGTAACGTTTTTTTCCAGGAATAGTATAATGGATTAAATCACCACGTCTTCAAAAAATCAAGTATATAAAATATTGAAAAAAGAAGATAGTAAGTATTAAATAAAGTTATTGAATCATAATTAACGTTTATTGTACCTTCAATTATATATCCACCTGGTTCATCCATTTAGATCCATCCTGTTGATCCAATCTTGTCTCCATTCATATACAAGCAAACAAAGTGTGACAAGAACGACGAAGAAAGAAGAATAGAATACACAGTCTAGATTCGAGTAAAAAAGGATTAAAAAAAAAAAAAAGAAATAGGTCGAACATCAAACTGTGTGCAAGCGAAGAGTAAAATGGTAAGTTATTAATAAAAAGTAGATTCGTAACGTAGATTAGTAGCATTGTAACTTACATGTTCAAAAGTGATTGATCTAAAGACAAAACGAGAAAAGGGAAAAAAAGTACAAAAAGAAAAAAAAAAGAAAAAAGGAAAAGAGAAAAGAAAAAGGTCAGCACTTTATTTATTTATTTTTTTTTTTTGTCAGAGATCATCCTTTAATTTAAATTTTATTTATAGACTTTTGCATAATTGTTGAGAATATTTTTGAATTAAACTTCTTATATTGATTGGTGGTCCTCTAGATATTCCTTTTGGTATATCATTCATTATCAATTTTGGAATACCTACAAGTTTTTTACATTCACCAGCCATAGGTAGTAACCCCATTGCTTTAGGCATTGCTTTGTTAATAGCTATTTGCTTAGCTTTTTCTATCTCTTTTTTATGTTGTGGATTATTCATATCAAATTTACACATGTCTTTGTGATGGGAAAACGCATCTCCAATAGCTGATGAAACATGTACTACCCATTGGGGTGTTATATCTTTTGGTAATTTGGGAGCTCTACTTCTAACATACGGAATAATCGTTCCGGCAAGTTCATTTGTAGCACTTTCTATGAACGGTTTTGCTTTGGAATAAGGAATAGGTTTTCCACATTGAGTACAAAAATCTTGGATCATCCAACTTTTTACTTGAGGAGCATATTTTTTTACTTCATTGACAATTTCCATACATTGTTTAGGAATGATAGCATAGCTACTAAAGAAAAATAAAGTAAAGATGTAAATAAAGGTAATCGTCTTCATGATCATATTGAATACTTTTACTGTTATTATTTTTATGAGTATTTATAGGTAAAAATATACGCCACACGCCCTTAACCCTTATAATCTCTTCCAGAAATCGAAATTCGAATTGATGATCGGCATATTGCATCCTATTGATAAAGAATCAAGGGTTGATCATACTTCTATACTATTAGAGAGAAGTGGAAATTGCATCAAAAGAAAAAAAAGAGAATAAGGTCCCTCCTCTTTCTTTACGAGCTTATTATTATTAATTCCCATTTACAACAAATACCCGATTTTGAGAAGGATATAATGCAGAGAAACTCCTGCAGTAGATGACAGGAAGATAAGTCCCTTTCAAATCATATACTCCTCGTACCGACATCGCCATTCTGAGCCTAGAATTTCCTCCTACTTCCTTGATGATCCTATCTAAGTTAGATCATAATGATGATGGTGTCGTTCGTCTTGTCCCTGATATTCGATTGAATCGAGGTGTGGAATTGGTGTAGAAGTGGTTAAAAAAAAAATAAAAAAGAGACGAGAACAAGTCTGTGAGATTTATTTTTATTGAAAAAAAAAAAAAAGATCGGGTTGCGACTTATAAGCATTTTGCATCCTACTATGGGTATAGATAGATATTTAAAATAAGATAGACAGTGAGATTTCTTTTATAGTCCTATTTGGGAATAAAAATTAAAAATAAAAAAGCAAAAAATCAATGTCAAATTGCTATCAGTGGACGGGCTTCAAAAATTAATCACGCCCTTTGCTTTTTTTCATTTTTTTTCTTTCTTTTTCTTTTCTCCATCCAATTTTTTTTTCCACATTAGGTGTCCTCTTTGTCTGTGCGATCTTGTCAAGGTAAATTTTATTGGATTTGGAGCGTTTTGAAAAAGGGATTTACAAAATACATGGGGAAACCGTTTCATTTTGGATGTAGGATTTAGTACAGGTAATGAAGAAAAATATTTGATATCTTTTTTTATATGAATTGCTTGACCTAGATTTATTTCATTGGTAATGTGAACTGACTGGATAGGAAACTTTGTCTGGTTAGGATCTCTTGGTGGTGGACGAATGCTTCTGGTGTAATATGTAGAGTAGAGTGGATAGTAGTGATAGTTTTACTAGTTAGTATATGGATTACTTTTTGTTTGAAATAAAAATTATATTGCATTTTATGATACATAGTTTCCTTTTTTTTTTTTTTTTTTTTTTTTTTTGAGCAAGAGTAACAGTGAGGTGACAGAGAAATCGTTTTCCTCAACTCCATCTGATGAAAAAGATTACTATGACGTCTAGGCTACTCCTAGGCAATTTCTAGGCTATTTTCAACTATGGACAATTATTCATAGTAAGATACAAAAAAATGAAAAAGAATATTTTACAATATGATTCTCATTCTCTTTTTCTTATTATTTTGGGGTGTATCGGTCACTATCATCGTCAAACAACAGCATTATCATCCTGGACATATATGGATCACAACATCAAACGAAAATGGATAAAACAGAAAAAAGGGATGAACAGCCAATAGCAAACAACTATATTAACTACTGTATTTTATTATACTTTCAATAAAATCATCTTTATTTTATATCATTCCATCTCATCTGATTCTACTCTAGCTGTTTGCTAGTCTTAGTAGTTACGTACATACGAGTTAATTTATATTTTCCTTCTTTTAACAAAATAAATCATTATTGTCATTATTGTTTTATCATCATACCACTCATTCGTTCATATCATCATATTATATGAATATGATAAAAAGGGAGAGATGTACTTGTCATTAAAGTAGAGTATCATAGAAGAAATGATGCTGTAGTTAATAATCATCTTATTACTGTAGTTATATTGAAAAACAATCATTTCTTTACATTCATATTTATTATTGTTTTCTAATAATTCAATCCAAAACATCACCTTATTGTTATTATTATTATTTATTCATCATTCTAATTACTTTTGTGCAAACATAAGCTTCTTCCATAGACAGTATACATGCAAAAGTTGGGCTCAATATGAGGCGTTGGAAACAAGTATCAATCAAGGTGGAAGAGAATAGGCATTAATTAAGCAGATGGATCAATTCATCTGCGTCTTTATATTTGAGTAAAAAAAAAAAAATCTTTATTTTTGTCTATATGATGAGATATATATATGCAGTAAGATGTCTAAAACTATGTACAATTATATAAAACAGAGGTATGATAATAATAAAAAGAATAAAAAGATACTATAAAATATAAAAGATGTTGGAAGAGTAATCTATGAATATATAAATATGTGAAGAGTAGAATTGATTATTATCCATCAGTTTGATGTATCTTGATCCCGATGAGCAAAAAAGTGTTTTCCAACTTCATAACTAGAGATCATGATACCACTGGCTATCGAGACTTTCATCACTCTAGGAATAACCCCTATTAATAAAATACGAATTAGTATATACAACACGGTAATGTCCTCTTCCTTTTTTTATTTCTCTTTGCTTACCTCTAAAGAATCCAGGAATACCTTCAGTGACAGCTAGGTTTTGAATTAATCGTAAAAGATGTCGTTCTTTATTGGAGCTGACTTGCCGTCTTGTCTTGACTACATCAAAGGGTGTCGTCACTACTGCTGCCACCTTTCAAAAAAGAAAAAGTATATTAGTAATTCATCCTCCCTAGATCCTTTATCTTATAATCCTAAATTCCCACTTACTGTTCCAGAAGTAGCGCCAGCCAAAAACGAGAATTGGAATTGTTGCAGATGTGTTTTTTGATGATCAGCGTGTAGATCGCGTTTAAGTTCTTCATACATCATCCAATAAATAGCCGAGAAAGGAACATCTCTTAACATGGTTGGGACCAAACCTCGCCACAATGATAGAATACCTTCATTTTGAACCATTAGTCGTACACCTGTCAAAGCATCTATCAATTATTATTATTAATAATAATATTATAATTTTAAGAAAGGGTAATGAATGACATGTCAAATAAATCCTACTTTTTTCTTTTTCTTTTTCTTTATGTTTACCTTTAAATCCACCAGCACCTTCAGCTGATTGAAGTCGAGTACGAAATAATTCCATAGGAGAGATTACAGCGGCAGTTACTGTTCTTGCCAATCCACCAATCCATAAAGGAGCATAAGTATCCATGGCAGTCCCTTGAAACCTAGATCTAGTATGATCCCGAATATAATCGTATCCAACATAATATATTGAAGTGGATGGAATAGCCATTAATAATCCCGGTGATAATCCTTTCCATAAAGCAAACGTTCCTTCGTTTCGTACAATTTTAGTCAGTCCATCCTAGAAAAAAAGAATACATCAATACCAACCTATTTATTTGAATTTAGTTTAGTTACCATTGTTCCCAAATATTGTCCTTCCAAGTTGGGCATTTTGGCCACTTCTTGAAGTCTTGTTTTGACAAGATCAAATGGATTCACTAATGTTAAAAAAAAAAAAAAAAAGAGAGAAAGAGATGGAGGGAGATTCTTGGTAAGACTTATCATTCAACATTGATGACAATGATATTTTTCTATAATGATATTGTACGAGAACTTACCGAAAAGCATAGTAGCTACAGCCCCTGCACAAGCAGAAATCACTCTTTCAGTAGACGAAGTTGTTTTCTGTTGTTGTTGTTGTTGTTTTGTTGGGTAGACATTGAACAACGATTGTTGTTGATCTGAATCTTGAATGGTTGCAGCTGTATTCATTGAAGAAAACCCTTCCAACGGAAATAGACAGAGATAAAGAAAAAAAAAAAAAAAAGGAATGGAAGAAGAAGGACAAAGAAAAAAAAAAGTTAAGAAATTTTTGTTGTAGAATCCCTTTCTCCAATTTCAGTCGCCGCACTGGACTAACGACACAAACGATAAAAAAAGCGATGGATAAGGAACGAAACATAAACAATGAGATTGATCGATGTTTCATTTCAGTCGATACAATCTGATAAGCTCATTTTACTACAAATGTTCCTAATATGATTAAAGTAAAAAAGATGTCAATATATTCAATAGTTTCGTTTGTATGAGTCAGCATACCTATAACAAGAACAATGGCGTTTCCTTGTAAATCTTATCGTTGATTGGCTAGATTACATAATGCGGAATATACCGACATCTTTTGAGTCAAAAAAAAAAAAATAGATTAAATGAATCAGAACTCCAAATTTGGGTGTAATGCATATGAAGGCTATATTGTTAAAAAGAAAAGACAGGTTTTATTTCAAAAGGGGTAATATCAAGTAGAATAAAATAGATACATATGATGGATGATAACATACTTATTAAAGATAAAAAAAAAAAAGGAAACAAAAGGAAGTGATTGTGTATATATAACAAGAAGGTAAGATCAATAAACAATAAGGGAGAAAAAGGTTAGAAGACAGTGAGAAGGTAAAATAACATAAAAAGACTACTAGTACAAAGATAAAGCATAAAAATACACAAAGATGAAGGAAAGAAAGGTAGGAGAAGAAAAAAAAACAAAAAGAAGGGATCATTAGAGTTCCATATCGGCTACAGTCAAGGTTTGGTCAATTTCTATTGGATCGACACGATTTGGTTCCATCTTGGATCGAAAAGAGGAGAGACCATATCCAACCATAGTGAGTCCCATACCAGTAATGACAATGCTTACTATAATTAATACACAAAAAAAAAAAAAAAAATGAACAAAAAAGAAAAAAAAAAGAAAAGAAAAGAAAAGAGAAAAAAAAAGTTAACTTACATAAACTTTGCCAGATTGTTTCCCATTTCATTCGTTCCAAAGCCATATTTGCATCTGCTTGCATTACTGTCAACCGATGATTGACTTGTTGTGTTTCAATCATGATCACCTTTTGTTCTTGTCGTATATCAGCTCGAAAATCATTCAATGTGAGATCAATCGAATTTTGTAAATAGTTAACATCTTCGTTCAAATGCTGTTCCAAATTTTCAATATCCCTGGCAATCGTGTTCAAATTCGATTTCAATAATGCTGCATCGTTTTTCCGAGTCAATGTCACTGCGTTTCGAAGATCTTCAATACTGGCATTAAGTATATGTGTATCCTAATATTGAAAGAATACGTTAGTAAATACAATTTTTTTTTTGTTCATATGTTTAATAATTACGTTTTCCAATTGAGCCGAGCTGAGTAAATCAGCTTTTGTCGTCGTGACCCTATCATCAATTGTCATTTTTAGCATGTGATCATTTCAAATAATAACAATAAAAATAATAATAATAAAAAAAAAAGAAACTGTCATACTTGGATCGGATCTGTTCTTGCATAATTTCCATAAGAAAGCGAGCTTGGATGCGAGTAAAACCACCTTCTGATTGTAATCTTTCCACTAGAGCAAAAGTATCAAAATGATGTGATAATGGTGAAGATGATGAGGGAAAATCATATACAGAAGGTTTTCTTTCTTGTAACCATTGTGAGGATCGTAGAGAAGGAGTATATTGATCCATTACAGCCGGGGACGAGAATGAAATATCTTCATCAAGTAAGACAAAGTCTGATGATGATGTTGAGGAAGGAACTTGGGATGTAGTCACCACTTCAGAAGATGACTGTCTATTGGATGATAATGATGGTGGTGGTGGTGGTGTGTTGGTTGATGATGTATTTGTAGTAAGATCTTGGGCTGGTTTGCGTTGTGGTGCTGCAGATGATATATAGTTTCGAGATGGTTGTTTATGTACAACAGAAGTGGCAGATCGTGTCAAAACGAAAAAATGGGAAGCTATAGATGAATAAAATGACAGTAAATAATCAATATGACTCCTTGGTGAATTTCAGTTCCTTTTTCTTTTTTTTTTTTTTGTCTGTCTAGGTCTTGCTCCTCACAAACTCTTCTACTTTTTTTTTTCTTTACCTTGTGCGCGGTTAAACATTATTGGGTAAATCAACAGTACGTAAAATAATGATAAGGAAGGTATTTTTTTTCTTTCTATTGTAACAAGTGAGTGAAAAGGGAAAGTTGGAAAAAGGAGAGCAAACAGAAAAAAAAAAGCTATAAATATCACCCAGCCAATCAAATTGTTCGGGTGACAAATAAAAGGTGCAGAAATCAAAGTGCGTGAGTTCCTTTTTTCGGGGTACAGTGTTTTCAAAAGTTTTTTGTCGGGTCACAAGAAAATAGTTTTCGTGATTTTATTAAACAAAATATCGGATTTTCCCAAAATGAATAGCGCATTTCCACTATTATAGATATCGCTTCAGAGATGTCGATTAGAGTATATTGATGGATGGGTGATGGATCCTTTTTTTTTTTTTTTTTTTTTTTTTTCTTTTTTACATCGTCATTACATACTCACATTTATGAATATATGGTATAGGCAACTCCAGTAGCAAATTGACCTCATAGTTGACAAATGTAATAAAACTGCATAATGTTACTTCTTTTTTTCTTCACATACAAAATAAATTTCTTTTCACATGTGAAACCTATTTAAAAGTGCCATTTTTCTGTTTTTTTTTTTCTTGTTCTTTCTTTTTTTTCCTTTTCTTTTTTTTGTCTTTTCCTTTCTTTATGTTTTTTTTATATCAACTTCTAAACCTCTCTACAAGCTACAAGTCTCTTTATCTTTCTATCCATATCAAATACAAGTCTTATCTGAAGTACAAGTATAACGACATCAAGACGGGCTAAGGCCTATTTGCTTCTTTTTTCTTGTTGCTCTGTTGTTTTGATCCACTGTTTCCGCTCCTCATCCTTTTCTTCTTCTTGGTTGGCTGTATCTTTGTCGTAGGATCAAGATCTCAAAAATCATTACCTTACATGTGCAGATCAGTCAACCCTCGCCTTCCTCTATTTCCACCAGTGGTATCAACAACAACATCAATAATATCTTTTTGCGTGTCTCTCTCTCTCTTCTCTGTGGCTCTTACAATTTTTCCGTGTACTGAAAACACGTAGATGTTTACAGTTTTGTAAGTTTTTTTTTTTTTTTTTTTTTTTTTTTTTTTTTTTTTTTAATTGATGAATATGATGATGGATGATATACTAACGAATTTTTTTTTTTATTTTTCCAATATGATCTCTCTTTGTATTTCCTATTTGATTTGTCCTTCTATCTCAATTTTTTTTTTTATGCGTCATCCATTATCTGTTTTGTCCGTCATTCATTCTCTATCCTTACGATATCTTATTTCCTATTTTGGCGACATCTTATTTTTGAAACTGCGTCATGTATTAGTGGACAAACTGTATAACTTTTTTACGCAAAAAAAGAAATAAAATAGTAAGAAAAAAAAAAGGTATGAGAAGATTTATTCAATAAAATAGACAATAATAAACTAAACATATATATATATATTTATAAACGTAGGTATGACTACATCATCCAAAAATAAAACTAAAGACACGTCTGAAGAGACCCATAGGTTGAGCATTATCTTGTTGTAGTTCGGTATCCTTATTGTCATCTACATGTTTGTCTCCATTGATCATATCAGAGCATTCTTTCTTAGTTAAATCTTGATGTTCCTTATCCAATAGAGATTTCGTTGATGTATCATCGAGCTTGTCATAACTATATATATATATGTAAAATATAAAACAATGAGATATAAATCAATCGATCACTACCTTTAACTATATTTTTTTCTCTCTTTTTTTTTTTTTTTCTATTACCTGTTAGATATCATTGAGGTTGTAGTATCATTTGTGCTTGTTATATTTGTTTCACTGATAGAACCAAAGTCATAACCATAATCCATATCATTGATTGAAGTCGAATCATCCATATCATCTTCTTTCTTGATTGTGGCCATAGTTGGGTATGATTGTTCAAAAGTTTTTGAGGTATTGTTGAATGAGGCAGGAATAAATGAATGTTGACTAAGATCCAATTCATGATCATCGATCTGTTGGCGTAACTTTTCCAAAACATTGGTCACATTTCGTTTTCTTTTACTGTTTTCTGGCGGAGAAGTGGGAGTGGGCGACATAGGATGGCTCTGATCAGATTGATCCAAGATTGTCATTTTGGTTGAGAGATGATTGGTACTTTCGGTAAAGGGATTGATACCAGGAACAGGAGATTCTGGAGAAAATGGCCGCCTTGATTGATCTGAGCACGTTGTTTTCAGTTTGGAAGGCGATCCAAGCACGACAGTTGATTGGTATGGTGAATTTCTCAAAGTATTGTTGTTGCTGGTATATTCCATATCTAAATCTTCATCGATATCATCCATGGTATTGCTTGTAAAGTCCACAAAATTACTTTTGATTGATCGTAGTTTCCGTTTCTTATGTTGATGCTGAACAGGGGAATTATCGTTACTGTTGATTGTGTCGACTTGGTCTTCTATAGTTGCATCTTCATGAGTACCACCTCCTCTTTTTCGCGCACTTTGTCTATCTACGTCAAATAATGCTAATTGTTGTTCCAAAGAAAGAGTAGGTGTTTTATTTTGTTGTCGTAATCGTCTTGTCGTCCTTTTGGTTGTTTTTATGTACATTTCGTCCATGTCATCCATATCACTATCGCTGTATTCAAAACTACTTCCCTCATCGTCATCATCGTCAATGTCGTTGTCACTATCATTTTCAACATTGGTACCTTTTTCAAATGCTTCGTCTATCATATTGGTTTGTTCTGTAGTGTTCATCGAAGGAGCTGATTTGTCTCTGAGAGCTTTAATGGAAGATGTATCAAGAGTGTCGTGTACTAAAAGATATAAATGAGTGAAACAGGAAAATGACATAAAAATAAGTTTTATCTTACATTGATAGACATTTTTCTTTTTGTTGGATAGAATAGATCGAGTCTTAGTTGGTGTGGTATGAGATGACATGGTATTAAAACAAGTAGATGAAAAAAAAAAAAAAAAAAAAAAAAAAAAAGAGAGAAAGGCAAATCAGTGAAAAAAAAAATATAATATACAAAAGATAAACTTAATTTATACCCCGCATATATGAATGTTCTCCCTCTCGTTCTCATTTTGTTTCCCTCTCCTTAATACATATCTATATAATAAACAAGCAAGTAAAGAAACTACATGAACAAAAACTGATTTCACAGAAAAAAAAAAAAAAAAGATAGTAACCCCCTTGTACCGGGTATGATTCTTCGACTTTTGCGGAACTTCGACGCCTTAAACATAGATCACTTAGTAATAAATCCGAATTACCCAATTGGCTAAGACATTCCGAACCCTTTTTGCCACGTGGAATTCTTTTTTCTTCTTCTTTTATAAATAATGTCAGGGTTTTCACTTTTTGATAAATCATTTTATTACTGATGATGATAATGTTCAATGATATAGTTACACTGATGATCATTTTTATCCAAACAAGAAAGAAGAGATCATCATGTTCCTGAAGAAAAAAAAGAGTGAATTATAGGAGATTAAAATCCGGAAAAAGGTTGTACAAATATCACCCGGTAGACAACGGGAAATACAAAATGAAATCAAAAGTGAGTCAAAAATAATGGAAGTCATTCCGATAAAAAAAGAAAAAAGTTTGAAATAGATTTTTTATGTTTAACAAGTCATGATTTATAGCAAATGATCCATTTGGCTCAGCAAAATAGTAATAATGTATCCCGATCGGCTTTGTCATTTCTAAAATTCTTTGTGTTAAGAAATAGAATGAAAGAAATCAAAGAAGTAAAAAAAAAAAGGGGGGCATGAAAAGGATCCCATCCGATACAAACCCCGATTTTTTGATTTTTTCAATATATCTATCCAATCTGCTTCTGCTTTTTTTCTTTTGTTTTCTTCTTTTTTTTTTATTATCAATTTATGTAAATTACCTAAATTTTTTTTTTGTGTACTTTCTATAAATTACCCCTACTTCTTTTATTTCATTTATTACTTGTATATTATGGATTTACTTTCTTCACCATTCACTTCATTACCTTCCGTTTTTACTATGCCCACTTCTTCTTGTTACTTTGAAACGTTACACAAGTCAACTGAATCTGTGGTCTCTATTCAAGACTTGATCAATGCACCTTCAAAAATAGAACCTGTCTTGGACCAATTAACCATGGAACAAATAACCACTATTGAGCAAAGTATACGAAAAATCAAGAAAAGAAAGGCACGTGAAGCAAATGAAATGACTACAAACAAAAAGAAGAAAATCTCTGAAAAGAGTAAAAATGATCAACAACCTGTCAATCCTAATCATAGAACTGTTCTTGGTCCTCCTGCTATTGAAATACGTGATGGTATTGAATGGGTCTCTTTTGTTTATTCTCATAATAGAGTATTGAAACGATATTCTATTCGTACAGATATTGATGATATTTGTTTAGATGATCTTGATGAAAAGTTTCAACTTGATAATTGTGTAAGTAAATATATATATAGAAGTATGATTCATACTGATCATTCCTATTTATTATTATTATTATTATTTTCTTCTAGGTATATCCTCGTGCGAATGTACCCAAAGAAACATATCAAGGCAATCGATGGAATTATGAAACTCAATGCAATGTTTTGGGATGGAAATTAGCCTCTATTAATGACTGTATAGCTGGTAAACGTGGTCTTATCCAACGAGCGGTGGATTCTTATCGAAATCGAAATCCAAACATGCGATCAAGACGGGTGACTCGACAAACTAAACTTCTCAATGGCACTCTACGAAGAAGAAAGACTATCAATACTCCAAATGATGAATCAGCATCTCATATCAATATTCCAAAAACAATGACAATGGAAGATGAACATCAAGAACGATTCCGTGTCAAGATTACTTTAGATCAAGTGGATTTAAATGACATTGATCCTCTCTTCCGTGCTGCCAACTGTGTTTACCCGCGATCAATGAGAATGGACTCGACAAGCTTGCCTGATCAACAACAACAAAGACGTTTGGAAGAAAATATGTTGAACGAGCTAGGTTGGAAGTTGGTATGTAAATTCATCTAAAACAAAAAAAGAAAAAAAAGGATTGGTATTCTCATCATTTATCATTTACTAGGCTTGGTTGAATCCTCGACTTGTCAACAAACGAAATCTTTTACAACGAGCTTTGGACCTATATCGACTCAAGTTCTTACCCATAATGGCGCCTAGGAAAAATTCGGCTCGTACAGCACCAACGACGACTGCTACTCAATTGACATCATGGTTATTATCAACTTTGGACCAACCATCAAATGAAGAAGAATGTAATGACAACAACGATGATATCATTATACCAGTCTCACCAAGTACATCCTGTACGACAGAATCGACAGAATCACTTGATTTTAGTGAATGTTTTTCATTGGAGGAAGATGACATGATGATGGATGGATGCGACATGGCTAGTATTAACACATCTCTCACCACTACATCGACAACCTTATCGTATGGAAGTATATTGAATACACCCACTTCTTCGCCTGTGGATTTATTGGAAAAACAACTTTTAGAATGTGATCCTTCTACTTGCTCAACTTTATGTGGTAATATTTGTCTCTTTGAAAAAGATATGCCTCTTCTTTCATCTACTGACAATGACAACAACAACAACAACAACAATAATGGTGATTTGATGATGGCGGATTTACCTTCAAATACGATGATGGATTTTACTCAAACATATGATAATAGTGCCTTTGATCATGATCTTTTGATCAAAATGGAACAAACTGCTGATGATCTCTTCAATTTTTTATGATTTTACACATTTCTTTTTGAATAATATGATTTTTATCCATGTATATTTATTTTATTTTATTTTATATATTCCTTCCCCTCTCCTTTCTTGTAAATAATCTTTAGTATAGTATGATATGCCTTATGCCTTTTGTTTTATAGACTTTGTTTTGTTGTTTTGTTTTATACTTTATGCATAATAAAATCCTCAAGTCCTTGGCTGGATATTTTATTTATATAGAAATTAATTTAAAAAATGAATCTTTTTTTTTAATAATCGATGTCTTATGTTGGTTATAGATGATCGATAAATTGTATATTTGTTTTATATGCAGAACCTGAGTTCCAAGTTGATGTCCTAATTATCTAGAATGCCAGTCATCGGATAAGACAAGAAAGGAATGATGACTTTATTTATATGTTTACAATTATCCATAAAGAACTTAAACTTATTTGAAGATATGTGAAAAGAGAAAATAGACATGACTTTAACATAAAAAAAGGAAGATGACATATCAATGAATGATTGATGATTAGATCCTATAAATATATATATATATATACATTGGTTGCTAGGAAATAAGTGGAAACACTAAGATAATGATGATATGTATTAAAATACAAGAGGATGATGTAAAATTATATGAATAATGAGAAAGTATGAGGATGATGGTTCAAAGAATCATTTTTTTGATCTTTAAACGGTAGTTGGTCACTGAGTTTGAATCATGACGGTGTATATTATATATATATATGTGTGTGTGGGGGCAACAAATGATTCACTCGTTTTTTTTTTTTCTATTTTTCTCTTCTTTTTGACTTTGTTCACCTGAATTGATATATATTTTCTACATTCTTCTTCATTGATTATCCTTTTTTTTTTTTTTTTGTTTTTATACATCTTCTTTTTATACATATATTCTTTTTATATATACATATTGCGACTGTTCGTTTTTTTTACATTTTATCTACTACTTTGAAAATATATATCCTTCACTTTTGAATCAACGATTATTTTACTTTTTATTTTCTTTTTACCATACACCGATATATACTTCCATCTACTTATGACCATCACTCATCGACCAAAATCAAGTGGTAGTGCCTTGAGTGCAAATGTTGACGAAAGTACTTCTCAAATTGATGATAAAGAACCTCCCAAATATCATTGTGATGCCTGTAGCAACGATGTCACCAACACAGTGCGTATCCGATGTGCTGACAAGAATTGTCCCGACTTTGACTTGTGTGTTACTTGTTTCTGTAGTGGTAGCGAACCAGTCAAACACAAGACATGGCATGAATACAGGGTGGTGAAACCTCATACTTTTCCTATCTTTAGTGAAGATTGGGATGCGGACGAAGAACTTTTATTGATCCAAGCAGCAGAAAAGAATGGGATTGGTAACTGGCAAGCTATAGCAGAGTATGTGGGCACGCGAAACAAAACAGAATGCGAACAACATTACTTGGATGTGTATGTGGCTAGTCCGAAATGGCCAATGCCTCCTATGGATAAGGTGTTTGATGTATTAACGGAACACGACTATCGGGAACGAAAACGACAACGATTACAACTTTCAAGATCACCAAGGAAACCACCTCCACCAGTGACAACAGGCAAACCAGTGAGCAGTCAACCAGCCTTTCACGAATTACAAGGATATATGCCTCGACGATATGACTTTGAAATCGAACACGAAAATGAAGCAGAACAACATGTGAAGGATATGGTGTTTAATGATGATGATACCCAAGAAGAAATCGATCTCAAGATAATGGTATTGGACATTTATAATTCAAGGTTGGATAAACGACAGGAAAGGAAACAATTGATATTTGAAAGAGGATGGTTGGAATTTAAAAAGTTGCAAGCAATGGATCGACGGAGGCAAAAAGAAGAACGCGATATTTATAATAAAACCCGAGTGTTTTGTCGATTGCAAACGGCTGAGGATTATGATATGTTTGTACAAGGCTTGATCAAGGAACAACATTTACGAGATAGGATTGCGGCATTGACGGAATGGCGACAGGCGGGCCTGACCACATTACGACATGGCGATCAATATGAACGTGACAAACAAGCTCGACTTTCTCATTTGAAAACCGTTTCAGCATTATCCAATGATCGTATCAATGGTACTTATCAACAACGTGGTGGACTTCGTGCTCAGATGGCGGCTTTGGCTCCTTGTCCTGGTGCTAGTTATTATAGGGAAAGACTATTATCACCTTCGAACACTATCAAGAAACAACAATCATCATTATCTTATCAACAACATCATCTCAATATCATGGAAGCGGATGGATACCATTTATTAACCAAGGAAGAACAAGATATATGCTCAACTCTCTACATGATGCCTCGACCTTATTTGGTAATCAAGGATCTGATACTAAAACAATATGCCAAACAAGGCTTCTTGAAAAGGAAACAATTGAGGGATTTGGTTAGGATTGATTCGACAAAGGCTAATCGTATTTTTGACTTTTTTGTGGAAAATGGATGGATCAAGGCATGGCAAAATCCTGCAGAAGTGTTGGCAGCACAACAATGGGAACAACAACAACAAATTTTACAACTTCAACAAATTCAAGAACAATCGATTCAAGAACAAGCAGCAGCGATGGCAGCAGCAACAGCATCATCAATGACAACAACAACAGCAGCAACAACAACAACAACAACAACAGCAGCAGAGGTATCAGAAATGACAGATATATCCATGTCAGAATCAACAATGACAACTTTGGAATCAATGGCAAATTTGGATGCAATGGCCATGGATATAGAATCGACTATAGTTGAACAAAATACAGAAACAGTGACAGATATATCAATGGATGGCACTTTACCGAATACTGAAGCAGAAACATCGACAGATGCAGTGGAAACAAGAATGACTCTACCAACAACATCAGATAATATGCCAGAAAATCCTCCTCCTCCACTTTGGGATCAAGATTAGAAATAGATAGATAATTTTTTATTTTTTATTTTTTTTTTTTTTTTGATGAAATAAAAGCATGTTATTATCTTTATTAGACGGCAAATTTATCCGAAGAAGGAGATAGGTCAGCAGATGGACGATCGATTAAGAATAGATGAAAAAGGAGTATATATAGGGTTTAGTTAGTGTGTTATCTGTTTTTCAAAATAAAAATAAAAAAAAAAATCCAAAAATAAAACTCACCGAGGTGGTTTTTTTTTTTTTTTTATCTTTTCTTCTTTTTATCTTCTTTTTTTTTTTTTATTTGCTTTTTTTTTTTTTTTGTTTGTTTGTGAATTATTTATCATGTCTTATCAAACATTATTTCCTCATCGTATGAATCAGTTACCTATAGATGACGTTGTTTGTTGTCAAACGACGATTCCTCGATCATGCTTAATGAATATGCTTCATGATGTTCATTTTTTATATCCTATGGAATGTGAACATCGGCCAAATATTTTGTCGCGTGTGCTCGTGTGTATGTATGAATTACAAGGTAATCAAATAATAAGATAAAAAAATAGCATGATGAAAAATGATTGGCTATGAACTAATTATTTCCCCCATCTTGTCTCCCTCCTTTCTTCATTTTTCTTTTTTTTTTTATTAGGTGATAAAACTCAAGCTACCAATGCCTATCAACAACTTTTATCTTCTTTACATTTTTTACGACCTGTTTCTACTGCCATTGACATTCATGTAGATAATTGGGAAAAACATCTGGGTGATACAACGTAAAACTATACATTTCGATCCCCGTTCTATCTATCCATACTAATTTTTTTTTTTTTTTTAGATGTTATAAAAGTTATTTATATTTTTTTGATAAGGAAATCAAACAACATGGAATGGTCAATACATTATATCGATACTTGAATGCTATGCCTTTATCTATTCATGCTCAACTTCAACCTCTTGTTCATTTGACTTTTGGTTTGGAACATGACTTGCCTCTCATGGTATCTGAAGGTCTAGCTTATTATGCCAGTACTTTGGACTATGCTTCACCATGGATTCTTGAAAACACCACCACTACACAACCACCTTGTTCTTTTGATGATATTCTATTTGATTGCATTCAATCTGATCCTCGATTCAATGGTGTTATGGAAGGAGGTCGTCCTCTGGCGGCCAAAATCAAACTTTTACTGAAAAATCATGGTCCTTTACTACAGCAATATCTTAGTCAATGGTTCAACACATCTTTGGACAATGAAAAAAGGATGGATGAATTGATGCATACGACTTTACAACTATTGAAACAGCATCTCTTGGATGAACCCACACAACAACTCTTGGCTTCTCTTCTTGCCATCCGTACTCTTTATGATCATCAACTTCTATCGTCATCACATGTTTTTCCATGGCTCCAGGTCCAAGCATTATTGATGATGTGTACATTTATTATTCAAGGACGAACGCGTCGTAATAGTAGTAGTAGTAGTGATATTCAACATCCATCATCGTTACAACAGGATTGGCATCATTGTATTCAAGCTTTTGTCACGACAACAAACCCTCCTCCTTCCTCTATCTTACTCATGCGGTCCTTGTGGAAAGCTCAACAATATACGGATGTCCCTAATTTGTGTTTATTAATTGCGAATGACTTGGTCTTTTCCATACAAGAAGTACCTTGATCCTCTTTTTTTCGGATTAGTTGTACGATTTTTAATCAATAAAGATTTTTTTTTTTTTGAAAGACTTAAGATCAGTTGACTTGACGGGAATAAACTGGTTTTTTTTTTTTTTTTAATCTGACCGATGATTGGTTTCTATTTTTGATTCTATAGTAACAAATAGAGAAAGAAAGGACCCTATCACTATTGTAAATCATGAACCCTCATCGATTCAATTCATCGTTTATATGTATATCTTAAGAATTCAATTCACAATTTTATTTCAACAAAAGAGATCCAAAAAAAAAAAATATGTAATATATATATATCCTATTTACAATAACGATCCGCTTTCATCATCGATCTACGATCCAACATGGCTTCATTCATTCTTCCTTCCGCCTTGGCCTTTTTCAGTCGTTTTGAATCTTCTCGGGTCATATGTAATTTGCCACCACCCCAAGATTGATTCTTTTTCCTATTTACCAAAAAAAATAAATAAATAAATAAATCTATGCTTGATATCCAACTATAGCTTACACATTATCCAGTTCGGCACGATCGGCATTGAATTTCTTTTCTTTGGATTCCTTCTTGCGTTTATACTTGAATCTTGCTTGACAAAATACACGGAATGTTTCACAGAATCCAATTTCTTCAGCATCTGTCCGGATTTTAAAACCTAATGGATAGAAAAAGGTTATGTATTCATCATCTTTATTATTTATTTATTTATTTACCACCATTGGCTACTTGATCTACCATCATGAATTTCCCATAGGTATTTTGAAAAGCCACACCAGCTTCTGTAATAACAGGTTCCCATTCTTCCGGTCCACTAATGGCTTCACGATCACATCGCGTCACACCCACCTTGTCACTACTGAGAAATTTGCCAAGATAAGACTTGAATGTGAATCGTTGAGTAGATCCTACCGATCGAGCACCGACAAATACTTGGTTGACAATCATGGGTTCTTCAGACGACACATCTTCCGGTAATGGATAGGCCAGAAATCGATCGTTTTCATCTACCGTTAGACATACCGTAGGATCACTAGGATGAGTAATGAAAACCGGACCAACTAGATCATCCAAACCATCTACACGAACCCAACCTATGGTTATATTAAAAAAAAAAAAAAAAAAAAAAAAGAAGAAAGTTTAGTTTCATTCCTTTTTTTTTTTTATTTTATTACCGTCCTCAGTCAGTTGTGCTTGATCGCGATCTTCTTCATCACGATGTTTTCTTTTCTTTTTTCTATTTGTTTAATTAAAAAAAAAAAAGAGAGTCAATATAAGATAGTTTTTATGACATGGTCATACTTTTCTTTCTTATCGCCTTTGAATAAAAGTTTGCCTTTCTTTGGTGGTTTATCAGCCATGAATTTAAAAAAATAATAAAAAAAAAAAAGAAAAGAAGAAAAAAAAAAAGGTAAAATTCTACCTTAAAGTGAGGCAAGCGGCAACTCCGCTGAGAGTATCCAAAACGTTGAATTGCCCACTTTCCCTTTCCTTTTTTTTTTTTTCTTTCTCCTCCCCTATTCTTTATCCATTGAAAGATGAAGTAAGTACATCCATCCATCCATCCATCCATCTTGACACAACCAACGATAGGCGATTTTTATGACGTATCGACATTTCATACCTATTTGACGTTATATCCAACTTTTTTTTTAACCATTGTTTTACATCTATAGGCTCGAGATTTGTTCCTTCTCCGGTTTCAAGATCTACCCTGCCAAGGGTAAGACTTATGTCCGTATTGACAGCAGGTAACTTTAATTGTAAACTATCATTCAACAATTATTCTTACCATGTCTTTTCTTTCCATTATAGAGTACGTATATTATAAAAAACGACGAATAAACGACGAATAAAAAAAAAGAACGATGGATATGACAATAGTGGGACATTATAGAAAGAATGAGAATGGAATAGTTAGATTCTTATTCTCTTCTCTACTTTTGTTAATGGGGGAAAATAAGAGATAAAAGAGACTTACCTTTCTTTTTTTTTTTTTAGACCTTCAAGTTCATCAATGGTAAGGCTGAATCTTACTTCCTTCAACGTTTGAACCCTCGCAAGATCCGCTGGACCACCATCTACCGTCGCTTGAACAAGAAGGGTGTTACTGAAGAAGTGGCCAAGAAGCGATCTCGTCGTACTGTCAAGCATGAACGTGCTATTGCTGGTGCCTCTTGGGATGCCATCCGTGCTAAGCGTAACCAAAAGCCTGATGTCCGTGCTGCTGCTCGTCAAGCCGCCATTGCCAAATCCAAGGAAAGCAAGAAGGCTGCTCAAGCTGCCAAAAAGGCTTAGATTAGATCTTTTTTTGCATCCTCTTTTGTTTTATATCATTCAATAAAGAAAATGCTGGCCCCTTGTCAACCACCACCCTTTCTTTTTAATTATTATAGATCTTTTTGTTTTGGGGAAAATATATCTTGACGTGAAGTATATATGGATGGTACAGCTAATCGATATTTTTTTTTTGAAAGAATTGCATAAAAAGACGGGATCAATGACTGATAAAGTACACATAAAATAAATATTGTTACAAAAGAAAGAACATCATAGATATTATACAATACAATATAAATAAAAAAAAAAGATTTATTAATTGTAGCCAATGGATAAATCATTCAAAGCTACACAAACAGCTGCCTTGTTATGTCCATTGTACTGTCTAATCGTTTCACCTTGAGAGAGTTCCCATAATCTTGCTACATGGTCAGATGAAGCTAATCAAAAAAAAAAAAAAAAAAAAAAAAAAAATTGTGAGCGATTCATGCGATGATCTCTCTCTCTTTTTTTTTTTTTTTTTTTTTTTTTTTTTACCTGTGACCAAATAAGCAGAATCCGCCGAAAAAGCACAATCCCAAACCCATCGTTGGTGTCCAGTCAATGTCATTTCCAAATTGAACTTCTTTTCAGCATTCCATATCTTGACAGTTTTGTCAGCCGAACATGTGGCCAAAAGTCTACAACAAAAAGAATATGTCAATAAAAAAAATATATATACATAGCTTGGATTTTACTTTGTATCAGGACTTAGGACACATCGTAATATATAATCATTATGAGCTTGCCATTTAAAAAGTGGTTCTACATTAGATAGTTCAGACGTACTACTTGACATTTTCCATACATAACAAAATCCCTAAAACAAGATCATATTTAAAAAAAAAAGATGGTATGAATTTTTTTTTTTTTACCTTGTTGTTCACAGCCACAAGCATAGATCCATCTGAAGCAATACTAACAGATCGTAAAGGAACACCTTCATCCGGTACCTAATAACAGAAAAAAAAGTGAGTTTATATATATTTGTTTATTTTTTTTTTTTTTTTTTACCAATTGATGAGTACAAGCATGAGCTGTCAAATCCCAAATTTTGACCACTCCATTTTGATCACAGGTAATTAATTCACCTTGATTTGCATGCATCACGGCATCATTGATCGGTGCATTGTTATCAAAGTTGCGTGTCAAGACTGGATTGCGACCAGATCGGGTATCCCAAATTTTCAAATGACCATCTTCACTTGCTGTAAACATCCATCGTCCTTCACCATGAAATCCTGCTGCCGTAATATTCCCTGTATGTTCTCCAAAAACAACCAACTATAAAAAAAAAAGAATAAGAGATCATATATCCAATCGTTATTATTTCAATTACCGGATTGCCATTGGAACTAGTGATATCATAAAGTCGTACATTGTGATTACCTATTGAAAACAAATATTATCAATATGGCTTTTTTTATAATTCAATCTACCTGCTGCTGCCAAAGTTGTCTTATCAGGAGATATACATAAACGATTCACTTGCTAATAAAATGAAATGTAAAAAAAAAAAAAAAGGGTTAAGAATATATTCATCATAGTGTTCAGTTTTCTTTTTTTTTTTTTTTTTTTTTGTTCTATTATTACCGAGTCAGCATGTTGTATAGTACGAGAACAAATACCACTTAGAGCTTCCCAGAATCGAATGGTATTATCATAACCAGCTGTAACCAAAATGACAGAGTGGCTATCGTTTTGAAGAGACTGTTGGTATTGTTGCATTTGAGCATAGTTTTGTTGTTGTTGTTGTTGTTCTTGTGAAGGTGATATATCAGACATGAGGTGGAATAATACAAAAAAAAAGAAAGAACACTAAATTCAGTAAACTACACAATAACCAAAAAAAAAAAAAAAAAAAAAAGAAGTGAGCCGCGGTGGTTCAAACCAAGGGGCAGTGAGAAAGAAAGAGTGACTTTTGGATCAAAAGGCCAATTTTTTTTTTTTTTTTTTTTTTTTTGGTCTCATTCGCCCCTTGAAAACTGTATCAACAAAAACAATCTTTTTTTTTTGAATTCTTAATCTCTTCTTCTTTCTATATATATATACACACATACACACTATGAATGCTCTCAGACAATTGTTATCAACACAATGGAGAAGTGCTACTTCATCTTTATCAAAAGGTAAAGGAAAAAAAAAAGAAGAAAAAGAAACAATAGAGACTAATGATATATAATAAATATAGTACAATATACAACGGCCAGTAGTGTAAAGAAGAATGTCATGGAACATATTACACAACAACAAATCGAACAACGTAGTACGGATGGACGTCATTTATTATTTTCACGCAAGAATCCTCAAGGGATCAAACCAGGATCAGTGGTACTTGTGGAAACATTAAATGGACCTGGGGAAACCACCACGTCTCAGTTTATGGGGATCTGTATTGCCATTCGTCGTAAAGGCATCGATACATCATTCACTTTACGCAACATTGTCATGCGAGTAGGTGTGGAACAACGTTATTCTCTCTATTCTCCTTTACTTCAATCCATCAAGGTCTTGCAGCAACCCAACGATCTCAAGATCCGTCGTGCCAAATTGTTTTACTTACGAGACCAACCTGGCAAAGTCTTCCAACCTTTACAAGCCCTTTGGCGTCAAGAACAAGCAAAGTCCAAGAAATAAATTAATAGATATCTGTTATGTATACTTCCTCACACATCCCCCCCCTTTTTTTTTTTTTTTAGTTAGACATCACTATTTTAACTTTTTCATTTTACAAAAAAAAAAAAAAATTGAATCAAAAAAGCATACATCATTATACAGTTTTATACATAGATAAATATCATCAATAAACCCGAATTTACACAAGATTCTTTTTTTTATTGAATGACTAAAAAAAAAAAAAAAAAAAGGATAAACTACCCTAACTAGAAAAGTATAATTCATCATTGAAGATAAACTACAGGATAATGTACCACGGATAAACCAACACCACCTTTGATAGTCAAAGCTTGATTTTCAGGTAAACGATTTCGTAAATGAGTAAATGCTGGTAATTCACCTTGAGTCCAATCATCATAAAGACAAGATAATTGTACTGTATGATTCCCATGAGCAGCTACATCCATTTCCCATTGTACAGGTTGACCCACTTGCTTGATATAAGACATCACGGCTTGCATACTACCTTCAGGCAGAATTGTTTGTCCATTCACTTGTGCCTTGTGGATAGGAACATTCATCTTGATTTGACAAAGTTGACTATGTTTCACGGTGGTTGTCAACTGTATACGTTGTGTTTGATATATCACTTCATTCTTGATATCCATCTTGTATTCACCCCGTTCTTGCGCACGAGCAGGCACATCCTTGGTCTCATACTTGCACATGATTTGATGATCTTGATCTTCACATTGCACTGTAGCTGCTTCGTCTTCAGGTAAGTAATGATCCAAAATCTTGTCCAAGCCTTCACCTGTCACCAATTGTACGGTTGAAGTGGATTCAATTTGATTGTATTCTTGATGGAATACAATTCGATTAGGTGAGTCGACCCGATTGTATGGACTATGGGTAAGACAGCTGATGAAAACAACTATCAAAGCAAAAGTCAATACACCTACAATATGTCGCTTGTCCCCAGCCACATGGATCCATGGTAATAGATGTAATGTGATAATTGCAATAGGTATCACCATAAGGATATAAACTATACATTAAAACAAAAACAAAAAAATATTAGAAAAGTACCAATAAAATACATATTTGGCTTTACCTGATAGTTCGGGAGTACCATCAGCAGTAGTATGACGAAGAGCATCAATAACAAGGAAACAGAATTCAGACATAAAGATCACAGGTAAGGTGAGTTGAAAAATAAAGACAATAGGGAATCTTGCTTTGGGAAGTTTATTGATGAGGGCATGAGACACAAGGATAGCCGACACTCCACTGACCAAGAAGAAAATAGCAAAGTAACCTCCAGCAATTTCATCAGCTCCAAGTACAGTGGCATATACCAGCAATCCCCACCAAAGAGTCACCAATCCATACAATGAAGTGTTTAATCGAAGTAAAATTCGATGCATACGTTTGATTCTTGTCAATACCAATTGAGATAGCGTCAAACCCAACAAGGATGCCAGAGTGAGATAAAATCCAACTAAGTAAGCATTCCCATAGGTTAACTAAAAAGAAACAGAAGAGCAGAAGAAGAAAAAAAAAACATAAGATTTTTTGCTTTTTGTTTTTTTTTTTTACTTTTTTTTGTTTTTGTATTTTTTTCATTTACCAGAGGTTTCAATTGAACAAGTGCATAGATAACCAAAGCATCGATACCACCAATAAACACACTTGCTACAAGGACAGAGATAAGACCATAACCATAGGTAGTTAGAACACCAAACCAAAAAGTACGTTTATCAGTACCACGAGATTGGAGAACAAGCCAAAGAAGAGCCACCAAGGGAGTGATCACCAACATAACTATATTGATGATCTGACTTGTTTCGAAAGAATACACTAGCATGACTCTACCCAAGATATCAAAATAAATAAACCTTTCCATTTTCGCGTCAGCAAGCACATCATCCTTGTTGTCAGTAATAGGTGTTTGATCAAGTTCACGGACAACGCCAAGAGCCATTTGACCCATGTGTTGGAGAGCTGATGGAGTTGTATGTACAAGATCGTCCCTTTGAGTATGATAATGAGATCGGGGTGTATAGAAAGCAATATCCAGTCCAGGTACGCCCTTTCCAGTAAATGTTGTATAATCAGTGTCACTAGATAAAAGAAAAAAAAATGAATAAAAAAATAAAATGTCACATCTTTTTCTTGAAGCATTACCTTCGAATCAATTTTGATTTTAATAGATCATTACCAAAAGGACTTGCATGTAAAAGACGAGCACGAGATGAAGCCAATTTCTTCACTGCATTCAAATTACTACTTCGAAACAAAAGACTTCTACCACCACTTCCAGTTCCCTCTATCAAATAATAATAAAAGATCAGATATAAAACTATATTGTTATTGTAATAGTATTTACCAAGATTGACGAAAAGCTTGATGGTAGAAAACCAAGGATGATTCACAAATGATTGCGCACCAATAAGACCACCTTCTTCATAGTTGTTGAATAAAAAGATCAAGGTACGTTGAGGAGGGTTTTGCACAAAGTAATTTAAAAGTTCCAAAGCAGTAGCAGTACCCATACCATTATCTGTCACACCATGACTAGTTGACACACTATCTATCAAAAAAAAAAAAAAAAAAAAAAAAGGAATTCAACATGAGTATCATTGTTTCATCCAATTACTGCTTTTTCATATTATTATTAATTTTACCATAGTGCGCATTGATCATCAGAGCATTGTCCACAGAGCCTTGTTGACCATGCAATCGAATCATAACATTACGAGATTCCACATACCAATATTCATCTAATAAAAGAAGAAACGCGTTTGAACTATTTTTGGTTTACAAATAATGACCCCCCATCTCTTTGTTGTTATGTTCTGGGAACCAAGGAGAAAGAAAGTTCGTTTCAAAAAAAAAAAAAAAAACTTACCTTCACTGTACCTATCACGCTTCACCACCAAATTGGTTGTATCATTGGTAATAAGGTCAACTTTGATATTGTTCTTTTCAGCTTGGTCTGCAAATTGAGTCAAGGTATGAGAAAGCCAATGATACATATCAGCATTGCCTTGTTGATTGGCAGAATGAGGTGTGTTGAAATGAGACAAGTATTCATTGTAACTGTGAATCCCAGAAAAGTCGTCTTGTTCTTGTGCTTCCACTTGAGATAATGGTCGTGGTAAAGTTGAACGATACGAATAGATAAATCCAATCATAATAATGAGACTACCAAATATCCAAAAGTATGCTTTCCAACCATTGCGTCTTGATAAGTAACTCTCTTCTTCAAACCTGGCATTATTTTCTTCGTCTTGATGATCACCAACTGCTCGGCGATACCCACTGCCTAGTAATGGGGTGTTTTCTGTCACAGATGCCATGAAGAAATAAGTAAATACAAAAAAAAAAAAGGCAAAAGGAAAGAAAGGTGGACCAAAAAAAAAAAAAAAAAAAAAAAAGAGTCTATCTCATTTTCACACACGTACATATCATAAATTATTCAAACACAGTCAAGCATAAAGGCAATACGTGATCATTATTATGCTCTTAATAAAAACTATACATGATCTCTTACAAGTTTATTATATGAGATATGAATTCTATATGCTATTTTATGACATATAATAATTGGATCATTGGTTCGATTTAATAGAATAATCATGATTATTTGATAGCTTCAATGTGATTGGAGGAAAAAAAATAATATAAAAGAGACTTTTTTTTATTTTCTCTTTCTTTCTTCTACAAAAAAAAACATTTGCTTCTTTTTAGCTGCTTCGTTGTTGGTGGCTTCTTCTTTCCGATCGCCTGGTCACATGCGATAGAATATTGATTCTTGTATCCGCGTTTTCCTCGTTGTTCTTAGTCTTGTTGTGCCTCTGATTATTTGTCCTTGTGTCTCTCTGTCTTTCTTGCTGCTTGGATCCCTTTTTTTTTTTTGTAAGTGCACATATACAAATGATATTTAGTTGACACTAACCATTTTTCCATTTCTTCTCTTCAAACACCAAAATGGAGGGCGAAATACGTAGATCCACGAAGGTCCTAATATAGTTACTTCACTGCTTCAAATAAAAAACGTTTTTTGTAAACCATTTCCTTTTCATATATCAATCTATCTTTTTTTAATTTGTTAAAGAATGTTTTCAATGATGGATTACAAAAAATGGGTCATCATGACATCGTCATTTGATTGGTCAAAGATTCACCATATAGAGTATAATCACAGTATGCACATCCATCACTTTTTCATTGGGAAAAAAAAAGTGTATGCTCTAACATCATGTGATCTCAACAATAAGTGATGAACGCCATCTCACGTTGGATTTAACAAAAATGTCTTATTGGTAGTTACTAAAATGCAGTAAATAAATAAAAAAGATGCATGATTGTAAAGGTGAGAATAATTCTATTGACAGAAACTTTAAAAACAAGTTGAGGGTGTCACATTGAATCATAAGAGAATTGGGGGTTAGAAAAAATTATTTTAAGGAATTGAGTAGATCATTCGTTCAATTCATATAATGGATGATGATTGGGAAAAAAAAAAAAAAAGAAATTATAAACTACTATAAAGGGTGAAAATCGTATCATAGTTCTCTATCAAATGATAGTAGGGGAAAAATGAGACTTTTATGGAAAAAAGAGAGAGAGAGAGAGAGAGAACATTATTCAATATCCGATAGGTACCGAGCAAAAGTTTTGAAGCATGATATTCTTTGATTTCTTTAGAACTAATCCATACAAATAACAAAAAAAAAAAAGCATATTGGTGATTGAAAAATAATTTCCTTCATTTTATCGAATGATTCTTTTGTATTGATTTGTTGTATTTACAAAAAGGCATATTTTTTTATTATTAGTTTTATAAAGATGGTAAGGGGGGTATCATCATCATAAAAAGATATATATATATAATACAAAAAGAATGACAAGTAGAGAAGACATCATCTAGGAAGAAATGGAAGTAAACCAGGGGGAATGATATTTTGAAGGAGGAGTGGCAATATCCAGCTTGTCGGGTGATTTGACATCATTATTATTACAAGGTGCAAAGAAGGTTTTGTTTGGTTGTTGTTTCCTTTTATTGGATTGAATACGTTCTTGTAATCGAAGAGTTTGTTGTTGGACGACTTTAGTCAAAAGAGATGGATGGAAAAGGTGTAAATTGCATGATAATCCAGTGGAAGAGGATGGCTTGAAAATAACGTGATCGCCGTCATGATCATCATCTTCATATTCACCAGACATTGACCATTGTTTTTGTTTTTCGATTGTCCAAGTGGTTGAGTCACCTTTTGTCATCATGATAGGTGATTGATAGGTAATACTATAATGTTGTTTGGATCCATTATTGTTGTTGTGTTGTATAGTACATCCATCAACATAAACAGGTTGATGATGATTGAATTGAATAGGTTGATGATTGGCAAAAGAAAAATGAACAGTATCGAATGAAGCTAAAGTAGGTTGATTAAAATCAATGGGAGTATGTGCCATGGTACCAGGTTGATGCATCCATAACCGGATAGAAGCATGTTGGAGATGATGATGATAAAGATGATTGGTTGACAAGTAACGCAGAACATGAGACACTTGAATTAATTGATACAAGGTTGAAGCATCAGCAAAATATAAGATATGATCAATGATTTCAAGAGGTAATTCAATGTTCATTGTAAAAGGTTCAAAAAAGAAAGTAAGAAAAAAAAAAAGGATCGAAAGAAAATCGAAAGTTTATATAATAAGGAGACCGGAGATTTAAATTGATATATATCTTCTTTATTGAATAATGACAAAAAAAAAAAAAAAAACGCAAAGAGAGAGAGAGTGTGTGTATGCAGAAAAAATAAAATAAATATGGAGTAATAATAATAATAAAGGAGGAAAGGGGGGGGGGAAGGTGATTGTTATCGATAGGAAAAAGATATGGTGCCTAACTATATGACGAAGTTGAGTTTCCCGCAATGGTATGGTTGGAGACTGACATCATTGTTCAACCTTATCTATTCCGATTGGCTTGATAAGTTTTCATGAAAATTTCCTTTTCATTATCTTGTAGAAATCTATAACAGAAAATAATAATAAATGACGTTAAATATACATAAATAAAATTATATACATTTTTCTTTTTTTTAATTTTACATCAAAATATCCATAAAAGTAGATTTCATAATTTCCAAAGTTTCATCATCCACATTAGCTTGACTCATCAATGTTGGTAATTCCACTATAATAAAAAAAAATAGTGTGAGTTGATATTTACATTTGTTTTTATTTGGAAATTTACCAAATAATCGTAAAAAATGTTCACCACCATAGATATCTACAAGTGGTTTTGTTGATACTAATTCTTCATATTGTTTCCGTTCTGATCGATAAAGTAACATGTTGCCCAATGTATGATTAAAATAAAGTTTGAGACCCTGAACCGTTTGTTCTAACATTTCGTTATTTCTATTACCCCCCCCCCCAAAAAAAAAAAAAATATTAGAGTCTCATTATCAGCTGAAATCATAACCATCATCCCTTTTTTTTTTTATTTATTTTACCCATTCATTTGATGACTTTGTAAATATCGATCTAGAATATCCGTCACTGTCATTTTGGATGGTAAAACTACAATCTAAATAATAATAATAAAAAAAGAAATCAATTATCATTATTATTTTATTTTATTTTTATTTTATTTTATTTTATTTTATTACTTGATCTTCTTTATTAATATTTTCCCAATCTTCTATCAATATATCTTTTAATGACTTTGGCATTTCCAATTGATATTCATCGTCTACTGATCTATTATCTTCCTATTAAAAAAAAAAGAAAAAGAAAAGATGAATACGTGTTCTATATAAATAAAACTATTTAGCTTACCATACCATTTTGACTTTTTCTGTACTTGTATCACGATTTCGTTTTCGCCCACGATTGTCTGATGATTCTTGAGTTTTGGTTGTTTTTCGTTTTGTTTGCATATCACTTTTTGTTAATTGTTAATTGTATACAACACTATTATTGTTTGTTGAATTGTTCAAGTAATTATTATTATTGTTGTTGTTGTTATCAATCTTCCGCAAGCCATTCGTTCTAATCTTTCACTTTTTTTTCTTCTTCTTCTTTATATACAATCGTACGAATAAAAAAAAAAAAAAGCGAAGATTGTCTTTTTGGAAAGTGAGAAAAAAAGAAAAAGAACCCGTCAGCGCGTTTTGGTGCTATGAAAAAAAAAAAAGAAAAAAATTGGGGAATTTCAAATTGCGCAAAGCCATTTTGACCAAAATGAACTAAAAATTCATTAGCGTGCGTTTTGATATATAGTATCAATGTTGATGATGTAAAAAACCATGGAATTTATTATATATATCATATATAGTAATCCATAAATATATATCATATATATATAGATGATTAAAGAAAAACAAGTATAAATGATAAATATGATAAAAGGGAAAAAAAATACAGTAATCGATTGCATATGAACTGATCCAAAAAGATGTTATCAACGTACAGGATTGGTTCAACTTTAAGGATATCGGGATCTCCAAAAATAAGACCCAAACTGTATTTGTTCTGTTGTTTCCAATCACCGCTTATCAAGTTCATAAACCGTTCATTTCCTTTTTAAATCAGGAATTGTGTTACTTTTTTTTTCCATTTTCTTTCTTTCTTTCTTTTTTTCTTTCTTTATTTTACTTTACTATTTCGTCATATTTTTATTTTCTTTTATTCGTTTTATATATTATAACTTATACTTATTAGATAGTTTTTTATTATTATTATTATTATTATTATTATACAAGTTATGCCCATTCAATCAACTTATAATACCTTCAAGCAACACTTAACTCATCGACATCTACTTTATTGTCATCAACGTACAGATGAATTACAACTGACTTCTTTATTAAAACAATTCCTTATCAGATACCCACAATGGCAATCTCAATTAGCAATCACTCATATTTCTTCAAAACGACAACAACTCGATGCCATTCCTTTTTATCATCAAGACATTCCCGATATTTCCCTGGTGGCTTTAGCGGATATTTGTCTTTTGATAATGAAACCTGAAGATCAACAAAAATGGTTAAAGGAAGCTTATCATCATCGTCAACATGATATCTCAACAAAGAATCATCCTAAACAACAATATATTATCCTTATTGATCCTTCAGCTCCTTTACTTCCTCCATCTCCTCCATTATTACCTGTTGATCTATACAAAATTATTACTATTCGACATATTCATCAAATCCCATCTACTCTTCATTCCATCTTATCTACCCTTGACAACAAACCATCGGTAAAGATGATTATTATTATTATTATTATTGATTTCACTGGTTGACTCGTTCTTTTACTTCTTTTTTTTTTTCTTTCTATAGGCCATCTTACCTTCTTATCCTACCTCTTTGAATTTAAATCAAGTGATTCAATCATATCAAGATGCAAAGAATCGACGTTTATTCTTATTTGATTATGATGTAAGTTTTTTTTTTTTTTTTTTGCCGAAACCAAGAAAGGGCATTGTTTTTTAACTATTTTTATCTATGTAGGGTACATTGACGCCGATTGTTCAGCGACCTGAAATGGCCCTTCCCAGTAATGCATTGATGAATGATTTGACCATGCTGAGTCGGGATCCCCTGAATACGGTTTGGATTATTTCTGGTCGAGATCGAAAGTTTTTACACAATTGTTTTGGTCATTTGCATGCTCTTGGACTTAGCGCAGAACATGGATCATTTATGAAAATGCCAGGAGATACAGTGTGGATGGAGATGTTGACTGAAGCAATGGTATTACCTTGGAAACGACAAGCCTTGGATATTTTTTCTTTCTATACTCAACAATTACCTGGCACTGAAATCGAAGAAAAAAAATCCTCTATTACTTGGCATTATCGAAATGCACATGATCAACAAGCTGCGTAAGTCTCTATCATACCAAAAAAAAAAAAAAAAAAAAAAAAAATAGGGTTTTAAAACTTATCTTTTTTTAAAAAAACAGTTTAAGGAAATCTCATGCATGTCATCAAGCTCTTTTGGATATTCCTGGTGTGGATGTTTTGGTTGGAAAAATGAATCTTGAGGTAAAAAAAAAAAAAAAAAAAAAAAAAAAAAAAAAAAAAAAAAAAAAAAAAAAAAAAAAAAAAAGAAACTAATGATGAATGAATGAATAGGTAAAATCAGTACTTGTGAATAAAGGCAATGTAGTGAAACGGATTTGTCAACAACAAGAGAATGCGGACTTTGTAATGTGTGCAGGCGATGATCAAACGGATGAAGATATGTTTAAAGCACTTTATGATACTTCGGCTTATACTATCTTGGTCGGTCCTTCCAACAAATTGACATTGGCAAGAACTTGTGTAGATTCCAGTCATCATGTGGTAGATTTGTTGGGTCAGCTGGTCCACAACTCAAGTTCTTTATAACCTCTTCTTTATATCATTTATTTATCGGTTTTTTTTATTTATTTATTTAACGTGTATATATATTTCTTTTTCCTTTGATACCGTTTCTTTTTTTCTTCTTTTTCTTAATAAACAATCCATGCTTTCCAAAATATCTTAAAATAACATCATTGTACGACTTATCATTCATTATTATTATCATTATTATTATTTTTTTTTTTTTTTTTTGGGATGATCACTTTTATCGCGCTATTATTCCTTTTTTTTAGTCAGCCTGAGGGTTTCAGTGAGTGGGGTGATCACACACAAGCGCCACTTTTTTTTACTTTTTGGTTTCAAGGTAGTGATAAAGTTGAATGATGAGTTGGATATCTTCCATTGGATGGACAGCATGACAAAAAAATATTTTCATGCGCCGCAAGGTCAAACAACAACATTGGAAAACGGATGTTTAGTTTTTCCCTATAAACCGAAAGACCATCAAACATACAAGGATTTTATTATTATTATTATTTTATTAAAAAGAATCATAAGAAAAAAATATACACACACACACAAAAGAAGGGAAATAATATCAAAAGTACATAAGAAAAAGTGTCATCATGGAAAAAAAAATAATAACCACTACAAGAAAAGGTATCATAAAAAAAAAATTACAAACTAAATAAATACAAACAAAAAATATATATAAACTGTCATTCTAGATGGATCAACCGAAGAGCAATTTGCCGAGCATCATGAATATTTTGAGCCATGTTGAGATTCAAAGCTTGCCAAGTGATAGTTTGGATGACTTGTTCATCCCATTTGGAAGAGTGATTATTTTGTTGAGGAGAATCATAAGTAAAAACAAGTGGAGTCATGGAGAGAGAGGTCATCAAAGGGTTTTCCAACGAAACAAGCACCGGGCCGAGTCGTGAGGTTGAAGGTACTGTACACACCAAAGTAGTAGGACTCCAATAAGACGTCAATGCAGGTTGGTCACCAAAATAACATGTCAATCCTTCATGGAAATGAGAGCCCAAAATAGTGATTTCCATCCCACCTTCTATCGATGCATGATCAGGAATCATTCTTTCCATCTTGGGTGCCATCATAGGTGGTGGTAACATGCTGAAGGATGATGATGGATAAATTGGTTGGTGACTAAGTTGATCCTTTAATTGTTGTTGTTGATGGAATTGTTGTTGATAGAGCCCAGGGGACGTGATAGCTGATGATGATGTGGTTGTCAAAGGCGAAGAGGGTGAAGAGGAGGATAAAGGCGAACCTATTTCAGTGGATGAGGTAGGTGGTGAAGAAGTAGGTGATGGCCATAATGATGGTAAAAACATTTGAAGATCTTGCATAGGAGGAGGAGGAGTCGTTGGGAATAATAGACAAGGATCCAAAAGTGATTCATCTGATTGTAAAGAAGATGACATTGCCGTCAAGGAATGATCATCAAATGTAGCCAAATCAAATACATCTTCTTCTTTCTTTATCGCCATTGGTTCGGTAGTGTTCAAGATATGAGAATCATCAAATGTAGCCAAAACATCTTCTTCGGGTGTAGGTAAGGATTCATTGACTTCTAATACAGACTTTCGTCGTCGTCGTCGTCTACGTTTATTGTCACCTAGTTTAGATAAGTTCTTATGATCATCTGTGATCATAATAGGAGGCGATTGACCTGAACCCACCAATTGTCCAAGATGATTGTGCATAGTAAATTTGATCCTATAATGTAGGGAAAGATAACGTATGTTGGTAATTTATCCATTTTTATTTTTATTTTTTTTTATTTTTGTGAATTTTTACCTGAAACCTTGACGTTCATCATGATGACGAGAATAACAAGTGATACGAGTAGGTAGTACACATTCGCCGGCATTGAAATCCAACAAAGGATCACTATTGAATAACAGAATACGTTGTCGTTCCCGTTCCATCAATCCTTCGTCATAAACAGAGGTTGTTCCAAGTTTTCTACCCGCCTTTTTTCGATCAGCACGTTTCCACTATTTATAATATAAAAAAAAAATAGATAAGAAACATATACGTCTTTTTATAAAAATTGACTTACCTCACGCCAAACACATCTTTGACACATTTTCACTTTGCGATGAATATCACTTTCACAAATCACAGAAGCACGAAGATGAAGTATAGCCTCTTCAGGAATCACATGATTTTCATCATCAAGATCCTCGTTGGATTTTCTTTTATTGGTTGCACGTCGTTTAAGAGTCAATAAAGGTTCAGGGAGGCGTAAGTGAGACCATTGTTGTACCTTTTCCCCTTGTCCATTGGTTAATTCGAGATAAAGTCGGATTTGAGTTTCTACGCGAGATTTAGCACCTTGTTCATCAATCCCGAGAACACGAATATGATAGTCGCCACTACTAAAAAAAAAAAAGATGAATATGATAAGCATGACCGAGATTACCAAAAAAAAAAGTTTACCTTGTGTTATGCAAGTCTATCGCGTTATTTTTATTAAGTGTATGTTGTTTTTCAGTTTTAATAGTCGAGCAAGATGATGAGTTAACATTGGAAAGAGAAGTGGTCATACTATGAGGAATAATAAAGAAGAAGAAAAGAAAAATGAAACAAAAAGAAGAAAAAAGAAAAGGGGAGGAAAAAAAAAAAGTTGACTGATATGCGGTATTCAAAGTGGAAAGAGCGGTAAATAGTGGGAAGTGTGACTTTTTGGGACCCAGTGGTGGTAAGATCGATTATCGATCAAAATTTGTCTGATAATGAAAATAAGTTTTACAACATATAGTTAAAGGAAAAAAAAAAAAAAAAGATGGGGAAAACCAAAAAAAAAACGTGGCTTTCCAATAGATCATCAAAATGATAATCAATAACTAGTCTTTAAGTTCTAATACAGTTTAGATAAAATAGGTACTCATTTGATTGATAAGAGTTGAATTGAACGAATAAGAAGAAAGAAGGAACAATAAACATTGAAATGCCGTCAGTAAGGTTACCAAATACAGTGACACTGTAAATGATGGTGGTCTATTTGATTGGCTTGGAACAAAAAAAAAAAAAAATAATATTCCTTAAGTACCATATCCGGCCAATGACTGGCGACAATCTTGGGTTATCTTCTAGTCACACATAAACTATAAATGATGTAAGTGAGTGTAACAAATTGCATTGATATCCCTCTCTTTCTAAATTTTTATCATCCTTTTTTTTTTTTTTTTTTTTTTTTAATGATATGCTAATCAATCATGATAGTAAAAAAAAAAAATTTATTATAATGATAATTATCGAATATTCTAAATGGTAGATGTTTCAAATAAAGTGAAAATTATTCTTTTATGTAGTAACGTTGCACTAGGTCCCTGAATAATAATAATAAAAAAAAAAATACCAACTTTTTTTTTCTTTTCTATAGATGATTCATATAGTAATAATGCCTCCATCTTTTTTTTTTTTTTTTTTTAAAAAAAAAAAAACGTATCATCCGTTCCTCACATATATGATTCGAAACGTATTTTACTTGATGATTTCAGCCAATCGATGTGGGCTAAAAATAATAATAAAACAAAACAAATTAAAAACAAATAACAACTCATCATGCCATGTCATGTCATGTACTCCTTTTGAATTTTCTATATAATATTCGTTTCAAATAAACCAAATGATGATTATAACTTTATTCTTCAAAAATAATAATAATAATCACTAACAAGTCATCCATCAGATAAAACCTAAAAAAAAAAGCATAAACATACATATATATATACAACATACAAAAGCATCATCATTCATGAGTTATGATGGAATCGCTTGACCGAGAGTTGTTCTTCTTGATCATCATCCAAATATCGTTTGATACCGCAACCATTTTTCTTGTTGATATGAGAACCATCGATGATATCACTGTTGGGAGGGGATGGATAATAAGATCGATCAGGAGAAGAAACAGATTGTAGATAACATTTGATACAAGTGGGTGATGGTGGTAATGAAGGTGATGATTGTGGAGATGATGATAAACAGGGTTCCAAAGCTGGGGTACTTTCATGATGATAATAATCATAACGAGGATTATTATGATTGGAGAAGGTCAAAGGCGGTAACAAGTAAGTTTGTTGTTTCTGATAAAGATAGGATTGTAATAAACAGTACCATTGATCAAAAGTAGATTTGTTGATATAAAGATTGTAGTTGATGAGGTTCAAAAACACACGTTCGGCAGCATTGATTTCCGTCAAACTGAGTCCACTGATACGAGCCCATGCCCTATTTCTATAATTCTTATCCTGAAGAAACTTGGCTGAGACCATCAAGGAGGCCAAGAACATACGTCGCCCGCATCCAATGATACTTTCGTGGAGAGTTTTCTTCTTATCGTTGTTGTTCATCAGATGATGTATGATCATCTTCTTGACTCGGAATAAATAAAACAAACAAACTTGTAAATTGGAATAAGTTGTCTTTGATCTTCGTAGGATTTCTTGAATAAAAGTTTTCGTACTGACGACTTTGAGATGGGATGATTGTTCATTGTACGATGGTTGCCATATAGAATCAATGATTTCTGCTGAAGTATCTATGGAATAAAAAAAAAAAATCAGATCAATGTTTGTCATAAACTAAAATGAGATGAATGGAACATACCGACAAGACGATCAATGAAATCTAGATTTTGTGTTGGATGTATTCTTGTTGGTAAAAAGTGATTATAATTTTTTGTTGTTGATCCTTGAAGGTTGGAATGAAGTGTATAATAGGGACTAATATGTATATGATTTGAAGAAGGTAAAGTCATGATAATAAACTATCGTCAATAAAAATAATATTTTTTTTTTTATTTGGGATAATAAGAGTAACAATCACACCAACAAAATCGTAAAATAATAAATAATAATACGATTTTTTAATTGGACATGATCGAAGAATAATATTAGATAAGAAGAAAGGAAAGAAAAGAAAACATAAAAAGAAATAGGATCAATTATTTATATTACCGCTTGCGCCTTTCGATCACATGTATTATTTATCAAATACTGGAAAACTCATTTGCTGCGCAAACTAAAGAAAGGATTGTCCGGCTTCTAGGATCCTTTACTTGTAACAAATCGTTATGTGGGAAGTTTTTATATAATAATAAAAAAAAAAAAAAAAAAACTTGATTACGCCATGTTTTCCTGTGTCAACTCTTTCTTTTTTTTTTTTTTTGCATTAGAAGTAGTATGTATCGAATCGCGGGGCTAAAAAAGCATTGCCTTTTTAAGCTATCCCCGTTCCTTTTAGATTTTTTTTTTATAGTTTGTTCACATGTTTTCACCAACCCATCTTTTTTTTTTTATGTCTGCGTATGTGTGTGTGAAAGCGCGCGTACTTATTTAGTTTGTTTTTTTTTTATATATTTTATTTAATACCATTCTAACTTATGACAAAAGACCAAGGTAAGAAAAGAACCATTCAATGAAAGAATTATATAGTTTTATCATGACCGAATTGCTTTTTTTATTTTAGGAAAACACTTTTTAAACGATCCTACCACTGTAAGATATTCTATATTTATTATTACTGAGACTCATGTCCAACTTTTTTTTTTAATAGCTTGTATCCGATAGTATACGAGGACTCTGTTATTCACAACCTCATCTTCGTTACTTACCTCAACAGAATGGTAAAAAAAAAAAAAATATGTATATATTCATTTTTTTTTTAAAAAAAAAAAAACAACAATCTAGTATGTATCAAAACTAATCATTCTTTACATATAGTTGTTTACGATTCAAAGGTACGCCAAATAGCCAAGCAACAGGTGACATTGGTTGCTGGGGGAGGATCAGGCCATGAACCAGCACATGCAGGATTTGTGGGAGAAGGAATGTTGACGGCAGCTGTGTGTGGCCACGTGTTTGCATCGCCTTCGGCAAGTCAAGTCTTAGATGCTTTGGAACTGATCAAGTCGCCTTTTGGAACCTTGGTCATCATCTTCAATTATACGGGTGATTGTTTACATTTTGGATTGGCTGTGGAACGGGCAAAGGCACGAGGGATACACATTGCTATGTTGGTGGTAGGCGATGACATTTCCGTGGGTCGTAGCAAGGGACACAAAGTTGGAAGAAGAGGAATGGCAGCTACGGCTTTGGTGATTAAAGTTTGTGGCGCTTTAGCTTCGAAAGGGCAAGTAATATTATTAATATATATTTTTATATAGATAAAAAAAATTTTTTTAAACCTTTTTTTTTTTTTATTAGAGCGTCATTGGAACAAATAGTTGAAACAGGACAATACGTGATTGATCATAGTGCCACTTTGGGTGTTGCTTTAAATCATTGTCATGTACCTGGAACTGCAAGTAACGTGGCTTTTTTAGAATCATTTGAAATGGAACTAGGAACGGGGATTCATAATGAACCTGGACTAACAAAGATGTCTTTGATGGAAGCTCAGCCTTTGGTGGAACGTATGGTGAACATGTTATTAGATCAAGAAGATCAAGATCGTGCATATTTGACATACAACAACAAAGAAATGACGCCTGTGGTGCTTTTGACCAACAATTATGGTGGCACTCCAAGTCTAGAATTCAATGTGATCATCAAAGAAGCCGTAGAAGCTATCTCTAGAAGATCTTCCTTGTGTTTGAAACGTATCCTTTCAGGGTCTTTTGTCACCAGTCTCAACATGCCTGGTTTCTCACTTAGTCTTCTAATTCTTGATGATGATCATCTGTTGGAACTTTTGGATCAACCTGTACAAGCAATTGGTTGGTCATCCTCTTCTATTTCTTGTTTCAGTCCTTCTCTTCATGATGATCCTGCTACTTCTCTATCTTTATTAGATACTGGTTCGCATGATACCAGAATTATTGATAAAAGTAAGTAAAGAAAAAAAAAAAAAGAGAATGATGTAGGACAAAATGGCATGACCTAGATTGGGCGTGGGTATTGACCGGGGAATATATATTATATATGCTCTTTCTAATCAACTATTTCCCAATAAAAATTATTAGGTAGTGATGGAACTTTTATTATTAAAGTGATTCAAATGGTGATCCAAGCCCTTTTAAAAGCTGAACCCACGGTGACGTCTTATGACACTATTTTAGGAGATGGAGATTGTGGCTATACTTTGAAATCAATTGCTGAAGGTAAAAAAAAAAAAAAAAAATAAGGTGAATTGTTATCTATTATATTCTAACGACTATTTTTTTTTTTCAATCTATTTTTTTTTTCCCTTCCACATCCTACCATTTTTATTTTATTTTCCTTTTTTTTTTTTTTCTTAGCCTTTGAAAAAGAGTTGGTAAATTTTCCGGTTTCATCTATCCCCGACACGCTACTGGCTCTAGCAGATACGATTGACCAAGCAGCAGGTGGTACTTCCTCAGCCATTTATTGTATTTTTCTAAGTGCTTTGGCCAATGACTTGAACAAGCAAATGACACAAGACCAAGCACCTTCATTGATTATGTGGGCAAAAGGTAATACAAAAAAAAAAAAGAATTAGACTGAACAATGACTTTTGTTGGGTGGTTCATCTTTTTTTTTTTTTTTTTTTTTTTTTTTTGATAGCATGTCAACAGGCTTTGGATTCTTTACAAGTATATACCCAAGCTAGAGTAGGTGATCGAACAATGATGGATACTTTGATTCCTTTTGTCAAGACATTGAATGAGCCTGATACTTCACTTACCAAAGCGATCGAAGCTGCTCGTCAAGGCATGTGGGCAACACAAACACAAACTACACAATTAGGACGCACCGCGTATTTATCGGATCAACATGTATTGGATGCTGGGATCCCAGATGCTGGGGCATTTGGTTTGATGGCAGTCCTGGATGCAATTGCCCTGGCCTTAACCTGACATTATGGATGATTCTTTTTTTTTTTTTTGGAGGAAGAGATAAGTGGTAGTAATAGTATTTATTGTTTTGTGTTTTATTCAATAAATTATCATATATGTTTTAATCAAGGCGACTCAATATAATTTTTGATATTTGTAAGTTACGTTTTATTTTTGTTTTGTATGATAATGACTCATAAGCTGGATGGAGAGAAGGGTGATATAAAAATAAGAATGTACAATAGTGTTGAAGAAGAATAGCTAAAACTAAGTGGAGGAGGAATAAATAAATAAAAAAAGGGGAATGATAGAGGTGGTATCATAATAAAAATTATCATAATCAAGGTGTATCAGTTTTGAATATCAATTGGTAAAAAGTTGCCAACAATGATTGTCTAAATTTGGAAATTCATTCAATATAAAGATGGTTATTAGTCTATTGTTGTTATACAAATAGAAATCTTATGTACTTACCGGTCTATTGATTAAAAGGTTGATACAGAGAAAGAGAGAGAGAGAGAGAATGAGTGTTGATGAAATATAATTCTATTTTCAACTTACATATTATATTTATCACGTCGAACTGTAAAAGAGAAGCAACAGGACATAATTGTTTGTGTTTTCTGATGCCTAATCAAACAAGAAGTAAGCACAGCCTTTTGTCGAGGATCAAAAGCAATATTCCCATATTTCTATACATACATAAAATTGGAATAACAAAAAATCAATTCAAAAAAAAAAGATATAAATTTTTCTTACCTCCCAATAATTCACAGTTGATTCTTCAGCCATGATTTCATAAATACACATTCTTCCCTAATCAAAAAATAATAATGATAATACAAAAAAAGATCAATCCCACATATTTTTTTTTTTTTTTTTTTTTTACTTACATCTCTTAATTCATCCACAGAGACATCTATCAAAGTAGCAAATTCTTTATTTCCTTTGTATATTTCTCCAGTACGTCGCCAAAGACATGCTGGAATGGCCATAGCACTAAACACTCGATCATAATCCTAAAATAGAGTAAAAGCAGGAGGGAAATAAGGACCACAGCGGAGTTTTCCAATAAGCATTGTATACATTTTTTTTTTCTTCTTACCAATAACAGTCGTTCAAAAGCTTCTTCTACCAAGATAAGATCAACATCAGTCAGTGATTGTGCAACATCTCTAAAAGTAGGTCGAAATGTTCCCATGACATTCAATATACGTTGTCTACTGTCTGGTGACATACTAAAGTTGGAAATAAAAATGAATATCATCATCATTATTCTAATTGTCACTTACTATTGATCCATATAACGTTGTAATCTTGCATAGCCATTCACATAATTATAAGGTTTCAAGAAGCCAGCTTCATATTTCGCATTGATCACCTCATTCAATCGATCTTCCAATTTTCCATCTTTTGGATCAGCTGCAGTCAAAAAGAAGTTTTCTTTGGTAGATACTTTATTGTCGTTGTTGGTACTCACATCATTGTTGTTGTTATTATAATGTTCCGAACCTTTTGATACATCATCCAAGAAATCACTAATATATAAAAACATTTAATGACATTGTATGAATAGAGTAGATTATACTTACTTTAAAACATTCAATTCATTTCCCATAGATTCACTGGCAAATGTAAATGATGGAGTGTCTATTAAAAAAAAAAAAAAGGAATAAGTCATCTCCGCTGGTTTTCTTTTATGAGATTCCCACGCCACTACTGCATATATGCTTTGTTTGTGTTTACTTGCCCCAAATGTTTTCATTGAATGGAATAGAATCATCGATATCTTCTAGTTGATGGTTGGGTGGTGTTGGTAATGGTGTAGCCATATTCTTATTATTATTAGACTTTAAAGGATTGGCATCGTCATACATATCATCATCATCTTCTTCTTCGTCATCATTATTTTCATTTAATCCATTCTGTTGTAATTTTCGTTGTTTTTGCTGCGTATGTGAAGAAGGAGATGTAGGTTTACTTGATTTCTTTCTTCCATGATTGGATCTTGGTTCATCATGACACATATTTCCAATATTTCGTTTAATACATCGTTGGCAAGGTCGTCCTTTGAAAAAAAAAATCATCAGTATAAGTTTTTCTTCTCGTCCTACCTTAATAACTCGTACTTTTTTTTTTAATATATAATATATATATTATACATTCATTTACCTTCATCACATGTCATATGAGATCGTCGACAAAACACACAAGCTATACACAATGACACAAATGAGTATTTGTCTTCTTTTTTTTTTCTTTTTTTTCGTCTTACCTAAAGAAACCTTTTTTCGTTTACGTTTCAAAGTAAGATCAGGAGGTAATGGAGGTGACTGAGACATGAAGAAATGAATATAAACGAAACGTATATGGAAGAAGAGAGATTGATATTTAATTATATGTTTATGCGTGTATATAAGGTATTAAAAAAAAAAAGAAAAGGTAATGTATGAAAAAAGACAAAAAGAAAAGGGAAAAAAAGGGAAAAAAGAAAAAAAAAAAAAGAAAAAGGACCCCCCTTACATCCCCACAATATCTGGGATTGAATCACCTAAAAAGGAGACAGTGAGAGAAAAAGAGAAAATAAATTGTTAAGCACCAACTCATTGGACGTGGAACTTTCTTCTTTATACACTATAGTTTTTGTTTTTTTCTTAAATGATCTATAAAAAACTCCCCAATATAATCAACATCATCAAACATGATTTCAGACGCACCTGACAACAGTTGGTGTTACACAGAGAATAGACGCTCAAACCAATATAATTTTACAAAGGGAAAAGTTTTGTTTTTGGAAAAAAAAGGTGGGGAGAATTATCATATTATTTATTAGTAAAAGTAGGACAAAAAAAAATAAGTACAAGGTATAAAATAAATAAATAAATATATGTTAAAAAAAAAAACTATACTACATCGTCATCATTATTGCCAATAACCAGATTCTTCTTGTTTTCCTCTTCGAGCCAATAATGATAAAAAATCATTTTCATCAGAATCAGAATCTTCTATATCAGACATTTCGTGAGGTTTGTCATAAATATCTTGTTCCAATGGCCCATTGTCTTGGTAATGTTGATTATTTCGTTGTTTAGATCCAATATGTGCTGCACTGACGTCCAAAGCTTCAATTGTACTTTCCGGCTTGTATACCGATGTCATTCCATCTACACTTCCTTTTCCGTCACTTTTACCTGCATATTGTTGTTGATCATCCTCTTCTTCCACTAATGGTTGTCGATAATTACTAAACGTCGTCAAAAGGCGATAACTACCTGATATTGGAGAATAACCTTTCTTCTCTTCGTTGTCGTCGTTATTATTATTATTATTATTATTATTATTATTTGTTGGTTTCGTATCAACTGACTCTTGATGATTGCTGATATCTTTTATAGATCCTTCCGCTTGTCGTGATTGGTCTATTTCATCTTGATCAGTCGTTGTTGTTTTTGTTTCATCTTTATCAAATGTGACGTTCTTCACTGTAATATCACTTGCTATTGATAGATTTGTTGATGCCGTTGGTCTTTCTGATAATAATGTTTCATTAGAATATCTTGGCATAAGATTATCGAAAGTTGAAGGTAACGGCGTTTCTGTAAGTAGGGATGTTTCATTTTTTTCATCATCGTTGGTTGAAGTCATGGGTGATGGTGTTGGTGTTGATGGTGAGAATGACGTTTGTAGTGTTGGTGATAATGGTACAGACAATGATGGTGTTGTTATTGTTGTTGATGATGATGATAATGACATTTTGTTGGTCATTTGATCAAACCAGCTCACAGTATCATCAAGTCCTATAGAATGATCGAATGGTTCACCCAGCGAAAGCGGTAAATAAAAAGAAGGCGAAGTTGTTTGGGTCACATTTGCTGAGGACGAAGATATAGAATGTGATGATTTTGACGTTTCAGAAGTGGAATATTGTTGTTTTTCATTGACGGATAATAAACTGGATACTTTTGATTGGTGTGAGTGCTGCTGTTGGTAGGCGGGTATCGAGTTGGGCTCTTGGTATGGATGACTCTTCTGAGAGATTATATTGGAAGCACGTTTGAAAGAAGAAGAAATATCCCAACGGAAACTTGTAGATGATATTTCGAGGACATTGGATGGAAGTGAAAATAATAAATCCATGGATGCCAACGAAGATAGTACAGATGGTTGTTGTTTTGGTTGTTGCTGTTGCTGTTGTTGTTGTTGCATTGATTGATTTTCTTGTCCAATATGCTTAACGCCTTTCACAAACTTTGGATCCAATATATCAGGAGGTAAGGTAGATAACTTCATGGGTAACGTGCCAATCACAATAGGAAGTTCAACACGCATAGATGCTAGGTTGGTACAAGTCCGTCGTTTATCCATAAGATAAGTACTAAGATCATTGATGGTATCTTCTCCATCCATCTCTGCCCGAACTTCAATACGGTAATCCACTTGCATAAGCCTTGCGTTGAGAGTGATGGTAGGTGAAATATATTTGGGTATCAATAAAGATGTTGTAATAGTTTGGCCACTTGTACGTTGAATATCGATATCTAGTTTTGTTGAAGTAACCACGGTCGAAGATAATAGATATGCCCTATTTCATAAAAAAAAAAAAAATACACATAAAAGTCAATGATCTAATCGATTTATCATTTTCCTTTACACTTACTTTTCTTTGCATAAAATACGAGTACATCGAATCAATGACACTGTGAGTCCATTAGCACGTTGATAAGGTTGAAAGTGTTGAATATCCACAGTAATAGGAATGACTTGGTCTAATATCAAATAAAATAAAGGTAAATCAAAAATCTATTTCAAAAGATATTTATATTTATATATATATATATTACCTCTGGTATATCCTTTGTGTGGTATGGAGGCGGAAACAGTTGTTTGATCATATCCATGATAGTCATCTTGATCTATCATATCTTCAGAATTTTCTGCATGCCAAGAGACTCGATTCCAAATAGGTTCTATTAAATCAGATTTGCTGATATCAAGTCTTTCTAGGACAGGAATATGAATAGATGTTGTGATGGGTGACCAATCGCGAGAAGGACGTTCTATTGTTGCTGTAATAATGTATTCAATAATCCCTCCAATATTTGTATCGCTCTAAAATAAAATAATAATAATAAGAATAAAACAATGTTAAATCTATAGTAATAGTATCACTCTTAAACTTACTTCAGTACAACTTGGTAAAGTCGAATCCACCGGTAAATTGACTTGAAAGGAGTATGTATAAGTTTGACCTTCTTTCACAGTACCAGGACAAACATCTAATAGCATTGTTTCCTTAAAATAATAATGATCATCTTGTTTCTTGGAACTAATATAAGTTCGAATACGACCAAAGAAATCCAATTTGATCCCAGAGACTTTGTATGACCTTGTTGGTATGAGGACAATCCGACCTTTTATACAATCTCCACGAAAGTAATATTTATATTCATCCAACGTAATAGTAAAGACTGATCCATGTTTTGGAACTATCTTTTTCATAATGTGTCTATATAAATAAGATAGGTTGATTAGGCCATGAAGTTTTCAAAAAATAAAAAAAAAGAAAAAAAAAAAGAAAGAGGATAAAAAAAAAAAAAAAGGCAGGGAGATCCTTTAATCGCGCGCAAATAGATCCGTGCAAAATCCTGACGGGAAATGAAATGACTGGAATATTTGCCACCGGTACATCTTGGGTCAGAAAGAGTGCGAGATATACATATAGAGAAATAAAGAGATGAGGATTTACTTTTTCCAGAGGAACTGATTTGTTTCAAATTTTTCATACTTCTCCCTATTTTGTTTTATGTGAATTCTATCAAAATGCATTTATAGGGGTCAGTTTATACAAAATTCGCATGTTCATATCTGATTGGCAATGATCCAATCATCCTGGTTCATATTTAAAAAAAAATCAGATAAATATTTGAAGTCCGTTTCCTATATTTATCTGTTTTTCATTTTTTGTTTTCTTTACTCTTCTTCTTTTTTTTATTTTTTTTTTTTATATATATATTTGTAATATCTCAATCTTATATATTGTTCATTCAATGTTACCCAATCTACTGGGTGGTAAACTCTTGACAGGAGTATTGCCTCCAGACAAACATGACCATTCTAATCCTTGGTTGCCATCTCATTCACCCATTGCCGATATAGAATCATGTATAGACGATCCAACTCTTGCTCCTCTTGGTGGTCATATTCGTACAATATCTTACAAGCAAAAACAAAAGAAAAAGGACTACAAGGGTCAAGTGAAGATTCAACGGAAATATGACTTATTACACAAAGATATTCATGGAGCTGGGCTCCTTATGTTACGACGCAAAAATCTTACAGCTATCGATCTTGCTCAACTACTTAATACAATGGCTCCTTTGGCTCCTTTTTTGAAAAAACAACATTTACAAAGCAATAGTTATTTTGATGGTCTCGTGGAATTAGATATCTCTAGGAACAAGTTATCATCACTCCCATCTGAAATTTCACTCCTTACCCAGTTACGAACCCTCAATGCATCATCAAACCTGCTGACTCACCTACCAACAGAACTTTATCACCTGACTCAATTGGAGGTTCTTCTTTTATCTCAAAACCAGTTACAGATCATTCCTGATGATCTACCTATTCAACTTCCTTGTCTGGTCACACTTTCCGTTGCTGGCAACATGATCGATTATTTGACTCACAAAGTGAACCAATGGAAACATATGCGTCATCTTCAACTTGGTTCTGTTTTTGGTGGAAATCTTTTGACTCAAATACCCGATACGATAGTAGAAATGCCTAGTCTCGAAGAATTGGATCTATCCTTCAATCAATTATGTGTACTTCCAAGCAACATGTATATTCCTTCTTTATTACATTTGAATGTTTCTCGTAACAAGTTGGATTCTTTACCCACAAGTATCGGTCGATGCCATGGTTTGAAAACTCTGAATGTTAGCAAGAATCATCTTACAACATTACCTGCGAATTTGGTGGAACTGGACAATTTAGAATTATTGGATATATCGGAAAACTTGTTATGTATTATGCCTGCTGATATATTGGAACGAATGAAAACTACTTTACTGATCAGTGGGAATCCACTCACTCGTCCTGGACATTGTGATCTTTCCAATTCTTCAGATGCCTATGCTCAAGTACTCAAACGAATGACTATGCGTGCCTTACCTATGATGCCTTCATCATCAGCTTCTTCATCTTCTTCAACAACATCATCCAAATCTGGTGGATTGATTCATAGTTATCATCATCATCGTCATCATCAATGTGGTCCTCAAGGTTCTGGATGTCTAGGTTCAACGTCTTTACAGCAACAACAACAAGAATCAACGGTATCATCTTCACTATCTCCTGATGATCAAAAATACACATCTTCTCTTCGTCCTCATCCATCAATGATTTCTTCACCAACTGCAGCCCCATCATCATCTCCATCATCATCATCAACATCATCACGAATATCGTCTAGTTTTGGGTCTCTATCAACTTCAACGTCATTATCGCAACCTTCGTTATCGATACCTATACCATCAGTCTCTGTACCAACAATAACACTAAGGGATGATCATCACAACAACAATAACAATGACAATGATGATGATGCTTCGATTGATCGTGAATTATCCTTTTTAGCTCAACAATTGAATGTACAAGGTGCACGATATCCTCTTACAGCAACTTTATCTAGATCTGGCTCACCATTATCAGAGAATCCAGCGACAACAGTAGATAATGACAATACATCTTCAAGAACAGCAGCAACAACACCAACAGGTAGTCGAATAGGAACACCTCTGCAAGATGATATGTTCTCACGATCATTATTAATGGAAACAATGGCAGCCAATATGGAGGAGGATGATACGATGATGGAAAATTCTGGTGGACTTGCATGTACATTATATGACCATTCAACAAATTCGGAAACATCAGTAAATACCAACATTGTTCATTCATTACGGGAACTAGCTACACGAGTGATATTACAATCCAAGAAGAAGGTACCTTTACATATGATTCCTCCTCATTTAGCCAATGATCTCGCCAAACATAATCGTCGCTGGTGTGCCAAATGTCAACAACCTTTTGTGAATGAATGGTTAACTTCTGTGCAAGTCAAAAGCTATAGTGGTCATCCTGCTGTTGTTCGTCGTGTCCGATTTTGTTCTACTCGTTGTTGGCAACAGTATCTTCATTCAAGGAAATCTGTGGTATGTGTCCATCGTGCTGAATCTCAACCTATTTTACGACAAAGTGCTGAACAAGAAGAAAGTGATTGGTTACAAGCATCATCTCTGGTTACTGACTCTCTATGTTGATCTCTTTTTTTTTTTTTTTATCATTATTATTTTAATTAATTTATTCCCTCCACTTTTTTTTTTTTTTTTTTTTTTACCCTACATCATATAGTTATATAAATATATATTACATTGTACATAGTCTTCTTTATTATGATGGTTTATTTATTGATTGGTTCAAATTGACAGGAAATAAAAACAACAATTTATATTATTTTCTTTTTATACAATATATTCTCTAACTCAATAGATATGATGATGATAGTAACCATGTCTGATGATCATTTCGGTATTTTTTATGTATGAATTACCAGGTAACCTTATGGCGGAGAAACCCTAATTTGGTCAAGTGTGAAGAAACTACTTTTTGTTCTGTAACGATATTGGCTGCACTTGGACATTAGACTTTCGTACCCAGCAAGAAAAAAAAAAAAAAAAAAAAAAAGCTCTCGAAAAAATTGTATTGTTATCTTTCTCTTTTCTCTTTCTCCACAAATGGATACTTATCAAAACCCAACGTCTCATTATCCACCTGCTCAAGGATATGGTGCACCAGAAAACCCTGCCAATTATGTATCACCCAATGACTTGAACTTGAATCAAATGAATATTCATTCAAACCAACAACATCACCCTTCTCACCATCCTAGCTTCCATCTTGGAGGGACTGAATATCATTTACATCGCCCTCATCTTCATGAACTCAAGGATCAAATCTTCCATCACCAAGGACCAACCGAAGTTGTGTGTGGCCCTTTACTTCGCTATAGTGATATTGATTACCATTCTCGTACCTGGCGCGGCTCTTGCTTGATTGTATCCAATGAACATCGAGCACCTCCTCTCCATGTAGAACTCAAGTCTGGCCAAAGTCAAGTATTAGAATTCCATGCTTACCGTTTGGATAGTTTCCGACATCGCTACCACTTTTGGCGTTATGAGCTCATGCTACCTTTGACCTCACAACCTCAACGAGTGGTGTACTCGACCCCTAGTTTACCTGGTCAAACCTTTGATTTCCACTTACCTGCCATTCAAGAATCGATGCGTTTTATGTTCCACTCGTGTAATGGGTTTTCTGATATACCTCAAGAAGTCAAGGACAAGTTTGGTGGATTGGATGTTCCTCTCTGGCAAGATGTCTTGGATCGTCATCAAGTCATGCCTTTCCACGTTTTGATTGGTGGTGGTGATCAATTGTATCAAGACAAGATTATCAAAGAAGCCTTTATGAAACCTTGGAATGATGAAAAGGATCCCAAAACGCGTTTGGCTATGCAACTATCTTCTGAAATGATCGAAGGCATGGAAACATTTTATTTCAACAATTATATTGACAACTTTGGGTAAGGTGATGATGATCTCTTTTTTTTTTTTTTTTCTCATTATGTCTTTATTTTTTTAGAAAAAAGAATCCATGGGTTGCCAAAGCCTTTGCTACTATACCATCAATCAATATGTGGGATGATCATGTAAGCAAGATCAGAGTATTAGTGATGATGTAGCTATCATTATTCATGACTTATTTTTTTTTTATTTTTTGAATAGGATATTATTGATGGTTATGGATCGTATCCTTCTGATATGCAAAATGCTCATTGTTTTAAAAGTAAATAGTCGATATTACCTTCTAGATAATGCAAGACTAACCTTTTCTTTCTCTCTCTCTCTCTATATATATATAGCTCTATTTACAAATGCGTGTCGCTTCTATTACCTTTTCCAACATCATACTACGGTACAATTGGCAGAACAACATGGGATGATTCGTGGTGCAAAACCGGAAAGTAATAGTGTAGTGACTACTCTTGGTCCTGATATTGGTATTCTATCCTTAGATTGTCGTGGTGAACGAACTAAACATGATATTTGTAATCCTAAAACCTATGATACTGTTATGAATGCTCTATATACACGGTTGCCAACTACTGTGAAACATTTACTTGTGGTTACTGGTAAGGATTCTTTACATATATATATTGATAGGCGGTCTATGTGTGTGACCATGTGTGCGCATATATTTTTTTTACTCATGCAAACTCTTTTCGTTTTTTTTTTTCCTTTTTTTTTTTTTTTTAAGGCGTTCCTCTCATCTATCCACGACTTACACTATTTGAAAAGGCTATGGACGGTGCAGCTGGGTTCAATTTGGCAACATTGGCTGGCAAGACTGGTGCACTTGGTGATGTGATCAATGGATCCTTAAATAAATGGAATGGTGACCCTGAATTATTAGATGATATGAATGATCGTAAGTTGAAAATCAATCATTGATGTACATATATGCAGATACATGCGCATAAGTCTGACCAATTCTTTCCTATTATAAATACTTCAAAATGCTTCATTATATCATTTATTATAGACTGGACCGCTGGAAACCATTTGGTGGAACGAAAGAAATTCATTGAAAGTTTACAACAATATGCTCGTCATAAATCTATTCGTGTCTCATTCCTTGGTGGTGATGTAAGTAAAAACAAAAAAAAAAAAAAAAAAAAAAAAAAAAAGGAAGAGGGAAACTATTAGATTAAATATTGATTATTATTATAGGTTCATTGTTGCGCTGCAGGCAAATTATACTCCAAGGATATGAAGGAAAAAGAAGAAGGCGATCCTTATCTTATGGTTCAAATTATCTCAAGTGCTATTGTGAATGTGTAAGTAATTTGATTTCGTGTGTCACCTTTGATGATACTTAATTTTTTTTGTATGATGATAGTCCTCCTCCTCAAGCTCTATTGACTATTCTGAATCAAAATTCATCTTATATTACATTCAATGGCAATACTGAAGAAAAAATGTTTAATATTTTCAAGAGATCACCCAATGGAAATACGGTAAAGTGGTTATATCTATCTATCAATATATTGTCTTCATTTATGCTTATCTATCTTTCTCTCTCTTCTTTAGCGACAAAACAAAAAGCTAATGGGATGCCGAAATTATTGCGCAGGGTAAAGAAAAAAAAATGTTGAATCAATGGATTTTTTTTTATTATTGTTATTAGTATTATAAAGCTCAACTTTCTTTTTTTTTTTTTCCTATTTATATTATAGATATTTTGATGAAGCAACTGGTAAAATCAACTTTTGGATTCAAGCAGAAAAGGAAGTTGGTGTGAAGGGCACAATGGGTTACCTTGTAGATGTTCCCAAATTAGTATTTGGACAAGCTGGTTACCATTTACATACTCAAGGAAAGCAACATTTATTATCAACAAGAGCTGGTTATGGTTATAAAGACTCTTTCCCAGGCAGTCATCATCATCAACAACAACAACAACAACAACAACAATATCAGTCAACATCACCTCCTCCTCCATCAAAAGGTTCTGGACCTGGTGGTTTTATCATGCCCCAACCTTATGCATGAACAAACAAGGAAATAACGATTACAATGTGCAGCAGCAATGATATCCGTTGGTCCTTTGATTGTATCTATATTTATCTATCTTTAGTCATAGCTATACTTTTATATTATCTTTATAGGAGGAACACATGGTCGATCACTATCATCATTCTTCTTATATAAATATTGTCTTTATTTTCTTTTTCTTTCTTTTTTTTTTTTTCTTTGTCTTTCTATTACTTTATTTGGCTTTCGGTAAATAAAAAAAAGATCCTGTTTTCTTTTCATTGTCTCTTTGTTATTTTTATGCCATACACATATATATATATAAGAACTTGACCCCTGAATTCATCATCGATATTTTTTTCTTCTTCTTCTTCTTACTCTTTAGTAAAAAAAAAAAAAAAAAATGAAGGACGGATCTACATGTCTTTATTACCAACCACCATCACCAATCCATAATAATATGATCAAAACAAAAACAGTAACGACTATGAAATGTACAAAGGCAGGCTCTTCATATACATCTGGTCAACAAGGATCCAATTCACATAAAGAACGATCAGATTTACCATTTCATCCATCCTTAATAAAACGTTATCAACTCGGCAAAGTATTAGGGAATGGAGGATATGGGTTTGTATTGTCAGCTGTTGATCGGCTGACACGTCAACGTTGTGCAGTTAAATTCATCTACAGGCACAAGATACCATCCACTGGTTGGACGCACGTTCCATCATCATCATCATCATCCTTATTATCGCATGCTTCGACCGTTCCTTCCCGGGTTCCGACGGAAGTTTACCTTTTACAACATACCCAGCATAAAAATATCATCCGGATGTTAGATGTATATCAAGACTCCTATTTTTATTATTTAGTTATGGAAACCCATGGATCTGATTGGCGTTCTCAACAACAATGTGATCCTTCTTTGATCTCCCGTGACCTTCCTTTTAGTCATAATGATGATGGTGGGGCCCAGGATCTATTTGAATGCCTTGAACAAAATCATCATTTCTCTGAAGAAAGAGCCCATCATATCTTTAATCAAGTCTTGGATGCTGTCTTACATTTAAAAGAAAATGGATTTTATCATCGTGATATTAAGGATGAAAATATTTTAATCGATCATGATTTCAATGTAATATTTTGTTTTTGATTTTTGAAAGAAAAAAAAAAGTCTAATTACTATTTTTTTTTTTTTTGAATAGATCAAATTGATTGATTTTGGATCAGCCATTAGTAAGACATATCAATCATCATGGTTAAATCAATTTCATGGTACATTATCATTTGCATCACCTGAAATTCTAAGTGGGAAATTATATCAACCGGAACCTGCCGAAGTCTGGAGTTTGGGTGTCCTTTTATATACTTTACTCTATGGTCAAGTGCCCTTCTCTACTCCATTTCAAGTCATCCATGGTCATTATCATACACCGTCCATCCAAAGCTCAAAACAGTGCTCTTCTCTTCTTGCTAGTCTATTCTGTAAAAATCCATATGATCGTCCTTCCCTTGAAGATATTCGACATCATCCATGGATAACTTCGAAGAAAATGTAATCACATTGTATTTAATATTTTTTTTTACTGTAACGATGTTTTTTTTTTTTATCTGATATCACGTTTATCTATAGTTTTTTTTTTTATTTTTTATTCAAATTCATAATCATATCATAATAAAGGATACATTCTTTATTTTTTTTTTATTAAGGCTGAATACGAAGTATGAAAAAAGCCTTCTTACGTTCAGTTTTCTTTCAACACCGCTTTTGGAAATGGATACCATACACTTTATTCAATAATAATTGACGGAATTCAAAGAATAAGATGACGCAAAAATAGGAAATAAAATATATAATAAGGATAGAAAATAAATGACAGAAGAAAAAAAAAATATAATTGTCGCATAATCAAATAGAGAATATAAGAAAATAGATATCATTAAAAAAAAAAGAGCAATCAAAAAAAAAAAGGAAATCCACCAATTGAGTTCACCAAGTTTGTATATAAAAAAAAAATAAAAAATGAGTAATACTTATCCAGATGAAAACCTTTCACTAGCTTACCATGTAAGTGTAACGTGATCACCGTACCGCTACGGTGAAAGTGGGTAACCTGGCGATAACCAGCCCGGAAATTGTTGAATAAAAAAGAAGAAAAGGCGGACCGTAACCACGCAAATGCGCATTAGCGACCACGGTCAAGCCCAAAAACAAAATAAAAGCAGGTCAATTGAGATACAGACAAAGGTGGTTGAACTATAAAAGAATACTTGTAAAGAAAAGGATAAGCCAAAAAAAAAAAAAAAGAAGGCAGATCAAAAAGCAGGCAGGTAAGATGAATGTAATGTAAAGAAATAAAAAAAAAAGTTAAATCAAAGAGATCCTTTTATAAGAAAATGAATCACCCTTGCAATTATGAGCTAATTTTAGTAGATAAAATGATGAGACAAGATGTAAGCGAGTTTTATCATCTTTTTTTAAAAATATTAGCAACATTTCTATCTTTATATTGTATCTAATTCATCATCATTTTTTTTTTAGTACTAACAACATTTCTTTCTTTCTATTGTATTTAATTTATCATTTGTCTTTTTTAGTATCCACTTTATTATTTTTACTATCTACTTCATCATTTTTTTTCTTTAGTATTAGCAACATTTCTCTCTTTATAATAAAGTTAATTACATAGATGTTCTACATTAAATTCTATTATTACAATATTTATGTACTAAATGATACATGGTACTGACTTGTTTTTGCCGTGTTTTAGTTTAATGACTAGATTCCTTTTTTTTTTAGTTGTTCTAGTTTAAATGATAGTATGATTGTGTACTAGCACATTTATTATTGTTATTTTTTAATTTCCATAGATGTTTGATGAATCATCGTTATTATACTGATTTATCATGTTGGCTGATAAAAGAGTGTTTTGACATTTTTCAAAGAAAAAAAGAAAAGAAAATGAAAATGTTGTTCTGTCAGAAGGTAACTAGAATGAAGTATTTTGTATTTTATCAGTAATTTGTACAGCGATTGACGACAATGTTTCATCATCCATCATACAATCATACAATCATCCAACATATAATCATCCATTATCACATATCATCCATCATACAGTCATCCATCATCCATCCTGTAATCATCCAATATACCATCATCCGTTATCACATATCATCAATCATGAATCATCAATCATGAATCATCAATTAATTGATACCTAAAAAAGAATGGACAACACCCAAAGCTGCTAAAAATATGAAAAGCCTTGGTTACTTTTCTTTTCTGTCTTTTATTATTAATAAACAAGTTATCATCAATGTGTTGTGTGTTTTTAATGTACTCTACTGACATCCTTAGAGCGATATCTGAAAAAGCGATAATGCGACATTCATTTTGAGAACGTACGATATTTTATTTTATAACATCACGAAAAGCATTTTCTTGTGGCACGACAAAAAACTTTGTATATCTCTTTCTATATTTGGGGGTCGGAGGATGTTAATATTTGGTAGTGATAGATGATTTTTATTAAATAAAATAATAGAAGGCTTTTTATAAATAAAAAAAATGGAGTTGGAATAAATATATTACATATAACTATTCTGATGGATCATTGGTGTAGCTCTAGATGATAGGATAAAAATAAAATAAAATAGAATAAGATGGATTGTTTACCATGTTAATTGTAGTGGATGGAAGAAGATTTCATTCACAGCTGCATAAATAGACCTCTATTTATTAAATTTATTGTTACTGTTTTTTTTTCTTTCTTTCTTTCTTTCTTCTTTTTCTTCTTTTTTTTTTTCTCTAAACTAAATTTATTGTTAATGTTATGGACTCCCGTCAAATTGATTCTGGCTCAAGGCGACAAGGATCTCGACAATACTCTTTCATTAATGAAGGAAGAGGATCTGGTGAATATATTTTCATTCATGAAGGCAATTCTCAACCATCTTCAAATGCAGCTCGCCCACAACAATACACGTTCGTTAATGAAAGGAGCACTTGGAATGTACATCAATCTCTTCCCGGTATACTCAATCACGATGAAAACAGTACTGGGTCATCTTCAACCGACATTCTTTTCCACCCACTTGATAATAGATTGGTTCACGAAGAATACAGTTCTGGTGCCTTACGAACCAATAGACCTATTCAACAGTTGCTAATGGTTTGTCATTCAGATGAAAACGTAAGTACTTTTTTTTTAGAAAAAAAAATCAATATGTGTTTCTTGTAAAATGGAGCGAATGCACTAACTTCTTTCATTATTTTTTTTTTTTATTTTTTCTCCCTTCTAGTGGCAAGTGGTTGTTGATGATTACAATAAAGCCATCAAAAAGGGACCAACGGACTCGTGCACGTGCTGTGATGGACTTTTCTTCCCAGATACAATGAAGGCTATGACAAAAACAACTCTGATGGCCAAGAATATGGATGCTGACTATATCAACAAGGTAATAATCAGAAAAATATATATATTTTGTGGTGATACGTTATTCTTTAATTACTAATGATAAATCTAATATTTCCGCTCACTAGGTTTTCAATGATAGTAGTGAAGAAGTAGGCAAGTTCTGTGCTACCTGTCACCATGATATAACGAAGAAAAAGGTGCCCAATTTGTGTTTGTCAAATGGATTGAAGTTTATGGATGTCCCAACGCAGATTGGCCAACTTACAAGGCTGGAAGAACGACTGGTAGCAGCTCGCCATGTTTTCTTTTAACTCTCTACCTATTCGATATTTGTGCCCTTATCAATGAATAAGACACCTGGCGACCGAATGTCATTTTTTGGCTATGAAGGTAAAGATTAATATTATAGAAAAGTTTGTTATGCTCCATGAAATTTACTTTTTCTTTTCTTTTTGGCGTAAAATACGCGTAGAACTCAAGGATTATATCCAGACGACAAAAAACCCCAGTTTCGACCATTGATGCGCTGAAAACTCGTCCGAAATTGCCGGTTTTTCTTCTACTTTATTGGTGATTGATGGCTTTATTTAGGGCGTGGTCCGGACGATATATGGAAGTTATGGCACAGTTTCGACCAACGAAGCCGATAAGGTAATCTGTCCCTCTCTCTCTCTCTCTTGTTCCTTTTTGCTTACGTTTTTCTCTCTTTTTCTTTGAAAACAATACATAGGAAACCACCACAAATGAAGAATGATGTTTGGACGTTTATTAGCAATCTAGCAAGGCAACGCGTAAGTAAACTGATATTATTGAATGACTTTGGTGACTGACCCACCTTTTTTTTTTTTTTTTTTTTTGATATTATAGAAATCATTATCACAAACATACGAAGTCGAAAGCATTCGTGTATTGGAAAGGTATAGTGCAATAGCTTCTAGTTCAGCTCTCACAGATGCCGACAACCTTCACCAGCTTCAGCATGGCACTCCTATCAGCACCATTGACGACAGTGACACACAGCATAGTACCGATGATGAAAGTGGAATGGCCGATGATCCTACTTATGACTTTGATGGCAATACATTTATCAGCAACGCTTATTACCTATCATTCAAAAAGGTAACGAAAAAATAGATGAGTGGTCAAAATGTTTAGTAGTGTCATTACTTGGTATGTTCATTTTTATTATTTTATATGCCATCTATATAGTTCAAAGGTATCAAATTCAATCAACATGATCGACTTTACCTAGAGAAAGCTGCTTCCACCACCTCATTTGACTCTGGTTTGCATTCCTCAATCTACAATATTGTGCTACATTTACTTCGAAAAGTATATTTGAACAATGATGAAATATCTCTATTGAAGTAAGTTGAGAGGTGGGGGATAAAATTGGAATATGACTTACTCATCATTTATTTGTATATAAATATATAGATTGTCTTTATCAAATGCTATCAATTTTCTGAATCCTGGTGCCGTGAATTTGGTGAAAACGTTTATGGACGATGGCGCAAGAAGTCTATTTGAACAGCAAACAAAGGCAGCAATCACTCAATTTGACTGCGGTCTCTCTGAACAATGTAGCTCCTTATATGATGAATTGATGGAAAAAACGTAAGGCACAAAATGAAGGCTGAAAACAATGAACTTCAAACTCACCGTTTGTTCTTCTTCTACCTTAGCTTGATGACCTCCCCCAATGACGCCAAACTTCTCCAAGCTATCTACCAGAAAAAGGCAGATTTAGTGACTACGATGCATAGAACTGATGAACAATTTTGTCTTTTATCTATATTGGAACATGTGTAAGTAAAAGGATGAGGTGACAATATACATTTTATAGACTGACTGATCTTTTTTTTTTTTATATATATAGTGTGGAAGGAATTGATGATTGGTTGATAACACAAGACGAATCAGAACTCACTCTTTATAGACGATTTGGATCCATTCTTGACATTTTATTTAGACACACGAAAATTTATTTGGCAGAGTAAGTTTTTTTTTTCTTCTTCTTAGATTAAAATAGATAGCTCATATCGCTGATTAACTTCTTTTCATTGTTACTCTTACCGTAGCGGCGAAACCATCAGCGAAGCATCATCAAGGACTATGCGGTACAATGAATGTATATATGGGGACTCGAGGACAACAACAACAACAACAAACAATGTATTTGGCCAGCGAATCGATCTCATAATCAAGTCAAGCAAGGAAAAATCAATTGAACTATGCACCAATGAATGGAAACGACAACAAGCCGACGCCAACTTGGCCATCCACCAACAAAACAAAAATATTCGATTGAACTGTGCGGTCTTGAGCCACCTCCAATCACTCAAATATCCTTCAAAGGTGCCATTCACTGTGGCGATGGATTGGTTGGGTAAAAAAAAAAAATACGGTGGTAGGTTTATCCATTTGACAAACTAACAACATATTTGACTCAATTTTGAAAATAGGCACTGTTGGATACATGTACATATTAGTGGATGTAGAAGGGGCGTTTGTTGCTCGAAATATTGGTCAGGTGATTATGCCTAGGACTATGTTGAATCTCAAAGAATTTAAACGAACTCTGGACTTGCTATTTGCATTGAAGGTAAAAAAAAAAAAAAAAGAAAGAAAGAGAGGAGTCAAAAAGAAGGGAGTCAATCATGATGAATATTGTTTTTACTCATAGTATTTTTATAATAGCGTTTTCTAGTGGACCTTGGTTGTCAAATGGAATGTGCTCTTCAAAAGTGTGAATCGGATGACCAACTACGACAGGTGATTTTTTTGGATGATGACAACGACACCAATGGGGATGATGATGGAACCAACCCAAAGCAGCGCATGGTATTCTTTACGCCTAGGAGCAGCCGGATCAAGAAGATGAAGATTGATGGTCTGGACTGAATGATTCTTTTAGTTTATATTTGTGTACATATTATATATAGTTATTATTATACCTCTTTTTTTTGTCATTACATTTAATAAAAATGCATTGTTTTACTCTTTATGACTTTTGGGATTAGGTGTTACATAGTTAGAATGGAGTGAGATTGGTATATATACTGTATGTCGCCATTTACAAAAAAGGAAACCGGTATCCATGACAGCGGAGGCTTTTTTTGGGAGCACCTTTTTTGTCTCTCTCTTTTCTTTTTCTTTTTTTTTTTTTTTTTTTTTTTATTGTTGTCCTTGTTCATGTCTTCAACTTTTCTTCGCTCCTCCTCCTCCTCCTCTTCTTCTTCTACTTCGACTCCCAATGAACAATATCAACAGTTCGTAGCTCAACAAATTGCAATTCAGAATCATGATCTGGAAGATGATTCATATGATACGTTTGAAGGATCATATGTTGGTAGTTACTACTGGAGTGCCTTGGAAAAGAAACGGTTTTTCTTGGCCTTGGATCGCTATGGACCACATGAACCCAGTTTAATCCAACAACGTATTGGCTCCACCAAATCTGTCTTTCAAGTATCTTTGTATCTGGACTTATTGGCAACAGCATCTGAACAACATCCTATGGAACAAGAAGGTAAAAAAAAAAAAAAAAAAGCTTGCGGTCAGGATATGATTCACGTCAACAAATCTTCCTTTTTTTTTTTCTTCTTCTTTTTGTTTAAATAGATCACACGTACATTCCTTTTGCCTACGAAATGAGTGATCATTGGATGTCACTGGAGGAAGATCTTGCTGAACAATGTATGTCCTTATCTGATGACCATATGATCGAATTGAACACTCGTTGGATCAAGGAAAGGCAGACAACAAGAAGGAAACGAAGGACGCATACTAGCAAGGAAGTGTTCGCTGCTTGGGATATATTTGACCGTATAGCAATGGATAACTTGGTATCCCGACGGTAATGTGGATTACGTATAATAGGCACAACATATTTAACTCTATGTTGATCCCCTTACTTTTTTTTTCTCAGTACGTTAGACTGACATTCCTTTTTTTTTCTTTTTCTTTTTTTAACTTCTTTCTTCCTATAGATTTAAAACTGACGAGAATGGCAAAAAAGATAACGGCGAAGATCAAGATGACATGGAAGAAGTCAAAGCTGAGGACAATACTGATGATGATGATGATGATGATGATGACAAAACTGAGGACAAGGATGGTGATGATGACATGGAAGAAGTCAAAGCTGAGGACAAGGATGATGATGATGATGATGATGATGATGACAAAACTGAGGACAAGGATGATGATGATGACAAAGCTGACGTCGAGGATGAATGCAATACAGGCGACGAGAACGATGACGATGATGGCGATGAAGATGAATGTGACAAGCATGTGGATATCAACCCGTGTATTTCTACTTTGATTTGTGAAGAAACTTCCGTTTTACTATATCGGATCTTACGACAATATATCAAGGATATCATAGCTATGGTTATTTGGACCCAGAGATACCTTATTACTGGCGATGATAATGAACAAAATGACAGTGATGATGAAGAAAATGATAGTAGCAACGACAATACTGATGATGAAGTAATAGAAGATGACATTACTGACGACGAAGCAATAAAAGATGAAAATACTGATGGCGAAGCAACAATAGAAGATACCAAAGTAATATCATTTTCATCATCTTCAAAACGTAAATCAACATCCACTTCAAAACAACCTAGAAAAAAGAAAAAAGTGACGAAAGTGGTAAGTAATTCGATGGAAAATATACACGTTATTTTATGAAATATTACTGACTTCTCACCTGCATTTTTTTTTTTTTGATGATATGCTTCTCTGTGTTGCAAATGATTCAGTGTAGAATTCATAAGATGCACATCTCCAAGATTCTATCAACCTATTTTGGTCATAAAAATGGCAAGTTTGATAGGGATACCTTGGATCTGATTACAGAAGGGATGGTGGAGGCGAATATTAACAACGACAGTGACAATGATGACAGCTCTGATGAAGAAACTGACGACGAGGATGACTCTAATGACGAAGAGGATGCTACTCTAGACGAGGCTGACGAAGCGTTTATGCGGGAAATGGACGCTCAACATGAACAAGAATTATATCACCTTATCCATTCATGAATTTATATCGTTTTCCTTATGATAGCGTTATACACTTTTTTTTATTCTATTCTTGTAAATAAACATTATACATATTATTTCATTTTTATTTTACATTTGTATCATGTACAAGGATTTTGTACCAACTTTTCTTTACGTGATTATCAAGGGAAAAGAAAAAAGCCGCGAACCTGACTTTGAAAAAAAAAAACTACCTACGGTTCGCGACAGTGTTACTTTTTTTTTTTTTTCTCTTTCTTACTTTTTCCTTGCTTCTTCTTCCATGATCTCATGAGTGTATATCGATCTAGCAAACGTCCACCACATATCGTTTTTCTAGTCGACACTTTACCATTTATACATTTGGAATGTAAAACAGACGAAGAAACATTTGCTAGTATTCAAGCCATCATTCTACGGATTCTACTTTATTATGTAGATAATGTGGACGATCGTATTACTTGGGGCTTCCGTTTCTTCAATACAAACAGTACTTCTATTACCATGTCCAATCGTCGATTCCATCCTGTATCTACTCAATCTATACAAGAATTTGTCAAGGAACTAGGGACAAAGGTGCATCATGACCGTTTCAAAACAGCAGCAGATAAAGATATGATGGCAACTGTCAAAGTCGATCCAACCAACAACAATAATGATTCTTGTTTCTCTAATCTTAAACAAACACTTATGCAAACATTAGCCGAATTTCAATGGAAGGATATTGATCTCTTGGGTGCTTCTCCTCGGTCGCAACGTATTCGAAACTCAGCAAAAGGTAGTACGAGTAGTCATCATGTTCGACGAGATCAACCTGTGGTGCTCAACAATTATATGTATGTGATATCTCATCGTCCTCATACCCTCTCTGATTTACGCCATTATATTGAAGGCCATCATACCAAGAAATCTATTCAAACAAAGCTTACTCCACAAGGTGATATCATGGATGCTTTCCATAGTATTCAACAAATGGCAGATGAACTCAAACGTTGGTTATGGGACGATTATGCAAATCATCAAATATCTATCAATTGGATTGATAGAGAATCTTGGACAACACAAAAGGTATATACTATATTTTTTACATTTTATTCGATATAAATTCATATTTACTTTTTTTTTCCTCTCTCTCTTGTAGGAAATAGATCGATTTATTCAACAAGGGTTTGAATCTATCATGGAAATGTTTGGTGGTCATTTGATACAAGAACCTATGCTTCAATATGACTATGATTATTTTGGATTGTCCTTTGCCACTGTTTTTGATCATTACCGATGTCGCCACATGGATGCTCCACCACAACTAAAACTTTCTATGACTCATCTCCAGCAACAAAAGAAGTTAACAAATGTACCTGAAAACATCAGCAAATTAGATACCCCGGTGTGGTCAGGCCCATTGATTTCCAACCTGGAGAAACTAGGTAAGCAAACAGAAAAAAAAAAAAAAGAGGAATTCCTTTGCATTTATTTTTGTACCTTTTTTTTTTTCTTTTTTGCCCTTTTAGAACAATGCCAAATACATGCCTATCGTATGAATAGGTGAGTACTTTTCTCCTATTGTAATACAATCATATGATTAAAACTGTGTTTTTTTTTATTTTTAGACAGAAATTGAACCATAAAACACAACCTGATCAAGCCACTACTGAAGAATTGGAGAAACCAACAGTCTTTGATGGAATGGAATCATTAAAAATTATATCACTCTTGTACACGGAAGAATTGCGACAAGGGAAATGGATACAGTTTTTGGATGACACTAGTTACGCTCTTTGGTCCCCTAATGTCGAATTTTCAACTATTATCAAACTTCTACAAGATCAACTGATGGTCCTTCTTGTCAAATTATGTCCTTTGGATGCATCTAGACTTGATACTTCAGTAGCAATAGTGGAACCTATTTTGGATGGTTGTGCTTCCGTAACACCATTGTTATTTGACGGTGATACTTTCCTATCGAATCCTGGTGATCAAAAGGATGGTTTACCATTAGAGGATGATGTTTTTCCTTGGAATCCTCCACTTGGGAGCAATATTATTGGTTATTCGAAACTCGGTACTCAGAAATCCATATTACAAGATTTAGACAATGATCATGCTACTGAGTTCAAACTGGATATGGAAACTCTTCCTTGTGTGGATATATTGTCGAATGCATTTTCAAGGTAAAACAGAATTATATAAAATAATTGATTTTGGATATTATGGATTTCTCAATGCTAGTTTATTATTTTTATATATTAGATCAGTGATTGATGATGTCAGGCCATCATTGAATACGCTCGTATCAAAACAAACAAAATCAAAAGGAACAATTGCATCTACAAATACTATGCCAAACAACATTGATGAATTCACTCAAACACTGCAGGATCTTTATCTTGATACATTATACAGCTCAAAGGTAAGACAAATCAAAACAACAAAAAAAAATTGAAATAGCAATTGGAGATTCATTTGTTTTTTCTAGTATACCTTATTAGAATCAATGACTTTACTTCTCTCTTATGTGGATCATGCACTGGATTCAAAACATCAAGGCAACATGGATGTAAGTTAGTGAAAATAAATAAAAACAGTTGATAAACTAATGTACTTCGAAGGGCTCTTTGGTAGTGGCTTCTTTACAATCTTTGATCATGCTTTCTTCTGAATTTGATCAAAAACATCGTACACGAATTCCTGCAATGGTGAACTCTGGTATTGGTGATGGAAATGAACAAGAACACATTTGTCTATCTAGTTGGCTAAGACATATTCGAACTAAATACGGTGACGACATGGAGAAGGAAGAATTATCATTTAAAGCACTCAAGATTAGAGAGTAAGTAGATGTCATCTATTGAAAACAAGCAAACTCATCTGTTATTTGTTATTCTGGTGATAGCGCCAAGCTTCAGATCATCCTTTTATTGACCATTATCCGAGTCCAACAAGAACAACAACGAAACAGTTCTCAAAAACAAAAATCAACCTCTAGAAAGAAAAAGCGATCAGATGGACGTGCCAACACAACGGATTTAGCCAGTGAAAATCCAGAAGAACAGGTAGAAATTTATTTTGATCGAATGTTCATTTGGGAACAAGTATCGAGTGTAGTTGGTTTTTTACAAGAACGTGATGCTGAAGCCTTTGAAAAATCAAAAAAACGACTAGATCAAGCAGATATTTTTATTCATCATTTTTGTGGTCATTTGGATAAATGGTAATGCATCAAAATAATTGAAAAAAGGAATGAGGATTGGTTGATTGTATTGATTTCTTATTTTTTTTTTTATTTTATTTTAGTTTCTCAAAAAAGTTACCTGATCTGATCAAAAAACTTTGGGCAAAAATAGACAAGGATGACAGCGATGATATGGACGATACAATCCCTATAGCCAACAAAAGAAGGAAGACCTTATTGAAAATGCGAATGCGTGGTGATATAGCTGGGGAAACAGTGACGGCAGACTGGATATCTTCTCCTCCTATCAGTGATAGTCAGAATTCACAACGACAACAAGAACAACAAGAAGATTTGGAATACAAGGCTGTACATCAAATGGAATCACCGTCTTCTGGTGCATCAAAGCGAAAGGAGACTATGTTCCCCATATTACCCTTCATGAAACGCGAAATCATCATGTCCAAGACAATCAACGCCAACAAAGGGAAGCAGCAATCAACAATGGATGCGGACAAGACTGGAAATGTAGATAAATCATCGGAGACTTCATCCAAACCAATGATTCGACGAACTGGAAGCTTCACTAAAAGTGCCATTTCTCCAAAACGTAAGTTTTTTTTCTCTCTCTCTTTTTTTATTTCAATTCCTCTCCCACTTTTTTATTTATTTATTTATTGATTGATTGACTCTTACCATAGGTTCTGCCAAACGAAAACCAACCACGGAAACAAACACTGTCGTTTTACGTAAACGTCAAGTTCATTCACCAACGACGCCCAGGACTAGACTAGCAAGAGAATTCGGTATATCTTTGACCCCACAACTAATGACAGAAACCAACAACAACGCGATCCAATTATCACCCGAGTCAACATCCACTTCACTTTCCACAGAACTAGATGCAATGACAAATCGACCAAGGACAAATCGTGAATTAGGTATTGCAGTATCACCAGCAAGATCGGCAGCTCGCAAGATCATTGGCGTTAAATCTCCTCGAATACACCGAAATAAACGACGTGATCAACATGGTGTAGACAAATCGACAACAATCACTGTTCCTCGCAACTTGACGACAGCATTACTGGCAGCTCGATCGCCTTCCAATGATCAACATCGTACAAAACCAAATATCAGCAAGGCGTTTAGTAGTTTATTTGATGAATGATAATTTATAGTCATTGATGGATTCAATAAAAACGAAAAACAATCGATTTATGTACATAGATTTTTTATTTTTTTACGACTTTTTTGTTTTATGTGTAGGATGAGATCTTTTTTTTTTTTTTTTTTTTTTTTGTAGATGATAGAACAAGATCAATGGATGGAATACATGGGATGGATGTACAACATAATCAACAGGTATACGTTTGTGGAACAACCGGATGAATATATGAACGGATCAAAAGAATGGGTAAAGCTAACAATTGGATAATAAAAGAGGATGCAAAACACAATTTGGTTGGCTTTTCTCTCGTGTGTTACTTTATCGTGGTGATTATTCTATGATCTTTAGTAGTAGTTAGTATTTTACATGATAAAGTATATACTTTTCTTTAATAAAATCGTATTCATGTTTATTCTTTTTTTTAAAAAATCAATCTATTATATCGTTAGTGGTCATGCTATTTTCATGCTAACATTAAAACCATCCCGCCGTCATCACATTGTTGTCATCATCCACCATTATCAGTCAACTAGTACCATTAATTATCTGCTGACTCTAGACATTAATTTCATCCAATGTCTCTTTCAATCTCAAAATTTTCCATTGAACTTTGACGCAAAAAAGGAAAAAAAGATCTATTGTAACGTTGTACATTTGACTGTAAAATGGAGAAAGGAAAATAAAGTAACCGAGAGACTAAAGTGGGCTTTGAAGCACCCTACTAAATTTTTTTTTTTTCATCACCACTTTTTTTTTTTTTTTTTTCAAATGCACATGATGACCCTTGGCATGATGGCTGTGATGATGCGCAGTAACGCCATTGGCAAGATCAAAGCAGGGTCTTACAAAGGAGCCACTTCAAAAATAGAAACCCTTTTTTTTGCTATTATAATCATCAGGGTAAAAGAAGGCCCAGTTTTTGACCCGGTAAAATGGGTGTATATGGTATAGTAAAAAAGTAAGGTTCATTTGTGCAACATTGATCACCCACTTTTATTAGACATTTTTTATGATCATCGAGCCCTCCACATCAATGGCTGTATAATTACGATGTATTCTTGAACCCCTGATTCTTTTTTTATTTTTATTTTTATTTTTATTTTTTTTTTTTTGTTTCTATTTGTAGACAATTCCAAGTTCCCTATTTTGCAAACATCCATTTGTACAACATGCATGAAAAACATATATATATATATACATGTATGCTTGATGAAGCATTTGTCTACATCTCAACTTTACTCAAATTCTTTTAAACATGAAATTATCCATCCTTGCTGCTGCTCTTCTTGCTGTCTCTGCTTCCACCGTATCTGCTGCTCCTGCCAACTCCTTGTCTGGTACTGTCTATGTCTATGTGAACAGTATTCCTCATCCCAAGACCACTTTCCTCAAGACTGGCTCCAACAATCAATTGGTGACTGATGGTGTTGCTTGCAAGAATGCCACTACTTTACCTGGTACAGGTGATGCTCTTTCTGGTACTTTCACCACAGTGAAAAATCAATGGGATTTCAATGGTCAACATGATAATGAAATCAATATGGGTAAAAAAAAAAAAAAAAAAAAAAAAAAAAAAAAAAAAAAAAAGATCGTCCTTCAGGATTATTTATATATTTCTTATTTGATGATTAGGTTACGTCAAGATCAATGGTGGCAACAATTGTCTTTCTCTCACCAAAGGTAATGCTTTAACTGCTGCTCCTTGCCCATCATTCAACGACGAAATCAAGGTTGGTAACAAATTTGCTTGGTTCCATGACAAGCGTAACAGTGCCATTTGGGCTTATGGTGGTGATGCCAATGCTACCGAAAGCAACGGTCTCACTTTTGATGCCACCAATCTCCAAACCACTGGCAAGACTTTGACTGGTATTGGTATGAACGATGATCCCCTCAACAACGTTTTCATCGGCCTTGGCCATGTTAGCTTGGGTCATGCTAGTAAGAACCCTACTGGCTGCCAATAGACTAGTTTTTTTTTTTATTTCTTTATAAATACCGGAATAATAAAGTCTTTCTCGTCTTTTGTACTCCCTTCCAATATAACATCAAAATATATAAAGTGTAGTTTTATTAATGTAACAAAACAATAGTTCATATATGTAAAACTAATTGACCAGTAACAAGTATCCGAAAAAAAAAAATTATCATGATAAGAGCCAAGTGACAAAGAGAGTGAAAAAAAAAGGTCAAACAGTTGAGAAGAAGTCCATCAAAAAGATACATATATATATATATATATAAAACATCCAATTGCTTTTTCTTTTCCAGTCGATTCTAACTACATGTCCATCCAGTCAATATTCATGTTGTATCTTCATTCAATTGATCCAGTTGATAATATATATATGTATAATTCAAGTGATCCACTTGCGCACCCTCCTGCTTGTTCCCGTTGAATATCTAAAAAAGGATTGAGAAAAGGAAGTAACTATCGACCAAATATCAAACTATATAAAGAGAAAGAGAAGGACAAGAGTAGGTTATTAGTAGAAATTAGATTAATATCATCACTCAATTCATTATCATTTTCTCTTATCATTATCACTTTCTCTTATTGATATTACCTTTTTCCTTCCCTCCTTAAGCGTACATCGATATGTATTTATATTGATTGTCATCCAGCATCTTAATGAGTTTCTACCTAGTTAAACAGTAAAAAAAGAATTTAAACCAGTAAATAATAACTAAAGGTTGTAGTTTTTCATTGTTATTACCTTTTGGATAATAATAAAATTGCTTTGTTGTCGTCTACAGAGTAACATTTTTTCCAGGAATAGTATGATAGCCGTTCAAGGGATTGAATCACCACGTCTTCAAAAAATCAAATATATAAAATATTAAAAAGAAGATAATAAGTATTAAATAAAGTATTGAATCATAATTAACGTTTATTGTACCTTCAATTAAATATCCACCTGGTTCATCCATTTAGATCCATCCTGTTGACCCAATCTTGTCTTCATTCATATATAAGCAAACAAAGTGTGACAAGAACGACGAAGAAAGAAGAATAGGATACACAGTCTAGATTCGAATAAAAAAGGATTAAAAAAAGAAATAGGTCGAATATCAAACTATGCGCAAACGAAGAGTAAAATGGTAAGTTATTAATAAAAAGTAGATTCGTAATGTAGATTAGCAGCATTGTAGCTTACATGTTCAAAAGTGATTGATCTAAAGACAAAAAGAGAAAAGGGAAAAAAACGTACAAAAAGGGAAAAAAAAAAAAAAGGAAAAGAGAAAAGAATAATGTCAGCGCTTTATTTATTTATTTATTTTGTCAGAGATCATCCTTTAATTTAAATTCTATTTATAAACTTTTGCATAATTGTTGAGAATATTTTTGAATTAAACTTCTTATATTGACAGGTCCTCCTTTGGATTTTCCGAATGGTATATCGTGCAGTATCAATGTTGGAATACCTACAAGTTTTTTACATTCACCAGCCATAGGTAATAACCCTATTGCTTTAGGCATTGCTTTTTGGATAGCTATTTGCTTAGCTTTTTCCATTTCTTTTTTATCTTGTGGATTATTGACATCAAATTTACACATATCTTTGTGATGGGAAAATGCTTCTTCAATAGCTGATGAAACATGTACTACCCATTCGGGTGTTATATCTTTTGGTAATTTGGGAGCTTTACTTCTAACATACGGAATAATCGTTTCGGCAAGTTCTTTTGTAGCACTTTCTATGAACGGTTTTGCTTTGGAATAAGGAATAGGTTTTCCACATTGAGTACAAAAATCTTGGATCATCCAACTTTTTACTTGAGGAGCATATTTTTTTAATTCGTCGGCAATTACCATACAATCTTTAGGGATGAGAGCATAGCTACCAAAGAAAAGTAAAGTAAAGATGTAAACAAAGATAATCGTCTTCATGATCATATTGAATACTTTTACTGTTATTATTTTTATGAGTATTTATAGGTAAAAATATACGCAACACGCCCTTAACCCTTATAATCTCTTCCAGAAATCGAAATTCGAATTGATGATCGGCATATTGCATCCTATTGATAAAGAATCAAGGGTTGATCATACTTCTATACTATTAGAGAGAAGTGGAAATCGCATCAAAAGAAAAAAAAGAAAATAAGGTCCCTCCTCTTTCTTTACGAGCTTATTATTATTAATTCCCATTTACAACAAATACCCGATTTTGAGAAGGATATAATGCAGAGAAACTCCTGCAGTAGATGACAGGAAGATAAGTCCCTTTCAAATCATATACTCCTCGCACCGGCAACGCCATTCTGAGCCTAGAATTTCCTCCTACTTCCTTGATGATCCTATCTAAGTTATCTCATAATGATGATGATGTCGTTCGTCTTGTCCCTGATATTCGATTGAATCGAGGTGTGGAATTGGTCTAGATGTGGTTAAAAAAAAAATAAAATAAAAAGAGACGAGAACAAGTCTGTGAGATTTCTTTTTATTGAAAAAAAAAGATCGGGTTGAGACTTATAAGCATTTTGTATCCTACTATGGGTATAGATAGGTATTTAAAATAAAATAGACAGTGAGATTCCTTTATGGTCCTATTTGGGAATAAAAATTAAAAATACAAATTGTATCAGTGGACGGGCTTCAAAAATTAATCACCCCTTTACGTGCGTTTTGCTCTTTTTTCTTTTTTTTTTTCTTTCTTTTTCTTTTCTTCATCCACTTTTTTTTTCCACATTAGGTGTCCTCTTTGTTTTTGCGATCTTGTCATGGTAGATTTTATTGGATTTGGAGCGTTTTGAAAAAGGGATTTACAAAATACATGGGGAAACCCTTTCATTTTGGATGTAGGATTTAATACAGGTAATAACAAAAAATATTTCATATAGTCTTGTTTTTTCATATGAATTGCTTGACCTAGATTTATTTCATTGGTAATGTGAACGAAAAACTGACTGGATAGGAAACTTTGTTTGGTTAGGATCTCTTGGTGGTGGACGAACGCTTCTGGTGTAATGTATACAGTAGAATGGATAGTAGTGATAGTTTGACTAGTTAGTATATGGATTACCTTTTTTGTTTGAAATAAAAGTTATATTACCTTTTATGATACATAGCTTCCGTGGTTTTTTCTTTCTTTCTTTCTTTTTTTTTTTTTTTTTTTTTTGAGCAAGAGTAACAGTGAGGTAACAGAGAATCGTTTTCCTCAACTCCATCCGATGGAAAAGATTACTATGACGTCTAGGCGACTCCTAGGCAATTTCTAGACTATTTTCAAGTATGGTCAATTATTCAAAAGTAAGATACAATAAATGAAAAAGAATATTTTACAATATGATTCTCATTCCCTTATTCTTAATTATTTTGGGGTGTATCGGTCACTATCATTGTCAAGCAACAGCATTATCATCCTGGACATATATGGATCACAACATCAAATTAAAATGGATAAAACAAAAAAAGCGATGAACAACCAATAGAAAACAACTATATTAACTAGTATGGATAGACAATGGCTGGAAGGATCTATTACAGAAAAAAAAAAAAAAAAGGAAGAAGAGACGAGTATATTGAAAACAAACTTTATTCGAGTTAATATAAATCATTATTTGAATAAAATAAAATACACCTTATATATATTCTACTATTTTCTAAACTAAAGAGGAAATGATGATGGTAGTTCATTTAGCGTTACCCAGGAGCCACCACAAGGAGGTAGAACTACATTGACTCCCAATATTTTTTTTTTTTTTGTTTACTCACCTTTTATATTCCTTGCCAGCCATACGACTTGATATCACCAAGCATAGAGAATTACTATAGAATGGAAAGAAAAAAAAAAGAGAATGATTTTTAGTAATAACTATGATATACTGTATTCGTTGTACAATATTCTTTATGTATTACCTTCCACCACTCATCTCGCGAATAGATAATTCACAGACTACTTGAATCCATTTGATATCTTGATTGGACTTACATTTGAGAGCTGACTTGATCTTGCATCAATTTGATATTTATGATTTGCAGTTCAAAGCAGGTTTGATCAAGACCTAACTCCAACAGAAGATCGTAAGATATCAAATTGATGCAAGACCAAGTCAGTTCAAAAAAGTAAAGTTCAAGCAAGATATATCAAATAGATTCAAGTATCTATTAAACCATCTAGAACTAAAAAAAAATAAAATAAAAAAGAATGGTAATGAGAGGATGAATAGATTATTCATATACAATATGATAAAAATGAGATAAAGTACTTACATAATTCTTTGCTTTCTTTGCTTGCAGCAACTACAAAAGAAGAGTAAAAGAAAAAAAAAAGTAGCGCATAAAGTAGTTTATCACACCCATATTACTTTTGTTTTACCTTTACTTGTTCCTTGTATATGCCTTGTTTATCCCCATCAACCAACCATAAAACATTGACAAGACAAAGAGGTGCTATAATCAGAGCCTCGTATGGTATCGATCATATCTATTATAAAAAGAGAAAGAATGGACGTATTAAAAAAAAAAAAGTAGTTTATGGTAAATTTCATTGATAATACTACCTTTCCTTTGGACCCACCGTCATCACCATCATCCTTCATACACAGAGTTTCTTATTTTGCCAGCAAAAGAAGAAGTCCTCTACCATATCACCATTTTTGGAAAAGTCTCTTCTCGACCCGAGGTGCTAATATAATAAACAAAACACAATGATTTTAGTAACTATTGATTCTTGTTGTGAACAGTTAATATTTATACAATATAAATTTACCGGTGATAGATTGTCGTTGGGGAGCCACACTGAAGTTGCTTCCAAGGCCTATAATATAAATAGAATTAGGTAAGTTTGTTAGTGAAGATTACTTTTTTTTTCTTTTTTTTTTTTTTTAATACTCACCCGTTCGAAAAAAACAATGAAGATAAAAGAAAAAAAAAAAAAAAGAAAATGTGAGTATATGTTGACTTGGTATATTCATTTAAGTACTTACAAAACCTTCCAACAAGAGATGATTTTTTTTTTCTATGTATCCCCTTCATTATCCATTTACTCCCCGTCGCAATCATCCTCCCCACTACGACTTCCTACGACTTCCTACGACTTCTTACGATTTGGTGTTTGTTATAAGTAAATATGATATTGATTATGATACTAACACATTATTATTGTAGCGCTAACAAGAAAGTGTGTGATGCACTTCTTATTCATCATGATGATTCCCATCCTTGTACAGACGCAAATGGCATTCCATGATTTATTTGATGGAATGGGTTTTTGTAAAGCTGATACCTTTGGAGCTAGCCAAGACACCTTCTTTGACTTGGAACATATATCTGAATGAATGTTTTTTCCTATAGATCTCTTTATGATACTGTTTATATATTTCACTAGTTTAGTCTCTATTATCTTTTTTTTTTTTGAATAAAAACCATTCTATTTATATCATTATCGTCTTCCATTTTTTATTGTTTCTCATCTGATTCTAGTTGTTCGTGATGATGGGTACATCGAAGATCGCATTTCTCCTATCTAGGCTAGAAAGCATATGATAGGTATGATTTACCTTTTTTTGTGTAATAAACATAATTATTAGGTCAAATAGGTAGAATTTAAGACTTCTATATAGAGTTGAATAAAATTGGTTTGGTTTTCTAGGTAGAATTTAGGGTTTCTACGTAGAGTTGAATAAAAAATATTGGATTTTCTAGTCCTAATTTGGAAGGAGTATGTTTTGCCCGCAGGCTCGCTGTGCGAAAATTATGCATTGCCAAATAAAAAGGACGTTTGTTTATTTTTACTCTTCTTCTTCTTCTTATTTTTATTTTTATCACATTATTGTTCTTTTTTTTTTTTTCTTTCTGTTATACGTTTACCTTTTAAGACAAATCAAAGTAAGGTATGGAAATAATAATAATAAAAGATTGTCTATACATATATTCATTGTATTCATGAACTGACTGAATCATTCTTTTTCGCTGTATGTGTTTATACCTTTTAGTTAAAACAAGTGAACACAAGTACCTTTAACCTATTATATGCTGTATTACTCATGTTTAATAAGGTAAATCCATTTCATTATGTCACCAACGTTATATGATACTAATCTCTTTTTTTTTTTTATTTGAATCTATATTCTGGATACAAATATGACGACTGAACTAGGCCAAACAAAAAGAAAAAGATAATGATTTTGTTGTTTTCTGACCTTTTCTTCTTTTTATACACGAATCATTCCAACCTCTTTGCTATATCCTTTTCTCTATGTGGTTTTACGGATATTTACTCTTATTAGATGTAAGTCTCGAAAACAAGTGCTTTTCTTCTTTTTCTTTCTAACTTCACTTTTTCTTCCTTTTCTTTTTTTATTCACCAACTCTGTATGAAAGGTACCCTTGACTCTTCTTTTGGCTTGACTTGTATGATTGTACATCAACACATCGACACCGATAATCGATATCGCCAAGGTGACATCATAGGTAGAAAAAAAAAGATCATGATATTCGTGGATTCTTATTCATTTTGTTGTTTTTCTATGTAGATATCAAGATTGTTGTCTATACAACCAAACTAGTAAATTTGTGCAAAAGGAAAAAAAAAGGATCAATCGATATTACATACAATCACTTGCTTCTTTCTTTTTTTTTTTTTTTTTTTAGATCCTTCTTTTTATTGTATTGTTATTGACACATTGACACTGGCGCATGATCCAAGGTAATATGCATATGTAAAAAGAAGAAAAAAAATGAATAGCATCGATGGATTGCTACTCATTTTGTTCATTTTATCTGTAGCTTGCTAGATTATTGTCTATACAATAATGGTGATACAAGCATCCAATGATATAGCCAAGGTAACATTTATATAGAAAAAAGAAAAGAAAAAGAAAAAGAAAAGAGAGCATTGATAGATTACTACGCACTCTGTCAATTTCATCTGTAGATTGCAAACCATACAACAAAGCCAAGATCGAATGCCTTCTAGTTGGAATGACCCTGTTAGACATCCAATTGAAATATCTGTATCAAATAAAATAGTTCTACCCAAAGTGCAAGTCATGCTCGTTGTCCTGGTGATGGCATTGGCTGTGATTCCGGTTGTGATTCTGGTCGTAGTTCACGAATATTATTGCTTATAGTGTAGTTACTTATTATTATAGTTATGTAGTATAGTTATGTAGTATAGAATATTTGTAGTGATGAAATAAAATCATGATTTTAATAGTATATCTGTACTGATCAAGTGAAATTGTTCTGGAGGTCGATCATACCTATATTTCAACTGTAACAGTATCCTACATAGGATTAGTATATTTTTGTCATAGATTTATTGAAGCCAAATATTTTTATTATTTCTTGTGCCATAATGCATATCTAACCTAGAAATTGTATAGGAATCGCCTAGACGTCATAGTAATCTTTTTCGATGTTATTTATCATCATTGAACATTCTTTAATATAAACATAGGATACAATACAGTTTTTTATTAATGAATATGATTCACAAAAAAAAAAAAAAAAAAGGAAACGCTACGTTTTTTTTTGCACTTCTTCCATATCATGTCATCCAAATACATTCAGTTATTTCAAAGTGTGGATGAACATCGATGGCATAATATTAAAAATTATCTCTTACAATTTGAAACTAGCTGATCGTAAACGTGTTTGCATTAATTCAATACCATCTTTAGGTCGTTCTATCCGTTTGATATGTGACAAGACAAGAAAATGATAATTTAAAGCATAAAAGAACCTATAATTTATTAATAGCATAAGAATCATAAACATATAAAAACATAAAAAAAAAAAAGAATGTACTTATAGTGAATTGTCACGGTTCAAATAAAATAAAAAAAAATAACAATAAAAAGGCTAAAGAAATAAAAAAAGAAAGGAGGACAAAAAGAAATAAGGACATAAAAAAGAAAAGGCACAAAATTTAAAAGTCCATGAAATAAAAAAAAAATCATAGTCAGCCATCATCCTCCCATTCCATCCTAGAAGAAGTAGATGCAACAGGGACCACTTCCTGTTCAGTTACTTTGCGCAGATGTTTCCCGTTGACTTGAAACTTGAAGATAGAACCTTGAGGGTAGATCAGTTTGAAAGAGTTTCTGTAGGCAGCGATGATTTTGTATTCGGTAGGCGAGAAGATAGGATCCACTTTGCTTTTACCTGAACGTCGAATATCTTTCATATATACAATGTCTCCAACCTTGAATTTACTGGTGTGTATCATTTCATCCGATTTATCTTGTAGATAGTTAGATTGTTTTTCCAAAATAGTTCTAATTCCCCAGAGTTTAACTAATCGTTCATAGCCAAGAAGCCGACCAAATCGATACAATGTGTCATCAGTAGTAGTAATTGGTGATTGTCCAAACAATGAAGGCTTAACTTCAGACTTAATTTCAGATCCTTGGCTACTACCTTTTCGTTTTCCTTTGGCTTGTTCTAGTTGGTCGTTTTGAATTCTTCTTCCAAGTGTAGCTGCCAAATTCTAAAACCAGAGTAAACACGTGTTAATCAAAATTTGCCCTTTTCATACAGAAAAAAAAATACCTTCAATTGTACGATCGTCTTGAATAACAATGGAAGGGATCCAAATTCACGAAAGTCGGAAATCAAACGTGCTTTACTAAGTTGGATCATTCTGAAGATGTTTCTTCCTTTTGCGTCCACGTAATACGTTTTGATACAAAATCCTAAATAATAGATCATTTTGGTTAGTATTTCGATTTTCCTCCTTGATATAAACCACCTCCTCTTTTTCAAGTTACCTTCAACCAATATACCTAGTACATAGGCATCATTTAGGCCTTGCTTCTGTAAAAACTTCAGCATCTGTCGCATTTGGAAACCCAGTTTCACAAAATCAGACATAGGAGGAACAGACACTTTGTTGACAGGCTTCACTTCACAA